AATAAATTGGCCCACCGAAAGTCACGGGACTCAAACGCGCGACGCGTCGCGAGTTGTTCCCACGTTCGCGGTCCATTTCTGTATGACCGAGATTCGTTGTATTCCTTGCGGCCTGGCGAGTAACAAAACGACGCGTCCGACACCACGAAGGTATAAGAAAGGAACTCTATTGGTCCTGACATAACCTCCTTGACTATACTAAACTTCCATTGCCAGTTATGCATAAACCAGTACTAGTGCGTACGATTAGAATGGAAGGCAGACAATACCATCGATTGGCTCGACAATCTGCCTAATATGAGTCCACTGCCAGTTATTCATGAAGATCGTCTCTATTCCGTTAGAGCGAACCCGGAAACATCGCGCTTCGCTTTACTCAAAACTCGTCATTAAACATTGCAATCTCAGTGACTCATTCTCATGGAATGCACAATTGTTTCTACACGCGTAATAGTAGTCATCTCCTGTGTGAAAATCCCGCGGCTTAGGTACTAATAATTATAGGAGTGCATGAAGAAAGAATAGTGGTGTCTTGTATTTTCCCCGCCATATTCGGAAACATGTGTATACTCACGCTTCATCATCCCTGGAGAAACTCGGGCATGCCGGACTTGTCAAACATGCAATGAACATTTTGGGATTCTAGTATTAATGACTTATACCAACAAAGATAACATTGAGTGAGCTCCTCACCTTCTCTGACAATATTACATCGTGTGCTTCAGATGTCCGCGGAATAGACTTGGTCAAGCCGGAGTTCTCAGTCTCAAGCATCCTATCATTTTATGATGTAGTTGCGAGACGTCGACAACGTTTTTAATCCTTATGAAGAAAAGGAAGCAACTGAGAGCTTTATCCAGCTTACCCGCATACAGAGTATTTCTGTATACCTGAATATCAATGTTCGTCCGGACACATTTATTGATGTCATTTCGATGGTTCTGTCCGGGACATCATGAGGACATCATGGAACGCCATCTACTGAGTTACTAAGTTTCATTTACACAGGGCAGTGCGCCTCGAGCGCGAGCGAAGCAAACAACTCGGAATCTCCCGTACCATGTCGTATACACTCGCATGTGCATCAGCTTCTGTTAATCCTCCAATCATCGCCGTGTATGGTATACCGGTGGTGAATTCAGGCTGAAGATGTTGCGTTGTCGAGTTAGTACGATGTTAACATGATGGAATAAGCAGAAAGTAATTTGTCATCAACCGTATCAATTGTACCGGCATATTCATGACGTTGAATTCGTATAAGTCTTGGATTTGGGTCATGTTCAAGTTGTTGTCCTAATTTCTCGTGAGATTAACGCACCGGAACCCTTGCAGATGGAAGCAAAGAATCACACTCATTCAATATTAATAGACTCGTCTGTTCACCTAGAAGTTTGACGGTAATCCAACAAAACGTGGTGAAATAATATCGGATGCAATTACTATCGGAACGGATAGGTTGGAAAGGTATCCAAGACTTATGCGCGGAGTCAAAAATTTCTGAAGCGTGCAACTAATGAAACGCCATGCATTGGCCACAACTATATTAGAGAAGCACAGGAACAAAGCTAAGCCAGACAAGATTCCGAGGAGCGGCAAATCGGAAAAACGACAGCCTTGAGATTCATCATGATGAACTAGCCAAGCCAGTTCCACGAAGCCTCAGACAAAGCAAGAGGCGGGAAGTCCGTTTAGCATCAATCGCCAAATCACAGAGGATATCCTGGCAACTGTCTAGAAGTCTTCAATATCGGATGGTATAGAGGTACAAGATAAGGTAGACCAATTAAGAATCCAGAAAAAGCTTGAACAAACCAGTGAAGTAACAACTATAAGATTGATTCGAGTAGTCGCTGTGCTCGCGACCTAAATATATAATAAAATCAGCAACTCTGCATATTATGGAAGTCCAGCACAAAGCAGACCAAACAAAGTTCCGAGAAGTAGAAAATCAGTAAAGCATCAACCCTCCAATTGTAAAATATCAACGAATTCTACAACACAGCAAACCGATCACCTGTGAAGCCGAGGAGCAGCGACTCGGATTCGGATAAACAAAAAACAAGAAAACAAGGATAACAGCGCGAGCAATAAGCAAGTTAATGCGCATAAATCGGATATTCCCTCCTGATTCTATATGTCGAGGTTGCCAATATTGATATTAATGCCTGAGGATTTGAGCCATCGCCGTGTACACGTACAAGTTACCTCGATTCTCAAGCTCATATATTCTTCACTAATTTCATACGTAATATCGTGGTGCAAGGGGCGCATCGATGATACCAATGCTTTGTGCAAAAGAAATTTACGTATGTCTCGTTGCAGGGTGGCGTTCGTCTATTCTATTTTTCGAATCTTTGAACGTCCAAGTAATATTGGGAAGAATGACCGAATCTGTGAGGGCGGGGATAAATAGATAGATAGTAGGACAAACTGTTTGATAAATGAGTGAGGGAGACACGAAAACGGGTCCGAACGGGTACATACCAATATGCAGATGAGCGGCTGACAATATGTTGCATTTCTGCAAGCACCTGCTGGTGTTTATTTAGTACAGCAACAGAGGCCCGAGGTATAGTCTGTCAATGTGAGCAGAACAATCAACTTCCCCCTCCCCCCCTCTCCTCTTTGTTTCATTACTCCCCTAATTCCGTACGTAAAATACTCATGATACGGTGTGTCGTCGAAATTGTTTACGTAGTACATACGCCTCGTTGCAAAGCGGCGTTCGTTCATTTTCCCCACCATACTAGTAAGTGTTTTCGAATGTTCGAATAATATTAAGAACGAAAGAATTCCTAAACGGCGCGGGGTACATAGATAGTTGGATAATAGGAAAAAAACGGAAAAACTGTGAGATAAATGAGCGAGGGAATGCAGGAATGACGAATGTGCAGAAAACTTGTCCGTCGAATGGATAGTACAAAATATACAAATGAGTGAGCGACTGTCAACACGTTGCAGATGTGATGTTAGTATAGGTACATTGCGATATGAACTTCGTTCGTTACGTCCGTCCTTTTCATTTCATTTTGTTGTTGTTCTGCGAGCACTGGATAGTGTCCATATAGTACAACTGACGAAATGACCAAATAACAAGACTGTCAATCATGAGCGGAACAATTAAGGGGAAAAAAGGACCCACTTTTAAACAATGCAAATGTCCAAAAAGGCTAATTCTTTTCCCCCTGAGACGGCGCTTAGGTATTGCTTTTCCAACTTTCGTTCCTTCCAAGTTTATTCTTCCGCGGAGTCTTCGGAAACGGTTTCGCCGTCTTTTTAGTTGCAGTAGGCGACGGAGGCGGCTCAGGTGCAGCAGGAAACTTTCGTGGCGAAGATTGGACTTGGTCCTTCGGCCCAGACTTCTGTGGCGAAGGCAAATTCTGACGAGGGGACGAATTACTAGCCTTCATCTTTTGTGGCGAGCGTGGCGGTGGGCGCTCAAGAGCCTGTAGATATACGTCATCAAACGCACGGAATATGCACCCTCGTTCGTCGTACTCGGCACGCATGGCCCATACACAATGCCACCGTCGCTCTTCCGCAAATTTGAAAGCGACCGCCACATGACTTTGTTGCCAGCTCTGTTCCCACTCGCGACGTTCGTAAGCTTTATCCGCAAGATGGATGAACGCGCAGTCCGCGATTGCACGGTCGACAACATGTCGCCCGGGTACTTCGAGCATGCGCAGTAGAGTCTCGTCCATCTCCAGTACACATTGGCGTGAGGAAGGGGACGATTCGGTGCTTTGGCCCGAGCTATTCCGGGGGTCGTATCCGTCGACAAGAATTTGATAAGTTGTTCCATCCGCAAAGGAGAGCGTGACCGTAGGATGGCCTGTCGAACGGCGTATGTGTGTGAGAACCTTGCCGACAAGGAGTTTGGGGTCAAGTCCTAGTGAGGGGGGAGGCAAGGTGGCTGAACGGGCCCGTGGCCTTAGCTTCTTGGGCGTGCCACTTGCAGAGGACGTCGAGCTCTCCTCAGTGGGTGAACTGGCACTTGTCGAAGCAGTAGACACGATCGAAGCGGAATCGGTAGGTTTCTTACCAATGGGACATGTATTATTTGATTCCTGAGTGTCGGTATTGCCGGTGACCCAGTCACTGGATGAGTTGCTAGTTGCCGAGCTTTCCTTCGCATCCGTATCCCACGAAGAGATTGAACTCGACGAAACAGATGAATTGTCTTCTACCGACTTGCCTGCGAGCGGTGGAGCAGGTATTTCGACACAGATACCACTGGGTGGACTAATCTGGTCATTTGATGAGCCTTTGTTCGTTGTTGTACTTTCCGTTGTGGTTGCTCCGGATGGCTCTCGCGGTTTGGATAAATCAGTTGAACTTTCGTTCCCAGGCTTTTCGACATGAGAACACGCGTTGGAGTTGGGTTGAGTGGCGTCGACAGCCGTGAACCAGCCGTCGGCGTCGATGGTGAGCGGAGGCATAGCGGACGAGATTAACACGGGATGGTCAGGAGTAGAGAGAGGGCGCGTGGCTGCTCAGTTGGGCAAGGCTCAAGCGGAGGCAGAATCGGTGGCTGTGCACAACCTCTGTTCCGTACCGATCATGCCGGTGGCCCAACGTGCACAAATAAACCAAGCGCATACAATCAATGCATCGATAACGTGACCTGCCTTCACCCTGATTGGCATGAATCTTTTTAAGCTTGCAAAAAAAAAAGTATTCCATGGCATTTTTTGAGGTAGAAAAATTACAGCGAAGCGACATGTGGATTGGTATATTAGCTATCCAGTATCATACCCAATTTCTTTGCTAAAAAGTGTCCATATCACTGACCGAAAATCGTGTAAGGTTGAATTGAATCTGCGCATGCCATTCCCTTTCCCCCTTTATAACCTCAGCCTGTAGCCGGGAGTTCGACGCGTCGAAGAGTACCGGTGCACCGTTTTCGGACGTATGCGGGAGGAGCAGGCGGCCCTGCATAGGCCGGAATCACGTTGATACTCTGCGACGTCTGCAAGCCAGACCTCGTCCTTAACTGTCCGTTCGCGGAGGGGAGTCGCTCGCCGGAGACCCGTCCTCGCTTGTGCCGTGTCGACTCGAGCTTGGCCTCGACACCCTGCAAAAATTTCCCCGGGTTACTACGGTAAGCGTGATTTAAAAGATGGCTCGAAGCGGACACTGTACCCATCCTGCCGTTTCCAGCCCCAGACCTGGCGAATCCAGGTGGCCATCTTCACTTCCTTCTTCATGTTTTCGACAATCCACGGATGAGCCAGCATTTCCTTTGGAGTCGGTCGTTCGGTTGCAGAGACGGTCAACCTGAAGGAATTCATTAGCCGATGAGCGTCAATGGATTGAATTAAGGAAAATGAGGTATACGCACGTTACTTGTATAAAGTGTTTCATTTTGTCACTCCATTTTATATCTTCCTCATCTTCTAGACTCGGAGGCTTCCGTGAACGTGAGCGCGTAAATATATAGGAGTGTGCCAAAGAGAATATGAAATATTTACTCACGTCGCTTTGAGTAATATAGAAGATAAGGTCAATTGGTCCAATTTCATGAGGGAAAGGAAATTTATTGGTGACCAGCTCCAATAGCGTAAGGCCAGCTGACCAGACATCGGATCGGATAGAATAGGCCTGCCCACTTATTCGTTCAGGCTGTGTGAGAGGGGTTGTTAAATAAGGCCCGTATAGTGGTAGCAAAAAATGATCTGCATAAATGCGTACGTACCGCCATATAGAAACTTGTCCCAGTGAACGTGCCCGCCAAGGAGTCAACCAGCTCTCCAGACACTCCAAAATCAACTAACTTCACAACGCCTTCTTTAGTGAGGAGAATGTTTGATGGCTTGATGTCCCGGTGAATAATCCTCTTTGTGTGTAAATATGCAAGCCCCTCGAAAATCTTTAGCGCAAATATTAAATCAGCGGACCATCAAGTGCAGAGGAAGAAACGAACGAACCCCTTCTGCTATACGTCCGGCGACCTTCTCGCCCACTCTTCGTTCCATTTCCTTGATACGTTTTCCAATCGCTTCCAAGCTGCCACCTTCGCATATCTCCATCAGGACTTTCACCTCGCTTGACGATGGCGAAATGTATGCCCCGTAGAAACGGCAAATGTTCCGATGGACGGTATTCTTCATGAACGACAGCTCACGGAGGAGTTGTTTAGATGGTGTTTCACGCGTTGTAATTGTCTTGCGCGCCATGATCAAGTTATTTCGACGATCCTTCACTTTGTGTACAGCACCACCAGCACCCTCACCCAGACGGTCGAGGTCTTCGAGCACGTCGTCCGACCACTCTTCCTGCCCATACGATGGCGCCCGGATCTCCTCTGAGCTGATCTCCGTGATTGTGCGCCGAATTGAGCCCATGTCGTCGAGCGGTTCAGACCGCGCTCCTTGTGCAGGGGGCCGGATTGTCGGCTGGTCGACTGCTTCAAAATTGAGGTTTATTGAGAGCCTTGGGGGCCCACCACCGTAGTAATTATAAGGTGGCGAGTCCTCGTCGTTGCTGCGTCTGCTGTCGGCTTGTGCAGAGCTCGCTGCACTCGCTGCGGCAACGGCACCCATGTTGAGCCGCGGAGTAATGGGACGCGCGCGTTGACGCGCATTTCCTGGATGCAAGCTTGAGGACGGTGCGGGGGCGATGTCATTGGCGACTGGAGGGGTAGAGGAGGGCGGGGTTGAGCCTGGCACAGCAAGGGAGAGAGAGGGAGTTGGGCGACGCGATATGTTTAGAGGCGCTGTTTCTGGACGCGGGGCGAAGGGTGCAGGAGACGGGGAGCGCTGAATGCTGCGAGGCCCGCTCGGGCGGGGCGGTGCATTCATTGTTTAGCCAAGGGACGGCGGTCGTGGCAGAGAGAGAAAGAGGAAGAGATGAAGAGGGAAGAGGGAGTGCGCCACAATAGGAAGAGAGTGCGGAAGTGATCGGTACGGATGGGCGAGAGAGGTCTTTATAGCGCAGGCAGCCCAGGAAGGTGCCGTGACGGTCAAGGAAAGAGAGCAGACGCATATTATTACTCTTTATATATATATATATACATTCTCTATCCTGCTTATTTCTCGCTCGCCGGAGCCCAGTGCCCATTGCCCTTCGCTATAGAACTCGAGAACTCTCCATCCTCCGCGTGTATGCGTTCATATTATTCACCTCTGCGACGGCCTCGGCTCTTCTCCATATCCGAGCTACTAGCTCTCCTCTTATACTACTACTTCTGCTGTATTCTTCCCTTCACAACCATATTCCCCTTCTTCAGAAGACTACTACTAGTCCGTAAGTCCGTATCTGCCTACCTACTACGAGCTGCATACGTGCATTCCTCGATCCGCAGTTGCCCCTCTGCCGAAAGTCAGGAAATTTTATTAGAGTTGGCAATTCGGTTTCAATTTTTTTCACTGGATGATAGATACGAGTATGCTCCCTCTGTTTCTCCTGCGTGTTGACTTATGGCATCAGGCACACGCATGCCCCGCACTTTGGCTGGCCCATCCTAGGTCTGTTTCGAACTTTGTTTCCAGAAGATGTTGCGTCCTAGCCATTTATGATTTGAGGCCTTACCTGCCCAGCTGCATCCCTCTCGTCAGTTCTAAGTCACCGGGCCCCTCCCGGTTCCCTGCCCTCTGCTCGCCGTCTTTCCTGATCTAGTCAAAGCCACCGCGCGATGTCCGCAGACGTGCGCGTGCAAATGGTCATATTGCCGTGAGCTGTACTAGGGTTTCGAAGCCTCTGCAAGAACCCTTGTGCCTTTTAAAGCTTATTGCGCGCCGCTGCCAGGTCCTTTTTTTGCTCGCTCCTTTGATAAAATTTATATCTCTCTCTCCCCGTAGTCACGGTTCGTGCTCGGAACTTGCGCGTTATTGCTTATTCAGTCTCTACGTTTCATACTTCACTAGTGTCTGGACGCTATGAATTGTTCACTCGCTTATCGACCACTACTGGTGTAAGCAAGACGTGTTCTACACGTACGCAACGCTAATTGGAGTATAAATGAGCGTCAGCTTTAATATCCTCGGCGCTCCGTGCGCACGTTCATTCACAACCGCCGACGGCTCTTGTATACTGGAAGAGTCATAGCTGCTGTCTAGAATACATAACCATCCTGACAAGCGCGCGTGGGTGACTCGGAGTATCATGGGTACCGACGTTCGGACTTGGGATTTCAAGCTCCTGACGCACGCCTTATACACGCATCTCAGGCCGCCGTAGCTGACAGGCCTATGGGATCTTATGTGCTTGGCCTTTTCGTCCGTCGCAATTGACTGGTGATCATGCCTTCTTCGGTGGCCCGGATCGAGAGACGATTTAGCTGTCTTCCATTAGAACAAGGTGAGTCGCGGAATTCCGTACAACTATTGTTCATCGGTGCTCAAAGTATTAGCAGTTGCTTTCTCTGTCATAAACCCTGTTTCAGCGGGACATAGTCATCATATGTCACCATCCTAGGATGAATTGCACAACTGCGCGTTGTCATCATTTTGGCCATCTGAATGATGGTGATTAATATTGGCAGAACAACGCTGACAACGAAAGAAATGTCGCATTTTGGTTATGAAATGTGCATATAAAGCAGACATCCACCATCGACAGCGCTGACGCTCCGCTGTAACCAAAGTAGCCGGTCAAAATACTCTTCGCGCATCGTCCGTTGTTGTTCAACAATGTCGTCGGAGATTGTGGTACGAAACCACCGGTCTCCAATGGTGAACTGCGCATACGAATACAAGGCGTTCATAGACGGAAAGGTGTGAAATCGATCATACCTGCCAGGCGAAGAACTCGAGGCGCCAAATCAGACGTGCGGGGAAATAAAAGGTTTAGGTATGGACAGGTCTACTGGTTCCTCGCACTTATCACCGCGCTGACAACGTTTATCCAAGATGCGGTGAATGCAGATATTTGGCAGATCCTCAAATACACACAGCGGACCTGTCCCGCTGGCCAAGAACGTACATGTGCCGCCTCCATTTCTCGGAGTGACACGGTTACTCTTCCATTCCTCTCGTTCCGGAGAAGAGCGTGTCCCGCAAGGTATAACTTCTTGTGTTCATTCCGATCACAGCTTACTCGGTTTGCGAGCACATTCGACGGAAAGAGTGGTAATTGCGCTCCAAGTACAATTATGCTTGCAGTGAAGACAGCTTCTAGAAGACCACCTCCGACGCCGCAGTAGTGGGTGTGGATGCCGATAGCGAAGTTAACATGTGCTCTGTACGATCGATTTGGTTAGGTTCGCGAAAATACAATACGCTTTGCTGCGACTCACAGTGCAAATTATGCTTGTAGGGAGACAGCTTCTAGAAGACACGACCAACACCGTAGCAGGGTTTACGGATACCAATATCTTCTACAAACAGCAAGCTAGCATGTGCTCTTCACGATCGGTTCGATGAAGTTCGCAAAAATACAATGTGCGATTGACGAGAACTAGATTGTTAGACAGCGATGTCTACGACCAAAGCACCGGTTCCGCGTATGCCTTTAGCTGCATATATGCACGTATATTTCTGACTCGTGAGGGAAACGGACCGCCCCGGGCACCATGAAGGAGGCCGTGTTGGTTCCCAAGGTCCACAAGTGACGACGTCGCTTAGCCCGAGGAAGTGAAATATATAGTCCCTCGTCATTCCTCTTTTCCGTCTTCTGACGACATTTCATTGGCAGGAGTCCACATGTCGCGGTGGCGCGGAAGGTATAATGAAGTCATTACTCAATGTTCAATGGTTCAATCATTGAACAACGAAGGGTTCAGCACCCGAGACCCGCAGGTCAGGTCAGGAGGAATGACCTCTTACAAGTCAATGAATGACTCGGTTCCAGCGGGAGAACTCCGTCACGGCATTCGTACACGAACAAAGACGAAACGAACATTCCAACTTCACACTTCTATTGGCAGTTCCTGAGAACGCACTCATGCGAGCTCCGCGAGCATATGAATCGCTCAAAAAGGCGATTAGCCCCTTACTCTTTCTTCATGTGTGTGTAGTTTATTACCGTAATCAGACTCCGAGGAGCAGATAGCCCGTATCGGATTGAAGACGCTCGAAGAGACTTTGACTTCGTATTCTAGAAGCCGAAGGTGGAGAAGTGGGGTCGCGGGAATCTGGATATACAACAGAGGCTAAAGGCGGCATTGCTAGCTGCTTGTTATCTTGCGGTGCCACCTGGGAATCGGTGGTGAGAATGACGGCGGCGACGGGTCGACGGGGGGAGAAAGTCCCGACGTCGGAAAGACGCATAAGTTCCAAAATCAGATCAAGGGATTGTCAACTTCTGAGATCTAAAAGCTACGAGGAGAGGTACTCTTGAAGGGGATTACTTACATTGGATGACTTTGGAATCTCGTAATACTAGTGCTGCGTATGCTGTGGAGGGCTTCTTTCAGCGTTTATACAATTTCAACAATACGGCTATGCTGTTCCCCCCACTCTTCTAGGTTTCTTTAGACTAATATAGCGACCTGCGCTCTTCCGCCGATGCCGTTTACAGCGAAAGGGACTACTACGACCAATGCAGATCGCGCTCGAATAGGGAGTTTGTGCCACGCGAAATGTTAGTATCCCCATCGCGTTCGCATGGGACCCTGAAGTAAAAGAACCTTGGAGTCGTGTTGCAACGAATGATGATTCTCCAAGCTTGACTAGAAGCTCGATGGGACGAATCACCTACACATCGCTTTTTTCTTTCTTGGCTAAAATCCTCCGTGAGCGGGTTCCTGAAATAAAACATAAATAGAGTTCGCCCGAGGCACATACACACGCGCATCCAGGAGAACCGAAGCTCGCACGAAAGAAGGAAAGGAAGGAAGAAAGAAGAAAGGTAAGGGTTTATACGCAATACAGATATACACATACACTTATGTCCAATGAATAGAATTTCGAATTTGATTCATCATTTAAGGGTAAAAATGAAGCTCCCCTGTCCTAAGTGAAGTAGTTAGAAGCAGATACAAGTCGAAGTCCTTTTTTCTTGTTTTCGCCTTTATTGGATCCCAGTCTTCGAAAGATGAAGATATGGAACTTTAGAAGAAAGTGGGCGATGATGATCGTTGGATGCCGAGGCGAGCCGACGAACAGTGGCTGTACTTCCAACCCTGATAGAGGATCGACGAATACACTATGGGCACATGCTGGTGGGAAAAAGGAACGGCGGAACGCACATCTAATGCAAACTTAATTCAAACGAAAATGAATTTATCAATACCCTCGTAGAATTCATTTCCTGTGTCTGAATAAAGCCACCCGTAATGATGGTGATGCTTGTCGTTGAGGTCGAACGGCAGCTTGCGGGGGACTTTCCCCATGCTTTGCTTCTGATTCAGAAGAGATAGGAGGTGGGGCGGCTAAAAGTTAGTGTCCGCATTCCAGTTTGTGCATTTACTGTGAGGGAAGAGAAGAAGTTCGTGCATTCCGAAAAAATTAAAGTGGCTCACACTCACACTCTCGTCCCGCTTTGGCCGCCCGTTCTGACCGCGTCGTTACTCACATCTCCTTGGCTTTAGCTTCTTCAATAGATGAATGAATGGACCTCCCATATTCGCAACGAGATATATCTTCGAACGAATAATGGCTTGTGCCGCAGATGCCCGAATGACTTTTTTACAGTACATGTCCAGGATACTCGCTTCGGAATGCCGTACTGCTTGGCTAATGACAGCGAAAAGAAATGTGCATGCCTTTCTGTTGGAATGTATTGCAGAGATGGTGATCTTTGGTTGCTGTACCTGTATTGCTACCGAGGGGGAAGGCCAGACCAGTGTGCCACACTTTGCATGGAACGGTCGTGACAGGTGATGCACGAAAGAAAAGCCGAGATTCCAGAACGACGCGGGCGGCTCGGCGACACTGCCACAGTCGATCAGATTAGCCTTCCGGCTATCGGTTATTCTTATGCTTCAACTCTCCAAATTCATCTTCCTCAAGGCATACCTCAATAAAATACCCTTTCATATGTTGGCGAAGTGGCCGAGTGGTTAAGGCGCTATGTTTAGGTAATCAAGTTGTTACTTAACACTTAAATCCGTAGTGGGAAACCTCGCGAGTTCGAATCTCGTCTTCGTCATGTTTTTTTCTCCATTTGCTCTTTATGCGGATCGTGCAAAGACAAGCTTTGCCTCGCTTTGTTCCTGTTGGCTAATTATCTAACCGTTACGTATTTTATTTAGTTGGCGACGACCTCGCTTGACAACTCGGGTGGATGTCCTACGTTTGAAATTTAGCTCCGGGAAGCGCGCGCTAGATGTTCATCCGGTGTTCGGAACGTTCGTTGGTTCTGAGCTGCGATTTCGTGCAGTAGATACACTCATCGTCATCCATGGCCATTCCCGTCATAAGTAAGCGCTTATTTGTTCCTCCTGAACAATCATGGCTGATTTTGTAAAGTCGATACGGATCCTGGGGTGGATGATATGGTCGCTTTGTATGCAGGAACACCATGCAATGATAAAAACCTAAACTGACCTTGGTTGATAAATCTCCGTAGACTTTATGCTCTGGCATGTCCTGAGCTGGAGATCTTGGGTATCATAGTATCCTTCGGTACGTATCTCTTGATAAGCAATATAGCATTCGTACTTATAGAATTTGACATGATTTCTTATTTGGCAGGAAACACGGATGTAGATGCATCTTAGTACGCCAAACATCAATTACTTTCTTAAGTTCACCCGGATTGACTCAATCTCTATTATTCTTATTCTCTTTTAAAGCGATAATATACTGAAGCTGTATGACACTCTCGCGCGTCACTTTGAGAAATTCCCCAAGGATGAGGAAAGGTTTCCGCATTTCAAGTCTAGGCCGTTCCTTGCTCGAGGAGCAGCGGGGCCTTTAGAAGGAGCTCTGCATAGTGCGCAGTACTTTCACGGACGGTAAGTTGCACACACTCTCCGAAGTGCCCATTTATGACCATGTATTAATGGATTGATTTCGATTGGTGTTAGAGATGGCCTGGGAGACATATCCAACCGATATCCGGATATCACAACTGATAAAGGAGTAGAGTTCTTACAACTCTCGGACAAGCCAGGACATGAACTTGCCCTTGAGTTAATCAAGACCCATCCAGCTCGGACGATAACGTACATCGCATTGGGTCCATTGACGAATCTCGCCCTCGCAGCACGGCAAGATCCTGCTCTATGTCGCGAGCGTATTGGTAGGATCGTCGTTATGGGCGGTGCGCTTGACGTACCGGGGAATACAAGTCCTGTTGCCGAATGTGCGTCTAAATATCATTCATATTCACCTCATCATTTTCCCGCACATTCATTTAATTTTGCGGGGCGTTATTAAAATACTGATTTAAGTCTCGGTGTCTCTCTCCACATATAGTCAACTTCTTCGCGGACCCATACGCAGTGAAAGAACTCCTCATCGACGGTGCACTTCCCCTCGATAGGTTCCTCCTCCTGCCGCTCGACGTCACGACTCCACACGATTTCTCTTTCCCACAATATACAGCCCAGATCGACCCAACTTTCGTCCTCGCCTCCGAAAAGCCAAAACAAGCCGTATGCAAGGAAGAAGAAGAAGCAGAAGGACGGATGGAGAGATCCAAGTCCAAGTCCCCACTCGTGCATTTTAGCAGCGCCTTCCTAGAGAGAACGCGTGAGGTTATGCGCGAGTTTGGGAAAGATGTCATGGAGTGAGTTCAATCTCCAATGTACTGTATTATATGTCTATCTTCAGGTTCAGGAAGCATACTAATTGAACGACGAGTCGACACAACTTTTTTTTTACCCCCTATACGCCGCGTCCTACTATTTCTATTTTTACTGACTACTGACTGTTAACGTTGTAATACTAATTTTAGATTACATGACGTCGTCGCAGTCTGGTGCGCAGCACAGAACCCACCACAGCTAATCGAAGACGACCCACATGGGGTACCGAGACTCCAAGAAGGGTGGAGAGCCCAGCAAAGGTTATTTGAAATCGAAAGGTAAGCAAGCAGCTGCTCCAGCAATACAAAACAACTGATGATTACAATTTACTCTAATTCTGATTTGTGTCAGAACTGGCGAACTAACGCGCGGAATGCTCGTCGTCGACCGACGGGACGAAGCGCTCGAAGCATACACTTCTTCCTCTCCACTCTCCCCACTCTCTCCGCTCGCTCCCGACTCCCCCGACTCACCAAAACGGTTCAAAACAGGAGACAACAGAGCAGAAGTCCAAGCTAGACTGGATCGCGAACAACGTCAACAAGAACAAAATACCCATATGCAAAATGTGCGAAATGACCACCTTGCTGTCCCTGCACAAGTCGAACTCGACGCCCCTGCACACGTCCACCCGAAGGGAGTCGCGTGTATTGTCCAAACTCCTGGTTCCGAGGCACTCGTTAGCTCGATATTCTCTCGTATATACGGGATACACAAGATTTAAGAGGTTTAAGTGGCTCCAGAGATTTGAGCGATTTGAGAGATTTGAGGGCAAAAGGGAAGATGAAGCCCCACGGACGTAATATAAACAACCTCTTTATTCTCTCTATCTACGACAATAGAATAGGATGTATTGTCCTTGATACTGGTACAACCCAGCTTATCTAGATATGTAGAAACAACAACAACAGCAACACGTTCAATATAGCAATAAAGCATACAAATCCGAAATGAGTGGCATGCACTTCTATTACTATGCGGGTAAAGAAGGCAAAGGTGCGAAGAATACTCCCAAGGGAAAATATTTGAAAACCTAATAACATTAGACCGACCGCATGAGCAATGAGAACCACCTTCCAAAGATGACAAAGTCAAAGAAGCCGCCCAGAGGAAGATGAAATAAACAAAAGATAGTCAATGCACAAGACACCCCTCTAGATACTTCACGACAACCTTCGTCTTCAAATCTTCAGTCGCCTCATTGCACAGTATATCAACCATGCGTTCCGCAACCATCTCCTCGCACTCATCTGCCCTTCCAAAGCCAGAGAGACAGCCCTCGCGGTACTCACGCTCGTCAATACCGAGCATGGCGGGTATGACTTGCGGTTCGCCGTGTCCTGACCAGCGAAGTAAGACTGGCAAGGCGATGAGTACGGGTAAACCCTCGGTGAGTAGCTCCAAATCAAAGTCCTCGCGGACTTCGGTGCTTGAATCGACTGCACCGAGTAAGGCGGTTAGCGCGCCCAACGCTTCAAAGGCCTCATCAACCGCTTCGCGCGCAATGCGGTTTGCCTCTACCGTTGGAGACGGTCTCGGTAGCATATTGAGCAAATCGTACACTACGCGTGCGTCTGAAGCAGTGCTCGGAACTGGAGCGTGAACAGGAGACGGAGGACGTGAGCCCGGTAGCTTCATTGAGAATCGGCTAGGGGGTGGAGTAGGTGGTGGCGTCGTCGACGTGGCAAGGCGCTTCTTAAATGCAGTCGATGACGCTGCTGAAGTTGCAGACATCGAGTTAGACCGGGAGCGAGGCACGGTTGGGCGGTGCGAGAGTGCTACAAGAGCCGCCCAGATAGCCGAAATGAGGAATGCAGCAAGCGTGCCCTGTGTTGCCTTCGACTCGGTGTACCGACGAAGCGCCTTTGTGTAGATGGGCATCAACGCTTGCAAAGAAACGATGGACGGATGCTGATGCTGATGTGCTGTAGCCTTGTAGCTAGTCGTTGTCTTGACTGACACCGATGACAACGAAGTCGGGTGGACCGTCTCCAATGCACGAATCAAAGGTAAAAGATCGCCCTTAAGGCCTCCGATGAGAGGATTAACCACTCTTCCAATGATCGAAACGAGCCCCTCCCTAAAGTTGTTCAGTCCATCTCCCCTATGGTCATGGTTGAGATCAAGATCAAGGCCGTCAAGGGATTCCAACAATTCGCCTGAGAAACTGGCAGCTGCCAGTGCATGCGCTTGTGTCGGATTCGGGTTAGGCGCTGAAACCGTTGGGGCAGCAGGACTGAGAAACGCGGGAGACGACAACAACGGAAGGAGGATCGAAGACAGATTCGTGATGAGGACGGACAGCGGCCGGTGTAAGAGCCTGAGAATTGCACGTTGCAGGTGAATATTTCCTCGGCTCGCGTGCAGCTCTCTGTAGACGTCCGGAACAAATAAATATCATTAATTCGCACGTAAAAGAACGACTGCCAATTATTGTACTTACGAGGCAATGAGTTCTCCCAACACACGGCCCCGGTCAGCAGGGATGGGTCGCTTCCCATTTAGCACATCGGTGGGACCGGCTCCTACTGTGCCCGAAGGCTGCGCCAGCGCCTTGGTGACCGCCTCGCTAAGCTTGAGGCCAAGAGACTCGAGGTACGAACCGTCCTGTACGAGTGGCACCGGTGTTGTGGAACGGGCCGGAGCAGGGGAGGACTTTCGGCTGAAAGAAGTCAAGGCGAGCGCTTTTGTCAATGGGCGCGCCGGACGTTGTTCAGCTCCGCTGTCAGAGTCGCCACGACCAGAAGACGGTGGCGAGGGGAGAGGAGAGGAGGGCCTGCTAGAGGACCGCAAGAAAGATGGTGTCTTAATACCGTGCATTGTGGATGACGAAAGAGGTGGCAAAGTAGAGTGAGCCGGTAACGAAGGATGGATATAGTCTATGGATTTTTTTCTTGTTTTTTTTTACTTTAGGCGGCCGGGCAAGGGAACAGGGTATCTGGTACAGACAACCTGAGCGTGGTGAGTGCGCAATTATCCCATGGAGTGGCAGGACACGAGCCGATAAGTGAGTCTAAGTAGTGACGACGCTCTGCTGGTTCTATGGTGGTCTGTCTGTGTCGACCCGGAAGAGTGCAAGCGGACCGAAGTGAATTCTGTTAATCTGTAGGCGAATGCTGCAGGGGCAAGGGTGTGAGCTTGTATTGGCAGGTGAGGGGAGAGGAGAAAAGGGCATCATACCTTGGTTGCAAGAAAATCATAAGATGGCGGGCAGAGAGCACAGAGGCGAGGTGGGCAAGAAGTTTTGCGTCCGTCTTTAGACGCTTTCACGTCGTCACGTGCACACTATGCACCCATCTAAAAAGGAGCAATTTCCCAGTCCCGTCTGATATCTTTGCGTCCTTTCATCGATTTCCCAGAGCCCTTTGCGCCCTCAATTTGAGCAATTAACGTATCCGTCCTGGCTTTTCTAGCAAAGTAGTACCCGAAGAGAATAAGACCCTATACAGAGAGTTAATTGTCCCATGAAGAACAGGTCATAACTACAGAGAACGACCGGAAAGCCTCATTTTATCCGCCCGCACACAACAATTTTGGAACGATGTTCAATCTGCCAGTCTCAGACACGACTACTCAGCTGACTAAGCCCACATGCTCCGGTTTGGCCCCTGCGAGAATAAAGCACAGCCCGAAGTCCACGGATGACTCCTATTGAATCTTCGTCTGCTTTGCGCGAGGACTTATCTACATCCCAAATTAGCCCGGCGTTACCACTCCACCGAGGCACTGCGCAGTAAGCCAGCCGGAATCAGGCATTGAAGCCAGATAAGCAGTCCAATGTCCATGTAGCCTCGTAATAATAACAATATCAACGGGAATGGAACCGTTCAAACGTTTCTTCAGGCAAAACACGAATGTAGATTACAGATATGAATTCAATGAGTTGGCGTGTCAGATAGTCTAAATTACAGGCTTCTTGCTTCTATCATTTTATAATAACAAATCCGTATCGTGTGCACCAACGATCTGCTCCTCATGCACGCTCTCAAGTCCCACATCTCTCAAAATCCCAACCACACTCTCCCTTTTCACAGCTTCCAGTTCTCTCTCGCTCTTCACAAGCAACAACCCGGCGAAGCCAAGTGCATTTACACTTAAGTTATCACCCGTCTCGCGAAGCACGTGTTCTTCTCTCCGTCGGGGTACGATATACATATGCGAGCGCGTGAGTATCACGTTGTAAGACGGTGATCCAGCGGGGTGCGTGGGATCGTGTCGGATGGTTGATATCGCGAGGTCGAGAAGCGTTACGAAGGCTGTTTCTAGTGCTTCCTCGAGTTGGGGGCGCGGTGTTCTGGAAGAGAGTGAGGGAAGTCGACGAACGTGAGTTGCAAAGGGGAGGGAGTTTAGCGTGAATGGTTTCGCTGTGTGTGTATGTGTGCGTCTTAGGTGAGGACAATGATCAGAAGCATAAGTAAAGGAGGGAAGACTGACTATCAGATTGTAACTCCACTGTCCTGGCTAGCCTCTCGATCGGAGGTCCGTCATCGTCTACGGGTAGGAACTGAATGTGCTTATGCGGCTGACTTGCACCTTTTCAATATGGATATCAAGAGTCAAGACCCTGTTGCGAATCTCGAAGTGAGTTCCGAAGGACACACATACCACTAACATCTCCGCCTGAAATTTGAATGACAATCGTAATTAGTTATGCAAGGCAGAGGAAGGTCATTTTAGATTAACTTACAGTTATAGAATGCGAAGAAGCCCTTTCCTACTCGCTGTGCAGCGTCGAGAAGCAGGTACGTTTGGACGAGTTCAGCAGGGTAGAGTGGACCGGCCTGGGACTTGTACTCTCATTCGATAAGAAGTCAGATAAGAATACTTAAATGAACGCGAAGGATGACAAGTAGTAATAATAATAATACCTTTCGTCACTAAGAGGAAATGATTCGGTACAACCGAATACTTGTTCAACTAATATGAATCTCAATCAACACACGCACGTTAGATTGAAACGTCATGGATGTCGTATGCTCACTAAAACAGTAAACTCCTCCCCCTCTTCCTCATCGCGCAGCTCGCCAATCAGCAAATTGGGAATGTAAGGCGGCGCAAAAGGGTCAGGCTTGCCAGTCTGCTTGTCAACTCGATGTACACCGTGTTGCTGTGCCTCTGCATCAGAATCAAAATGCGGCGTGGGTAATGTCGGCTTGCTTTGTAGGGCAGGACACAAGCGGATTTGAAACTACGAGTCATATGTATGCATATGTAGATGTTTCGGTTATCAGTGTTGTTGTGTTGTTGTGTTGGAGTGGCGAGTGATGGTGTTGAGTCCATGCGGATACGAGTTGGGACAGAGAGGAAAAAGTTAGATGAGAATCTTGGCTTAGTTGGGTAGCGAGATGAACGATTGGGACACACCTGCACACCAGCTTCCTCATGTACATGTACAGTCGACGGGAAGAACAACAAGTCACCCGCATCACGCGCCTTCACAAACCGCTCGCCAACCTGCTCGATGATGGTTGAATGCGGCGTCGTCATCATTGATCCTGAATTAGGCGCAGCCGTTGCTCGTCTAGGATTGGTAGGAACAACACAATTACTGGTACACCTGATCCTGATGTCGGTCCTTGTTGTAGTTCGGAAACGAAGCGCTTGGAGATGTGTTCCCGGTACTGCTGCTGCTGTCTGACGTGTCGCTATGCGTCTGAGAAGCGGTGTGATGAGCATTCGTCGGGCATCGACGTTGCTCGCGGAGTTTAGGAACACTCAGGTTCGCAGGTCACTACCAGAACGGAAGTCAAAGCCGGCCATCTCGGACATGACATTACCAGACCTAGGGATATTATTAAAATAAAATACTAAACCTGTCAAGCACACACACGACACAACTTATTTATTGTCCTCTAAAAGCTTTGGATTCGCAACATAAGCTACACACGGGATTCATCGATCGTATATCACACAAAAAAGTTGATAACAATAAGCTATCTTGATATCAAGAAATGGGGGCGAAATTTGTAAAGAGTAAAGACAGAAAAAAGAAAGAAAAAAATGGTGTCAGTGACTTGACGATTAAAATCAACGCAGACCTGTCTGCTCGACTCCTGGTCAACAGCAATCAAACGCGCGGGAACTGCGTGTTAAGCATGTCCTCCCCTGCCCCTGTTCTCCTTCGCCACCTCCATCTCTTCACCCAGAGCCAATGCGCGTCCATACGCCATAGCCGCTATGAACGAATACAAAGCCGCATTTGTACCCTAGTTACAGGAAAGATAAGTCGTCGGTATTGCGTTGATGATGCAAGGATAGCCTTACCTGGTAGAAAAATATCGTAAACAACGACAACGCAAGAAGCAGAACCGGGCGCAAGACAAGGGACCGATATATCGTCAAATTCTTCAAGAAAGGCAAGGGCCATTCGAGTGCAATAAGTGTAGCGCCGAAGATGACAGAGAGGACTTGGAGGACGGGCGCATGAATTATGATGGCAACGAAGAACCCTGCACTTTTTGGTGCTCTGCGACAGATACAAATCCATTAGTGAGGACGAAAGAGATAGAATAAAATATCATGACGCACTGCATTCCTCCTGGGTCACGGAGAGTCCCGCCGACAAAGTCCCAGAAGAACTTGCGGTAGAATATTCCCCAGTAGCCCGCCCAAACAGCATCTAGACATAAATATTAATTCCTATCCATTCAACAGCAAGCTGGGGACGCACAGATTGCGCCAGTGAGGGAAATAAGTCTCGCCCACTCGTGCCAAATGAGATTTCCCATTGTGAAAGCTAACGAATGTGCGTCGGATGAAGAGGTGATGCGTGGAGCAAGGACGGAGCGAGCACTGCTTCACTCGGAGACGTTGGATAGAGAGGAAGGTAAGGAAAGCGCGAAAGAGAACTAAAGACACAAGAAGAATTGAAAAGAAAGAAAGCGAGCGCAGCTCTAGAGGACTTGGAAGGAGAAAGAGAGGAGTGACTGAGGTGGTAGTTGTGGCCAGAGATGAAGGGCCAGGCGTGGGCACGTCGGTCTACTTTAGGCCATGCGGCTGTGGTGACGGTCTCCAGGACACTCTCTTTCGGCGAATCACCGACGTCTGTTGCCTACGTAGGAAAATCAATAAATTGTCAGACGTCGATGTGATCCCCTTTCAATTGCTGTGTCATCTTTCACACCTGGCGGGACGTTCGGTGAGAAGGCTCGGTCTGTTCATCAACATAGGCCATGGTAACAATCGTCCCCCGTCTGCGTGGCTTTCCGATCTGCAGAACAAATCATTTCCCGTTCTTTGCTAGTTCCGCACGTTGTGATCTCGAGGCATGCTTTCAATCCGGGTAACAGAATGTCTCTATACGGGAAAATAAAGCCATCGTGAGATTAAACAAAAGTTGTGAAATTCCGTCGCGTTTCTTGAGCGTTGTTTGCATCTGTTTCAGGTTGTCGATCATCGCGTCTATTGAGTTGACGTCGGTCCGTTTCTCAACTTCTCTCTTCGACGTTCATGTCCAACAGGGGTCATTCCACAGGCAAAAGTGCCACCGGCCCTCGAGCAGTTGTCAAGAAAGGCACGCAAAGCATATCAGACAGCAGCAAGAATGCTACTGAGAAATCCGTCGTACCTGCTTCTACTCTCCGAGCATTACAGCTGAGAAATGGCAAGGGAGGCTCATTCGGTACCGGTGAAATCGTCAAGATCTCAGGCCGCGAAAAGCTTGAATTGCTTGCTGGTGCGATCTCGGCTGTATCTGTACTGGTACAACTGGCAGCTTAGTCTTTCTCGGCCGTAGAGGATGAGATGCAAAAGGCAAGGGATGAGAGGAGAAATCTTTATGAAGGTAATTCTGGCTCACTCATCGTAGAGCTGTAGAACTAAGAGCAATAATGATGTTTGACTTCTTTAGCAAATATGAACAGTTCCATTAAAGCCCCGTTTCAGCTAGAAACCGCCATGAGAATAGCACAGTCTCAGATGGATGGTAATGCTTCTTCTGTAAGACGACGAAACTTGTCATGCTAAACGGTTATAATAGCATATATTGATCTCATCAATGCCCTTCATAACCCTGACCTCTGCTATGACATCGTCAATCGTGAAATAGAATGTCATTGTCCACCTAGAAGAGGGTCCGAAGATCCTGACTATATGCTCTCCCCCTCCTTCGTTGCCGAGCAGTTTGGTGTATGGTTCGTACTCACCCCTGTACTGTCAGGATATCCACATTAAAATTTCTTCCCCACTAGCACACACAATGCACATATGCTAGCATCAGGCTGGGTCATCATATACGAGAGTTTTCGAAAGCTGCAAGAACTGGGTCTCAGGGACAGAGAAGTTTCCGCGCAGCTAAAGTCCGACGATATGATTCGCAACGTCTATCATTCGGCGTACGGGCTACTCAAAGAACTCGTTTCTGCTCTCCAACAGCGACTGCGTTCAATCGTCCAGAACACTCGTGCGTGAAGACCCTGCCTAATCCTCTTCGCAAAGTCTCATGCAATTTACCGTGACGCAGCACATTATTCTCCATATTTTAAGAGTAGCAACGATACACAAGGATGCCACGAGTTCGAACGCTCAGAGATCAGGAGGATGTATACGTCTTTCCTTGACTCAGCAATCATCGAACTTTGCTTTCCTGGTTCAAAGTTTTCACCACAAGCATTGTATTTCTGCCTAAATGCGACTCAGGAGGAGAATCCGAGGATTCTCAGGCGATGCCCACAGCTTATGTGGGATGCCGTTGGTGACTTAGCAGTGAGTCTTCAGCACCTACTTACGTGTGTCTAGTAATTAACAGTGGACGTGTACGGTGCTATTTAGGAGGCTGTGAGGCTAATGGACCTCATGGAGACACCTCTACTAAGTCAGGATCCCAGCTTCAAATTCGACGGAGACTCGACGACCTTCAACGAGTTTGTCAGGTGGAAAGAGGCGCAACCGATCTCAGTCAAGGCAGCTCTCGACTATTCGAGTTTCGTAAACATGGTGTTTCCCTTATCAAACCTGAAGAACAAAGCGACACTCAATAAGTTGTGGGATCGGCTCAACGCTGTTAGTTCTAGTTCCCAATATTATAAATATCGTGTGCTAATGAGGTAATCTCTCGTTTTGATGAATAGAACTACATACGTGAATCCGGACAAGGCATAGACGCGCTCTGGCAGCTAGTCGACGCTCGGTATCGTATCTCGCATTTTTCTACCTTGACTGTTCCTGTGGACGTGTTGTACGGCAATTCCGAGAGTGGAGGCAAAGCTCTCGTCCGTCATCCTCGCACGCACAACGGGAAGCGGAAAGCGAAGAGTCCTGATTTGGACAGTGATGATGACTCCACGACATCTATGCCAAGTCTCAAAGCTGTTTCGGACTCTGAGGATGGATATCAAGAATTTGATCAGACTTCGGACGAAGGATTATCGTCTGATGAATATGATGAGGATGAAGACCAAGAGTTGAAGCGACAGCAAAGGGAAGCGATTGAAAGGGCTCTCGAAGATCCCGACGCGATTGACTTATCGAACAATACGTATGCTGAAGAAAGACAGAGGAATCCTCTTTTGTTGCTATTAGGAAATCTAAGAGGTGCGTAAGATTGATTGGTGGTTGATTCTTGCTCGTTTATTTATAGTATGGGTGACTAGGTCGATTGTTCCCTTCGACTTCCGTGTTGAGGACAGACGGAGAAACTACTGCTACGAGACCGCCGAAATTCCCGAGTACCAAGAAGCCTCCAGCGAAAGCATCGGTACCGTCTAAGAAAGATGATGAAAGTATGCCTTCTATCCGTTACGCATCCCCGATCTGCGTTCACTAATGAATTTCTGTAGGACTATCGACAGCTGTCAAAGAGCAGCAGTCGATGGAGACAATCGTAGAAGACGCAGATGACGAAAGTGTCAAGAAGAAGAAAAAACCCAAGAAGAAAAAGAAAAAGAAATCGACTGTCGAGACAGTTGAGTCATCTATTACAGAAACGCCTACATCACCAATTTTGGAACCTCCAAAGTCTCCATCACCTCCCCTCTCACCTCAGTCAGCAGCGCCTCCATCTCCAACAATCCCCAAGAACGACAAGAAGACCCGTCAACGAAGTGCCAGTGTGAAAACTCCATCACTGACGTCTGGCGTATCTGGCACGACCGGCCTCGCGTCGACTGCTTCTTTACCATTACCACCACTAGAACAGAAAGCCGAGTCAGCACATTCGTATCTACGACAACGAAGCGAATCAAAGTCTAAAGTCAAGACACGACCCGAACAACAGCCTGTCGATCTTCCTCCCGACTCCGGTAAGAAGGAGCGTAGAAACCTCTTTGATAGACTTAGAGGGAAGGATAGGGATGTCGTTCCGAATGAAGATTTAGATACAGAATCAAAGCAGAAACCCAAAGATAAGGGCGGAGAAAACGCTGCTGACGTATTTGCACGACTGAAGAAGAAGACTGTGAAATATGCACGGAGGCTTATTGGTGTGAAGGCGCAGGATAAGAAGGGTGCGTTGAAGTGGGATCAATTCTTGCAGGTGAGTTCCCTTCTTATCATCGTGTCAAAATCTTCTCTTCCTTTTCGTTTTTTCTGGTTTGGCTGATGGAAGGAATTTGATGAAGGTAATGCGCGAATTGGGCTTTGAGTACGATCCTAGCACTGCAGGCTCTAGTGTCCGGTTTGATCCTCCGAATCCGAATGATAGAGTACGCAGTGAAACCTTCACCCTCTTCTTTATGTTCGTTTTAAACTGACTTGAGTTCGTAACTTGTCACTTAGTCTATCACTTTTCATAAACGTGAGTTTCACATATATCACGCATAAATAATTAAACCCGCTAGTGCTGACTTGATTGAAAACTTGTGTAGCCCATCCTGATCCGACGCTATACCAATATAAACTGAAAGAATATCGCGCGAAGTTGGAGGCGTATTATGGCTGGTCGCCCGAGAAATTCGAGAAAGCTGTTGAGGGTCTGGGAGGTATGTCAGATGACGAAAAGGATGTATGAACGGTTGACGCAGTACTAGAATGGAAAAGTGTGATTTAAATGTAAGTTATGGCTCGTTTATTTTTTTATTGAATTTTCTGTGTGTATTGATCAAGGTCCTTGCTGTAGGTGTGATTTGTCCAATTATTAAACACTGTATCAGATACCTGACATCTTGTATAACATTTATCAATGAAGCATGTTCAGCCACACATAAGGGACTTTGTTTAAGGCTTCGTCGTATAATAGGCGGGGTTCCACAGTGAGTCTTATTGATCACAGTAGAGTTCTTACCTCTGACTTTGACCGGAGACGCCCAAGATACCTGAGGATTTCTACGCCCCGTATACAACCTTTGAGTTCCTCTGGGATCGCCTTGCAGCACAACACAGCGCTTAACTGTTAACATGTCCAACTCTTGACCCGACATCACATATTGCCATCCATTATTGTACCGTGAGCGGAATGTGCAAGCCTCCATCGGTATTCTCTTCATTCACTCATTCATTCGTGACAGTTGAGCCTCTACCTCTATTATGAGCTTCTTAACGTGGCAGACACGCAGGCTATTGAGTTGTTATTATAGACTTTGAGAGGGTTCTTTTTGATACTATTAACCTTTAGACAGATGTATCTTCATAAGGAGCATTATTCAGAACGTGTTTCAGATCTCAAAGATTGATTGAAATGCAAGGGTTGGCTACTGCCAATTGAGCCCTCGGGTTTGTGATACCCAATTCAAGTTGTCATTGTCTTTTCATTATTATTCACAACAGCAGGCTCTCTTGCTTTGACGAGTGTTTGCAGGACTCGAAGGCTTTGCACTTTAATTATTTCGACTGCAATAACAGTGACGTTCGCTCCTTATAACCCACAGGCTTAAGAACTCTTAACTTAAATGGCCAACAAAATAATCATAATAATGGTTGCGGAAACCTAGTTTCCGTGTTCACAGACCTAAGCACAACAGTGAAAGAATAACCTGAATAGCCTCTCCCTCTTCCGCCTACCACCCAACTGCAAAATGTCAAGTTACCTGAGCGCTTACAGCCTCTGAGCTGCTGAACTTTGTCTATCAGTTTCAGTGTGAAGAGAAGACAGGAGATGCTCGCAGTGGATATGTCGTCCCCTTCGCAGGGTGCATTAGCATCGGCTCCATGCAATAGAATTACTTGCTATAGGATACAATGATGTACACAGCGCCACTGCTGTGATTTCTTGTAGATCCGGTAAGGTGTGAGTTCTCTTCTTTTTTACGTATCTCGCACTTATGTTAATTAAACAGTGTCCATTATATCCTGTACCATTTCTTATCGGGGAAATGATTCCCGCTGTATCGAGAGGCACCTCCCTGAGGAAAGTATGCACAGAACTGAGGAAAGGAACGGAGTGCATTTATTACAGTGTGTTCAAGAACCAGTCTAATTACACATATACGACTCAGTTATTTACAATGCTAACATCAAGATCATAAGAAGTCCATGTAGTCATCCGGTTCATTTATATACGTCAAGAAAGGAGAGGAGTAAATAGGAAGTCAATCGAAAAGAAGCCACCCAAATTATAAATGTGAAAGTGAATCCAGCTGAGAGCGCATCGTCGGTGCCTCGAGCTCGTGCTCCACAACGGTTCCAATACTTCCTACCGCCGTGCTTCCCGCCATCGATAACGATGGGATGGTTGTCCAAGGATAGTCTGAACTGCGCGTGGTCACGGAATTGCTATTGTGCCTATTGCTGAACGTCGAACTTGACACGAGCATGATGTCGTCCCCCGGTGCGAGGCTAAATCGGATTGAGAGTTGTGTGCCGGTCGTGTCGAGTTTGGATCCTGCTTCGCGGAGGTTGAGGATGAGGCGGGATAGTAAGGTTGAAGATAGGCTATGAAAAGACGTGGAAATTTATTGTTTTTTTGTGAATGAAAAAGTCAGTGAATTTTTTAATGAAATGGGCGTACGTGTGAGTAAGTACGGAGTTATTTCCCGCACTCTCTTCGAAAACGGAGGCCTTCACCTTCTGGAGATGCGGTAAGATGAATGAATAATAGAGCTGAGGTGAAGTGAGGATACCACTTGCAAGGAAAAACACGACGTTGACCAGGTTAGCCGCAGCTAACAAGCTTCAAGAAGTGTAAGAGGGGTATGATGGTAGTTAATTTAGTAACACACCCAAAGAACATTCCACCTGAAATGATGTTAATAATCGTTGTCAGACCACACATTGCTCTGAAGCTCAGCACCCACCATCACGGATGAATAGTCGCGTTAGCCCCGATCGCATTCCAACTTGTCGGTGCTCCATGGATAAATGACAAGTTTTGAAGACTGTAAGGAAAAATATTAAAGAGTCGAAAGTGCCGTTTATGAACCACGAAAGCTTGAAAGCTAAGTGGACGGAGAAATAATGTTTAGAGTCTGGTGTTATGTGATCGAGTATCTCGTACCTAATTTCCTAGATTCATCGTTCAGAGATGAAGACAGAACTGAAGTGGTAACTGAATAGAGACACTGACGACTTTAGAAATGAAGGAACACAAGCTTTAAATAACGTTTGAGGTCCGAACGAAATATCTGTCGTTAGTACTCGTGTAAGGCCCCACTATGAAGATGAGAAGTATCGCAAATGATCAATATATGCGATTAATCCAATAGACTTGCCGCAGCGACTGCAATGCTAAATGCTCCCAGAGGAACAGTGAGCCATAGGATCCAACGTTTGGCTCGGTACAGAGCATATACACGCATGATAAGAATTACTAGTTCAAAAAATGAGTAAATGAATGAACCCGCTTCAATGACACCCGAGCGTACCGACTACGAACGACTAAATGAAAAGTTTTAGTGCACGGAACATCTGAAACATGATTGTATTTACCTGGGTTATTGTGCTTAAGGCACCAGGAAATCGTGCAAATGCCGTACACCTAAGACAGCATATTATGTTTAGCCAGTGGGATTCTGCAAGAACTCTAGAGGGAACGTACGCCTGTCAGAAATACGTTAATGGTACGCAAGTATACATGTTCGTCATCATGGACACACCTTGTCACTAGTTGGAGAATTAAACAAGAAATAAACAATAGGAATATATCCCAAACAAGTGAGGTATCTGTTGAGGACGAAGATGCAGGAGACGATGGATATCTTCTGCTTCCATATTCGCTGTATCTCTTGATGAAATGTGAGGACGAAGTCGTAATACAGTATCACTGGACAAAAATGAACGTTAGTAACGGACACAGCAGGCGGGCCAAGCGCTTACCTATGGCGGCCAGGCAGTAGTATTGGAGAGCTGCGCTGGAGGTTGGATTGCAGATAGGTCAGTTAAAATAGGTAATGAAAAAACGCGAGGCTCACATGGACACAATCGATTGTAACGCATAAGGTGCACGGGAGTGTAGTGTACTATCCATCCTGATAGTAATGGGGTGCTACTGGAGCATTTGAAATGCGGAGAAAGAGCGGGGACTATCCGTCCTAGCCTTTATAAGAGGCGGAATCACAATAAATGGAAGGACTAGAACTTTGACTCGAATACCAGCTAAAGGCAAGGCCCACATTATGGCAGCCTATACAGCAGCTAGACACATATGCAGATCATAAAGGCACAACAGGGGCTCAAATGGGAGAACATGCCGCATCGAGAGCATAAAGATAGCGTACGCGGTCTCGAAGGAAGCATTGATGGGAACAAGCCAAGCCACGAATAATCACCACAATTTTGTTAGAACGGCCAAGTTTGTCCAGCCACTAACGTCAGTTTGGCTTAATGCTTCGATAACCATAAGCAAGCAGAGGAAGTGGAGGGATTGGCTCCGCCACGTCGTACTAAGTCTAGAATATACTGCCGAAGTCGAAGGAGAGGAGCTGGAAACAAGCTTCAATCAAAGCGAGAAGCAGAAGAACTGGAGTGGATCCAGTCCACGTCAAGTAAGCTCTCAAGCATATTAATGCGCTTGCTTCCTCAGAAGACAGAGAACAGCGAGAACAGCGGAGCTACTGAGATAACAACTGCGCACGAGTTGCTTTTTTTTCAATGACCATCGCAAGAGGTATAATTTCTCACGAGATCAGAGCTGATGGATCGCATGAAACAGTGTTAGCGATTGCATAACCCAGGGACTGGAATGACTTTGACTTCCTGAGTGAAGCTGAGGAAACAAGACAAGGCATTTGCGATGCTCAGAGAATTTTGAAAGGCAAACCGTAAGCGATTACATAATCAAAACGGGAATGAACAAGGCCACGAATTAGTCAATTAGAATGTCAATACGATCTCCGTTGTGTGGTGGTCTTGCACACGTCCTGCACACCTTACTACTCTCCACCATCGCAATGAGCTCGAAGAAGAGAGGCGCTGAAATTCAACTTACAAGAGAACAGGGCGACGAGGATGAAATCGAGGTGGACTAGCATGAGGCGTATTATGGCTGGTCGTCGGAGAAATTTGAGAATGCTGTCTAAGGGCTGGGAGGTATGTCGGATGACGAAGTGGGATGAATTGAGGGTTTGTATAGAACTAGAAGGGAAGTGAATGGCTTGACTGTAAGTTGTGGTTCATTTATTTTAATGAAATTGCATATTGATTCAGATCACTGTCATAGATGCGATTTGTGCAATATTCAACACTGTATCAGATACATGCCATGTTGTATAACATTTATCAAAGGAGTACATTCATCACATTACATGTAAAGGACATTTTTCAACTCTTCGTCGTGTAACAAGTAAGATTCTGAGGTGAGTCTGGCTGATCTGATCAAAGTAGAGCTCTCACTTCTGATTTCAGTTACACGCTGAACTTATACGAGGATTTCTACATCTTATTTGCAACCTTTGAGAGACTCCCTCCCAGGATCGTCTGACAATGCAACAAGGCGCCTAACTATTAACGTGCTCCACTCCTGCCACGCTACAAAGTACTGCCATCAAAAGTGTACCAGGAGCGGAATGCTCGAAGCCAGATCCGCTGTAATTATTCTCTTCTTTCATTCAGTTGTTCGTATCAGTCGAGTCTCTACCTCCATAATGAGCTTCCTTTAACGTTGCGGACAGTATTGAGATGTTACATATTATATACTCCGGGAAGGTTCTTTTTGGTACTGGTATTAGACTTTTGACAGGCTTCAGATGCATAATTCCATAAGGCGCTTTGTTCGAGACATGACATGTCCTTTTTTATTTATTTTCTATTTCTATTTTGTCTATAGTGGCCTGACGCTGTGTATATTTGAGTGTTGAACGAGCCTAGGTCTTGGAGGTCTATTAAATTTAAGGAAAAGCCACTGCTGAATTAAACTGTTATGGTATCCGAATCAGGTCTTTCAGCATTAATGGCTATTCTGAGGGTAGACTTCTGGCACTAGGATGTCGCGGAGCTCGAAAGCTTTGTGGTTTAGTAATTTCAGTCGCAATACTAGTGACGTTGGCTCCTTGTAACCAGCAAGCTAAAAATCCCTAACTTAATCGACCAACAAAATAATCACAGTAATGATTAAGGAAACTCAGCCTCTGCGTTTGTGAACATGACCGCATCGTCTCAGGAATGGTAATCTTCCTTCTACTTGTCGCACAACTCCAAAGAGCTAAGTACGAGAGCGCCTACGGCATCTGACCCACTAAACTTGGTCTGTCAGTGTCATCCTGAAGAGAAGACAGGAGACGCTCGCAGTGCTAAGGTTGCCCCTTTCGTGTGGTGTATCAGCATCACTGTCTCCATGTGACACAAATCCCTGCTAGGCTACAGTGATACACACTACACCACTTCTGTGATTTCTTGTGGATCCGGCAGGTGTATATTCCCTTCCTTTTGATGTGAATCAAAAGCAATGTTCATTGTATGCTGGGCCACTTGTCACTGGGATCTGATTTCTATTGTATAGAGAGGAAACTTCCTGAAGAACGTTGTCCACAATGGACTAAAGAGGGTAAATGGAATGTATTCATTACAATGTGCAAGAACCAGTTTAACTACACGTACAAAGTCATACACGAACACGATTCAGTCGATTCTAATGCTGATATCAAGATCATAAGAAGTCCATGTCATCATCCGGTTCATTCATACATGCCAAGGAAAGAAGCAAGAAAAAAAAGGAAGTCAGTCAAATGCAAAGAAGCCAGTCAATCATACATGTGAAACTGAATCAAGCTGAGAGCGCATCGTCGTTGCCTCGTGCTCGTGTGCCACAGCGCCTACACTTCCAATACTTCCTACCGCCGTGCTTCCCGCCATTGATGTTGATGTCCAAGGATAAAAGTCCGAGCTACGTGTAGTCGTCGAGTTACTATTACTATTGCTGAACGTTGAACTTGACACGAGCATGATGTCGTCTCTTGGAGCACTGCTAAATCGGGTTGAGAACCTTGATGTGGTCGTATCCAATTTGGACCCTGCTTGTCGTAGGTTTAGGATGAGGCGAGATAGTAAGGTTGAAGATAGGCTGTGAAAGACGTGAATCTTCCTATTTTGAATGATGGAGGAGATTTGAATGAAAGAACGTACGTGTGGGTAAGTACGGAGTTATTCCCGGCGCTCTCCTCGAAATAGGAGATGTCTACCTTCTGAAGGCGTAGGAAATTGAATGAATGAACAGAACCGAGATGACGTGAGGCGAGGATGCCACTTACGAGGAAAAATACGACATTGACCAAGTTAGCCACTGCCAATAAGCTTGATGAAGATCAGAGAGGGGTAGGTTGACTGTTTTTTTGGTTTCTTACCCGAAGAACATTCCACCTGACAAAACGTCAGAATTCGTTTTGAGACAAACTCTAAAGCTCAGTACGCACCGTCTCTGATAAGTAATCGTGTTAAACCCGAACGCATTCCAGCTTGTCTGTGCTCTTTAGAAATATAGCATGTCTTGACGACCGTAAGGAGGAATATTAATATGTCGAAAGCGCCGTTAATGAACCACGAAAGTTTGAAAGCTGAGTGGAAAGGCGGATAACGTCAGGAGATGTGTGTTGCGCGGACAAATACTTCGTACCTAATTTTCTAGATTCATATTCCTGAAATCAGTGTTGAACCGAAGCAAAACTTGAATAGGAATACTGACGACTTAAGGGTTGAGGGAATGCAGGCTTTAAACAAGGCTTGGGGTCCGAACGAAAGATTTACTGTTAGTACTCGTGTCAATCCCCACTGTAAAAATGAGAATTATTTAAACAAATGATATACGAGGGCAATACAGCCAACGTACCGCAGCGATCGCAACACTCAACGCTCCCAGAGGAACAGTGAGCCATAGTATCCAACGTTTGGCTTGGTACAGAGCATAAACACGCATGATAAGAATTACTATTTTAAAAATTGAGTAATTCAGTCAACTCGCTTCAACGGCGCTCAAGCGTACCGACTATGAAAAGCTGAATGTCAAGTATCAGCGACTTGAACACCTGAAGTCCGATTGTGTTTACCTGTGTAATCGTGCTTAAGGCACCAGGAAATCGTGCAAATGCCGTACACCTACGACAGCATATTATTTCTAGCCGGTGGAATTCGGCAAAAACTTTGGAAGGAACGTACGCCTGTGAATAGACGTTAATAGCATGTAAATAACCTTATCCATCATCGCAGACACACCTTGTCACTATCCGGAGAATTAAACAAGAAATAAACGATGGGAATATACCCCAAGCAGGTGAGGTATCTGTTGAGGACGAAGATACAGGAGACGATGGATATCTTCTGCTTCCATATTCGCTGTATCTCCTGCCGGAATGTGAGAGCGAAGTCGTAATAAAGTATCACTGGACAAATGGATATTAATGACAAAGCCAACAAGCGGAGCAAACGCTTACCTATGGCAGCTAGGCAATAGTATTGGAGAGTTGCACTAGTGGTTGGATTGCAAATGGGTCAATCTAAATAGGCATTGGAAAAAGCGAGGCTCACATGGACTCAATCGCTGAGAATGCATAGGTACCAGCGCGGGAGTGTACTGCGCTGTCCATCGCAGTAGGGTGCTACTGGGGCATTTGAAGTGCGGAGTAGGAGCGGAGACCAGCTGTCGTAGACTTTATAAGAGGTGCGGATCGCAATAAATGGAAGGACTGGAGCTTTGGCTCGAACACCGGGTAAAAGCACGGCCCGCATTATGGCAGTCTGTACAACAGCTAGACATATATGCAGATCATAAAGGTACAATCAGGGCTCAACTGAGAAAACATGCCGCATTGAGAGTACAAAGATAGAGTACGCGGTCTCGAAGGAAGCGTTGATGGGAACAAGCCAAGCCGCGAATAATCACCACAACTTTGTTCTTCCCAGTCGTCTGCCAGAACGGCCATCTCTGTCCAATAACTAATGCCAGTTTGGCTGAATGTTTTAAGAACCATAAGCAGTTAAGGAACCATTCGCATAAGCAAGAGGATGTGGAGGCATTGCGGCGTCTCAGCCACGTAATAAGTCTAGAATTTACTGCCGAGGTCGGATACTGGAGACAAGATTCAATCAAAACAAGAAGCAGAAGACCTGGAGCGGATTCCGTCCACGTCAAGTGAGCTCTCAAGCATATTAATGCGGAGCGAAAACAGCGGAACTTTGAGATAACAACTGCGCACGAATGGCTTTTCCCAGTGGTTATCGTAAGTGGAATGATTTCTCACGAGATCAGAGTTGATGGACCGAATGAGATTATGAAATAGTGCCGGCGACGCCATGCCCTAGAGATTGAAAAATGAAATGGCTTTGACTTCTATGTTTCGTTCTGACCAACATGCGCTCGCTGTCGCGGCATTTTGCCAAATTCAGTCAGTGAAAGGCAACCGTAATCAATTACGTAATCAAAGCAGAAATAAACAAAAAACCACGATCGCCGTTTCGCGGTGGTCAAGCACGCTGTTAACAGCCGGACGCGTCCTGCACGCCTTACTACTCTCCACCATCGCAATGAGCTCGAAGAAGAGAGGCGCTGAAATTCAACTCACAAAAGAACAGGGTGACGAGAATGAAATTGAGGTGGGCTTTTTCGTAGTGCTCTTGCAAATCACACTGAGAGTTTGGACTTATTGAAGGAAGTCACTCCCACCCAAGGATTCAGGAAAGCAGATGACTCTGTCATTGCCTCCAGACCGTACGTAAATCGCATAAACAGTGAACTTTTCTGCTGAGCTTGTTGTCTTGCAGAATGAGAGGTCTACCAAAACGCAACAGCACCTTTAGCGTAATGAATGACGCACCGAGCATGGAGAAGAAACCGAACGTGAGCACATTCAACTCATACGTTGAAAGTATTAGACTGATCATGGCTTACACAACTGGAAGTTTGCATTCGGTGCACCAATCTCTTCCAATCCGTTCACGTTCAACGCATCTCTTCCGACATCCGCATCCGCATCATCAACCACACAACCCACACCTGCCAGCTCAGGTTTCAAGTTTTCCGCTCCGGCTGTATCTTCATCCGCATCTGCAGCATCGAAGCAGTTATCCAGTTTATTAGGTTCGGCTCAGCCAAACGGGCTACACGGTTCAGCACCGAGTTCAGGTCCTTCATCAACTGCAAAGGACAATACGGAAACGAAATATTACACTTCGCTTCGAGGCCTCAATCAAACACTCAAAGAAGAAATATCGAAGCGTTTGAATTCTGACCCCTTTGCTGACCTCGAGGAGGTTTTGGATGCGTATAAAACTTACCGAACGAAAATTCAGAATGAATATGACGCTAGCAAACCGCAAAGCTCTTCTCAGACGAATGGGACATCTCCATTTTCCTTTGGGTCAAAGTCAGCGGCGGCTCCTACGCAGCCATTAAGCATGCCAACTCCGCCCAAATCCTTCGCTGGTTTCGGCCCGTCTTCAACCTCTACCCCATCTACATCTTCATCAGTTCCCGCTACTGGTGGCTTCAAACCAAATTTTGGTGCCACATCATCAACCTCAACGCCGCCATCTACCTTTACATTTGGAGCGACGTCAATGGAAACTGAAAAAACAACAGCCGACCCCTCGCCCTTTGCGTCATCGAGTTCAACTACATCCAGTGCAAAACCCTCGCCGTTTGGCGCATCAGCGACAACCAATAAACCCTCGCCGTTCGGTGGCCCTGCTTCCTCCGGTTCTCCTTTCGGTTTCTCGAGCACGAGTACATCAGATAAACCGTTCAGTCTCTTTGGTTCAGGGACCGGTACTTCATCTTCGACAAAGGCAGATACACCCTCGAACACAACGACTGCACCTCCAAACATCTTCGGTGGTACTGGTGGCAGTGGCGCGACTAGCAGCTCCACTTCGGCGTCGTCTTCGGGCGGCTTCAGCTTCGGAGGGGCGAAATCGCCGTCAGCCGGCAACCTCGGGAATCCCGTTGGGTTCTCGTTTGGTAGCAAGGAGGAGAGTGCCAAGGAGCCTGCTGCTGCAGGTACCTCGACTAGCATTTTCTCTACTGTGCCAAAGCCTTTAGGACCATCCGGCTCTTCTGGATTTTCGTTCGGCTCGAGCTCGAGTATAGGTAACTTAGGAGGCAACCAAGATTCGTCCGCAAAGTCATCCGCACCAGGTTCCGTAGTTGATTCGAGGGGTAGTACACCTTTCTCGACTGAAGGCGGCGAGGCTCCCCCGCCGGCAGAAGAAGCTTCCACTCCGAAGCCACTCGGTGAGAATCCGAATGATTTGGAAGGTGAAGGAGAGGAGAACGAGGAGACTGTGCATACCAGCCGAGTGAAGCTTTATAGGTTCGGGAAGAAAGGTGACCAGCCACATTGGGCTGATATTGGTGTTGGTATGTATTTGAGGGCTATCCGGCTGTCTGCAAGTCTGTTTTTTTTTCTGACGAGATTTATATTACTACTAGGGATGCTACGGATTAAAAAACACAAAGAAACTAATGCAATGCGGTTACTATCCAGGAATAGTGCAAATGGGAAAATCATGATGGTTAGCTACTTCTCAGTACCGCTCTATATCTTTTACCTTGGTTATTGACGTACATTCTCATTTCAGAACTTCAGACTATATACTGGGTTCAAGGTCTCTCGTGCAAAGCAGGTACTCAATTTCGTAGGGCATGACGAAGGTGCCAACGTTACGTTCCGAGTCCGAGTAAAGGATGAGGCTGGTGCGATCGAGCTTCAGGAGGCTATTGAGAGGGCTGTATCTTCGCTTTGAGCATCGAGCATTGTCGAGCAGATTTACGCCCCGTTGCATTTCACCTTCCTGTTTTCATTGTTTTCTTCTCTCCGTAGTATCTCGCATCTCTCAGTCAATCAAATCCATATCTCGCGTACATCTCATGTTATTTCCCTGCTCTATTTACTGCTTGCGATACATACATCCTTGTCCAGATCTACCACTGGCTGCAGTTTTTTTCTCTCGATTAGTTTATAGTGTGTAATGAACGTGAATTCCGATAGCAATGAGAACGACAGCATTGACCCGTTATCCGTCATTTTACTCTCCTGAGAACTCCTCGCTAATAATAATAACTGGTGATCCGTGCTACGATCCGAAATGACTTTGTGCATTCTGCCATGTCGAATTTAGCACGAACGCATGACTGAGGAGGAGCTCGATCTCATGGTCGCCCCAGTCTTGTGTAGGTAAGGATTGGAGAAACATGATTATACCCTGTCGAAGTCATCCCACCAAGGAAGGAGATCAGTGAAAAAGAACTTAGGCACACAGAAGGACGGAAGGCAGACACGTGGAGCATATGAGCATGAGAACGTAAAGAAGCTCCTATGCTCCCTCGGCATCTCTTACTCACCTGAAAGTCCATATCCTGCAGTTTCTTACTCCACCGCATCAGAAATGCGGAGCAGACGTAAAGATGGAATTGGGAGAATGCATCAGGACCCTCGGCCTAAAAAAAGTGACAGGAAAAACAAATGTAGAAGTGCGATGTGTTAGGAGATTATGCTCATAGGAATAGGAGGGGGGTAGTTAGAGGGACCGTACCAAGTAGGTATCCCACATCCTTATGGTATTCTGTACGCTAATCTCGCGCATCAGAAGGCAGTTCATCCAGCGGAATGCGAACTGCATGAACTCGACGTTCTCGGATTGGAGATGCGCATATAGGGCAGCTAAACGTGGTATCGTAACATCATCATCATCATCATCATATGTCCATATGACATATGACATATCCAAGCGAGCCAAGAAAGAGAAAATGAAGATGAGCGCTGTTGTCAAACTCAAACAAATGACAATATCGATGAAGGAAGAAGATATGATACGGAAAATGGAAAGAAGAAAGAAAGGGGCTACTTGAACTTAGAACTTACAATCTATGCGCGCGACTAATTCTGCCATACGTCTGACACTTCGCTGAATTCCTGGCTGTGCAAAGATGTAGTTGTCTTGGATACCATCTAGGAGACGTGTGAGACACCAGAAGGAGTCTGCTTCGATGGCGCTTAAGACGCTTGGTGGGAGTTGACCAGGATCGAATTCTTCCGGGTCAGATGCTTTTTTTTGCATTTTTCATCATCATCAGCACGAACGAAAATAATCTGTCTCGTTAGAGAGAGAACAAGGACATACTGATATATGCGGAGAGGAAGACTTGGTAGAATGGAGTGACTAGATCATTGATACCCTGAACGTATCCGCTGGCAGGATGACGGATTGCCCAGACATAGAGAATTCTTTCGATACTCTAAAAATAAATAAGTAGATTCAGCATTTAGCGGGAGAATGTCCATTCCGAAAGGAACTACGGACTCTTTGTGTCACTTCACGCATCCATAATTTAACACCTGGTCGGGTCCGTGGTACGTCAATTTCAATCTGATGCCAGATTTGTTGGTCAAGTCCGTCTTTGCCCCTAGCGAATGTAACGTCGACGAGTGAAGCATATTCCGCTCTTTTTCGGGAAAGAGTGGAAGTACGCATGTCCGCAGGAAGTGGTAAATAGCCCTATAATTTATTCGATAAGGCTGAGGAGTTGCTTAGATTGTAAAAATTACTGACAAGTAGCAATTGCCACGAAACGGGTCGCAAATCGCTTGGTATCCCGTTCCATGCAAGTTTTCTCAGTTCCACTGTACATGATTTGTTGAGTCGCTATGAGTTTACATATTTCTGTCAGCTTTGAGTCTTACCAATGTTGACATCCTCGGCCAGAAGACATTCGATGAACTTATTCCGCCGATTGGTCTTGATGGATGTCTCGCGCATTAGTTGAGAAGTAATGCTCTTTTGCTGACCGTTTCCAGAGGTTTGAGGGCGTTTAGATCGACTCGAATGCCTACGGCGAATATTCGATAAAGGGTCTAATAAAACTCGTTAGATTTTTTTGAACGACCTAATACGTTAAAAAGCATTGTAATGAATACCTTGGACAATCTCCTGCGCATCATCCTTCACGAACTGTAGCCCATTTTTTGATACTCTTACGTCGGCATCTGTTTCTGCAACATCGATATCCTCGATATCAAACTCTTCGCTGGTCCTGCCTAATGTATTATTGCTAAGCACTCCTTCCTTGGTTGGTTGAACCCCATTTTCCGTAGTTCTGTTGACGATCGTCCAACTTTGTTTATTCGAATGCAGGTTATCCGACCTTGGAGAGTATGAGCTTGGACTTGGTGCATTGACGTTTGTGTAAGAGAACGTCAAGCTGCTTGCGGAAGGCGATTTCTTCGGCTTCGGAATCGGTTTGGCTGTCGTCGTAGACTCTAGTGAGATTTTGCCGATAGCAGACTTTCCAGAGGGAGGTTTTGGAACAGACGACTCAGAGTCGGACGCACTGTCCCATGCGTCCTCCTCTGCCCATTCTACTGATGCGTATGACGAAAATCGCGAGGGAGTGCTGATGCCAATATGAGGGCGAGCGGGAGGCGGCCGAGGCATTCCTATCATAACAATATGATACCCAGCATTCAGTGAAAAATATATATATGAGGACGATAGGCACGACAGAGGAATGTAGTAGCAACAAGAGAGCAGAAAGAGAGCAGACTGTGCGAGGCAGTGAGCGGTGAGCAGTGAGCAGAGAGGTGCAGATCTCACCATCAGCCGAGTTTGGCACGCGTTTGTATGCGTGCACCTACTCGATGTACAACGTCCTTGGCCTCCTGCCACCATTATGGCTCGCTCAGTAACGTCAAAGAATATCTTCGTACTGACAAAATACTCTCGCGCAACGATAAAACAGTCTAGCAACACGCAGGCCTCTCAAGGCTCGAAGGCAGACTGCGAGTGGCAGCACCATACCCAGCCTATTCTCCGCGTCCTTCTCGAACTCAGCAAATCTGCACAAGGTGTTCCCGAGTCCGTGAGACTCCGTGTCGTCTGGTCTTCAGATAAAGGCCATGCTCCGCCGATTACCAAAGCTCTGCAGCATGAAAATACAATATTTGTATTCATCTTTGTAACTATGCTGTCTTGTTTCTAACTTGTGCAATACCATCTTCTAGGAGGATGTCGACCTCCTTGTGGTTAGAAAGCACATCCACCCGTTTCCGACACAGGGTCTTCCGTTGAAAGCAGTCTACCGTGACAACACGGTCGGAATTCGCTACCTGCCCCCGCAAGCCAAGTCAAACGCACCCTCTGTAGCCTGATGTTTTGTTCGGATCAATCTGTAAAACTGCTGACTCTCGGTCTTGATAGGAATATCGCCGATTTCAGATGACATTTCAATCCTCCTCCGATTCTGCTACACTCATTGAAGCTATACGAGACGTTTGTCCCTGCAAACTAAGCCCTGTCGGTAATCCTGCTCCTTCCATGCAACCCTCACTGCCTGGTCCAAGTTACCCCGGAACGTTACTGTCAGGTTCTCAGCAAACACAAGCAAGCTTCCCTGCACCATTACAGTCTTCTCAGCTATTCGAAACTTCTTCGGGATGCCGACCTAAACTGGCGATGACACAATGCACAAACGATCGTCCCTCCACATCTTCTCAGATGGGCCACACTTCTGATCGTCCTATGGAACTTTCTCTGTCTCATCTCCACCAATCTCGTCAGAATAACGCCACCGTTCCTTCAATTATTAACCATATTAAACCCATAATACATCAACAGCAAGCCTATCAGCCCATGGCATCATCGCTTTCTCGTCATGCGTCCCTGTCGCACCACCAATCGACAACTGGAACGGAACGCTCTTCGCCTTCTTCACTTTATCCAACACAGGCACTTCGACGGTCCGAAAGTCAACAAGCACTGCTACTCCAACAACATCATGCTGCTCAACGGCCATCCATGGTCACCTGCGACGAACGTCCACATCCAATGAGCATTGGCTCTGGTGTGGACGAAACCCGATTCGACCATAACGTCCCGCATCCCACGTACATGCCGACGCCGCCTGCCTCTTCCCAAAGCAATGCCAATACCAATAGCACCACAAACTATCACACTATCTGTTCTAGTAGCAATATCGGTACTATCTCTAACAGTCCTGCTCGGTCTTCGCGCAAGCCGCCCGCGGAAAGTGCCGTTACTGATGCCTTGTCCCCTCCTGTGGCTGCAAGTGAAACGACTGGCTTACTGCACTCACTTTACGATGCGACCCAGCTTGACTTGCTCTCCCGTGATGAACTGGAACGACTTGTGGCTCACGTAGTGCGAGAAGATGGGTTTGCTGAACTAGTAAGTTCAACCAGCTGCTAAATTTGGTTTTATTTTGCAAATTACTGAAGAATGGTGTGTTGTATGCTATTCTTAGCTTGAAAAACTTGATAATCTTTGGCAATTGAAGGCCATAGTCAATATGTAAATTACTAGATATCGCTCAAAGATGCTCATCATTACTGTATTCAAGGCTTCGCACTTAACACTAATAGCAAACTCTTATCTACACTTTCGTCACGCGTAAGTTAAGCAAAGCGCCCGTAGCATATTTGTAGTGTAAGATAGTAAGAATGGTTTATTATCTCCACAGAATCACATATGATGAATCTGTACTTCGCGGATTTACATATACATCTCTACAAACAGAATGTCCGATCATTTCCGCCCTGCGTATCTTAGAGTAACAGGACCACCGAATATAAACATCTATGGACAAGTGAAAGAAGGGGAACAGAAATAGAACATAGAGTATAGAGCATAGATAGGGAGGATCTCATCAAGCCGCTACCTTAAGACGGCTAGCAATATCTTCCCATGGAATGTACTGCTGCGCCATCGAGATAGCTGAACGTGACGCGTACAAGGCCCAGCCGATTGCCACTGTAAGAGGGAAAGTCAGAACAAGTAGTTATTTTTGGACGAACAGTGTCGACTTACATAATAAAATAGGAATCCAGAATACAAACAACATTCGGTCTTCTGTCGGAGTAAAAAAAGTAAGCATTAAATTAACTCGGATGTAAAATAGGAAGTGAAGAGGACTTGCCTTTCTTTACAGTTTTCGTGAGTGCCTTATTCTTTGGCCGATACGTGTATGATTGAATCTCTTGCTCGGAGACTTGTACCGGTCTCTGCTTATACCGGAAGCGTCGAAGGATTGAGCGTGATGCTGTCGGCGCTGGTGCAACGGGTGGCTCAGGAACAACTTCGTCTGCATCAAGATTTGCTTCCTTAGACGAAAGAGGTTTTTCGAGTCCTTCCGCACCCATCTCGCCCATCTGGGCCATCCACTCCTCCCACGTCGGAGGAGACGAAGGCGCGTCATCTTCTTCCGCAAGCTTCTTCTCATCATTCCCTCTGTCATGTCTCCCATTGCGGAATGGTGGCCAAGCTTGCATCGGAACGAAGACCGGGAAGACCCATGCCGGCATTCCCGGAAGTTGTGGTATCGGTGCCCTCAGAGGTGGAGGATGGAACTGCGCCCAAGCCCGTTGCAGGTACGCTGCGAATGATGCTGCCTGCTTCTCGTCAATAGTCGCGTCCTTGCCCACCGTATCGGACATGGGTAGGGCTTCGGGGGAAACAACGGTAGCATTATCATCGTCTTCGGCCGCCGCATGTGCATCAAAAGGTTCTTCCACGTCAGAAACATCCGACGCAACAACAGATGCGGGTTTGCTTGAGCGACGCGAACGGGGAAGGCGAACTCGTCGTCTTGATTGCATCCGGGACCGAGACCGGCTTTCGCTACCGGAGTCCTCCTCAACATCACCAAAGTTTGACTCGTCGTCACTAATTTCGCTTGGAGTCTCATAATATTCCCGCGGAGCTCCGAAGAAATCGTCGGGTGCAAGTTCAAGCGCTGTATAGCCCATATTAGTGCAGATGGTAGTATCAGCGCCGGCATTGATGATTTGACGTGCACAACATTGCGAGCCACGAAGAATAGCAAAGTGCAGTGCTGTGTACCCATTTATGTCCTGAGTGTCGAGTAAAATGTCCCGTTGAATAAGGAATTCGACCAGTGAAGAGAAATTCAATGATGCTGCCAGGTGCAGAAGCGTCTGTCCGGTCTTTGTCTGGTGGGAAACAACGGAAGATAGTGAGAGGGGTTCTCCTGAGCTGCCACGCATATCCAAGGATGTTAGAGAGTCCATTACAATCTTTTCGAACTCGGCGTCATCGCCGCGAGCCAAAAAGAGACGGCGAGAGTCAGGCAGCGCACCATTGGCGAGATGCATCATTTGGTTAGTCGTTCCATTGCCGTTATGCGGGTCCTGTGAGGAGCCAACGATACGCATAGCAATGTCTTTCGCATCCTCGATTTTGCCAGTCATCTTGAGACCGACTACCTGCAGAGCGAGTTCCATACTAGAATACTTATTAGCGAATTTCTTAACAATGAAAATAGCTCGCTACTCACAGCGTTCTATCTGTATCGTCAACGTAAGTAAACAAAGCCGGTGGACCGTTTGTGTCCATCTTAAGGCCTTCCAGTGTGACTGGAACTACACCCGCAGTTGCTCGAGGTGGAAGGACGCAAACAAGAGTGTTCTCACTCCATCGCGTGGTCGAGCTCGCAACTACATCTCCGAAGACGCAGTTATGCAGCACAGACGGATGGAAATTTGAGCCAAGGACAGTCACTTCGATACCACCGAACGTCGGACCAGACGAGGGGATCAAACGATGGATCTTTGGCGCCGGTAAAGATGGAGGGATTTGATCGGGAGACGGATGTAGCATGGTATAGTTGAATGGTGAGAGTTCAGCGGCGGCCGACGAAACGTCCTGCGACGGCGGAGATGAAGGCGCAGTCTCTGGTGGAGAAAGGGGGAAGAAACTGTAAGGTTGACAGAGCACCTCATGCATGATACTGTCCGCGCTCTCTGAGTAGCTTGTCTGCGGAGACAGGGGAGTATGCATCGAATTCGACGGAGAAGGAAGAGCTGTAGTACTATCTCGCCTCTGGTGGTACGATGTTGGAGGTATGGCATCCGTCAATCCGGATGGCGCAAACGGACTGAAGGGTGTGATCATTTGCCCATCGCGGTCCATTACGGCGAAGTTGGGAACAGTGGTGTTGACAGTGGGCTGACTATTGTCTCCAGTTGGACCACCTCGACGAGTACGATTTGCAGATTCTCGGTCGTTGTCGTACGGTTTTGCGCGCCTTTTTGATGGCGCCGCACCGTCTTTTGTAGCCGACTGACGCCGCTTGGAGGGAGCGCTACCGGTCGCCGCAGCGGGCTCGCACGGGGTCGGAACAAAGGAGGGCCGAGAGTTCCAGTCAGAGTCTGCAGAATAAGATGGCATATGTTGGTGCTTGGAGGCACTCTTGTCAATGGATTTGTGATCGTCGGTGATCATGATCGGGGGACTCATGCCTGACCCGACAATACGGCCACTTGAGTCCCTCATCGTGAAGTGAACATTGAATCCCACTTTCTCGCGATGATGTCGGCAATAGCAAGTGATCCGAAGCGGGAGAACTACAGAACCGCCTGAAAAGTCCAGAGTATCGGGGCAATTAAATTGAACAATCTTTGACGAGGAACCATTATCTCCTTCGTTCGAATCGGAATCAGATCTTGCGGGTCTGACACGCGCCGCTATCTTTCGAGCCACTCGTTTCGCCTGAAATCGAATAAGACAAATTTCAACTACATTATGCTATTAAAAGCGGCATACCTCGCGGCCCTGGCACGTTGAGCAACTGAGAACATGCTTGGAGGGATTAGAAGCACAAGTAACTTCCGTGTCCATGAATAATGTGTCTGAGGGTGCCGCATCTAATACAATTAGTTAATCGCCGTTCATTCCAAAATATTGGAAGGCGGGAAGCATAACTTACCAATTTTTCCTTCCTTACGCGAACGTTTACGGGTTGCGGTCCCCTTCGGTAACTTCAGCCATTTCCAACTGCCTACTCTGTCGTAACTCTGAGGATCCCCAGAGGGCCCACTAGGCAGAGCGAGATCGAGAGCAACTCTGACCTGAGTCTCGACGCGGGACTTGGTCCCAGTAGGAGGGACGTTCGGCGTCAGAATAAGTAAGCTACAATAGAGAACATTAAGGTCAGTCAACAAAGAATGGTGAGTCGTCAAGGCACAAAGGGAACGAACTTATAGCAAGAGTCCTTTGTCGGGAAGATAATTCTGTGATGCATTGTGTTGTCTACCTTACGAGGTTGAACTGGGGGAGGGGGAACAACTCTCGTAGGAATAGCCGTCGTAGAAATAGTTTGCGGGATCAAATCGGGGACAGGCGCACTCTCAGATGAAGAATTGTCGGAAGAGAAGTTGGAAAATGCGCTCGAGTTAAAGGCTGTTTTAAGCTCTGACTGCGGCTGGGACGGATGAAACACGGAAGGATTGACGGTGATTGGAGATTCCGGTAAGATAGGACTAGAACAAAAACGTGTTTGAGTATGTTCTTGTCTATGTAAACAAAACAAAATCTCAGGAAAGACATACTTGTGAGTCTGGGCTGTGAGTAATTCTTCAAGAATGCGGAGGCTTTCTTCCTCCAATTTTGGCATGTCCTGCTGTTCCTCGGTGTTCCAAAGCGAGGCTTCGGTCTCTGCCTCAGGCTCGGGTGAGAGATGGCACCAGGCTGAGAAGTCGACAGTATCTGAGTTCCCTTGCTCGTCCGACAACGATTCAGACGTCGCCGGCGACGGAGAGCGCGTGCCACTGTCGTCGTTTGCAGACATTGGCGAGAAAAAGCGCGAGTTTACGGTGTGCAGCTGTTAGTCTCCGGGTGGAGATAATAATATACGACTGTGAGCTCACCAGACAGACGTGGAGATAGCACAGAGCACGTGCCCAACCTTATGTAACAGTCGCGTTGGTAGGAAGTAGCGAAACACAACTTGACCTCTGTTCTAAGAGCTATCAGCTAGTACAGGACTTCTAGTAGCATTGGCGCTAGACTTGGCTCGACGCTTTATATGTTGGTAGAGCATTGCCACTATCGTCGGTTATTCTTTTGAACACAGTCTCGAATATGACTGCGCGATTGCGCGGTTGCCCTTTTGCTCCAAACCTGGAATTTCCAATTTTTTATGAAATCTCGAGTATTATCTACGGGTCGAATTTGGGAAGGGTAATCAGCATAGCTTTTTCCAGGCTATCTCGAATTATTATGGAGGATCTTCAGACCTCTGATGCTATCGACGTTTACAAAGCGGACCGAAGTAAGGCGCCCTCCACAGTCGCAAAATAGCTAGCAAAGCTTCAGTATACAATTAAAATGCTTACATGAATCGAGATTTAGTCCCTGCATATCTTATGGATGTTTTGTCTTAGGTGGATAAAGCAGTTCTGCCGTAGCCTCCGGCTGAAGCCAGTTCAACATACATACATAGCTTCGTGCTCCATAAATGATACCGCCCACAACGTGCTTCGCGACTGCCCTGGGCCACGTTTGCTTAAGACCGCTATCGTCGGGCGTAAGCTTCGCTCATGGCGGTTATCGGCCTTGCCATACGTATGCGCGCAATCTGTCACAATGACCCGTGTAACCGCCGGTACGCTGGGTGTCGTGCTTTCCACTATATGCGTTTCGTTCGTTCGCTCATATCCCATCATTATCTTTGTCATATAGGCGCTATGATGACTTCAAAAGGGGCGTGTCAAATCCGGAATCCATCGTGCGTTGAATATGAACGGCACTGCAGCTGATGGATTCTCACGCCAGATACAATTGCTTTATGTCTGTTCATTGGTTTCGTAACTTCCATTGGCCGATCTCCTGCCGTAAGGGGTCAGGTTAATAGCAGTACTGCATTGAGTAACTTATGAGGCTGAACTCTCGTAGGCGCTAAAATGCTTTGCATGAATACGAACTGCGGGACGGCAAGTTTTAACGACGGTCGGCTATACACAGCAATGTCATAAAGCTATGGTCTTGGTATGACCCTGTCCCTTTGCATCTATTTTTTCCCTTCGCCTTCACGAGACTGAACAATTCCTGATATGCACACGTTTGAGACTCTTTCACACTCCGACGCGCTCGCCAATTCAATAACATGTTCATTGACTGATCTTGTCAGATAGGACATCAAAGAGGGTGATAAATTTAGGTGCGGATTTCCGATATTCCGGGCTCCAGTCTGGTCGGAGAACGTAGTTCTTTAATGAAGGCTCGCTTCGTATATGCAACTCAATGTATGTTATATACAAAGTAGTCTATGTCGACGAACATTGAGAATCCAGGAGAACGGGTGTTGCGAGCGCTGACACGTTTCTTTATCCCCCTTTTCATTTTTTCCCCGTTTGCATTCAATAAAAGCTTCCGTTTGTTTGCGATATAAGCGAGTTCGACATGAACCCTCTTTTAGCTGTGCAGTATTGATGGTATGCTTATCACGCGGCAGTATCACGATCAATCCTGTGGCCGTTCCCCTGAGCGGGTTGACTGTGCCCAGAAGAAGATTTTTCACGCCAAGCTAAGCCATGTCAGTGGAGACAAGTCGAGTGAAATAATCACAGTGATCGGATGAGCTAGAAACCTGTCGTCTGCGAGTACTGTGAAAGCCGACTCGGGACAACGCCGAAATTGTCGATATTGCGTTCAGGCCGGCTTCTACTCTTCATCCAGTTTTCCAATTTCCGACAACGCGAGAGTATTGGACGCCACTTGAGATCTCTCTCTAACTGAACTGTTGGCCGAGCTCAGAATATTGAAATTCCATAGCCATTTAAATATAATACTCAGTTTTTATCGCCTGAAGGAGCGTGGAACACTAACCATATTTAAACCACAATCCCAATTCGCAAAAATGTTAAGTGCGAAGGAAAATATGACCAAACCAGTTAAATGACATCGCCGTGGTGTCGCTCGATAACCGATAAAGATCCGTCTATGTTGTAAAGAGAAACGCAAACGCCAATGAGTTCTAGACCATCAAATCGCGACGCATCCCTGAGCGAGGAACAATTATCGCGAGCGTTCAATACAGCAGTGATAGTGTCCACAGTCGTCTCGTACCTACCGACGTCAGACTCCGCTTAAACATTGAGTAGACAAATTCTCATGTGGAGCTTTGAGCCCGTTAGTCCAAAAACAGGTATTGAAATTCTGTGCACTTCATATCAGCAAGGTCTTATACATAGGACTTTAAAAAAATGTAGGACCTTACCCTGACATCCCGACAAGTTTCAAGACGGCGCTGGACATCTTCAGCTTAGGCAAAAAAATGATCTTGATTCGCACCCTTCTACGAACCTATGGGTTGTTATGCTATGGAGACGGAGTTGATTCCGTGAATATGTATAGCAGTCGTCACCATCCACGAACTTGAAACGAAATGGAGGACGAAAGTGTTCACGAGCAGGGATAAAGTGGGTTTAGACACGCACCGGAGATAGCATCATGTGCACTTGAACATAAAGTCAATATCATTTAGAATCTGGGTCAAACTAAACCCACCAAAATCGAGATGTATGTCCTTCTATATGTTTTGCTGGGTGCAGGAAGCTGCGCTTTCTCTATTCGCGTGTGCGTGGCGCTCGGCAGGCCCACGGATCTCTGCATACCTCCGCTCTATCAGTTATCAGTTATTGACAACCATGAGGGTTGAGTCAGTATTGGGATGAGGATACTCATGAAGACACGATAACACGTACAACGAGCAGCGCTGGACAAGCACAAAGTTTCTTTCCATCAGAAGTCATTGCAAAATAACACGGAATCGGGTCAGCTTCCGTGTCGCGCTCGACGCAACACCGCAGACCTCCTCCAATTCATGTAAAGGACCGCCAGCCAATCGTTCGTTCACTATCTTCCTTCAATCGGAATAGATCGACAAGACATGAACGAGATGCCCCCCTCTCTTCCCAAGTACCCACACTTCCCTCTTTTTCTGTGCTAAGATTTTCTTACTTTTGAACATCCCTACCACTGTTTCGCTGCTAGAGTTGGCCGTGTGGGTCAAATATATTTTGCAGGGACATCCAGAAGGTATCCAGAGTCAATGTCGTTACGGACTTTCAAAAACAATGCCGTTGTTCCCTCTTCTTGCCCGTTAACGGCGGAACAGTGATAAGACCGTCGGTCTGGTTAAGGGGACCATAGCTACAGGATCAGCAAGAAGTAGGGCCAGGAGTGATTGATATGAGCTCTGGCTATGCCCTTCTGTCGCTGGGAACTAGAGAACTAGCCGGCAGACGAGCTTTGAAACGGAAACCGCGATTATCAAGCCCCTGGTTGATGTAACTCGACCTATACGTCAGAGTTGTGCAATTAATTCGAACGGCCGATGAGAAATATCCATGCGTTTTCCCGAATCCGTGGTATTGTGCTAATTACAAAAATGGCCGTAAAAATAGTTGTCTCATCGATAAGACTCAGAAAAGCCGAGTGGGAAGTCACGTCTCCAGTTAATCGCAACAAAGAGACACGGCTTTGTTTACCCGCAGTTGGGATGCACTTCCATGTCTAGGACAAAGGAAACTAAGGCAGTTGACGTGTAGTGTAGTCACTGTAATGTGAGTTGAACACGGTTCCAAGTGTGTGTGTCAGAGACAGTCAAGCACGTGAAAAGCAGTGGTAATCTTAGGCGCGTCAGGACTTGGTGAATTCACTCGACTTCGCGCCTCCATGTTCCGCTCTCGGGTGTTCCTCAAACCTGCTCGGACGCTGGTATTTTCTCGCACATACGCCACTGCCAATTCTCCTCATGCTCTAGTCTTCATTGAACATCACGGCGGTGTCATTGAGTCGGGATCGCTTTCGGCCCTATCTGCCGCAAGCCAGCTGGGTGGGAATGTCACTGGGCTGATCATCGGGGCGCCCAACGAAGTCAAACAAGCTGCCGAAAAGGCCAGGAAGTAAGACCTTAAGCAATGTATTTCAGTATCCTATAACTGAGAGTCTCGCAAATAATCTTATCTAACAGGCTCAAGGGACTTACAAAACTATTGCACTCAAGCTCCGAACAATACGTTCCCGCACTTCCAGAAACCGTCTCACCTCTTTTGAAGCAGATACTTGGAAAGGATTCGCCATTTACGCATGTCGTCTCTTCGCATTCTTCATTAGCACGGTCAATTCTTCCTCGCGTCGCTGGCGCACTAGATGCCACCGCTGTCTCTGACGTCACTTCTGTCGAACACAACTCGAGTGACGGTACCACTACTTTCACGCGGCCCATCTACGCTGGTAATGCAATTGCCACCGTAAAAACTCCTGCAGCACCACTTCCGACGTTCTTCACCGTTCGTTCAACTGCATTCGACGCTGTACCTGCTGCAGAGGTGGAGGTTGAATCCGAAGAAGTCGCACCAGTCAGCGTCTCTAACCCCGGAGTTGAACATATCCGTACAGAGCTTACAAAAAGTGATAGACCGGAACTCGGCGCGGCAAGTCGTGTAGTATCCGGTGGACGTGCGTTGAAGAATGCAGAAACCTTTAAGGCGACCCTTGAGCCGCTTGCGGACGTGCTGGGCGCGGCGATTGGTGCTTCCCGTGCAGCAGTGGACGCGGGCTACGCGGACAACTCGCTTCAGGTAGGTCAAACCGGAAAGGTTGTAGCACCGGAATTGTACATGGCCATCGGTATCTCTGGTGCAATTCAACATCTCGCTGGGATGAAAGACTCAAAGATGATTGTTGCGATCAATAAGGCGGGTTGCCTTTTTCAAGGATCATTGTGGGATTAAGCCACTTATGCGTATTGGTTTTTGTTTTCTTTTAGGACGAGGATGCGCCTATCTTCCAGGTAGCCGACGTAGGCCTTGTTGCAGACTTGTATGACGCAGTCCCGGAACTTGTAGAGAAACTCAAAGAATAATTACAACAATTCATTCATATCTCCTTATTTCTAATACTTCTGGCCCGAGGTTCTACAGTAATTCAAAACTCAAATCCTTCGGCGCGAAAGGCTGATACATCACCCCCCGAATGGGCCCTACTAGCAAGATCTTCACGACCCTACACACATATCCCAACTTAGCTGTATTCATAGATGGAATTTTTCGAGTACGGCAGACTTACCATTGAGAGAAGTGCACGACGAAGAGTGAACCATAACTGCTCACTCTTATCACCCGACGGCGACTCTTGCATAGAAAGTGCGCTCAAGAAGTGTTCTGCAGCTTCCTTGTCAGCACCGATGTTCAGACCTGCAGGGATGTGAATACAATTAATATTTGAGAGGTGTCCCCGAATATAAGATACGTACAAGCGACTCCAACGTTGTAGATTGCGCGTGTATATGTCGGTCGGAGTTGCAAGGCCTCCCTGTACGCGCCCAACGCTTCTTCTGGCTTGTTTCCGTTACTCAAGGCCGAGCCGTACCGGTTCCATAACAAATAATCGCGCGGGTTTATGGCAAGTGCTGCGGCAAAACAGTCCTTGGCGCGCTCAAAGTCTCCGTTTGTGTAGAACAGCACCCCAAGGCCTACTTGGACATCTGCGTCCACTACGCCTGCTGAGTGTTGTGCGCGTGCGACGGCCAGGAATGCGTCTGTTACGCGTTCGCGTGAGGCCCAGTGTGATTGCCGGAGCCATTCGGCAGCATCCTCTGCTGAAGGAGAATGTTCCGGGTAGCGAGCAGTGAGCCAGCGAAGGAGCATAGCATGCGAGCCACGTTCGTACCCTTCGTTCGTAAATGCTGTGGCAAGGGACTAGCGAAAGCGCGTCAACAGGGAAAGCACAGACAGATCAGAACAGGGAAACATACCAATAAGCCGACACCCCTTTCTCCAGCCTCCGCTGCTCGTCTCGAGCCTTCCACGAGGGCCCGCATCCCTGCTTCTTCCCTCTCATCCATACATCTCGTTTCACCAAGCAAAATCCAAGCTTCATACCCTCCTTCCCCGAGCTCTCCTTTCTGAATAGCTGCTTCCAGAAGCAATGCAGCTTCCGTTAGAGAGCCGTTTTCCGCCAATAGACGTTTGGCTTGTGAGAGACATGAAGTTGCATCGAGGTTTGTGAGGTTCCAATTCTCTCCTTCTGGGAATTGAACAACATTTCGTCAAAGATACATCATACCCTCTGACTAAGATAAACTCACCAAAAACATATGGCCCTAACACGGGAACTCCTTCGTCATCGAACTTCATAGCACCTGCCATACTGTCACCATCATACTGACCCACTCCATTCTCCCAGGCTTCTCGCAGCGTTGCTCCATAATCAAAGTCTGTGTCTTCCCTTTGAGATTGTAAAAAAGACTGAAGTTCAGCTTCCCATGTTGCGGCATCTCCATTCGAGTTTTGCATCGTTTCCTGGAAGCTAGAAGAACCGAAAGAGGTAAGTCGATTACCAAATGTAAAATGCGCATGTGAAAGTACCGATTCATAATATCCTCAACTTCGGCTGGCTTGTCATTCCTTGTCGATGCTCTTTCCTGATTGGTTGAATCTTCATGTACTTCCTCAATCTTAGCTTGAGGTGGTGCCTCAATTGAAAATTGAGCGAAGGCAGCTTCAAAGGCGTCATCCCGAGCCTTGCCTTTTCCCTTCCCTTGCTCTTGGACGGGAGAGAATGATTGAGGAAAACTTGAATTGTACATTCCAGTACCATATCCCATGGGCCGGTAAAATGATGAAGAGGTGTATGCATTCTGTGCAGCTATGAATATTGCGTGAGATATTTAGAGTCAGCTAGGAATCTAACGTAACACACTGTCTATTGTCGCACTAGCTTGTGGCAGGGACGCTTGGGAGAGAGACATGGGATGTCCACTGGCGGAACTACTAAATTCAGATGACCAGACAGATGAGGAGGCACCTTGAAGAGATTGAGAAGCATGGGAGAAATTGTGAATCTCTGCCTGCTTCCATAAATCTTGCATGTTTGCACTTGGTTGTGTCTGATCCTGAGCTTGTGGAATGGGTCCTCTAGTCATCTGCATCCTATGCGCAAATTCAAGGGCACGGGCGTGGCTGGGCTGCATGCCAGAGTGTAACTCTGGCTCAGCGGCGTCGAAGAAGTGGCGTGCCATGGACATGTCACCCTCGGAAACATTGTTAGATGCAGTTGAAGGCAAGTGTTGGAGCTATGTACACACTATAAGTCCAATATTTTTAACTGGATAAGTAATGAACATACTCTAGAGGATGATGGTCCAGCAATACGATCGCGCTGAACGCTGCGGTCGCCGTCTGTGTGCTTGAGAACCTGAGCAAGCGGATTGTTCGGGAGTGCGCATTCGCTTCCGGAAATTAGGCCTTGAAGAGACATTGTTATGAGGTGCAATAGGGCAGTTCTTGTAAAACGGCTGTAATAGAAGTGCTTGACTCGAAGTGGTCGAGAGTAACAAGCAAGACTTGAGTTTGGCCAGGCCAGGAACTGTACTCAGCGTCGGACAGCCGTCGGTGTTAGAAGCCGGGAAAATCACATGATTGGTAATTATTTAATCTGGTCTAGCGATCTGCGTTCCATCTCGCTCAATTAAGTCCGTGATCGTCTACTACCATGACTGAGATATTTAACTGTCGCTGTATGCCTTTTCAACCAAGTCTGTGCACTGGACTATCAAGGACCTGTCGAATTGTTTGGTTTTCTCAGTCCTGATAATGCACTGCGGTCTTATATTACTTCTCCTCGGTCCTTGCGCTTGATATTCCTGTCACACAACCTTGATCCTATTATCCCGGATCCGGACCTGCTATCCTCCCGCAGGCGACTTACAATGACGCTCTAGCATCGAAGATTCAGTATGACATCCTATTGGTTCCAGGAGGTGCGGTTTACCTCGAAGTCGAAGTTGCTTGTTTAATCGTGACAAATGATCGTAAACCTAGGGGTGGATGCACGCCCGGACAGAGTCCATGTTGATCTCTTGAACTTTCTGAAGCAGGAAATTCCCGTAGCTCGCTATGTTCTGAGTGTTTGTACTGGCTCTTGGATCCTTGCTGGCACGGGTGTTCTTGATGGAAAGCAGGCAACGACAAACAAATTCTCGTTCAAATCTGTTAAAGTTTGTCGAAGCCTAGCTTGACAATTAATCTCAGACATCTCACTTACGGACAAGCTCTGGTGTAACTGCAGGTAAATCATCTTAGGCAATCTGGACCGATCACATTAATTAACACGATAAAGGTGCGGACATGGCCAATGCCTTCCTTGTTCATCTAGTTGGAGAGGACGTCGCAAAAACGATTCGCGGCGTTGTTGAGCTGTCTGCTAGGGCCGAAGATGAAGACGAATTTGCATCTGTTTACGGCTTGCTAGACTAAGACCGCCGAAAACATGTTATAAGCAGTACCTGTATAAATAAGTATGTAAGCACGCAATTTTTAAACGGGCTCTAGTAGAGCTCTGAGGACTTTTCTGTCACTTTTCTTAACAGTTCAAAAGAACAACAGACAACAATGTTGAATAAAGCATTTTCAATGGACGGGTAATAAAATACGCATTACTGAGGCACACAGCCAATCTCTAGACAATCCGTCTGCCTGGAAGATCAGCTTATAATATTCTGGTGGTCTTTCTCAAGGAATATGCATGATACTTGCACAGAGAAGACTATGGTGACAGTACAGGCACTCTGGATGGAAAGCGAGCTACAACAAAAAAGTTCTTACTCAGGCCTTGTAAGGTTTGTCATTGCCAATTCGTAAAAATTACGCTTAGGCCTATAGGATCTTAATGCATTTACGGTTTTTCAACTATAGGTCGCCACAAGCGATCAAGTTGAATGGGAAGCAAAAGCACGGTGCGCGCATCCGAAGTGTAGCTGTGGCTCAGCGGCGTCGAAGAAGTAACACGCCATGGACATGTCACACTCGGGGACATTATTGGATACAGTTGAAGGCAAATGTTGAAGCTATGTGCACACTGTAAGCACAGAAAATCTGGTCATACAACCACTGGACATACTGCTGAGGACAGCGGATCAGCAATACGGCCGCGCCGAACGCTTCTGTCGCTGACTGTGTGCTTGAGAACCTTTGTTCGGAAGTGCACAGTCGTTTCCCAAAATTAGGCCTTGAAGTGACATGGTTATGAGTAGAAAGAAGTATTCCACATTTAATCGCTGTAATAAAAGAACTCGACTCGAAATGATCGAGAATTATGAGCAAGCAAGACTCGAGTTCGACCAGACTGCGCTCGCCGCTCGTAGTGTCAGATAGACTAATAGCCCTCGGTACCGATATTAGAAGCCGATTTGGTCACGTGATCAATAATTACTCGATCTGGTCTTGCGATCTGCTTGCGATCTCGCTTGATCAAGTCCGTGACCATCTACTCAAATAACTGTCATGACTGAAGTACTGACTATTGCTGTATGCCTTTTCAACCAAGTCACTGCACTCGACTATCAAGGACCTGTCGAATTGTTTGGTTTCCTCAGTCCTGATAGTACCCTGCGGTCTGAAATCAATTCTCCTCGGTCCTTACGCTTGATATTTCTATCGCACAACCTTGATCCTGTTATCCCCGGAGCTGGACCTGCTATCCTCCCGCAAGCGACTTACAATGACGCTCTAGCTTCGAAGATTCAGTATGACATCCTATTGGTTCCAGGAGGTGCGGTCTGACCTGATGTCAAGCCTGCGTGTTTAATCATGACAAATGATCATAAACTTAGGGGCGGGCGCACACCCGGAGAGGGTCCACGTTGACCTCCTGAATTTCCTGAAGCACCAAATTCCTGGAGCTCGCTATGTCCTGAGTGTCTGTACTGGCTCTTGGATCCTTGCAGGCACAGGTGTTCTTGATGGAAAACGGGCAACGACAAACAAGTTCTCGTTCAAATCTGTTAAAGTTTGTCGAAGCCTAGCTTGCTAATTAATCTTAGACATCCTATTTACTAAACTCCTTCCTTCATTATAGGAAGCTACAAGTGACAAAATTGAATGGGTGGCAAAGGCTCGGTGGGTTATTGATGGGAAGGTATGGACAAGCTCTGGTGTAACTGCAGGTAAATCATCTTAGGATCTGGACTGATCACATTAATTAACACGATGAAGGTGCGGACATGGCCAATGCCTTCCTTGTCCATCTAGTTGGAGAGGACGTCGCGAAGACGATTCGCGGCATTGTCGAGCTGTCTGCTAGGGCCGAAGATGAAGACGAGTTTGCAGGCGTCCATGGCTTACTAGACTAGGGTTCCTAAGTACATGATATAAGCAATACTAGTATAAGTAAGCATAGGTAAGCACATCACTTTTAGCCGGGCGCCAATAAAGCTCTGAGGACTGTCCTGATGCATTTCTGTACAGCATAAAGGTCAATAAACAATGTCGTTGAATGAGGCATTTCAATATGCGGGGTAAAATATGCATGACTTAGACTCATGGACAATCTCTGGACAGCCCTTCTGCCTGGACGTTAAACTTGGAATACTTAGGTGCTCTTTTTCAAGACATGTGCTTGATACGCGCACGGAGAAACTGCGATGACTATCATCTCCTTTCTCACATGTTGCTGAAAGTTGTACAATGTCCTGCAGCTTGGTAGAACATTGGTAAGATATTCATCTGAAGGCAAGTGATCCCAATGTGTCAGGTAAATAATTTGACAAGAGGACCAAGTAATTCTGGATTGCGTGATAGGGAAGGCATTTTGTGCTGACATATTATTAGACTGCTCGTGTCTAGGCCTATTTGCTTTGTTGAAAGTGTGCACTGACTGGGCACACCTGCGCTTTAGTGAATGATTGAAAGTGTGCTTTCCCCTCTTGAAATTAGGCAACGAAGAGATCTGGTCGTGAAGCACTACGGAGTATTTCTCTGAACAGCCAAGTACAGGAAGGACATTAACTCGGAGCGATCGGGAGTTACAGGCAGGACTTATGTTGGACGGGGAATGTCGGATTACCTGGGCTGGTCATATGATTGGATCTATTCAATCTGGAGTTATCATATAGCGTTCATGTCTGTCTCATTGAACAAGTCCGTGACCATTTTCTGCATTGTCCGCCATGACTGAAGTACTAACTGTCGCTATATGCCTTTTCAACCAAGTCGTTGCGCTTGACTATCAAGGACCTGTCGAGTTCTTCGGGTTCCTCGGTCCTGATAATCCATTGCGATCTTACATAGACTCTCCCATATCCATGCGCTTGATATTCCTGTCGCACAACCTCGATCCTGTTATCCCCGGATCCGGACCTGCTGTCCTCCCACAGGCGACTTATAATGATGCTCTAGCGTCAAAGATTCAGTACGATATCCTGTTGGTTCCTGGAGGTATGAATTTTCTTCGAATCAAACTTGAGTATTTATTCCTGGACAATGGTCTGCCAATTAGGGGCGGAAGCTCGCCCGGAGACAGTCCATGCAGACCTCTTGAAGTTCCTGAAGCAGCAAATTCCTGGAGCTCGTTATGTCCTGACCGTTTGTACTGGATCGTGGGTCCTTGCTGGTACAGGCGCTCTTGATGGAAAGCGAGCTACGACAAATAAATTCTTATTCAGGTCTTGTAAGGTTCGTCAGAACCTGTGGGTTCTCAATGCTTTTCCGAATAGCTTTTTAACCGTAGGCTGCCACGAGCGACAAAATTGAATGGGTAGTCAAAGCCCGGTGGGTTGTTGACGGAAAGATATGGACAGCTTCCGGTATTGCTGCAGGTATACCACTTTGCCTGAACTCGAATGGTTTCATCCGCTAACACAATGAAGGCGCGGACATGGCTAATGCCTTCCTTGTTCATCTTGTTGGAAAGGACGTCGCGGAAAGGATTCGTGGCATTGTCGAGCTGTCCGCTAAGGCTCAGGATGAAGATGAATTCGCAGGCGTCTACGGCTTGTTGGATGAAACGTCTTGAATAATGTTGTAAGGAATATCTGTAAAATAATTATATATTTAAATGTAGGTAAGTGCATCGACTGCTATCACAGTACGTTTATTATCCTCTGGGAATGCCTTAACGCCTCTCCCCCCTTCTGTGTAGTATAAAGAACAACAAAGAGACGGGAATTCTGAATAAAAGAATTGCAATTGACAGAGTAAAAACCATTTATTGATTGAGCACGGGCCAATCTCCCAGTCGATCCTGTTGTCTGTTTAGCTTAAAATGGTTTAGTGCTCTACTTCAAGAGACGTGCTAGAGACAAAGTCGATTGTTTCCTTGATCATCATCATAGATCTGCACACATGTTGCTAAAGCGTGGACATAGGCCTGCAGATCAGTAGTGCATCGGCAAGCTATTCATCTGAGTGGAATGGGCCCTTACTTCGGCATGCGTATTTTTCAGACAGCGAGCATTAAGCAAACCGGAATTCAAAAAAAGAGATTGGAAAAGAAAGCAATTCCGGATTGTCCCTTCTGTCCTTTTTTATTGGTTCATCCTAGATGGCTGTTTGAATCACTAAACAGAACACACTGTACGACTGGTGGTATTGGCAAACACTCACGACAGATCACTAGGGGACTTCAGCCCAGGCCCACTGTGCTTCGTTGACAAAGCGTACTAAGCACATTAGCACTGTGGCAACGGTGTGTTCGGTACCTGCGTAATAGCCCTTGGCCTGGCACACGGGGATTGTGTTGCTATCCCTGAGGTATTTATACAACGCATGCAACTCAGCAAGAATTGAGTCCAAAAAGCACTCTCAGCTCCCCAACGGCTATCGAAGTCAAAGTCAAGGAAAGGAAACTATCTTGCAAACTACCACGATGACAGAGAACTATGTGGCTGGACCAGTAACTCCGAAGAACCGTAGTTCAATATTTACTTCTCCGCCAGTTATGACAGTATCAGCTATTCATCGGGATATGCTGCTCCTAATAGATGGAAGACGTTCTCCTACCTTGGATTCCAAGAACAATGTACGCAGAGAACAAGACTGTCCTACGACACTGTTTCAGTAAGCATATGTCATTAATGATGGTATTTATGGTGGATGTTTATTGTTCCTTTACTTTGTGCAGATCCCAGCGGCATGAGGATATGAAGAAGGAATATAAGCCGCAGAAGCCCCTACGAAAGACAGATACCAGACAGGACCAGGTTCTCAAAGAAATTACAGCCTCCGATGGCCGGGAAGAGGGTAATTGTGATATTTCATGCCCCATGTAAGTCGAAGTCGAGTGCTTGTCAATGATTTAAAAGGTCAATTAAAACCGGCGATCATCTAGCATTCACTGGAGAAAGTTGTTTCAGGTTGAGGAAAAGAAGCAATAGACTTATTTCATCGCCATTGTCCATGCAGAATTATGAACCTGTAGCATAAGGAATAAAGCTTGTAAAAACCTCGTTCTGACGAAATATGACAGACCATGGACGGCCCGGAGCGTGTATCAAATTAACCAAAATTAGCAGTGCCGATCACGCAGAAGCCACGACGCGTCCGCGATATTTCTTCCTGCCAGTTCATCTCCTTCATGGGCCTGCGCACCAGTTCGTTTTCCCATATATTAAAATACTCCCGCGAGTGATTACAGCGTCAGAAGAAAGGCGGTCAATTTTCTTTAAGCACGACCACTATGTCGTTCATGTCGGACGTGCAGCCTTCCGCGTCGACGTCTGTCCCACTGCACGATGCCACAGGCACGACTTGGTCTAAGGTGGCTAGACACACGCGTTCGACTATACGGTTTGCCTCGTTTGACCCTGCCACCGCGTCGGGCGACCATACGAACGCGTCAGCGTTCAGGAAACTCACGCTAAATGAGGAACTCTGTCGTCCGAAACGCGTCGTAATTGAAACCGCGCCGGATGGACGAAGTACATGGAGGTTTGTGCCTAATGCGCGTCGAGAGGATGGGGTTGAAAATGAAGGTATTTGGCCGAGGGTTGTGGATGTTTGCGGGTATGTTTATTGTCTGTCATTCGTATTTTGCGGATCGATCTAATATTCTAATTCCTTTTGGTAGCCAATTACGGACTTTAACGCAGGATCAATGGGACGTATATAAGCTTGATCGGGACTTTGATTGTCTAGTCCGCCTACCACCTCAAGCTACAACGATAACTAGGTCAAATAACGCAAATACCTATTCCCCCTCCAAGCCGGCTACAGTGGAGGAAGCTCCTGCGGAAGACAACATTGCTCGACACAAACGGCGGTTATCGGAAAGCGCGGTTGCTCGTCGTCTTTCCGGGAGCAATGACGAAGGTAAGAGGAAGAAGGCTCGCTCAAAAGCTAACGATCCGTCATCTTTGTCTTCCGACGAGAGTGACCAAGCTGAAGAAGAGGAGGTCAGCGGGATGGTCATCGATGATGACGTTTTCTCGTCTCAGACTCCACGAAAGCGCTACCAGACGAGCGAACGATTGAAGAAGGTCAAGGCAAACAAAGAGGAAGCACGGCGAAAACGACGGGAATGGAACGCACAGAGGCGACAAAAGATAGGTCTGAGTCAACTGGAGGAATACGAAGAGGACGAAAATAGGATGTCATGGACTGATGTTCCTCTTTCTTCGCCTCCTCGGGCCCAACCAACTGCATCTCCGTTTCCAAAACGAAAAGGTATATCATTCCAGATATCTCTAATGTGCAGCATATTCTAACGTTAAAGTAGTCGATGCATTTAGTGATCTCGGCGAGGCATTCAGCGACGAAGACTCGGATAATCCCAAGCCCACCTTCAAACCGTATGAGAAAACTAACGCAGCAAAACGTACACGGACTGTCTCCCCCGTCGTTGCTAGACGTGCTGCGGAAATAAAACGCAACAGGCGAGAAATGAATCGGAAAGACGAATTGGACAGGCGAAACAGAGCACGACAACAGGCCCTGCATGAGAGTGTGATGAAAGAGATTTATGAAGAAGCTTCGAGGTCTCAACCTACAGCTTCTCAGACTTTCGAGACGTATGGTAGGTTTACTACTCTCTACAGTTAAGTGAGGAGCGAACTGACAATACGAACAGATGCGTCGCAGTCGTCTCAATCTCAGTCTTCTCAATATTCGTCTCAGTTCTCGTCCCAGTTTTCCTCAGAATATTCGTCGCAATTTACTTCGCAGACCGCCGAGCAGCCCAGCCAAGAAGTTCACGTAGACGAGGAGGAACTTCGTCGACAAGCTACTATCGAAGAGTCTAGACGCAAACTCGCGGAACTCGAGAAGGACAAGCCCATATGGGAGGAAGCAGCTCGAAAACGCGCTGCAAAGGAGGCAGAGGAAGAGCAACGGCGCACCGAAGCTGCAAGGAAAGCTCATGCAGCCAACGAGACTGCTGCTAGGCAACCATGGCAGAAGCAGACTGAAAAGGACAAGGCGAGGCAAGAAGCTGCTGAACGGGAGAAGGAGAAAGAAAAAGAGAAGGAAAGAGAAAACGTGAAACGAAAAACTGCAGAAGACGAACGACACGCACGGGAGAAAGCAGCAGACGATGTCCGCTCGAAACGCAAACACGCACGCGAAGCAGCTCAACGTGATACTCGTGCATGGATCGCAAAAGGCTGGACGGGTCGTCGTGCATTAGAACGCTACATATCATTAAGCGACACCTTCGACGCATTAAACTTCTTCAAAGGCGACGTCATCGTCTTCGAGACCGTCCCTTGGCCCGTCCTCATGCGTCCCGGTTCATTCAGCGTAGAAGATATCGATTGGACAGCCGTCGAAACTTTCTTCAGGCAAATTCGTGTTTACCTCCCAACTCCTGAATATAGGAAACTAGTGGAGAAGAGTCATAAGAGATTTCATCCTGATCGGTGGCGCTCGAGACGCGTGTTGATTAGTGTGGAGGATGAGGAGGAGAAGGAGTGCCTTGAGGTTGCTGCGAATACTGTTGCGCAGGCCTTGACGCCTATTTGGAAGGATGTGACTGGGCGATAGGAGGTATTTTCCTATTTGTATTGTTTTATGGCCTTATGGTCTTCGTTGGATACACGGATGCACAAACAACTGGAAGGAATTTGGCTTGTAATGCTGACAACTAGAGGAGAAAGATCAAGGAATTTATAATTGTCTGTCTTTTTGTTTTAAATTGCTTTCTTTAATGTATCGCTATGTACACGCTTTTGAATGCTTTCTTCCCATTTGCATTACTACTCTTGCATTATTTGTCATTGTACATAAAGGACACACAATAGACTCGTGGAATGAGGATACTAAAGGAAACAAACATGGTGAATGTCTTGATACACATGCTAGTTGGGGAAACGGAAAGGACGAAAGAGACGAAAATTTGTTCAGACAGCAAGAATAACTAAGTACGACCAAGTAACGGAAGAAACGACGAAAAGAAGAGGAAACAATGGATTACTTGGTTTACCGCGTGTCAACACGATTTGATTTCTTCTTTGGCTCCTTTGGGAAAACGACTGGTCGTTGACAAGTTGGACATCGGCCGGAAACGTCCGTTAACCAGGGGTCGACGCACGTTTTCTACAGTTTGATTCATCTTTTATTAGACAATATACTGAAATAGTCAATGGCTATGATGACTTACGTGGAAAGCATGTCCACATTGAAGGAGTCGAAGCGGCTGAGCACCTTCACCTGCTTCTTGAAGTCGTAATGATCGAATGTCCGCGTCACTTGAGTTATCAGAAGAGGAAATCGTGTGTTGTACTACTTCAGGTTGATTTGTAGTAGTCGCTGGATCCTGATCCTGGGCTTGATTTTGACTTGATGAGGAAGCGCCTTGAACTTCCACAACAACATCGGAAGTTGTTGAAGGTCGTCTCATTGGCATTTCCTGGTCCTGCGAACGTCTGCTCCTAAGAGATTGGGTATCCCCTTCTCGGTTCTTCTGTGCCCAGGAACGAATCACATCCCGTGCAACGCGCCGTTTCGGTTCTTCAAAATCAAGCAAGCAAATCGCACATGATGCACGGTTTGCATCAAGACGAACAAACGGGAACTCTCCACTTTCCCAACAATCCTCCCAAGTCGCAACAGGTTTCTCACCCTCTTGACTTGCCGTCTTCCCCGAAGTGTCAACAGCTGAAACCGATTTGGCAGCTTTGCGACTAAGGAAAGCAAATCGCCGTTTCGGCGGTGCTACTGCCTGTTTAGGAGGATATGTGTGTTCCGCTGTTCCTACTTTTGGTGTAGTAGCAATTTCGGTGGGTTTCATCGTAGTGTCTGATACTCCAGTGAGACTGATATCTTTCTTCTCGTCCGCACCGTCAGGTGGAGCAGGAATGTAAAGCACGAGGGGAATCTGGTCCACTACGTTCTTTGGTATCTTACCGATTTCGGGAGAAATGAAATGTGGGTTTTGCATCGGATGTCGACCGAGGCAGATGAGTATGATGTTCCAAAACAACTACATACCAAAGAAATCGATAAATGAATATTAATGATGTTCGTTTCGGAATAATTACTCACGTAAATGAGTGGTCCGATGATGAACACGATTACGGCCGTGGCAAACACTTCGAAAAGGACTAGATACTGGAGGCAGAGGAAACTGAAAACTAACCACCATAGATGAGGTGCATCCTTTCGGCAAGTAGGAAGGGAGGTAAAAATGAGGATTTGTGCCGTAAGGAACCATGAGATTATTATTAGTGATAGGAGTAATGAGAACCTATGTAAATTATGAGGAGGCTAGTCAAAGCTTTGATTTTGAGAACCTGACGTACCTAGAATACAGTCTTGCGTGCTGAGAATTAGTCTCGAGTCGACGTCTTTGTCTGTCCACAGATCCAATTCTGTCCCCGGAACCAATGGTCGGTGGATCCATATTTGTATCTACCGGCGTAATGGTGTCCAATCCAGAAGCGCCTGTTTCAGCGTCTGCCTCCGGACTGTTTTGTGTACGCTGGCGGCTCTTCCAGTCACGTCTCCAGCCCCAATAGGTCATACAGCAGTCTAAACCAACTTTTACAATCCAGAAACACGACCATAAGCCCAGCGGCTTGTCGCACGCTTTCCATTCGGATATCGACGGATGTCGTGGACTTCGATGCACAACGGAGTAGATGATCATGGATAAGGCAATAGCAAACTGGACAGATACGATAAAGATATAGACGATGCAGGAAAAGAAGACCAAACGCACTTGAATGAAACCGAAGATCAAAGTCCATAATAATGCTACTAAGTCTTTCCTATATCTGTTTCCTGTTCCATACCCAAAGAAAGCGAATACCCTTCTAAAACCATGAGGTGGAGGACGCGGATGATTCCGCACGTCCGCAGCGAGGTTAAAGTTCGGGGCATGGTCATGCTGCGGCCATTGATGCGTGGCATCAACCCCTGGATTACGAGGACGAAATGTTGGGGGTTCGAAGCCAGTCTGCCAAAGATCAGGCCGGTCATCGACAGGAGGCATCAGAGGGGGTAAGTTAGGCATGGACTGAGAGAAGAAACCACTGGTCCGATTGGTGTGCATATTTGTATCAATGCCTGAATCACGAGGGCCTGCTTGGCGCAGTTGGTCATATTGCCGCGTGCGTGACGTGGACGATGACGGGGACGGAGGAAGAGACAGTGCACTAATCCCAGGATCAGGAGTGTAGAAGGCGGAGTACGACACGTCTTCAGATGGACGGCCTTCGGGGGAAGAACTGGTCTGTACGGGATCTACGCTATTTGTCGGGGACGCGGGAGTTGGAGCATGCTGCAACGAGTGCTGTGACTGGCGAGCCTCAGCCTCCATAATATTTATACTTTAGTATAGGAATACTCGAGGCAGCCAGGCAGTAATCGTGGAGCAGAGTAAGGGGGCTTGCCTAGCACAGAGCGACTCGCGGCCGTGCTCGGCTTGGTCGAGCTGATATCGCAGATATAGTTAATGCCAGATTATAGGATTGGCCCAGTTCCAGTAACCGCCTGCTGCTGCTGCATACGATCAACACATTGCCACTGCTGGCTCTACCTTGGAAGCAATGTCGAAGAGATTGTGACTCAATGTGAGAGACCGGTGAATTTGATGAAACGTGCTGCCGCACTGCCCAAAGGCATGTCATTCAACGCGTCAGGGGCAGAGCATAATATTACGTAATAATACAATGAGTGCTTGACTAGGGGCTTACTTATCAATCATAACCTCCCCCACAGTTGAGATCATGGCCAAAGTACGATTAGTAACTCTGGGTCTTAGATAGACATCCCCGTCTCGGGCCTTTATATATAAACAGCGAAACTCTCACAACAGCTTCAGCCTGCACATTCATACACATAGAATAACAGAAATGTCTCTCCAAGTGGATTCACTGTTCAACGTACAGGGCAAAGTCATTATCATAACGGGCGGTGGCACGGGTATCTACAACCGTACTAGCAGTCTAAATGCGCTTTAATGATTTGCCTGCATAGGTATTGGCCTTATGATGGCCACTGCCCTGGAGAACAACGGCGCTACCGTCTACATACTTGGTCGGCGTCTAGAGGTACTCCAAAAGGCAGCCAAGGAACATGGAGTAAGCACTCTTCTACCTGTGCATATTTGATAAACTAATAACGGTGATCATAGAAATACGATAAAATAATACCGTTGCAATGCGATGTTACGTCTAGGGAAAATTTACTTTCCGTAAGCAACGACAAGTGTGTGTCCAGGAGTGATGTACTGAGCTATGTGTATGCGTAGGCTGCCGAAACCATAAAGCAACAACAGGGTTATATCAATGCCCTTGTTGTCAACTCAGGTGTTATGTACAATCATATTAAGAAAGCCTCTCCTGATGAGGATATCAAGGCTGTCCAAGAGAAACTCTGGACTTCTGGAACACCCGAGGAATTTATCAAAACATATGAGGTCAACGTTTCCGCCGCGTACTACACATCTGTTGCCTTTCTCGAGCTGCTTGATGCTGGTAATAAACGAGCTCTCCCGGCGAATGAGCCCGCAAGTCAGATCATCACAATCGGCAGTATCGGAGGACTGAGGCGGGATGGGAACGTCTTTAGCATTTCCTATTCAACGAGCAAGGCAGCTGTGATGCACATGGGGAAGATTCTTGCAGACCTACTCAAGCCCTGGAAGATTCGCAGTAACATCATTGCTCCAGGGATGTTCCCTTCTGGTATGTTGTCCGATTTGCTTGTCCGAAATGATTGATTGATAAGCTGTACATTTACCGCACACATTCAGAAATGACGAACCTGGAAGAAAATGCATCCGTCCCGGCGAATCAGGTTCCACTAGAGCGGTACGGGAAACCTCACGACATTGGGGGACTCGTACTGTACCTTGTCAGCAAGGCTGCAGAATATGTAGATGGAGGGGTGCACGTGCTCGATGGAGGCCGCCTCGGGCTTTTTGCAAGCACATTCTGAATGGTACGACGTAGAAGAGGGTAATGGCGTCTGCAATGCGAGCGAGTTCAATGATAAGAAACAATTATAAAATGTGTAATAATCAAATCGTAACCTGTATGCGGAATTGAGTTTGTGACAATAAAGTTCGGAGGCGACCCTGGTAAATCGTGCGAAATTGCTTCTTTAGAAGGCGCATGACGCGTCACTCCATGGACACAACTTTTTCACGCCCAAGTCCACTCAGACGCGTTTCACCAGATCTCAACTCCTCAACTCTAAGAAAGAAAATTCGCTTACTTGACTACACCTATCACCTCATCATCCAAAATGTCTACTGAATCTGCTCAAAGGACTGTTCCTGGTGCACCGCCTCCGGCCCCTTTGTCTAAAGCTCAGAAGAAAAAGCGTCGGGTCGTCAAGAAGGAAGGCGAGAGCGAGCCAAACACTCCGGCGCCACCAAATGTAGTTCTCCCCGATGCACACGCCGCTGCGTTGACTGAAAAGGCGCCGGAGGAAAAGGACGTCAAAAGCGGCGCCGTCGCTGACGAACTTGTCGCTCATCCTGAGGCGCCGAAATCGGATGCGGGTGACGGCGCTAGTGGGTCGAAACCGAGCCCGGTCGTTGATCTGCTCAACAAGAGGCTGAAGGCGATTGGCAAGAAAATAGTGAGGATATAGATCTAATGCTGGATGTCGTGGATATACTGAATTTCTTTGTTTTGTTACTAATTTACGAAAACAGACTCGCATACATGCGTACTCGAGTAAACCTACATCGGAATTAAACGATGATCAGAAGAAGACACTTGCTACTCTACCTTCGTTGGAAGCTGTCCGTAAAGAGCTCGAGGAAACAAAGAAAGCTGTCGAAGTGAGTATGACATGGTCAGTTCCCTGTCATCTTCATTACTGATGTCCTGTTTATAGACCCTCGAGGCGGACCAAGTAAAAGAAGCTGCTGCTGCGCAAGCTGCGGCTGAACAGGCGGAGAGACAACGAGTAGCAGACTCTGTCGCCGCAGCACAGGTATGTCCAATGTAATTAACTTTCTGCTTCCTTAATCTAAGTCTTGGAATGTATTATAGAGGGAGCATGTAGAGCGTACCGCTCAAATTCTGGACATTATTCGACTACAGTCACTCCTGTCGAATGCCGACCCTACTGTACAGGCTCTCAATCTCATGGAAGCAGAGATAAACGCTATTTATGCAGCCGTAAATGCTCTACTGGCTCAAGAGGCCGAATCGAAGCAGCCAGTACTCCAGGGACTTCTGCTCGGCGAAGGTGATGTGGAAGGCGTCTCCTGTGAGTAAGGTTTTGTCTTAAATAAGATGTCTTCATAATCTCTTCGCAACCTGCAGTTGACCGTTTCTTTGAGATATTGGATGCATATTCACAACCGACAGTCCAGGAAGAGGCAGAGGCAGAGGCCGAAGCTATTGCAGAAGCAGTCGTTGAAGCTATTGTGGAGGCGGAGGCAGAGGCAGAGGCAGAGGCAGAGGCAGAGGCAGAGGCAGAGGCAGAGGCAGAGGCAGAAGCAGCTGAGCCAGAGATTGAAGAAAGTGTTATTCAACCCGTTCTTATCGGGATTCCTGGTGCATCTGGAGGCACGACCTTCCGTTTTGTGCAGGACAGTGAGCTAGACGCAGATGCAGTCTCATTTGAAAATGGCACAGAATGGGTTGAGAAGGAAGAAGCTCCTAAAGAACCTGTTGAAGTAACAGTTTCGGTTGAAGTGAAACAGACCATTGTTCCGGATGAAGCTGTCGAGGTGCACACTCTTTACACTTGTTCAGTGATGAATGTGCTAATTACTGACAGGCACGAATGCCCGAGCAGGCCGGTAATGGAGGCCTGAACTGGGCTGAGGCTGAAGACGAAGGGGAATTACCTTCGATTGATGGCCTGCACGCGACCTTCGGAACTTCAGGTTCTGGAACTCCCGCCCCTGCTCCGGCTGAATCTCAGAAGGGATCGGCAAGGGGTCCCGCTCCGGAAGGCGAGGCTGGGGCTACTGCTCCTCCCAATGGCCATACGCATGCGAGCGCAACCGACGATGATGGGTTCACGCAAGCGCGAGGCGGTCGTGCTCGAGGACGTCCACGAGGATTCAGAGGTGGCGAACGCGGCGCATACCACCGGGGCGGTGACAGAGGTGGCTTCAGGGGTGGACGAGGTGAGTTATCCGGTGTAGAAGATCATCAAACAGTCTGATGAGTGATCCGTACCTCCACAGGCTATCGTGGTCGACCCAACCAAGGAAGTGAGAGCGGAAACTGGAGGGAGGGTGATCAACGAGGTCGTGCCCGTGTTCGCGGACGGGGTGGATTTGACCGTGGTAAGTGAAGCGATGTGGGATCTAATCTATAATCAGATGTTTGACTGATTCTGTCGGGATAGGCGCACGCGGCGTTAGAACAGGTGGTAACGAAGAGTGATCGGGATCTGTCTAAAATTGGCGAATGTTAGCCTCTGCTGACGCCATTTTCCTCCATCTATTTTCCTTTGTCCCTGCATCTTGTTTCTTGCTGTATGATTGCAACTGTTTTACTTCTATTATTTAATGCTATTTCTCTTTTCTCTACCAACCTGTCAGCTTTATATCAGCCCTGGGACTATTCGGTGTTGATCGTTGTGTATCCACCTAGCCCCGTCCGTCTGAAGATCATCGCTCATTTTCCCCTTGGACAACAATCATATCATCTCCAAGTGGAATAGTCTTGTCCGCGATTCGGCTCTGGATTGTTCGGCAGAGAACATCACATGCAAATATTTAGCTGGGGTGCCCCACATTAGTGGGCACTTTTCTGCTTTCCGTGATTCTGCATCGTATCACCTAGGCATCGAGTGTGGTCGTCGCGACAGCGTAGTATCCGCATTGCGGAACAGGCTCGAATAGATGCCGGCATTCAACACAACTATTGATGACGTTAGCCCTCTCATAACATATCTCCCGCTGGAGTCGTGGCACTTTAACACACAAGAGAATGATAACTACTCAACAGCGTAAGTTGAAGTATCTTTCGCAATGTGATACCTTTTGCTGAGGTAATATGTTTTTTATCGATCCAGTTATGCGAATGGTACAGCTACTTTGACAAGCACACAGGGCGCCACAGCGACTTTTACGTTCAACGGCACTGGCGTGTGGTTATATGGTGCAAAAAGACCAAACCACGGAACCTACTCGGTGCTACTTGATCGGGTCCAGAAGTTCACAGGGCTTTCAGGATCAAGAAGTGATGGATTGCGGGATCTTAATGCCAGAGGTTAGTTCATCTTGACGCAGAGCCACATTACTGTAACAGTCCAGTACTAACACGGGGCCCAGGCAATGAGTTTCAAGCAGTGCTATGGGGGATATCCAATCTTAGCCCTGGTCCTCATGAGGTTGTCATAACGAACGAAGAAGCTGCGTATCTTGATATCGACTTCGTATGTTATTGCGAATTCACCGATCAGTGCCGCTATTCTCATCTTCTTCGCTTAACGTTCAGATCACCTGGGAAAGTGTCATAGGCACTGTTTCCTCGCCGATGAACTCATCAGTACTACTACCGAGCGACTTCAAGACGAACGGTGCCGGATGGGGAACTGCCTCTACAAACAGTGCTCTCAATGCCACCTCGGGGATGTTAGTATCTCCGCAACATGTACCTTTGGAACATTGACCAACTGTTTTGAGTAGATACACCGATGCACCGGGAGACTCGGTGATAATCAATTTTCAAGTATGTACTGCCCTGTATGTTTCCCTGATACTGCTGTTCTTATTTTGGTCCGCTTTGTGATTAGGGTGATTCAAAGATGTTTTTCATCAAGTCTCGCACTGCCACCCATCTTATGTTTCATTACTAACAGGTGATGGTGTGGAAATATATGGGTCAACTGGAACGATGTGTGGTCTCTACGACGTTCAACTAGACGGCGGGGCTTCCACTACATATAACGCCTCCCGGTATCTTACCCAGTCGAATCAACTACTATTCGTCGGTGCTGGTCTGGGCTCTGGACAACATACTCTCGTGTTGACGAGCGACCAAATGTCGAACGGGAGTCTGGTCATCGACCATGCGCAAGTAAATGTTGCCGAATCCTCGACGAGGTATGTTTTACTGCTTACAGTGTTAGTGAAATGGCCTCAACTGACATCATTCTGCCCCAGTACAATCAGTCCTCTAACACCGCCTTCGACTCCGGGAGCTACAAATACCTCTGATGGAGGGTAAGTATCTAATTATTCGTCTCTCTTCAGCTCCTCATGCCCCCGACTAGCACCAATAAGGCTCTCGTCGGCGGTTTAGTAGGAGCTCTGGTCACTTTAGGAGTGCTGGTTATGTTGGCTGGTCTCTATTTATGGTTGAGGCGACGGAAACGACAAGCGCCTCTCTCCACAATGGGTACCATCTCAAAGTTCGAAGCGTTTGGTAGTGATCGGACTTCACCACCTTCGACGCAAGGCTCGATACGTGCTGCAACTCTTTCGGAGCTATTCCGAGTTAATCTGGATGATGAGGATCATTCTGATGTCTCCAGGGCTTCACGCAAGACGGGCTCAAGTTCGGGTTCTCGTAACCACTCGAACCACTCGCACCATTCGCACAAGACAGCCGACTTGGGCTCACCATATAAGTCACATGGAACGAAATATAGGACGAGGTCCGATGACAGTGGAGGGAAAGGAAGACATACACACAGCCCGAGGCGCGGATACGACGAACAGCCACGAATCGCATCTCCCAATCATCTATCGATAGACGTACGTCTTGGAGAGGCATCAAGTAGCAGGATACCAGACGTATCCGGAAGTAGACCAAGCAGTCGATCGCACGGAAGTCACAATCGCTCGTATCAACACTCACCACACGATATCAACCCCAACAGAGCCGCCCGTCCTCTTCCCACCGTCCCTAAAATAAAATCTAAGTCCGACATGAACGTGAGCATCGTGAATTTACCTCGTCCCGCTCCACGCCCTTCGCAACCACATAGCCGCGCAAGTATTATGAAGGGAGGACGACGACGATCCACTCGCGATTCACGAATCCTACGCGCCGGTTACAATTTCTTCTTCGCTAAACCCGGATCGAGTAACTCCGGTTCTGCGTATGCTCCGTCAACTGTGCTGACCAGCGAGATTTCGGAGCGCCCGACAACAACTTTGTCTCCAGTCACAGAGGTAATTGTTTAATACAGTAATTTTTCTAATTAAGTGCTTTGTGCTTACTTCATTTCACTTAGATACCTCCTCCACCGCCTCCCGTGCCAGCATTACCACCTCAACCCTCACGACCTCTGCAAATTGTCAATCAAGTGGACGAAGAGACTGAGACCGAGCTAATGTAGTATCCGCATCATTTCTTTTTCTCTTTTTACCTTTAGCTCTTTCGCGTTTTTTATTATTACTTCTTTTGCATACTTTCATCCGCTCCAGGCTTGTTCGGACTTCATTCATTTCCGATTTCCGTTGTGTCTAAAAATCCGTTCACATGAAGTTCCTATTGCTGTATCTACTAGTATATTTCTTATTGGATTTGGATGTACTTGACTTTGGAGAGTAGAAACAAACAAGAAATGGGGACGAAGTTTGTCAAATCTACAATAACATTGACATGGGAATGAAAAAGTATGCATGTGTGTATCTATCTATAAAGCCCAATCTTGTATGAGGTGCAAAATTTGTATAAGTCGTTAAAGGGGTAAACGCTCTTTGAAGACATTGAAGTGTCGTTATGCCACTCTAGGTAAGACCTATAACGTCCTTATCTATCTATCAAAGTGCATCCGGCGATGTATCACCTAATGATGTGTGAGGCGTCTGTGGGAATGCGGACTCATCCCCAAATTCAGAACGAGAGTCGATATGCTCCTATATAGGATATTAGCATCTCGTGAGAATGAGTGATGAGTGTCACTAACATCGAAGTAATGTTTCGCCATACTGCGAGGCGCTGAAAAACATTGATGATTATTCGGGTGATAAAGTTGATTTGAAGCGAATATGCTTACTTTTAGGTGTCCTCGGCAGACGGCAAGTAACCCCACTTTGCATGATGTGGAATGCGACTAAACCTGTCCATCCCGTCTGATGGGATGCACCAAGTCCACTTCCGTCGTCAGCATGGAAGAACTATACGATAGATACAGTTAATGAACATGACGGAGGACACCATCAATAGGCTCACTTCATAGAATTGCAAATAGTCTTTGAAGTTCGGATCAAGGTCGAATTTATCATTTCCGCTATTCGTTGCACGTCTACCTTCCTCGTCTCGCGCAAATATATGAATTATGCGATGCTGAATTTCTTCTGCAACTTCGGCCAGATTCATGTATTCGCCACTGCCAGTCGGACATTCCACCTGCAGGTCGTTACCGTAGTATTGATGGAATCGTTGCAAGGACTCGATCAGGAGGAAGTTGGTCGCAAGCTGAAGTTGTCAATTAAAGAAGAAATCACAACATGATTTTTTCTTCTTCACTTACCCAGATAGGTCCACGCCAGTTGGAATTTCCTCCGAACATTCCTGACCGAGAATCACCAGGCCAGTAGTTTACTTCATAACGTTGTCCGTGAACGTCCATTCCCCAGGGCGCTTCCTTGTGTACTTTCGAAAGGCTGTAATCGAAGGTTAGTTATTCAGCGACAAGGAAAATCGTAATCAACATATCACTCACGAGCGGATACCATGGTCGCTTAAGAACTCATCCTCATCCAGCATCTTCTCCAGAATGCGGACGAGGCGCTCTTTACTTGCAAGAGCTAATAGCCTACGGTCACCCTTGCCACTCCCTAGTAAAGCGGGAATAAGACTTCAAAAAGCGCAGATGTTTGAATTGTTATACTCACGCTTCATGTTCGCCATATTTCTCTTCGAAACCTCGGGTCTATTCTCAATAAACCACTCCATTCTCTTCTTGAATCCGGGAAGCTTGTTAATTACCGATGGCTCAAGCGTGAGAGTTGCATACAGCGGAATTAGACCGACGAGACTCTTGACCGGGAGCTGCATGGAGTCGCCTGGACCGAATGAGATTGCGTCATAGTAAAAACCATCTTCCTCGTTCCACAGAGACAAATCTTCGTCACTGGAGCCCTTATACGTCATTGCGTCCGCTATGAATATGAAATGCTCAAAGAATTTGGATGCAATGTCCTCGTATACCGGATTGTGCTTGGCGAGCTCCAAAGAAATGTTGAGCCTAACGAGGAAAACATCATAAAACGCTTGTCCCGCTTCAGTTTAGCATAACTCACATGTTTAAGCAATAGAAGGCCATCCATGCAGTACCATCTGCTTGACGTAGTACACCTCCGGTCGGAAGCGGCTCCGACCGGTTGAAAGCGCCGATATTGTCTAGACCAAGGAAACCTCCCTCGAAAACGTTCAAACCACCGGCATCCTTCCGATTGACCCACCTAACAATATTATTTAATAAAATAACTGAGTAACAAATAGACGCATTGACTTACCAGGTGAAATTGAGCAGCAATTTTTGAAACACACTTTCAAGGAACGTGAGGTCTTCACTGCCAAATAGTTTGCGCTCGATCTTGAAAACACGGAATGTAGCCCTGTTGGTATATCTGTTAGACTATTGCGGAGTAGTGCGTGTAGAAAGATACATACCAAGCGTGCACGGGAGGATTGACATCTCCGAAGTTCCATTCGTACGCGGGAATTTGGCCGTCTGGCTTCATGTACCACTCGCGAACTAAAAGCTTGAGCTGGTTCTTTGCGAAAGCCGGATCAACCATGGCCAGCGGGATGCAGTGAAATGCAGTATCCCAAGCAGCGAAGAAGGGGTACTCCCATTTGTCAGGCATAGACAAAATATCCGCTACATGCATATGGCGCCAATCCTGCGCACATTAGTTAAGCGACAGATTCACGAAACGCATACCAACTTACTCGATTTCGAACCCATTTACGTTCCGGTGGTGGGGGAGGTTGTGCAGGGTCACCCTCAATCCAAGGCTTTTGAATGAATTGGTAGTATTGTTTGGTCCAAAGCATACCAGCGAGCGCCTGCCGCATGATCTGCCTAATGTCTTCCGGAATTGCATTTCCGGCCAAGTTGTGGTAGAACTCATCTGCCTCCCTGCGGCGCTCTTCGATAGAGTCATCGAAGAGACCCTCATCGTCAAGTGAATCATCTTTCTGCGGTTTGTTCGGGGTAAGCTTCAGACGTACGACAGCACACCCTCCGTTACCGGGAACGTTCTCGAAAACGTAGTATGCAGCAGCCTTCGTTCCCTTTTTCTGCGGGTTGACAAAATCGTTCTCCACAGGATACGGAGTTCTAGGTCCCTCCTCCTCTTCCGATTCCTCGCTGCCGGAGAAAGCGCGCGAACGTATCCTACCATGGAACCCGTAGTCTCTGACCTTGGATCGATGAGAAGGGACGACGTGGTCATGGAAGGCGTCCTTCGCGTATTTACTTTCATTCTGACCGCCGTACAGGCGTTGGAAATTTGTCTCATTTTCTGTAAAAAGAAGTGTAGGGAAAACTGAATTATCTTCATCTTCAGCATCAACTTCGGTCTCATCGGAAGGACCAATCGGAGGGGGTGAAGGCAAGCAATAAAGGTGAGTCTTTCCAAGAGTCGGATGCGTAGCTGTGATAACATTCTCATTATGACCAACCAAAGAAGGCTTCTCTGGACGAGGAAGTGGCCACGACCATGTGTTTGGAAACCATAGGTGAGGCAAAATATGCAGGGTCGCAGGGTCTGGTCCTCGGTTATAAGCTGTTACTCGGATATATAGTGAGTCTGGGTTATCTTCTTCCTTCGCATACTAAACAAAGATATGTTAGGCCCGTATTGAGACTTCGAATTAATATCGATAACAAACTTCAACGAAGATATCCCAATATCGATCGTCGTCAAAGATCCCAGTGTCGACGAGCTCAAATTCTGGGACATCGCGAGATCTCGCTTGGTTTTCTCTGACAAGCTGCTCGTATGGGAAAGCGCGCTGAGGATATTTGTAGAGGTATTTCATGTAGGAGTGCGTAGGTGTTGAATCGAGATAATAATAGAGCTCTTTAACATCCTCTCCATGATTTCCTTGATGACCAGTAACACCAAAAAGGCGCTCCTTCAAGAAGGGATCCTCCCCGTTCCAAAACGCCAGTGCAAAACAGAGGCGAAGGTGATTATCGGAGATACCAGCGATGCCATCCTCACCCCATCTGTATGCTCGCGAACGAGCTTGTGAATGAGGAAAATGCGACCACGCGTCACCATTTCCCGAGTAATCCTCTCGGACGGTCGCCTAATAACCAAAGGACGAGTAAATATCGACGCATATATTGATTAGTTAGAATAGCACTCGCCCATTGGCGTTCACTCAAATATGGGCCCCATCTCTTCCAATGCTTTCCCTTCTTTTCATCTTCTTCCAAGCGATAACGTTCCACACCATCGTATCGCGTCCCAAGCTTCCTTAGAAGCCTTTCTTGATAGGTTGTTGCTTGTCTACTGGTACCACCGGATGAAGTGGAGACACCAGACGGCCCGGATTGTGTACTGGGAACTTTAGTTTTAATGGACGGGGCCTTGTCCTTTGGAAAATCAGGCGGCTGGCTCTTCGGTATCTGTATTGATAAAGATGGGGGATCCGATGGAGGATTTGAGCCTGCTGTCGAAGAGCGAGTGCCATTCGGAGAGGAGTCCTGTCCCCCAAACACCTTCGCTTGAATGCTCTTCGCCGTGCTCATCGTGGGTGGCGACAGCGATGAAGCGAGCGTCGGATATACAGTAGACTAAATGCCACGAAGAACCTAGCCGAGAGAGGAGAGGCGTGGATGTAGAGTGAGGATAAGACGGGTGGCAGACGCGTCATTCAAATACGCACTGGTGTAGAACACTGACCTTAAGCTTCTTGAGCGCGTCATACGGTTCCTTTCGAAATAACACGGGCTCCTATATGGGGTTGCCTTGGGTTACTTACTTTTCTTCCGGCATGATTGTGTTTTTGCTTTCTTGCAGATATAACGTTGATGCCTCTTGTATATAAAGTACTATGGATGTAAATCCGTTCCTGCTACTACATAACGCAAAAAGGGCCTAGACAACAGCCATGTGTGTGTGAATGAAACCGATACCAGTCAATTCTTCAAGCCCTGTCAGCCGCTATTTCAGTATCGGGAGTGTCGTCTCGTCCGAGACTGTGACCACGCAGTTGCTCCTCGTGGTAGGCCGAATTTTGCGTGTAGAGGTTTGAGCTCGTTAGCATTGCCGGTCTGGTGAAAACAGATCAGTCCAGTGATGCTGGCTTTGGTGCAAGTGTCGCGCCACGTGCTGAACGAATGCTGCAGAACTTTACCCATCGCTTGTTCCATCATTGACTTCATTTTTCCATAAGTCTCAGGCAGGAATGGGACATACAAATAAGAATCACAACCATCCCGCGTACATTTGATTGTCTTAATTAATACATGATGTATTCAGTATCTGTCTACCACAAGTCGAATACTCTAATGCAGTCCTTCTGCTAACATACATAAATTGTTTTCAGTTGCTGCTAATATGTCCTGCCTCGAATTGACTTTGTCTTAGGATCAAGACATTCCATTCAGCTTGAGCCTGTCTTCTTTACCATCTCCTTTATCTTTGACTGCCACAATTTGTCCAGGAACAGATGGATTTGGTTGGAAGTATTTCAACACAAGGTCCCTCTCTGTAGACAGACGCAGCTTTCTCAGCAGTGGGTTCAGAGAATAAGGTTCCTTTATCATCTTCCAGAGCGACACAATGGAGAGATAGATAACGTAGCTCTGAAAGACAATGCCGAAGGCTGACACGCGTCCCGATAGCGTACTTGAGAAAACTGCGAATGTGAGAGCAATACACTCCGAGAGGTGAGTGGGACTACTTGAAGCGCACAAAGGACTCGGACAGAAACGTTGATGTGAATTGGATTTATTCGAGCACTTCAAAGCAGTTTCTATGCTAATGATGTCCATCACTTTCAGCGTTATTGTGTCCATGGTGTTCCCATGGATGGCTTAAGCCCTGTTCAACAGAATCAGTTGATATGAACAGACGACATTACGGAACATATGTAAGATCGCACCAATAATTTAGCGCCGTCTTGTCTAAATGTTTATGCAACATATAAGTTGCATGTACAGACAGCAATCATCACTGGTGTACTCACCGAGCACGGTAGAAAATGAAGAACCACATCGATGCTCCCAACCCCTTCGCTAGCAACTGGTATCCCAATCCAGGCAAATGCGGGTGAAATCCGGCTCCTGAAGCAGTTGTGAGAAATTGGCGATAGCAGAATATTGTGCTTAACAGTATTACCTGGTGGGCCGGCCATACCTGCGAATATCTTTCGTGAAACTGTAGTGAAGTGGACGAATGGCTGCACGGCGGCAAGCACTCGTTATTTCGCTGATGTAATCTCACGTGCTAATTTCTGGGAAACGAGCACACGCGAGATAAAGAAACATTTCAGCAGCATACACCGTCGCGTCAGGAAGCTTGCGGCTGAGCCCCGATGGTTCATTTCTGCGGGGCATTGCGCTACAATGTCATCAATAGGTTCGGGAAAGCGCAAGCGCGAAGAAGATCCGCCGCGCATAACATTCAGTGCTCCAGGCCGAACGTTTGAAAGACTGTTTAAAGGTGCTTATGGGTGTTTCAATATCGGGTGGCACAACATAATATATTTTTCTTTTATGTTTAGAGCAGTCTCTTGAAGAACTGAAGACTACCGTTCTTAAGAAGCTCGGCTTGAGCTCAGGTCTCCTTGAATTTTCGCAGATTCGAGATGGGAAAGACATAGACTTGGAGGACGGTAGGTATCTGAGACATCCCTGCTAATCGATTTCTCACAAGTTGTAGAGGACGACTTTGATGCCTTCAAATCGTTCGCTGTATCAAATGGCGTTGCTCGGGTCAGCGTCAAGGTGCCTTCTGTTCCTCCACGATCTGGGTTACCTTCTCAACCTCAAGTAAGCATCTACGATGCCACTTGGTTTGCATTATCTAACTTGCGAGTTATATTCCGTTTAGACGATAACAAGTTGTGAAGAGACCCAAATTGATCCAGCTGCTAAGGATAAATCTAGCCATGGTGGTCAGGACACGCCAATTGAGGGTCCCATGACGCTTACACAATTTCTTATGGCGGGAGGCATGCCTCTTTCGATGAACATCGCGAGAGTCAGCAGTGCATTTAGTGCAGATGCTCCGTCTCAATCCGGCAATATTTCCGAACAGGAGAGTGCTATGCCGAATGTCATGGGGAGAGCTAATGTATTGCGAGCAAGGATACCAAAGCGGAAAGACAAACAAGCTTCTCAAGGAACTTTGGATGATACTGGTTTCGGTAGTACGTATTGTGTTCTCTGACCATCCACTGGATTCAGCCGGTTCCTTGAAAGTTTGACTCATTTATCGGTTCAGGCAACAAGCATTATCCTGCAAAGCCCCACAAAGATGACAATGAAATGAACAGGGATGTTGAAGAACTCTTGAACAGATTGGACGGAAGGCTTTGCGAACATCTCAAAGGTCGACCATGGAAGGATGTCTGGCAAGCCTCGGAGGATACACAATCCCACTATGCGCAATTCATTAAGAACCTCATAATTCCTCAAGTGTTAGGTCGCCCCGCACTGCTCCTCCATTGTCTAGGGGATGGTGTGGTTAACCCGGAAATCCTGTCGGAGTTGGCAGATGGGTCGTCAAAGTATGTCTCCTCCATTTGATCTCATTGATTGCTCATTTCTTGCTCATGTTGTCGTATCCGGCTCAGAATACTAATTAACACTTCTGGAAGTGGGAAGACTCGGCTATTGCTTGAGCTCCTGGCCATGAAATGGGGCTTTTATTTCACAACTGCTGTTGACTTCGCCAACCTCCGGCTCGGATCCCAGGATGTGTACGATGCAATATTCATGCGGATTCCCAACCACGCAAACTTTACCGAGAAACCCAAGGATGTACACAGCAACAACTCCCCAGAGCTAGAACCTGCATACCGCCGCAACCATAACATTGTTGCACGTTTCGTGTATCAGATCCTCACAGCTCGTGTTATTGTCTTTGAGCACTTTTTGACAAAACTCCGTACCCTTTGTCCGGGTCGAAATACAGACTTCAACAAGGCCAAGCTGCACTGGTTGTCATTGCAATTGAATTCCTCCGAAATTTTGGGATGCGATGTATTCAAGGATTTGACAAAGATCCTTGATGATGCCAGCAACAACTTTATCATGATGGATTCGTTAGAGATCCAGAATCGCTTATACAGAGCAATATCGGAGTTCAAGCTGGATAGTGACATCTTCTTAGTACTCGACGAGGCGCAGGTGGCGGCAGAACAATTGGTCGGATGTTTTAAGTCGTACCGATCCCTGGAAAAGCCACATGCTGTCCTGAGTCCGATCATTAAATCGTAACTTCGGCAGTTGGGAAGCCGGCTACTTTCTCACAATTCACCACGACTGGCGCGTTTGATGACAAGGTTCGACAAGAGAAATATATTCGTCGGTACACACCTCCCGGCTTTCTTGACAGTGATTCCGGGAAGGAATTTCTCCAGAGAGCATGGAATTTTGCACGCGGAAGGTGTGTTTCGTATGCATATATAATGTTTATCCCACAACTTATTCAACTCTCCTTCAGACATCGCTTTACTGCAGCATTGTTGACTCAACTTTTAAGAGCATCGTTTCAGTCGCCTCACAGGACGCTGAATGCCTTTGTCAAGGCCCTATGCGGGTATACTCCTTCTGATGCTGAGCAGATCATAAATGCAGAGCCAGAAATTAGGGAAGACTTTGGCGCTATCATACCACTGGATTTCACAAAAATCACATCAAGTGTGTTATTTCATCTGTGCTCTTCAATTTAGACCTTACCTGTTCTTATCAGGGGCTGACATGCTTTGCAATGTTAGTAGAGCATTGTATAAATGGCTCATGCTTCGAATCAGGCTTCCATTTGAGAAGGAGAAAGACGACCTGATAGGACTAGGGTTTGCACGATTTGTCAACGGCCCCGAAAAAGGATACATTGATGAACCGCTTGTTCTGCTTGGAGCAGCGCAGGAATTCAGCGAATCCCACTTTCCACTAGAACTTGAGGCTTTGAGTGGCCTTCAGTCACACGAGGGCCGGGGCGAACATTTCGAGGAATATGTCGCATATTCCCTCACGTATGCATTTGACGGGCGGAGGAAACTGTGCGAAATATTTTCCTTCGGGGAACATGTCCCAGACTGGGCGCAACAATGTGCTGAACTAGTTGTTCTCACCGTGGACAATGGAGTGGTAGTGTCCAATCGCTTTCATCTACCAGAATATCTGGGCTCTACAGCATCCATCGGCAAGAGGTGTGAGACAGTCGATGTGACGTTGGAATGGTTCCGGAACCCATCATCGGTGATCTGTTTCCCCGACAAGTATATGGGCCCATCCATTGTTTTATTTGTCTGCCTTGACTCTGGATTGATCCTGGCAATTGAAGTGCAGTGCAAATGGGTCAGCAAGGGAACGTTAAATAATGAGACATGGGAGAATACAGTCTCGACCCTTGATCTTGCACACCTGTACAGACGAAAGGTATGAGACAGGACGTTGGATAACACTGCACAACTGACTGTCTTAAATCGCAGAGTTTGGGTGCCAAAAACAGTGACAAGGCCAGGGGCGCTGTTTTGGATCTGCTCAGCCGTCTAAACCCAACAACCACTCTTCCAAATGATAAATGGTTCCAAAACGGATTACCAGTGTTGCGGGTCATTGCATCATTCCCTGCTGCACCTTCTGAAGCTCAACGTCGAGGATCAACCTATTTTGCAACTCTTAATATGGACTATTGTGCAGAAGTAATGCATGCAATAGGTTTGCTAAAGAGTGTGAGCTTTTCGCTTCTTAATGCCAGAAAGTATACAGGAGGTGGTAGTACTATTGTTCCAGCCAAGAAGCAGTATACATGATCTAATCTATCTTGGTTGAAAATATTGTGAATTGAATAGTTATTGTACTATGTTGTGTATCCATACAATTGCTTAACATTTTTCTATACACAATCTGTCTTATCTACCTACTGAGCAGAATATATTGCATATTTTTGAATCCAGCACACGTCTTCAGAACCTCTATACCTGGTGGACTGGCCGTACCTGCAAATATCTTTCGACTGTAGTGGAGGTAGACGAAAGCCGCATGGCAGGGAGCACGAGTTTCGTCCCACTGACGTAATCTTAGAGTGTGCTAAGTGTGGTAACGATCACACGCGAGATAAACATTTCAGCCCACACCCGTCGCGTCAGAAAGCCTGCGGCTGAGTTCTTGACAGTCCATTTTTTCGTGGCATTGCGCTACAATGTCAACGATAGGTTCGGGGAAGCGCAAGCGCGAAGAGGATCTACCGCGCATAACATTCAGTGCTCCGGGCCGAACGTTTGAAAGGCTGTTTAAAGGTGCTTATGGGGTGCTTCAATATCGACTGGCACAACTTAACATATTTTTCTTTTTATGTTTAGAGCAGTCTCTTGAAGCACTGAAGAATACCGTTCGTAAGAAGCTCGGCTTGACCTCAGAAGCCCTCGAATTTTCGCAGATTCGAGATGGGAGAGACATAGACTTAGAGGATGGTAGGTATCTGATACATTCTTTTTGCTAATCGATTTCTCACAACTTGCAGAGGATGACTTTGATGCCTTCAAATCATTCGCTGTGTCGAATGGCGTTGCTCAGGTCAGAGTCAAGGTGCCCTCTGTTCCTTCACAATCTGGGTTACCTTCTCAACCTCAAGTAAGCGTCTAGGTTGCCTCTTGGTTTGCAACGCCTAACTTACGTGTTATGTTCCTTCCAGAGGATAGCAAGTCCTGAAGAGACTCAACTCGATTCAGCTGTTAAGGATAAATCTAGCCACGGTGGTCAGGACACGCCAATTGAGGGTCCCATGACGCTTACACAATTTCTTATGGCAGGAGTTATACCTCTTCCGATGAACACCGCGAAGGTCAACAGTGCACTTGGCACAAACGTTCCGTCTCAGTCCAATAATATTTCCGAACAGCAAAGTGCTGTGCCGAATGCTACGGGGAGAGCTAATGTATCCCGAGTAAAGACACCAAAGCGAAAAGACAAGCAAGCTTCTCAAGGTGTGTGAAAATATATCAATCCTTGCGATGCACGCTTTTAGCTGATCTACTCGTTTCGTTTTGACCACAGCGGAGCCAGGCACTTCAATACCAGAGGTGCCTGCTGATGTCCCGTCTGCAAATGAGGGGAGACCAGAAGAGACGTCTGAATTGCCTCAAGGACCGAAAGGGAGGTCAAAAAAGCCGCCTTTGTCAAAAGCAAAGCATGGTATGTCAGATATTACCCTCGCATATTGGCGATCATGCTGAAGATGATTCCTATTGCCCAGTTCCTGAGACTGCGAGTGCTAATACGGGCCTGCAAGAGGCTTCAGATCTTCCTGGTAATAGAGGGACGGATAAGGCGAAGGGGTCGCAGGCGAAGAACGACGCTGCGCAACGTGCAATTATTCTACTTAACGGAACGACGTCCGCTGAACATCATCTTACCAGCTCAGCGACACAGGACTCGCTCTCTAAGCCTACAGCCGCATCGCAACCCACTGCAACCCTTGCCGAACCACAGAAACCAAAACGCAAAAAGAGAAAGAAATCAAATCCTGCAAACGGCGAGGTCTCCCCGTCAGAACCGTCGCCCGTTGACTCTCCGGCAACTCCATTGCCACGTGACGAGTCTGGGAAGGGAAAGCCAATGGAGGAAGGGAGTCGACAACCCGCGGTTACTACTGGAGCACCCATTCTGGATAATAAGAAGGGCAGGAAACGCAAGCTTGACTCAGGCGAAAAGGTTGGAATTGACGCATCCTCCATAACGGACACTGGTACGTCACCGTTCAGACAACTATCTCCCTCGACGGAGAATATAGCAATGGATGATGCTTATCACATTCGTTAGGCAAAACCAAAAAGCAGAGGACCGCAAAAGGCAGTGCAGCTCCTAAAGCGGCGCTATTACAATTCGAGACAGGCAATACTAATGGTTCTAATGTGTTGGAAGGTGTGTCCGCTCCGATAGATTACATAATGACCTTATTCACTTACCGCGCAGACGCTTCTACAAGTTCCAAGGTCAGTAACGCTGCAATGAAGAAAGCGAAGCCACCAGGACAGCATGCTACGACTGCCGGCACTGTTGATGCGGACGTTGACGACGCCATTGCACGAGCATTGCGAAAACGCGTAAGCGAATCTTCTAGACAACTTACTTCAACGCCGCCTGTAACGACCGCCAAACCTGCAGCTCCAGTCGTAGACGAGACAGGTTTGGTGGATAGAGCTGTAGAATATTCCGACGACGTATTTGATAAGAGTTCTGCGAACAAAGACGTTATGCAAACGAAGGACGCAATCACGGGGAAAATCATCAAGACAAAACCCTCAGGGACTGCGTTAATCCTCGTTGACTCGGACAACGTTCCATCAAAAACATCATCAAATAGTGCCATTGCCGTTCGTAATACCATAGGCAAGGATTTATCTACCTCTAAACCGAATCAGAATCGAAAGACACCTACCAACGGTAATCTTGCACCAACATTGAATAACGTCCATTCAACTACCACTGCACGTGCGTCAATAGTTCCCACTGGCTCAGACATTTCGGAGATTGTCGTACAGCGCAAGGGCGAGAGCACTAGTTCCGATTCTTCCAGTGATTCGGATGATTCAGACTCGGATTCAGCAGAGGAAGAGGACACGTATAATGGAACACAAATAACGCATCCGGATCTGCTAAATAGCAGAACAGGACTCAAGGTGGACTCTTCCTTGCCGACGGGTAAGACTACTCCTGTTACGGTTATGGACGTGGATAGTCTCCTTCATCCAAAGAGCTCCCAATCTTGGCGGAGCATCATCATGTCACCAGAAATCCGAAGTGATAGTGATGAGAAGTTCATGTCAGACGAGGATGACCAGGACGAAGAAGCAGAAGGCCATGGTCATAAGAGGCAACGTCGGAGTAGTTTTCTGGCTCGACGTTCACCTTCAACGTCCGTTGATGATGATGATGATGATGATGATGACGACGACGACAGTTCGCGGGATGCTGAAATTGCTACGGAAGGAGGTTTACGTGAAGGTTCGAGTGGGATCACATATGTTGTAGCCTCTCAAGCTGGAACCCCGGTTCTGGATACAATGGAAGGTGATGATAGGCCAGAGGGTCAGACAGATGATCGCCAACCAGATGTGGCAGAAGGTCGAATATTTGAAGACCGGTCTGCAATATCCAAATCGAACAGGTCGAAAGGCAACGCACGAGCTAGTCTTGTTCGTGCAAGTTCTCAGATGCCTGGTCCATCGCGGCTACCATCATTCAAGGACGTCAATGCCCGTGGTGAAAGTGTACTTACTGAAGGCGCGGCGAACCGTGCCGTCAACCAGGCAATGGAAGAGGATGATACGCTGTTTTTCTCCGGCTTGGCTGCCCACAAGAGTGATTCATCCTCCACGGGACGGCCGACGCCCAGCGAGGCGAAGAATGACAACTCTCTTGTGAATGGGTTGACAAGTTCTGGAAGTAAACGGGACGGTGACTCAGGGTCGTCGAAGGACTCGGAAGAAAGGATTCCTAGTCCTGCTCCTTATGTGCCGTCGGCACCGACAGGCAGATCTTCTTCTCGAGCCTCCTCAAGGCAAACCGAGAACGTCGAAACCTCGCAACAAAACGTGTTAACCCGTTTCGTCGGATCGTTTTTCTGGTCCACACCAAAAGCCACAGGACCAGGCAGTCCTGGGACGGTCGGACGCATGAAGGATCGTCAAGGGAAAGTGGGCGCACCAAAGGCTCCTTTTACACCTATAACAAAGATGCAGGTCCCCGATGCCGAGCATATCTTTGACGACCCCATCGAGAGCTGGACTGATTCCCAAAAGACAACCGTAGAACGGCAAGGAAATGCTTCTCACAGCATGCACGATGCGGAAACAGCATCCAAGGGTTCACGAGTCGGGACAGAGCAGTCATCCGGGACACGTCGAGTACTTAGACCACGGAAACGATTGGGTTCTTCCTTGTCAACGTCCAAAGGGACGGGGGGACCAGGAAATGCGGATAGTGTTAGCATTGAACAAGGTCGGCAAGATGAGCCTGGGCTGGAGGGCGACTCGGCTCGTCGGTCGCGGAGAGAAGAGGCGGAGACATCGCGAGCTAAGAAACGCAATGCATCTTCCGTAGATTATGTTCCTGCATCCGATTCTGAAGATACTTCCGATTTCGAGGAGAAGGAAGAACCCGTCTCTTACAAGGATGATTCCCATGCATCGGCGGCGTACGTTAAAGCGAACGAAGGTGCCGGCCGGACTAGAACTGTTAGTAGCGGCTCAGCAACGGAGGTCGAACGTTCTATAAACGGAGACTTGGCTATGCTCGACCGCAATGCTCTACCTCGTTCTCAGCCGTCTAGAAAAAGTCAAGGTACAAAGAAGCAGTGCATTGCTTCTCCTTTAGACTCAGAGGTCTCCAACGCGGAAGACGACCGCATCAGCGCATCGATGCCACAAATACGTGATTATTCTCATCGTCCTTCAATCAGTAGTGTTCGCAGTCTGCAGCACATTGCTAGCAAGAAAGATCTCTTCTCTCCATCATCTACGCCTCGACCACCATACGCTAGCTCTCAAGCGATTGCTAAAAGCGGGCAAAATGGACGTATCGACGAGAGTGAGGACGAAGACTCCTCGTCGTCATCTTCTGACTCCGAGACAGATACCGAACGCCAATCTAGCATTCCAAAGGAAAGGCGAGCAGGTAGCGTGCCTGCAAAAACAAACAGTGGAACAAAAGCTAGACTCTCTGCTCTCTTTGGGTTCTGATCTTAATACTTGCTTAATTTTGTTTTGTTCTCGTTGATTATTCACACTAGCTATTTACTCAACCACATGCTATCACTACATTTTTTCACATCACAAGCTTGAGTACCGTGCAATCTATTTTTCTTTTGTTGCTAGATTCATTTGCTATCAATCAAAGTTCTTCCATGTCTATTGTATAATGCAAGGAGAGGAGGAGGGTAATTAACCTTTCGGTGGATCGACACGAAAGCAGTGGTTAGAGACGTAAAAAATTGAAGAGTTAATGCGTTATCATATCCTAGCTAGGATCCTCATTTCTCAGTTATGGTCACGTGATTTATTCGCACGATGATCTTCCTGAGTGAACTGTGCAAACGACTTCGAGCCAGTCTACAACGCTCGTCGCTCACCGTCAACGCTTAAACGATCGAATCTGCTCATCCGTCCCCCATGCTATTCAAACGCAATGGTTATAAGTACCCCCTTTCTGAGTCTCTACCTGTAGGCCCCTTCCTTCCTTCCTCCTACCACCCACACAACGGTTTGGAGTCGCCTCGACATCCTCTGCGATAACTATACGGCAATGGCGTCCATTCGCCATCCTGTCACAACGACCAATCGCTTTGGTCAGCGCGCGCAACCTCGCCCAGCACTATCGCCAGCGTTCGTGAATGCTCACCCCGAGCTATGCCTCGCGCCGCGCGTCGTCACCGTTCCCCTCCCACTGGAGTCCCAGAAGGACTGTCAATATCCTACTCGCACGTCCTACCCAACTGCAGACATGCTGCTACCCGTAGTTCTTGATGGCGGAAATGGAGGGACGTCGTACACTCAGTCTGGGGTTGGAGGCCATGTAACGACTGGTACGTTCCACGTGTGTCGTCCGAGTCACCCCCGTCGACCTTGCTTCAGCTCCGTCGGTAGACCCAGTGTCTGCTAATAAGCCACCGGCTACTACTCTGGTTACCGCAGTCACCCCGCCTTCTCCCGATTTAATTGCTGGACACCATACCCCGACAAATACTGTGTCGTTATTTCAGGCAGTGCTAGTGCCCATTCCTAAGCCGCATCAATCGGCTCCTCCGCCAACACCTACTGCGTCCCCTCCTCGTCCCGCAGTTTCTTCGCAGCACAAGCGCTCTTCCGCGGACCACGCGCCACGTCGTACCTTTCCAACTGCATGAATAGTAAAGGAGCCGCTTCGCAGCTTGTCATTCTGACTGAACCTGTTGCTCCTCACCGACGGGATGTTTGGATGTTTGGTAGTATCTATGCTCGTTGGTTGCTGTTCAGAAAAATCGCAGGGGTGTACTATGACTCGGTCTGCGCGTTCATTCAATAGGGTCCTATCGTCTTTCTCCTGTATCTTGTACAAGTTGTTAGAGTTTGATGTTTTGCTGATCTGAAAGTATTAAAGACTGGTGTATTATATGTACGAGTGATCAGCTCTACTAGCTTTGAAGATGATACCTCTGATTTTCATGTAAAGAGGGAAAGGGAAAATTCTGGTTGAAATAGGTAGGATACCAAGAACGGCTCAACGACAGAGGTCGAACGTCGTGTAAACGCGGACTTCCTTATGCTCGCTCGCACCTCTCTTCCTCCTTATTGTAAATCTATTATTTCTTCATTAAATACATTGCTGTCGACCATGGTTCTTCTGAGTCTATTGTATAATGCAGAGAGGGGTAAACTTGTGCTGGTTCCGTGCGTGTTGCGAATGCAGTGTGCAGAGTTGTGCGTGAAAGAGGAACAAGAAAAGAGTCAATGTCTTAGTAAAAATGCATCTCCGACACCCCAACCACCGTGCCTTCGCCAACAGGGCTGTCGGAGAAGTAGTTTCCAGCCAGTGACGCCTGAGGATCCCAATCTGCATCGGTAGCTGCACGGGAAAGTCCAAAGCGATGAAGCAGCTCAGTGACCCTCTCTTTGTCAACTTCAGCAGGCTCCAAGAGTTCTTTCCGAGGAACAGGTGGAAGTGTAGTAAAAATTTGTCGTGCACGTCGGATTTGTGCGAGGTATGTCTTGATGTCTGGAGGAGTGTAGCGAGTTTCTTTCTTTATGATCTGTTCGATTCGTGCGTGCGTAGAGATGAAGTTCAGAGCGCGTACTGGTCCGACGTTGCGTAGTCTTGAGGAAAAGTCCGTTCCGATGAGAAGTGCGAAGTCCATGAATGCTGCACGAGAGAGTCGAAGTGCACGTCGGACTTCTTCGCTGGAGATAGCGACTATTGCGCCGTGCCGGGATGTCATGTTACGCAGGAGAGTTGCACCGTATACAAGAACGTCCTGGATTGTCAGTCAGTCGATATTTCTTGTTTTACTCACAAAAGTGAAGGTGGACGTACTGTATCTTCACTCGCTACAAAGTGTGCAAGTCCATGTCTGACAAGTGAAGAAGCGAGACCTTCTGCCTCGTAAGGACCATTACATTCGATAGTTGGTACTCCCAGCGCCTCAAGCATCATCTTACTCTCCTCGTATGTCTCTTGCGTAGGAGGTTTACAACGCCTCTCGTAGTTTTCCGACAAGATCTTGCTACGCGTGAGGAGATCCCCAAGTAACACATGCGTTGTTAAATCTCGTGGATTAGTGACCACTGATTGTATGTCGGACCACAGAAGGCCTTCGTCTCGTGTCAGCACCAACTGGTTCTTGGACTCCGATGCTTCATCTGGTTCTGCTGGCGTAGGCTCCGATATGGCTTGAATTGTTTTGGAGGAAGTCTCGTGTGATGCGTACAGAGCACTGAGCTGCTCGGATAGGTCATACTTCAGTGAAGGTGGTGCGCGATGCTCTAGGTCAGTGAAGTCCTGGTCAAGAATTACAGGCTCGTCGGTCCATAACACTGGATCCCCTTCATGCATGCTCAGCTGAGGTAGTAAATGGTCTTCGTTCCGCGTATGAATGCGCTCTTCCTCCTCATATACATCTGCAGCAGGCCAAGGACCGACCGGTTGACCAGCTATGTCATCCGCCTGTTCTATGATCGAATCGTCCGGAACGGAGGGTAATGTCCGTCTTGATTTCCGGCTAGCCTCGCTTATAGAGGATATGAGTCCTGCAGAGGCAGCCCTACGCTCTTGGAGACTAAGTGATCGGTATTTCTTGAGTATTTTGCTGAGAGATTGGAGGCGCTGCTGTCGCTTGACCTCCATGGTCCATCGAGCAAGAGTCAGCTGACGAGCGCTTTGGCGCCTCTCTCCCTAAATAGAGCGAAATTAGACGCGAGATATCTTCAGAATTTCGTGAAGCATTACCTCGAGAACTTTGGCAGCAGAACGACTCGCTCCGTCGAAAACACATATTGCGTTGACATCATTGTTCTTGAGTTCGTTAATTAGTCGGTACCATCCCAAGACGTGTCGGTATTGGTGCGGATGTGGCGCAAAGTGGAACCGATGTGTTATAAGAGTTCCATCACTAAGATTAGTTGTTGTAGTTTAGAAAAACGCGTTCTATGAACAACAGCGATACGCACAAGACGATTGTCTTTCCACCGAAGTCGCGGAGACGTTCAGGAAGCTCTTTGACGACTTGTGGGCTTATGTGGCGAGTATTAGGTCCCACTTACTGTGGTAATATTCTATCTGCTCACCAATGTCGCTGGAGGAAAGGCGTGAGGCCCTGTACTCCCATGCGCTAGTATCTGGAGAGAAAGTGGCTCTTGTCGACACTCATCATTTACGCACGCGTCGATCATCTCCAAATATACTCGGTCACGTGCCAAACTGATCTGTTTCTCATGCTTACTAAGCAGTCTTGAGGCAATAAAATTTCTCTTGATTGAACCACTCTGACGCGCCTTCTGTACATTGATCCTGACTACTTCGAGAACGAGCAAGAGCGTGTAGCTCAGGTTAATGACTTACACGCAGAACACTAGGGACGAGTTGCGTACTCCTGCCTTTCTCTCTGTCGATTCATGTTTGTTTACTCAATCGTTTTGTGCAGTTATCTTAGCGACCTCGTTTTCTCTCTCCTCAGTCACTGAAAGCTTTCCAAACAGCCATGTTTATTCGCTCTATCCCTCGTATCCCCTCTCTGTTCCGTGGACTCGCTACACATGCCTCTGCGACTCCGTTGCCGGCTGTTCTTCACCTTAAGTCCGGTGAGTCATTCACTGGGAGGGCTTTCGGATCACCTCGCAGTATTTGGGGAGAGACGGTATTCTCTACGTCCATCACGTCATGTATGTACAGTTATTCCGTCGAATAGCGGTATTCAAACCGGTTTTTACCTCCTAGACACCGAGTCAATGACAGACCCATCATATCGTGGTCAAATTCTAGTTTTCACAACGCCCCTTATCGGCAATTATGGTGTCCCATTGAACAATGCACCCACTGACCATCGTGATGTCGGCGTGCTCCTCGAGTCCAAGAAAATCCAATGCTCTGCAGTAGTCGTCGCTGATCTTGCTGAAAAGTACTCCCATGCGTCAGCTGTTGAGTCATTGTCATCGTGGTGCGATCGACATGACGTTCCTGGTATTACTGGTGTCGACACGCGAGCAATAACAACGATACTTCGGAACCAAGGAACTACTCTTGGCCGCCTGGCCGTTGGTAAAGATGCATCCGACCCAGCTCCAGCAAAGAATGAGTACTGGGATCCGTCCCAAGAAAATTTAGTTGCTCAAGTATCGACCAAGAAGCCATACGTTCTTAATCCGACAGGTGACGTAAAAATCGCTGTGCTCGACTTTGGTGCAAAGGCGAATATCTTGCGTTCCCTTGTCCGGCGGAACGCCGCCATCACTGTATTCCCATGGAACTTCGATTTCAACACAGTTCGTGACGAATACGATGGTCTGTTCCTGACAAATGGACCTGGTGATCCACAGAAGTGCATGGAGGCTGCTCTTAATCTACGCCGCACTCTGGTAGAATGGGATCGACCAGTGTTCGGGATTTGCATGGGTCACCAGATTATCGGGATTGCTGCTGGCCTTGATGCATACCGAATGACATTCGGTAACCGTGGACACAATCAGCCTGTCCTTGCTCTCGCTTCGTCTGGATCAGTTAAAGCCGGTCGAGTCTATGTAACAAGGTGAGTGCAGTCATTCTTTTTGTGCAGACCTGGCCTGATAAATGTTATCAGCCAAAATCATCAATATGCGCTCACGCTGTCTGATCCTTTCCCGGCTGGATGGGAACCCTTCTTCATCAATTGTAATGACTCATCCGTCGAAGGCATAAAATCTACTGCCGAGTCAGGTAAAAAGGTGTGGGGTGTTCAGTTCCATCCTGAAGCTGCTGGTGGACCGCTCGACACGATCGAGGTGAGTTCTGGTCATCTATCGAGTAAAAAAATGTTAATGTTGTCTAATTCATCAGATGTTCACCGACTTCGTTGGCGAGTGCCGTGCAGATATGCTGCGCAGAGCAGCCTTGGAGGAGGAGATGGCGGAATACGAAGTTGCTGACGTAGACGTTACCTTTGGGATGAAGACAGTGGACAGTCCACGTCCCATTGCAGTTGCTGCTTGATTGTGCACTGGGGACATGCTGAATGCCTGTGTATTTTAAAGTCGTGCTTTTCTGAACCTTGCTCTGATTCACTGTAGTCTATACTTAAAATTGAGATTTGATTCTGCATAATTACCATATCTGGTGTGCTATGATCGACATCTTGGCCTCCAAGTTCACCGCAGCACAGTTCCCTCTCTCTCCAAACCTTTCACTCACGTTCCTCTCTACATTATGAATTTCTTTGACTACGAGTTATCAAGAACTGCAACTGCAACGCCTCCCCAGTCAGGAGGTGAATCTAGCAATACGCAAGAGCCGTCTTTGAATGACGAAGTAACGCAGGTTGTTGGGCAACTTGGTAGACTGTGGGGCGGATTTAGGAAGCAGGTTCGTCTAACCTTGAAGAAAACTTCATGAAACTGGTCTTGAACATTGACCTGGTAGAGTCAAGCGGCACTGGAAACAGCACGCAAAGATTTCTCTTCCGTCGTCGCCCAAGCTCAGAAGGAAATTGGGAAACTCACAGCTGATCCAAGCACTCCCGCTACTACTGACAACGCCGAAGCGTCGACGTCGACTTCCACGCAGGAGACAGGTCCTTCCACGTCCGAAAAGACTGAAACGCCGAAGTCACCTTCAGCTGACGATGAAACCACTCCTCAACCTTCCTCTCCCACTGCCGCTTCGTCAAACTCGTCGTCATTCCAATTCCAATCACTCCTTTCCCGGGTCCAGTCCTCCCTCCCACCCAACATCTCCGCCACGCTTGAACGTACGATCCCTGCGGCTCTCAAGGACCCTTCAGCACATGCTTACGCGGACTTAACGCAACTGCGTACAACTCTCGGTGCCGAGTTCGCACGCGTTCAAGGTGTTACGCGTACACAAGCCGAGGAATACGTGCATCGTAGTGAGGCCTTGTTGCGCGAAGCTGGTGCGTACCTTAAGGATGCCGTGAAAGTAGTACCTCCGGAAGAGACTGTAGACGACGATACGGATGTTGTATTTGATGGTATGGGTTCTGGAGTCGTCGTGATACCTTCGTCTCTTGGCAGTTCGTCGAACAGGAGCGCGGCGCGCGGAAAGGGTAAAGGCCGTGAGACGACCGCTCAGGCGCAGCAACACTTCGCTAGCTCGCGTGCGGCGGCGATGCTTGCTCAGTTGAAACGTGATTCCGAGGCGTTGAAAAGAGACCCACTCGAAGATGAGAATGCGAAGGAGCAGTTTGAAGAGTGGATCAAAGCTGAAGTTACTTCAAGGGAGGGAGGCATTGAGTCGTCTTATTGGCAAGATCGGGTGAAGGAAGAGTTGGGTCATTCGGAAGACGGAGAGGCGTTACGCTCTACCCGAGAAGTGCTAGGTTAGGACATCGACTCCCATGTTTCCCCGTCGTTGGACCTCACAAATTTTGTCTTTAGTACCATCGATATTGGATTCGAATACGTTCTGGACTCGATACTTCTTCCATGTCCACCAGATCGAGAAGGATGAAGAAAAGCGTAAGGCTCTTCTACAAGGTAAGCAACTAAACCTTTCCCCTTACAACCATGCAATGAACTCAGTACACATATTTATTTCCAGCTTCAGGCGAAGAAGGAACAGAAGAAGACTTCAGCTGGGAAGACGACGAGGACGAAAGTATAACTCCTTCCGAATCCGCTGGACAAAGCAGATTCGCAGCAGCTCCTCCCAATACCATATCCAGCAACACATCGGAAAACGTTGAACGCGGATCTCGGGATACACTTCAACCCGGCGGTAACGGTAATGGTGGGAACGCCACAACTCCAGCATCGTATCCCGAATCTCTCGTCACTTCACCATCAAATACGAGCCCAAGAGAGAGTAGCGATGGGTATGACGTCGTCTCGCCTGCGAGTAATACGTCTGCTGCGAAGACGAAGACGAAACCTGCTGTAGCGGAGTCGAAGGATGTGAAGGATGTGAAGGATGTGAAACCGAAGGAGGAGAAGAAGGATGAGGATGAGGCAGATAGTGATTGGGAGTGATTGAAGCTAACTCATGTTGTTGAGTATATGCTTGTATTACTATTATACGGACCACTCGTTTGCTACGCTGAATCTCCGTTACCCTTTTCTTCTTACTTATTGTAGCATTCTGTATAAACAATTATATGCCACCTATCATACTGACTTGTAGACTGTCGCTGCCTGACGTTTGGACGTCCATGCGTAAACTTCCCGTTGGAGGGTCGAATTTCTACTATCTTTCTTCATTGCGAGCTGATAACAATATCCTTTGGAAGTGTATTCTGTTAAAGCTACAAAGTCATGCAATGATTTATCAAAACAAGACAAGTAAGGGAAGCCATGCGTACGCTACTCCAAAGCAACCCATCCAGGGAAAAGTCCCATTGCACTTTCACGTCTACACAAGCGTATCTAATAGTAATAATACCCCTCCTTTCTTCCTCTTCTCGTCCAACTTTGTCTCCGTTATTCATCTCCTCGTCGGACTCGTTGTCATATTCATCACAAGTAGTAGACCCATGACCCATTGTCAATATCTCCACTTGGAGAGGCGGGACACTAGTATGTGCTTCCGTCCAGTGCTTACAAGTTAATTTATCTTCTGCATCAGTACATGATAGGCTTACAGACACCTCATATAAAAACCTCTGATTTATACTGATCCTTCACTGAGGGAAAGAACCTAATTCCGTTTCAACCCCCTCACCAGTGTTCTGTCTTGTCACCTTTGAAGTGTAGGAACAAATAATTTCTACACGACCAACATTATTCACTGTAAGTGTGTTGTCTGAGTTCTGTCCTCGGTACAGATTCTTAATTAACAGTGTCCCTCTCCTTTTTCTCAAAATAGAACCTAACTCCTGAATGTATGACAAAACAAAGTGAGATAGCTCTTTGGAGCAGGACGTGCCAATACTGCGGCAAGAAGAAACTTAGAGTCTGTTACATATGTTCAAGACAATTAAGTATTCTAATTTCTGTGCTAATCCTTTTTCATGGTGTGATAAAGACAAACAACTAGATGGCCTGTGCTCACATTGTGTAAAGAGAGGACCACAGGACATTAATTCCCTAGACAAAATTGCTACGGTGAGTATTATCATTTAGAGGGTAGGATTGAGAATTGAAGAATTGATGCAGTTGAATATTGTCGTTTCTGTACAGATGGACAAAAGGATGGATCTCTGTCTTCAGAAATTGACTGAACAGTTGTATAAGTGTAAAACAAGCCTCTTTGCATAATGTTGTAGTGCATATATGTTGCAATGCAGAGACTTTTGTGCAGAACGAAACGAAACAAAATCCTCGGCTGAAATACATTGTCATAAGTCATAATTTTATTACGCATCGTGCATGGCCTTAACCCGATGTTATGTTATAAGGAAGATCTTGTTGACGAAGGCTGACTTTTTTCTGTCTCTCAATATTCAGAGGCCTATCTGACACGAGCTCGTATTGATGTCTCTACGAAGTAATAGTCTATTAATCACAACTACAAAAACATGTAATAATTTATTAAAACAAAGACAAGTAACGGAGGCCACGCAGCGGCAAGCATGCCATCCAAGAAAATCCTCATAGCACTTTCGTGTCCACCCGATCGTGTATAATACCCTCCTTTCCGTCCTCTTCCCGTCCATCTTGGACTCGCAACTCTGCCGAGTCTCCTATATCGAAGTGCTCGATAAAGTTTTATGAGGGCTTGTTCAAGTAAGGGTGGTACACCTATCGTAATCCGCCTTCGTCGACCGCGCAAGACGAATGTTCGTGTCCATGCTAGACGTCTTCGGTATGGTGCTGATAGGTTGACCGAAGGAGTGAGATACGAGTTGTTATGCATTCGTCGTCCAGCAAATTGTGCTTCCTCGTCGAACTCGTTGTCATATTCGTCACGAGTAGAAGATCCATGACCATTCTCAATGTCTCCAGCGGGAAATGCAGCCAATCCTGCAGGAGGAGCGGACAATAACCCAGGGGTAGCTACACGGCTGTTTGAGGTGACGTTGAAGTCCGGTGTGTAAGGCGTTGAAGGGAAAGTAGCACTGAATGCGCGATACGTAGGTGCAGTGTTGTTATAATCCGAACTCCGAAGACCCGCAGAATGCGGCATACGAGTCGCACTGAATGGTCCCCCAAACGTCGATTCAGGACTCATCTGCACCGACGAACTGTCCGTTGAGTCGATTTCAAGCGTATACGCTGACCATCCTCCGTGACTTCGTACTCTGCGCAAGGTGGAGATTCCCAACACGCATAGAGTGACGAAGAGAAGTGGGAGGTATCGGCCAAGGTAGATTGCAAGCTGATCGGGAAGAATACAAGGTGCGTCGGCATGTGATGGACTACCTGGAATTAGGGACGTTGGGTCCACAAGTGAGAGGAGCTGAAAGCCAGGATTGCGAATGCCCATTGCCATCGAGAATGATTTGACTGTCACTTCACGGACATACTCGATCTTTGGTTCCGGGCCCTCAGAAACGAGCGGAACGCTATGGGTGTATTCACAATAATCGTGGTCATCGCCACTGAACCATAAACGTATATATTGTGAGCGACTCTATCTCGACGGAATCAAATTTGATATGACGACTCACCTGAAAATCGCATTTGGACGAATATTTTTCAAGATAAAATCGGACGTATGCCTTCCGAGCGTGTTTTGATATCCAAAACCGACTCCACGTCGAATAGTACCCCGTTCACGAAGTGGCCCGCAAGAAGCCGTATCAGGCCTAAATAGAGGAATATGACTGAACAGTATCACGGGTTCATCACTTCCCACTGCGCGGAAATATATACATAACCACGAGACATATAAATCAGTAAGATGTCGATCTTCTCCAGAAAAAGGCAAAACTATTCAAAACATACCGCTCGAGAATTTATTCACAAAGTCGATCACACCGCCAGGTGGCGGTGTCCAGTCCTCAAATCTTTGGTTTGCCGAAGCGCGGCGGTAATCTTCTTCGACCAATCCTGGCGCGTCCAGCATCACGAACGTGTGATTTGCCAGCGATACTTTGTAGTTGAGCCGCCCGAAATGCTTGACGTAGCGTGAACGTGTTCGCGGTGAAAATGACCGTGACGTTCCCAGTCTTAATAATCAATTAGAGGATGGAAAGCAAGCTTTTAGAACAAAGATATAATACCCGACGTCATGATTTCCTGGTATATAGTAAAGCTTTGTGAAGGAATCAGTTGAGAAGATTGACCTGAAGCGTTTGTAGTAATCCAAGTACCTGTTGACGCGGCAGTCAGCAACAACAAAATGATTGCAGTGCAAATAATTCAGAATTTCGGAAACCGTGTCTCAAAGAAATGCAAAGACAAGAAAAGAATTTTTACGGGCACAGCACTGCAGAATAGATCAACTCACTCTGTGTCACTATACGCATTTCTACCGTTATCCATCATGTCGCCCAAGAACACAATGGCGTCGTGCTTGTCCACTTCATCGTTCTCTCTTAACAGAAGCCGCTTGACAGCCCACCAGCCTTTGCGCATATTGAGATCAACAACGACCTGCGAGAGCAGTCCCAGGATACGCCCGCGTTCTGGGTAGGAGTGTAAGTCCAGCACTTGAGGGTCAGCGACGAGGAGTCCATGTGCAAGTTGTGAAGCGGGTTCCTATTCGTTTCGATAGACAAAGGAGGGGGGATATTGTGTTCAGAACGAACGGATTCACGTAAATTTAATGACTATTAACTCACCGACTTCGTGCCAACCGCACTGTCATAGACAAACGCCTTATCCGGCCATTGACAGCGTCCAACGCTCCAAAAGAAGATGCCAAGCTCGTACCACGCAACGGCAGCAATCCAGGTAATGCGCAGCACGTCAGCAGCAGACAGGAAACTTGCTTTCTGGACTATGGCATGCAGACTGAGTGTCCGACGAGCTTTGCGGACTGGGTGCATATAGAAAGAGAACGGAGATCCAGCAGTGCTGTGACGACGTGTGATTCTTGTGTAGACTTGGCAGATTACTAAATTCAGGAGTAATTTAATATTAATACGAGCATATTTCTAATTATCCATTCTCGTGCTATCAACAACATCCCAAGTATGCGCACATAATACTAACAGCTGTCTTTGTCTGGCAGAAACTCGTGGCTCGTGTGAGAGCCGTGGGACAACGGCAACGAGATAAAGTCAGAATTGCACCAACGCAGCACTTCCTATTTTGGTTATGGAAGGACAAGCAAGGATAAATAAGGAACAATTAATTACAACAACATGACGCAAACTATTAACACTGCACTAGGCTGTACTCTCTCCACATCTTCATTGAACCATCGTTAGTCCAAGTCACCGCAAGAAGGGACAGTACGATCTTCAGCGCACGATTTAGCATACACGACAAGGTTACGCAAGTCCAGGCACAAAGTGTATCTTATCGTCAAATCATGAGAAATCATTTGCATCTCCTTGACCTCAAGCGGCAGCCGTAACCTATGTTAGGATGTGCTATTTTTATTCTCCTCAGAGTGCTCTCGCTTCCAACTAAATGGCAAAGGCAGAGAAAAATACTTCTGTACAAGGACACGCGATACGGAGCGAGAACGGGATGAGAAGAACAACTAGCAAAAAGAAACCGACGTTACTCGTGCCATGGGAGTACGTTTTACGAATAGGCCTACAATGTGAATGTCGGAGGCCCGTCATTGGCGTACATCGTCCAATTTGCTTCCGCCTTTCGCCAAAGTCTATAATTTGCCGAGCCCGAGCTTATCAACAGAGAAATCGAGGGTCCACCTGTCATCTCTTCCGCAAAATACACGAGAAAATTTAGCAAGCCACACTTTCTGGGCGGTCTTCTTGGATTGCGTATGGTAGAGCGGAGTGATTTAGATCCTGGTGTCCGCTTCGCTCAAGTGAGAACTCTGCTACTATCTTCAGCCCCAGGCTTGGAACACGAGCTTTTCAAAGTCATGAGGTAGGCAACTAAATCTTCTCTACGATCTTCTTGACCAGCTTGAAGGCACAGCCTCACTAGCAAGTTATCGACTTATCGTGCCGAAGTAGGAACTGACGGCGTATGTGAATCATCGGACACGCAATACCTCCGACATTGAGACTAATTAATATTCTATTAAGGAACAGAAAGTAGAGCATTGTCTAAACAGTCGAGGCCCCAATCACGAGATACTGGTCGAGACGTCCACAAGGAAAGAATCGGAAGAAAAGAAGATAGGTAAAACGCTAGCAGATGAAAGATGCAATATTGCACGAAGTGTTTCTCACACATACGGAGCACCTTTCGCTCCTCCGCATCAGCGCCATGAATTTGCAAAGCATCCAGAGAAGCGCAGAGATTATGAAAATGTGCACAAATGTAAGTTCGCACCCTGGTTTTGATCATTCGTCACATCAAGGGGGATTGAAGGGTAGGCTCCATTGATTGCTTCTCTCCGTTGATCGTCCGTGAACGATTGTGTCTTCTCTTGGCTGGAATGAATCCAGTACGAACACAATGCCCCCTGATGAATGCTATCGATGGCGGTGGATGTAGAGTGGAATAAGAGGGAGATCAAGAAAAAAATTGTGTAAATGTACGGCAGCGATAAGCACGCGACTTCATACACTATTAGCTTTTCTATTTGTAAACAGATATGACGAAACGCGGAAGGTTTGCGCCCGTGCCGGGCTTGATTCGCTCATTTCAAGCGATGTGAAAGCTTTGTTGAAGACAATATCCGTTGCGGGGGTGGGGGTGGGGAGTATACTAGTATTCTAGCACAGGAAGCAGGAGCTGTGCAGACGATGTACAGGCACCAAATTTCTCTAGCGGACGGAAACGCAGCACATTTTCCCGATTGCCGTTGTGAAGACACATGCACGCATGGTCCGATATGAGCGAGGTCTCCCGGTTTCGGACTGTTCGGCTAATATAATGAATCCGACCTCTCGTTCGACTAGGAAAAAAGGGGAAAATAGAACAGAACGTGAAACAAACGCAGCGATTCGTTCTCGGCGCAGTCGAGCAAAGGTATGCATCCAGGGTGTTGAGCCTGAGGTCGCACACGATGCCGACTAGAGCGGGATGATTGAGTAAGGATATCCTCGGACTGCGGTCTGTCAAGCCGAAAATGAGTTTACCTTGTTTGGACACGCGCACCCAACACTAGTACCGTCATAACCTAGATCCGATCGGGAACATATGTGGTCACGGCAAGTGGACGGTTTCGGACTATTGCTCTTGCGATTATGGCTGAGTCAACTCAAGCCGTTGGCTCTTTTTTAGACTAAAGATCATGATGACACGCTATTCACAGACGCGGACATGCCGAGCACTGCTGCTCGATGGAGGCGGGCGGTACTACTTGTGGGAGCGGGATAGAGAAGGCGGGGACGAATTACGCAAAACTCCACCAGCGCACCGCGTAGGTCTAGTATTGTGTCGAAGTGCGATGTTACCGCTGTGGAGCTCCGTACTGATCAAGGCTCGCTTAAAGTTTTGTATATAAGATCACCCTAGTCTCATCTGAAATGCCCCCCAGCCTCTGTCCGGGCTTCTAGCTTTTCTCTTTACCCTTACTTTCACTCAGCTCACACTGTGCATATTCACCGTTCACGGTTGTACTTCGCCAGCATCCTTGTCTTCGCTACGACGCTGCAATACCTCTAGCACGCGTCTTGACCGAGCTTCCCATCATGGCGTCGTATAACGAAAAGGAGCTCGAGAAACCCACCGAGTCTTACGCTGATTCCGTTCCCAGCAACGATGAGAAGCGTACCTCCAAGGCCGGTGTTGACCCCGCCATTGAGAACATCAATGCCAAGCTCGCTAATCCGCTTGCCGGTATCCCTCAAGACCAGCTCATGCGTGATGGCGCCCTCTTTGCTCGTCAGCACGGTTTAACCGATCTTGAGACCGAGTTCGCAAAGGGTGCACTCATAGCTCAGGATCCTCTGGCATTCGAAACTCTTGATGTTCTAACAGAGGACGACAAAGCTGTCCTAAGGAATGAGCAACATTCCCGATGGGATCAGCCGCTTACCTTGTACTGGTATGTTATACCTGCATATTTGCAGTACTAACGGGACTGATTCGATGGGCATTGTCAACTAGGCTCGTTGTCATGTGTTCAATCTGTGCTGCCGTTCAAGGAATGGATGAAACGGTTATCAACGGTGCCCAAATCTTCTATGCTCCACAGTTCGGTATCGGACCGGACCAAGGCGACCCGAGTCGAAACGAATGGCTTGTCGGTCTCGTAAACTCCGCGCCATACGTATGTATAATGTGCCATGTACTGTACTGTTATTTTTTACTAACATATTTTGATTCAGCTATGTTGCGCAGTTCTCGGTTGCTGGATAACAGACCCACTAAATAAACTATTTGGGCGACGAGGCACCATTTTCATCACAGCAACGTTTTCGTTCCTTACTTGCATCTGGCAAGGTGTCACAAACTCTTGGGAGCACCTCTTCGTCGCGCGATTCATTCTTGGGCTTGGCATCGGACCCAAATCGACGACTGTACCTGTTTACGCCGCTGAATGTGCCCCGACTCCAATCCGTGGAGCTCTCGTTATGATGTGGCAAATGTGGACGGCCTTCGGCATTATGTTGGGTTTCGTATCAGATCTCATCTTTCTTAATGTTCGCAATACGCGTCACATCACGGGTTTGAACTGGAGGTTGATGCTTGCAAGTGCTGGTGTCCCAGCATTATTTGTGATGGCTCAAGTCTGGTTCTGTCCCGAATCCCCGCGTTGGCTATTGGGCAGGGGTCGTTACGCAGACGCTTATCGCAGTCTTGCACGATTGCGCAAGGATCCGCTTCTTGCAGCGCGTGACCTTTACTATATCCATGTCCAACTCGAGGCTGAAGAATCTCTCCAACGCGGACATCGCTTCCTCGAATTGTTTTCTGTTCCGCGTAACCGTCGGGCCGCTCTCGCGAGTTTCATTGTTATGTTTATGCAGCAATTCTGCGGAGTCAATGCAATTGCATACTATTCGACTCAAGTCTTTTTGCAAGCTGGCTTCACCACCCAGGCCGCATTCCTGGCAAGCTTTGGTTTTGGTACAATCAACTGGCTATTCGCTCTTCCTGCCGTGAAGACGATTGATACGTTTGGACGTCGTAATTTGCTTTTGACAACGTTCCCCCTGATGTCACTTTGCTTGCTTTTGACGGGCTTTGCGTTCTTCATCCCCGAATCAAACAAGGCGCATATTGGTATCGTTGCTCTGGGTATCTACCTTTTCGGTATGGTCTACTCGCCGGGTGAAGGGCCTGTACCATTCACGGTACGTTTTTTCAACTCTTAGTCCTTGAACATTTATTTATGTTTGCTTCATTAGTACTCCGCTGAAGCGTTCCCGCTGTACGTGCGTGACATTGGCATGTCTTTCGCAACGGCAACGACATGGTTCTTCAACTTTGTCGTCTCGATTACTTTCCCACGATTGCTCGGTGCTTTCACCCCGCAAGGCGCGTTCGGGTGGTACGCAGGGTGGAATCTCATTGGTTTCGTGCTTATTCTTCTGTTTGTTCCTGAGACGAAGGCGCTTTCGCTTGAGGAACTGGATCAGGTGTTCTCAGTTTCGACGCGCAAACATGCATCGTATCAGCTGAAGGCGCTCCCGAGGAACATCAAGAAGTATATCTTCAGAATGAAGGTCGAGGAAGTGGAGCCTTTGTATCAGTACGAGGGTGAGAAGACGTTCGCACCGACCGCTGCAGCGGCCTAAAGGCCATTTCCGTCGTCACATTGCGCGTATATTGCTCGACCATTCGAACCTATATCAGGTTCTCTCCCATGTTATCCTAAATGAAAGAGTTAGACGGCTGTGTTTGTACTCTGCTCATGATGAAAGACCTTTGTTGTCTGTTGACTTACTTTTCTACCCCCTACCTGTTCGAATTCCCTAAATCTTGTATTTCTAGCATGCCAGCCTTATATTATTGTTTTTCTTCCTTTTTCCTTCTCCAACTTGAAAGTAGGGATGCAGAGTGTGTATGTATCTGAGTAATACTAATTGGCTGGCTAATTATGTACGTAAAATCTACACCACTCTATGCTGAGGCTTGGTTTGTGTACGTGAAAATGAAAGGGCTGAAAATACCTAATATTTTACAATTAAAAAAGTCATCTAGGCAAGATCTTTTAATGCACTATGGAGTAGCATTTATTAGTATTCTTAACTCCGTTATCATAGCGGTTATGTGGACGCATTAAAGCGTTATTATGTTCCATGACTGTATGCATTTAGAGGAACATGAGTTACCATATTTGAATAATTTCCTTTTTAGGTCATGGTCTAGTGGGCATTTTAAGCTTCCAGGAGTCACCATCGTTACTTGGCTCTGCCACGCCGATTGCACGTTTGACGTAGGGGTGCATTGCCACGCTACACTGGGATCGACAAGATTGATCTCACTTCTTGGAGGGATTTGCTTCCCTTGCAATTAATTTTGATTTTCTTGACTTTTGCTGGGCACGTCAATCTTTGGTCCCTGCGGAGCCAAGTTTCGCCGAGTGTTATAGGTTTTCTTGTCTAGAGTTAACCTTTGTCTTGGGTACGTTGGATCGATGTCGGCCTGAAGTGAGTAAAACCAAATAATGTTATTCATAGCGAAACACATTACAAGAAACAAGGACAAAGGATAAGAGGGGCATGAGAAGGGGTAAAATAAGATTATGGTCATCAGTCATGATGGATACAATTATCATTACCGTAACCCGAACGGATTATGTACGTTGTGTTTCAACGTATATGCAATGATGTGGAAAGCAAGCCAGAGCAAGTGAGGGGAGCTACTCTTCTTGCTTTTCGTGCTTTCCATGTATGAGGTCGCTCTCGCTTTCAGCAACACCTTCGAACTGGTAAAGCGGTTGAAGACGCGCTGACTTCTTCCCGAGGATGTAGCGCTTGATGAACCACGGGAGCCATACTGTGAGCTGGTACGAAGCATGCTTGTTCGTCGGGACGGCGAAAATGTAGTCAAGCTCCTCGAGTGTACGTTGCTTCGTCTCGGGTACCCAGAAGAAAATCATGACGAACGCAACCATGTTGAGGCCGGCGTAGAAACCGAACGCACCTGTTGGAGTCATTGCGGCCAGCATGCGAGGGAATGTGATCGAAAGCACGGCAGCCCAGAAGAGACAAGTTGCGACTGCCCAAGCCATTCCGACTTCACGGTGCGACAACGGGAATACTTCTGCAGAGTATGTGAACGGCACTGGACCTTCACCTGGTGAGTAGAAAGCTGCGAAAAGGAAGACGAAGAGCGCGATGAGACCAAGGTGCGCTTTGCTCTCCCTTGGAATGTAGAAGCAGAAAGCAGCAGCCAGAAGAGTCCATGCCATCTGCGGGAAGGTGAACAACAGGAGCGAGCGACGTCCAAAGGAGTCGATCGTGCGAAGTGCGGGGAATGCGAATACGAAGTTGACAGCACCGAAACCGAACGACGCAAGCAACGCTGCCTTTTGGGATGCGCCGGCCTCCGCGAACACTGTCGACGAATAGAAGGCGATGATGTTGATACCACACATCTGTTGTGCCAACATGACGACGAACGACGCGAGGGTGGCGCGGCGGACGCGGGGAATGGTGAAGAGCTCGATGAAACGGGTAATGTAGTTAGATTGACCAATGAATTCAGATTCAATCTGTAATTGCGCATGAACATAGTACAGGTCACGAGCCGCCTGCAATGGATGATTGCGCAATTTCAGAAGGGATTCGTATGCATTACGATAACGACCTTTCTTCATGTACCAACGAGGAGACTGTTGGACAGAAATAAGGAAGGGGAGTGCGATCGGAATAAAGTGGAATTTACCTCTGGGCAGAAGTAGACACCAATGAGGAGCGGAAGAGCAGGAATAAATGCTGACCCGATCTGCAGGCGCCAAGCAATCCTGCCCGTGCCTTCAATAGCCAAGTTAGCTGCAGTACCACTATAAAGAGGATGTCAGATTGCCATATATCGACGATCAGGCTGAAACCCACAGGAAAATACCAAATGCAGTCCACAACTGCCATGCTATATGGGAATGGCGAGATACGTCAGTAAGAACAAAATAAGAGGTTGGGTTCAAGGTACTAACTCATAACAAGACTGCCGCGAATCAAGGCTGGCGAATTCTCGGCTGCGAAGATAGGTACAGTAGATGCCTTAGCACCCATTCCAATTCCGAGAAGTAGACGAGTGACGAGAAGCTGCTCCCATGTCTGGGCGAAGGCACCGCCGATGACCGGTAGGAAACAGAAGATAGCCGCGAAAAAGATTGCGCCACGACGACCAAAGAAGTTGTTAAGCGGATCTGATAGCCAACAACCGCTGTGGAGTGAATATAATTAAGTTCATGAAACTATCTCAAAATGACATAACGTAAGGAGAGAAAAACGCACATCAACGCCGAGCCGATGTAAGGACCAGCATTTACGAGACCAACAAGGAATGTGTCGCGCTCCGACTGTGTGCCAATTCCAAATTGGTTCGGGAATGACAAGTTGGCGGCATTCGATCCAGTTTGGTCCCACCCCCTTTGATGGAAGGAAACGGGGGACGATAAGCAGACGCTCGAAAAATTCGGCTATCAAATAAATCACTTACTGGACAGCAGCACCAATAGAACAAAGGACGATAGTGAAGTACAGCGCAAATGGTTGTTTCCACTTGTGTGTAACTTCGAAGCGGAGCACATCGCGCTCCTCATCCGTCAGTCCTTTTTGTGTCTCGTATTCAGTCGGGTTCTGCGCCGCAATAGCACCATGCTTAAGCAGCGGTAGAATATCCGTTAGATCCTTTTCTTCAGCAAACCGCTCGACATCTGCCATAAGCTGTTCCTCGGGGATCCCAAGCAGCGGGTTCTTGATCCTGGAATTGAGAATGTTCATCAGCGGCCGCAGACATAGATATGGCTAGCAGAATGAAAGCACGTACTTGGCAGACAGATTCGAGTTGAGGTTGGGGATCTTGCCATTGCCCTCCTCCTGGTAGGAGTACTCCTCTGCGGCCTTCTCGCCGACCTTTTCGCTAGACATGGTAGACGTATGCACACTGAAGGGCAGACGATAGCAGTACGACGATGGGATACAGACTGCGAGATAGGAGAAGGGCTAAGAGTCCAAGACAAGGACAGTCTCTCTACTCGGGAGACGGTGGGAGGAATGGATGAAAATATGGCGTTTATATAGATTGGATAGAGCGGCGCTCAGGGGGGATGTCAATTCATTTCGGGTTGTAAATACGATGGCACAGCCAGGTTCATCAAAAGAGGTGGCTTCTTTCTCCCGATTGCACGAGCACGACTTGTCGTCAATCAAACCTCCTTTTCTGCTCCTGTCCATTTCCTCCGACACTCAATTTCCTATGCGGTTGCTCGGAGATCGCTCTGCTTCGATTGCCGAGTAAACTAGGAAGACTCTAGTCGAAGAGTTTCACAACTTGGAGAGCTGAGGAGCGACATATCCTAATAAAAAATTCACTGTCCTCGTGATATGTTCCGTAACAAACGGACCAAGCAAGCCTCTCTCAAATGCATGTGGTCCGGCATCAGTTTAGGTGAAGGATTGATAGAAGCCGAGCGGCCATCAAGGGCAAAATAACGACGGGAAAACGTTGTTTTAAAATGACAAAAAGACAGTAGCCAAAATCCCCACGGGGCTTAGTCAGTCATCCAGGTCAATATCTCTATTATTGCAACGACTGCTCGGATTCAAAGGTCCGATGTTACCGATCTCACTCCGTTACGAGGCCTTTATTCCATTTTTATAAAAATGTGCTCTTAGGATGGACGTTTCACATATGACTGGATCTAAGAATTTTTGTTGCCAGATGGATTCGCTATTTTTAACTCAATTGGTGCTTAGCCATCGTTTCAAAATACATAGCCACTTTTTTAAAACAAGGGAAATCCCTATTTGCTCCACTACTACAAGTACCCAGTTCCGTCTCCTATTTCCCGTATTTGTGAGAAGTTTACTGTGCTATTTGCAACTGAGAAAGAAGAGCGCTCCGTTATTACACGACTGACCCTATCCAATTAGCTAAGCTTCCTGGATCTCGCATTCCCAGCACACTGCCTTACATAGCTATTATCCTCTTTCTTCATTAAGCAACGTGGGCTAAGCCTCTAATCCAGGCGTACACAGAAAGAACTGTATGTGTTGTTGAATAGATTGGGTAACCGATTTATTCTTGCAAACTAGAAATAATGGAGAAAAGTGCAAAGTATGAGCAGTGCACATACATCCAGGACAACTGTCCCCCAAAATGAGAAAAGGGGAAAGCGAGCTACTCGAGTTGAACCTTCTCCTCGACTCGAACTTGTCTTAATGGGTTTCCTCTCTGGCAAACATCGGGAGTCGCCAGTTGTGCTTGGCTCTCTCGGGGAAGATAATTCAAGCCAAGCATGCACTGCCACTACACTGGACACACAAATGATCGGCACGGCGAGATTGATCTCACCGCGGATGTGATCTACCTCTGTTCAATTTCTAAGACCTCTGGGCATGCTAATCCCTACGGAGCCAAGTCATGCCGAGCTCAAGCCTTTACTTCGTATGGAGATTGAATGTAAACGACCAAATAATGTTATTCGTAGCCAGCTAGCTAGTACAAGAACATGAGACGAGAGACAATAGCACTATGCAGAGATGAGGAGGGAAAAGTTAATAAAATACGGTCATCTTTCATAATCATACTTAGTGTTGGTAATGGTATTATCATTGCTATAACCTTCAAGCTTTGTATATGCCAAATCCGAAAGACCTAATGTCGACCCAAGTTTGCGGGAGAGGGAGCTTGCATTCAATGTTTTCCACGTACGAGGTCGCTCTCGCTTGCGGCAACACCTTCGAATTGATAGAGAGGTTCGAGACGCGCTGACTTGATCCGGAGAATGTAACGTTTGAAGAACCACGGAAGCCATGTGCCAAGCTGGTAGGCAGCGTGCTTATGTGTTGGCACGGCGAAGACATAGTCGAGCTCCTCAAGTGTGCGCTGCTTCGTCTCCGGTACCCAGAGGAAGATCATGATGAATGCCAGTACATTTAGACCTGCGTAGAAACCGAACGCTCCAGTCGGTGTCAGCGCAGTCAGCATGCGAGGGAATGTAATAGAGAGCACGGCAGCCCAGAACAGACAAGTCGAAACCGCCCAGGACATTCCAACTTCACGGTGCGACAACGGGAATACTTCTGCGGAGTACGTGAACGGGACCGGGCCTTCTCCTGGAGAGTAGAATGCGCCGAACAGGAAAACGAAGAATGCGATTAGTCCCAAGTGGGCCTTGCTCTCCACCGGGATGTAGAAGCAGAATGCAGCAGCGAGCAGCGTCCATGCCATCTGCGGGAATGTGAACAACAGGAGCGAGCGACGTCCGAAGGAGTCGATTGTGCGAAGAGCAGGGAACGCAAACACGAAATTGACAAGACCGAATCCGAACGATGCAATCAACGCATTCTTCTCTGATGCACCGGCCTCCTTGAACACCGTCGACGAATAGAAAGCGATGATGTTAATCCCACACATCTGCTGGGCCAACATGACAACAAAGGACGCGAGAGTAGCGCGGCGAACACGGGGAATAGTGAAGAGCTCAATGAATCGAGTGAGATAATTAGACTGGCCAATAAACTCAGATTCAACCTGCAGCTGCGCGTGGACATAGTAGAGATCACGAGCCGCCTGCAAGGGATGATTGCGCAACTTCAGGAGCGAGTTGTATGCATCACGATAACGGCCCTTTTTCATATACCAGCGAGGAGACTAACACAGAAGTTGGATGAACGTGCGGTTGTAACAAAATATGGAACTTACCTCAGGGCAAAAGTAGATACCACAGAGGAGCGGGATAGCGGGAATGAATGCAGAGCCGATCTGCAGACGCCAAGCAATGCGACCGGCATTTAAAACCACCAGGTTGGCAGCGAAGCCACTATTCAAGCGCTATCAGACGGCAGAACCGATTGAAGGACTGACGACTCACAGGAAAATTCCGAATGCAGTCCACAATTGCCATGCTGAAAACGATGGAGGATAAATTACCGATACATTTAACAGCATAGTGAGTGACTAACTCATGACCAGACTACCGCGAATCAAAGCAGGTGAGTTCTCAGCTGCAAAAATCGGGACGGTAGACGCCTTAGAGCCCATTCCAATTCCGAGAAGTAGACGAGTTATGAAAAGCTGCTCCCATGATTGGGTGAAGGCACCACCAATGACTGGTAGGAAGCAGAAGACAGCCGAGAAAAAGATGGTACCACGACGACCGAAATGATTGTTAAGAGGATCCGAGAGCCAGCAACCACTTGGAAAGGAGCATTGGGGTAAACAAGGTAAGCCAGGTATAAACGGTATAAACGACGTACAGGACCGCTGATGCAATGTAAGGACCGGCATTGACGAGACCGACGAGGAATGTGTCGCGATCCGAGTCCGTGCCAATTCCAAACTCGACTGGGAAGGACAAGTTGGCACCGTTCGAACCCGTCTGGTCCCACCCCCTTTAATGAAGAAAAGGTGGTAATAAGCAAAAAATAACTCTGAAGATCTGGGCTATCAGTTGTATGGCTTACTGGACAGCCGCGCCGATTGAGCAAAGAATGATTGTGAAATACAAAGTCTTTGGTTGTCTCCATTTGTGTGTGACCTCAGTCCGGAGGACATCGCGCTCCTCGTCTGTCAGTCCTTTCTGTGTCTCGTACTCAGTCGGATTCTGTGCTGCTATTGCGCCATGCTTGAGCAGTGGCAGAATGTCAGTCAGATCTTTTTCTGCGGCAAACCGCTCGACGTCCGACATGAGCTGCTCCTCAGGTATCCCGATCAGTGGGTTCTTAATCCTAAGGTCAAGAAAGCAGTGTCAGCATCTGCGGGTATGCATGTTTCAAGAGGAAACAATGGAACATACTTAGCAGACACGTTCGAGTTGAGGTTAGGGACCTTGCCGAATCCCTCCTCCTGGTAGGAGTAGTCGTCCGCCATCTTCTCGCTAGACATGGTGGGCGTGTGCACAGTTAACGGCGGACGATAGCAGTGCGGGGTGAGGGCGCGGGGTGCGGGGCGAGAAGAGGATCGAGACGGGGACAGTCTCGCAGGGTGAGCGAAGCTGGGTGAAAGGATTGGATGGAAAATATGTCGTTCTTATAGTTTGGTTTTAAGGATGTTCAGGGTGCATTACCACTTTAGATTGGATGCGATGGCACTGCCAGGTTCATCAAAGGGTGTTGTGGCTTCGTTTTCCAAGCCCTCATGTCGCTAGCGCGATTTGTCGTCCATCAAACCTCTACTCAAATTTTCTTCGATACTTCAGATTCTCCATGTGGCTCGGAGATCCCCTTCACCTCGGTTACCGAGTGACAGAAAAAACTCTGCTCAAGGAATTTCGGGTTCAGAAATCGGGGACCTGAGGGGTAACGTTGAAACTCCAGACCTTGTGACGCTGGAACATGCCAAACACAGGGCGGACACAGAGATAGAGTTCAACTGACATTCATAAATTCCGATAGCAAGATGACAGGTGAAAAACACGAGCGAGAAGAAACTGATGCAGTCCCAACAGGTTCATTCCGGATAGCCATTTTGATATGCTAGACCCCAATCTAGATAGGCGGAATTTTTTTGGCGCGTAGTGCCACTGTCCTTGGCATTATCCCACAATCCATGGAAATTTTTTGTGCAGTACGATCAAGCAGCAAGTGAGTCCAGTGACCAAGAATGTAAAAAAAGCGAGTCGACGGATCATTGACCTCCCAAATACGGTAGGCTTATGTACAACCAGCCATGGCCATCCAAATCGGGATACAGGTTCGGTCCTGCATGTGTTTTGACAATGAAACTGAAGTATTGTTATCGAGAATCAGACTCGAAATAGGAAAACAACTTATAGCTAATTATAACTTTGTCAAATATACTCTTGGTTAGTTTTAGCCTCTGGGCAGGGCGATCCTGACGGAGCCAAGTTCATGCCGAGCTTTCAATTTTCTTGAGCTGTGATTGAGTAAACCAGAAACCATACAATCTTATTCGTAGCCAGCTAGTAAAGCGTGTTACAAAGGGTGTGAGATAATAAATATTCGAATGCAGAGAGAAGGGGACAGGGGGAGGGGAGTTATAAACATAATATGAACACCTTCGTAATCGTGAACAGGAACGGGACTATTTATCATGACCTGATCTCCACGAACCATATATATACGTCCTACCAACATCTGCAGTGTCGAGCACAGAATGCGCATGTCTATCGCAAGACTGGCGAAAGACAATGTATGGGAATGATTCATGTATCTAATTCTTTCCGTGTAAGAGGTCACTCTCGCTTGCAGCAACTCCTTCGAAATGATAAAGGGGTTCGAGACGCGCTGACTTGATCCGGAGGATGTATCGTTTGAAAAACCACGGAAGCCACTCTGTGAGCTGGTAAGAAGCATGCTTGTGAGTAGGTACAGCGAAGACATAATCGAGCTCCTCGAGCGTGCGCTGCTTCGTCTCCGGTACCCAGAAGAAAATCATGATGAATGCGAGGACGTTGAGGCCAGCATAGAACCCAAACGCTCCAGTCGGTGTCATTACATTCAACATGCGAGGGAATGTGATAGAAAGCACGGCAGCCCAGAAGAGACAAGTTGCGACTGCCCAGGACATTCCGACTTCACGATGAGACAGTGGGAATACTTCTGCGGAGTACGTGAACGGGACCGGGCCTTCTCCTGGAGAGTAGAATGCGCCGAACAGGAAAACGAAGAATGCGATTAGTCCCAAGTGGGCCTTGCTCTCCTTTGGAATGTAGAAGCAGAAACCGGCAGCGAGAAGTGTCCATGCCATCTGCGGGAATGTGAACAGCAGGAGAGACCGACGCCCGTAGGTGTCGATTGTGCGAAGAGCGGGGAACGCAAACACGAAATTGACAAGACCGAACCCGAACGAGGCGATCAATGCTGCCTTCTCCGATGCACCGGCCTCCTTGAACACCGTCGACGAATAGAAAGCGATGATATTAATGCCGCACATCTGTTGCGCCATCATAACGATGAATGCTGCAAGGGTGGCACGGCGTATACGGGGAATAGTGAAGAGCTCAATGAATCGAGTGAGATAATTAGACTGGCCAATAAACTCAGATTCAACCTGTAGCTGCGCATAAACGTAGTACAGATCACGAGCAGCCTGTAATGGATGATTGCGCAACCTCAAGAGAGAGTTGTATGCATCACGATAGCGGCCCTTCTTCATGTACCAACGAGGAGACTGAGACGTGGATGCAGAGAGGTTCAGTAAAGTTCGATTTCAGCAGCGAAAGATTTACCTCCGGGCAAAAGTAGATGCCAATGAGGAGTGGCATCGCAGGAATGAATGCCGATCCCAACTGTAGACGCCACGCAATGACTGGCACGTCCATGACTACCATGTTAGCGGCAAAGCCACTGTTGACAAGACTGTCAGATAGATGGCTTAACGAAAAGGATTGGCAGCTCACAGGAAAATACCGAATGCGGTCCACAATTGCCATGCTATGAAATGCAAAAATTAAGTTACGTTTTTTTAAATCAATAATATCGAGACTTACTCATGACCAAACTTCCACGAATTAGTGCAGGAGAGTTTTCAGCAGCGTAAATAGGAACGGTAGACGCTTTGGAACCCATCCCAATACCGAGAAGAAGACGAGTGATGAAGAGTTGCTCCCACGTCTGGGCAAGGCCGGAGCCGATGACAGGAAAGAGACAGAAGATAGCCGAGAAAAAGATGGTACCGCGACGACCGAAATAATTGTTAAGAGGGTCCGAGAGCCAGCAACCACTTGGAAAGGCGCATCGCAGTAAGCAAGGTGATCCAGGCATAAACGGTATAAAACGACGTACAGGACCGCTGATGCAATGTAAGGACCGGCATTGACGAGACCGACAAGGAATGTGTCGCGATCCGAGTCCGTGCCAATTCCAAACTCGACTGGGAAGGACAAGTTGGCACCGTTTGAACCCGTCTGATCCCAGCCCCTTAATGATAAGGAAAGGGGTTGGTGAGTATGGCTTATGGAAATCACTGAATCAAAAGGATCGCTCACTGGACAGCAGCACCGATTGAACAGAGGATGATTGTGAAGTAAAGAGACGTTGGTTGCTTCCATTTGTGCGAAATTTCATAACGGAGAATATCGCGCTCTTCATCCGTTAGGCCCTTCTGGGTCTCAAAGTCCAATGGGTTCTGCGCGGCAATCGCTCCGTGCTTAAGAAGCGGAAGGATATCAGTTAATTCCTGATCTCTAGCAAACCGTTCTACGTCTGCCATGAGTTGATCTTCTGGAATTCCGATCAACGGATTCTTAATCCTGTGGACAAGTGAGCAGCATGAGTTCCCGTGCATAAATTGGTATATCTTCCGAAACTAGAACGATGGAACATACTTTGCAGACACGTTCGCATTGAGGTTGGGGACCTTGCTCATGCCCTGCTCCTGGAAGGAGTACTCATCTGCAACCTTCTCATTAGACATGGTAGGCGAGTGCGCTCTTAATGAAAGGCGACAATGGTTGGGGGAAGGGTAAAGAGCACTCAATGAGAAGAAGGTCCAGAAGAGGACCGTCTGGAGGGGGAGGCAAAGACGGGTGGGAGGATGGATGAAAATTCGACGTTTATATAGATTACTCCGCCCTTCGTTCAGGGTGCAATGCCCATTTCAGATGGCATACGATCGCACTGCCAGGTTCATGGGGTGTCGTCTTTTCCAAGTTGTCTTGTCCGAAAGTCTTGTCCTAGGGCTTGTCCATATTTCTTGTCCCGAATACAATTGCTCGTCCATCAGACTCTTTCCTCTTCCTGTCTTTTTTTCGGCTCTGAAGTTTCCTTATGCGTTTCGGTGCCCCTCGCCTCATTTCTCGAGTAAGTGGACGTCTTCTGCCCATGAATTTTACAACTTTCAAGCTGGAAAGCAGGCCACAAACGCCAAGAAAGGAAGTCTTCAGATCCCGTGATACGTTCCTCTAACGAACGAGACTTGATCAGCGCCAGTTGATGAGAACTAGTGGTTTTCAGGGGTCAGGAAAAATATCTCAAACGGAAAGGGAAATGATTTCAAAGTTAGAAATTGATTGTGTCACGTGGATCGGTCACCAGTCCCAGGAAGTCAAAAAATTTAGCGGTAAGGACAGGAAACACCCCAATATCTGGAAATCAAGTCCGGCCCGTAAGACATGCGCCCATGTGGGCTTTTCAGCAATCATATCAAAGAAATATTTCTCTACGAATATATTGGAGGTCCAACAACTCAATTCTGTATTTGATAATAAGGTTATACGTTCTCTCGGCGTTGAACATGCGCTCACTTCTACACCGCGGGTGATCAAATTACAGATGTAACCTTGAGTCTATTTTTTGCATGTTGTTATCACCGATCAGGTCGAAATAGAACCAAAGCTTCAAAGCACATGGTGAGCGCTGCACAGGCCTAGACGTGTGTGGTCCAGTGCAGGATGGGTAGGGAATCATGTAAGTATCATAGAACCGAGCATTGTACACACCAACCTTGGATGATTAATATTGTACTGATCCACAGCCGAACCGAGGTCAGGAGTAAATCCTAATCCCAGCGTGAATTTCCTGTGCAATTTTTAAAATATAATCTCCATGTTCCGAATACCTCCAACCTAGGAAACCTAAAAGATGGAAAGCTTGAAACATAAAACCACTTCGGATACTGAAGGCCAAAAAGCCAAGAGAATCACGTATGTCGGACAAGTTCGAACCAAACCAGAAAAGGCAACAAACGAAACAGTTTTTCCAGTCGGTTCCTGGGCATTGTGGGGGTTCGGTGGGGACAGGTTTCAATTCCGGTCTCTTAGATCTTGATGGGCCTTCCGAGTTCCGCTCACAAACATAATCCGAAACTACTCCTTGCCTTCTATCCCGACAGTCCGAAGGTGAATGCCGACATATGTCGGCGTTGGCGTTCCTTGGTTCCAATAATGAAACATTAATTACCGAGGTTTACCTGATCACCTTTGGTGGACTGGGTGGGATTCCTTCCGGCCTCTCACTTTGTACTTAGAAACCATTGCCTCAGCCGGAAGCCTGTATTTGCACTTCCTGCGTTTTTTTTTCTTCCCCCTGTGTTCGATATTGCTATAGAGTTTGTCAAATTCTGGTCACTGTCACTCAGGGTCACAGAGCGAATTTCGACGCACCCGACATTCTGAGGGCAACCTCAAGGGTGATTATCGTGCAATCAAAGGGACGAAATAGGAACAGTCAGATAAATGCAAGGCGCGGGGATTCGCGGGGGAGGGGAACCAGCGTGGAGAGTCTGGGACCAAGGGCCTGATTCCTCCATGGCATCAGCATTTCGTTATTGGAGAAGGATACGCCACAGGTTCCGTTAGCCAAATGTTCTCAAACTCGTTATTCCTCTACACCTGCTAGGAACGCTTGGTTCCATTTGTTTGTGCCTAATGCTTGATAACCTGCGTTTTGATGGTACGTATGTTGGGATGCCATGTCAACGGAGACATGATGGGATTCGAGACGAGGTATTATTGCTTGCAAAAATGCAAGGTGAAACAGGAGTGATGGAAAGCGATGAGGGTTGAGAAGACTAGGACAAAGGACGGGACACAGTCGTGCTCGTCAAGACAAGCAAGATGGAGCAAATGACATCGTAATATCTAAGATGGTGTTCTTGTGGAACTTGAGACTCGAGCCTGTTGACGTGGACACACAACCTACACGTTCTTCCGCAAAGCTTCTTCGAAGCGTCGATGGTTTCGATGGAAAGTGCCACAAGGAAGAAGCTTGACGATTCTAGACCTCTGGGAAATCATGTGTTTGCGCAGCCATGCTGGCTGTGTATTGGAGCGTCCTAAAAGGTTCATCTTCTTTTCGCGGGCATGGTGAAACAAATATGATCGAGACTAGGACGAAGACTAGAGCATAAAACTAAGGCAACTCCTGTCAGTTTTATCGGAACCCGATCAATTGTTTGGCGAAATTCAAATTACCGTTGGCTGTGATACCTGTATCTTTTGAGTGTTGCTGTGTGGCTTTTCGGATTCATGGTACACAAAACACGAGTGTAGACGTATCGACATATGCACTCGGAATCTCATAGCAGTTCACTGGATCTTTGTTCGTGGGTCGTGTCCCAATGATTAGCCACTGTGCTTCACCACGGCGAGAAACACAGCGCATCTCCGTAAGTGAAAGAGTGCTGCTCACTAGCGTTCTCACCTTTCCCGATCTCGGCATGAAGACCACTCTCGAAGTACGATGATCGGAGGACCACCATGACACACAAGCCAAACACCCGGAGAAAACCTCTAGAATGAACAAAAGAGTACTCTCCGGCGAAAAGCGCATTCTCGCACAACGATATGTAACTGTGCCAAATCCATATCTCTGCACAAACACGCTGGTCAGTTACGGCCGTCTAAACTGAGAAAGGACCAACGGTTATCGCTCGCATCACTTCGACTAGCTTTTTTACTCCCCTCCTTCGACTTAGCTTTCCTGCTAGCCAAACTAGGCAATTTATCAGTGAGAGTATCCACTTGAAGTGAAACCCCTTTGTTGAAGATAGCTACGCGAGATACGCTAAGTTTTGTTCCTTACTCTGCGGAGATAGTAAGCAAGAAGCGAGTGAGTCGACTGGCATCTGTAATCCCAAAACGAACACAATCGCTTTCAATCTTTGTCGGACATGAAGTTGGAAAAGTCCTCTGACACCACTCGCGTACAGTACGACTCTTAAAAAGAAACACGAATTCACCATACTGCTTACACGGTGGACGTTTCGCACAAAGTCGTATTCTGCAAGTTGTGTTAGACAAAAGGCATCTAACCGAGGAAAATTAGACTCACCAAGTATGTAATCATTGAAGAATGTGGCAAAAAGTAGTTTTTCACCTACTCGGCCATCATCTCAAAGGAACCTTGCAAATAGGAGGACATGGATATATTTATGTTGTGTACAGCTTGTATGTGAAGAGAGGCGTTTGGCTAGCTTTGAATGTGGATTCCGAGAGAGAAGAATCAAAGCTGGAGCAATACTCGTGAACATGGACACATGTTGAATGCAGAGCCTTTCTCTGCAGTAAATTGTTACTTCAACTACTGTAGCTGGTCGCCCGAGGATGGGAACGAAGTTAATGTGAACGACTTGCACATGACAACATGCGCACGTGACTCGAGTCAAAGTCACGTCGAGGCGTTCCGTGACAAATAGTCACGCAAGTTTAGTCAAGTTGTAATATTTCAATTTCAAAGGTTTCCTCCGTCGTTGGTGACAGACCACTCTTTAATCTCTTTCTCTTTCCCTATATTCCTCCAAAATGCCGACGGGAAAGCCTGATCTGTCTGGCTACAACTATGGGGCCATCTCGTCCCTCGTACTCACCGCAGACAAGTCAGGACTGCCACGACGAGACCGTGAACCTGATGGTGCTCCCGAATCTCTGGTGGGACGTATTAATCCGAAAGAGATGGGCTCGCGCGTACAGCGCTCGACGCCAAAAGATTTGGAGAAGAAGAAGAAAAAAGCGACGGAACGTCAAGAGGGTGCTGAGCGACCAACGCGACGGAAAGCAGCCGAGGCAGCTGGCTTTGGGTTCACGGATATCATCGAGGCAACGCAGGACGTAGAAGGTCTGACCTATCGACCTCGGACGGCTGAAACGCGGGAAGTTTATGAGCTTATTCTTGCAACCGTACATCAGACACTGGGGGACCAGGCGATGGACATTGTACGCAGCGCTGCAGACACTGTGCTTGAGACGCTCAAGAATGAGTCGCTGAAAGACTTCGACAAAAAGAAAGAAATCGAGGAGATTTTAGGCTCGGTTCCCAACGAAGCTTTCTCACAACTCGTCAACTTGTCGAAGAAGATAACTGACTATGGTGTCGAGGATGCTGACATGGTGGATCCGGATATGGAGCGCAAAGACGCGGAAATTGATGATGAGTTAGGCGTTGCCGTTGTCTTCGATGAAGAAGAGCAAGAGGAGGAGGAAGATGAGGGATTCGAAGTTCGCGAGGAATCAGACGAAGATGAAGAGGAGGCCGAGCAGGTTGAAGCACCCGAAGGTGCTGAGGAAGAAGAGGAACTTGTTTTCGGCACGGGAGCAACTGGTGACCGTGCCAAGAAACAAAAGGAGGACCAGGAAATCGTTGCTCCACATGAGATAGATGGATTCTGGGTACAACGGCAGGTCACTGAGGTGTACCCCGACCCCGTAACTGCGACCGAGAAGGCGACTGCCGTGCTGTCCATTCTTGGTTCAGAATCGTCTCTCCGAGATTGCGAAAACCAACTCATGGAGCTCTTTGAGTATCAGAGCTTCGGGTTAATCACCAAATTCCTGAAGAATCGTGAGGTCATTGTCTGGTGCACCAAGCTCGCTCGCAGTGATGCAGATGAACGTGTTAATGTCGAGGTAGCAATGCGTGAGAAGGGCGTGGGCTGGATTCTCCGTGAACTGGCTGGAGACCGAAAAGCAAAGGCGGCTGCAGCTGGCGAGGTAATGGATGTCGACGAGAAGCCCCAAGTCCAACAAAACGTACCCAAGACAGGTACTCTGGCCCCGGGTTCTACAGCACAACCAAGACAAATGCTGGACCTGGAGGGCATGGCGTTCAGCCAGGGCGGTCATTTGATGTCAAACAAAAAATGTAAACTACCTGAAGGCTCGTTCAAACGCTCAAAGAAAGGCTACGAGGAAATTCACGTTCCTGCCCCGAAGAAAAAGGACTTGGATTCTTCTGAGCAAGTGCCGATTTCCTCTCTTCCAGAGTGGGCGCAAGCGGCTTTCCCGGGAATCAAGCATCTTAATAGGGTGCAGAGCAAGCTGTACCCTATTGCTTTTGGTCAGGACGATCCGATTCTTCTTTGTGCCCCCACTGGTGCCGGAAAGGTCTGTCGAGAATGTTTGCTCTTATTCCGCTCTGATCGCTGAACTTAGCATTTTAGACGAATGTCGCCATGCTCACATTCCTCAATGAACTGTCAAAAGTTCGTGACGAAGAGACTGGCGAGTTTGACCTCGATTCGTTCAAGATCGTTTACGTTGCGCCGATGAAAGCGTTGGTCCAAGAGATGGTTGGCAACTTCGGAAAGCGCTTGGCACCTTATGGTGTCAAAGTCAGCGAACTTACCGGTGACCATCAACTCACGAAGCAACAGATCGCCGAGACGCAAATTATCGTGACCACACCTGAAAAGTGGGATGTCATCACCCGTAAGAGCACGGACATGAGCTACACGAATCTCGTACGACTCATGATTATTGATGAAATTCATCTACTCCATGATGAGCGTGGGCCTGTTCTAGAGAGTATCATTGCAAGGGCGATTCGTCGTATGGAGCAGACGAACGATTACGTACGTCTTGTTGGACTTTCTGCTACGCTACCAAACTACCAGGATGTTGCTACTTTCCTTCGCGTCGACGAGAAGAAGGGTCTATTCTATTTTGACGCTTCTTTCCGTCCTTGTGGGTTGCAGCAGCAATTCATCGGTGTCACCGAGAAGAAAGCCATTAAACGATATCAGGTCATGAACGAGGTTTGTTACGAGAAGCTTCTCGAGCAGGCCGGGAAAAATCAGACACTTGTCTTTGTTCATTCGCGCAAGGAGACCGCGAAGACGGCTAAGTTCATCCGCGATATGGCTATCGAGAAGGAGACAATCACGCAATTCGTTCGAGCCGAAGCCGCTACACGCGAGATCCTTGAGCAAGAATCCCAAAATGTGAAGGATCCTAATTTGCGTGATTTGTTGCCATTCGGTATTGCGATTCATCATGCTGGGATGTCTCGTGAGGATCGTGGGCTTGTTGAAGATCTCTTTGATGATGGCTCCGTTCAGGTTCTCGTCTGTACTGCTACGCTCGCGTGGGGTGTCAATTTGCCAGCGCATACCGTCATCATTAAGGGTACGCAGATCTATAACCCGGAGAAGGGTCGTTGGGTAGAGCTGTCCTCGCAGGATGTATTGCAGATGCTCGGTCGTGCCGGTCGACCACAGTACGACACATTTGGTGAAGGAATTATCATCACCAATCATTCAGAATTACAATACTACCTCAGCTTAATGAACCAACAACTGCCGATCGAGTCACAGTTCGTCTCGAAACTGGCCGACAATCTTAATGCTGAAATCGTCCTTGGTACCATTCGGAATCGTGATGAAGCCGTGCAGTGGCTTGGTTACACATACTTGTAAGTTCATGCAATTCATGGCATTTGTTAAGATAGCGTTAACCAATATTTCTAACAGATATGTGCGGATGCTTAAGTCCCCGAGCCTGTATAGCGTCGGACCAGACTACCTCGATGACGATCCTATGCTCATTCAAAAACGTGCGGACATCGCGCATTCTGCGGCAGCGCTCCTAGAAAAGTGCAACTTGATCAAGTATGAACGCCAGTCTGGAAAGTTCACATCAACAGAGTTGGGAAGGATTGCCTCGCATTTCTATGTGACGTATAACTCGATGGCGACATACAATCAGCACCTGCGACCGACAATGACCACCCTCGAGCTCTTCAGAGTATTTGCACTGTCAAATGAGTTCAAACTCATTCCGGTTCGTCAAGACGAGAAGGTGGAGCTTAGTAAACTCCTTGAGCGTGTCCCGATTCCGGTGAAGGAGAGCGTAGAGGAGCCAGCAGCGAAGATCAATGTGCTATTGCAGGCGTATATCTCACAACTCAAACTAGAAGGATTTGCACTCGTTGCTGACATGGTGTTCGTGCAGCAGTCTGCCGGACGTATTCTTCGCGCCATGTATGAGATTTGCCTGAAACGTGGCTGGGCTATTCCTACACGTGCTGCTCTCGACCTTTGCAAGATGGTGGAGAAACGTATGTGGGGTTCAATGACCCCGTTGCGTCAGTTCAAAGGTGTCCCTGCGGAGGTCATACGCAAAGCTGAAGGAAAGCAGTTCCCTTGGTATCGTTACTTCGATTTGACGCCGCCCGAGATTGGTGAGCTGATTGGCATTCCAAACGCCGGCAAACTAGTCCACCGCCTTGTCCATAATTTCCCGAAGTTGCATCTACAGGCACAAGTACAGCCTATCACGCGGTCGCTCTTGCGTATAGATCTGTCGATTACGCCTGACTTCCGCTGGGACGAAAAAGTACATGGCGGTGCTGAACAATTCGTAATCATGGTTGAAGATGTCGATGGGGAAATCATCCTCTTCCACGATACGTTCGTCCTTCGGCAGCGCTATGCAGAGGATGAGCATAACGTCACATTGACGGTGCCGATGTTTGAACCAGTGCCACCGAACTACTACGTCTCTGTGGTCTCAGAACGCTGGTTGCATTCAGAGACGCGCCTTCCGATTTCCTTCAAACACTTGATCTTGCCAGCCAAGTTCCCTCCACCCACATCGCTCTTGGATTTACAACCGCTTCCGCTTTCCGCTCTTCATAACAAAGAGTTCGAGAGTATCTATTCATCGACAATCAAGAACTTCAACAAGATCCAAACTCAAGTGTTCCAGGCCCTATACACAACTGATGACAACGTCTTCATTGGTGCACCGACGGGCAGTGGCAAAACCATTTGCGCTGAGTTCGCGCTCTTGCGATTGTGGTCGAAACGCGACCCTCCACGCGCGGTCTGTATTGAACCGTTCCAAGACATGGTTGACCAGCGAGTTGCGGAATGGCGGGCTAAGTTCGGCAATCTTCAAGATGGGAAGGAAGTAGTCAGCTTAACGGGCGAAACGAGTGCGGACTTGCGCCTTCTCGAAAAGGGTGATGTAATTGTTTGCACTCCGGTCCAATGGGATGTATTGTCCCGTCGGTGGAAGCAGCGAAAGAACGTACAGAATGTCGGTCTGCTCATTGCAGATGAAGTGCAGCTCGTTGGCGGGGAGATTGGACCTGTATACGAAGTCATAATCTCACGAACGAGATACGTATCTGCTCAGACCGAGACTAAGACGAGAATTGTCGCTTGCAGCGTATCTCTTGCGAACGCTCGGGATCTAGGTGATTGGATGGGTGTACCAAGCCATGCCATCTTCAACTTCCCGCCTAGTGCTCGTCCGTTGGATATGGACATCCACTTGCAGAGCTTCTCTATTCCGCACTTCCCTTCGTTGATGATAGCCATGTCGAAACCGGCATATCTTGCAATCTCTGAATATTCGGTTGTCAAACCCGTCATTATCTTCGCGCCGTCTCGCAAGCAGTGTGCCATGACTGCAAGTGACATCTTACTCCACGCCTTGGCTGACCGAGACGAGAATCGATTCCTCAATATCGAGGAAGAGGATCTCCAGCCACACTTGGATCATGTTACTGATCGTTCGCTCGTGGAAAATTTGAGACACGGAGTCGGCATCTACCATGAAGCTCTGAATAAACAAGACAAGAAGATCGTGGAACGATTGTTCCAAGCGGGAGCAATCCAGGTTGTCGTTGCTTCCAGAGTACGTTCATTGTCCACGTTTGTAGTGCTTATTCTAACTTTTGAGATAGGACGTTGCCTGGAGTATTCCATTATCCAGCTATATGACCATCATTATGGGTGTTCAATACTTTGAGGGCAAGGAACATCGCTATGTCGACTATCCAGTCACAGATGTCTTGCAAATGATGGGCAAAGCTTGTCGACCATTGGAGGATGATCGTAGCCGATGTGTTCTGATGTGCCAACAGACGAGAAAAGACTTCTACAAGAAGTTCCTAAGTGAAGGCTTGCCTATAGAGTCTCACTTGCCAACACACATGTTGCACGATTATTTCCTTGCAGAGATCGCTGTCAAGACCATCGAGAACAAACAGGATGCAATGGTATGCTGCGTATGTTCCTTTACTAGCTGCAAATGCTGATTTTTAAAATTATAGGATATATTGACCTGGACCTACTTCTACAGGCGGATGACACAAAATCCGAACTATTACAACCTGAGCGCTGTTAGCCATCAGCATCTCTCAGACCATTTATCCGAGCTTGTGGAGAATACGCTTAATGATCTTGTTCAGTCGAAATGTATTGCTATTGGTATGTTGTGCCACCGAGTCGTCGAATATGCTGCTTACATCATTTATAGAGGATGAAATGGACGTTTCGGCACTGAACCTCGGAATGATCGCTGCCTACTACAATATATCCTGTGCGTGCTAACATGTTTTTGACGTGAGACTTGTACTTAAGATCATTTGCAGACGTCACTGTAGAGGTGTACACTCTTTCGTTGAAGGAGCGAACTAAGCTAAAAGGTCTACTCGAAGTCGTCGCTTCTTCCGCAGAGTTCGAATCCATTCCCATTCGTCGACACGAAGATGTTATTCTCCGACGCATTTATGATCGTGTTCCCGTCAAACTTGACCGACCCGACTTTGAAGCACCACACTTCAAAACCTTCTTGCTCCTCCAGGCTCACTTCTCGCGATTGCAGCTTCCTCCCGACCTTGCGTCAGATCAGGCGCTCGTGCTCGAGAAGGTGTTGAATCTGCTGTCTGCTTGCGTTGACGTTATGTCATCAAATGCTTGGCTGAGTGCCCTTGGGGCTATGGACTTATCGCAGATGTGCGTGCAAGCCATGTGGGAAACAGATTCACCCTTGAAACAGATTCCGCATTTCGAGCCGGATGTACGTATTCACATTCATTTGATTTTTGCTGTAATGCTTATGATTGTTCTAGGTCGTTAAACGGTGCCAAGAAGCAGGCGTGGAGTCCGTATACGATATTATGGACATGGAAGATGACAAACGCAACCAGCTTCTGCAAATGGACAACCGCCAAATGTAAGGGCCTTTTGCTGTCTTCTTGATTCACTTTGAATATTAATTTTCGAATTTTAGGCGCGACGTCGCTGCTTTCGTCAATTCATATCCGACGCTAGAGGTGGAGCCGGAACTCGTGAAAGGTGACTACACGGCCGGAGCATCCATTGTACTCCAAGTTGCTCTCTCCAGAGATGCAGACGAGGATGACGAGGACGATCAGCGCGTCGTTGCGCCGTTTTATCCAGGTCGTAAGATGGCGAACTGGTGGCTCGTTGTTGGTGAACCCAGCACAAAACAACTGTTGTCAATCAAGCGAGTCACAGTCAAGAAGAGTCTCGGTGTCAAGCTCGAGTTCACACTTCCTAAGGGCAAGCACTCGCTCAAACTCTACGTTATTTGTGACTCCTACATGGGTGCGGACCATGATATCAACCTGGACCCGATTGACGTTGCAGAAGGTGAAGACAGCGACGAAGACATGGATAGCGATGAGGAGATGTCGGAGTAGATTAAGCTTTGTAGGGCGGGAGTAACTACTCCTTTGTCCCATTTGCTTGTGTATTATTTTTTATTCATTGAGACGTACTACTTGTTTTGCAATGTGTAATATGAAACTAATCGCAATTTCGGTGCGATACGGCAGACGATTTTTGCTTGGAGCCAAAATAATAATAAGCAAAGTTGTGTGGATAATGTGTATTATTTATTTCGGGAACGCGGCACCAACTTGTTGCTTTTATGCGCTCAGCGCGCCAACGTCATCGGGCCAGCACCCCAGCTGCGCACACGTTTCTCTATCTTTTAATTGTATTTTATCCCGTCCTTCAGGGCATCGCTGAGGGTTGTACTTCTTCTTGAGCATGCCTGCTTTCCGGGGCACAGGTATGTCACTCGTTTATTGATGGCGGTTGGCTAGAAAGCTGACATTCTTGCAGGCGAAGGTACAAATAATGAATATTACCAGGGCACAAGCACACTTCAAGCTCGCGCAGAGAACTCTTCTGAAGCCGCAGCACTTCCAAATGGGTGCGTCGTACTACTATTCATATGTATCGAATTCCGTACTGAAACGTATGCTTGTCTCAGTCAGAAGGCCCTTACGCCTATCATTGCAGGTGCAATTTCCGGTACTTGCATCGGCGTTGCATGGCTCGTTGCACTCATCGTGATACTCGTGAAACGTTTCCGACGAAAACGACGTTACAAGAGAGTGGGACAAGGTGGCAAATTGTCGGAAGAGGAGGAACAACGCGCAGCTGAGTTCATCGTACCGCCAGACCCAGCTGTGCTACAGGGAAGCCACCTACCTGGCGAGCGGATCGTTGTACCGGAGAAACAGAAGTGGTGGAAGAGGCGGCGACGATCGAAGTCTTTGAGTCGGGAGAAGGGCAAGGCAAGGGACGAAGGTGTACCACCCAGAAGACGACATACGTCGGCACCCGAATCTCCTTCTCCACGAGAACAAGACGAACAACTAGTCACTCCAACTATTCTCGTGCAAGATGAAATGTGCGCATCTCCACAAAGTGTATCAACACCGACGCATCCTGCTTTCCATCGTTTGTCGACAATCGTATCCGTAGCGATGTCCCAACGATCTTCTAACAAATCTCCTCCTCCAAACGGAGATGCTTCGAGACGAGACGACGTCAACGACGTTGACTTTGTCTCTAATCCACCTGCCACTACTAACGCCAGTCGGGAGCATACATACCCACCCTCACGTCGCTCGTAACGATTTATGGTATGTTTGGCGTTCTTTCCATTGTTAGCCCGTCACTGCAGCTCATGCCTTCTACATAGAACGTTCTGCTATAATCACATCTAACTTTATATTCGGGTGCTATCTCATAATATATAACCGTTTTACTTCGAGGATAGGATTGATTGTAATCCATACTATACAAGACTTTGCATGAACTTTGCACTTCACCAGAAAGCGTTTCCCTCCAACGTTAATTCGTCTGGAGGTCCTTCAATCACAATATGCACCAACACTCGCGGGCTGCAAAAGCTTGAGAACGCATAAAGAAGGGTCCTTCACCGGATTACTCACCTCAACATCTCGAGCGTAGCGTAATAGCACACCTCGCTTCACTTTCAGCGGGTGTTCAGCTGCTTCCCATTCCTTCTGGCGCTGAATCTTCGTCTCTTCATCGACTGTCCAGTCGATCGTCCGTGCCTTCGCATCGACAACGATTTTGTCGCCGTCATGGACCAGGGCAATGGGTCCGCCGACTTGTGCTTCAGGTACAACATGGCCTAATTTCGCACATTACGTTTTTAGCCTCATGTTTGAGACATGCGGAGAGGTGTTGTTGAATTCTAAAGACTTTAGTTACCTATGATGAAACCGTGGGACGCCCCGCTGAACCTTCCATCCGTGATCAAACAAACAGACGAACCGAGTCCCGCTCCCATTATCGCACCAGTCGGCCCTGTAGAAATAATCACGCTGAGCTCATAGAAATACACGAGACCGCAGAGGGCTCACCAAGCATCTAAGAAGACGGTTAAAGTGATCACAAGGATTACAAGGAAATAATTTATCAAACTTACCTCTGGCATCCCTGGCGCACCTTTCGGCCCTTGGTATCGGAATATGACGACCGTCTTTGGGACGATCTCACCGGCGGCAAGGGAAGGATAGAAGTCATCGATGCTGTTGATGATCAAGGGATATGATGAGCAAGTTTTGTTTGTACAACAAGAAGTATTGATAAACTCACTTGTCGAAGCACTTCGCCGTACCCTACGAAGTCAGGTCAGCGGCAATTTCGGTCACTAAACTTCAAAGAGTGATGCTCACTTCAAAATGATAGCCTTCTTTACCCGTCAATTTCGCTACAGCAGTCCCAGGGCAAAGGCTTCCTCTCATAATTGTAATATGGCCAGTTGATTTTATCGGATTCTCCAACGGCCTGACAACATTCTGAGTTTCGAAGTTCAGCTCTGGGATATCGGCCAAGTTCTCAGCCAAGGTTTTTCCCGTGACCGTCATTTGGCTGCCGTCGAGCAGGTTGGTGTGAGTGAGGAGATATTTCATCACAGCGGGGATGCCCCCTGCTCTATGCAGATCTTCCATATAATACTTCCCGGACGGCCTAGTGGTCATTATTATTCACAGAGTGACATGTTGAGTTTGATAGTTCCTTACTTGAGGTCAGCCAAGAATGGGGTACGATCTGCTATCTCCTGGAAGTCATTAATGGTTAGGTGGATATCCGCCGCCCTTGCCATTGCAAGAAGATGGAGGACCTAAAGGACCCTTATTTCAATTTGAAACGAGGAAGAGGAAGAGGAAAACCGATATACGGAATTGGTGGATCCTCCTATCACGTTCGTCACCACAACGGCATTCAAGAACGAATTTCTCGTCAGAATATCCCTAAAGTATATTTGCAACGTTGTCAGGACCAAGTCACTAACGGATGATGCGAAAGTTCGGAACCTTGGCTTAATGTCCTTTTCCAGTAGAGTCTTCAAATACTTTGCTGCTCTTCTGCATTCTTGCATCTTCTCTGTAAGTGACATTAGCCTTATTAGCAAGTGTCGATTCAGCTATACTGTGGCCTGTGTAAAAACGAGCCTGGATATTTCGCTGGAATGCCGGAAGAATACGGTAAAGTCATTCCGAGGACTTCGAGAGCCGTGCTCATCGTGTTTGCCCTATCACGCGCTTCAGCATCGAATCTCTGTTTCAGAGTGAAGCTTAATAGCTCACGTATACATGCCTCCGCAGGCACCTGCTCCAGGACATGAATGTCTCACAACATCGAACCTCTCTTCGTCCGTGATCTTTCCGACAGTATATGCACCTGTATTGTAGCCACAATAAGCAAGACCGACACACTCAGTATCTACAACAGGCAAACGAACCGAATGACTCGAAAGCGTCAGATATATTGGCTGTATCACCCTTCTTATACCCCAGTGCAGGACAGTCTAAATGCCTTACGCCAGCCTGGATAGTTCCTCCGTAAATAATGACGGTAGGGCGATTATGGCGCGCTGCAGCCATGAGGCACCCGGGCATATTCTTGTCGCATCCTGAGACCCTGTTAGCAATTGTTAGATATCATTATGGGATCATACCTGGTATTGCAATGTTCCCGTCAAAGTGTTGTGCCTGGGGTAGATGATTGTTTTGTTTCAATCTCCATTAAAACCACACTTGACCTACCATGACAACCTTGACAGACAATAAAAATCAATCGTAAATTACTTGAGCGACTGACTATGACCTACGGATTCGATCGAGTCCGCGATCAAATCTCTGCTTGGAAGTCTTCAAACACAAGATTTAGCATTTATTGTCTACATTTGGGTTTATGATCGACTTACGAATAGTGCATTCCTAGAACAGACAGTATTCAGAGACATAAACGACCACATATGACTTCAAACTCTTTTACCATCGTTTCCTTGAGTAATGCCATCACTGTTTTAATTTCATGAAGTATTCTGTGATTTTCTTATCAATGGGAAGGTGCACCTAATTCCGATAGTATTGAAAATCAATCCCACAAGGCCTTCATCTTCACAACCCTTCTTTACTTCTCGTGCGAGATCAAGCTACAACCTTTTAGTCAGAAGCATGTAGACGATACAAGAAGAACGGCAGTACTAAATGCGTGTTGCAGGGGTTGCCTTTGATAGGAAAAAGTTAACTATATGCGACGAGAACCAGAACTCATCATTTTATGGAGCACAGACCTTCCCACCACATAGAAGAAATTCCAATCTATTGTAAGAAATAAATCAACCCTTTGCTTCGCACAGAATAATTTCCATTCTTACTTGCGCCTTGTTCATATCTTCATCCGATAGGCCAGCAGCGTAGACTGTTCACGGTTCACTTCTTGGGATTGTCTCATTGTGAGAATAATCAAAGCTCACGCATAGCTTGAGCGCCACCGAATGTCTAGCGGATCACGGATTTAATTGAACTGTGCCGATAGAGCGGAGAATAACTCGACGTCACCTTGTTTTGAGTCCTTGAAAGAACGCCTCAGCCTTGGCCAAAGATGAATACATGGCCAGACTTACAGATAACTCGAGATTTTATTTAGCCGTACGCCATTTGAGTCTGACTTGGGGATACTGTGACTATGAATAGATTTCAGTCAGCTTGGAATATTCCAGTATCGTGAATAGCAGCATTGTTTACATCTGAACACCTGCAGACATGTTGAAGTTCTCTCCAAATCGTCTTAGGGAAAGGATTGACTTGGCAGACAGGAGAGACGCAGTGCTTTTAGCTGCAATCCCGATAGGCTTCGGCCCGACGGCATTATCGAAGTAAGGTCATGGGTTATGGACACTGAAAAACGTCGATTATGATTGGCGACGCATTATTTCCATAGCCCGAAACACATATTCAGCAAAACCAAAATTTTCAGCCGTCCCGTTGTATTTGCCCTGCAATCGTCGAGATGGTAGGTAATCAGCAAGAGGCATTTTATGTAAAGATGGGTCAATGACGTTCAGAGCCAAACTGGTGCGCAGATCTAAGTCTCTCGGCAAGGGGCGGTTCTTCTATCTGAACCTGGATTCTACTCTCATGTATGGAATCATTAATTTCCCCTCAATAACTGGCTATACGTCAAGCGCTTGTACTCTTATAACTCTATTAAACAGCGCTAAATGGAGTCTCCGGTGGCCGCACTTATCACCCCTAAGCACACGTCTAAACGTGACCTGGGAGTTCACAGCCCACACTTGTAGCTACTCTCTTCCCTTTCTCAAGTACATACTGTTCTACCAGGTGTACCAATAGTGCTGTACCCACGTATCTGACGAGAAAATGTCACCGAAATTCAAGGTTGCAATCTGGTTCGTCTATCTAAGCTTTCTATCTTGAGTTAATCTGGATCTCTGACCGCCTTGATTAGCGGAGGAGGAATCAGTGGTCTTTGCCTTGCCGTAGCTCTGTCAAAATTTGCAGATATTGAATTTCACGTCTACGAAGCGGCAGAGCGTTTCAAAGAGATTGGAGCCGGAGTCATGATATGGACGAGAACGTGGACTATTCTTGAGCTTATGGGCCTTGCTGAGGAATTCTCAAGAATCGCGCACGCACCTCCAGACGGCTCTCTTGGTAAACGCGCACTTATTTGCAAGCTAGCGCTGATGCTCATGTCCGTATATAGGCGTCGGATTTGACTTCAGGAAGTCCGACCAATCAGCGGAAGGGTTCCGCTTCCATCTTGTTGAAGTTCCCCGTAAGTACCCACTAAACAGCACTTATCGCCCTTATTGATGCGTGCGGGATGAGATGGCTGTATTCGCTTCCATAGGGCGGACTTCCTCGATGTATTCGTAAACAGTCTTCCAAAGGGTGTCACCTCCTTTCGGAAACGACTCTTATCTTACACCCCTACTGACAATGGGATTACCCTCTTATTCCATGACGGTGACAAGGCTATATGCGATCTTCTGGTTGGATGTGACGGGATAAAATCCGTTGTTCGGAGCCAGCTATTTGAGTCATTATCTGGTAACGATGAACGGAACTTACGTGGTTTTATTGATCCTGTTTTTACTGGCATTACGGCATACCGTGGCCTAATTTCTGCTGATCGACTACCAAAGAATAAAGACGGAAGCCCTCACAATGCAGTAGAAAGGCCCATGATGGTATGCAATAAATCACTGATACGCGACCAGTCGGTTGACTATAATTCACAGTATTGCGGGAAAAGCAAGGCTAGTGCTCCTGTAACTATCGAGTCGTCCAGGACTCAACGTCATCTAGCATGTCGTCAGCTATTCCATTGCACAAGGGAAAATCGTCAATGTCATCACGTTCGCATCCGACAGGCAGAAGGAGAATTCGGAATACAAAGGCGCTTGGGTATCAGAATGCTCAAGGCAAGAGCTTCTAGATTGCTATTCAAACTGGGAACCTGAAGTTCAGACCCTGCTACAGGTATGTTGTAATTCTAGAATGCTGGCATTGCTTGACATGTCCAGAATTTAGTTTATAGAGAAACCTACCAAATGGGCGTTACACCACCTCAAGCCGCTTCCTACCTACGTATCGGCCAACATTGCGCTTGTTGGAGATTCTGTACGGTGAATACCTTTTCCGTCTCGGTAAATGACTTATGACGCCGTTTAGGCGCACGCTATGCTTCCCCATCAAGGCGCTGGCGCCGGGCAAGCTATCGAGGTGAGATAATTCCGCAACTGACAGCGGATCGCTACCATATCGTTTATTAGGATGCATATGTACTAGCTCAGATTCTAGGAAGTTCTATGTGTACTCGGAAGACCTTGGCTTACGCACTCAAAGCATACGAGTATGTCCGTCTCCCGATGGCAAACGACGTTCTGCAAGGTTCAAGAGACTCAGGCTTGATGTATGAATTTGACTATCCAGGCCTTGGAGAACACTATGCTGCCCTGGGGCCAGTTATTCAGAGCCAATGGGACTGGGTGTGGGCGAGTCATCCTGAGGAAGAAGTGGGAAAAGGGATAGCACACTTTAGAGCAAGTCTTCAACAGTGATAAAAAGTAATTTGCTCTTGCACTTTGTACTTCTTGCCTTCTTTGAATTGTGTATGGACTCGGGACGGAATAAGCCATTAATATAACTTTTTTTCGGATACGATGGCGTAGTAAAAAGTTGTGAATAATACCATTCTGTCACTTACCAAGTCCCTGGTAGTATATCGGCTGAGTACACGCGCCTGTCACTGTGATGAACGCGCGAGAGCGGGGTTCGACTCCCCGCCAGGGAGATTTATTTTATTGTTGTATTTTCTTGGTTTATTTATTGAATAATTTCTTTGCTTAATATTTTTTCAAAAGCAAAACATCATATATCTTTATTTTGCATAATTTTAACTGAGTCTAAGTTATCTAACAGTTGGTGGCAGGCACATGGTTGTATTTGACTCTGTTTGGCAGAAGTTGATTTTGTGGTGAGGTCAGCTGATCAATACAAGGATGGCAACAGTCTCAACAGCAGCCAACAACTGACCAGTCTCCTGTTGGCAGGTGCAGCTGAACCCTCACTGAGTAGAGATGTCAGACAAAGGAGAAATCGATGAACTGGAATCCGACTACGGAGATGCTGAAGAATACGACTCGAAGGACCCAAACGTGTTCCAAATAAGGTATGCAGAGAAGCGCTCGTTCAGTATGTTTCGATCTTCTCAATGGTTCGCTATGTCTCTTCTTCGAATTCAGAGATCCCTTACCTCCGCCCTCGGCATCTGTATATACAACGCAAGAACTTCATCAGCTCATACACGAAGGTCACGTTGATCTAAGTCCTCCATACCAAAGAGGTGTGTTGGGTCTTTGACTAAGTGGTTCTATGTCATCATGGTTGATTTATCCTTGCTTGAATACAGCCGTCGTCTGGAGCAGGGAGAAGCAAATCACGTTAATAGAGTCGATATTTAGGAATTTTTACATTCCTCCTGTGCTATTTTTCGTTCGGCCCGAGTCTGATGACCCTGATCTCCCCTTGAGAGTGTGTATGGACGGAAAACAGAGACTGTCGTCTATTCAGGCATTTTTCGATGGCCAGGTATGTAGTTATCTAGTTATCTACATGGTAGTGCGTTCAGTACTGAATTGGTTGTCTTTAGATTCCCTGTGAGCTCACTCTTACTTAGTTTCGCTGTTGGGTCCACTGACAGACACAACCACCAAAGACAGAGACCCGGTCACGAAAAAGATGTTCTACTACACCCTACCTAGTACTCAAACCGGAAAGAAACTTCTAATACCTCAGAAGTTTAAACAAGACTTCTCTTCAAGGCAGATTACTTGCGGTACGGCTGTCTGTTTGCATTGTTCCATTTATTGCTCATTATCAGCTACAGTGGAGTTCAGAGGCATTGAACCTGCAATTGAACGCGACATTTTCCAAAGAGTGCAACTCGGAGTTGCCCTAACCGCAGCCGGTAAGTCGGACCGTATTACTACACATCTTATCCGTTGACAAGATATTTGTTTTTTTAGAGAAAATTGCGGCTATATCGTCGCCGTATGCTGACTGGATAACTGAGCTCGACAACAAACACATTCGTGGAGTTGACGATGGCTTGAATGTGGTCATCAGATGGGACGCAAGTCGAGGAAAGCACTTCCTATGTATTGCGCAACTTGCGTATTGTTGCGAGAACCTACCCAGGCGAACGGATCCGACAACTCAGAAGATTACGGCATGGCTACACCGGGTCGACGCACCAGGAGAGCAATTCAAACAGGAAATGGACCAGGTGCTCAGTAAATACTGGCTCATCGCGAACTCCGACGAGCTTAATCAAGCGTTCACTGAGGTCAAGCAAATTGTCGCACCGGTCGAGTTTGTATTTATTGGTATGGTGTCTAAATTGGTGGTCATATTCACAGAATTAACAAAGTCCTTTTAAATTCTTTTACAGGCGTCCTTATTGGTGTCCTACAAAACTGCAGTGACTCGATCATTGCAGAAGAAGTTCTTGGTATTCGGCAAACTGTTCGTGCGGTGCACAAAGACGTCCGGGCAAATAAAAGCGTTGCGACGACGTTATGGGATTACATCGAGCAGGCAGCAAAGCGACGTGGCATCAACATGAAGGACTTGAACTCGACTGCTGTCACCAATGGCACAAGCAACGGGAAGAAGCGAAGGCGAGATGCCGGAGATGATGAATACAGGTCCACTCCGATCAAAAGCTTGGGTGCCAACCCGAAAACACGATCAAGGGCTGGGAAGTGATGAAGGACTGGCTGGATTCAAAAGCTTTCATCGTCATAGTCTTATAGAATACCTGTCTGGAGGACTAACTATGTACATAATGCCGGACGTTTTCTTCTACATTACCCGTGTAATTATGCTATCGTTCCGCCCCGGCTCGTATACCACGTCATGCCGTCTTTGTCTGTAATACTCCTCGCAAATTTCATGAGTAATTTGTCCCTCTCCTTGCTGTCCACTGCAATGTCGTCTAAGAATGGCGTAATATCTGCTGCCTTCCATCTCGTCTGGACAAGGAAGAGTTCCGAAAATCGATCCGCCGGATTTATGGGGAGTTCCGATGCAGGAAAATATGACAACATTGGGTTTGTCGTTGCTGACTGGTGAGAAGTTATAAAATTGCCCTGCAACCGACGTTCAGTAATTTAAATCGTCAAGCAATGGGAATGAGAACGGTAATTTTTACCTGCAGTAGTGTTAAGTCAACGCATTTTTCGAATGAGTCGCCTGCTAAGTTCCTCCATTTGCTCAAGAATTCATTTCGGTCGACGAGAGTACTCTAAAGTAGTAAATGAGGATAAGTTTAATATAAATCACTGATATACTTACTCGATAATTGCTCAGGACGCCGATTCCAAGCTGCCTCACCACCGCCCCAACGTCCATAGTCCATGTCTCCGACTGTAGAGTCGACGAACGGACGGTCCCGAACCACGACATGACTTGCTTGGGGATCTCCGGAGGTATTTCATGATCTGATTGCAAAGTCTCTACAATGTCCATCACGGACACCGCATCAGGTGGCAGAGACAGTGAGACCATGGTATTGAGCATAAGCTCAAGAACGTTATTCAGATAGCTGGGCGTCATCGGACGGAGTTCGCCTTTGAGGACCAGAATATGCATATCTCGTAAACCAGCTTCAAGCTCAGTGTCGCTAGCTTGGAGTTCAGATTTCACATCTGTGAGCAGGCGCCGTTCACGAACCTGTCTAACTTTCTTTAGAGAAGGACGAGGGCTGGACAGGTGAAGGTACTCACTCGATCATCCGCGTCCTCGTCATACTCACAACCCCTTAACATACCGCGCAGCCTATGCATCTTCGCAACTGTAGGCGATAGTTCAAGGATTTGTTCTATATTTGCCCGTATGATGGCGTCCCCGCTCTCGTCATTGCTTGGTGGAGTCAAGACACAGAATGAATTGGATACGGAGATGGCGCGTATGTTATATGTCTTATCAGCGGTACATAGTACCGCATCGTCGTCATCTCTCCCACACATTGTTATTCTAATATTATTATACATCAGACTCATGTCCGGAACGGCGACAGCATGCTAACAACTCAACTGAGTTTGTGTACCTTCCTGGATAACTTCCAGAAGCTCTTTGGGCAGTTCCATTAATCTATATCGACCTGCACCCGGCTCGCTTTGTGGTGCAAAGTGAAGAGTGTATTCAGCCATGGTGAAGTGAACGGAGCAAGGACGTGATGGACGCGATATCGGATGGTCGAGACGCAAAAGACGCGTTCATTCTAACGCGTCTGTGGCGTGAGAAGGTATTATTAAGCGTGAAACATGAGTATATCTGCAGGATCACTTCACAAAGTCATTTCGTCTCATGAACGACTGCTTCTGCCACGTTGCGACCTGCATGTCTAAGGCCAGTCTGTCTTCGGATGCTTTCAACTTCTGTTTGAAAATCAATGATGCAAATCTTCTCATAATTTTCTGGCTACATGAACAATTCTGGGACGGACTGAGTGAGACTGGACTTGTCGACAAGTCAATCAGTTCAATTGTAAATGAGTCTCAGGAATTCTCAAATCTAACATCAAGAAATAAGACCAATGAAGTGACCCATCTTGTGCGCATCACCCTGCTTGCTGCCTGCCGACTCTTGCTGTCCAGTATACGCGTGTGCTAGTCACTTCAAGCAGGCTAGGGCGCCTTAAAGGCGAACGGGCGTACCTCTCCTCCTTCAGCTGGTCCGACTGAAAGCTCCTTTGCTACTCTCTGATTAATCTCTGTTATCGGTCGTCTGTGACACCGTGGTTTATTGTCAGATAAAATGATGGTACGTATATAAATTTCAAGTTGATAATAAAACGTCCAATCCTCATTTCATATGTGCAGGCTCCCCAACAACATGCGCAACCGCAGAACAGTGTTAGCCAGCCGAAACGACAAGCTCGCTTTGCTGGTCGTCTAAGCCCCCAGCAATCTCTTAAGCGGGCCATGCCAGTGATCTCTGAAGCACTTCGGACGAACCTCCGTAGTCGACCTCGTGAAGGCGCACCGAACGGATCACAGCAAAATGTGTTCCGACCGAAGAGCGGAGCAGATGCTTATCTTTGCCTCGATCAGAGATTGGGGACAGATTCGTGTATCAGGGCGTTTGAGCCGGACTCACGTTCGCAGAAACCTTTAGTTGATTTACCTCGCTCCGCGACTCCTGCTAAAAAGACAGTGCTACCGATTGGCAGCTCTATGGATAGTCGACAAGTACAGTCGGATGCAGAGACGGCGCCAGGACGGAAGACTGCAGTTCAATTTGCAGGATCGAGGATTCAACGACCGTGCATGGCTACACCTGTGAAGTCTAACGATAAATGTGAAACTGCTACACGAGTACGCCTTCCTGGTCTTGTCCTAAACCGTCAAGTCAATACTCAGCGACGAAGACGCCTATCCAAAGCACTTCCTGCCCTCCCACCGCCAAGTCCATCGCCCTGTCCGACATCTTTCAAAGAGCCTCGTCAACATACTCCAGATACGTTCCAGAACAACAGGAGCAGAGTCCTGCAAGGCCGTGGCTCTACCGGTACTAAACCACTAGCCGCTCCTCCGATGGAGACTCACTCCGGAAACTCCGAGAGCTCTTCCGGTTCTTCGTATGATAGTGCAGAACATACATGGAACGCGATAAACTCAATGATGGCTGCCATCGGCGAGGACGAAGTCAAACGCGCACGAGAATCGCTCATTCCTCCGAACACCCGCGCGCCAAGCGCGTATGTAACGTTCCCTCGTATGAAAGCCTCGCGAATGGACGGAGAGGTATCTTCAGACGGGTACAGTTCGACAGTATCCGGTCGGACTATAAGCGGCTCCTCCTACACAGACTCCTCTTCAAGTCACTACCCCTCCCAGACCTTCCCTAGACGACGCAGTCCAATACAATCAATAAAGCGCCGAGCCTCAGAGACGTCTATCTTCTCAATCGTCATCCAGCCCACTCGCGAACGTTCTCGTGAAACGCAGGAAGCACTCATTGGGGAAGACGATATACCGTCGCGCATCAAGGGCATACTCCAATGTACGCACTTGAAGCCTGATTTGAGCATGTCTAGTCGAACGAGCTCCGCATCGTCGGATGAAGCTGGTCTTCACCCTGATCTTGCGTTGACGATTGATGCGTTGCGCAGTGTCTCGGATGTTGAACTGGATGACATTAGATTCGATTCATAAGATTTGTGGACAGCCAGTCTGTTCTACTGCTTTGACCGCTTCCCAGAACATACCATTTCTTGACGCTGGCGCATTCTCATTATTATGTTCTCCGTGTAGTCATCACAATCATGTATTAGTAGCACTGCTTGCTGGCTTCTGACTGCATATGTATACAACTGGTTCACATCTCTCGCCATACAGACACAGAAGGAGCGACAATAAATTGATTAAAGATAGTGAGCAATAAGACAAACAGCAGCTGGACGCAAAACAAAAATATATCGGTAGGTAAGACGTAGGCCCTAATTTAAATTATCTAGAGTTGGGATGTAGATCTAGGTCTAAACCGAGCCGGAACTCTAAATCTATCTGACGGGATCGGGATGGCGTGTGCAAGAAAATAATTCTGGATCTATTGGGACTTTTGCTCATCCGTGTTCTTCAACAGCCATGGCTCCTGAGCAACCCATTGACTCTCGGGAACACCGAGTTCGAGAAGCTTGGCAAATGCCTTCGAGAAACTATAAATCCTGGTAAGCGGTATAGTTATGCAGAGAATGTAAAAGGCGTACTCTTCGAAGAAAATATCCTGGTTATCTGCATATGCCTTTGCGAATTTCTTGAAGTTCTTGTCTTGAACAAGAACGTAGTCGGTCGGCAGCATCATAAGAGAACCAGTCTTCTTGTCCTGTAGCTGCTTGGGACCACTCCATTTTCTCCAAATCCACCTGGAAATTACACAGATTAACAAGCTGATATGATGTACAGGCCAAGATACGCACTTCTCATTAAAAAGGAGAGTGAAGAAATCGTTGGTGAATGTGATTGGTGAGAACGTCCAGGGACCCTCAAATCCAGAGCGATCGGTATGGCAACGTCCCAGAGCATGTGCACCTAACAAAGCAACAATTTCCTGGTCGTTGAATCTGGAGCTAAAGTTATAGAAATGAATATTGTTAAATATGTTTAGAACATACCCCATTCGGTAGAATATGTTTCGAACGTGGTCTGAGCCCTGGCTGGCATCCGGAAGTCGGCCATCTGGAGTCGCGTCCTTAGAGAAGCCGTCAATGCGACCGGCTCTCCACGGGATCTTCGGACCTCCCATTTCCTACAATGAAACAAGATCCATCATTGATACCAAAAATAACCTGATTAGGAATTGCTTACCTGAACTGCGCACACGCCGGCAAGAGTCCAGAGATCACCGTAGCTTATCCATGGGAACTTTGCCTTCACTTTCTCAAGCAAGTCCCGAGCAACATTCAAGCCGTTGTTGGCACCGTGAAGAGATTCCGGCTCGAAGCGCATCGCAGCATAGTTACTTAAAAATTTGTTAATGGGAAATGAAAGCTTCCATTTGATATACAATTTACCTTCCGCCGGTCTTCGTCTCCTTATCGTACGTACCGGAGCTGTGCCACGCCAAACGAACGAGGACGGGACCGTAAGAACCATCTTCGTGCGAACGAATAGATAAGAATCTTTCGGGCTCTTTAGGAAGCATAAAGACATACCATCATATTCGCCATTTTCCTCCAAAATGTTGACAATCTCGTTGTAAACCTATGGAGTATTAATAGAGAGGACACGGAAAATTTTCACTGCAAGGTGTCTAACCTTCTGGTAATCTTCCTTCGTCGGGACGAAGTTGGCCTTGACCTTCACAGCCTGGCCAGCAGACTTGGCCGCAGTGCCCGCCTCTCTGCCCACATCCGATGTGGCGTAGACGTAGTATCCAACGGATACGAGTGCAGCAGCACCAACTGAGCCATAGAGCCAGGCATTGCTACCCGACTTGGGCTCGGGGTTCGGGGCGGACTCAGTTGCGTATTTGCGTAAGGAGGGACGAACGCGCATGCTAGTGCGCATAGCAGCGCGAGGCGCTGCGGCAAATGCGGTCCGACGGGCGGGGGTGCGGAGGGCAGCGAGCATGGACATGGTGGCAAGAGGATCCGGATAGATAGGAAAATGTATGGAGGTCTAGAAAATACTGTTGATATTTATATTTTCTCCTGTTCAGTGTTTATGAGTAAGGTTAGTTCGTGACGACACGTGACTCCCCCGCACTCATTGTCTGACCAATCAGCACGCCTGCATTTCCCGACTCTTCACGTCGAACATTCAACGACTGACGACTCTTGCTCTGCGCTACCGACGGCGGGTGGTCGACGCGTCGTTGAGAAGACCCGTTTAGACTTTGTGCACAGCTTTGAAGTATATTTGAATCAATTCAACGAAGTCGAATCTTAGCCTCGATTCGTCGACACCTCGTGATCTCTTTTGGTCCCGGTTCGTTGTGCCTCCTCCCCACGCCTGCTTCTTTCATTTTACTCCGCTACGCGATCAATAGCGTGCATTGGCTCACGAGCAACTGGGTTGCTCATCATGACTGTGGCATCCATGCCAGTCAGTTGCAATGTATCAGATGGTGATATTTCAACTGCGGAATATCAATGTTCTCTCCCTCACTGTGTCATGGGCAACATCAACTGCATCTCTCCCTCAAAGTCGTATCACACTCAAGTCTCACGATCTGATAACATCTTGTTTTGCTATATCAAAGGCCAAAGTGGTGCTGTAAGCGCTCTTCAGTGCCTGCGGAGGCGTAAATTGATAGGTCGTGAATAATCGTCTGTATCTAACATTGCCGCTCGTTACGCACTTCCCATTGCGCGCCTTGGCTCGTATTCGGTACAAGAACTCCGCTGGCAACGAACTCCGGATCTTCAATACGCTGGCCTTCCATGGGTGTGATCGATGGTGCTGTGTATGCACAAAAAGGTTTCATGGGTCATCGGTCATCTGTCTTACGAGATGTGAGATATGAGATTCACAAACTTTGTCTTGGTGGTGGCTGAAATTGACTGATGATTTTCTTCTTCTCACGGCTGTCAGAGTGCCACGGAACCTTTAACGGATGCAAATGACACTGCAATATTAAAAATAACCATGCAAGTAATCGAAAACGCTACGCGCCACGCATCATTCCCAACGGGCTTCTCTCTGTAAATACAGCGCGGACACGTTCTGCCGTGCTCCGCCCGAAGATTCGGATTCGGAAGGCGATTTTTTTTGTGCTGTCCTTCGTCTCTGGGCTGTCCATTAATTAATCTGCCTCGCCTGCAGCCACCGTGCTTCCATGTCGATGGGTAATCGCCGCCCGTGTAGACGTGCGATGCAGGTGGTGATACCTTTCAAAGGTGCATGCACCTTATGCAGTGTTTGTAGTTTGAAAGATAACGCCTGGAAGCCGAATTTAATTTCGCCTGCCTTTGGAACCACCCATGTTAGAATAGATTGTCATATCATCGGTCGTGATCGCCATAGTCAGCATAGCTATCTTAGAGACGTGGTCGACATTTTCCCTACACCACAAACGTGTATACCAGAAGGTGCAGTGCCGCGATCAAGCCACTCGCATGACAGGCTTTGAGATACGCTGATCGCATGACCCGGAAATTTCCTTATGCGGAAGTGCTTTTTCATAGCGAGTCTATTCTTTCTCAATACTATGTATTGATGTACACAATTACAAAGCATTATGATGTGAGAGAAAAAGTCAGGGGAGAACCGGTGCACGCTGATACGAGGACACGAAGGTCCTACTGTAACGTGATCCCTCTTTTCAAAGAATCCCTCTTTTCAATTTTTGCATTTGCACACTTTACACAATACCTTACACTACCAAAAAATTCAATGAGGTATATTTGTACTATAAAAATATATTGTGTCTTTTTTTCTGTAAAAAAATTGATGAAAAAATAAAAAAATGGTAAATACTACTTTTTCCAATGGTAGCTTCAATTGTAATTAGCTCTATTAATTTTATTAGTAGATTTTTTGTTACAATTAGGCTTCTTATATTTTCTATACATGCATAAGTGTTCTTATTATAATTTGTGAGTAGTATGCTGATTGTTGTGAATTAAAATTGTAGAAAGATTGGTTGAGAGTGACAAAAGCGTGACAATTGTGCTAAAGTATTATAGCAACATAGTGTGTTCACAAAGCTTACACGCGTCAAATCATTGTGACAACTTGTGACAAAAATTGAAAAGAGGGATCCTCTCCCTTCCTGCCTCAAAAAAAATCGTAAAATTTTTTTTGAAAAGAGGAGCATGTTTATAATATATAGATATACATATTTACAAATTTTACAGTTAAAAAAATGTGTGGTTGTGGCTGTAGAAAAAAATTGAAAAGAGGGATCATGTTACAGTAGTTGTGGGGGTGGGGCTTTCGAGGCCCAGACTATAGCAATCAACATCTCTTTACGTACACAAGTATAATAATGACGCATTCAGAAAGTTTTCAAGAGCTGCCAAACTGGGAACATGATCATTCGCATACATGGCAATTCATCAAAGTTTACAGAATACAACAAGTTGCAAGGAAAAGAGACGGGAATGGGAACGGGGTGGCAAAAACCGCGTGCACACGGTGCACAGGATTCAATAACACAGCATCATCAATGTGTACATAATATCGGGACCGAAACAAGCAATGAGTCAAGAAACAAGGCAAAATATTCCTAGTGCCTACGTGGAGGAAGGAAGATTGAATATGACTCGGTGGGATGACATTTCATGTAGGAGTATTTATAGTCCTGAGCTCCTTCAGCAAATTGTCAGACTTCAACATAACTGTACAAGAGGAGACAGGGGCGATGGAAAATAAAGACCAATTGAATCAATCCTAATTGGGTTATACGTTCCTACGCGGACAAAAGGGGGCGGTCAAAGTGCTCTCTTCATGAGAGGCACTGAGTTGGCCGGATCGAATTCCGGTGCGCGGGTCAAGTCATAATAACGCTTCCGCGATTTCCTGAGCGGCAACCAACGAGCAGAGAGCCCACCGAGCATCCCGACAGTGGGGATAAAACAGGTTCAGTTGAAATGCGAGCTGCACAGTCGCAGCTGCCCTGAGCTTCACGTAGTTGGAAAGGCGCCGTGCTGCGCGTTGTCCGCAGAAGTGCGTTTGCGCCAAGAAGAAACTGCGGGACGAGGAGGAGACGCAGTCGGTGTCGGCGGAGAGGTGGAGTAACGCGGCTTGGGAACGGGGACTGGCACTGCCTGAGATAATGGTACGGCGTTTGTCGCGACATGGTATCCAGTAGTCGAATAGGGAGGCGGAGGCGGTCTGACAACGGGGACTGGAGCGTGTGCAGACTGGTAGTGAACCGGTGTCGGGTTTACCGAAGGAGCTGTATGCAAGGTGAGACGGACGGCTCAGACGATACACGTGTGCAATCCCATTAGTGGAACGTACCAGTCGTTACATGACCTCTAAATTCAGACTGACCGTAAGATGCCCCTCCATTGCCGCGTCCGTCACGACCCATGTGCGGCGGTATGTATGCAGTTGGGTAAGAGATGTGTGCAGGATGCTGACGGTCCTTCTGGGGTTCCGGTGGGAGAGGCACAGGTCCGAGGCGGGGCGCGAGACACAGCTCGGGGTGAGCATTCACAAACGTTTGCGAGACTGGCGGGCGAGGCTGTGCGCAGCGACCAGAGCGAGTGGACGTTGCGACAGGATGACGGACGGGCGCCATTGCTAAGTAGTTATCGCAGATGATTTCGAGGCGAATCCAAGATGTTGTGCGAGTATTAGTAGGAGGTGGCCAGCAGCTGGGGGACTGGTACAGAGAGTAGGCATGAGGGGCGTATTTAAGCAGAATGGGAGAGGAAGGACGCGTCGAGTTAAATGGCCGGGCACGTGCTTCTATGCGCAACTCTGCACGTGATAGCTCTCGCGGTTGCAGACTTGGGCAAAATTTATGAATTTGCGTAGGTTCAATCGACATGGTATATACTATCCTGAGGAGAAAAATTACCTTTCAAGCAACTAAAATTGATAAAAATAAGTATTATGCGGAATTTGACTGCCAATGCCATGTGGATAGTGTAAAGCATGCCATGAAAGGGAGGCTTATATAATCAATGACTCACCGAAGAATCAAAGGGAAGTTGCCATCTACTCCATTTTTTTACGCTTTTACCTACTGTCCAAGCGATCCAGTGCAAATAGTCGTTTCTTTTCAGTAACATTTTCCTCAATCAATTCGCCTTTCTTGGAGCCTTACTCAAGATTTCTGAGTACTTCGACCGAAAACGGCGAATCGATTGGGCGTCTAATCATGGCAGTACAGAGAATGCAGGTGTCGCAAGAGCCTACTTTCTAATTCTGTGCTTCATCGAACTCCGCGTCGCCATGCCGTTCAAATGGCAACCTAGTTCACAGTCAGTACACGAGGCTCACACAAGCATGTTCGACACACCGAATCCGTCAGGCGATTTCTGAAGTGCCAGAGCTGCATACCAGTGCTCAAGATACGCCTTGATGAGAACGTGTTGGTCGTGCGGACGGAAAGCTTTCCTTTGAGAACGCACAACTGAACTGGCTCACTGATCATGTGCCACGTTCCCTAAATACTCCAAGAGCTCCTGTAACATTTGCAAGCACACGAAAACCTCGAGTACGCTTTTATTTAGCTTTAGCGTTATTGTCAAGTCTGTAAACACTAAATCCCGCCATCGTGCAGTGATCACTAGACATCATCATGGATTTTGACCTCAAGGTGCCTCCATGATCCCGTGAGTCAGCGAACTGGACCTGGGCCGACTGATTCCGAGTATGCGGTTATTTTCTTTCGGGACAAATGTTCTTGCGAGTAAGACAGGATATTCAATCCAGTTCTAAAAAAGCCACTTCTCCCCTGCCTGGTATCATGTGGTATGATGAAAATGCCAGATTGTAATGTAATGTGTTCATGAAATTTGGGCTTCACACCGACTTCATCGGAGACAAGTAAAATCACGTCCAGTATCCATAACTAATCTGATTTACAGCAGTCTCTCGATGAGCCTCGCAGCTCGAGGCATTACACTGCACGGGTTGTTCAGAGCTTATTTGCCTAAACCTTCGCGTTGAAATATTAATCGAGCGCTGAGTACGGATACTTGATGCTGTTAACTGCTTCATCGCGGTCGATTGCATAAATTGAAGATAGATTAAAGTAACGGAATCGACTCTTTCATGCTGCTTATGCAGTCGAAATGCCAATGACAAGGATCTTCTCGTTTCAGGTAACACTGATTGTACACGCGTATGGTAACTTACTTTGAATCATCACGATTCTCATGACCAAGTTTCCATAATGAGGAAGCTTGAGCAAGTGCTTCTGAACCCGGCGCAATCAACGACCGACGTCGTACGACGCAAAGACCGACACTGACGCGTTTGACGCTGATGAGCGATTGCGGAATCTGCAGATTCTCAGGAGCTGCGGATGCCTTGGAAAAAGGGACTACTTGCCTTCCTGAAATGAATCGATTGTTTCGCAACTATCAACATCGATTGGCACATGCTGTTAAGAGATAATTTCGGATGCAGCTGCTGCGCTCCATTGTCGTTCATCATTCGAATACGCCGGCTCTTGGAAGCCAGCATACACGTCTGGAGGCTACTGACACGGTAAGGCTGAGGATAGGCCCAAACAGCGCCTGAGCGTCTAGTTGCTCCCTTAAGCGCTTGGCTCCACAACACGTTGCGCCTTTGGGCATAGACATCGTCCCTGCGCGAAGCATTTCCATGAGTGCAGAGTTGACCTCCCGTTTCATAGCTGTGCCTCGGGTTCCTCGCCTCGGAACACATAGGGAGGTGTCGGGACGAATCGACGCTCTCGCGGCAGACATGGCGCTACGTGCTTTAATTGTACAATAGCTTAACCTATTGGGTACACCAGGTTGTTTCAATAGCAAATGCATTATGCTGGCTGATACTAATACGTGTTGTTTATTCATAGGGATTGCAGCGTGTCCATGTATGATTGTCAGGCATACCTCATTGCTAATATCGCGGGATGCGTGTATAACATGACAGTGGAGCTGATCACAGCAGAGATGTGCATAGATCACAAGAGCAGTGTATTGCCCAATGATCCTCCTGCGTAAGCCAGTCATGTTTGCTGTAATGTGCTATACAATCTTTTGATTTCCGTTTTGTAGACAATAACGACTGCAGTGCAGCGATCGATACTCGAGGCTTGCATGCTCCATTGGGACTCAAGGCTCTGTTTAGAAACTTAACGCCTGCAGGGACCCTGATGCATGCACATTGGAGATGATCCCATCCAGTCGTGTCGGCGTAGAATGGTAGCTCTCATAGTCCTCGGGACAAGTTGTCAGCGATCCGGTACTGTGACATGGGGTATCAGGGCCAGAAGCCAAAGAACTAACGAAAAAAGGACTGTCAAAGGTAGGGAATCAATATTCGCTGACTTCGTAAGCGTGCATCTTTGTTCCGCAATCTGGCTCGACGTTCGATGGATAGCTCGATCTTAGCTTCGTCCGAATCTAATAGGCGTGTTGCTAGATGAAGGACATGTGGCGAGATCGTGGGTCCGAAATACATGTGCCGACACGGAAGAAGCTTTGTTATGAGACTCGAAGTCTTGTCTATGAACGGATGGAGCCTGCTTCGACGAGGCCGAGCGTCCTCTGTATTTCAAAAAAAAAAAAGGTATCGAATTGAGCTCGATCACGCGTATCAGGTCTTGTCAAGATTGACTAAGATCACGCCAGATAGTTAATATTTGTGCCTTAGACGCGACCAACGGAAGCAGATTACCCGAGATCACAACACCAAACGGTCTCGGTGGCGGACATAACAACACATCATCTTACGAGGTAAGCAAGACAAAATTGGAACGCTCAATAGCCACCTCACTTTATGCGGGCTACCGCGGATTCTTCCACGTGGGTGTCGTTCCTAAAAGCAGTGGAAAGCCCGTAACGCAAGCGGTTTATTTCGCGAGAGTTCGATCTATACGAACTCGTCAATAAAGACAAACAAACCCGAGTCGTCCCATTCGTTGATTGAACGTCTTCCTCCAAATCGGTATCGCGAATTGCCAACATGTACCCGACAATGTCCATCCGACTTTCCGCGCAAAACCCCTGTTTGATGGTTCTGTCGCTTTCTCTGCCACTCTCTGTGCTGGTCGGGTAAGCCTTGTTTGTTGTGTGATTGCTGATCGGGCTCAGTTCGCTTAGTCTATTCATAGTGGAACAATAGGTCTCACGTCAGCATCTCGGCATCATTGCCTGCTTGTATAGGTTTAGGCATACCTCGGTTTTGACAGCCTCTCTATTCGCACTGTTGTCGCGGGAAAGGGCGGCACGAGTCGGACCAACGGAGGCCTCTCTCGAGTTCGCGTAGTTCGCCCTTTGTCAGCCCCCTCAGTAGGCAGTTACATCAAAAACCGACCTTCGCTTAAGCGACGCTTCCTATTTAGGAAATAATATACAAACTTGTTGCACTGGCCTGTCGAGGCGGTGTGTAGTACTGGTGCAACAGCCAGTGCAGGGCTGAGTAAATCATGTGCATCCCCGGTGTACGCAGAGCCTCATAATGACTCGGTTGCGATGAGGTATGTCTGCACGTATAATTGCGAAGTAGCATCCCTTGCTGAGGTCTGATCTCCCCGTCGTCATTTGTTTCTTAACTTTTCATTCCGCAGCCAGCTTTTCCAATACCGACTGAATGTCTTCACGCTCGCTACTCTAAGCGCATTTTTCATATCTCCGGTCTTCCGCGCGCTTATCCTTGGATCTCTTGCTGTGCTTTTTTCTTTCCTGTTCCCGAGCCTTTTTCGTCATTATAGCACGAGGTCTGGACGGTGTGCATTAGAGTCTTGGTGATGCAATTGCTTGGTCAGGAACGGGGGGCTCCCGTGACGTCTTCTCCCACCCTGTAAATATTTCAAATATACTATTTAACTTCTGAATGTTCACTAATGTCCCGTTCCCCTCATTCGCACCCCCCGCCCCTCGTGTTTAGGCAATTAACTGCAACGCCTCGTGCCTGTTCAGCTGTATCCACAGGAGAAGCCATGTCTGCCCAAGTACCCTATTATCGTGACCCGTACAGCCATGCCAGGAGCAGCTCTGGGGGCAGCCACACTAGTCCCTACTCTAATGCACAGTATCCTTCTCCGCCGGACTCAAGCTCTAGTAGGAGCTTTCCCAACACTGGGGGCGCATATAACCACAATAGCCCTCAGCGCAATTCCCGATCACGCAATGCAAATGCACGAGTATATGTGTCGAATGCAATGGAGGTTGAATCTAGAGAAGATCCGCTGCAGTGTAGGTGTCGGATCTTCTGATTTTCCTCTTTCATAGGGTTGACTGTTTATTCATAGTTTCCATAACACAGTCCCCCAGGAACCCTAGCCTTCACTTCTTACTTGCGAGGGATTCTGCAAGGGAGAATTCTTTTACTCTTGATCTGAACATTGATCCCTGCCACATCGTCCCCCCAAGTGTATATCAGAACTATGGTGCCCTTTGGGTAACGAGGGATCGCCCATTGCACTTCCGAATCGTCTCGCGCGAATTTCCTTGGGTGATCGACATCAGGGCAGGTGAGGCGCTCGAGGGGGGCGAACGGGGAGTAACATGTGGTGACGTCTGGAGTCATCTCTACCACGAACTCGCTAAGTCAATAAGTAACGAGGACTGGGCGCACCTCAGCGACATGGCCGCTACCGACCGGGTTGCGCGGGGACGCCACGAGTATCTAGTCGATCTTGCCAGGCAGCAAATTGGAAGTGGCAATAATGTATCGCTTGTCCGCCTAGACTGGCTCATGAGGAAGACTGTCTTTGTCGGTCTGGAAAGAGACGAAGGGTACAGGCTATCTACTCAGCGCCTCCTTCCCGGTAGCGAGCGATGCACTGAGACGTGGGTCGCTCATTTCGCTGAAAGTGAATGAGGCGAGGTCCTACCTGTGGCACTCCTGCCATACTTGGCTTGTTTCGCCGCCGATACCCCCTGTATATTGCTGCAAAGTGGACTAGTACGTGTGTTATTGTGTTTCTCAGTTACCTAATGCGTGTACACACCTTCTGCATGTATTGCATATGTATAACATCCATCTATGATAGTTATTTCCTTATTTGTAAATGTCAATAGTAATAGGCGCGAAGAAGCATGGTCCACAAAGTGAACATCTCAGCCTGCCGTAATATAGTAAGCATTTATCAATAATGAAATATTAGAGGGCAGTGTCATTATGAGGGTATGTCGGGTTCCGGGGGTACCAATCGGGGACTACCAAAAAGCCTAGCCTGAGGTGAATTGCCCAAGGCAGCGGATGCGCAAAGTAATTTGCTCTTTACGGGTAACATCGTCTTCGAGAATTTGTCTAGACTGCACATATGAGCCGCTCGAACGTCCAGTTTGCTCGAATACACATGCTTGCACCATCTGCATCTTTTCACAAGCGCCAATCTCTGCTGAGAAACCGAGGAAGGACAAAGGAAAGCGTATTTTACGAACTTTCTCCATGACAAGTCGATCCACTGTACTACTTTCCGAGTAAACTTCGCCAAATCTTTCCGACGACCGGAAGTTTCCCGAAATGACCTACCATGCGTATTCCCCTGGCAGGGCGCCACAGTACTACTACCCACAATTCTATCCCATCCCACAGCCAAGACCTGACTCATTGTATGCTCGTCCGCTCACACCGGACGCTACGAGGGAGCAGCGTAAGCTTCGCAAGAAGCAGCAGCAGCGGTGGTCATTCGGGGGCTACGCTCAACAGCCACAAGCATACCTTCTCACACCGCCACCGACACCCGCACCCGCGAAACCGCGGCGTGTGCTCTGGGAGGCGGATTATAGTAGGCTCTTCCATTTCTGATCCAGATGAGAGGGGGTTTCTGATGAACAAATTTGCAGTGAATGCTCCAGCGTCCTCTAGATGGCCCGAATTACATCCAGTTCTCGCGATGGACACCACACGGGTAATCTTCGACGTCCGAGTCCCTCCTGAGCAGGCAATCAATTCAGAAGCATATACAAGGTTCTGGAACGAGAGCGCTCTACGGCGGCCGACAACGCATATGCGGCTAGTCTCACAGGATCATCCATGGACATTTGAACTGGATTTCCGCCCCCTCTTCGCAAAAAAGGGAACTCCTCATTACGTGACCTGTGGCGACGTATGGACGGCGCTCACATCAGGCCTCGCCCGACCTATTACGGACGCGGAGTGGGCACTTTTCACCACGACCAATAGACCAGAGCAAGCACAGAAGAAAAACTCAATGACACAAACAGTCGCAACGCGTAAGGTCGAGCATGGCAAGTTCCTGCGCCGTGTAGATTGGCTGGGAGCGAACATCATCTTCCGCGGTCTCGTAAAGGATGACAAATACGCTGGGGATGTGCTGCTTCCGGGACGAGAACCTTGTGCTGAAACATGGTTGGTTAAGTTCTCTGCAGCTAGAGCATAGGGTATACTCTAAGATGAGCTGGAAAAATAAATAAATAAAAATTCAGAAGTAGACATTTCCTTAAATGGAAAACAGACCTTCCTTCTCCGGTATTGCATAAAGACGCCGGGAAGACAAGAGGCGATGAGGACAAATTTTACATCCATAAATATCAATAGTAATGCGATGCGAGACAAGGGCTCGTGATAAGGCCTGTAGTAGTGCACGGTTTATAGCATGTATAGCTTTATAAGGGAAGGAAGAAACGGCGACTCGACGTATACTACCCCTCCCAGCACCTCTCGTCAAGTCTTTCGTCGCTCTTCGCCTAAACGAAATGACAACGTATACTCCTACCATTGTTCCCCGGGCATACCAACCCGAGACTACCACTGCTTATCCACCCGGGGTTGCAGAGTGTATGGCGCCCCTTATGCAACCAGTCCCTCTTCCAAATGTTCGCAAGGAAACACGCTACGCAACACCTCCGCCTCAATATTCACAGCAGCACAGATCGGAGTCGATCAGTCTTTGCCGGGCTCCCTTAATCCAGCCGCGAGAGTTAGCCGCACGGCACGAGTGCCAGTACTCTTATTGCCCCGCAAGATCACACCGTCTTCATCAGAGGCAGGGATCCAATAGCTTACATGTGATGCGTAAGTACAGCATTGAGCGGCGGTCGAGATCGCAATACTTACCCCACATTCGTTGTCCAATCAGCCTCATCTGCGCTCCCGCCTATAGTTGCCATACCTAGGCAAGAGCGTCGCTCGTCGTACACATCCCATGTTTCCGAAAACAGGCTCCTGAGCCAGATTCCCGTCACCATATCTCAATCCTCGTCGAGTCGTCGAGAAGGGGAACTAGCGTGCCCATGCGGGGTGCGACACTCACCGCTATCCAGATCCCCGTGGCTCGCGAACCGTCGGTCATGATGGAGAACCCGTTCCGCCTGGTTCTTCTACGCTTGCGCTTCGTCAGTGCGCACCCTCAAACTCTTGATACGACGAACGGAGCAGAAGCGCTATCCCACGTCCCTGGCACATGACCGACAAGCTGGGCCTCTGCAATCCTGCTTTCTTGTCCGATACTGGTCAAGGTATCAATCGCAGCATGATCATCTTGGTCCTGTAGAGCTACCTTCTGTTGAAAATTTATTAGCGCTCGATATCACATGCTCGACGGCGAGAAGGATATACCAAAAATCTTGTAATAAGCTTTTCCACCCTCTCCCCGCTCTCTTCTGCCTTCGTACATTGGATTCTAGTTCCGGACGACTTCTTCGACATTCTTAGCCTTCCTTTGTGATAGATGACTTGAACCACAAACACTGTATTTGACTTTTGATTGTAGTCGCGCAGACGACAATCGTAGCTTCCAAACTAGGATTACAGCCATGATAATCTCGACCAATGTTATCTTCTATTAGGATTGCAGGATGAACTTCACATCATGCATGACCAATGCGGTATGCAGCGTCACATTAGGAAGAGCCGGGTGCCAGATTGCACAGACGAGAGGCGGGGAGGCGCTTATATTCGAAGTGACCCTCTACCGAGGCGGTGTGATTGAATTGCGTACGGTATTAATTGAAGGCTTGCTGTCCTTGACAGCCCAATTGACGATCACAGCCCCATATATTAGCGGGACGAAGGATGACCACTGAGACAATCGATGGTGGTCAAAGGCGCTGGGTAAGGCGGAGGCGAAGAGATGATAAGCACCATTTGAACAGGATCAAATAATAATTGAAGTGTTGTTGTTTCCATACGTTACTTGAGGCAATTCTCACGTGACCGCCCTATTTTTCCAATTGGCAATTCGCAAAAGGTTGCAAACTAGTGTTGACCCCATCGTCTCCAAGTCCTGCATCGATTACAAGAGTCTGCTGATGGTGTCATTTCAGTAAGTATCCTTCTATATTGAGAATGTTCCGTGTCCTGACTGAAGAAGGTGTGACGGTTTGTGAATCCTTCAACTTTCCACCGCCTGGGTCTGTGCAACTCAACCCGGACAACTTTTCGTAGCCTGCCAAGACGTCGTGAAGAAGCCAAAACTTGACGCGCACTCTTACAGATGCTATTCATCTTTCACTTGCGTAGACTGCAGCAAAACATTTCATACTTCCGCCGAATGGAAAGGTCATACATCCTGCATCTCTGAAGCAGAAAAATACCAGAAAGGATTATACAAGGGAAAAAAGAATGTAGGTGTTCCTGCAAAATTTTACTATTGGCTCATTCATTAATATAGGTATATATGTTACCTAGAAGCAACAAAATGGATCAATTGGCCCACGTGGAGACAAAGTGCAAACACCGGGACACGAATTAACAAATGGACCTGTTCTCTCGGAATCTCCGTCTGAGCCGAAAGAGGAGACTCAACATAAACCTTCGGGAGATGTGACAGACAGGGTAGTGGCTGTTGGTAGTGAAGGTGAGTTTGTCGACGGAACCCGTACTTTCTTCCCCGTCTTTATCTCGCTCCATTTGGTATGACCGGGCATGTCTCAAGGAGCCCCGTCTAGCGCTCAATATCAATGCCTTCGATTTGCCTTAGTATTCAGTTTTATGATACGCAGCCACAATCTCAAGGCACACATTAATCCTTCTAGGCTTGTGAATCTTGAACATTGATGGACTAATCATTTACATTTTTAGACGACTCCACGGTTCCCATACTAAAAGCTGATGTAATGAACTCTACACCGACTAAGAAATTAAAAAAGGATAAAAAGAGAAAGCGCAGGGAAGCGGAAGTCGTCGATGTGCACTTAAATGATGCGCCCACGAACGGAGAATCCAAGAAGAAAAAGAGGACAGATGTCCTAGAAAGGGAAGAAAAGATGAAGGCGGTACGTTCATGGCTCATACGTTTCCTATGTATACTGAAGTCCTTTACTAGCATGGAACCGCTGAAAGGAAAGAGCCGACCACCCCGCTAGACTCGGAACCAATACAGACAACGAAACGGAAGAAAAACAATGATAAGAATAGGTCGAAGGACGATAACGATAAATGTGTTAGCGCTCCGCCACTGACGGAGCCGCAACAATCTCCTTTCCTGATGAAGCAAGGCGATGGGACAGTGGTACGCCATCGTCATTTCATTTCATTTGGCGCTAATAATGATTGCCAGCAGTCTGGGAAGAAGCGAAAGCGAAAGCATCGGGAATCTGACGAAACAGAGAAGATTTCCTCAGAGCCTACAGAGACCATGAGGAACAACGCGAGTGATGACATACCGGTCAAGAAGAAGAAGAAAAAGGAAAAATCAAAGAAAGACCAGGAAAGTAATCCAGCGACGGACCCTGTCAAGGATGGTCTCAATTCTGAGTTGGAAATGGTCGGTAAAAGGCAGCCTGACGATAAAGGCAATGAAGAACTGGGCGCTAGGAGTACCAAGAAAGAGAAGAAAAAGAAAGAGAAAACGAAGAAAATTAAGTCTTTGGAGGAGACGACGGCCAGTTCCTGATTGTTGCTTTTATCTGAATGTATTTCTACCTTTTCCTTGATATGACTGAGTTCTTGGTCCACGTTCATTGTTGGCCGTGTTCAAAACGGGACTTAAATCCAAATCGTCAGCCGTTTGACCCACCTCCCGCCATCTCGCTATATCACTATCATTACAACTGTCACCTACTATTGCAAAGATGAAAAGCAAGGAAACTAAGACGCGCACTCCTGCACTTTATCGAAGTTTTTCCAACCCCTTCGGTGCATTACGCCATAACGTTAGCCAACAAACGAGCTCGCCGCAGTGGCAGACTGTCCCGCTTGGCTTACCTGTTGTAGACACATGTACTTGCCACCATTGGTCTGGTCTTCCAAGGTCGCACTGTCGCTCTCCCTCGCTCCACAGTGCTACTGCAACAGCTTCTGGAAGTCAAACGCCTCCATCGCTTGTTTCGGCCAGTTCAGGCTCGACAGGAGTATCATGTTCGTATCTACTTTCCACGTTAGTATTCTGGCGGAGCGAAGATTGCTCAAACTTAATGTGTATTTCCTCCAGCCCACTATTCAGGGTTTAACTCTGCGATCTATGCTACTCGTAACCCTCCTCCAAGCCAGCCTCAATCCGAGATTCACTCACTGCTTGATGCATCCTATACTACTCTAGTCTGGGACGTCCGTGTTTTACCGAAAGAATTCAAGATCTCTCGTCAGGAGACCCCTCTCGTCGGTCCAAATGCGCTTTCTTTCCCTCTAACGCAAGCAGCTACTGGTCATGTCCGCATTATCAGCCAAGATTTCCCATGGATCATTGAAATTGGACCTAAGCAACGCGGAATAACTGCTGGAGAGGTACTTCTCGCGTTATATGAGTTGCTCAACGGACGTCTTGATGACTTCATATGGAATGTTTCCGATGATCACACTCGGTCACGAATAGTACGCGCTTGGAAATCACGTTCAGACTCTGGTCCAGTCATCAAGAGGGTTGACTTCCTCGGCAAACGCTTTATATTCAAGGGGCTTTATCGCGACGAAAAGTACGTGCAACAGAATCAACGTCCAGATGAGGCGTCCATCCCGGAGATCTTTCTTGTCGCCTTCGCAAAAGCCTGAGGTTATGCAGTAGTAGACCTGTCTTGCCTTATCTCTATTCCCAGATCATCATCAAGTTAGTCTAGTCATATCTATTATTTTACCGATGGAATCCTCCTGTCAAGATGTACAATATCTGTCAATCGTCATACAGTCGAATGAACAAGATGATTGCCTATGCACTCCGATTTGAGCACAATATGAAATAATAGCAAGTGACTGGTAGTGCAATCTATTCGTTTCCATCGATCAATTTGTTTCATCGTGCAACGTTTATCGTGGAAGGTAGTTTCCAGTCTTTCAACGACCAGCCCTGCTGTGGAGACTTGAGCACGATTCAAAGTCAAATGTATTGAAATACAGAACGATGAGAAATCTATTGCGTAATACTAATAATGGCCCTTTTTCCACTACAAAACACATGGAATTCTCCCACTACGAACTACTTTGTTGAGGCAGCATAGATGAGGATCTTAACGGACCAGTCGATCCCTCCGTGTCGTACTTGGCTTGTCTGCCAACAAGACCACCCCGATATTCACGTCATCGAGTCAGTCTGCCCGCTCTCTGAAAACCCGATACGAGCAAGTCGAAGTGCAGCGCTATCTTAATAGGATTTGCATCTGCGGCCCATTCGACATGCCCGAGTTAAGTCGACAGGGAGCGGGGAAAACTTCCTCACGACATACAGGCATTGGTCGTTCCTTTAAACGGGGACGTTCCTTTGAACACCCCCCTCTAATTCATGCATAACTCAACCAATAAACTCAAAAAAATAGAGAAATGTAGATACATACATGTACTATATATATATGAATTCTGAAGGAAATTGATTCAGTAGAAAAGTGTATAGAAATTCAATACTGCTGAAATTGAATGAATTCCAAATATGAGACTACTGACAAATTTTTTACTACTACTTATGCTACAGTGTTCAACATAAAAATTATATTATTGTATTCCTCTACTTCAGAGCTACAATATGTATGTTTTATCATATTGAATGGACCAGTCCTTAAATTAATATTGTGTAATTTGTTAAAAATGCTCAAAAAGCGTGACAAGAGAGTAAAATGATCGGCATCGATCTACATTGATCTGCACTGATCTACACTGACCTACAGTCCTAATGACACATTGGTTGAGGGTATTAGTCTGTAACATTTGCTAAATAAATAATTTTTTCTCTCTTTTTGTTCCTCATCTCTTAACAGTCCTATTCTATGGTCAGCACAGCTTGTTCTGGCCTCCCTTCTTAATGCTAGGCTCTAGAATGCTCTATACAAGAAGGAGAAAGGAAAAACAATAGAGAACTCATGAATATTTGATGATGGAATGCCAAAGATTATGACCTCAGATGAGACCAGGGAAAAGCTCAGGCAGAAGAAGGAATACAGGGAAAGGGAAGAGAAGGAGGTCCAGGCAAGAAAGGAGGAGGCTAAAAGGAAGAAGGAAGTTAATAATATGATTGAAAGTGAATGGAAATGAATCAAGACTCACTATGACAAAGAGCTTGCCAAATGGCAGGCTAAATGCTCTACTTAGAGGGAGGAAGGGCTCCCAAGGGCTTATTAGAGCCATAGACCTTCTAGACCAACAAAAAACAAGTCCAGGACAACATAATATGAGAGAGGGGCCTTGACAAAGAAGAAGTAGTGTCTGGATGTGGTGAATACAACCTAGACCTGTGAAGACACAACAAATAATGTAGGAATTTTGCCTGAAGGTACAGATATGACTATAGAACAATTGCCTGTATAAATGAGAGCAAGAGGAGTGAGCCGAGAGTGAATGTAGGAGTGCAAGTTGAGAAGATAGGGGTGGACAGGTTGAATGCGTGCCAGTGTGATGGAGTGTCACAGGGGTGTTCAAAGGAACGACTTTCGTGACAAAATCTCACTTTTTTCTTATCTTCATATTAATTTTTTTACAACACTTAATAGCTTGGAAAAATTCAGGCATATAGTATTATACATATAATCATTAGATACATAAATTTTTAAGTAAATTTTTGATGTGGAAAGAAATGCAGGGGAAAACAAAATTGGTGTTTAAAGGAACGTCCAATGCCTGTACTTAAAGTCTAGGGGAGGAGGACCGGAGGCATGACGCGGCGCTGATCGGCAAGGTTGAATAAATAGAAATAAATGATTAGGTCATCAGTCTAATTATTGATGTTACTAATCCAACAACGTCAAACAATTCAGTTTCATCGTGAGTCATTCCTTCCAAAATATCATGGCATATGCACTGTTCACGATAAAGTTGATGACAGTGCGGAAGTTCAGTAGGAGAATAATTACATGCATCTCTAAGACTTCTTGCCTGTTCTTATTGGATTCTATTCAGCTTGAAGATCAACTCGAATTGCACCTTCCGAGGAGCCTATTGGTCGGGCATCATTATTCTGCTGTTTATGCAAACTCATCGGCTCCACTTACACTCCGATATGTCTTTCATAGTTCGCATCCGTGCAATGTTTGAAGATATGCATGCATACGTCAGATCAAATGCCTGATTACTTCCAAGCAGTATGCTTCCCGCCTAGAGACTACCTCCGCGACATCACGATTCGCTTTGCAAGGATTCTGGTGCTTCTCTATGAATAAATCTTAAGCACATCATAAGAGATGCTGCGACCGTTGAAACCGGTATATAAAGTCTAAGAGAGTACGGTTACTTCATTCATACTCCTAGAGTTCCTCGCTCAGTCCTCAAAGACCAACTTCTAAGCATTTATATTCGCCACTCTTTTGCTACAATGATCCCTCGTTGCTTCGCTCTCGTTGCAGTCGCTCTCTCTTCCATCCATTTTGCAGAGGCTTTGCCTGTCTCTTCCCGTGAATCGCAGTCGCTTGCAGACTTGCCTACTTCAGGTGACGTTGGGCTACCCACGTCGCTCCCAATTCCTACGGTGCCAATTCCAAGTCAGTCCCTACTTACTCACTGTCTAGTTTATGCAAACGTTCAATAACTTCTGCAGCGGATGTGCCTATAACGAGTTTGCTGCCCCTTCCGACACTTACAGACTCAACCCTGCCTGTTTCCCAGACTTCGGTTCCCATTTCAGACCCGCTCGACGGAATACCAGGCTCAGTAAGATCCATTTCTAGCGCGGATCTTCCTCTGAACCAGGATCCAGAGGGTAAACTTGGAGACTTGTCGGACTCTGTCAGTTAATTCAACACAGTTCCTGTATGAAATATTCTGACTGTAGCTTTCATTAGACCGAAGGAAGCAGTCTTTTAGGTGGTGTTGGTGGTGGTGTTCTAGGTGATGATGTTCCAGGTAGCCTGCTGGGAGGCGGTCTTGTAAGTGGTGTTGGTAGTGGTGTTCTAGGTGGTGTTGGTGGCGGTGTTCTAGGTCGTGATGTTCTAGGTGGCCTGCTGGGAGGCTCGGATCCAGAGAATCTTGGTAAGCTTCAAGGTCATGGCAAGGGTTGGATGTAGGAAGTATCGTTCATCCTGGTGGTCATAGCAGAGGTGACATAAGCCTTTAAGCCATTAGGCTTTGCAATGTGCATACCGTTTATCTTGGAACAGTTTAGTATATAGTTCGACATAGTCCCAAATTAGTGGTTTAAATACGCCAAAAGTGTGCGTCTGCACGGTAAATCAGAAAAATAAGTCTGATTAGTAGCGAAAAGAGACAGCATACGGTAGTTATATGTTGAAGGAAAGCATGGAAATTCTTATATGGGGAATTGATATGTGAAGAGGCTGTGAGAGTTGTAGGTTCGCATTAAAGCATCAACCAATGTGATACCCAACTGCTCGTCACATGTATCTGCCCTAATCCGCCACCTTCGTAACCAGCTTTCCAGTGTTTACGCCCGCGAAAAGTCCACCCCAAACACGCGGGATCTCTTCAAGACGACCTTGTATGTCGACTACCATCTCGGCTCCATGCAAGATGAGTTTTCCCAAGCAGAGGACCGCACCAGGCGCCTGTTCTACCTCACCCATAAGGTCAAGGTAGTCATTAACTGTGAAACCTTCCAATATCAATCTGTTCAGGAGTATCTGCGCATAGTTATTCATGACTACTGGTTCGTTGACCTTCGACATGACTTGTGATACTACTTAGCGCTTTTTTAGCAAGGGAGGAAGAAGGAGGTGCTTAGGAGCCATTGCTCCGACTAGGCAAATTCTTCTGTGCGGTTTCATGCGCGTGAGCATCTCATCCAAGATAGATCCACCGACATTATCAAATTACCTGCGCATCGAGTCAGTTTAGATCAGGTCAACCGGAAACATGCAATGGAAGTCTTACAAGCCGACTTTATATGGTATCGCTTTGGTCAGGTCCTGAGCGAATGTTGTACTCTTATAGTTAACCGCTTCGTCCGCTCCGATACTCTTCAACCAGGTGCACTTCTCATCTGTGCCAGCGATTCCGATAACGCGTGCCAATCCGAGGACTTTCTTAGCATACTGAATGGCTACATTTCCGATGACGCTGTAAGCTTGGTCAGTTGGATAACTGAAGAAATTTACCCTGTTGCACCACTCAAGGCGAGAGTATCACTCTCCTCGGGTTTCAACACTCCCATCAACGCAAAATATGCTGTTCTTCCAGAGATTCCAAGTGCACCAAGATATGCGCTGATGTTTACGCCAGGTATCTCCCTAGAAATATATGTCAATTATAGCTCGCATACATTCCACTCAAAAGATACATTTGAGTTAGCTTACTTTCTGGGTCTCGCTTTGTCCTTCTTCACGACGGCGTATTCTGACCAATGGGATTGGAATACCTCGACAATCTCATGTCGCCCACCTTGTAATGTCCACGCCCTTTTCCACCTCCGATCTGCGCAACTCGACCGAGTGCTGCATAAGTTGGGAATGGCGTACCAAGCAGAAGAGCAGACATATCGTCTTGCTCGTTCTTGTTCGACTTGCTCAACAGAAGGCCCACCGGGATCATTCGACTAGTACAACGCCCTCACAAGTAGCGAGTCCTCTGGGATTGGATCGGGAATCGGGAATTCTTTGTTCCTGCGGGAGAAGGCCAGAGATCCAACGCATATTCTGCTGAGACATAGTCCTGCAGGACGACTGCTCGTGTTGAACTAGGTACGGGTATGTTAGGAGCAGCTGCAGCTGTTTCTTGTTTCTTGTTTAAGGAGCAGACCATTGTAGTATTTGACTTTCAACAGGCGTGCTACACACTCATCTTTCATGTTCGACTAGTTAAATGATCAATTTAAACATATTTATGCAAATCAGCTTGGTATCGCGACCAGAACATACGAGTGTAAGGTGTGGACTAACTTTCGTACTGCTTTGAGAACGTGATAGGGGAATATGTTATTCGCTGTTAATGACGTCTGAATATAGTCCTATACTCCTAGGGGCACGTTACGGGATATTAGTAGGAGTAGCCCGGCCATCAGTCTAGACCAGGCGCTGCAGTAGTTTGATTGTCCTCATTTGTGGTCAGAAAGAAGATCGGATCACGCTAGCCGATACAGCGCGTCTCGGCGTCGGCGATATGGATTCTGGTCCAGTCATCAAGACGGCTGACTTCCTAAATGCTTTATATTTAAGGGTCTTTATCGCAACGAAAAGTATGTGCAGCAAAATCAACGCCCGGATGAGGCCTCCATCCCGGAGATCTTCTTTGTCGCCTTCGCAAAAGCCTGAGGTTATGCAGTAGTGGATTACTCTTGCCTTATCTCTATTCCTAGATCATCATCAAGTTAGTCTGTCACATCTATTATTTTACCGATGGAATCCTCCCGTCAAGATGTATGATATTTGTCAATCGTCATGCTGTCAAATGAACAAGATGATTGCCTGTGCACTCCAAGTTGAGCACAATATGAAATGAAATAGATAGCAGGTGTCTTGTAGTGCTGTCCATTGGTTTCCATCGATCAACTTGTCTCATCGTGGAAGATAGGTTCCAATGTTTTCACGACTGGCCCTGCTTGTATGGAGGCCTGAGCACGACTCAAAGTCAAATGTATTGAAATACAGAACGATAAGAAATCTATTGCGTAATAGTGGCCCTTTTCCACTACAAAACGCCCGGAAGTCTCCCACTATAAATTTGCCTTTGTTGAGGCAGCATGGATGAGGATCATAACGGACCAGTCGATCCCTCCGTGTCGTACTTGGCTTGTCTACCAACAAGACCACCCCGATATTCACGTCATCGAGTCAGTCTGCCCGCTCTCTGAAAACCCGATACGAGCAAGTCGAAGTGCAGCGCAATCTTAATAGGATTTGCATCTGCGGCCCATTCGACATGCCCGCAAAGAGTCGACAGGGAGCATAGAAAACTTTCTTGCGACGGTGGAGGTTCGGGAAAGGAGACATACATACGACGCGGCACTGATCGGCAAGGTTGAGTAGATGATTAGATCCTCAATCTGATGTCAGATGTTACTAATCTTACTTCAACACCACCTCAATGAGTTTCATCACAAGTCATTCCAAAATATCTTGGCATTTATGCACCGATTGCAGCAAAGTTAATGTCAATGCGGAGGTATAGTAGGTGAATAATTACATGCATCTCTAAGACACTTCTTGCTTGTTCTTATCAAAATCTATTCAACTTGAAGATCAACTCGAATGCACCTTCTGAGCATTCTCAAGCTCCAGCACGATTGAGCCTATTGATTGGGCATCATTATACTGCTGTTTATGCAAACTCATCGGATCCACTTACACTCTGATATACTTCGCGTCCGTGCAATGTTTGAAGATATGCATGAACACGTCAGATCAATTTCCTGGTTACTTCCAAGCAATATGCTTCCCGCCTAAAGACCACCTTCATGACACCGCGATTCGCTTTACAGGGTTTCTGGTACTTCTCTATGATTAAATCTTAAGCACATCATAAGAAATGCTACGACCGTTGAAATCGGTATATAAAGTCTAAGAGAGTACGTCTATTTCATTCATACTCTTGGTGTTCCTCACTCAGTCCTCAAAGACCAACTTCATAGCATTTACTTTCACCACTCTTTTGCTACAATGATCCCTCGTTGCTTCGCTCTCGCTGCAGTCGCTCTCTCTTCCATCCATTTTGCAGAGGCATTGCCTGTCTCTTCTCGTGAATCGCAGTCGCTTGCAGAATTGCCTACTTCAGTTGACGTTGGGCTACCCACGTCGCTCCCAATTCCTACGGTGCCAATTCCAAGTCAGTCCCTACTTTCTCACTGTCTGGTTTATGCAGACATCTAATAGCTTCTGCAGCGGATGCACCTATAACAAGTTTGCTGCCCCTTCCGACACTTACAGATACAGCCGTGCCTGTTTCGCAGCCTTCAGTTCCCATTTCAGACCCACTCGACGGCACACTAGGCTCAGTAAAATCCATTTCTGGCGCGGATCTTCCTCTGAACCAGGATCCAGAGGATAATCCTGGAGACTCACCGGGCATTGTTAGTCAATTCAATACAGCTCCTGTCTAATATTCTGACCATATGTTTCATTAGACTGACTTAGTAGGCGGTCTTCTACAGCAAATTACAGACCTCCTGTCTAGTCTACTGGCAGGCTCGGGTTCAGATAAGCCTGTTGACATTCATAGTCATACCGAGGATGGTGTAGATCTAGGAGGGCTTGGAGGTCTTGGTGGTCATAACGGAGGTAACTTGAACCTTTAAGTCATTAGGCTTTTCAATGCGAATACCGCTTGTCTTTCTTGGAACAGTTCGTGCATAGTTCGAAATAATCTCAATCTAGTAATTTATTTGCGCCAAAAGTATGTGTCTGCACTGAACGCCAGGAAATTAAATCAGAAGCAAGGCAGAAAGGGACGGCATAAGATAGTTATATACTGAAGGAAAGCTGAGAGTCTTATGGGTAAGTGAAATGTAAAGAGGCCGTGAGAATTGCAAGTCCGCACTGAAGCACTGAAGCACTGATCAATGTTAGGTAGGTAGATAAGTAGGTATAGTCCCAGTCATGTTGAAAGGAACACCGGGTTTATGGTCTACAAAACAGGTGCCTAACTAGAATTAAGGACTACTATAAACTACCTAGTTAGTTCCTGCCAGCTCCAGCCCATGCTTTATACTCACCTGCCTCTAATCTGCCACCTTCGTAACCAGCTTTCCCGTATTCACGCCAGCAAAAAGTCCACCCCAGACACGCGGAATTTCTTCAATACGACCTTGTATGTCGACTAAAGTCTCGGCTCCATGCAAGATAAGTTTCCCCGAACGAAGGGCGCCGCCTAGTGCCTGCTCTGCCTCGCCCATGCGGTCAAGGTAGTCATTAGCTGTGAAACCTTCCAATACCAACCTATTTAGGAGTATCTCCGCATAATTATTCATGACTGCTGGCTCGTTGACCTTCGACATAACTTGTGATACTACTTAGTGCATTTAGAATACGGGAGAAAGAAGGACGTGCTTACGAGCCATGGCCCCGACAAGACAGACTCTTCCGTGTGGTTTCATGCGCGTGAGCATCTCATCCAAGATGGAACCTCCGACGTTATCGAAGTATCTTCACAACTGGTTCGTTTACACCAGGTCAACTCGAAACAGGCAATCGGAGTCTTACAAGTCAACTTTATCCGGTGTTGCTTTCACAAGGTCCTGGGCGAACGTTGCACTCTTATAGTTAATCGCTTCGTCCGCTCCGATACTCTTCAACCAGGTGCACTTCTCATCGGTACCAGCGATTCCGACAACGCGTGCCAATCCGAGGACTTTCTTAGCATACTGAATGGCTACATTTCCGACGGCGCTATAAGCTTGGTCAGTTGATTAACTGACTAGTCTCCCTGAAAGTATTTACCCTGCGGCGCCGCTCACAACGAGCGTGTCACTTTTCTTGGGCTTCAACACTCCCATCAACGCAAAATATGCTGTTCCACCAGAGATTCCAAGTGCACCAAGATACGAGCTGATGTTTACGCCAGGTATTTCCCTAGAAATACGTGTTTGTGTTAATTATAGCTCGCATACATTCCACTCAAAGATACATTCGAGTTGGCTTACTTTCTGGGTCTCGCTTTGTCCTTCTTCACGATGACGTATTCCGACCAATGGGATCGGAAAACCTCGACAATGTCGCCCACCTTGTGAGGCCCGCGTCCCTCTCCGCCTCCGACCCGTACAACACGGGCGAGTGCCGCATAGGTTGGGAAGGGCGTACCAAGCGGAAGAGTAGACACATCTTCTCGGTCGTTTTTGTTCGACTTACTCAACAAGAGGCCCATGCCAGGATCGTTAGACAGATACAAGGTCCTCACGAGGAGCGAGTCCTCCGGAATTGGATTAGGAATCGGGAATTCTTTGACATCGAAGGTTCCCGCAGGAGAAGGCCAGAGGTCCAACGCATGCTCTGCCGAAACATAGTTCTGCAGGACGACAGCTCGCGTCGAGGAAGGGACGGGTATGTTGGGAGGAGCTGCAGCTGCAGCTGTTACTTGTTTCTTGTTTGCGGAGCAGAACATTATACTGAGTGTTTGACTTTCAAGACTCGTGCTACACTCTCATCTTTTATGCTCGACTAGCATAATGATTAATTTAAACCTATTTATGCGAATGAGCTTGGTATCACGATCAGAGAACATGAGCGCTGGGGCGTGAACTGACTTCCATACTGCTTTTGGAACGAAAATACGGGAAAACGTTATTTGCTCTTCATGGCATCTGATTGTAGGTAGGTTCCATGTTTCCAGGGGCGCCTTATTGAAATTTAGCATGAATAGCCGGGCCATCAGTATAGATCAGGCACTGCGGTACATTGATCGTGCTCATTGCAGGCATAAAGAAGACGCGATCACGCTCGTACCGCGCGTCGCGGCGTCGGCGACATGGGAATAATTAAATAATCGAGAATGCACGAACGTTTCACCTTTGTGGATTGATTGTGGGGAAAACCTAACAGTGGAACAAAGGAAAGTTCAAACTCATCATTTGCTTCTTCGCTTATATTTGATTTGGCGTACTTTTATTTCGAATTGACTCGTTGATGAGCCTTTCTTACATTTGTTCCGGACGAATAGAAGTAATAAATTGCGGAATCAGAAGTACATCGTAGTTTTGTAGTCAGAGTATTATGCTTAGTGCAATGCTCTGGATGACATTGCATGCATAAGTGTCAACCTAATACAGTAGAAAATGTCTCATTGCATCATATCATAATGCATAAATGGCATAATGCATAGATTTTTGGCCTGACCAAAACTCAGATTTTTAGCCAAAATGTATTGTCATAATGCATAAATTGTATAATGCATTGGGTTTAGCCCTCTCCCGACGTTATGCAATAAGACATCTTCTACTGTAAGATGTAGGATAGAAGGTGTAGATAGTCTTCTTTCTAATACAGATTGGCGTTAGGCATGCACTTGTAATTCAGAGTCATCGTCTTCAGTCCCTTCACCCTCTGACCCACTCCCTTCATCAGCTTCCGGCTCGGTTTGTGAGTGCGGCGGTACATCAGCAGTTTCCTGTGATTGTGGCTCCATTACGTCCTTCTCACCCTCGGCAGTTGCACCATTGTCCTCTTGCATTTCTTTCCCACCAACAGCATCTTTGTGTGAAACATCCACGTCTTCCGCTTGTCCTTCGGTAGCCGGAAGGTCGGATCTTTCCTCTTCAATGATGCCAAGACTCGCACTTTTCTCTTTGACAAGCTCGGGCTCCCCGATTACTTGTACAAGCGGTGCTTCAGAGGTGTAGAGTTCGGATAGGGAGCTGACAGTCGTTAGTGCCATGTCTAAGACCGACTCGACGCGCTTTCGAAGTTGCTCGCTTGAGCTCTCAACAGTCTATAACAGCATTGAAGGATATCAGCTCAGCATTAATCCATGTAGTTCACGGAAGGCATACCATCGTAGCAAGGTCCACAAAGGCTTCTGCATCGTCCATACCGATCAACAGTCCCGGAGAATCTGCATTGTCCGTCGACCCATCTTCACCGGCGACAGGTGGTGCTTCAGGCATGTGCAGCTCAACTTCACCGAAATGCGCTTCGAGGAACATCGCGAGTCGCTGTATTCGTACAATCATTGAATTTTCATTTTCAGGGTCGTCTGCGTGTGGATGTGGTTTGTCGTGATTATGCGGATGTGTAGTCACTGTTTTATTTTATTTTATTTTCGCAGAATTGAAAATAAGGGTGTATGTATTAGATCAATAATATGTGAAGACTAGATGAGATAAACGTACATTTTACAGAAGCGGGGCTTGTATCAATCCCAATTATTAAAGCTAAACAAGAATCAGCAATCATATCATTGCTTGCGCTTGACTCCCATTCCAACGTAAGCTCGTGTTCCTGAGTATGCTTGACATCGACTGCGCCCATGACCTATCCAATCAATAAGTCAACAAGTAAAAATCCATGCAAGAAAGTATGAACTTACTCTCATGGTTGGTACACCATCGCTATCAAGACCCTCCTCCACGCCCCCGTACATCCCTTCTAAATGCCATCGTACCAGCTCCCAACCTACGTTCAATACGACTTTTTGCCGCTGAGTCACGATACAAGTCGAGAGACCAGCGAAATCCCGCAAGTCGCGTGGATCGAGAAGAGTATATGAATAATCCTTAGAAACAAGAAGACCCGAAAGTACACTATTTGGTTTGGGCGGGTTGGAAGCGAGGGTCCCGATGGCCTACGATAAAAAACGCTGCTAAGAACTCTCGATTGTGCATAGATTTACAAAACCGTTAACGTACCTTTGCGACTCGTTCACCTCTAAAAGTTAGCTTCAACGTCTCCAAATTGCGCGGGGTGTGAATTTTGATCTCCTCTTCACGGTCTTTATATCGTTGCTGCAACGAGACCCGTAATCGATTCATCGCTGCGGCATCTCCATGAACCAACACAATATGCTGAGCCTTGACTTGTTCGATGAATTCGATATTCTGAGGACCATCGACGTGGGCGCTGAACGAGATGTAGTCGACAGATAATCGGCGTGGAATAGAGTCTCCCTTGACGCTAGGAATTTCTTGAGGTTCGTTGACAATATCCTAGGCAACGGAATGAGCGTTTGTTTACGGAAGCGTAGAGAACAGTTGCAGGAATTGCGTAAATCTTAGGATAGTTCACTCCGGATTGGGGAAAGAACTTGTATTGACAAAGATGTACATCGAGAATGATAGCCTATACGAAAAGACAGATCCCCACTCACCCTTGCCAGTGTTCCTTCCACAGAGTAACCAGTGATAATCAGACCATTCCGCGGATCGGGTGCCCAGAGTTCTAGCAGTTCACGACTAGGTCCAGGTTGAAGCATACCAGGGGTGCAGAGTATAACACAAGGCGGCCCTTCAGCAATCCGTTTTTCCCAACCGCGGACCTGGGGTATATTAGAAACATGCCTAAGGAGATATTAGGCTTGCGCATTTTCAAGGACATACGGAACACGTACTTGAAAACGAAAGGGTTATCACGCTTGGCGAATCTTGAACGAATATTTGAGTTCATGGTGTGAATGTAGGTCTGGTAAACTGCCATGCATTTCCTTGCCAAATTAGATGCGTAGTAAATTGGCACGTTATGCAAATCCGGGTGTTTCTTCCAGTAATCTTCAAGAATAAGGAGAAGCTCCTGTGCGCGTCCAAGTGCAAAAACAGGCAAGAGAGCATGTCCACCTCTCCGAATGATCGAATGGACAAGATTCGTGAAACGGTGCTCTTTCGTGTCTCGCTCTTCATGACCTTGAACTCCATATGTACTTTCGACAATTAGTACATCGGGTCTTACTGGCGGAATTTCTGCTTTGACTAAATGCCGGTCCTCTTCCCGCGAATAATCGCCAGTGTAGAGAATTCTCAGACCAGCGATATCGATTAGGAACATGCAGGCGCCTAAGACGTGCCCAGCATGGTACGGAGTAAAAGAAAGACCAGGACTGACGGTGATTAACTGATGAGCAGAGACGGTCATGATAGACGCCAGAGACATAGAGAGTTCTACTGAAGTGAAGAGCCCGTCAGTTGACGTTGAACTACAGTGGCGAATGTTAGTCACGACGAAGTAGACAGCGAGATTGTGAAATACCTTATTCGCATAAAGTCCTGCATTAAGAACCGGTATACACCCTTTGTTGGATGCGTCATGTACACCTTTCCCTTTCCGTCTCTAAAGTTAGTTTTTTCCATAATGTACGTGAGCGATGCTGCATGGTCAATATGAAAACTACACGAGTCTTAGCATTAATACCTCTATAGCTTATAAACCAACTTACTGGGTCACGAGGATTGCATCAACAGTACTCCAGTCAAGGTCATCAATGAAGGGCAGCGCTGACATGCCATTATGCGCAGGGTGTGTGCCAGCATCACAAACGACTGTCTTTCCACGATATTGAATGACACAACACGAGCGCCCGACTTCCTGGCCAGCCCCCAGCATCGTCACGCTCAGCGTTGGATAGTCCGACATAGCGAAGAGTACTCGAGTAAAAGAAGTGAACGCGGTCAAGGGAAAAGAGCATTAATTCTCAATAACGAGAGAGCCGCGCTCACGTGCACGTCCAATTGTGTTACCTAATAGCTACTCGAACCGAACCTTAACTTGAAATGGGAGATTTCTAAATTCGGTGTTGCGTGGCTTCAGTTAAGAATAAGAGCATTCCCCAGCCAGAGGACGCTTAGGTTCCCCCTTGTCCATGTCGTGGTCAGCGTCCCTGATCATGGACTGACCGGCCACGATACCAGGGCCACGTTTTCCTTTTGTATATAGAGCAACCTGCTAGCTGGTCTAGCCACCTTTCACACTTACTTCCAACTAACCCTCCAGTCTTTCACTATGTCAACACAGAGTCCAAGAAAGCTACACAAACGGTACGAAAAAGTCTCTCATTCAACGACATACACAGTGATTGACTCCACACTACATAGCTCTGTCCCTTCACAAAGTGGTTCAGCGCACTCGTCTTCAACAGATTATTCCACGACCAGCACGCTTTTTGACGAAGATCTATTTTTCACGAAGCCAGCTCCACAGCCGAGCAAGCCATGGGCAATAAAGGCCCTGAGTCAACTTGGCTTGAAGTGTAGGAAGTCTATGGTATTTGGGAAAGGGAAAAAGAAGGAAGAGAACTCGGCAGAGGACGATGACGAACAGCCACATGTGGACCCATTTGCGCGAACACCACCTCCTTTTGTCCTCGATATTAGTATAGAAGCGGTCGCAAGGATGAAACAGAAGGAGTTGGAACAGAACGAAGAGCTCGACTTGCTTCCTGAGTTTCCCTCTCATTTGTTCAAGCGAGCACCGTCCACGGTGAATCTCCGAAATTACAAGCAGCGAGCTCTACGGACTGGTTCGACGCCAGACCTGCGAAAGAAGTCCAAGCGTGACTCCTGGGATGACCCGTTCCATTTGGAAAGACTCCTCGGCGAGTTTCCTCGTCCACCCGTGCACAATCCCGGTGAATATGAGCGTAGGGCACCAGTAAATCCTCGAATGCGAAGACAGTGCTCGAACTTCTCTCTTCCGTCTTCCAAGGCGTATCCAGAACGAATGAGGTATCAATCTGTGCAGTCCAGGAATTGGATCGACAGGCCCGTAGGACGAAGGAATTGTACCGAGATTCCATCCTTCACTGGAAGACCTGACCTTGCATGAGGCAACGGATTTGAAAACTGACGGACTTCCCTCCCCACCATCCGAAAGCCATGCCGGCGCCACCGATTATCGCCATTTAATTCCTATCATTATTCCGTTTTTCCTTGTACGATATGTTGACGGCTATCGCGTTGTCAAATTATGCCAATCATGCTCATATGGACATCATCAATACTCACCTCTCATGTATGCCCCATTTACGACCATAATTTCGGACTTCTACCATATTCGCTTCACCATCGTGAATCTTGTGAGCTCCTCCAATTTCGGTCTTCTCTTTTCTCCATCTTTACCAGGACGCTTTTCGCCAATATCAGGGACTCGGGTAGCATCATCTCCTTTGTAGTCTAGCAGCGTTTTCAATCCATGATTGTACTCCTATTTGTATAACGAAATGTCGTCGATTAGCTTTTTCAATGCCGTGGTTGTTGTGTGAAATCTTACTCGTTCCTCTTTTCCTTCTCCGATGGGATCCCGGCCAAAGTCGTTAATCTTGTCTTGTTCCTCACGGGTTTCCATGCCTGTTCGGCGCCGGGTGGCAAAACTGACCAAGTTGACTCCGATTATGATTTTAACCACTACACAACTGCGATGTAGTTAGTTAAAGTATGACTGGGATGAGTGCACGAAACATTAAGTACCAGATCCAGAAAATGACTCCAAGGGCAACCCATTTCGCTCTGTCCACTAGGTTCTCAACTAGTGTGATAGGCGAGAGAGTGTAGGTGGATATGACGAGACCAACAGATTGCGAGCCAATCAAAGCGGCGAGGACAGCGAGTGGTAACGCGGGAAAACCAAGCCGGCGAGCAACAATTGGGGATTGGTCGACGTATGAATGCTAATGCACAGATATGTTAGGATTACAAATAAAGGCTAAATACGATTGAGAGTATTGTTCCCACCTTACGAGCACTTCTCCGACCAACCGCACTTCCATTTGCGAGGTCTAGACAAAGGACGTCCATGTATCTTTCGTAGACGGACGGTCGAATGTGATTGAACTTCGTAATGAAAGCGTGCTTCAGCCAGTCGACGAATTGCTCCGATAAGAGCACTATTAGAACCGGCTTCCATGATAGTGACGTTAGTTGAAGATTTACGAGACTAAAGATTTCATTACTTACGTAGAAAATGGTCCACGCGAAGTGGCCCTCACGGAACCAGCCAAAGCTCTTGGGCAAGACAATACCTTCCGTAAAGTCAAATTCAGAGCCGTACATCTCAATGAGGTTTCGCGAAGCCACGGCAAAGAGCATTAGCGTTATTGTGAAACGCTCGACAATGTCTGTGGGGAACCATCGTCAGCAAAGGTCAAACAAATACTATAGATAACTGACCCGCGCAGGTTATCTGGAAGAGATTGTCCTTCTCAAACTTCTTGAACACGCTACCTTTGATCTCGACGAACTGGTTTGACACAAGCAGGGTTAGGAGTGCGTGGTCATAGGAGTTGATAGCGACATTTAAGGCCATGAGCTGATAAACAAGGACAAGAGAATGTGCAACTGAAAGCAAATCAGCCCGGTTTATGAAGAAAATGCAATAATGCGATAGAACGTACTGATGTAAAGGGTAGCAATGAAGAAGAATAGAAATGGCTTGATTGATTCCGAAGTGGGACGTCTACTCCGTGATAGTAATAAGAGCGTAGATCGGGAAAAGACGCAATCGAGAACATCTTGGCCAAACGACGAACATAACCTATCTGCAATCTGAATAAATCGTTTAATAAGCGATATTGGTTATTATTAGGGATTCTCACCTCCAGCGCATTGAAAATAACGTATAGTTTGATAGTTTCTTGTCCACGAATGGTATGGTATATCTTGCTGGCGTCCGTCAAAGGAACCAATATTACTATAGAACCGACTAGCAAGAACACGCGCAATAGATCGGCCTTTTGAGAAGGAGGAAGTGATGCTCCCGTAAACACATTAATAAACATGCGATAGACAGCTAGAGAAAATCGGATAGGTAGGATCGTAAAGGTATAGAGAAACGAATCAAAGCAAAGTATAAATCCAAATCCGAGCATCTACAGTCCATTTCAATGTGTTTCTTGTAGGAGTATTTCAGGAACTTACTTTTTCAATGGCCAGTGGAATACTCAAGAAGTTGCTAACACGCTCCCACTTTAATTCCTGGTGAGAATCAAAGTCCGTTGCCAGCAACTCTTCCCGGAGGTAATCCCACAGTGAGAAAGGCACGTAATGGGTATGATTGGATGAGTATTCCGGGTGCAAGTCAATTGGCGACGGTGAAGAGGGAATGGGTGTCGCGGATATTGGTGACGACGGTAATGATGTATAGGCCAGCGTGTCCGAGGTCTCTTCGCGCTTGATGGGACTCAAAGAGTGATGGTCTGAGAGGAATGGCGGGGAAGGTGATCGGCTCTCCTGCTTGACGGTGTAGGTGTCCGCACTGTATGTATCTGACCCATCGCTGTATTGGTGATGAGAACTCCTTTCAACGCCGGCAACGTAGTCCGGGGTGAATGAGTGTCGCCTCAAAGTGTTTGCGGCTTGTACGGAGAGTCCGGGAGGCTTTCCAGAGGACTGTAACCCGCCAGGACCATTTGTGAAAACGCTCGCGGAGGCCGAAGCTCTTCTGCCTTGTCTTGAACGTCGATTTGCACCTGGACTTGTCATCTTCAATGTGGCCTTGAGTAAAGAATTAGGTACTAGCAGTAGTAAGTCGAGCCATGGCCTTTGACACGACACGCTTCGTCACACCGTGTATGACGTTATTGACGCGAATCCGCCAGCACGCGTATGGGAACAAATTTCCCTACAGGGGCAATCTCAAAGACTAATTAATTTCGTCGGTTCCGTCTCACGAAAATCATGCTTGCTTGCGCTCGTGTTTGCTGTAGACCGCGTCTCGTCTGGCGAAGGAGTGTCTCCTCACTCCCTCCCCTACCTCCAAAGGAAAAATGGAGACATGTATTTCCAGCCATGAAATTGACCGAGCGAGTCCTTCTAAAAGATACCGACATGGCAGATAGACTCGTGCAATCGTACTTCAAGGATGAGCACTATCCTGAAGGCCACACGGGTGAAGGAAGAATTGTCATAGAAGCATTTCCTGGTCCGTTCTTGCCTGCCGAGTGAAACAGACCGACGTACTCATATTTTTTACAAGGCCCTGGTTGCCTTACCCGTAGCCTATTAAAATTGCCTCCCTCCAAAATCAAGAGACTCATTGTATTGGAGGAAGTCCCTCAATTTCTGGAGTATCTTAAGGTGTGTCAAACCCTTTTATGCACAATTTATAGATGTGCTCATTCCCCTGGAGCCCCTTGAAGAAGTTGATCCTCGTGTTGTGGTGGTCCCCTTGTCTGGATTCACCTGGTCAACTTACACGGAGATCGAAGCTCGAGGATTGCTTCATGACGTAGAAACGAGATCTTGGGAGGACCAACGTACGTCTGCACTACTGTTGACTTTTCCGTCCTGCAGTTTAAATTATTCTCTTAGAGCCAAACCTGCACTGGATTGGTCAAATTCCTCACTCTATATACGGGGACCAACTCGTCTCGCAATTTTTCCGACTCATTCCCGAGCGAGGCTGGCTATTCAAGTACGGTCGCATGCCTCTAAGTCTCACTTTACCGGAACAAACGTACCAGGTTCGTTCACGTACATTTGCATAAACTCACGATTTCCTAATACATAGCCCGATTCTCTTTTAGCGAGTAATAGCCGAAAGAGCAAGCCAGCTTTACTGTAAACTAAGTGTCGTTGCCAAAGCAACAAACGTGATTGAAGAACCCGTCTCTCCAAAGGAGCTTCAACCATACAACGATTTTTTCCATCCATCAATTAGCGAAGAGAGTGTTAAGAAGGGTCCAAAGACTCATACTGGTACTTACAGGAAGGGCATGCATCGGCTTCTTGGAGCTCCTTATGCGGCGATGCACGTAACGCCGTTGGCGAATCCCGTATGTCTTTCCTCTCTCTCTCTCCCGTGTCAACATGTACTGATGTGTTTTGTGTTTTGACATTCTTAGGTGATTGAGAAAGGCCTGTTAGATAAATGGGATTACATCCTCCGCCGATTGTTCGTTCTGAAGACGAAACCGATTCGAAAAGCAATAACGTAAGCACCCATTATTAGTGCTCCATACATACATTTTAGTATTCTATCGTACTCACGAAAACGTATGGAACAGATCTCTAGGTCCAGGTGCAACGAATCTCTTACTAGTTGTAAACAATCCAGAGCTCCCGGAAGAACAACGTGTTAATATCGATAAGAAAGTCAATGAGTTGGATATGAGAGAGTGGACTCTTATGGTAAAGGCGTTTGACGAGTGGCCTTTTGCGCCAGAGGTAAGATAGCATTAACTTGTTCATCATGTCCATTCCGCAAGTTCTTATGCGATACGTGATATATTTTTAGGATCTGCAAATTACGGATACCATTTATAGAGACGTTGAGCGAGAGCATCATCGATAGGTGGATGTTATCTCTTAAGGTTCCCTCCAGGGACTAGTGGATTGATTTTGGAATTTTGTTCTTATCGGCATCTACGTAGCCTGCAATCAAGTAATTAGAATGCATGTAACTAATTCATCCCATACATACAACAATATCATCACTCTCACATATGATTCGTCGCATGGCGATACCACTGGAAGAGTAGTCAGACGTTATGTGCGGCACGCTGTGATATGAAAATGGTTATGATTGAGTGCTCAAGTGAAGGATGCAATACATTATCGATGATCAAACCAAGAAAAAGGTTAAATTCCAACTACTATTACTGCTGAATTTGAACTTGTAAATCAGTTCTCAAGCTTCAGCAGCCAATTCGGCTGGTACTGTCGGAGGCGTGTCGGGCCACTCGATTGGTTCCTCGTCATCATCAGCGAGTTGTGTCTGTGGAACAAAAGTCAGTTCCTTCGATCTAAGGCATGTCTCGAGAAAAAGAAAAAGCAAAGACGAACCTCAACTTGCGTCTCCCCAGCCAACGTCGTACCCGACTGCTGTTGCTGTTCCTGCGATACAGCAGCAGACAAGGTACTCTCTTCGTCGAGTGTTTCCTGTTCTCTTTCAAGCCCGTCATCCATTACTACGTCACCGTCGCCATTTTGACTAACTATCGTCTCTTGTGTCTCTATTTGCGATTCTGCGAGAGTTGATTCGCTAAGTGACTCTGCCGTTCCATTTGTTATGTCTTTATTGGGCTTGCTAGTTTTCTTCTTGTTTTTGTCGTCTGTTGGGAGCATGCCGAAGAGTGTTGCTTGCTTTCCTGCGGCGGGTTTCTTGGCTTTAAGTTGTCCACCTTTGCGCGTCAATGAATCAGCTGAAATGAAGGAGACTGATAGGAAATACAATTGATCTCACGTTTACCCTTCTCCGCTTCACTCTCAGCTGCATTCACCTTATCAAAGAACGTTTCACTCTTGTGCAATGACTTTGTCGGCGCGAGTTTGCGAAGGAATGGATTAGGCTTGCCGCTACCTGAAGCGATTTCATTAGCAGCTGATGGCTTCTTCGCGAATGGATTTGATTCTATTTTGTCGTGTTAATTAGTCAGCCGTTGTTAAATGAAGGAGCTGAAGGATGGATACTTACTAGGTTTTAAACTGGAAGCGTCTTCGTCGAAACCTACAGCACGACGTTTGGGATTTGCATCTGAAGTTGATGCAATTGACTCCTCGTTCTCGTCAACCGCGGCTCGTTTACGTTTCTCCGGTGGAGGGGAGGCGTCGACAACGGTTCGAGAAGACGACGATGGTACTATAGGTGGCTGCTGTTGCGTAGGTCTACGGGCAAAGGGTGATGGCTCTGCCGAAGGAGCTGCGGTTGCTAATCTCGGACGGTCTACAGCTGGGGCTGGACGCGTGTCCTGGAATGGTCTTCGCGCTGCATCTGCTTCAGCAGCTGCATATGGATCCCTCGCAGGAGGTACTGCACCAGCAGCTGCTTTCCAGTCTGAACGACGCGCACGCTCGTCGCGTAACCGGTCTGCACCGACACGAATCCGCTTAAGCACGTTAAACTTTTCACGTAATCCAGCGAGATGATAGAAGTCTGCGACTTTGATGGCCATATCGATCGATGCGGTGTGGTGCAGGAGTTTAGCGGCGTCTAATGCTCGTTGCAAACGATCGTGTTTGCAAGCAAGTTGAATGAGCTGAATAAGCTCCTTGTCGAGATCGAGTTCGGTCTTGGAGATGTCCTCGGTCGTAAGTTCGTCTTCTTCAAGCGTATCACGCAGATGGTCGAGAAGGATGGTCTCTCGGGCTACTCGTTCTTCCTTTTGTGCCTCTGGGCTGTCCATGTCAAGGTATGGCATTTGCATCTCGATTTCCTGCGCGAGAGGTCGAGGGAAGCCGGGGTACGCTTCTCTGCCCTTTTATTGACATTAGGACAACGCATCATTAATGAAGTATAAAGCATATACCTTCAAGATGATGGTCATCAGAGTGCTTCCAGTAACACCAATAGGCCAGTAAGCTTCATCCTTCCCGTCTCTTCGTGCTAACTGTGTCGCATCAAGCAAGACAACCCACGAGCCTTGTGCAGTGAATCTGTAATGCTCGAGCATCATTATGCGCTCAACAGAGTCGTATATCACAGGTGCCTAGATAAAAATTAAATCGCGTACATGCACAGAAATGGGGAAAATACATACGCCTTCATCAGTAATACCTAGCCATTTCAAAGTTTGCCCCCTGTTCACGGGTAGTCGACCAGTATGCATGACTCGGAATGTATCCGATGTCCGTAAGGTATACTTCAGATTTTGATTACCTGAATCCTCATTCAGTCTTTGAAGTAATAACACAAGCGGCTTTTTCAGAAGTCATACTGACCGTCAAGACTAGTCCCTCCCTCACGGTGGACAACAAAGACGTAGTCACGTCCAGCGACCATTGCAATTATATCACCGTCTATCGCCCATACGGGCCCTCGCTGTGCTCCACCGCCAGAGAAGAAACGCACAACACCGCGATCGGTCGCAATAACTACATAGCCATTACCCTCTGCGTCTGCTTCTTGAAGAACTCGTAGTGAACGGGTCGGTGGAGTTCCCCCAGCAGCGATTGCAATTGCCCGCTCGCCATTAGGCAGCTCGTATGTCCACTCGCCAAGAGAAGCCCACGTTGCGTATGGCTTGTAATGTACACGAGCTGGATGAACTCCTTCCGGAGGGCATGCATACACAACGCCGCGCTCGCCTTTAAATTCGAAATGTAAGGAATAATTCTAAGCAGCATGATACCGACGTACCTATTGACGCCATGTCGAATTTATAAGAATCCGTGAAATGGTAGTTCTTGCGTGTTGTCTGATCGTGGAACTCCACATTAATGATTTGATGTGTGTCCTGGTCAACAACCTCTGCAACTCCAATATTGTTAAAGGCTAGAATAATTTATTCAGCTAGTTGGTTCTTAGTCATATAACAAATTTACATACAAATATATCTCCTCTTGTTCTGAAACGGAGTTGACCCAGGTTGGAAGGCTGCCTGTGCCTTCGTTACGCTGACTGAATCACTAGATAAGCCTGAGACTTCATAATAATTTTATATTAATTACCCATTTCTCGCAGGCCGTACTCTTTCTCGCCGCTTTCCTTCAGCCCGTCCCCCAGGTCATCAATGATCCAATCCTCATCGTGCTCATCCAGACCTCCTGCATCTACGTCAAGATTCACATCTCCGCCATCGTCTCCTTCAGCCGCGTCAGCAGCATCATCAAGAAACAATGCAGACGTATCAGGCCGTCGTTGCATCGGTATACTCATGCCGTTTGTAGCAACAGGCTTTGTCGGGCTTGGTAGGGATATCGGGACTGCATTAGGCCATCGAGTCAGATTACCACTATTGTCTGTCCATGCCAGCAAGTTGTGTGTAGAAGAGAAGGCGAGGCTGTGGATGGTCGTATTTTGCGGGAGGGATTGGCTAAATGACAGTGCACTTCGTAAACTTCCTTAATCTAAGAACAAAGACAGGGACGAACCGTGCTACGACACGCCGAGTTTGGGTTGACCAAATGAAGACGCCCGAGTTGCATGCAGACGCAAGGTAGACACCATTGGAAGAGATAGCAAGGGCTGTAGTGGCCCCGAGACAGTCTTCATTAGTGAAGGAAGATATTTTTGACCACGTGCTACGAGAGACAGTGATGATTTCTGTAATACGAGTATCCATTGAACGTCAGAGAAAAGTAGATGAAATCATCTAGATAACGTACCGTGAGCTTTAGTCGCTACGACAAAGTACATTCCTGATGGATGCCAGACTGCTGCACACTCGTGACCAAATTCAGCAGACCTGACATAATTGTTCAGTCGCTGTGTAGACTTGTCATACGAGAGGCTTACTCGTTGTCATTCACTGCAGGAATGATTCCTTCCAGGGTCTTCTCAATCTTGGGTTCATCTTCAGATAAGTCCCACGCGATAATTTTGCCATCGGAACTACAAGTAGTCTAGGAACAAAGTCCGATGAAGAAAACTAGAGAGTCTGCCTTAAACTTTGACTCACCACAAGACTACCCGACGGGTGCCAAGTTGCACTTCGTACGCCCTTCTTATGTCCTTCGAGAAGTTGCACTTTGGTGGTATCGTCAAGGTCTATTACTTTCACGACAGTTTCACTGGTATTGTATCAGAAGACCGTGAGCTGGCTAGCATGCAATGAGAACTCACTCCGATGCAATTGCTACTCTCCTTCCTTTGGGGTCCGCTGCGATGTATCGGATCGGAATCGCATTTGCGCGAGCGATGAGGCTCTCCATCTCGGTACGAGTCTTCAAATAGCGTCGCACATGGGAATCTTCGCTACCAGAAAGCCATCCATCGTTCTACGCCATTCAATGAAGTCAGAATTCTCAAGTCTTGTCTGTCGGAATGCGCAGGCCAAAAAATACGTACATCAACACCCAGAGCAGTGATAGGCTCATCTGCTTCTAAGGCTGTCTCTGGTTCGTGGTCTGCACCACTATCAGCTTTCCAGACGCGCACGAGAGTATCAGCTCCTCCTGTATACAGAACACTGAGGAAAGTGTCATCGACATTCTCCACAAACTCTCGAAAGAGTTGATTACTCACTTTCCGTCTCTTGAAAACGCGAGAAATGTTCTTCCTGCTGAATGAGCTGTGTTGAGAATGAGTTTATCGGTCGCCATGAGCGTCGGATGTACACCTTGACAAAATGAGTTCGTGGTCTGACCGCGTCTGTCACCGACGCGGTGTGACTTGGTTGTGACCTCGCCACGTTTTTGCTGACGTCTTGTCCTTTAGATGAATGGTTCCGAGTCGCCAGGTTGGAACGCAGCTTTCATCATCGACCAGCCTCATGTGTTAATTACTCTGAATCGATCTTCTGAGACCCCTAGACGTCATGATCAGCTGGATGAGTGTTCATTGTGCATACGCAATGGTGATAACGAGATATAGTGCGGCTCATAGTTTTATTGCGCTTTACGTCAGGGTTTTATTTATTCAAAATTCGACTTGTATCTTAGCGTTAGAGTGCTTGAGCCCATTGGACTGAGCATGAATAGAAATCCAATTATGTTGATAATTATGTGTCCGTTTGAATCCGCATCCACGCGTAATTATCAATTTAACTGGATCCTGAATGCGGTGTTTGTACCTATTTGCGCGTGATCCAAGTTGGAAAGCTGGCAGACCAAACACGAGGTGTGCTGCCTGCTGGTCTGTTCATCTTCCTCCTGCCATCTACATAGCGCTACACCCGCCACTTTTCATATCTTGTCTCCTATCTCCTTCTACCCTGACCTTGCGATACCGCTCAGCTCTCCTCTAACAATTCACGATTAAACGAACACACAAACTCATCTGACGAACCAACTCCAACACTCAACTTCAACTTCAACTTGAACACTGTTCACAATGAGCGGCTCTTCAGAGGTCCTCACCCCAATCTTACTGCGCTCGAGCACACCGGGTATGTCCATTTCTTCATGGATCTGAGATATTGCTAAGAAAAGCCCAATAGCTCCGAGTGAGAAAGGTAGCATTATCTTGCATTAGTCTGTCCCAAGGTAACCTCCTGACCATCGTGCTACAGTCCTTCTTTATTTAGAAGGCATCCAACGTAGTGGGGGTGCTAGCCCCGTACGCGACAGCATGGTCTCTGAAAGCATGCAGTCAGGCCATGAATTCGATCCCAACGACCCAAGACTCACCCGTCTGAACAACCATGCTCAAACACAGCATCATCGTTCATCCGGCCTGTCCAGAGAAGCATTCAATGCTAATGAAAATGATGGTGACCTACAAGATCTGGGAAACTCTGAATTAAGCTATGAGATGGTTGGAAAGGAAGGAGAAATTGCTTCCAATGTGCAGGAGGGAATGCGTTCAGAGATCGCCAAATCAGAACGCAGTGCATCTGTACATAATGCACAGGTATGACTTACTTATCTTGTCCGTTAGTGTATCTGATCGTGCACTTTGTAGGATGATTATGTCGAGCCTGGACCAGATGACGAACCAGGACCCAAATTCGTCTCCGGCTCGTCATTCGGAAATCTGGGCCCTCCTCCGGAACACATTTTTGGGCCGCCGCCACTTGCGCAGCCACAACCTCAGCCAGCGGTTCGTAGTTTCGCTTGTCCCTGTTGATTACGCCACTGAACATTTCCGAAGTGGTACACTAACGGCACACCCTCTCATGCTGCGAATATTGCTCTTCCAGAGTCGGTAATGATGACGCCTCGTAGTCCGCCCAGGGCACCATGGAGTCAGGCGATACTCAGGCCTATTGGCAGAGCTTCTGCAATGACACCAATGACAGGGGACGTAAATATTGATGTCGAACCTCCGACCGACCCCAGTTATCATTCTTCAAAGCAACACTCTAGAGCCCCGTCACGACATTCTAGGCGCTCGAGTGGCGGCAGACAAGATGTTGTTAGCCCTCCCCCACAGAGTCAGGCCCAGCAGCAGCTCCCTGGCATAACGGTGAACATTAACCCAGATGGGTCAACAACAATCAGCATCGTGAGTGTGCCCGAGTTCCTTCCCGTAGTCTTGTCTAAGTAGAACTCTTTTGAAAGCCCCGTGCCTCGCCGGCGGTTGAAAGGCCTCTTTCTGAGAGGACCCCAACGGAGAGAGTGCCGACCGAGAGAGCGTTCTCCGAAGCTCCAGATGAATTACGTTCTCCAAAGGCTCCCTCTCAGAGACCGGTAGCATCCGTTGCAGGAACTCGTCGTCCGTCAGTTGGAGAAGCCGATCCTGCTGTGCTTCTCTCGCCTGGTGCACAATCTCGAGCTTTGAGGTCCCCAAAGCCGACTTCGAAAGCCCCCTCGAAAGCTGCAAGTCGGGCGGCTTCCCAAATGAGCCCTGTAGAAGCCTTCAAACCCCTGAATGGTTTTCAGTCATTCGGCTTACCACCATCAGCCGACTATGCGGCTCCAATGCCGTCGCAGAGGGCAGCATCGCAGAAAGCCCAATCAACTGCAGCTCACTCCCAACGACCAGCAGCATCTCACAAGGAGCCGTCTGAGTTTGGTACAATTCCAAATGAAATCACTGGCGATACGGGCTTCAATCGTGGGGCTCGCGATGGTGGAAGACAACCGAGTGCATACAACAATTATGATGCCGGAGGATATCCTGATGATCGGGTAAACGGATACGTCAACAATGCACTCCGCGCAGGAGTAACTACTGTATCAGGGTCGACACGGACGGGTAGTGCACAGCAGTCACCTATGCCGTTGCCTCTGCCAGCCCACATGCACCACAGGATGCCGAGTAGCTTGGATTCTCGGAATTCACGCCCAAAGATGCAGACATTATCGCCCGTTCCGTCCGCCCCGAATACCTTGCGAACCAATGGTGATGATGCTCTCGCTACTCCAACGCAATCACGTCCCGAAAGCCCCGAAGCGGAAGAGCTGAATGACTACGAGACTGAGATCGTGCAGGGAATTTTGAGCGCCCGTACCCCGCGAACGTCGATTGCGCCGTCTGTACTCGCGGAAGAGATCAAGCGCTCAAACTATCATGACGAGGATCTGTGTATTCTTCTGCATGCTGCAGATGATCCCTCGCAACACGATATTGTCAGGAAGGCGCTGAGGAAGGCGGTTGCTGCTCGCATCAGGAAACTTGGTTATAAGAGCGATAAAGAGAGCATTAGGCAGTATCGGAAAAAGTTCCATAATCACGATCCGAGCTGGCATGCTACGAATGGTCCAAGTTTCAATCCAGACGTAAGTAAAGGCATTCAGTAGACTGTCGTGCAATAGCTTACCGCTCCTACCAGGATCCGCCTGCATGGGCTCGAGAAATGATGGATCAATTGCATTCCATGGAGAATCGCGTTGCCGAGCTCGGTCCTCAGATCGCAAAGCTCAGGAAGTCAGATGGCTCGCGGACTCGTACACATACAACAACGTATCACACTCGGGGAGCGCCTACAACAGAGACTCAAGATGAGGAATGGGAACGCACACCTCGAACGCAGACAATTCCCATCGGTACACAAATAACCGGTGCTGACGACTCCATTTATAGACAGCCCGAAACGGAGTATACTATTCCTGGAGAGTCCATGGGTCAAGGCACAGCACTTGGACCTTCAGCAACCGAGCAAGACGAATTCGAAGATGTTGAAACGGAGAAGAATGGTCAAGGACGAGTATATGTTGACCAGACACCTCGAACCCGTACTACTGATTTTGCGTCCTCATACGTACCAAAACGGGCTGATCTACTTTCGTCAACTGGGCGCGGTGAGTCACCTGGACAGCAGGTACTGGAAGAAGAGTTGTATCGACTGCGGGCCAAGGACAAACAGGCGCGTTCTACAGCTATGACTCACCAAAGCTGGGAATTGCGTCAAGAAAGCGTTGATGGCCGCCAGGCATCTCATGCTGCGGAATCGGAGATACCTGACATTGAGGAGGAAGGGCCTCGAGGAGAGTCTCCGCCTCTTCCACCGATTCCTGTAGAAGCGCAGGGTGCCGTTAATGCAGCGGCGGCCAACGCAGCAGACGCACAATCTGTGAATAATGAACGCCAGTGGGAGTATCATGAAGCTCCACCAACTCCACCGTGGCAGCGCATTCACCAGCGGCTTCTCAACTGGGCGATTGTATGGCCTATGAGCGAGCTCGATAATGCCTTGGCGAGTACTCAACGTGGAAATCAGGTGGACGAGGTTGCGTTGAGTGTATGGTCGGCACAGATGTACAAACGATATGTGCGCCAACAATTAACGGAAGTTCCACCGGGACGAGTTGACAGGCTGTTCGTCCCACCGAACATGGCGGATGCGATCAACAATGCAGTATTCCATGGACGGCACGGTGATGCGTGTGGAATGCTTAGAGACCTCTGGACGCCATTTGGACTTGAAGGCATGCCGAGAATCATTGTTGTTCTATGCAAGCACAGAAGCGATCCCAACCACTGGGTTGCACATAAGTGAGTGGCGGTCGTGCATTATGACAAGCAGAAGCAGAGTACTGACTAGCCCCTAACCCAGATTCTCCCTACCAGACGGGACTCTCACCACTTATGATACCTACCCCGAGAAGTGCCTGCCGGATGGACGGGTAAGCTTCGGTTCTTGATGCTTCTGCCGTTAAAATTGCGGCTGATTCGAATTCACGTCTTCTTTCTTTGATTCTTCCCTTCGGTCAATAGCCTCTTGGCTGGTGGTTCGCAATCCGTATAGCATGGCCTGGTGCGATGTATCCAAGTCCAGACCACCTGATGCAGAAGATGGTTCGGTTACATCGTCCGATGCAGTTGCCGATCGATAACAGTGTTGCCGCGGCGGGCATTTGGAGGAACTTACTAATGGGTTCTCGCGCTGAACGTCCTGTTGACCTCGAACGTCTCCGTGATTTAATCAATACTGAAGTTAAGAATCTACGTCAACGCAAAGAACAGGGCAAGCTCTCCGTCGCTGCTGCCATCCGACAGAATTGGAATTGGGACGATATGGCCACGTGAAAGTGAACGATTCTTCTTCAATTGGACTTACTGACTTTCTTGAAACTGTTTTGTTTGGCCTTGTCTTTCTCTCCTCCCTCTTCCAACCCCTTTTCCTTTCCCAATTGTGAATTCGATTCGACAACAGCGAAGTTAAGCTTTGATTACCTGTTTACCCTACTTCTCTGCTCCTATCGCAGTCGAAGCTTGATCTATTCTCTTGCCGCATCTGATCGTAGTGTAGAATCTAAAGTTGCCACATATATGTAAACTTCTCGGACCCTGATGTCTCCGAAGGTGTGTTGGAGGATCTGTATTTTTCTTTCCTCTCGTTTTCTTTCCTATATCCGGTTTTGACCTCACTTCAAAGCGATACCGTACTATACTGTACCTTTCAAATCTTTCATGCCGTTTTTTGGAATCCTCTGGTTATCTTGTTGAGTAGTGATTGATCTTAAACGAGCGGCTTTACTGTATGTAGTATGTACTCGCTCGTGCAATGAAATATTAATGACTTCATGATAGTTCCGTCTTAAATATATATCTCTGCTAGGATGTTGGATTGTTCAAAACGTGGATGTCTTCATTATCGGGAAATCCATGTTCTTCTATGCGATTTTCGAGCCGTGGAGTGGCAGCTCGTTCCACAGTCAGCCCACCCAGTCCATGTGCAATGCTGAATACTTTTAATTTACCATCATATCCGGGACATAGATTCTCCTTGGGATTCGGGATCAATCTCCAATACTTTCGGTCTTGCGTGTGTTATCCAGATCAATAGATTAAGCAGCATGGAGGAACACCGCTTACTGTAAGATGTAGAAGATGTTCCTTCGATGGGTTAACATTAAGTTAACTGTAAGTCATGCTCCAAATTATGAGCAACATGAAATTATAACTAATTTCCTCTTACTCGAAACATGAAGTATGAAGTAATTGTTGACTAGTTTGCTTCCTTTTTCTACTAGTTGTGGTGGACTTGGAATAGTGGTGAAATTCTGAAGGGTCATTAAAGCATGTGGATGTGGGAAACTCGGATTGCCGTCGAATTATAGAGCCCGAATTGAACGGCCCAACGGCTTGTCTCCGAATAATTCATCACCCTACCATGCTTCATAGTCAATATTCAATATTCGCTTCTCGGAGAAAATATAAAATGAATGGCTGCTGTCCTCAATCTAACTCGTAAATACGTGTCTTCTTGCCTGTAGCCCTCCACCTTAAACTTGAAGGATGTCATTGAGTCTGGCTTGTGCTCTTCTAGCAACAACTTCTAGCGCTTTTGCTCAACTGGCCCCTGCGCTCGAGGACTGCACGACTACCATCAGCTCCATTGCAGATGCTACAAATGCTAGTACTTGTGCTACAGTCAACATAAATGGCTTCACCGTTCCTGCAGGAGAAGGTTTTACTCTTAACCTTGCAGATGGTGCTACCGTCAATTTACGTACGTTCCATTAGAATGTCCTGTTGAATTGTATTCTTATTCGGATATTTTCAAGTCGGTGATGTTTTGTTTGGCAATAAGTCCTGGGAAGGCCCTCTATTCACTATCCGTGAGCAGCTTCATTATCTTTCTCGTTCATTTGTTCCTTATTTATCGCTGACAGAGGGTAACGATATTACATGCAAGTCAACAAACACCTCTGCACGATAGCTTCTAATACACGGATGTGCAGTCAATGGAAACGGCTTCATCTTTGACGGAGGAGGTCCATTCTACTGGGTTAGCACGTAACTCAACCATACTCAATCTTTTATTCAAATACATTTACGTCTTGTTCAGGATGGCTTGGGTGGCAATGGCGGTATTCTCAAGCCCGGTCCGATGATGAAGTGAGAAGACCCGACAACTTGATACCGTATGCAATTGACAATAATGGTACTATACCGTTCCCAGGATCAAGATGTCAGGCAGCTTCAACAACCTGAAAGTCGTAAATTCCCCACGACATGTATTTAGTGTATCCAATGGCCAGAGACCTCTTACTATCTCAGGATGCACAGTTGATGATTGTAAGTGCAACTCAAAATGCAATATCTAGTCGTAAATTTAATATGTGCCAGCTCAGGGATTCCAACCTAATAATCAAAGCAATGGGACTGCCGCTGGACACAATACAGACGGATTTGACATATCATCTTCCAACGTAGTAAGTGTTTTTTCGCAGGGTTGGAAAACGCTGACTATTACTAAAGCATTGCCTAGCTATTCACCGGAAATACTGTCATCAGCCAGGACGATTGTCTCGCCATCAATAAAGGTTCCAATATAACTTTCACAAACAATACATGCTCAGGAGGCCACGGCATTTCTGTCGGCTCGATTTCGTCGGATGCATCCGTGTCTAACATCGCAATTACCGATAACACCATCATAAACAAGTGAACCTTTCGAAATGTTGAATAATAATCGCTTACTTATGTCATGCTTTCCCAGCGACCAAGCACTGCGCATCAAGACGAAGGCGTCGGCTGTTAACGGAAGTGTTGCTAATATCACATATTCCGTCTGTTTATATTTTCAGGCTGAACCTGCGTATCTTTCACTGACTTGTCCTTTTTTTCAAGGGGAATACCGGTACTGGCATGCGTAGGTTTGGCATCATTATTGACCAAGGTTATCCAAAAACTCTGGGAAAACCTGGGACTGGGGTTATTATCTCTGACGTGAACTTTATCGGCGAGATGAACAATATCACGGTGAACGACAAGGCTGTTCGAGTGGCAGTCAATTGTGGTGAGGGTGCTTGTCAGGGAACATGGAACTGGACTTCTCTTGTTGTCACTGGCGGACAGAAGAGCAACATATCTGGATTTGATGGGATAACCGGGGGCTCGTTTTAAACTCTGAATAGTTGTGCAATTCGGGACATTAATGTTATTTGCATTAGTTGTTTCTTTGCTTCAGAGTCTAGCCTTTCGCTTTTACCTTTAACGAGCACAGTGCGACACTCCCTTTTCGATAGTCGAATTTAAAATACATTGCGATGTTGTTTGGTCATTTGCGCTAACTCGGGTCACTACTTGAACTAGCAATGGTGTCACCGTACTAGTAGTACTGTAGTAGTAGTAGTGGATACTGGCTGTTGCTCAGGCATAATTCATCCATCTCCGTCTACCTAGGTGAGTAAATAATCGACTGGATCCGTTATGTAGGTTATTGCTTTGTGGCTGCTAGCAAAAGCATCCGTAAATAGCAGTCGTAATCAGAAAATGTATAAAGTAAAGAGAAGAAGAAAACTTCGATTCTTAAGTTGAGGTACCACAAATGATCGGCGAGCGGATTCGGCCTGACCTGACTTGACATCATACCACGACAAGATGCCCTTCACGGGTCCAGTCAACTACTCACTGTACCTCGTTACAGGGCGTGAACTCCTTCCACCGGGTGCAGCAAGTTGTCTTCTTTGACATGTTCGAGAATTATGCTCGACTAAGAAATATAAAACAATAGGACTACTACCAAATACTTGAGGAGGTAATATCTCCCGCCTCCGAGCATTGCCAATTTAATCCAGAAACTTAAATGACGGGTGGACCACATCTGTTTCACAGGCTCTGAAAGGTGGAGTTACGCTCGTCCAGGTACGAGAGAAGGATGCAAGCACCAGAGAGGCACGCAATTTTTCTTCCGACAGCGCATATATGCAGGCTCTGATCCCGTAACCACCGCATATAACCAGTTTCTCGAAATTGCCCAGCGGACCAAAGAAATATGTCACGAATACAACGTCCCCGTTTTGATTAATGACAGGTATGGGATTGTCGTTGGTAGGGCGCAATGCCACAATGCCGATCTAAACTATCGTTTGTTCAATAGAATTGACATTGCGCTAGCCATGGGCGCGGATGGGGTGCACATAGGGCAATCTGACATGCCCGCCAATATCGCCCGCTGGCTCCTTCCCGCTAACTTAATCTTAGGTATCTCCGCGAACACGCCTGGTGAAGCGGCGGCCGCAGTAGCGGATGGTGCAGATTATATTGGTATTGGGCCAATCTGGAGCACAACTACGAAAAAGGACATAAAGAACGTTCTTGGTGTACGTGGAGTTGGCGCAATCCTAGATGCACTGGATGGATCTAAGGTGAAAGCGGTTGGCATCGGTGAATGAATTCGATTTGCTCATTTGGCTTTGTTGTATTCTTAACTTATAATTCTCAGCTGGAATTAACGAAAAGAATGTCCTTCGAACGCTTCATGGTACTGTCTCGAAAAACGGACGGGCTTTGGATGGCGTTGCAGTTGTCAGTGCCCTCATGGCATCCAAGAAGCCGCACGACTCTGCAAAAGGATTGTCAGATATCGTTCGCGCATTCCTTTCTTCGCCAACACAAATTTCCAGATTCGAAGCACCCTCTAAAGCCGAAATCATTGTGAAGGCAGTCGCGGATCTCTTGTCCAATATCCGTGAGACTGGACCAGTAATACATCAGGCAAGGCATGCCAACCGAGCTCGTTAAAACCTCCAGCCTAATTACTCTTCATCTACGCAAATTCTTGTAGATCACGAACAATGTCGTGATCAATCAATCCGCCAATGTTACCTTAGCGCTCGGTGCAAGTCCGATCATGGCTACTGCACCACAAGAGATGGAGGACCTCAGTAAAGTGAGCAGGGCCTTGCTTGTTAACTTTGGTACGATCAGCAGCAAGGAAGGTATGCTCGAAGCGGGTACGTGCTTCTTGAATGGATAATCCGTCCCAAATAATTGCTGAGAAAATGTATGCTATGACAAAGGCAAATGGGTTAATGCCAGGAAAAATCCGATTGTATTCGATCCGGTGGCTGTTGGCGCGACAAAGTACCGCTTCGAGACGGCACAGGGTGAGTTTCTTCCAAGTCTCAAAGTTTCTCGTAAGCTGAAGTCCTATGCCTCTTCTCCAGAGCTCCTTAACACATGGCAGGCATCTGTTATTAAGGGTAATCCAGCTGAGATCGGCGCACTTGCACAGTCAGACGAGGTGCGGATAAAACGTTTAACAACAAGTTTTCAATATCAAACCGAATGTATTTTTGCAACAGGTCAAATCGAGAGGAGTGGATAGCGTTGGAAGTGGCTTCGAGAATCCAGTACCAATGCTCTGCGAGCTCGCGCGAAAAGAACGTGAGTAGCTATACTGCATCTCCCGAAATCTCCGCATTCACGTCGAGCCAAACCATTTCGCATCATTCACCTTACCTATTCCTATCCTCATCATACACAGGTTGCGTTATAGCCATGACCGGAAAGGCCGACTGGGTATCGGACGGAAATATCACAATTAGCTCGTCGAACGGACACGAGCTTCTTGCGAACATCACGGGCTCGGGTTGCATTGTCGGCACGAGCGTTGCCACGTTCTGCGCTGCTGCAAATAATTCAAGCAAATCCGATTCCAATGATGCGGATCATAATAATATTCATCGACTTGTGCGTGGTGATATGCTTCTTGGTGCTGTCGGAGGGTATGTTCCGACGTTCGGAATCTTGATGACAAAAAACACCAAGCTGATTGACTATTTGCATTTTGCACATCATAACAGTATCCTTGCAATCACGGTCGCCTCCGAGCTCGCCGCTGCTAGAAACGACGTCCATGGAACTGGAACGTTCTTGCCAGCGCTCATAGATGAATTGTATCATTTGACACCAGAAAAGTTACTGGAAAGAGCCCGCGTGGAGGTACATTCGTAGAATGGACGGATAAAAATTCTTCATTCAAGTTGCATGTAACTCTATCAAATTTCATAATGCTTGATTACATTCCTTGCTTGCTGTAATCCATAACAACCCCCGCTTAAACTAATTAATACTATGTGTGCCATTTGCTACGCCAGTACTTTCGAGAAGGGCATTTCCTTCGTTGGCTGGAGCCAATTCTTCTCATCATACGCTGCATATGGCGGTGAGTCAATCATGTGGAACGTGTACGCAAATCGCGTGAAGGGGCTCGTGTTCCGTTCGGATTTATGCAGTACACTTCCGTGAATGATAACGAGGTCACCTGCATCCAGAGTAACAAAGTTCAGGCATTTAGCAAAACAAAAAAGGAAATTAAGTGAATATGATCGAAAGGATTGCGCAAGTAACCCCCGAAATAAAACGCAGGTAAAAAAAGAAAGAGGAAGAGGAAGTCAAAATTTACCAGGTTCACAAGTTTCTAGAATGTATTTCCCTTCTGGTCGTGGGGGAACTTGGGCACTCGGTATTAGTTCCTCGAAACCGGTCCCGCCACCTGGAAGGCGGACGAAGCGCTTCGTTATCGGTGTGATCTTATGCGACCCTGGAAGAAAGGACAAGGCCCCGTTTTCCGGTGTACACTTCTCCAACGCGAACCAGAAACCAAGAGCTGTAGGTGGGTCCGTATACTAAAGAAAACAATCAAACACAATACCGTGAAATACGATCTGAGTGGGAGAAGGGCTTACTAGGAACGTCCTGTAGTGTATGAGGTCCTCATTAGTTTTATTGCACTCAAACAGCATGACTATACACACGAATCATTATGTTCGCTAACTGGCGATAGACCAGTTTGAGCTGCGTTTATACAAGTTCAATTGCGGTCCTCTACTTGCCTTCGCCACCAATTTGCGGCTGCTTGGTTATCATCATCGACTGCAAAGCTTATAATAATACGTGAATAATACGTCATGCAACTTCTGAACAAATATTACGACACAACACGAAAGGTACTCACCGACTGGGTCCTTATGAAACCGCAAATCACGGACAAGAGCCTTCACCCGTTCATTCTCAAGCGTCACTTTCCTGAACGCAGGGTCCAATTCATGCAAAGCTAAAAGAGACAAAGGGAGAAATAAAATAAATAAACACGTTGCGTCTCAATCAGATGACAATTATTTGAATAAAGCTGAGACGACTAGCGAGTCTAGCCGCATCGATAGGAGTGGATAGAAGGGAGAAAAGGACTTAAAGAGGTTTATGAACAACTCACCATGTCCGATTTTATTGACAGCTTTACTCTTCCCTCGCGTGAGCCTGCCCTGAGGATCAACCGCGTCTTCTTCCAGGAAGAACCGGATCTTATCGCCAGACGTAAGGAAATAATCATCTCCGACGTGATTATCCTCTCCCGTCGTGAATTTCGTCTTGAAAGTCGAGACAAGGGCCAAAACGAGTTCCCATCATAGCATAGTATAACACAATTGAATGATTGTTTTCATTATCCATAATAATAATACGAAAGAGTAGTCAGCCTTCCAATCCAACATGAAATGCAGTGTACAGCTTATAACAGCCTTGTCAAAGCCCCTCACCTTTGGATGATCTTCAATATTGAACTCGTCAAGGAGCTGTCTCGCTCTGTCAAGCAACGCAATTGTCTCCGCGGGCGTCAGGAACTCCCGAATGCACAAATACCTATTTCGTCATCGTCAAACAATCAAACAAACAAAACAAAAGAAAGGTAAGAAAGGAAGAAAAAGACACAGGCATGAGCAAAACAAGATCTATAATGGAGCTCTGACAGACGGAAATGAAAAACCCGGGCACGCACCCATCCCTGTCAAACTAACAATAATTGTATATGCTAGGCTTTAGCAGGCAACAACTTGAAGTGGCAGACGACAGACAATACGTGGCCAGTTAATAGCAATTCACCTGATCGATCTGCTCCTGTGTGAGATACTCAAGTCTGTTTGAAGCCATTGGCAAATGTCTCGTGTCAAGTGCTTGAAGCTGTCAGACGGACGAATGTAACCGGCGATAATCAACCCAAGGAAGTGCACATTTACTTGACACATGAATATTTTAGTCACGCGGAATGAAGTCATGCACGTTCTTCTATTTTGTTCTACTAATACAAGTTCGAACCACAATCACCTCGAGAAACAGACGAACATGGATCCGAACATTTCCAGGATAAAGCAGGATTGGAACACGAAACAGAGATAAGGACACATAGCAGTCGTAAAGGAAATCCGGGGTAACTAGACAGTACGAAAAGAAAGAAAAGAAGAGAAAGGGGAAAAAGTGGAAACCCAGCAGACCGTTGACAACCAAAGTACCGCATGAGACCACAGAAAAAGATAGATGACTATTGTACCTTTGAAAACGAATTAGAATACCATGGACCAGAGGAGGTCCTCCAGATGTTAAAAAAAAGCGCAAGTTGTAAAGCCAGTGAGATTGATGTTGTGTTGAAAACTTTGGTTAGGAGATGAAATGACTAGGAATGCGACAGATAATGCCGAGAAGGGAACGCATACGAAGAGACGAAAAGAAGTTTTCATGAGACATAGAGCGTCACTTGGTTTCCAGACTGCATGGTCTCGAACGCCATTTGGACATCCTCCGTAGATCCTAGCGAGACCAAATCACCCTCTTCGTCAACATACTTGACTTTGAGAGGTCCATCGTCCCTCCGCGGCCCACACAACCTGATCTTCTTGCCGACCTTCTCCACCAGTTCTTCGTATTCAGTCGTTCTCGGAACTTGAATTACGAAAATGTCCTCCAAGAAGTGCACCTTCACCTTTACCAACGGTGAAAAGCTCAACTGTGGACCTAAAGCCGAGGTCTTTTGGAGATGCACTTGCGAACGTGATGGGCGCAAGGTTGATCCGGGAAGCGAAGAGTCGCTGGACCCAAACGGAGTGATCGGCGACGCACTATGGGGAGAATAATCTGAACTCTCCCCAGTCGATTCACTCGAGCCGCTTCCTCTCTTGCTACTCGCTCCCGAATTTGCTGCCGAACCCTTTGAGATCTCCATCCAGTTCGATTTGGGCAAGGGCGGGGGCTGGGACGGAGGAGGCGGATTGTATGCACTCGGTTGGCTAGCACTGCGTGAGCGCATAGGCGGCCTCGAAGGGGCGCGAGTAAGCGGAGATACAGCGCGTTCGCTTTCGTTCTCATACGTCGAATTTAGCCTGTTAGAACTGAACTTGCTTCGAAGAGTCGGCTGTGGCCGAGTGTTCACGCCCGGACCAAAACTCATGTCTGATCCATCTGACGTCATCCGAGATGGACCAGGTGGTCTGCCATGTAGGAGCGGGTTGGGTAGAGCACCGACGGGCGGAGGAGGGGGTGGTGGCATCGGCTGACCGTTCTTCCGCCATGCCCGTAATGTAGCACCGTTCTGATCTTCTGTGCGAGCCCGAGGTCGGTCATATGCCCCATTAAATTCACGTTCTTGCACCATACTCTGGGAAACGTTGCCACGACGTGTCCCGACAGGAGTTCCACGACCAGAAGATGAAGCATACTGAGAGCTGGTCTGGTAATCATCGTAATCTTCACCGTATTCGTAATCAATGTCCTGAGGATAACCGCTGGGACCTGCTCCGTTGCTGTTAGAATAATAAGTACCATTCGTCATGCCACTGTCACGACTCCGATAGTCATCATAGTCAAACGCTGTGGGAGGATAACGCCGCGTTGCAGATGAAGGACCCGAGATCGGAGACATCATACTGTAGTTTGCACTTGCAGTTGACGACAATTTGCGAGCCACGTCCAATTGACGCAAATGCGAAGGGTTTGTACTGTTAGCCTGCACGGTCCGCTGCGACTCCGCCCCTCTGCGCGCCAGTGTCTTCTCAATCAGGGCATTAATGGCATTTTCCCATTTGCTAAGCTGCTCTTCCGAACGGCATCTCAGAGTGAAGTATTCGTTATCATCATCGCCTCGCCACCACACCTGAAGCGAGTATTGGGGACCTGAAGGACCTAAGAGTTAAAGTTAGACCGCCGTTCGGAAGTGAGAGTCGTCCGGAAAAAGCGACTTACCAGGTGTGATGCTGCGGCGCGTATGCGTTACATTGTTCAAAAAGATACGGCCCTTCAACAAAAGCGGTGTAGATTTCTTCTTGGATGCACTCATCCCGCCGGGTGAAGATGCCATCTGCTTCTTGAGTATGGAATTACTTTTGCTGCTCTTCCGGATAGTGCCTCCATTCGCTGTTGGGAGTACTTCCTTACAACAGAGGATGATTTTCTCGAAGAGAAAGACGTGGTATTCGCGGTCGATATCCATCTTCATGACCATGAATATGTCTTCCAGGATAAGCTCGCCAAAATTAGAAAGATGGTGGCCCTTCCAGTCCTCCACGCGTGCTTCGAGACTTGCGACCGTCTGCAAATTTTCTGATCGTCGCTGAGCTTCGTTAATTCTGTCTGTAACTCGCTTAGCCGATTCCAGGCCCTTTTGAAGCTCGTCATAGTGGGGATAATCGGAGTTGGCGGCCGCTTTAAGGAGGGACTAAATCCGAAAATAGTCAGCTCTAATTGCTAGCTCGAAATTTTCCGCAGATTTATTGCATACCTCGAGTAAAAGAGGGTACTTGCAGATACGTTGGATAGGCTTGATGAGGAAAGCTGGCAGCTCCGACTTGGCGTTGATGAGGTTCACAGTCTGTAAAGAAAAAGCAAGAAGGAACGAGTGTGAGAAACGCAGATCCCAGATACGGAAATTGCAATAAGGTTAGGGCACGACGAAACCGGAACAAGGGTTACGTCCGCGCGTCGCCACGGAAGCCGCCGTGTGAGCAAGCGAGTGAACAGCAAAGCGAGGGTTCGACTCAGTTGCCACACAGGATGGGAACACGAGCTCGATGGCAACTCGAGACGACTACTACCGCAGATGGTTATGATACGCACCATGAGATTTGACTCAACCGTCAGTAGGATGTCCATCGCCTCCGAGTAGTTGGCACAATACGGCTCATAAACGGAAAATTCGGCTTCCTGTTGTTCCGAGTGCGGGAACGGAGCCAAAGAGCATAAACAAAGGCGTTTGAAAGCGGACGAAAGCAGCATTGCATACGGAAAGGAAAGCGGTGATGGGAGAGCCCCACATAGAAGAAAAAAAGGTCCCGGTCAGCGGATGACAGCGAGAAAGCAACAGACGAAACACACATTCTCAATGAAGTGAAGTCCCCAGCGTTGTTCTTTCCATGGCAACTCTGCCACGCCCTCGAGCTTAATCAGGAAGCGTCGCTGAAAGTCAAGCAGTTTGCTTAGACCAGGAAACAGGAGATGGATTGTATCCTGGTCGATAGCACTGCTCGAATTAAGCGCGTTGGCATATTTCTATTGCCCGACGTCAGACGCATCAGTCTAAAGCTGTTAAGCGAGGCAGGGATGATACGGACCTGCATATGCTCCAGATCCTGCACATATTTACGTTCCGTCTCCACAATCTCACGTATGATGTTGTTACGAGCAGTTTCCTGAGCATTTACTGGAGTAGATTGCATTGGCGAGTCGGGATTGATTAGTGAGTCGGTCGATTCGTGCGACGGAAGCAACGAAGGGGGTGATGATGGCGGTGCCTCCTGGAAGCAATCATCTGGCAAACGGTCAACGAGGCGAGTAACGCAGTTCACGACCTGACAAAGAAAGACACTTGAGTTAGGTTGAGAGCGTCCAATTCATGAACACACAAACCTTGACGAAACCCTCTGTCGTGCTCCGATCCAGTAATTGGGTAGCAGTGAACTGCTCTGTCGAATCGTATAAGTCGGGGATACCGCCGATAGCCATAGCAAAGTGGACAATAGCCTTCTTCGCAGCCTTGCTATTCTCCGGGTCGATGGACGCCGGGTCCGTGTCGACAATGGTGATTGGAGTGACATTTGGGAGGAGGTTATGTAAAAAGCACAAGGGCACGCCGAGTGCGAAGCAGTCCCAGAGTTGGGTGACGGGGTCAACGGATGTGCGGCTCTCCGAGCCTGAACTGATTGCAAAGTAGGCAGGGAAAGTCTGAATACGCAGGAGGCGGGAACGGAGTTGGGAGCATTGTTGGTAGAGGGATGTCGAGGAGGCGGCGGATTTGTTGAGGAAGGTATTGTGGGCAACGGGTGTGTCGATTTGGAGGCCTACGGTGGAGATGACTGACTTTTTGCGACCCGTGGCAGCTGCGGCGGACATGGCTGGCTTGGGGGTGAACGCTGCTGGAGAGGCAGCCACGGACGACGGGGGGAGAGACGAAGGAGTGTGAGATGGGTTATGCACAAGGTTGGCTGTGGGATATGGCACAACTTGACGGGACTTGTTTAATCAAGGTGGCTGCGATATATGGGAGGTCACTCTCACGGGCCAGCATCACAACCCATCAACAACATCGCGCAGTCACACCGTCACGGGCCCATCGTTTTGGATAATTGGACGATTGGGTCTTGCCCCAACTCCGGGTCCCGGCAATTGTCCGTTCTTGGCCTAGACTGCACATTCCTCCCCCTCTCTTTTTTTGTCTCCTTTGCCCTCATCCGCACTGCACTCTGCGCTCCTTCTGCTACCACGCATTATTATTCCTTTGTCGCCTCCTATTCTCCCTCTATTGCTCAATTTTCCCATTCTCAGTCACACAGGATGCTGCGAGCTGTGGTCAAATTTGTATCATGACCGGACTTTGACTGATGGGACTGTCCCATCGGGTCGTTGCTAAGTCTACCAGCAGCATCCTCCCGTCGACTAGTCAGATGGAAGTTCTCTCCCTCTTCTGCTAAGTGCTTCTCCCTCCCGCGCTTTCCGTCTCTTTTTCCATTCGTCTGCACTGCCCTCTCTGCTAGCTCTCAGTGGCGTTCTACCGCCTCTCCTACGCCACACTCTTCGTCTCGTTTCATCGAGGCACCAGATACCACGCGACATGCATACTCAGATTCAATCTGATCACATTCTCCTTATATGTCCTCAGTAGGCAATGTAAATCTTTGCTGAAGTCTCCATAATATTCTACCTCGATCTTCAGTACCTTTTTACTCTCAAATCAAATAAAGCATGGGTGTGCATATATGCAGTGATTCACCGCATCTATGTACACGCTGCGCGGGAATGCCAATGAATATCACTCCGATCTCTTCTCGTCCTGCCAGATAAAGCTGAATGTGCTCAGATGCGTGTCCGATGCGCCAAGGAGTGTATGGGGCGCGCACGGGATTATAACTCTGATAAAGTAGCACTGTGATCGAATGAATCCTCACGAGGGACATTTAGACAAAATACAGCCTCTTCTTCCCTTCTCTCAAGCTTTAGACTAAACGTGTTACTAGGGAAACAGTCGGCAACGGCTACAATTCCCCCTCTTTCTGCGAGTCAAAAATTCATGTACATATGCGTATGCTGATGGCACGCCCAATAAAGTTGCTTAATTTCTGCAAAATACATTGTGCGTATATATGTACAGAACAAACGGGCTCGCTCGCGTTCCGTGAGCGCATGCTCCGCGGTCCCGAGCTTGCCTGGTCAGCAGAAATTTTGGCGCGAAACAAGTTTGAGCTGCTGTCACGGACAGGATGCATTCAATTTTGTATCTAGCATCAAAATTGCACATGTCCCTCTTTCTAGCCGAGAACTCAATTTGTGTATTCAATTCTATCTTACATGACCATCATAGACCCCGTTCGATCGGTCCATTAATGGTCGATGGTCTGAGAAAAAGTTGTCGAAGATGGAGTGGTCAGCTCCGGATTTTGTATAGAAAATCTCTAGCGGCTTTTCCAATCTGAAAACCGAACGAACTCTCCAGAGCCCTCCAGCAATATCCAACATCATATCTGTTCAGTCAATCCAGATCGAACAAAGTGAAAAAGCTTTCTCTCTCTCTCGTGTTCATTAGCCACAAGCCCAAATATTGGCGCCCGCTGATCCGCGCGCGTGTGGAAACTACAGAGACGCGCGCTCGTAAGTTTGAGCTCTTCGTCTTCCCTTCCTTTCACCGGCGATTGCAATTTTCTTGGGAGATACGGACGAGACGCGCCCATAAAAGACAATGATTACTGAACTCGACAAAATTGCTTGAGATTCGTAACATACACCTATCGAGCCACTGATGTTGGGGGTGCATACATCTGGTTCTTCGGAACATATATCTAGATCGGCTCTCATATGTTTTCGTATATGTTGCCGACGACTGCGGCCGTCTTTTCTTTCCAGCGTAGAGAAGTCCAGGTACGGCAGCATTAAACCTGCAAAAATTAGCGAATCGCTTTAGAAGAAATAACGACATAGCGCTTGGCTCTTCGCGCCTTTCGCGTAAAAATAGAATTCCCTTGCGCGTACCTCACAGCCATGGAAAGGGATAGGAGAACGCCGCTTCTGCTTTCCATGCATGGGATTGTGGACTTGAAACACGTTCTCTGTTCGCAAGTAAACAAAATGTACACGCACGCGGGAAAGCCGCAGGTTCAGAGATTACGGCGTCCGTCCATGGACCCCAGGCAGGATAAACGGCCGATGAGCCGCCAAGGAATCTACAGCGAAAGCAAAGTATAGGAAGACCCAGTCTTGGTAAACGTAGATTCGTCTTCACGGCATGCTAGTACATCCCAATCTCGTCCATGTGAAGATGCCAAATCCCAAGTCGGTATGGCGCTGTTGTATTCGGAATCAATATGTCCTCCGAAATGGACCTGTTAGTTCAAGTGTTCAAGTAGTTCCTATCGCAATATTAATCAGGTGCGGATTGGTATGATTAGATCTTAACCCCGAATACTTACATACCTATTATCGGTGAAGTAGAATGAGTGTTGTAGACTTTCATGGGTAGTTTCCATTCGTTGCCAGACTGCCTGATTGAACATTGATTTAACAGTTAGCAGATAGACAGACATAAATTTAGCCGTTGCGAGTATCGTAGGAGTGCGTTTCTTGATGTTGACCTAAATACAGAGTGGAAGAAGTACCTGAGTATCAAGCGGCTTAGATGCAAGACGGTGGGCGCTCAATTCATGAGCTCATCCACCATCACAAAGCGGAATCCGAGCTCAGATTAGAACCCTGGGCGGCTTCGAGATGTGAGATTGAAGACGGCAACCTCGTTGCACCGGCACTGATCCTGATATGAGTATTGCAAATTCTAAAGAACTTCGTTGAGGAAGCTTTCGTGATGAGCGTTGAGGAGAGCTTCGGAGAAGGACCTAGTTAAGTACTGATGTACGCGGCCGGGTCGGGCAGCGTGACAGGTCGATCAATAATGACTTTTATAATTATATTGCGGAGGATGTTTAATGGGGCTGCAAACGTCATAAGTCAAGAGTGCTAGTGCGAGAGCAAGACTACCAAAACATACTCCTTTTAACAAGATGCGGATAAGCTGAGATCATCATAGCTCGAACTCGAGATTGTCTTCTTGGCCATAAGCGCAACTGAGCTCAGTCCATGATAGATTTGATGCAGCAGACCCATCTCGACATTCAGTGAACACATGTCCAAGGCATATGACAGTCCTCTGCTGTATTGTGGGTATCGCCGACCCAAGAAGAAAGCGATAGAGAGTGTGAACGAACGGGAACCAACAAGGATAAATAAGTGGCAGAAGGAGGTTCGTCTAGTACTTAATATCAGTAATATTCCTTCAAGTGTGCGCAAGACCGGATTAATTGTCGAGGATGTCAAAATACATCAGTTCTTGCTCTGATATTTAAATGCAACAAACTCTATGTCAGAGGACCCCTGCAAGAATTGTTGGCATCAAGAGGAGAGACAAGGTAGGTTGTGAGTGACACGAGTGCTACTGTACAGTGAGCGTGACGCTGCGATACACATATCGTCACTTTATTTGGTCTCTGTCCCTAGTGCTTGAGGTCCACACACTAAGACCCCATCGGATGCCACGGCACGCAAATCGGCCAGTAAGTCTTGCACAACACATTTCTCTCCCAGCGAAACATATCCCAGCCTGCACGGCGCTCGCTCGCGTGAAAGGAGGCTGCCATTGGGCGTCGTCAGCATGGGTGCACCGCGTTGACCGAACCTATATACCCGCTGTCGAGTTTCGTGTCTATAGACTTAAACATGCTAATATTGTCTTTACATAGTCTGGCCAGGCCAACAATGCGTCGGCCGCCACCAGCGCTGTCAACAATGAACTCTTTCTCGAGCCGATGCTCGGGACCCCACTCTCCATATTCATCGAGAAGGATGTAGCGGAGAGGGACCAGCTCGTCGAGATCATAACGGTATGTCCTCCTCCCATCCTACTCGCATTCGTCGCGTCGGCCAGCTCGCGCTGAACGTGCTTTTCGCTAGAAACACGGTGGGACAGTCTCGCCAGGGTACAGTGGTGTACCATACATACTTGGTAAGCGTGTTTTTGCGTTGATTGGGTCACAATGGGCGATACGAGCTTACTGTACCAATTTCTGTTTCAGTTGACCCGCATACCGAGTCCGGCCAGAGTCTGTATCGTCAATATGCTGGAAAGAAGGGTAAGATCGTGCTGAGCTATCAGTGGATTCACGAATGTATTCGCGCAAATGAGCTTCAAACGTATCACACTGGTTGGGCGGGTTGCAGAGTAACTGGGAGCGAGCAGTATGTCTTTCTGCGTCTTGTTCCGTCAGAAGGAAGATAAACATGTGGAAATTTCACCAGAGTGCGGCCCCGTGCAGCACGCAGCAATGCGAATGGAGCACCGACCGATCAATCCGCGGGGTCACAACAAAGGTTGGTTCATTCACAAACGCACGTCCAACCGATACAACCGCCGATCCAAACACAAGTCCAACTGCCCCAGCAGCAACATCATGCCGCACATCCTTCTTCGCAACACCAGCTTCAGCACCAGGTGCAGCCGCCGACTGCGCAACCCCAAGCACAGCCCCATCCAGCGAGTCATCCAGGAGGATATGCACATCATGAACTACCGCCTGCTCAGCCCCAAATGCTCACCCCCGCAACACCTCTTGGACCACCAGGATTTGGTTATCCTGTATACGCTGGCCAAGGTGCTCAGCATCATGCATCCCGAGCTTCCCTGACTCAGCCTGGTGCGCCGCAGAATTGGCAAACGCCGACGCCGATCACGCCTCACCAGCATACAACGCACATACAGATGCTACCACCTCGTGCGCAGAATCCGTATGCACGGGATGACCATTGGAGCGAAGCGGGTCCTGCATTCGCGCAGCTAACTGAGACTCATTTGCCTCCTATGAATGATCCGCAAACTGCTGCGTATTATGATCAACGATATAGAGATGGGCAGAACGCTTGGACTGACGCTGGTCATGATTATTATGACCAATCACAGGTGCAGAGCCAGTCTTCCTTTTTTTGCGCTATTTCTCAACTGGCTATATGCATTTTGAATAGAGTTATGACGCAACATACCAGCCAGAACAATATGTACCAATAACCGGTCCTTCCACTTCAAGTACCACGCTGGAACAAACAACAGCACCGCCACCTCCTGCTCCTGCCTCCGCCCCTGCATCTCAAGAACCTATCCCCGCTCCTGGCCCTGCACAGGACCAGGAGCCTGCACAACCACCCAGCCCTAGGGAAGAAACTAGGGGACGAAGACGGACGAGGGCTCAGGTGAGGTTTACGAAACGAAAGATCGATTTGGTTTAGCTGAAACGGTTTCTAATAGCCTCAGACCAACGCGCCCGCGTCTTCACTTGTATTAACTAGACGTCATCCACCTGCGCGTTCTCCGACCCCTCCTACGCGCGTGATTAAGAGCACTTATGGCGGCAATCTATTTACCGCCGACGATATTGAATACCTGAAGAAATATATAGACTATTGTCAGGAGCAGGGACTCGTATTGAGGTGAGTCTCCAAACACTCTGAGCCGCTCTTGGAGATCTGCCCCTGACAGCATGGTCTCAGCTTGCGAGAAATTTGCGAACGTATAGCGGTGAAGGTTTTTACATCCGTTTTACTCGTATCAAATGCCACTGCTCACTATCTGTGATTCATTGTCTATCCAGGCACCACATCATACGTACGTATCTCTTGATAGTCTTCCTGAAACACCCTCACGTATATATCATTACAATCTTTAGATTTTACAGCTGGCGTAGATATTGCAATAAACACCAAATTCGACTTGGCGGATATGCAATGGATATCGATTCACGTTCTCCATCTCCGAGTCATGCTCAGGAGAATGGACAAAGCCAGGTTACAGGCACTGTTGAAGATGTAAATGTCCCAGCCCCGACTGGAGAAGGACCCTTCACGATTGAAGCAGCAAACCGAATGTACCAAGAGCATGGTATGAGAAATCGCTCACCTACTCCACCAAGAGCGTTATACAGGAGTACGACCGGTAAAGGTGTAGCATTCACAAGCGAAGACGTTGCGTTTTTGTGTAAATTCATGGCATACAGAAAGTTAGTCACGTCCAAAGTGTAAGCGCAATACCTTGACTGACCGGCTGTGTGTCCCATAACAGACTGCAGGGTCGTTTGGATATGGTTACTTTCTGGAAAGACGTCTCAAGTAAAGCACCGCATCATTCCAGGGCATCATGGATGAAATACTATCGGCGACACAAGCACGAGCTGAATCGCGTCGAAGGTGATGAGCCACTCCCTGCGCCTCCGACCAAGAAAATGCGCTACGGTCGAAACGATGACATCCTTCTTGCGCAATACTTCGTGAACAAGCCCGAAGGTACCTCGGATAAGATCTTCCAGGAATTTGCAAAGATAGTATGTATTTCCGAATAATCTTACAAATGGGAAGGCGGCTGATGTTTGATATTTGTTGATTTTGTTAAGTATACGCACCATCCATGGAAAGGCTGGCAAGAACATCACCGAATACACAAGGCGAAGATCGATCATCTCATTCTGAGGTTGCAAAATGGCGAGATGCTAGAACCAGGTGAAGAGTCCGACTAATTTTTTTTAACTTGTAATCTCTATTTTCTTTCTTTCTTTTTTTGTCTTGTCACTTTTCCTTTGGTTATATAGCTGTCACCTTTACTTTCTTGGCTGTCCCGATTACCTGCTTTTCTTGATCTTTTTCCTCCGTGACCATCGCAATGTATTAGTATAGTCTGCATCATCCATTTCTCGCTTATCGAAAGAAAAGATGATTTTGAAAAGGCTCAAACGCCTGAAGCATTTCGTTCAGGAGATCGATCCGCTGAGCCGAAGTGCAACAAGTCATTGCAACGTTCTCAAGGTCGGAGATGTGTAAGGTGAAATTCAGCGTCAAATTTAAAATACTGAATCTAGTATAGCCGAGGGCTATCCGGCGTCTATGCAATACTGCTGAGCGCCTGTGGACAGTACATCCCGACAGTGGGGATTCCGTTGTAACGTTATCCTGTCACCTTTCTTTCTTCACTGTCTCGATTACCTGTTCTTTCTCTTCCCTTTTCATTCACGACCATCGCAATGTTCAGGTATAGTTTGCTTCATCCATTGCTCGCCTATCGAAGAAAAAATGATTTTGTTATTATTTTTAGACGCTAGAGTATTTCGCAAGTGGATAGATCCGGTTCATCGAAATTCAGCGAGGCAAGTATATGTACAAACCGCCAAAACTATTGCAATTTCTTCAATTTCAAGACCGGAGATTGCCTTTGCTAGCCTGGTAGGTGGCAAAGTGGGAAATTGAGCGTCAAATGGAAAATACCGGATCTAGCATAGTCGAAGGAGTCTTTGAACTTATTCGGCGTCTACGCAAATACTATTATACTATTATACTATTTAGCGTCTGTAGATGCTGGTATCAAAAACGCGACGCCGGAGGTTCCGGCTCATCGTAACTTTCAGTATTAATTTTGATTTTGGTTTCGGTGATTGCCTGGTGGTGTGTGGAGTCGAGCTACCAGGGAGCGTCGGCGTCTCAGTATGCAGGCACCGAGGCAGAAGCAGAGAGACTATCTTCTTTTGATACGTGAGTCGTGACATTTGATGTATGGACCCAGCGACCGACTCGGAGCCACACGAGTATAGGTCGAGTGAGGTCACCACTTTGGAAGCATTTTTCTGATACTTGACTTCCGCGTGCACGAAACTTTCAGTGTCATGATTTTTGTGGAGCTCACGTAGGTTCCTAACAGACAACTGTCAATGGGAGTTCCTTTAACACGATATCGGCTATCACGATTTTGTGCTACAGCTATAGTACACCGGACTCCACAAACCATACGGTCCATACTGCGACCAACCCGGAAACGAATTAAGAAGAACGAAAGAAAGATGCGACCCCCGCGGCAAAAAAGAAAGAGAGAGAGACATGATATATTGGATGATGGATCAAAGGATCAAACCGTGAAGCCTTCAATGCCATCAAAGTTGATGAGTTCGCCCTCAGTACCGCCAGTAATCTGAAGGGCGCTCCAATCCCACGTTCCGGTGCACGCACCCTTACCACAGTTGACAGCCACCTGCATCGCGTCGCTATTAACGCTAAGCGAGGTGGTTGCACCGACGAAGTTGACGTCGCTGAGCTGAACGCCCGTGCCCGGCGTGCCAAGCGTATCTGGGTAGCTCTGGTCTATGAGCACGCCGAACTGCCTCAGTCCGCTTCCCTTGTTTCCCTGATAATTGAAATATGTGAAATAAGGAAGTTAGGGATTAGTTGGTATGTAAGTATTGAAGATGTGGCTCACAGAGTATGTGATATTGGTAACAGAGGAATCAGTGGCGTCGGATTTCATCTTGATGCGCAACGCCTGGTCACTAGAAAGACCGACCATTAGTATATGCATATATGCATTGTTTGATGCAATAGAATGTGCTTACTTGTCAATTATGGTGTTGTCGCTGATGACAATTCCCGAGACCGTCACGTCAGATGAGATTGAGCCGACTGAAATTCCATGGCCACCTTGGCAAGTGTTGCCTGTGAACACAATGTTGGAGCCCTTGTTGATGGCGAGGCAATCGTCCTGGTTCCTGATCATGCTATTTTGGATTGTCTAGATGGAAACGCCAGAAATCGCTAAACATATATCGCTCAGATCTAGGTTATTCTTACTTACTAGGTCAGTTGTTGAACAATCGAATCCATCCGTATTGTGTCCTGCCGGGTCACCGTCACTCTTAGAGTTTGGAAGGTCACCCTGTGCTGATCATTTGGACAATAACTCAATCAACGGTTTTCGGGAAAGCTGTTGGAAGATCCTTACAATTATCAATATTCATTCCATCAATGACAAGCGGTCCAGGGTTTGAGACACTGAATGTTTGCGCTGGGGAGTTGACAACGCGAACGTCTTTGAATGTACCGGAAATCTTGATTCTGAAGCATTCACTATTAGCCTTACATCCTTGATGAGGCAATAATTACACGTACTTCATCATTGGTCGAGGCTTCGTGACACCACCGTTAGATCCTTGGCCGTCCTACCGGAGAAACATTTTAGTTGAAGTCAATGAATGAAATGACACCTTTCTCACCCAATAGAATGGTCCTCCGCCGTCGAAAGTGTGGCCATTACCGTTGACTGGGAAAATCCTGTTAAACCTTTCTTCCGTCAATGCCAAGCTCAAAACTTCTTACAGGTAATGTCGTCTCCACCTGACGTCAACGTCAGTCAACTTCCCGCAAACCATGAAATGCGTGGTGACTCACTGACGGTAAAGAGGGGACCAGACCAGCTCTTGTTTCCGAAAGCAATGTCACCATCTGTCAGCAAAAGACCAACAGTCAAAAGAAGGCAAACGTATGAAATTATTTTTGGACATACTTAGATTTACAGTTGTGCCTTGCGCCAGTGAAAGGGTGAATCCTTCACCAGCCGGAACCGTGAAGCCGTTGATGTTCACCGTCGTACAACTTTTGGCGTCATCAACATCATCAAGTGAGTTTATAGTAGCTGTACAGTCTGAAGCGGCGTTTGTGCCTACGACAGCGATGGCAGAGACAATGGCAAGAAGACGCAACATATTCCAAGCGACGGAGTAGTGATTGAGGCCCTAGACGAGGCTGCTGGTTTTCGACGTAGCTTTGAGTCTTTTATACTTAAATAACATTGGTGATCCACCCGTTTTGTCTCTAAAATGTCGGGCAATAATAGACCTTGAGAAAACATGGCGGGCCGTCCGGAGTGCGCATCACACACGTTTAGAATCTGTAGGAAGGAGCAGAAAACTAATTTCTCCGGAATGAACAGAGGGTAAGCTGCCATACTTGGGCGTCGCAGTGAGAGAAGTCTCGCCTAATTTAGCTCAGAAGTTCCACATATAGCTAGCGGCGCATTTAGATTCAGCTTCTCTTCTTCTTTCGACGCATGGTTCAGCTTTCTGAATGTCTTGAATTATTGTTAGCCAGGTCTGTTTCTCGGGATCAGACTCGGTTCCAGCGAGAGTTACATCCTCGGTAAATTTAACAGCGTTCAGATGCTCAGGTTCGTGGCATTGAAGACCACTGCCACGCAGTCGAGGTGCCCTTCGCATCATGTGGTACTCGAACTAGAGTCCGTCGGATTTGCCGCCTTCCTCGCAGTCTCGCTAAATACTCGATATTTTGGCTGCGAGTTCCTAGACCTACAAGTTTAGGCAGATCATGGCCAAACATAATCCGACGGCCCGTCGACTTCAATGCAAAGGTACATCCATAGTACCTTCGTGAAAACTTTTGAAGTCACATTTTTCGACCGTTGCCTGGATAAAGCTCAGCTGGTACATGCTACTTCACGGCCCTTATACCAACCTTGAGTTCCAAATAAGGGATGTATCCTTTGCAGACATACGCTGTGGAGCCTTTCACAACAGGTTGAAAGACCTCACAAAGCACTGCTTTTAAATGGAGATAACTTACAGAGTATAGAGTATCTGTGACTGGCAAATCTGCACTGTCCGAACACATCTTTGTACACCACTTTGGTTTTTCGGTTGGTTATTCGCTCTAGTTCCCTTGTTCAACCATTGTTCGGTGCAAAGCCAATACCCCGTCAACCTTGCTTTAATTCGTGCCCAGCTTGCAACGTTGGTTGATAATGTGCCAAAGCTATCGGCGTGGGCGTGTTGTAGGTCCCAGTGCTATACACAAACTGTCGTCAACCCATATGCTCTGGCCAAAGAATCACACACATAACACCCAAAATGTTGATGAGATTCTAATTCAGGACACCGGTATGTTCGCAACGTCCACGTTAGAGAAGTTCCCAAAGTCTTTGATTCTAGCAGGTGTCGGGTCAAACATGGGAAAATATCCATAACCAAGAGTTAAGTGTCCACGCACCGTCATGGGACAACACCATGCGTCACTGCCACTAATGCCAAGGCCAAAGTTGGCTTCAAGAAACCACGAACCAAAACTCGACATCAATCAACAAAATAGTACGTGTACCAAATGTATCATTCTTGGCGAGTCCAATTTCCAGTCATTTCCATTAATTGGATATCAAATTGTCATTGCAGAGGCAACAAAACTAATCACCTCTGCTAGATACAAAAGGTCCCGAAGAACTCAGACCTGAGAAGTCACGGAATAGGACTTATGTCCGTTCCTTCTGTACTCTCCGGACTTGTGTCAGGTCGTGATTGGAAGGCCTTGTGTGTGCTTGTGAATAATCTTGTAAAAGGACGTAAAGACAACATTGGGATATTGTACCTTACTCATATTACTTGTGAATAGAGCCCGGCCTCATATTGGCCATGTGAGCAACACCAACAAAGAGCATATGAGCGCTGGATAAATACAACCTATTAGAAGATTATAAGTTGCTACATTGTATCAAATCAAATGAAACCTCATATACACACCGAGGTAGTATGGAAAGTATCATGTGTGTCGCGTGGAACAAATGAGCAAGGAACATAGAATTTGACTTTCGTGATTCTAATTGGAATCGCCTAATATAGGTATATCTTCTCACAATATGAACTTTATTCCTCGGTCCATTTTTGGGAGTAAAAGTCAATTCCGCATAATTTCGATGCATCATAAAGAATTACTCTGGTACAGACTAATTACTCGATATAGGAATATCAAAATGAGCCTCCGCTAATGCCGTCGAACCCAGTGATCTCACTAGCCTTTCCACCAGTGACCGTCAAAGAACTCCAATCCCATGTACCCGTGCAAGAACCATCGCCGCAATTCACTGCGACGCGAACAGCGTCATCACTAACCTCGATAGTGTTGGAACTGTCAATGAAGCTAATGTCCGAGATGCTGACACCGTTTCCAGGAGTGCCGAGCGTATCGGGATAACTTTGGTCGATGATGATTCCGAACCTACGCATCCCAGTGCCAGTGTTCCCCTAGACAGCGTACGTCAGCGAGAATAGGTGCAAGAGGGACGATATGATGACGAACAGAGTAAGTGATGTTAGTTACGCTTGCATCAGTAGCGTCTGCCTTCGTCTTAATGCGGAGAGCTTGGTCGCTAAAAGGATGACTATGTCAGTGCATCGCCCTGCCGGAGTTTGCGAAAAGTCTTACTTGTTGATAATCTTATTATTAGTGATCAAGACACCATTGACAGTCGCGTCCGAGGAAATAGACCCGATCGAAATACCATGACCCCCAGAACAAGTGTTGCCTGTGAACACGATATTTGAACCCTTATTGACAGCAAGGCAGTCATCTTGGTTCATGACAGTATTTCCAGTAAACGTCTAGTAAAATACGTAAATGCATTCCTTAATTGTCCCTCGAAACATACGGAAGTTGACTTACAACATCAGTAGATGAGATATCAAAACCGTCGGTGTTGTGTCCAGCGGCCTCCCCATCACTGTTAGCGTTTGGTTGGTCTCCCTGGGCTAGATAGTATCGGGTCTGAATAGACAACCTTCGTTAAAAAAGATTTAAGATTGAGCTTACAGTTGTCAACTGTACATCCGGAGATGGTCAAAGGACCTGGGTTAGAAACACTGAATACTCGTTGCGGTGAGTTGACGACTTTCAGGTCGCTGAATGTGCCTGAAATCCTGATTCTATAGGTAGAAATTCGTGAACATCACTAAGAGAAATCACATAAAGAAACCTCGTACTTCATCATTGGGTCAGGCTTAGTGACACCGCCTCCTCCACCCAAGCCGTCCTGAAATTTAAACAAATATGAATAGAAGATTTACGTACATACGAGGTTACGCTTACCCAGTAGAACGGTCCTCCACCGTCAAAGATATGGCCATTCCCTTTGACTGTTCGTAATGTTGGCAAAGGTTGAGACGAGAGGAAGACCTCCAGACTTACACGTAATATCGTCTCCGCCTTGTTACAAATGATCAAAGGATAAACAAAAATCAAGATCCGCGAGGAAACTCACTAATAGTGAAAAGTGGTCCTTCCCAAGATTTGTTTCCGAAGAGTACATTGCCGTCTACATTCGTAACGTTAGGATACAGCTAGTACCCACGTTGAACAGCAGGACTTACTCAGGTTAACAGTCGTCCCATCCGCGAGGTCGAGCTCAAAGCCCTCTCCAGCCGGTACGGTGAAGCCATTGATATTGACAGTGGTGCAGTCTCCAGCGTTGGTAGCATCATCAATAGAACTGATGGTCGTCGTGCAGTCCGAAGCCCGTTTGGACTTCGGCGCAGCAGAAACATAAGCTGTAGTTGCTAAGAGAACTAAAACAAGTCTCGAGTACATCGTTCAACTTCTCGCACTAAGCAAAGGACAAGTAGACCTTTGAGATGTGTGAAGGCCAAGAAAATGACAGTTTAAATATTGCATGCGAAGAAAGACGAACTCTGGAGAACGTCATACAATATGTCGGAAACAAATAACGGTTGGGTGAGGATCAGCTGTGCGGCGGGCCGGCGAAGGATCTTCCTTTGCTACCAAAGGCATAGAAATAATGTTAATTTTCCGAGGAATATTGTCAAGAAGAGACGGAAATCCATAGCAATGGTACCTGACATAAATTCACATGGTTTAGCGGCTTCCGTCGACGCGGAGAACTGCTCAAAAATCTGCTGTGGTGATTACGAAGATTATAGCTACGTAGGTGATGCGTGGCACAACGAGAGGGGCTGACCACTACCACTCCGCCAGTTGTGTCGAAGCGCCAACGCGAGAGTCTGTCGTTGCAGAAGTTACCAATAATCCATCACGTACACCATCAAGTTTTACGTTTAGTGCGCGTGGTCTAAGTAGCGACTTCGCGCGCGAAGCATATGCAACTCATGAAAAGTAAAGCACAGGTTCTCATGGTATATGAACGACGACCGCAAAGAGCCGTGATTCTACCTTGTCCAGCATTTGTGCAGCCACAGACGGTCCTGGCGGGCCGTCCCTTGAATATGGCTTCGCAAGCTTGTTCGCCACAGATGAGCATTCCGAGTGCTGGATCCACTCAAATACTCTGACGTGAAGCTTCGGTCGGGCATGGTTGATCGAAGTAGTGCGAAACGACTTCTCCCATACCAATTCAGTTCTTGACTACGGTGTTCCGTGAAGTTCATCCGAGAACAATGTCCTGTTGATGATCAGCTCTCCTAGGTACAGATTCCTAAGGCCAGTCAGGCAAGCCACGTCGCCTAGACGTTGCAGCGGCCCGGGCAGAAGATGTGCTGGTTCTACTTGGGCGTTCTGAAGGAATAAAAATAGTCCGTAGAAAGAACCTTACCACAAGAGTCGATGTACTGCGACGTAGTCCGAAGCACAAGGCGAGGAGACACCGACAAGAGAAAGGGAAGGTGCTGAGACAGAATACTGCTCCAGGGAATTTGGAGGCGAAAGGCTATCCCAAAGGCTGAGTTGATGAAATGCAAATAAGTTCGATTATAGAGAATCGCTGTTAGTAGCGTAAACTTGTTAAAGCAGCAATACACAGGATAGAACGAGGCCAATGCATGCAGCATGGTGGAATCGGGCAGTCCGACTTAAAAGACGATGGGTAGCGAGCACCAGTCAAACTTAAGCACGGAGAACAGTCACTAGTCCACAAAGCGCCTTGTCAAAGAAATTTTAGGCAATGTCCTCGAAGTCTTCGCCGATCTCCAAATATGCACGGATCTCGTTCGGGTCCGTACCGTTCTGGCGCGACATATGAGGAATTAGTATTGCTACATTATCTAGTGTGTCGATGCAGGTTATGAGTTCATCGTAGCCGGATAGTTTACGACTTTTCGGCGAAATGAATGATAACATGATGGATCGACTTACCCGTCCACCTAATTGTTGCCTCGTGCGCGAGTTTTGCGGCACGACGCTTTGCCTCAATTTTTGCGGGATCGCACGATCCATATTGTGCGAGCTCTTTCTCGAGCTCCACTATCTGAGCTTTTGTCGACGCGAGCTCAGTCAGAGCGGAGGTTCGTTCGTCCTAATATTCAAGGCTGGTTAGCGGTTGGGTGAGCTTACGGCTGACTATACAATATACATTGTCAGCACGCATAATCTTTTCGTTCTCGATGGTGTCTTGCAAATCTTGCAATTGAGACTGTAAATTCGCGCGTGTCTCTTTTGCAGTATTCAGACGGCTATTCATCTATACTCGATCATGAGAGTATGCCACTGCATTGAATAAGCACACATACAAGAGCGCCGCGTTGAGAGGGAAAACTCCAGAAGACTATATGCGTTATTGGTGGAAAGATAGTGACGAAGGTGTGGTTCCCCTTACAGTTAGACGAGCCAATCTTATCTGACTGGACAAGACTATCGTCCACAAGTCCCTGTAGGACCTCCTTCACGGACTGCTGGACTAGATTCGGATTATAAATTGTCAAGGCAAACACGCTAAGTAACCTAACTATATGCTTACCAATACCTTTCATCTTTGGACCCAACTTCTCCAGCTCTTTCAACTGCAGTAACATTTAACGGAAGAATTCGAGCAGCAGGGAAGAACATACCTGGAAAAAGTCTTTCTAAAAGACCGAATCAATCTTTAGGCCTAGTTATTACAGTGCTTGGTGCTCTCACAGTCTCGTGGAATATTTCCAAGAGCCTGACGCGTTTTTCTTCTGCTGACAGACCTCTTGGTGCCTACAAAAAATAATCACTAAAAATTTACGTTACACAAAAATGTGTCTCAACTTACCATGGCTACAATTTTAGTTCAGGATAAGAGCGAGCGCGTTACGTGGGCAGAAGCAAAAGACGCGTAAGGGCGTTGGAGCAGAGACGGAACGGATCTCACGTGCGACGTGACTTGCCGTGCGTGCATAAACCCATGACAGTAATTTCCAAGAAACCCTGGTGCTGACAGGAAAGCCAGATAGCTTAAGAACAGGTGAATTAGGAAGGAGTGTCGTTCGGAGACTTTTAATGAGACATTAAGAACACGTCGAAGAAGCAGGATTGAATTGACTTTTTTCTAAAGCCTGTCGGCAGTTCTTCTACGTTCGCAGAGATACAGTCCTAACCCAGTTTGCCTCATTCAATAAACCTCCCGTTCCCTTTAGCATAACGTAGAAATAATCCAGTATTAGTGGTAGCAGGCATGGATGGATAGTAACCAGTGACCCAGTCGGCCGAAAGGATGAAAATAGTCTGCCGAAGCGTGAGTAAAGAGTACCAAAATACGCAGGAGCGGATGTGCCAATCTTGTTAATCGGACTCATCGAAGGTTGACGAGATCTTCAGCCCGCCCCGGCCTGACAACAACTTCCTCCCTCCCTTCATCCAGTACACCGGCTGTAGACACGCGTACACCTGGTGAATGTCTCAGCAATCAACCGCATCCAAGCCTTCTCTCTCGGGGGTCAAGATCAAAGCAAGAAAGCGCGCCGTACAAGCTTCTGCTAAACACGAACCAGCAGGTACGCGCACACGCATTCATCCATCTCAGATCAGCCCTTCATCGTACATACCCATATACTAACGTTCCTCGTTGGTGATACATAGTATTCCGCGACCAACTTTACAAACATCTCGAGACAATCCCAGAGGGAGACTTTGACGGATATTATAATAAATTAGTTCAAGCAGGGTCCACACTCGAATTCCTCAAATATGCAGATGCCTTCTACGAGATCTTCTTCACTGGCGGACTCCTCCAGCCAGGAGGCCAATACGTTCAAGACGGCGCACCGCCCTCTCCGTTCTCGATCCTCAAAGCGAGGGACCCGCCACAGGTGGAGGACATAAAAAAATACATTGACGTGCTTAATAAATTAGTCAGACGGTTCGTATCTCGCGTAATATCATGGTTATATGCTTTTCATTCGAGTCCGTAGGTACAAATACCTCCAGCGACCACTTGAAGAGACATCTCTCCCTGGTCTGTTCCAATACTGTAATCGCTGGCCTGCTGAGCAAAGGGACAAGTTCGCTATCGCGACCGGTCTCATAATGGCCCAAGGCTTGTCCACCTCAGCTCCCCTACTTAGCTTAGCTAAGGACCATCTTGTCAAAGATTGTGCGTGTCTATCTAATAGAGTATTCTATGAACTGTTATTCACAACAAATCAACAGTTTTGGCTCTGAATGTTCTTACCGTCATATTCCGCACCTATCTCGTTGATCAAACGATGGAACATCTCAACAGTACACTTCGCAAGGGCGGCGTGAAAAACATCCTCCTCTTCCTCCCTGCGAACAAACGAGACGCAAAGACGCTTGAAGACCATTTCAAAAAGGCTGGCCTCCCGCAGGTCGCCGAGTGGTTTATCCGCAAACAGTCCGCAGCGGCCAGGGAGAGCGTTGTAAAGACCCTCAAGGAGCTTTGCGAAGATGAAAATAGATCAACTGATGAGGTATATAATATTGTTTCCTTTTGTTGCTGATGATTTGTTGAGATGACGTGATGTTTGATACAGATCGTTGAAGCTCTGAAATCAAGTCAGGAGGAACAGCCGATCCCAGCGACGGATTTCGTCGGCTGTATCTGGCAAGGTCTTACGGGTATCATCGACTGGTCCACGCGTGCAGACCAGATTGAGGCGGTCGTCCTCCGCGAAGTCGACGTGCGTCTTTTCCTCTATCTCTCATCACCACACTTAACCAACACTTATAAATACTTGCTCAAATAAACAGAAATACGCACCCGTCCTCGAGCCATTCTGCGAAAGCGCCAAAACACAAGTAGCGCTCATCAACGCGGTGCAAGTATACGCCTACGAAGAAACGCGCGTTATGAAGACGTTCCCTCAGATACTCAAGGTAGGCCATCCTTCCTTATACCTGCATTTTCTTTTCGCGGGTTACTTTAAGTATAATCGACACACATTTAACTATATAATAGATTCTGTACAACAAAGACTGTATCTCCGCACAAGCAATCATCTACTGGCATCAGAAGGGTGCGAAGCCACAGGGCAAACAGCATTTCCTCAAAGCAACCGAGGCGCTCGTCAAGGTACGTTCGCACCTACTTCACACACTATGTTTTTATTAGCCTCTCGCTTATCAACGCTCCTATGATATCTAGTTCCTAGAAGCTCAGGAAGACGAGAGTGATGAGGAAGAGGAGTAGTGATACTCCACTTTATCTCACTTTACAACGACTTTCTTCGAGCTGATGTGATGTGAATGTATGCTCTGTAAAGATGGACCAGTGACATAAAAGCTTTCGATCTCGCATGTCTTTCCACTCATTCTTTCTTTCCTGTGCTAGCTATCGTTAGTAGGTAGGGATGGATTCATACATACATTCCTTGAAATCCTTGTTGTATCTCCTGATCGCGTCCTTGCCAGTAGAACAAAATACCAAGCTAGCGGCTTTCCGTACGGACTAGTAAGATAGGAAATAAATCGAGTTCATAATGCAGTGTGGTTCAATCGTTATGTACATGAATACGAAGGAGGGACTAATACAGCGGTGGACAAAGCAACGTAAAAAGTAGACAGGTAGGTAGATAGGAGGGTGAGTAGCTAGGTAGGTAGGTAGGTAGGTGTCACAGAAAGAATTCAGTCGGTCAGAACAACGAATGCTCCCAAGCAGCAAATGAGAGTCAATATCACGATAAGATGGTGAGAGAATGGACGGTAGATACAGGAACAAGCCCAGGGCCATCGTCGTCGCCAACCAACAAACCAATGAAATAGTCAATAGTCAGTAGAACCCGCCGAGTCGACGGATATTTTCCTCCCAAAACAGACTCAGCCCCAATAGGCATCCTCACCCGCTTATTGCGCTTTTACACAACTTCCAACGGAGGCAATAGGCACGTATACAGTAACACGCATGCATACAGAATACTGCCTTTTTTTTCACCAGGCTTCTGGCATCGGTGCGAAATCGCCCGCCCAGCCGTTCGGGCCTGCAAGTTGTAGGAATATGCCATCGGAGCCGTTCATCGGTATTCCTAGGTCCGTGAGACTCTGTTTTCGTTTCGTTCGATCCGATTCGTTTTACGTTTCGAGGTGGGGTTTGAAGGGGGTTCGTGACGCGAACATTCCAGATTCACATGCAAAAAACATACAAAGAATAACCAATAGTCAGAACTAACTTCTTCGCAATATTCACTATAACCAGAAATAAGTAGATGTACTGACGCCTTCCTGTAACCATGTTGGGATCGCAGAGGGTGAGAAGATCCCCCGTTCACTTGGCCATGCGAAGCCGAGTTCTTCCATTGTCATTGGTGCGGGTACAGCGCCAGGATCGATGTATGATGGCGAGACGAGCATGTTCTCCGCGCCAGCGGGTAGCGGGATGCTTGGAAGCGGCGGGGCCGTGAGCACCCCTACCTTCCGGCGAAGATTTGCGAGCATGATGCGTAGTGTCAGAGCATATCTGGAAGCTTGGTCAGATGGCCACAAGGTAGGGGGGAGTTAGAAGTCGAAGCAGGCCTACCTTTCTGCCGCTACATCAGACAGAAGCTGAGCAAGCTGCTCGACCTGGGTTATGATCCCTGCAAGGTCGAGATCCGAAGGGAATAGGTTCGCCATTTTTAGGAGGAAGAGTCCCGAGAAGGCAGCAGTAACAAGGCTGTCATGTACAGCGTATCGGAGCGCAGCTCGGTACGATGGTGAGTTCAAGAAGATAGAGAGACACGTCGACGCCGCATCCTTCGCGTCAAACGCTAGTTCTCGCTGCTCAAACGGCATCTTATCCCATGAAACACCTCGAAGCGCGAGGCATACTAGCCACAATTTGGCATAGTGCAGCTCACCGGCGAGTATCTTGCGCGGTAGAGAATCTTCATCAAGTGTCCGAGCTAGGCATAAGAGAACGCCAGATTGAGGTTAGATCAATGAATAACGCTGCAACCAGGATGCATACCATGTAGTTCGTTGTTGTCTGCCCACCATTTATCGAGCGCTACATTAGCGCGACGAATAAATTGTAAAGTACTATGATTGACTTGTCCATTCAGCGGTGTCAACGTCTCATAAATTTGTGCTAGAATTCAGGACGTCACAAATCAGTAATGTTCCTTCATAACATGAGAAAAAGCATAGCAACGCGGATCTCACTCTTTTGGGCGATAAGCTCTACCATAGAAATTAGACGGACATCCGTCGGAGATGCCATCGGATGCGTAAGCAGAAGCCGGCAATGTCTTATTGAGCTTTCGTCTCGAAGGACGATAGGTCGGCTGGTCCCTAGGCTCATCCTGCATCGCGAAAAAAAAATAACGTTCAGCAAGTTAGCATTTGGCAGGTACCAATGCAATCCGGAATCAGGATCGGCTTCCGAGAAATCAGAGAAGGTGGGAAGGTGATTTATAGGCGAAAAATATCGACACGGGGATCAAGAAACCACCCCATTGTCAATGTCATATTAGAGAAACGTATACGTACTGGTGATCAAACCAATAAAGGCAGAGCCAAATCCGCGCAGAAACCACTGTAAACAAATAAAGAATGCATGAGTAAATTGCTTACGCGTCACATAGAGTGTAAAGAGAAAGGACATGATCGGAGAATGCCCCGCTCTTGCGCGTAAGTTGAGTGAGTACGTGAGTACAAACTTACCTAAATCCCGCTCTTCTTCCTCTGAGCGTCGCTTTGCATGCGGGTCCGCGAGTTTCTCCAAGGCACGGTGAAGCCCCAGGTCAAGAGCCATACGCATGGCGTGTCCAGATGGAAGCCAGCCATTCGTGCTCCAAGCTGCCAGCAAAAGCATACCTAGCAACGTGGAGTCAGCATGATTGATCTGGCACGACAATGGGAACCGTCACTGACCTTGGACCGCTTCTTTCCTGACGATAGGTCCGAATAAAGATGAACGTGCGATGCCCTGGGCCTCTTCAAGACATTTGTAGAAAGTAGGCGTGAGTGCGCTGGTACCACTTCTAATTTTACTTGCAATAGCTAGAATCGCGTCAAATGTCCAGGGTGTACGCTCTTTTAGGCCCTCATATGTATCGTAGGATGGGTCGAACAGTGGAATGAATATGTGGCAGCCCGAAAAGAAACTTTGCTGACGTTCAGAACTTCACTTTTCCGCACAATAAGAGTTACATACACATGATATAGTTCTCTTGCCTCCGCGTCCGTTACCAAGCCCTAATACAGAGGTTAGACGCTTCCGTGAACAAATTATCAGGTATCTCACCTTTTCTACAACATGAGGAAAGGCGTTTCTAGGCGTCGGCTCAGCCTTCTTTCGTTTCCTGACCCTAAATTTGTTGTCAGCCAAGGCCTCTTAGAATCAATATAATCTACCTCGGCGGGGAGTCGGACGGAGCTGCAGCAGCCTCAGCGGCAGCATTTGCAAGGCCTTGTAATGCCTCGATTGGTGCATTCAGAGACGAACGTGGTAGCGTGTCTTCTGATTCATCGTCTGAGGAAGGTGCGGTGCTGGGAACAATCCCATAAGTTGCATATTTGTGAGGCTAGATTCAATAGTTGGTGAACACATTAAGAAAAAGAGGTCGAATACGAACCGGAGGTGCAAATCCAGGTAGAGGGGGAAATGATTTTGCCGGATGCCGCTGGGGTTGATCGGCCGCCTCTGACGGGTTGAAGATATCGACGCTGCCGCGCGGAGGCCCGTTTGCAGTCACATACACGCCCTGCATGTCCCGCGCCGCGGCAGCTGGATTATTCTGCCCATATCTCCCTGCGGGTGCAACTTGGCCCTGAATGGCAGATAAGATGCGGTCTAGAGAAGACTGCAGTCCGATCATCTGGCTTTGCATGACCTGCATCGCATTATAGCCGTTCAGCACGCGAGGTGGTGATCAGCCTTTTAGACGCGAAATGAAGAACGCACGAGAAATTGGCCCTCAAGGCGGGAGACGCGTCTAAGTTGTAGTAAATACGCAACACAGCTCAGCTGAGACAAAACAAGTGGGAAGATGGGGGAGAGAAAAGAAAACGCACTCAATGCTCCCATTTACGAGCGCTGCGTCTTTCTTCTTTTCTGGTTTCTCAAAAATACATTGTGCTCCGGAAAGCTGGCAACGACGACAGGGCGCCTGTTGGGTGCAAGTTAGAGTGGAGACTTGGCTGAGGACCGGGCCGACCGGAGAGTCGGGCAGCTTGCGGGGCGGCCCTGCCATGCCCTGAGCTGCCCGCGCTGGTCCGGGACAAGCACAATATATAGCTCACCTCGCCCTCACACCGATTCTTTCCCTTCCTGCACGCAGTGCATGCGCGTGCCCCGCGTTTTGGAATATGGACCTGCGGAGATTGGCCAGACGCAAAAGACGCGGTCGGGGACGCGGCATCCATTGCGGGCACGCCGTTGCCGTCCGTGTTTCTGCGCCGCTTGAGGGGGCTCTCGGAGGTGTTTGAGACGTCTGAGGGCGAGAGAGACATGTCGGAGGGAAAGTTGGGGGATCGCGGAGGCGGGAGTCGAAACGCGGACGATTAATTGGCGGAAGCGGCGTATACTGAATATAGCAGGCTGATGCATCAGGCACACAGTCCGGAGCACGCATGACTTGCGCCCATATGCTCCTCTCTGCCAATACATTTTCTGTCCTCCTTCTGACGGACCAGCCGGAGGAACTGTCTTTTCGTCATCTTGAATTTTCTTCTGTCGTCGCTCTTGTTATGCTGTATACTTATTACTTTATCCTTTTGATTGGCTTCCTAAGCATCTCCCCACGGGGGTTAGTCCGAGCGACAACACTCATGCCCGTTTACCTCGCTCAGACACGTTTTTCTTTGCGTTCCCGCCTGTTGTCGCGCCCGTTCACGTATTTCAGACTCGTGATGCTCCAACTCCGCGTATGTTCTACCGGGCCTAGGGTGGAAGCTCCACCAACAGACCTTGCAGCTCCTTCTCGATGTTCTGCTTCGAACGAAGCATACACCAATCCGCGACATTCGCCCCGCAAGTGCCGACCCTCTTTGCTATTCTTATTCCCCCGTCGGTATACTATATCCGACATTCTATTGCTCAAATGCACTGCCTCGTTCCGCCCTATGTCCTCCATATCTATATCGATCGGTCAACTTTTGATTCTAGCTTTGTTCTCCCGAGGCATGTTTGGCCACTTGAACACTAACAGACAGATTCGATAAACTAACAGCTCTACTTCTGGTTCTCAGATAGAAATTATCAAGCAGATGCATGAGGGCCTGACGTACATTCGCGACTTTTATGCTTAATATTCCGACAGCATCCGTACGCTATTATTGCAAGATCCGCGAAACATGCATGTTATATTCGACCAATCTGTAACTAGGACATAAGCAGTGCATTGATGCCCACTGCTATCATCCACTTGCATGCATCTCCGTCTCATTGTAAACCTAAACATCCCAAGGACGTCCCTAAATGTGGCTCTCGGTGCTATAATAAGTAGGCTCAAATTTTATGCACCACTCCGTTCTATCGGAGACACATGCTCTACTTTGGTTCTACTGAGCATTCGGCCTGCTCGGTCCCGTCCAAAAAGCACGCTTCCGTATGCTGTAAACGATGACTGATACACGAAGTCCTTCCACCTTGGCCACCATCTCCCTAATTTGTTAACATCTTGACTCCTCTGAAGCCGCAGTTCCCAGGTTGCCCAAACAAAGGAGATCCACTAGAGAGAGTAACAGGCACATCAAAGGAGCTTTTACACGTTGCGAAGCTAAATGCCTATCCCTCAATTCCTCAATCGCCGCGGTATTTTGTTAATCACATTCAACGTCCTTGCCTACGTTGTATTATGCGCGCTGGTGGAACTGAATAGTGGAAGCCTCATGTCTACACAATACTCATACAATTCGTACATGCGTTTCATAACTTCCCGCATAGCCTGACTCTGAATGTAATAGCATCCTGAAGGGACTCCGTCCCGAGGAAAATATCAGAGATTTGTCAATATTATTTTCCCTCGCCTTATCCGAAATAAATCACAACCATTATGATTATGAATGGATGAAAATAATTTCCGAGGCCCGATGTACTAAGTCAGTATGACAAGCTGTTGCAAGGCTGATTTTCTGGGGGAAAGCTGAGGTAAGGCACTGAGCTGTTTGTAAACAAACACCGAATTTGGACTCGGTTGGACAGCAGAAGATCTTCAGAAAAGGAAATAACTGCTTTGTAACACAACGAATGATGTCATCCCGTAACGCGTTCAACCAAACTCACGCAAAGCGACGGACGTGACGGACTCTCAGAACCGTTGCAATTAGTGAAAACGGCACAACATGCTCAGAGCCGTATTCCAGCAATCTCGCCGTCTTCCTTCTCTATCTACGGCACGTCTAGTAGCGCCAGCATGCATTCAAAGCCGAACCATCATTACGCTCGCAGAAAAGAAGGTGAGTGCATCTTCATTATCCATTGTCTTCTAGCAGCACTTCTCATTGTCTACGCGAATGGTATTTGTAAACGGCGAATAGTATACCGCTGAAGCACTAGCGGAAGGTGCAGGCCGTAACGGTACTGTCAAGTCATTGGGCGACGCACAAGCACCGCTTGCTTTAAAGTTGTCTACACCTAAAAGTCTTGGTGGAGCTGGTGATGGACAGAATCCTGAACAGCTCTTCGCTATGGGTTACGCCTGTATGTCTTTTTCATCCTCTTATTTAACCCGTTCGGCAAGGTAGTTTGCTTACTATCACTCCTATATGTTCTTTTACTATTTTGTCTTCCGACAAATGGAATATACAACACACACACCGCTCAACGCGTCTAACGTACACAAACACACTTCGGAACGCCGCACTTCCCGCCACGGGCGCTTCCTCTGCGCATAATATGCTACATGTACATGGCATACATATAAATAAAATTCGGCATCGCACAAACCCACGCTTGCCGTGCCGCGCGCCTTTCCTGTTCTCCACACCCGTTCACTATGTTTACCTGCCTGGTTTCCTGGTCTCATCTGCCGTTTACCTGCCGTTGACATCCCTCTTTCTTCTTATGACATTGCCTTCGCTCTTCCAATGACGTCTCATCCTGACCTGTATCTTTCCGATCTAATCCGTACATCCGTACATTCATGCATCTCCTAACGCTCGCTCATCTCATCTCCTGCATTCTGTTCTATTCCATTTCTCTCAACTTCCTCTAACCATCACGTACCGAAATGACCCGGCCGTAACAACCAGCCTGCTTCCTCGGCGCCCTCCAGCTCGTCGCCGCAAAAGCCGGCAAAAGAGACCTCGCAGCGAACGCAAAGATCCACACTGCTGTGCATCTCGGTGTCCCAGAGGGTATGGAAGGTTTCGGTGTCAACGTTGATATCAAGGTCGAAGGTGTTCCAGACGAATCGCTTATCCAGGCTGCACATGAGGTGCGTTTGATTTCCATGTCTTCGTTCTTATCCATTTAGACTTCTAGCACCTTGTCTTAATGAAGGCTAACTGAGTTATTTTCGTTTTCTTTATCTTAGTTCTGCCCGTACAGCCGTATCATGAAGCATGGCGCCAAAGTAACGGTCTCAAAGGCTTAAAGTCACCCATAAAAATAGACAGAATCCGCAAATGTATTACAAAAGAACATGATATTCATGTTGAGTTTGTTACTGTACAAAATGACTGACTGATAAAGAAACCGTGAAGCTGCATGCAGACGTGTCCATAATAACTATTACCCCCTTCAAAGCTGCGCGCGCTGCCAGGTCGTTTCAACGCCGTCCGCAGCCTCAAGGTAGTACATCAGGTCGCTCGTCAAGAAGTCGCTCAACCATGTCTTCCGTACTTGCGCCTTCAAATATTCGCTCGTTACTTTGACGTGCTCGTCAGTCACACCTGGTACGAGCTTGGGAATCGTCGATGCGACCTCAGCGATGACAGCGTCAATCAACACAGGCGTTACGGGTTGGCCCGAGTCGAGACGTGCATTGTGGTGGCACCATTGCCAGAGTTGCGCGCGCGCGATCTCTGCGGTTGCTGCATCCTCCATCAAATAGTTCAATGGGATGCACCCGTTCCCACTAATCCAGCCGGAGCAGTAAGCAAGAGCGGCACTGACGTTGCTCTTTACACCTTCAGCGGTGATCGCGCCCTTCACCTTTGAGTTCAATAGGTCAGCCGCTGAAACCTGGAATTCTTCGCGACGGACGTGATACTACGGAACAAATTAGATGAGCTACGTGACAAGAAAAGAGAAACAAAATCTTCTCACTTGGTTTGCACCAGGCATATGCTCGTTGAAAATCCGCAAAGCAATTTCGTTGATGAGAGGGTGTGCAATCCAGGTTCCATCATGGCCATAAGTAACTTCACGGAGCTTATCAGCCTTGACCTTGTTCATTGCAACCTCATTCGCCTGCGCATCACCCTTAATTGGGATCTGCGCGGACATACCGCCCATAGCAGCAACTTTTCGCCTATATCATTCGTATCAGCATGTGTACGATTAGACACATCTTCCGAGCTTACTTATGGCAGGTCTTGATCAGAAGTCGGACATAAGCATCCATAAACCCGACCTCCATTGTTACGTCTTTTCTGTCGGGAAGGACAGCGCTGCGGTCGGCCCTTCGCTTCTTAATGAACGAGAAAATGTAGTCCTGCAGGCTGATATCAGAAACCCGTTCATGACCATACAACAAGCAGTACTCACCCATCGACCACAGTTCAGTCCCGCTGAATGGTTCCTCAACTCGAATAAAATCTCCTCCATCTGGAAAGCAGCGGGTAGAGTTTCGATCAGCACGGTCGCACGGATTATGTTGTGTTGCATGCCAATGTAAGACTGAGAGAAGAGGAAAACATCGTTCCAGAGGCGAGCTTCAAGATAGTGCTCCATTTTCGGAAGATAGAAATACGGGCCGGAACCGCGTGCAACGAGTTCCTTCGCATTATGGTAGAAGTAGAGAGCAAAGTCGAATAAGGACGCAGAAACCGGTCTGTTGTCAACAGTGACGCGAGCTTCGTTCAAGTGCCATCCTCTTGGTCTGGATATTGAAATTCAGACTCGGGCAAAGCAGGACAAATAGATGGAAGCTTACCGAACGATAAGTACAGCGGGATTCTCTTTAAGCTTGTACTGCTTTCCACCAGTCTCAAAGTCAATCTGTCTCCGAATTGCATCGCGCAAGTTAACTTGACCGTTAATCAGGTTCGCAAATGTCGGAGAGCACGAGTCTTCGGAAGTGACGTCAGTATTCCGAATGGTTGCCAGAAAAGGCAGTTCAATTTCTTAGTACACGTACCTTCAAAGTCTGCCATGAAGGTTTTCGCACCACTGTTGAGCGCATTGATGACCATTTTGCGGTCAGGAGGGCCAGTGATCTCAACGCGCCTGTCCTCTAAGCCTGGGGCTGGAGGGGCACAAATCCATGTTGGATCGGCACGGATGTGTGCTGTCTCTGGAGGGAAATCGAGTGGAATGCCCGAGTCGAGCCTCTGCTGTGCTATCTCTCGCGCGATCAGTAAGTCCTGACGCGTCGCCTCGAAGGACCGGTGCAGAGCAGCAAGGAATGTCAGAGCACCCTCAGTGAGGATCTCGGAGGTGGCTTGGCCTTGGCTTTTAGCGTGAATGTGTACGCCAGCGACCATCGTGTTCTGTGTGTATCGGAAAGAAGTGCTGGAGGATAAGTTATCTCTCTGGGTGAAGACGATGTGGATAAAGGAGAGATGCAATGCGTCTGAGACCTCTGAATTCATTGTCACGCTTAAATCTCAAACCGGACAGACTCGACGGCACCCCGCTTTCCCTTCATCAACGGCACGTGCGCATCATCGGGATCTACAGGATCCTCCTCCTCCGTGACGGGTCCTTCGTCAAAACTACTCCGTCTTTCGTTGTCTCGGCGCCCACTCTTCTTGATTTATATCTCAGATAGTCCGCTTTTAATTTGCTTTACTCATAGTTTCCCGACATGCTTATGAGCCAGAGAAAGACTTGCTGAATCAACTGAAAGGTTCCTGGGTTTACGTCACGCGGGATCGGCTCGGTAGACTCCTTTTAGCACATCTAAAAACACATGAACTACCTACAAATAGAGTTGACTGAAATCAGGTGTACCGCTGAGTCACTGCTCCTTTTTCGTGTTCGACTCTTCCTGTTCCGTCGGAGAGCCTAAGAGGGACCGAGCCAAAATGAACGAGAAAAAAAATGCCGGAATGAGAATGGAAAATCACGGAAGACAGGAAGGGACCCACCTGCGACAGCTAAATCCTTCAATACCCGCTCCCCGACCTTGATAACTCTCCGGCACGCCATCTGCCATGCTCCGCAGCTCACCGAGCCTAGATCGGATTCCGTTAGTACGCTTCGGACTTCGGTGGAACGGAATTAATCGCACCTGCGGGAGCGAAGGGGAACGACAGAAACCACGTCACCGGTCCAAACCAGCCGGGAGGAAGAAAGAACACTGCCGCCTTGCGGTACCACCATCCTATCACGAATTGGGCACCAGTGGTCAGCATCCAGATGAACGAGTTGAATTTCAACTTGTAGGAGCTCCGTGCGGAACCCAAGTCGTTATCTGCGGGAAAACCAGTGTAAAGTTTGACGATGAGAAAGGTAACGTGAGAGATAATTTCAAAGACGCACTGAGCTTCTCGAGCTCAGCGAGACCCTTGTCAACTTTTCTTCGGAGCTTGGCCCATTTGGCGAACTGGTCTTGCGAACTTGTTTGTAGTAGTTCAGCTTTTGCTGATAGTATTTCGTTCTTGAGTGTCCGCTGTTGCGAGACCTTGGAAGAGTAAAAAATGCGCAAATGTATTGCATAGGCCTAAAACATCACTAATCAGGAACACGTTCCGCAAAGCTGTCTTTTTGAAGGAGAAACATACGAGTTCAAGAAGGACGGACTGGCCGATCCATTGGATGAGTTCTGTGACGAACACCAGGAGAAATATGGTCAATGCGAGGGTCATTGGTCGTAGTAGACAACGCGTCAAGGGAGTCAGACAGATGGGTCGCACAGACCACACGTGCCCGAGATTTGCCACGTGCACTTGACCACAATTTGAACAAATGAATTAACAATTAAACCGCATTCACCTGCCTTGTTTTCTGCTTCTTTGAAAGAACTGCATCCATTACATTCAACGTTAGTACAACAAAGTATAAGCCAGATATATATATTTTGTACTGCCCGTAATTTGTGTGATCAACCAAGACTCATAGAAACCCCTTTTCTAGTCTAGCTCTTTGTAACTTTGCTCCTTAGGTTAGAGACACTCCATTGTAAACTCTATCTCTTCCTATTACCTGAAGCCAATGACTGCTCTTTGTTATATTAAGGTTACATTGTAACATCCTAAAGTCTTTGTGGTTTCAGAATGCCCCAGCCAGTGCCACTGCCCAATCTGCCCCATGTATTGTGACTATTGCCTCCAAGTCCAGCAAATTATGGAGATTCATAAGATTTCTCTACTTCACCATACTCCAGGTAAGGCTCGGAATGGTGGGGCAAACAGAATAATTTGCCAATGACTCCTCGAATGACTTGTGATGCTGAAAGCCTTGAGGTACGTATCCTCTCACGGGCCTGTGCCATCACTATTGAGAATTCTAAGCCTAACTGCTGTGCTTCTTCAACAGATAGCGACTCGTTTCTGGTAGCAAGCTCATAATATGCATCCTCGTACCACTCTTCAAGTTGAAAATCATGGGCGAGTTTGATTTTGTCCACGGCAGAGATCTTGTCCCAAAGAACCTCCCGGATCCGAGTCTTGACAATACCGTTTATACGCTCAAACTCCCACATACGGGATATCTTGAGTAGCATAGTGCATTGTTCCACAGACAATGTGACCGAAATATCGTTTGCTTTTCTGAACAAGGGATGGCTTTAATAAGTAATCTGGTCTATAATAACCATATTGTAAACACACAGTGGATAAAGCATCCTAAGAAGAAGCTTGAATTCCTCTCTGCTAACACTATCCAAGCAAATTGGATTATCATCGCTTGTGCCTTCTACATCTCCAGAGTCCTTGGCTGATGGCATGGAGAACATATCCCGAAACACATGTGATTGGTCTTCGAGTTCATGCTTTGGGACACGGAACAAGCAATCATCAACCTGGTAGCCCTGTTGCTTAGTCTGTGGATCCTGCCTAGCTGCCAAATCAGCTTACCTTGAAGATGACGAAGGTGAAGTAGTATTGATCATCTTTGATTATCTTGGGTACAGCCTTTCCGACTGTTTCTGACAAAGAGGGCAGTCTGTCCTTGGAGGAGGACAAAGGTGAAAGTGAGTCCATGAGCTTCCAAATTGTGTGTACGATATGACAGGATATGTGTAAGAGTAAGGTATAGGTATGCTGGTGAACCTGGGCAACATGCGTGCAACGTGTTGCTTAGGTGCATCAAACACATGGCAGGTCTTCGATTCCAGAATCCAATTAGCACATACAGTTACTATATATTATTCTACATGGGTCAGGCCAAGCTATGAAGAAGAGGCACAGCCAGTTGCTGGAATCTGTCAATCAGAGTGTGCATAGACTGTGCTCAGCTCAAGGTTGAACTTGCTCTAGCCTTGCTGCCTTGCTAAAACCACAAAATGGAAGAGCAACAATAAATTTATTTGAGGCTTGCAACAGACGTAGAATAAGGTCAAATAGACAATATGTGCTCAAAGTTGTCATAAGCTGTTACACCTGAATACCAGGAGAAAGATGGTCAATGCAAGTGGCATTGGCTTGTTGACAGCGTGTGAAGACAGTCAGACATTTCGATGTCTCTGCACAAAGATCGCACGTGCCCTCTACCAATTTGAACAATTTAAACAATAACAAACTGCATTCGCCTGTCTTATTTTGTTTCTGTGAAAGAAGTACTTCCATTGTATTCAAATTTGTACAGTAATGAAGAACAAGTCTTAAAGCACTTGAGCACTAAAATCCAATTGACAACACTAAAAATTGGTTAAAAGAACTTGAAGACGTTACTCTAGTCATTTCACATCGGATACTCATTATTCTCCTACTCTTCAATACTATCCTCCCTGGATTAGAAACATTACACAACGAATAGCAACTCCTCCTATTCTTTGAATTGCATGTGTACTCAATACTGCAGAAATGTACATTCAAGTTAACAAAATATCCTGCCTTTACGAACTCATGCTATTAACATTCGAAAAGTAGGGATTTGGCTCTCAGTCAATGTCTTGATGAGCTTGGGAGACGGGACGTACAGAAGAAGAATTTCCTAATAACAGCCGGAGCAACCCACTTCATCAAAGGGCCCGCACGTATGACCTGACGAACTTGTGCCATTATCGTTGAGAATTCTAAACCTAATCTCTGTGCTTCTTCGACAGAGAGCGCCTCCTCTCTGATGGCAAGCTCATAGTATGCATCTGCGTACCATTCTTCAATGTGATGATCATGAGCAAGCTTGACCTTGTCAACAGCAGGGATCTTGTCCCAAAGAACGTCTCGAATTCGCTTTTTGGTAGTAAGGCGGATATTGTCCAATTCCCACATATGGGCCAACTTGAGCAGTGAAGAACATTGCTCTACAGTCAACGTAGATGATATGTTTTCTGCATTTCTGAACAAGTAATGTTTTAATACACAGTCTAAATCTCCTATAATAACTCTATAAGACTCACGGTGGATAGAGCATCTTGAGAAAAAGCTTGAATTCATCCTTGCTAACCGCATCCAGGTGGATCGGATTATCGTCGCTTGTGCCTTCTACATCTCTGGAGCCCTTGGCTGGCGGCATTGAAAACATATCACAAAATACTAGTGATTGTTCCTCGAATCCGTGCCTCGGTACACGAAACAAACAATTCTCAACCTAGTAATATGCCTTTTAGTCTCTGGATAACACCTAAATACTGATCAACTCACCTTGAAAGTAACCAATGAAAAATAAAACAGATCATCTTTGATTACTTCAAATACAGCCTTTTCAGCCTCCGACAATGAGGGTGAATCGTCGAACAATAATGATGAAGAGCAATCCGAGTCCATAGCAGCTTCCCACTCCTGTTGTAAGCGGGAAAGAGGCATTGGTACAGTGACAAGCCTGCACTACCATCTGGATGCACACAACACGTTGCTTCGGTGCATCGAACACATGGTGGGGCTTCGATTTCGCATTTAAATTAATTAGCAATTACGACTACTCTATATTATTCTACGTGTGGTCAGGTCAAAGTATGAAGAGGAAGCAATCAACTCGCATCTCTCTCCTTTTGCTTTTGCGCTTTGAGCGCAAGACACTGTGCAAGGAATTCTCTATGCTCGTTGCTCAGGCTACTGTCACGGAGTTTCGCGAGCATTCTTTGGATCTTTTCTTTCTGCTTGCTTCGACTTTTACCGCCAGGAGACGCCGCCAACCCGAAAGGATTGAAACGCCGGGAATAAAATTGATTTCGTCGGTGTGTTGGGTGCTTCCTGTGCATGGAACTGCAAAATCAACATGACACGATATCAGTGACGCCAAGGTTCATTTATGAATCGACCCCGAGAAAACTCACGCACTAAATCGGCCTACCGTCCTTGAGTGCCTTATAGCTCTCTTTTCTCTGCTTATTCTCGTCGTGCTTGTGATCTGCCTCGACATGCTGTAGCGTCCTCTCAACCGTCGGAGGGAAGAGAACAGTTTTCTTCATCGGGCCAGGGCGCACACGGCCCACGCCGATAGTCGCATATGCGTACGTACGAGCTCCAGGGTGGACACGAAGTGCGTCAAGAAGAGCTTGGGAAGCGGTAGGCATGAAAGATTGCAATAATATTCCACAAATCCGCAATGTCTCCCGGGCCCAGGCCAGAAGGTGAAGGACGTCTCGCGGTCGAGTATCAGCAGACCATGGTCGAATTCGAGTGATCTCCTTATTTAACAGAGACAAGACGCCGACGATTGATTGCGTTGCTTCACCCACTTCAAATCGCTGTAAGTGATACGAGACCTTCCCGCGCAGCATGTTGAGTGCCTCGCGTAACTCCGCAGAAACTATGAGTGCCTCGCCAGTTGCATCTGGTTCTGGTAGTTCTGAGTACCGGACGACGCCTGGAGTCCTCTCCGATATTAGGCCATAAACATCTCGAGGGCGTGCGAGCCTGTCAGTGTACTCTTTCACGTAATTGGCTTGCGCCTCTTCCTTAATTGCTTCATAAGCGTAGCGCTCGTCCTCCAATCTGTCATCATATTCTTCCGAACCTGGTTCAAACAAGTGCATTGGGGCGTTCCCACGTGTTAAGAGAATACCACGGTGTAACGGAACACTTTGGTATGCGGCGGGTAGCCTATGCAACATCTTTTTAGACTGTAAGCGTAACAGCACATTGCCGAGCAATGATCTCAGTTCGTTCGTAGACTTGACAAGCTGATCGTCATTCCAATCTTTGTAACATCAGGTCAGTTTTACTTCCAACTAAATTGCTGTATGCAAGCAAAGCTCACGAACCGACATCGGCCTTGAAATAACCACCAGTCCGAGCCAAGTACCATCTCACTTCATCAACCCCATGATCCTTAAGGATGGCTACGGGATCAATAACATTTCCAACGGATTTAGACATCTTGGCCTTCTTGACAGTCCAATGCGCGTGAGAAAGCAAAGCACGCGACAATGGCATGTCAAGCGCCATTAGAAAAGCAGGAAAGTATATGGCGTGGAACCTAGAACAAGACGAATCAATGTGCCGTAGCACAAACATTTGTTTTAGTCAAACATACTTTAGTATGTCTTTCCCAATAATCTGGAGATTCACTGGCCAACCGCTTGAAACCATATCAGCTGTATCAATCCACGGATAGCCAATTCCGGTAAGATAGCTCGCTAGAGCATCAAGCCAAACATAGATGGTTTGAGAAGAGTCGTCCGGCACTGGAATACCCCATTTCAATCGCCAGGTTGGTCGAGATATTGACAAATCAGTGAGTGCCTTGGGATCGTCAGATTCGAGAATGTCCATAATTTCTTGTCGCTGACTCGGAGGGTAGATAGCTTTTCCCTGATTAGTTTCGAGCGATACAGCGTTTTACGTCGGACATACCATTCGGATTGGCCTGAAAGTGTTCTAGGAGCGGGGCTTTGAATTTGGAAAGCGCAAATTTATAATTCTGCTCCTTCGTCCACTCCACAACGTTGCCCGTTTCTGCGGATACTTTCACTTCTGTGCCCGTTTTCGGATCGACTGCAGTACGGATTTGCGAATCGGTATAAAAACATTCGTCCGAAATTGAATACCAGCCGCTGTGCTCGCCCAAGTAAATATGTCCGGAATTCATGAGCCTCGTCTATAATGATAAGGTTTACTGCGAAAAGAGACACAAAGAAAAGTCATACGTACCCAAAGTGATTGTACACCGTGACAGTGTTCCTCTGACGACGTACGGACAAACTTGGTATGCGAAATATTCGCCTGTCGTGCCAAACCCTATGAACCAAATGAGTAAGCTACAGATTTGACACCCATGTGTCCGTTTTACTATTTTGTACTTACGCTAAAAGAAACACAAAGGCGATCGCAGAATTCCTGGGGTTGCATGTTACGCTCCTGAGCAGCCTTCTGAATCTTCAAACCATGCTCATCCGTACCAGTGACGAATTTCACTGTACGAGAGCGCGAGGTAAGACGAGCATGACGTGCAAAGATGTCTGCTATGACAAGCGAATAAAGGTGTCCAATATGCGGAGCTAAACGAAGAGGCTCGTCAACACGTTATATTGAAACAATCGAAACAGGGAATGTACCAGCATTCGGGTAGAATATGGGAGTAGTGACATAGTACGGTTTGACTCTTGACTCTAACCTTGCTGGATATGTCCGTCGCTCTGGCGTGGAAGGCAGGGTGAAGTGTGGAGGAGCTTCAATACGATCTGCAACACGGTCTGCAAACCATCGACGGGAGTACACTTGACGCCCTCTCACGACGCCAAGTGCACATTTGCTAGACGCGTTGAGCCATCGCGTCCGAGCAATAATCATGAATCATGCAGCCGTCGTGGAAAAGAGAAACAGAGATGCTATAAGAGATGGGTTGTGACGCGGCGGGACCTTTGGACAAAGAAAAAGTGAGTTGTGTAGCGTCGATCACGTTACCAGCAAATCTCGCACCAAGCCAGAGAAAAAGTGACGCATACACGCAGTAACGCACCTTCACCTGCCTTCAACCATCCACAAGCGCCATGTCGGCTGAAGACTCATCAGGCCAACAGATAGACGCGACAGAGCCTGGAGCTGATGAGAACGAGAACCGCGAACAACCAGCAGATGAACAGCCTCAGCAACCCCAGGACTCAGAACCGAAGGAAGTGCTATATTGCGCAGGTGGATGATCATCTACACTCTTCCCAGTCATCTGCTAAATAAATTCACTGGTCAGTGTGCTCTTTCCCACCCGAGTACTGCGAGTTCGGCGAACATCTGACCAAATGCAAGGAGTGGCTCCAGAAAGAGCATCCAGATCTCTACGAAAGGTACTACAGTGCAAGTGCGTCGCGTACGAATGAAAGATGTTATCCAGGAAAGCTGATCAAAATCGCGTTATAACACTGTGGTATACAGAGGCTCTAGAGGAGAAGATCGGAACACTATCACTTGAAGCTCAGAAGAAACTAGAACAAGACGTGCAGAAGGCCGAAAAGAAAGCGGAAAAGAAAGCCGACGCGGCACTGAGGAAACAGCAGGTCAGGATGATCACCCATCTGGATAAATTTCGAATATTTGTCTAACTTCCCTATCCTAACAGGAATCGCAAGTGATCATAAAACGAATAGAGCGGAACAAGCGCAAATACGTCACTGCCATCAATGGCTTAGAGGCATTCGGTATATCATCTTCCTGATCACCATCAGGCTCATATTCAGCATTAACCTCTCTGTTTACACTTTAGGCATCGACTTGAAGAAAGCAGCAAAGGCCTTTGGAAAGCGTTTTGCAACAGGTTCATCCGTGACGAAGAATCTACAAGGGAAAGACGAGATCGTCATCCAGGGAGACGTTGCCGGCGACATCTTGGAACTGGTCAGCGACAAGATCGATTTCCTCGCTAACGTACCCGAAGATAACGTTGAGATAGTCGAGGATAAGAAGAAGAAAGGCGCGGAATGATCTTACACAGCGTTAGAGATCGTGCAAATGCATAAATATGTGCTTGTCGCTCCTGCAATACAAAGTACTGGTCGGAAGCTCAGGTCCTCTATACCTGGAAAAGCATTGTACTGTAAATCGAAGTTTGTATTTTTTTTTACTAGATCCATCCAAGAACAAAGCGCAGAGTGACGTAGGATAACTGTACGCAAGCAAGTTCTTCCGACAGTGAAGCACGAGCGAGTAAGACTCCGCCTTCTTGATCGCGCAATAATGCGGAGTGTAATGCGAGACACACATTTTGCGCAAGCAACGATGGAACTTCTCAGAAGCACAGTACACCCATTACCCGCACAAGTGTAAGTATGAAGGCTATGGATACAAGCTGCTATGTAAACAGTGTAAACGTCGAATGCTAGTATAACCGCGTGAAAGAATAAAAGACCAGTTCTTTTGCGTGGTAATGCTCAAGAGATGATTTTAATGTCTGTCTCGGAATAGAAACCGAATCAATAAAGGGCTCTTGCAATAGAAGAGACTGGCTCTAATAATACTGGCTAATGATACGTGACGTTCCAATAACTGCCTGCCAGCAGTCTTTGCTAACATGATATAGTCCATGGAGTATGAGCTCATCCTCTGTAATAGCACCAGGGCCACGAAGGCTCCATTGCCGTGCATTTGATTTTAAAGGCTCTCTTGCAATTTTCTTTTGACAGGAAAAGAGTGTTCATCAATATCAAAGTTAGGCAAAGCAATCAACTCATGAACTGACTCGAAGATGCGATGAAACCTTGTGTGAAACCTGGTGTGCAAGGTCTACATGGTTTCTAACCCAGCCTATGTCGTATTTCCCAACTGATTCGTATGCAGGCCACTATCGAGGTCAGGATTAATCATTGGTCTCTGTCGAGGATCAAGTAAGGCAGTGAGCTCACTGAGACGAGCAGAAAAAATCGGCCACGCTGTGGAATACCAGGAGATGGAATAGGTACAATCTCTTCGTTGTAAAAAGCCTCGGACATGGGGACACCCGTGAGTCTGAGGTCATAATTATGCCAACCGTGGAAGAAGTCGATGGCATGTTGGGACTGAGGACAGGATAACAGCTCGATAGGAACTGTTCCACTCCTCGTGTATGTGCCATACATCTTAAATAACAGCGTATCCGAGGCCGAGAAAAAGAATGAATTGAAGGAGTGTGTAGAACGAAGGAGTGAGGACGCGGACAGGATGAGTATAGACGACGTAGAACGTGATGGCAAGAGCGAATTCCTCGAGAACCAGCAAGAAAGATGTAAGACGTCGACCAGCGACTGATTGTGGATGTGACCAATTGACTGCGATGAGGAATATCATTACTAGCGGACCCATTTTATACCTGGTGCTTTGAGACATAGTAGGCCACAACGCCTTAGTGGCCGGATGTATACGATGGACTAACAGTAGGTCCAAGCATGAAACCAAGTAGAGATCGACATACAGGCTGTGTCGAGTCAATAGAAAGTAGCCAAAAGCAGATACGAGAACAATGAATCTACGAGCGTACCATCAAGCTTTCTTGCAAGTTAACGATTACCGGATTTGTCAGTGAATAGTGGGATCAAAGCGTACACAATGAAGAAAGCCACGCGAGTGTCGCTTCAAAGAGACCAAGTGATTAGACTTCTCGATCCCATCGTTTTTACAAAGGGAAAAGTGGTGCTACCTCGCAATGCATGGAATCTCATGCAGTGCGACGGAAAGAGACGGAAAGAGCTGGCATGATTGATTGACGGGTCAACCGTAGAAAGGAATAATAGGTGAAAACGAGAAACGTGTGCAGGTTGAAGCCGCTGACACAAAGAAGGATATCGACACAGGCACTTAGGTGATCAAGCACAGCTTCAAGGGAAGGAGTGGTGGCTACCGCTTTCCTGTCGGTCAGTTCGGTCGCAATCGACGAGCCACTTGCATTTTACTTGTTTCATGTTCGCGAAAGATGGAGAGACGCACTACGAAGCGTTATTGTTTTAACGAACGCAAGGTTATAAGCATACTGCACAGGAAGCTATGCAGTTATCGTGCTTTCGTATACAGCCAGGATGGACTCTGGTGAAAGCGTAGTTAAGTGCCGTGCGTTTGACAGAAATTGAACATGTTAAATCACGGGGTTACCTCTTTTGGAATTATTTCCATTTACGTCCGAACAACCGTGAAGCAAAGAAATTCATGAAAGCGAGAGGTCTCCTCATCTTAGCATATATAAAGCACCGTATGGGTGGGAGAGAAGCCGGTGGTAACAATATCATTGTAGTTTTATTTGATTTACAAGTGTATTCAGAATCGGACCTACTAGGGGTATACTATTGATACATTGTAATAAGGAATCCTAGCCTAGTAGAACAGTCATCATTGCCTGAATAAATCAATAGATAAGTAGAATGGAAGGTTACAAAGCATCTGGGGTCACAAAAGTTTCGATCAGTCAGTGGAAAAGGGGTACAAGCGACGAGAGGAGCAGTGAAAGAATCTACAAAACTAGTACATAGCCTTAACAATACAAGGAAGCACACCACATAAATAGATGTCAGCGTGATGAACTTCCAACACACATATACCATCCTGAAGGTCCGTCTCCAACGGCATCAAGCCCACGAAAGCGGGTCTGGCCGAGTAAGCAGTCCAAGCGTCTCAAACCACCCGACCGTGCAGTGCTGGCGCTTAAATTGACGCTGGAACGCTCGCTTGATGGAGATATCTGGTTCTGTAGTTGATAAGAAACGGATCTGCAGTGTGGGACGTGAGAACGTACATTGACCGCCCTTTCTTGCCCTGTTCGCTGTGTAAGGGACCGCCGTTCCTCAGCATCGCAACGTTTGTAGAAGGCGCGTGAAACTTCCTTTTTCAGGCCTTTTGTCGGCAATGAATCTAGAGAGGCGTATTCGTCGGAGGTCATGCGGACGTAGAGGTACCGGAATATTGCTAGTATGACGTGCTTCACGGCCACATAGTGCGATGATGATGAAGGGGCCTGACTGTGAACGTCCGGAGTTGCCGTTCGGCCTGTTTGCCTCACAGTGTTTCCTGGCGTACTCGGCGGCTCGTCGGCACGCACAACCAGAGGAGCCCATAACGAATGGCCGACACAATGGATGCGCATCTCCCTTTGCGGCGGATTTGTTGCCGGTTCATTCAAGATTGAGTCGGGCACCGGCACGAGTACTCGGCCGTCTTTCGGTGAAGGCATAAGGACGGTAGTGTACGACGGCACATCGCCGACATCCCATACTAGTAACGGCATATTAGCTGATGGGGCGTAGGCCAAGCATGGGTGCACCACTGGAGCAATAACTGAGTCTCGACGGGAGCGTTTGGGCAACGTGGGCGCCGACGATTTGCGCGGCGAAACCCCCAAGGGACTGATAGGGGGCAATGAATAATCCAAGCTCCTCATTTTGAATGGATCAGAATTGGGCGAAGATTCTCCAAAGCGCCATAATGTTGAGTCGGGTGTTCTAACGCGCGCATCAGCAAAAGGACGAGCTGGTACCTGAACCGCAAGCGGAATAGGTCGAGTACGATGACCAGCGTGATAGTTATCAGTACTAGAGACAATTGGTGCAAGTACTGACGGTGGAGTAGCGGGGGAAGCAGAATCGGCGAGTGAGTCATCATCGTCAGCGTTTGTTTGATGAAAAGGGGGAGATTGCTTCGGTGAAGGAGGGACAAAGCAGTCATTATCATCAGAGTCGTTGAATACTACGTCGGCGGCCCAGTGCACACGTCTTTCAGACATATTGGCCCTAGGGAACCAAGTAAATGGGTGTTGGGATAAGGGCAGCGAAGAAGGGGGTAATGAGCACAGTATTTATACTGGCCAATTTAGAGTTCTACGGTGCAAGTTCTTCTCCTCGGCAAAGGGATCCGTCTCCATTAACATAGCATAGCCAGAGCTTAATAGCAGAGGAGCGCGTTCGAGGATAAAATTAACATTTCGGGAACTCGAGTATGACTAGACGGAACTGCCTCACTGATCTCGCACGCGCGGGTCCTGAGTATCTTGCCGTTTTAGGCCCGGTATCTGATGATTTGGTAACTGCCACGCGAGCAATTTGATTTCGATACCAGTGCACCTGCTCGCTTGTTGCAAAAAGCATGTGCATTTTGAAGCCGTCAAGCGGTGGAGGAGCATAGGAAGGTCCAGAGCTGAGTATATGGAAGAAAGTCCCAGATTGCGAATGTACGATAGGGATCGATTCAGAGTCAAGGTGTCACCTGAGGTGTCCACCAGGGTTCATCAAGTAGCCCAACATAGCAGCGAGTCGATTTTCAGAGATAAAAGGAGCACATCACAATGGCTTAGAGCGGGACCCTGAAAGAAGTTGACTGGACTGGAAATGTGTTAGACATCCTGGTTCCTTATGGCAGCAGCAGCCTCATCATATCAACACGACCAGTGCCCGAACAAGGACCAAGACGATCCTTCGTCGTTATGTGCCCTTTGGAACAGGGGAGTCAGAAATTTACGCTTATGGCTGTGTGCAACATAACTGCCTTAATGCATGTGTCATAATGAAATCGAGCAAGAAATAACAAGTACATGCATGTCATGCGAAAAAACAATTGCTGGGCGCTGCAATCTTACGGTCCCTCTACTACAGCCAGCACTGATCGTCTACCAGTCACTCGAATAACGATCTATTAGATGTTGAGCTTGGTACGTCTCCAGTGGCGTCGTTTGGCGTTGTACTGTATGTTACAAATATAGTCAGTATATTCCTCCCTCAAAGTGATATGGAAACGTACTTGAATTTTTGTGTCCGACTTTAAGCGGAACCATTGAGGAATGGGCCTGCACGAATGAATAGGTCAGAGGTCCCGTTCACTGTTTCCATGAAAGAGAGTCTGGGACACACCGATTTTGGCGAGCAGCCTTCGCGAGCTTGATCTTGGTGCGGAAAGTCTTTTGGGAAGGCTACACAAGCATTGGCGTCAGTGACGGTATATGCTAAATTCGATACAAGTTGCTCACCATTCTGGACAGTGATGAGTTCGGTGTCAAATGCCTACGATGATGGTGTTGAGAAAGTCTGTGACAGGTGCTATACAGTTACAATTTGCTTCAAAAGGGATAAAATACTCACAGTCACGTTGTCACCGGAAGCGTCGATCAGTCACGTTTCAGGCTCATAGCGCGTCTTGGTGACACGTCTATGACGGTCTAATTCATGCGCAGTCTTTTCGGACACGTCGACGCTTCACCATCTCCCAATCACAACTTACTCTAAAGTTCGGTCAAATGAAATTGCTATCTGCACTCAGCTTCCTTGCCTTTCCGTTGCTCTTGGTACTCGCAGCGGAAGCTCCCACTGAACTTGAGATCAATACTACATTCTCACCAGATGAATGTACACTGAAAGCCGAGAGCGGTGACTATGTCAAAGTGCACTACGTGCGTAGCTCGCGTATCCTTTGATTGTTAATCTATCACTCAATAATCTTTGATAGACTGGTACTCTGTTCTCAAATGGAAACAAGTTTGACTCGAGGTGAACAAATGCCTCGGATTCCCCGGTCTCGAATTTATTGCTGACTTACAATCAAGTGTTGACCGCGGAAAGCCTTTCGAACTGAAACGTTAGTTCTTAACATGATATCTGTTCTCAGTCCCTTTGATCCGTATCGGGATTCGTTTCTGACTACTTCCATTAGTCGGAGCTGGGCAAGTCATTAAAGGATGGGACGAAGGTCTCCAGAACATGTGCAAGGGGGAGAAGCGCACGCTAACAATTCCGCCTGAGAAGGCATATGGTAAGTCGTATCTCTCCCATCCTTGTACACATTGTCTTCTATGTACTTCGAGACCAACTACTGATTTCTTTCGAATCAAAAGGACCACGAGGCTTTGGTAATGTTATTCCACCAAATTCAGTCCTCGTCTTCGACGTGGAGCTTATCGATGTGACGAGAAAGGCATCCAAAGAGGAACTATAGGCATTCTATTCTTATTCGTGAAATATATGTTCTCTGCGCGGATATGAAAAAATGATTCCCAAAACATTTGTCTGTGAAGGAAAGAGGTGCTCGTGAGACCCGATTCACACGTCTATGCCTGATAAAGCCACTTCTTCCAAAGCGTATCTCACCTCCACAGTCAGCTGGCTAGCTATTCTGTATTTCTACTAATAAACCAAGGCATTCACTATGTTCACTGTTCTTCATAGCTGGGATTGATCATACGCAACTTTACGTCATCGTTATATGTATCACGTGACTTAACGACCGATGTTGGCGTGTGCAGCTGAGAATTGAGTGTTGTTTCTCTCTGTCAGCTCGCAGTACCTCCGTCAGCACAAAATGGCAACTGTACATCCAAGCAGAATGGGCCTTGTTCCCCAATCATCCTCTTTCAGGGATGAAGACAGATACAATGATAGGGAGAGGGTGAGAGAAAGAAGTAGAGAACGCGACTCAGATTATCGTCGTTCAGGCAGAGACGACTCGCGCGACCGAAGACGAGACGCAGACGTCAATGGACGAAAGAATAGACGCAGCTCTACCCCGCCTCGCGACAGAAATAGGACATACGAGGATGATAGACAGGAAGATCGCCCGCGACGACGGAGTCCTGATTACGGCTCGTACCGACGTGAAGAGCCTCCTCATGCTACTACAGTCAACGGTGATGTTGGTGCAGGGTCCTCGGCTCCATGGCGTGCACCGGAAAATATGTACGCTTCTCGTGGTCGTAGAGGATACGGCGCTTCAGGTGGAGAAGACTATTTCGCTAGGTGTGTAAACAAGAGCTTCTGTTCTCCCTAAGTAAATCTCAACTTTCTGTGTTTAGTCGTCGGTTGGAACGTGCTAACAAGCAAGTAAATATATGGCCTCCTTCTCCTAAAGCGCCGTCGGATGATCGGTGAGTTTAAACCTTTCAGACTGACACGATTATTTTATTCATCAATTCTAAACACAGGGTTGACTCAAAGAAAAAGCGGTCGGGTAAGCGTAATCGCTCGTCCTCTGTCACATCCTCGTCGGAAGACGAACGTGAACGAAGAAGAAGAAAAGAGAAAAGACGCAAGGAGAAGGCCAGGGAGAAAGAAGATCGAAAGGACAGGCATAAGAAGAAGCACCGTCGGGAAAAGTCGTATGACGAAGACAGCGACGAGGACCGGCTGGATAGGCGTAAAAGGAGGCATCGCCGTGGAAGATCTTACGATGACGAAGACAGTGAAGGTGATCGAAGAGATCGAAGTCATCGCGGGCGATCTCACAGAAGTAACCGCAGTAGCGATGACGAGTACGAACACCGAAGCCGGAGCAAGAGCCAAAAGCGGCGAGAGAAGAGTAGACACAAGAGCCGCCACAGCAGTCGTGCTGACCCCCCACCACGGTCACATGCCGACGAGGATGAAGCTGAGTGGGTGGAGAAGCCTGCCAACTCATTTGTGGCAGTTGCGGAGCATACAGGCAAGGAACCGCATATGGATGTGCCAACGAAAGTGGACAAGAATGCAATGGAGGACTCTGACTCGGAGGAGGTGGGGCCGCAGCCTGCCTTCCGTGCGACAAATGCAAACAAAAAGATCGATGAACGGCAATATGGCGGGGCGCTGCTCAGGGGTGAAGGCAGTGCAATGGCGGCTTTCTTGCAGGACGGGAACACCGACGCGCGTATACCGCGTCGTGGTGAAATCGGGCTGTCGTCTGAGGAGATTGCGTCCTTCGAGTCTGTCGGGTATGTGATGAGCGGGAGCAGGCACCGAAGAATGAACGCGGTTCGGATGCGGAAGGAGAATCAAGTGATCAGCGCGGAAGAAAAGCGGGGCATTCTAAAGCTCCAAAAGGAGGAACGTGAACGCAGGGAAGCAATCCTGCGCGACGAGTTCCGGGAGCTCGTGCAGGACAAACTCAAGGGGGCGGGCGGTGCGGGCGCATTGCCTGCCACCCAGGAGGAAGACGCATAGAGCCACAGGCTTAATATCACTGTGCTGATGTGTAGTTGTGCTTGTTTTGTAGAGATACATATTTGTTGCGGTGCCTTTATGTGGACAGAGAATGCTTACATAACATGACGTCGATTTTATTTTAATTTGTTTGTTGCATCTCTCTTACCGACGCCTAAGTACTCACATTCAACGAGAGAGAGATGGCAAGCGACGTGCGAGACACCGTCCACGACCAGCACCCACCGCCCAGCCATCCTCAACGACACACCCACGCCGCCCCCTCGCCCAGTCTGCTCTCGACGACGCGCACAACGACCGGCTCTTATTTCGGTGAGTGTGCCCACGGTCCGCTTCTTTCTATGTTTTTCCCGCAGCGGCGTACGGCACGAGGCAACCGAATGTCGTGCCTCGACAGACGCACATTTCTACCCTTTCTCGTTTTCCTGCGGCTTTTTGTCCGTGTCGCCTTCTCGCTCGTTGAGGGGTCGTCTGTCGTCTGTCGTCCATCTGCGGGAGCAGCAGCGTCGTCGACCCGGCCGCGGCGAACGCGCTTTGTCTATCTGTTTCGCACTCCACTTTGCAGTATTTTGGCTGCACAGAGTCTCCACCGTACAATTCAGCAGCCACGTTCTCGTGCTCCGTGAGCTGATCGTAATCTCCGGCCCAAAAGGGGTCTCTGCGCACAACAGAAAGGAGACCCTGAGCACTTGTCGCTGTCTTTCCTTTTCGTCATTTCCCCGTCTGATCGTCTAATTAACTCTTCATTTTTCGATCCACGCCTCATTTACTCTCTACAACCTTAACGACCACCACGTCTGACACGCTCTTTACTTTCTCCTCTCCCAGACTACACTCCAAGCCACGATCACGACTCGGCCAACACGCAGCGCACCGGTCGACCTTCGCTTCAACAGCGCCAGTCCAGCTTCAGCAAAAGACATTCCTCCTTTGACACCCCGCGCGAGGTACCATTTCCATCCCAATTGCCCCCCTCGACCGACGCCCGCGAAAGGCGTGCGTCCTTTTCGCGTAACAATTCTGAGTCTAGCGTTGCCACATCTCGTCCCCGGAGCCCCAGCTCCGCTCTTCAAGACGTCGTGCATTCCGCCGAGTTGTCAGAATATGCGCCGTTGCCTACCACGGCGGGCATACGCGTCGACGGCTCGGACACGGCAACTTTGAGCGGCTTGCCGTCCCCGATGGATACGTCGGACGACAGCAGTTTACTGACAAGCGACTCGATGACGTACAAATCCAACCCCGAGTCTGGTGGTGGCCAAACATTCACGAGAAATTTAACCGAAACGCATCGTGATCATCGCAATGCTGGTGTTTGGGACAGCAGCCACTTGCGTCCGGAACTCCTCTCGTCACCGAAACCCAGAGCACGCGATATTCCTTCGCAGCAAAATCAACACCACTTGTCCATGCCGGGTCCATCATCGCCTCTCTATCTTCCCAGTCGCCAAGGCTGCGAAATATATGCCCCCTCGCCGACACGCCCGACGTCTGCGGCAAGCCTACCTCTTCCATCCCAAATGCCATTTTATGCATTACCCACCTCGCATTCGATCCAACATCACCCAGAACGACATCCCGGCCTTCCCTCGGTCATTGAGCAGGAACAATCAAACTTTGATTCGTATTCTGAGGGTGGGGGTCACCGCGATTCAGATATTTCATCCGCTGCTGATTCTGCAACACTTCGAAGGCAAGGTTCTTCTCCTCTTGAATCTTTGTCGGCACTATTGGACGCCGCTGATCGGCTCGGGCGACGTAATCCACGAGTCTCTGCTGCTGAATCTACTTCCACTGTGTCAACAATGTTGTCGGCTTCTTCGCAAATTAGCTCTGCCAGCTCCTCTCTTCCTCCACCGACACCTCCGACTGTTCACACTCCTCCACCTCCTCCTACGGACAGCAGTGGAAACGAAAAAATTGACTCCAAGGATGGGAAACGTCAAAGCGCCCCTTACGAACCATTTTTGAGCCATGCGCCTCCCTCAGCAGATACTTACATTACAGTGGAAACAACAGACGTCGAGTACAGGCTTATTGTTAGACTACCGGGCTACAGAAGAGATGCTATGTACGTATATCTTACTTTGCGTATTATTACTTTGATTTTCTTATGCGGCGTCGTTTAGTATGCTTTCCACGCGGCGTCGGCGTATATTAGCCATAGCCGCCGATTCATGGGAAGCCGGCGGCGGTAAGTTGTTAACATTTTGCTATTTGCTTCGCACCAATGATTGAACTATGTTATAAAGGCCATTTTGAGCGTCGTATTTCTTTCGGGTATGATGCGGATTTGTCGCGCGTCCGAGCTGAGTTCGATGGTGAACATCTGCGCGTAATCGTGCCGCGAAAAGTCATTCCCATCACCTGGATAGGGGCGCATGAGTTAGATCCAGTAAGACAGTCTGAGCCGAACATATAGGTAATTTCCTTATGTTGTCGATTCCGACACGTTGGGCTTTCGAGGATCGTCTTAATATCTGCACTCCTTCACAAACATGCTTGACAGTTGTCCGCCTTATTTCTGGTTCATCCAATACCTGCGAGGCTCGTTATCTTCATGGGTGATCGGATTAATCATTTATGTCCTATTGCATTCCTCTGTCTGGTCCAGAAGCCCTCTCCTTCCAGAAAATTCTCTGTATTACCATCTTACATCCTAAGCCATCCCAAGTGTTATATTTACTAACTTCATTTGTTTCCTCTAATTGTCTTTTTATCACTTTCATTTGTTTTTCCTTTCCGATACCTTTTTACCCACTTTTTACCCATTCCCTTTGCCCTTCTTCGTATCAAGTATTTTACGACGGACCTACCTCTCCTTTATCATTGAACCTTCTCCACTTGTACCTACCCCCTCTAGCTTCTTTCTCCGTTTCCTCGGTTACTTCTTTCTCTTCCTTTCCTTCCGCTTTCGAACGCACCGTTCTTACCTAGACGTCTAATGATTCAGCACTCATACCTTATCCTATGACTCTACCCAAAACCCAAATATGTCGACTCGACTGGCTTCCCTCTCACTCTTTTGAGATTCCCCTTGGTGTAAATACCGCAACGTGGATTGGGCGTGTAGGCTTGAGCTACTCTTCTATTTTAGCGAGCGTCATGTCTCCGTACATACCGTGCATACATACATACCATTCACACCCCCTTGTATAATTAGCGCATATAATGATCTCCTGGGTTATAGGATACATGCATGGATATACTGTATTAGTGTATGCCACTCGACTCACGGAGTCTTGGGTGCGTTCGGTACGTCTTTGTTTTATGTGTTCATGTGTTCAAGTCGACTACAGAACGATGTTCGTCTGACACGGAAGTATCGAACGGTGAGAGAAGCAGCCGTGTGAATGAACGAAAAGCTGAAGAGTCTTCCCGCATACATCGATTGCATTCATTCAATTGAGAAGTTTGAGAAGAAAGGCTTGTTCGAGAAGATAAAGTAAATGAACTGAACAGAATGGGTGAGTCGATGACGACATGGATGGTCGAGTATGTTTTGTGGGGTGCTCGTGTGTTTTATTTCTTTGCTGAGTCTCTGAGTCCCTAAATACTAGTACTCCAACGAAACCTCGGACTCGTTTGTTTGCTTGACTTGAGGGTCTAGAACTTGTTGATGTATTACGGCAGGAGTAAATATGATGCAGTGCAGTGTCGATGACGATTATTTAGATTTAGGTTTCAAGTGGACAGGTCGACCCTGATGGTGTAACGAGGACGAGGACGAAGCTTAAAGTAAAGTTAAGGCTGGACGCTTTTTGTTTGACACTTGGTTTGCATTTGATTTGAATTTTAGACAATGGAGGAAGGAAGAAGAGGAAGGAGAAGTACTATAAGAGAGGCCGGAGGGAAAGGGAGGGGAGAAGCAAAACTAGATTCTCCAAAACACTACAAGGCTGAATTGGCGTTTCTAACGTATGCATCAACAAAATGGTGTACTGGCATTAAACCTAGACTGCAAGTAGAATAGGTCAAGTACAATGACCAGCATGAAAGTTATTGGCTGTTGAGACTATTGGCACAGTTTGGCAGTGGAGTAACAGATAAGTAGTCTCAGCAAGTGGGTCATCATTGTAAGTGTTCCCTCGAGAAGAAGGGAAGGCTTTTTTGATGAAGAGGGACAAGGCAGTTAATGTTGTCAGTTTTTGAATCCTGCATTGGTAGCCCAGTGGACGTGTCTATCAGCCATTTCGACCTGAGAGAACCTGGCGAGTAGATGATGGGGACAAGGGAAGAGAAAAAGAGAGACAGCTGTTCTATTCTACAAGGTACCTATACCTAAACTGCATTTATGAACACAGGCAGTCAATGACTGACACTTTCTGGAACACATAGGTACAATGCCATGTTTTTCATTGTGCCTATCAGTGCCAGACGAAAATGGGTTTAGGATACAGCCACCGAGTGCAGTATAGGTCAACACAGCTTACCACATTAAGGTTGTGTCATAGGTCAGAGCATAAGGTATGCAACACGGGCGAAGTAAAGCGTTGGTCGTGGAATCAGCAGACCAACGAGTACAACTGACTTTTCTGGCTGTGAGGACTATGAAGACACAGCCGGAGACTATTACCTTCATGCTTTATGCAGTTCCGCAAGCGCCGAAGTCGTCCAGGCATACAGTGATGCACGTTGTTGACTGCTGAAGACTCATGACGAACACGAGGCCTATGTGCGGCGACTTTCAGTGATCTGTCATGATCGACATTAAGAGAAATGAAGAATATGAACAGCGTATGCCTTTCGTTCACGGTTGGACGTATGAATGATTTTCCACCTGCGGTTGAGTGTGGATGTTTATATGCCAGGAAGATGCAAACGCTCAAACGCGCCCATATGTTATATTGGATTGTTTGACTGATAAGCGCTCACTTTCACTAGGATTGATCATAAAGAAGACTGGTACTCATGCAACGGTTTCTGCCAGCCAAGAGTCTATAGGATTGTGTGTCACAAAGACGGAGCATACGAAATCGCGTATGTTACGATTGTTCAGGTGGATTCTTGATATCCCGTCGCGAGTTTGTGATGTCATGCCGGTTGAGCGGGGATGAAGACCGTGTCGCAGCGCTAAATTAGAATAAAAAATGATGGTCGCCACTCCGCAGCTCAGCTATTTTTAGCGAGACAAGAAATAAGAACCAGCAATTCTAAAGGTTAAGTCCGACCAGAGAACGAGAATAGAGCGAAAGCACTATATGAAGTCCTACGAATCCGGAGCGGTACTTCTGCTTTGATCGTCGTATCTGCTATCGATGTCGAACTGGATACGCGGAAAGTTACACATGCCATGAACGTATGGACCGCCCTCTTTCCGCCATGCTCGGAATCGAGGTGAGCATAGCCGAGCGCCACTTTCGTTTGACCGGAACCGCTCTCCGAATTTGATTTAAATAATGGAAGATAGGAGAGCCGAATTTGTAAGTAAGACAAGTCTCTGTTCGGGATGGCAGATTACATTCAAACGTTCACGGCGAACTGCGCCCGCTATCGTTTGGCATGACTAGTATCGCGTATAGGGGAAGGGTAGTCCTTAGTCCGAGACTGCTTTCGCCTTCCCAGACGCTCATCTATTTATGAGAAGTGTTCATGATGGGCTCGCGGATACTTAACAGTGTTGTTAGAGCGGGTGGTTGTCCCTGCGTCTATGACTTGGGTTTGACAGGAAACGAGCGTTTTCTGCGCGACATGTGTTTCTCGTCGCAAGGGAGCGTCGGAAGTTGTATGTCTGTATTTGGTAATAGACTTGACCAAGATGGTAACCGACGTCGATCAGAAGCTGTCCAATGTCCTCCGTGCACCGGACGGCGATCGTCCCATTAACTGTGTTCCTGAGGGACCTGTCTTGGCCATGTTATTGCCCTCCATAATATTCCTGTCCTCTGTTTGAAACAGCTTTGAGGGGATAGGAGGACGACTTGGGTGAGTATGAGGTCCACAGAGTTAGCCATCGGAGCATTATGCACCGCATCAAGACGGGTACATGCCGGGTGCTGGCCGAACGCTGGGAGAGAGATCTGGGAGATGTGGGGAGAGGGAGTTGCCGCTAGCGCCAAAAGAGCAGTTGGAGGCGCACTTATGCTCGCTTACGTTTTCCATTGCATTTGGTTTCGGCGCGTTGTGACCGCCACACGATCGAAAATACAATCACCTCCCAGGTCAATTAAAAATGCGTCCATGTCAGTTGCCTCACCAGGTTTCCTTGCCACTCCCTTTTCTATCCCCTCCTCCCTCTTGGCACCCTCTCCGTCCCGTCTCCCTAAACGGCCTTGCTTTGCTTGCTAAAGCCGTAAGTCATATTGTGCCATGGTACTCTCCTCCTCCACCGCCCAAGAGCGCAGGAGCAAAGCAGCCCTTGTCGCGTGCTTAGTTGCCAGTGCTCAGCTAGCATGGGCTCAGATTCCCACTCAATCCGCTCCTGGCCAACCTCAACGCTCCGGGACACCTGGCACGTATAACGTTGTTGGGAATTCTATTGTTAGCGCTCAGCAGGTTCGTGTGCTTTCTTTCCGCAAAGCTCGAAGCGAGATGCTATGTTCATTGCTCTTCGTATAGATGTTCCTTGGTACACTGAAGAAACTGTATATTGTCGACAAAGTAGAGAACAATCCCACTCAAATTAATGGCCATCCTGCTTGGGCTTCCGGTATGTTCTAGTGGATCTTATTCGATGATGATTATCATTTCTAACTTTGCTGGCCAGAATACTCGATAGATGATGACACAGGGAGAGCAATGGACGCGGTCACTAACTCCTTCTGCGCAGTACGTTGTGCTTGATTCTGTGTCTATATTTAATCCCGAATGTGTTCTATTCAGGGAGGTAATGTATTGGGAAATGGTACTTGGGTTAACGCCGGAGGTAATCAGGCAGTAACTTGGGGAGGTGCATATGTTCCCTGCTCATTCCGATCGTCCGTTACTCACCAAGGTTTACCTCTAAGGTTTGACTGCAAACAGTCAGAACGGTGGTCCGCCATACGACGATCCCGATGGTGGACAGTCTCTACGGTGCGTTGCAATGCTGAACCCTCACGTCCTTTACATTTTTAGACTTACATACATTCCTGCTTCTCTATCCACTTTAATTAGACTTCTTGACCCCTGTGACGACGGAACCTGCAACTGGATTGTTCACTCGGATAATGCCATGACCACTCGGAGATGGTACCCTTCACTGTTCGTAGTCCCATTTGGTATTTTGCACAGTTATGAAACTGATTCCGGCTTGTTTGCACCCCAGAGAGACTCTGGAGGACGGAAGCATCTTCATCGTGAGCCGCCACATTCCAAATAATGTTCTGAAACACGTTGACTGATTCGGATGTATCATTTTCGGGTGTGGAATTAGATCGGTGGCGATATGACGGGTGGATTCGTAAACAGTGTGGGCAACAATAACCCTACGTACGAGTTCTTCCCGTCGCGCGGCGACCCTATCACCACGGATATCCTCACCACAACCCTCCCCGCGAATCTTTATCCGATTACTTTCCTCCTGCCCTCAGGAAATCTCCTTATTCAGCTGAATTGGGCGACCTGTGAGTTTATTCGTCTATTTCGTAACTCGAGATGGATACCTGATGTATGTGCCCTGGGTACTAGATATCCTAGACTACAAGACGGGAAAGGAAACACAGCTTGACGATGTTCCAGGTTTGTTTCTATTTGCGTTGCCGTTATGGGAGCGTTCTATTTACGGCAATCATCTTTGCACTTTTGAATTTGATAGATGCGGTGAGAACATATCCGGCAAGCGCTGGGACGGTGATGCTTCCCCTCACAGCGGCGAATAATTACACCGCAACTGTTCTGTTCTGTGGCGGAACCAAGCTCCAACCGAGTCAATGGACGACTGACTGGAACATTGCCGTATTCCCTGCGTCAGATTCCTGCGTCAAGCTCACGCCGGATGCTTCGGGATCATACTCCCAGGATGATCCGCTGCCGGAGGGACGGAGTATGACAAGCATGGTCCTGCTCCCTACAGGCAAGATTCTGGCATTCAATGGTGCAATGACCGGTGTTGCTGGCTATGGTAATGATTCATGGGCAGTTGGCCAGTCGTATGCGGACAACCCAGTCTTGACTCCTGCCTTGTACGATCCCAGTGGTGCTGCTGGATCGCGTTGGTCGAAGCAGGGATTGCAATCGACCACCATTCCGCGCATGTACCATTCATCCGGTATACTTATCCCCGATGGGTCCGTGATTGTCACTGGATCGAACCCGAACGCGGACTACAATGTTGGACCAGGCATAAAGTATCCGACGGAGTACCGTGTCGAACGTTTCTACCCTTCGTATTTCAATGAACGACGTCCTCAGCCACAGGGACTGCCTACGACGCTCGCGTATGGTGGTCCGTATTTCAACGTGACTCTGTCGAAGGATGATTTATCAGGGTCGACGGACAACTTGAAGAGTACGACGGTCATTGTTATCCGTCCGGGCTTCTCTACGCATGCGCTCAGTATGGGCCAACGATTCCTACAGTTGGACAATACGTACACGATCAACTCTGATGGAAGCGCAGTGTTGCATGTGAGCCAGATGCCGCCCAATCCGGCTATATTTGCCCCAGGACCAGCACGTAAGTGTTGTTCCTCTTATTTTGTAACTCGTCTTGCCTATCGTAACCAAACACTTCCCATCGTGATCTAGTGATTTTTGTCGTCGTTAACGGCGTTCCCTCGGTCGGCGTGCAGGTAATGATTGGGTCAGGAAAGATTGAGACACAGACGACCACCGCAGTCGTCGACCTCCCATCAACCGGATCCGCCAGTGGCTCGGATCCATCCCAACCAACAGCTAGAAACAGTAAAGACAGTGCCGCATCTTCGATACACTTTGCCTCTACTTCTGGACTTCAAGGACTATTGTTTTTCTGGTTAATACCCACATTGACAGTTGCTTTGACTTCGTTTATGTCATGAACCATTTTCTACTTTTGATTTTCATGGACTGCCGGATTGATTTTTTGGACTTTCGATTCTGTTCATGAGGAACTTTATCATTTAATGACTTCCGCTTCTCCGGGCTTGGTGTCATACCGCCCGTCCTGTCTTTACTGCACCCTTTGATTTCACTGTCTTTTATTTTGGGACATTTGGGCATTTGTTTTCTGCAGAACCTTTTCCCCCTTCGTACACTGCGCTTTGGACAACCTTAAGCTTGTCAATCTACTTCATTTTATCACACTCCTAATCTTGTTTTCTGCACGACTCCGCTTACAATTTACATACATAATACCCACTTAGACTCCACTTTCAGGAGTAACAACTGTAGTTTACGCACACAAACTTAAGTAGGGTAGGATTTTCCCTTCCGCGGAGTATCTCCGCTATGGACTCTCTTTTTTTATCCTGATTGTTTTGTCGAACGTTTACGAATTGGTAATGAGAATTATGATTTATTTCGGTTCTTCCTTTCTTCGTCCGTGTGTTCGAATGTTTGTACTATGAATAGCAAGGGAATTCCTGTGCGAAATTGGGAAGGCGGTGACCTAGACGTTAGACTTTTTGGTCTTTCTTAGAAGCAAATGGGATAGTAATGCGGCCGTAAATATTATTCTGTATCAAGAAATCGTGTTCGGAAGCGAATTTCGATGGATTCCATTGTGAATGTACATGAATAAGGTCCGCAGAATGGTATGGTCGGATGAGATTGACTGAGAGACTGGAAGACTACGCGGAGGGAATCGAAGGGAATAAAAGCACAATGATAAGTTGAGGACTGTAGAGCTATTGAATCTCTGCAAAATGTAGGGTTGAGATAAATTACAGGAGCATGATCACAGTAATCCAATAGAAACGTGTATGCTGGATTTCAAGAAAGTATTGTGGTTGTGTAGCTATTGCATTCGAGGTGTTGTTCTCCCTTATTCAGCAAACGGGTCCTCGACGGAGGCATAATCTGGTAACGAGGAACTGATTTCGCTTCTTCGATCCGTTGAAACCGGAGCAGAAGCTGCTGTCCGCTCAAGATGCGACTGGCGTAAACGCGCAATTGCAGCCCACATGTTGTCTATTTGCTGCATAATGGCATTAATCTGTGCTGATTCTGGCAGTTGGATATCTCTGTGTACTGCCAAGTGTGGAGTATTGACCGTAATATCGGCAAGAGGAAGATCTTGTCCTCTAGGAGCAGCGAGAGAGGACAGGAAGTGCTGAGAATCTGAACGTATGTTGTCATCGTCCTGATTGGTGATTGGGGAAATAGATGGTACTTGATGGAGTGATTCTGGGTGATTCACAGTGGGAGGCATGACTGATGCAACTAAAAGGACGAAAGTATGTTAGCAAGACCTAAGCAAAAAAAAAACAGACACGAGTCAAAAGGCAAGCAATAGTTCACTCACCAATCGGAGAGTTGCTTGGTGGTACAGTGTTCACATAGTCTGAGGGTACCTCCAAGTCTGGACTGGTAACGAGACGTTCACAGCTTTGTTGAGCAATGTGGCGGCTTCTGTTGCTGGCAGGAAGAGCAGTCTCCGAGTCCTTTCCCCTCCCTCTTCCTTCAGTTGTGTCTGATCCAAAGCTGGAAGAGCGAAGTCGTTTGCCACGCTTTTGGCGCCCTTGGAGATATGCGATAATAGCGGCAAGAAAACAGAAAAAGAGGAATGAACCAGCAACAATTAAGAAGACACTTGTATCAGAATTCATTTATTCTTCTGGAATACTTCGTAGTGGCTGAAGGTCCAGTGTTACAGGAAAGAAACGAGTGCTGATACTGAGGAGGATACGGAATAAAGTGGCGGTAACAATCTGTAAGTATTGTTGCAGACATATATGTGTAATGCATGGGAAATATCGGGTAGCATAAATCTACAACTTGATACAATGATAGATAGATAAATACTCACTATACTGTATCTATGACTTCTGACTGAAAATGTACTCTGTGCATGATCCACATCAGTAGCTTGTCTGTAAACACAACAGCAACTGTAACTACCTGAACAGATCAGTTGCAATACTTCCGAATAGGATTCTATTTGTTGGACCCATCAACGCCCTTTGGTCCTTCAAATACCAACCAGCCAGAGCTGTGTTGAGCACTCAGTGAAGACTGTTTATACATTATATTTGTACAGGACCACAGGAGTGCAAAACACTCACAAGGCAAGTTGAACAAAAACGCTCGATTTTGGTTTTGAGCATACTCTGAGCTCTGTTTGTGCAACAAGTGCTGTCTGCAAAAGGGTCGAGTAAAAACAAGACAATGTGTTTCAATCACGTGCACATAGCTAAACATACTATTTTTAGTTAGCCCAGGTCCCAAAATGCCGCAATACACACGTAACTTCGTTTCTGCTCATTAGAAATCTTTTTACCTAATTTCCTCCACTACACCGATTAGTGTAATACCGCCCATCCTGTATTTACACCCTTTAATTTCACTGTCATCTGTTTTGGGGCTCTTGGGCATTTGTTCTTGTTTCTACTTCTCCACTCTACTTTACAGTGCTCTGAGTAACCTTGACAATCTATTTCATTTTATCACATATAATTTCACACATAATTTTTGTTATCATGATTTGCATAATACCCTCGTAGACTCTACCCTTAGGAGCAACAGTTGTAGTTTACATGCATACTTATGTAGGGTAGGATTTCTTCTTTTGGTTCTTCCTTTCTTTGTCTCTCCCATTAAATAGCAGAGTAATTCTTGTGTATAATTGAGCAGTCAATGGTCCAGACCACAGACACCTCCTTTCTTCTGAGGAGTAAGTAGGACAGTAATGCGGCCGTAAATGTCACTCTGTAATGAGAAATCGTGTTCAGAAGCGGATTTGGATAAGTTCTATTGTGCATCTACAGGAAGGATTGATGGCCAGAAGTGGGCCTATGGTATTATGCTTGCATGTGTTTACTGAAAGATTGGAAAATTGGAAAGTAGGGGGGAGGGTATGAAATTAATTATGTGTAGACAAAGTAAAAAAAATAACAGATCCTTCTAAAATGAAAGCAAGGTCCAATGAAAAGGCGTACACAGAGCAACAACAGTGTTGTTGTTGTCACGTAGCTATCGCGGCCGGGGCGTACTCCCTTCTTCCACAAACGCATCGTCGACGGAAGCGTATTCCGGTAATGGGGAGCTGATTTCGCTGCTTCGATACACTGGGGCAGGAGCAGATGCTGCTGTTCTTTCAACTTGTGTCTGTTGCAAACGTGCAATTGCTGCCCACATACTGTCTATTCGTTGCATAAGCACAGTGATTTGTGATGATTCTGCTGATTGGACGTCTGTGGAAATATGGATGCGTGCTGCTGATTGTGGTGCATTGACTGCAGTATCAGTGTAAGGAGGGCTCGGGCCTTGCTCTGTAGGTAGATTAGGCAAGGATTGCTGAGCATTTGGACCTGCTCTGTTTGTATTGCCCTGGTTGGTGTTTGAGATGGTTATTGGTATAGTATGCGGTACGTCTGGTAGATTAGGAGCAGGGGATACTGCTACTGGTACGATTGGGTGTCCTTACAGTATTGAAAGCATGTCAGCATGGCAAAACCGGATTACAATACAAATAGAAGCAGTGTTTTACTCACTAATCATAGATTCATATCCTGGCAACGACTCACTTGGTGGTGAAGCTGCAGCATTAAAATATAAGGGTAGCTCTGGACTGGTGATCAGACGTCACAGCTTTGTAGAGTAAACACAACTCCTACCATTACTGACGGGAGGAGCATTCTCTCTTGCTCTTCTCTCGCAACGAATCCTTTCAATATATTCTTCGCCGATATCACTCCGCTGACTCGAGGAACTGCGGCGCCATGTGTCGACAGTCGTATCTGATCCAAGGCTAGAAGAGCGAGGCCGTCGAGACCGTTTACCATGCTTGCGACGTTTACCGGCAAATATGGGGATTGAACAAATTGAAACAAAGAAAACGATGGCTACTGCAGCTACGACAAAGTAGATAGTTGTATCTGAAGCCATTTATTACTGAGCGTACCCTGCAGTAACTGAAGCTCCAAGACAGCGGGAAAGAAATGCGTGCTGGCACAGAAAAGGGAGATGGGAAAGGGCGCCAGTGTTGGTGCAGTACAGTGTTATACTGTCGGCTAATTGCATCTTTGTCCCGGAGAATATTAGGCAACACCACCATCCCGTATCTTGATAGATGAGTTCCTCGCTACTGTATTCCTGGCGCTGCAAACGTGCGTGCATGATAAGCGTAACTTGGCATCAGTAGCCTTGCCAGTACACCCTGTGGCGAGTGGAATCACCTCATCGGATCAATTGCATTGTGGCCTGGTAATACAAAGGGTCGGAGACATATGTATGCACGGGATTTCACTAACGAAGTCAGAACACCGGCAGTGCATTGTATCTGTGTGCTGTGTATATCACAACCTTGTATAAGAGCCAGTTGGAGGGTCAATTGAGAGTAATGAACAAAGCTCCTAGAGTTGAGTTACATTTGTGAAATACTAATCATCTGCTATAAATGTCAGTGAATCCGGGAAATAATTTCAAACGAGACACTGCCTACCGGACTCGTTGATGTCCATTGGTCCTCGAAATACCAATATCCTGAGAAAGTTTGGGTCGATCAGATGCCGCTTTATACCCGCACCGGACAACAGGAGCACAAAACGCGCACGAACCAAATGTTAAGCAAAGGCTTTCCTCCTTGGTTGTGAGCTTATTCCACTTCTGTTCTGCTTGACGAGTGTCTGCAAGTGGGTCAAGTAAACACAAGACAACGCGTCAAGCACGTGCGCAACGCTTGACCTGCTATTTTTAGTTAGCCCAAAGCCGCTCTCGGCGCATACACCGACACTCACCCTAAGTACCCTGACCTGCGCAAACAAAGCCTTTTTCTCCAACCAGCATCGCTGGCATGCATCCGGTGCGACATACACGCTCGTCGGCTGCGTCCTCTGCGGCATCTGCAGCATCACTGGCCTGCACACCACGAAGTGGAACACCAACACCAGTAGTACATCCACCAGTCGCGACACGGGGCATAAAGCGAGTCACTTTAACGAGCAAAAGCAACTGGTGGATGGTTGAGATGGATGAGGAAGAAGATTCAAGGGATAGAAATGCAACGACACATACATTCTCGTCTGAGGAGACGGCTGTGGTACACGACACGCATCCTGTTATTTCGCAACCTTTTGCAGACGTGGATCCGGGAAGTCGCTCGCAGTCTCCGTGAGTCGCCATTTTCTTTACTCTTTGTGTGACATCTTTGTAATGGAAGGCCTGACATAACAGTATTTGAAGATCCCCAGAAACTTCACCGCACGTCTTCCATCCGCCAGACCGGCATCCATCTGTTATATTCTCGTTTCCAACACCAACAGCTTACGCTGCCGCACACAACCCAACGGCATACCTTACTCCCTTCGCAACAGGCTCCACTTCGGAGCTTTTCAAGTGCATTGTCAAAAAACCTGAAGTCGTGCAGCTAGAATTGAACGGCGAGCTTCAGTCTAACGCTTCGGATGTAACCACGCAGTTTCTTGCCGAGCTGCGTGTATATACCACTATTGGACGACATCGAAACATCGTTGGCTTTTTAGGATGCTTAGAAGGGGTAGGAATGGTTCTAGAGTTTGTTGACGGGCGGACACTCCTTGATGTTGTGCGAGAGCGTCCAGAGCTCACGCGCGAACGCAAGATCGACTTCCACAATCAACTGCTAGACGGACTCTCGCATTTACATGCACATGGGCTCAGTCACGGCGACCTCTCGCTGCTCAATGTATACGTTACCAAGACCGATACAATCAAAATCTTAGACTTTGGCAGATCTGTGTCCGCGGACTCAGCGTTCGCCGCACCAGATGCGGCACCAGCAGACCCATTTGCGTTCCTAGCTCGGACGAAAACTTCAGGCAGGTTATATGCGCATCCTCTACACGCAAAGCGTCGAAAAATTGAGCAAATTCACCGTGGGACACGTCCATTCACGGCACCGGAAATTATACGAGGAGAATGCACCGATGCGCGACTGGCAGATGCGTACAGCTTCGGTGTCATCCTTGTTTGCCTTGACCTCTGTGTACTCGTAGATTGTGATCCTGAAATCCAGGTTCGTGACGAGATTCCACCGCATTTCTTGGATGGGTGTCAGCTATTCCGTGATCGAATCGTATGGTATTTACAGCGCGCTGATCGGCGGAGACGCCTCTCGACCGACGATTTCATCGCAGTGAAGCGATGGTGGGACGAAGAAGACTGAATCATCTACTTTCACGTTTATTTTCTCCCATGGTTACGTGCCCTACCATGCCGAACGACGGGCATGTGTTTTCTTTTCAAGTTATTGACTTTTGTAGTATACCCGTTCCCATGCATACTGTCTCAACATCTTTTCTCTCAGGCCACCCATTCACTCCAAAGGAACTCCTCGTTCTATATCACCACTTTGCCCTTCCACTTCCAATCGCACGCACACCTTAAAGCCTATCCCGTACTACCTCCGTTCTTCCCTTTGAAGTTGATGGCCTTTGTATACTCTCCTTCATGTAGTTGAACTCCAAGCTGTATTATTATTCAAATTCAAAGAAGCAATCATCATGCACCTCATCAGGTCATTTTATTAAGACGTATACGTTGTCGCCATAACTACCTCGAAGCGTTCGAAAATAATAATTATAAAATTTTCCAAGGGGAAGAATACACCCTACATCAGATAACCATGGCGAGAAATATCCAAAGAAACAGACATTGTCCGAGCCAATTTTGCCTCGCCTCACCCCCCTCATCTACCGTAACGATGGGGTATGTTTCTAAAACGAGGTAACAAACAATCGACTAAACAGAAATTTAGAGGAGCATGGCGCCGAAGAATGCGAGGACGGCAGCACCAGCACCCTCGAGGCCGGCGAAAGGCATCGCAGCGGACGAGCTCTGGGTCGGTGCAGCACTGCCAGTGCTGGATCCGGATCCGCTAGAGCCGCCGGAGCCAGAAGCAGCCGGGGCAGTTCCACTAACGACAGCGGCGCTGACGGGGGAAGCAGTTGCGGCAGCACCACTACCGCTGAGGTTGACGCTTTGGCTCGGCTGATGAAAGGGCGATGAAAATCAGTACACGAGGATCAAGGAACCAGGAGGCATGTGTTCATTACCGTGTCAGTGGCAGAAGCCGCGTTGGCAGAGAAGGAGTTGAAAGCATCCTGCTGGGAATTGACAGCGCCAACCATACCCTTTTCACAGTGGACTAAAGGAGTAGATTGTGCGCAGAAGTACCAGATCGCTAAGAAAGAATACTGATAAGTAAGGAACTTCAGGACGGGTAAAAGCTCCATGAATACTTACGCTTTGAGGCGTCGGAGATGGTGAGGTTCCAGACTTCACCAGCAGCAGTGGAAAAGCCACTGCTGAAACCACCCTGGAGAGCTGTGCAAGGTTGGGCAAGAGTCGACTGCGTCACAGAGTGATTGCTACAAGTACCATCACATGAGATTCAGCCAATGGATGCTAAATGCTAGTCCATTCACGATGACTTACGGGCCGTCGAAGACAAACTGGATGACGTCGCCGTTCTGGACATTGTCAACGTTGGCCGGACTGAAGTTCAATTGCCCGCCCTGTGCGACGTTAACGGTGAAAACGTTTTCTGCCACAGCGAAGACTGGGAGGAGGGCAGCAGCGAGAGCGACGGAAAGCATTTTGTTTAGGAGGGTGAATAAACGATTAGACTAGAGGGTATTCGTGAGGTAGAGTGGGGTGTCCTTTTGCACTGAAAGACGGTTGGATACCAGGTCTAGTCGGCTTAAGTACGGCCAGGGCTTTTCGGGGATGCCCCGGTAAAACGGACAGCAGACGCGCGCAGTGAGAAAATGCCTCGCCTCAGCCATCGGGCAACCAATCGCCAACGGGTGCTTTCTTGACCGCATCGTTTGAAATGATTTGATCTAAAAGAAAATGGAGCGCAGGCGGTGCAACCTTCTCGAGCGCCCGTGTGAATGCGACGGATGGTATCCACACGTTTATAAAAGTCATATCTGCAGTGTAATGCGCAGTCGACGACGCGCACCCGATTTGGTGTAGCTCTGCACCATTTGGAGCGGATTGTGCGGGTATCATGACTACAGTGCATCATTAAAGACGAAATTGTGCATTCCGGCCATCAACATCAAAGCCATGGCGCAGAACACAGCAGGGACTAGTGTGACGAAGAATGAGACAAATCTGCGAGTCACAACCTAGCGAGAACAAACGTTTCTTCCGCGTCGGAATCAAAAACGTCTATTCGGCTAGTTTCCAGCGAAGGCGTTGAACATTTTCTTGATGTTTGATTTGTGATGAGAAGAACAAGGCCGTCCCAGTCGTGGGACACGTCCAAAGGAAACACGCACGGATTCGCGTCGCACGTCCTGAGCTTGACCGGAAGAGGATTTTCAAACGATCGGCGGATTACTCCATGCGAATAGCGGACTTCCGAAAAGTCACTCCGCAGCAAAAAGTTTTTCGTTTTTCTCACTCGGTGGACAATCCAATTCGGCGCGTACGATTTGTGACGTCGGTCCGACATGGACGCGAACGCGAGGCCGGTACACCTACAATGAGTTTAATAAGAGAGTTATCATCAGCATATTAGCATCATGAGTAATCACAGGAAGAAGCTCCCAAATAATTTGTTCAAGTCGTCAACGCGGTTTATGCGCTCCTTCCATTTCCTTTCTTTTCATGACGACCCGACATGCTAGGTCAATAAACCTAAACAGATACACGACGCACAGGCTGTTAACGAAGTATCCTCTTTTAGATATTGTATACCGATATTTGATTTGATTTCATAGCGAGGCTTCAATTCATCATGCTTTGTTCGCTAAGCCGCCGCCATTTAAGAAGATCAAGGGAGGTATCCTAACTCAAAATATGAATGAGCGTTGCCGGGCTTTGCTTAGAAGAATGGCACATGCCTAACAGACCTGGTTGATATACCAAGATGGGGCCTTTCCCAAAACTATAGCGGCTTCACAGGTATAGAAAGGCAAAATTCTTAAAAGGATAGAATCCAGCACAGGACGCATCCATAAGTGATATCCCAGCTACTTTCGTGTTCCGATCCAGGATGGTCATAGTTGAGGCGTTGCACAAAGTAAAGTCAACAACAAAGATATCACGTTGCCAATGTCCCTGCCCAAGGTCGGGTGGCAAATCCAAGTACTTGGAAGCTCAGTCGTCATATTTTTTAAATGCCGGACCTGAGACGCAACAGCGCTCAAGATGGGTCCGGTATATCTCAATCGAAAGTTCCTGATACTGTCCAACATAAACAAGGGCTGCCCAGAACAAACGATGGATAGATGCTTTCCTTGTACCCGTCCGCTTGATTGTGGCCCGTATCAGCGACATCATTCTTGTTAGCAACGAGTTCCCATCAAACTATCACTCGCTGATTGAGTTATGGCGCTTACCTCGGATTGTCTAAAGCAGACGGTCCTGCGGTACCGCTAGACAACTGCCAGGAAAAGACATCAAGATGAAAAATATTTTAAGCAACAAAGGACATAGACAAGAAAGATGGACTCTTGCATAGAGATGGGGTTGATGCATTCTGTACAAGCGGTTGCATAGAGTTGATTCAAGTAGCTTTGCGCTGAGTTTCATGCCTGTTGCAAATACGGCTTTGTCCACTCTAATATAGTAACTGATGCAGAACGTATCAAGAACCAAGGTGGCTTGGCTGTGGAAGGCATCTTTACTGGGCTCGTTGGTGTCCAACCTCTGTGATCGGAGACTCTGGCTGCATGCGCAACATCGCAGGTGAGTTGCGCATCGCAATTTATTCTCAGTTCCCAAAGCACGCATTCAACAAGATGTCCGTGTTCATAACAAGAGCACGACAACAGAAATTCCGCAGGAAAAGGTTTGCAGTAGAGACAGCGAGTGAAGGTTTGCACAGCGAGTGACACAGGAGTAAGGCCTTCGCTTTGGGAACTCAGAAGCAATTTTTAGCAAGGTATGAGTCACGTGCTAATTTGAGGCGTTGCGGAGCCGGAGTGAACTTTGTGGATGGCTCTTGCACACATGCGTCTGCGTGTCTCTTCACTGTGTGCCAGCAACTTCTGTCACGAACTTTTGAAGCAAGTCGTAGAACATCTCAGAGCGATCAGAATAAGAAAGCATGTCTCCTAGGGGGAACGGTGGAGGACGAAGTCGTGGACGCAGCCGCGGTTCGTCACCGTTCAGAGGGCGGCCTGGAGGACAAGGGCAATACCCTTACAGGGGCAGAGGCGGAAGGGGAGGGCAGCCTGTGTACAGAAATCTGGATGTGATCGATGTGGATATACAGCAGTACTCAGACGGTGCGTATGAGCCCAGCTCTAGCGCTGCATAGTTTCGCAATCTATGCGAACGAGACTGAGTTACTCATAGATATTCCTACATCTGGCACAATCTCGCCTGCACCCAGCTTTCGAGGTCGCGGTCGTGGAAACTACAATGGACGCGGCCGTGGACGTGGGTATCGAGGCGGTACAAGCACTCCATTGAATTTGAAGGTTTACGCGGGTGGGTACCGCACGCCGCCGCCACCGCGACGTGAAGATTGGTCTGGGACTGTTACACCTACCGGCCGTGGCGCTGGTAGGGGGCCATCGCGAGGCCTCGGCGCAAGGTATAATCCAAACTTGCCACTCTCTAAACTGCTAGCATTAGATCGACCGTATCTAAGACCAATCAACTTTGTACCTGCGCAGCTGACTCCAGTGCTCTTTCAACACGAGGAGGAATTAATTGAAGTTCATGAGTTTCATGGTGCGCAGCAGAAACCCCTGTCCTTTCATCCACTTATGTTCTTCATTTGACTTATTTCATTATAAATATATAGAACCCGAGGACCATGTACCTACTGCTCAGCAAGTCACGCGAGTGTTCAGTCACAAAGAACAGCCGCCTCAACAAGATGCGTTCTTCCAGAACACAGAAGTTGATCTGTTTGCTGAAGTGGATGAGGCACCTATTATGACTGTGGACTTCAATTCTCTTGGAAAACTTATGGATGACGTCTCGGCTTCTCAAGAAACACCCGTTCTTCAGGCTCAATCCGCTATCCCAGCTGAATCGCCAGCTGTGGGATTTGGACAAGGCGAAAGTATATTTGACTCCATAAAGGAAGCCCTATCTATCAAGCCGGGAGACACTATGGACATGCATTCCTACGACGTGCAAACCTTTGAAGCAGATGAAACCGGAGTGGATCCATCCTCTCAGATTACAGAGGGTCTATCAGTTTCTGCAACTGAGGATACTATCATAAGAATCGAGGACACGGTAGAGGAGGAAGCAGTGCAAAGTCCCAAACAACCCTTGTTCGTCGTGGATGCAAACCCGTCAGGCCCTTCGCAATCTCAGGGAAAGATAGTTTATACGCCATCTTCAAGTCGTTCACAGCCTCTCGGAAGTCAGCTTCCCGAAGATGACGAGATTATTGTCTACGATGCACCCCACCCACGTTCCGGACCAGCAACTCCTAGCGTCACCACGACCGCGGAAGTTCTGAGGAATACGAAAGACTCGAAAAGGATGCCAGCGCAGCGCCATACGGATTCGTCCAATGCTCGGGATATACGTGGCCCACAACCGTCATCGTCCGCAGATCCTCAGTCATCGAAGAAAGCAGCATCGTCGAGCATGCCATTCGCGGGCATGTCGTTCTCCTTTGACGCTCTCTCCAAAGCCGCGGAGATCAACCGACAACAGTCAGCCTCACCTCGTGCACGCCGTCTCACGAAGCGTGATCGTCAAACACGAGTTGTACTGCGAAATGGAAAGAATGGAAAGAAGAAGCGCACTTCATTCACGAGTTTTGGAGCTATGCTTGAGGAAATGCACCTTCATGAAGATGAGTTTGGTGGGAGTAGTAAGCGAGGAAGACGAGAAGGCTCAGATATTGACTGGGGAAGTGGTCATTCTGGTTCTGAAGCACCTGGACGTGCCGTACGTGATGATCCTGAGATCGATCGTGTCTCAAGTGGGCTTGAAGGTATGGATATCGATGGCGACCTTGACATGAAAGCCATGCAGAGCTTTGTCGGGAGCATGAGCAAAACAGGGATGGAATATACGACTATTGACGACATCGAGGACGCAGAAAAGTTGCGACTCGAGGATGAAGAGGACGAAGACTCGTCTAGTGGAAGTGAAGAACAGGATAGTGAAATTGAAGCAATTCTCCGAGCTGAAGAGGAAGGGCTTGTGGGTGATGAGGATAATATGGAAGACTTTGATTCAGAATCTGACGAAGACGACGAAGACGACGATTCGTCTGATGATGATGAATCGGCCATGCAGAGATTCCAAACACGCTTGTCGAAAGCAAGGCAAAGCGCTAAAGCCAAAGGGAAGATGAAGGAAACTGCCTTTTCTGCAGCTGAAGGCTCTTCGAGTGGTCTCTTTGGCGCACGTATGTCGAAATTGCGAGATCGAAACAAGCCTCAGACTGAGGAGGATGAGGAGGACGAAGATGAGGACGAAGACTTTGACGAGAATTTCACTTGGGCTGAGGCGGATGATGATTATATCAATGATATTCAGGTGAGATTCAACGCTGCATTTTGGGTGCACAAATTGATTTGTGTTCATGCTTCACCAATTTAGGACTTGTTAGATGACAATGATGATATCCTCCACTCCGATAGGAAACAACGAAAAGCTTTGTTCAAGTCAGTTCTCAATGGCGACTTCAGCGTCGCTCCCGCAAAGAAGAGTACGTTCAGATTTACTCATTCCACTGCTCAACTCAATTCACTAACATATCTAATCCACAGAACGTGACTATGGTAAAGACCTCCCACCCGAGCTCCGCGTCCTCTGGGAGAAAGACCGCGCCAAGAAAGCAGAGAACAAACGTAAACGCGCAGCAGCGCGTCTCGAAGCCGCCATGGATCCCTTCGCAAAACACAAAGGCGGCAAGAAAGGCAGGAAAGCTCTACTCAAAGCAAGTCGACTCGCTGCAGAGGCACGAGACGAGACTCCGTCAAATGCAAGCCCGGATATTACCGTCATCGTACAACAAATACGGAGCTATATTGATAATATCAGCCTTACGAGTCCAATGGCGTTGCCACCGATGGATAGGGAGTCGAGAGCGATGATACATGAGATTGCGGCTGCTTTTGGGTTGAAGAGTCAGAGTAAAGGGAAGGGCGAAACGCGATATACGACGCTCATCAAGACTTCGCGGTCTGGTGTCGGTGTCAAAGAACGTAAGATTGAGCGTATCCTGCGTAGTGGCGGTAACTGGGGCTTCACGCGACCAGGCAACCCCGGTGGTGGTAACGGAGGTAAGAGGGGCGGCGCACCGAAACACAAAGAGGGCGATGAAGTTGGGAAGGCGGCGCCAAGGATTGGTGAGAATAACGTTGGTTTCCGAATGTTGGCTGGTATGGGTTGGTCGGAGGGAGAGAAGATTGGAATATCTGGTGGTCTTGATGCACCGATTACAGCTATAATCAAGCACTCGAAGCTTGGTTTAGGTGCGACACGTTGATAGATGATCGTTGTGTGATTTTGAAAGAAAGGGAGGAATACCGATGAAATGTTCTGAATCTTACACTGTACCAAAAATTCCTTCGTTGAAATCAGACTGGTCCGCTTCTGAAGCCGGATAGTACCCAGTTCACTCTTCGGCACTTGTTCGTAAGACGGACAAAAAGTGCTAACATTTAGTTCAAATTGTGATAAACAGTGTTGTACGCGACAAAAGAATTAACCCGACGATGAATACATGCTAGTTACGGGTGGCCGAAATTCGAATGAAATAATAGTGACAAGGTATAGTGCTGAACGAGGGGGAAAAGGACGTCCGTGTCAATAGCTTAAATGCTCACAAAGCGTCCTCTGCATCCCATCTTGAAATTTTGCCTAATCACACAGAGTAAATCAAATAGGTCGAGTGACGTAGTGAATTTAAGGAACGAACCTAGAGGTTTATAAAAGTATTGTTTGTGCTTCTTGGTCTCATTACGCTTTTTGGGCATCATTTCTCGTAGGAGAGTCGCGCGATCCTGGTCCGGGTCGTTCTCAGGAATGTAGAACCACTGAGCTTCAAGAGGCTTATCGTGTGCATCCTATGTTCGTTATCATTAAATTGGGATGTCTTGTGGATATGCAATTGCATGATAGCACTTACCAAGCCCAGACGATCGACTCGACCGAAAACGTTATGTGATCCAAGAACGACTGAAATTATGTTGAGCCAACCTTCCCTGCTCCGTTGATTGGTTAAATGGGGATTTTCCCGCAAAACATCCCGCAGCAACGACGATGCAGGCATGGAAGATGCACGAGACAGGGCCATCGCTTGAATTAAACATCCGCACATCTCGGCCTTTGCGGCTGAGTCGTCTTTCTCATCAGATACCGCAAGGGACGCGGCAGCAGGGCTTGCCTCCCGCGGTGATATGGGAGCGTATTGAGCTGGCAAAGTGGAAGGCGTATGCAATAACGAGGAAGGCCACGTCAGGTCTGTCAGCACGGGCTCTGCGTCGCACCGAGATGCATTGAAATCTTCAGTAGTCTTCTTGCTTCTTTTCGTCCGCGGTTTGGAAATATCTGAACACGATGTTGAAGGCGTCGGCGACGAAGAGCGAGACGCCATTGTACTTCTACTCCGAGAACGTTTCTTTCCGCACGTTCTCAAATCCACCTCGTCAATAGCCTCAGCCTTAATATCTGACACAGTCCGGACACGTCTGGCCTTTTTGAACTTTCTAGTGGGCTGGCCATTCTTACGCTTCACTTCCCCGGCGTGTCGATCAACAGAGCCAAAGCGGTGGTTCGACGGTCCGGCAACCGGTGAAAGCGTGTCCAGACTACTACTTCCTTCGGTACACGGCGTGTTCTCCGGAGATTCGAGAGGTCTCGTGAGGTCGATTTCATCCGTCTTCGGGGATGGAGGTTCAGATAGGGGTTCGCTAAAATTAGCAATCTCACAACCAGACAGAGCAGGAGAAGATATTGGTGTCAAGGGTGCTGAGAATATTAGGTCAATGGTTGCATCCATGTCTTGAACCTGTTCAGTAACATTCGACCACCCTTCTTCCACTTTTGATGAAAGAATTATATCTGTCGTCGGGAGTCCAGTGTTGCCGCCTGCGATGCGGTCGGAAGATGCATTGATGACTTCAGAAGTACCATACAATATTGCGGAACCCTCCGACACCACAGCGACAGCAACCTGTTCTTCAATTATGTCGGCAGGAGTGTCATTGACAAGTTTCAAATCTCCAGTTGAATCTATTCCGCCAACCGAACAGGTGTCCTATTTCCATTTGCAAGAAGCGACGATCAGACATGACGTCGAGAGTGAGGCACTGACATACGTACGTGTGGTTCAAGTTTGACAAGATTAGATGGTATGATATCTTGAGGGCATTCATGCGACACATGGCAGACTTGGCTCTCGGGCAGGGCAGAGGTCGAAATTGTCAGTTCCTCCTTTATTTGGGGAGAATCCTCCGGAGGTAAAGACAATGCGCGGATTTCATCCTGTAACGAATCAGGACACGGTGCAGGCAAAGAATTGCTTGCGATATCCACGGCCTTTGACTCAACCGACGTAACGCGTACTTGTCGGCGAAGATCGAGGAGTACCGCAGCGACATCGATTTCCCCATCCAGACCTCTTTCAGTGTTCCTTGCATCGATGGTATCGTCTCGGTGGACAAAGGCTGCTTCTGACCCACCAAGGGTCGTATCATTCTTGACGTTCACAATCGTTACACCAATTGGTCTACTGCATTCAACTGTCGCATCGTCATCCATGTGAAGTGGGTAGTCCTCTGAATATTCAGAAGGGTCGACATCCGAGATGAGACCTGGCGCACTCGCGCTGGAGCTTCTGCGCTGAGCCTTGAATTGTTCGCGGCCAAAATCAGGAGTATGTAGAACGGATCGATCTTTGTATGGGAGGTCTGGACCGTAGTTGAAAGCCACGTCCCAGAATCCTCTTCGGCTGTCCGACCTCGATGACTTTGGGCTTGATGCGACTAACGGCTCAATGGCGGGCGACGAAGGAGGCTCGGGAGTATATAAGGCACGAACTGGGCTGCTAGGGGCAACTGAGGAAGATGAAGAGTAGTGCAAGGTAGGGGAATAGAGCGTTGAGCATTCCGAACTAAACCTGCATGAGTTGACCGGTGACATTGAGGAGTCAAGATCGGTGCTGAAGGCGAGGAAGTCTGGGATACCCTTGCGACGGTACTTGAGTGGAAGCTGCGGGGTACCTACCATCGACGACGAGCGGGCACAGACGGGGCGGCACAGAAGCAGGGAGAAATAAGATGGTGGTATGCGTTCAAGGAAGGGGAGGTAGACAGATACCGCGTTCAGTGAACCAGCGTCACGTAGACCGGGTCACGTCCAAACAAGAGCACGTGAACGCAGCACCACCTGCCTCCACGCGTCATTGCGTTATTTTTAGACCGTCGTTGAGGAGAGTTTCGATTGGCAACAGAGCAAAGACGACGCGCAGCCAACGACGTCGCGGGGAAAGGTGCAGAAATTTAGAGTTACAGTCTCTGCCATCAAGCACGATACTGGACAAGCCGATGTATGTTTGCATGAATTGTCGATGCTGAATCTGAATGCTGACCTACAGAGAATAGGCGAAAACAGTGTAAGAGTTAAACCTTGGAAGATAAGTAAGAGTTCAACAGCATGAAGACGTACTCAGGCCCTAATCACACCTCTGTGCCAATTGAGACTTCATGGAATGATCTCATCGTACTGCGTACCGGGCAGGGCAGCAGTGGAGCGATCACGGAGCACATTTCCTTGATTGAGTAGAAAATAAGTATGATGTAACAGATGAGTCGAGTCGAGTCGCTGGTGGATCGTCAGCATCGTTGCAGACAGCGTTGAGACTGTTTTTTTGAAAAGAACGTGAATGCATACCTTCGACTCAGTGAATTAGAGGGTAGCAACGGTGGGATTCCGTAGTTGCCGGAAGATGAGAGCATCGTCGCAGCTCTGGTCAAGATGCAGTAGTCTTTTAACTGCACAGACAGTGCCATTGTGGGGAGATCGTATGACGGTGCAAATGATTGCGAATGGGAGGACGGTGACAGGAAGAGATGGAAGGCGAAGTGAGAGAATAATGAATGGTGTCTTCTGCACCGATTTGGAGAGTGCACGACGATCGTCCAGTAGCGGTCAACATCCGCTCTTTTGTACCGCGCGCTGAGCTCCCAGGAGACCCTCGCCCACGACATCAACAACACGGAGTTAGGGCTCTGCTTGACATATCCGGTCTAGCATGAACGACCAAGACAAGCCGCCCATTAAGCGCAAGGTGCGTTGTTTAACCGCTTGCTCGCACAGATCTCCCTCATTATCATCCTGACTTGCTCCTATCTCCCAGCGAGTGACTAAGGCATGCCTCGTATGTGCTAAGTCAAGGCGCAAAGTTCGTCGCCTCGTGAACCTGCCAATACATTTGTGCTCATGACCTTCCGTAGTGTGATGGGCAACAGCCTCTTTGCGGCACCTGCAAAGGTCAAAACCTCCAGTGCACTTGGTCCGATGGTGCGTTCCCACAGCCTATATCTCTCCCATCCTCAGAGTCAAATTCTCCCCTATGCTCAAAGTGCCCTCAAGGCGAGGCCCTCCCAAGGGCTATCGACGCGGCAGCGCCGACCCTTCGTCGCTAGGCCCAAAGATCTTAAAAATACGTGAACATATCCAGGCACTCCAGCTGGCATATGGCGAGCGTATCGTGCTCGACGAGCTGCACAAGGCAATTTTTGGAGACGGCCCGTGTGACGTGAGAATTGAAGCAGAGTCAGCAAGTGCAAGTGCTCCACCAGAGTCACGCTCCTCAACGATTGTTACTTCGTCAACCAGGAGGCCTATTGGTTCGAGCGCTTCCGACACCAGTGGACATGCCACTGCGAAGAACCGGAGCGATTGGAGTCAAGACGAGCATGAAGGTGATCTGCGTCGGTGTTTCCTTCCCTCGTTATTTTTACCGAGCATTTGTCCTCTGCTAGATCATGCGCACTCAGACATGGATGAAGGTTCATCTTCGGGCATGGCATTCCTTGCGACGTCTATGCGTTATATGCATACCGGAGGAGGCCCTCTTACTCCCGTATCCGACAACGAGCGCATTTCGATGGAGAAATACAGCCCTTGGGCCCTGCGTGACCACGTAGAGCGCCATCCTCTTGTTCGTCGCAAGTCAACTGCAACGACCTATATCCCTCAACCTTCGCCCGAGGACATCGAGATCCTGCTGAAGACGTATTGGGCATCCATACATCCTGTCAGTAGTCGCTGTTTTATTTCTGGCTTCGTATCTGACAAGCGCATACACCCAGCACTGGCCCATCCTGTACAAGCCCGCGTTTGATGCTGTCTCCATTTTCAAGATTTACGAGGAGGTCCCGCTGGCACTCCTATATGCCATGTACGCGCTGTCGGCCCGCCTTACTCCGACGCCAGCGCTTGGTGTTCCAATTGCGGAAACGTTCCGCAAAGTGGCTGAGGATGAGCTACAAAGCGATGGGGCATTCCGCTCGGACAGTTAGTCAACGTCACCTCATACAAAAACGTGTGCTAACCGTCGTTCACCTAGTCAACACGTGCACAGCACTTTTCCTCCTAAGTCTGTACAATCACGGCGAAGGAAACCAAAGACAAGCATGGGTACATTGCGGTATGAATTTCCAATTCATGAACAGTATTGAGTAAGACGGACTTACCGTATTGATACAGGTGTCGCGGCGATGATGGCACTTGACCTTGGTTTGCACAAATCGGCGCAAGGTTTGCCTTTAGTCGAACATGAACGCCGCGTCCGTGTGTTCTGGAATATATATGTTTACGAGAAGTAAGGTACGCAGTACGCCTCCGCGTTACGGCCGTTAACTCCGCTTTTCGTAGGGTCCTGTCGTGTGAGATGGGCCGGCCAGCGTTAATTCGGATGATCCATTGCGATCCCGTGCGACTCTCGGAGGAGCAGTCAGACGAATATGAAACGGTCGTGCACCCTGGAACCTCTCGCTTTGGGCTTACTGTCCGGTTATACGTTAGTTGTTCATTATATACATTGTTCACATGTGGACTGATCACCTTGTAAAGACAATATCAATCTTCAACGCGGCAGTTGATTTATTCCGTATATTCGAGCGCGTACTCAGTGAAGTTCACTCGGCGGCGTCGCCCCCAGCTCGTGCAACGCGGGAACGCCTCGTTGCGGAGCTTGACCGGGAGCTTGAGGAGTGGCAGAAATCGCTTGGCCCGCGTTGTAAATATCCAAAGTCGGACGACCAAACTCCGACGAGGTCGTTGTACCTGTGTCATGGCGTACGTTAGATCTATTATCTCTATTCTAGTTCAATGTGGGGTGTTAACGACGACCTTTAGTGGTACCACACCGCTATAATCCTTGTTCATCGACCCCTCATTCCTCGTCCACGTGTTGGCCAAACATTCGCCAGCAATTACCATCACAAGAAGGCTACGGAACATGCAAACCGGTTAGTAGATCTTCTCGCACTCTTCGCTGCGGGACAGGAAATCGACAAGGTAGGTTGCGCCTTTTTGAGTGCCTTCTTAACCAACCCGGCCTCTCGCAGTTTTTCTGAAACGCTTCTAATCTTGGTTAATGTCGTTTATCCGTAGCTTCCGCCAAACGACGCATACCTCATCTTCACAGCCGCGACGCTCCATGTGTTCAATCTGACGCTCAATGATAAACAGCTACGCGAAGCAGCTCGTCCAAGGTTAGAACAATGTGTTGAATGGTTGCGGGTAAACACAATTTTTTCTCATCAACTCGATCAAGCGATGTTGGAGAAGTCTAATATGTATTGCCTCAGGGACTTGCCGAAACATGGTCCTTTTCGTCGCAGTATAAGCTTCTTCTTGATGCCTGTATGCATTTATCTTTTCCCGGATTAATTCGATGGGATCTCTTATTGATGATTTTCTGCAGTCTCGCAGGCAGCCTCGAACACCTTGAACCATAGTCAGTCGATGTCGCCTACAAGTTCGACACCAGTACAATCGCATCAGACTACACACCCTCAGCCGCAAAATGTCCATAATGTCGCGTACCCGGCTCCGTCCAGTGGTGTTCCGTATCCACTGCCTCAGAACGCCGAAGGCAGCATGTCGCAGCAACAACAGATGCAACAGCACCAACAGGTACAACCACCGATGTACGCGGCGGAGTCGGAACAGAAATTCACCACCCCGGAATTATTCTCACTCGAGAACTATTACTGGAACGACTTCCAGACAGGCGTCAACCCGACGCAACAGATGCAACAATACTACGCTCAATCGCAGAACAGCGAGGTGCCTACCCACGCTCAGGGCACAGCGGGCCAAGTTAGCGGTGTATACTACGATGTTCTTCGTCTTCTCCAAGAGGAAGGCAGAACGTCATAATTCTCTTTACATCTTCTTGTAGCAACTTCTCGCTTTCGTTTTGATACATCGTTCTCTTTTCTTGTACGCTAGACTACATATCTGCCTGTGCCTCTTCTTGCTCTGATATCGTACGATTTCCGGCTCCTGTATTCTTCTTGCAATCGTGTTTTCTGCGTAGGGCAAAATTTATAACCGTGCTTTCTTGTGACCCTCGAAATCTTTGAATTTGGATCGATCCCGACGCGACCACGCTTCCTGAAGCTTGAATACCTCCAACTTCCCGGTGCCAGTCCGTGGCAAGGCGTCACAGAAGCCAATGTATCTAGGAACTTGGAATTTTGCCAAAGAATTGACAGCGAAAGCGTGTACCGCTTCTTCTGTCAAGTCGCCGCCTGGCCTCTTAACGATGGACACGACAAGATCCTCTTCTGTGAGTTCAGGAGCGGGGACTCCGTACGCTGCACATTCGAGGATGTCTGGGTGGAGAAGGAGGGCTTCCTCGACTTCAAATGCTTACAGGCCGAAGGTAAGGTCATTGCGCCGGTAGCTTATTTGTCTACCGTCCAACTCACCTGAGATGTTCTCCCCCCTCCTCCTGATAACTTGTTTCTTCCGTCCAACAAAGTATAGATTCCCCTCATGGTCTAGATGACAATAATCTCCGGTATAAAGCCACCCATCACGAAGAGAGCTCGCAGTGCCCTCCAGATTCCTGTAATATCCTGATTCGAAGGTACGTTAACAGGATGTATGCTCCTTGAGAAACGTCTATCTTACTAGAGAACCGTGATGTCTTCGGCTGACGTACGATAAGTTCGCCTACAACGCCTTGCTCAGCCTCAGAACCGTCAGCCTGGAGGATTTTGAGGTTGACCTCCGGGAGAGCTACGCCGCAAGAACCCTTCACTCTTGGACGATCGATTGGTTGAACGACAGGTATCCCTGTCTCCGTAGAACCTGAAGGAGTTTCGTTTATGAAATCCGGAAAGGTCATTCAAGCACGGAACACGAACCGTAGACTTCGTACACTTTCAGATTAAATCGCCTCTCAAATTCATCCACCCAAACCGGCACAGGGACACCCCACATCAAGCGAAGCGTATTATCCCGATCCAATAGTCTTTCCGGAGCTTTGTAGAGGATGCTTAATGTAGCACCCATGAAGTCCGCAACTGTTGCTTTCGTCTGACGAATTTCATCCCACCACGTACTAGCAGAAAAACGAGTTGAAATCGCAGCAGTCGCTCCGAGCAACAATGCAGGGATGACAGTCAGCGACGATGCATCTGCGTGACAAAGTGGGAATGGGCAAAAGAGAACATCTGATTGTCGGAGGTGGAGTGAATTGATGAGAGCTCGACCTGCAGAAATGAAGTATTGGTGATTCAGCTCGCAGGCCTTGGAAGGCCCGGTCGTTCCTGAAGTGAACAATAAGGAAGTCGTAGACGAGGGAGATTGAGGGACGGGATAAAGTGGGTGGTCCCCAATCAGGGCGGTCCAGTGCTTGTACTGAGACGCCATTGTGCCTTTGACGAACAAGTTCAATTTCACTTCGGTAGGCAATATAGACAGGAAAGTGTCATCGACGATCATGATCTTGGGAGCTACTAGCTCTAGAGCACGACGCAAAGTAAGACCTCTGAACTCTGTCTATAGTGAGACGAACAATATCACTAAGAATTGTCAATTATCAGAGGGGGAAGATCCGTACATGTAAAGGCGCCCAGATCGCACCAACAGTCATGGTCGCAAACCACAACCGAACCATCTCCTCACTGTTCAGCATAATAGCAGCTACGACGTCCCCCTCGAGTATCCCGGCCTTACGAAGACCAAAAGCAAGGCACAGAACACTTTCATAGAACTTGAAATAGGTAAAGTCAGAGTCCCCAAAGCGCAAGAACGTCTTGGTCGGAAAGGACGTCGCGGCTTCTTTCAGTAAAACCGGCAAGGTGGACCAGGGGCCATCAAAGGTACCATATTTACGAGGAGACTTGCGGAGCCTAAAGTGCTCGAAAGCCTTCGTTGCCGATTCGTCTGCAAATGCTTGACTTGCGGCCTTCATCTCATATTCCAAGACAGCTTCGGCATTAGGGAATGTCGCCTGTTCCAGCCCGACCTTGACAGCTGCTAGGCTGCGAGCAGATTTGGACATTAGTTGCGCAGCCAGTTCATATGAACGTGATAGCGGGTCCTCTGCAATCTCTGTCACCATATTCATCGCCAGGGCTTCGGTAGAGGGCACGACATGTCCGAGAAGCATCAAACGCTTGGCTTGTTGAAAACCAATTAGTTGAGGGAGCCTTCCCGCTTATTAAATATACGCTCAATGGATGATCATAACTGAAATGGCGTCACTTACTAACGCCTCCTGTAGGTGCATGACCATGGTTGATCTCAGGGAACCTGAATTCGGCATCTGGAGAGGCAATGACTATGTCCGCGGCGAGTGCGATCTAATTATTACCGTCAGGCAACAGATGAAATGAGCATGTTGCAACTAACTTCAGCTCCCCCTCCTATTGCCCAACCATTTACAGCGGCAATGAAGATCGTATCCGCGCTCGTCATCAAGCGGGTGATGCTTTGAAGCTGCTCAAAAGCTACTCTAAGCTCTTCGGGATCTCTGCCGGACGATTGAGGAGCCAGCGTTTCTTTAAGGTCTGAATGGAACAGCAAGTTCCCTTTAGTGGAGAGAAGAGTTCTGCGGCAACGTACCTTCACCTGAACAAAAGGAGGTTCCTGACCCTGTTATAATGCATACTTTCACCTTGGCGGCCTTCAGAGGAATAACAACATCGTTGCATTAAGTTAGTGCCATATTAATGAGTAAGTCTTACCACAACTTTCTCTAAATGAGAGACGAGTGACGACAGTAAAGCTGCATTAATAGCGTTCAGACTTCCAGGACGATTGAGGATGATCAAAGCGGAACCCGTGACTGGATCATGCGAATAGCGGATCGACTCCGTCGACGATCCCGATAAAGCAGACATCTTGTTCCCGCGAGCAGAGCTGCAAGGGGTCCTGAGGGTTGCGAGGGGATCAAGACTATCGGTATTTACTCCCAAATTTTAGACAACTTTGGTGGTTTCCGAACGGCAAAATTCACGGTAAAATACGGAAGTTGCGGATAATCTAGGCCCTCCCGGTGGATATTCTGACAAGTTCAAGATATTCAGACACAATATTATTTCGCGCGAGTATCGCAATTCAGACTAGAAGCAGTAAGGGTGTGCAGCTTGGCCTCTTTGCATCGAGATCGAGCGGTGATAAACGCAGTGATTGGCTTACTGGTACCGGCGCATGAAGACGCTTCCCGCGTTCATAAGAGCCAACAGTTTATACGCTTACCTTATAGATAAAAAACCGACTTTAAAGCTTAGTAGAGCACCATGACTAGAACCCTATTATCGTTGCCGACTTCACGGGCGTATTGGCAACGTGCTTCCTGAAGCGCTAGACATGTCCAGTAAGTGCTTGATTCTTCTCGTCTATCTGTCAGAAGGTTTAAATGTCCAAGTTGTAACATTTCTCGCAGAGATCGAGCGGGATGATCTCAGGTAGCTCAACAAGCAAGGTGACGGCCTGATGAACATGGGTAAGCAACGAGGACTTTAGTCTGGGGTGGCTAGAATTAAGTAATCCACTTACCGCCTCGAAGTTTGTAGGCGAGAAGGATGCCCGCAAAGTTCTGCCTGTGGGAACCGACTCGGTCTTGTGATGTTATGAAGCAATACATAGAAGCAACTATGTGTTTATTATTAAAGTTCCTTAATTTATTGCACAGCGCGAATGGAGAGCATGCATGTGAATGAACAACGGCTGGTCTAATAAGGTCACAGAGGCTCTGTTCTCCGGCGTCGTAACTCAATCGATTCTTCGTCAGTGTCGTTATACGATTTACGCGAATGCCCGTTTTGAACGGGCTCTGTCAAAACAGGTGCCACAAATTGTTGTCGCAGGCGTTCCGTGGCCTGGTGCTGAACCTGAGTATGCCGTAAAGATCAGCGTCAAGGGACGATAGGTGTGTTAGAAAAAATCGCACTTCGTTCATTACTGTCTTCGAAATTTGAAGCAAGGGCCCCAATAAACCGAGCTTGATGATTATCCATCTGTTACGAAAAAAAATAAGAGTGTGAGAAAGCATGCCTTTGATTCAGAAGAGAGCCCAATTAAATGTTAAGACACGCACGCAGAAGCCAATGCGCATAGCACGAACGCAAAATAAAGCGGGTTGAAAAGCACCACCATAGCCTCGTTCCATCCAAGTACGACCAGGACTGCGTACATCCAGCCGGGTATCTGTGCAATGCTAGAAACCGTGGAACGTTTCGCTTCGACATAGTAAGCATCAGCATCCTTGCGGAACCGAGAAGTGATGTCCAAGATTCGCGTCTCAGACAGAATGGTCAACGAGGAATCGAAATCATAGACTTCAATTTGCTGCTGCGATTCATCCGGCTCTCCTTCTAGAGCATCATCGGGTAATTCATATGCGAGCGAGGGATCCTGGGGTTTGATCTTCGCGTACAGAGGAATAAGCTCAACGGTCTGATCGCGCGCCTTCTTGAAGGTGCCGTCAATATCATCGTCAGGTTTCCATACACGGGGAACACCATGCTCGTCGTATCTAAAACGCTCTTCAAAGTGCGTCCGCAGCTTGCTGAGTAAAACAGGTTCTGTCGTCTGCTCATCGATCTTCGCTCGAAGGGCCATCCATGCGCGCTTTCGTAGAATGGCCAGCGATTTGGCATCTTCTTCTTTGGTGCTATTAAAACCTGAGTTTTACGCGACAGTCAGTCAAATGGAGTAGCGGAAATGACCAGACTCTCACTTCGAGCTTTGCTCAAATAAAGGTTCTCGGCCTTGTCTAATGTTTGTCGGAAGGCTATTAGCACTTTGTCCCACATGCCTGGGGTTGGGCTGCTAAGGAGTAATTCAACAGGCTCAGAAATCTGCTTCTTCAAGGCACGCTGTGTGAAAGTAGCAAGGTTAGTCGCGGGCGACATTCTAGATTCGCTCGGCTCACCTCGATGGAATTGATCATCTTTTTCGTCTCATCAGCACGACATTGATCAGCAACAGATCCCATCTCCTCACGCAGCAGGCCCAGTTCGTCTTCCCAGACCCAATCGGTGTCTTCCAGCTTCGCTTCCTTTGCTCCGTTAACGAAACGCTTCTCGCACAGTTCCCTCGCCTGCGAACAGACATCTGCGAAATTGTAACCTTCGACACGCATCCCTTCCTGCATCTCTTTCTTAAATGCAACAAGAACAGATTTATGAAGGTTCTTGAGTTGACCAAGGAACAGTGGTGATAGGACGGAATCAATGACATTTAGGAGATCCGAGCGTTTCCGCTGATATACGCCCTGATGATACCTTGAAGCATCCTTGTCATAGCGAGCTTGGAGAAAGGCAATAAACAGCTAGTAACACGAATTTTACTCGGACACTTACAAATTGCTCGTGACTTCCATTTCCTCATCATGCCTCCCAAGCCATCAACGACCCGACCTGCCTCAATGGGTCGACGCTGAGGCTTTGCATGTTCGTTGAATTCGGCAAGAGCTACGCTTGCAATCTCGTCACAACGGAATTGTGCCAAAAGCTCCTGCTGAGTCGGCAAATCGAGATCCTTGTTTGATTGGACTTGTTCCTGTAATACAATTAGAATCGACACAGTCATTAGAGACAGGAGACACAGACCCAAATCCCCTCCATATACAAAGCTACACCGTCTGCAGGAATTCTCTTGTGGTATGCGGGTTTGAACACGTAGTCTTCGTTGCTCTTATTCACGAACCTCCGTCGCAAAGCCAGCGTTTCGCTTTCAAACTTCTCCGCCGCCAGGATTTTGTGCGGAAGAGCTGTGAAGCTAAGATCGAAATAGTCCGAAAGTTTGCAGTCCGAAAGTTCATCAGGTTTAGACAGGCTCTCCCATATTCGATTTAGGTCTGTTTCAAGAGTTGAAGCAAGGTTGGCAAGCGGTGTTGTCCCAATGTGGTCGCGAATGACGAAAAGAAGTAATGTGCGCTGGCCGGTATCCTCTCTCTTCCCAAAAAGCCCTAAGTTGACTTCAAAGACGGTCTTGAGCAAACCCATGTTTGCTCCCTGATATAAGCCGACTTGATGCTCCCAAAGGTTAATAATGAGCACCTCCGATGAGGCAAGAGAGAAGAGGGCAGATTTTCGTTCGAAATCTTGGTCTTCTCCGCGTTCTCTGCCGTCTGTACCTTCGACATCCATAACTAATGCGTTCATGCCTTTACCGCGGCACATCCATATACCTTGACGTGACGAGTTAAGCTATCAGTATATATAAACTTTACTCCAGACTAGCGACGTACCCTTGGTTGTCTGCTTCCGATTTTTCTCATTCATAACGTCAAAGTCGGTTCCAAACAAGCGATTCAAGAGCGTGCCTGCGTGGCAAAAAGAACTATTCAACCGAGCTGTTGTGCTGAGCAGACTGGGTACTTACTTTTTCCCGTGGACTGCGAACCAAAGACGGCAACGATATTATAGTCAAATCCCGCTTCACGTAGACCCCAATGGTCCATCTGTGCGCTCAACTCCTTGCTATGAAACTCGTTAGCATCATGACACAAGCGCGTCATATACTTTAGCCACTGACGTGAAATTCTTCTGGTCGTCGATGATCTGCAACCTGGCAGCACCATCTCGCGATGTATTGGCATTGCCGTTGGGATCTCTTCCAGTAGCTTCTTTAGACATAGAGAGAAAACAGGATATAGGAGAAGTTTAAGTGAGTGTAGCGTATTACACACCTCTTACAGGCAGTCTCCTCAAGTCGTTGAGCAGCCGCTTTTCGTAGTTTGTTCGCACGGTTACTTTCGCGTGGTAATAACGTGCCCTTTAACCTCGTTTAAATTGTTATGCAGTCTGCCGCCGTTCTACTGCATCACTCTCATTTTTCGCGACTTTATTAATTCATAAACCGCAAGGCATCAAGATCAGAATAAGGTTAGTCATTGTGAAGGAGTACGTAAACTAAGCCATACATTTATGTGCCATAGGGCTAGGCATGGTTCGGAGGCCCGGTCCCCATAACATGTAGAATTTGCAAACGATTACCAAGAATTGTCTACAGGACGGCCTCTAATTAATTATCCATCTTTCTTGTTTGCTTGTCGGAACCCTCGTCAATGATCGCTGTGTATCGTGTGTTCTGTCCTTGAAGTCCGATTTACCAATCCTGTGTAACTTTGATCCTTTTCACCATTGTAGACGGCACTTAGAACCCCGAATCATCGATGGACTTCTACATCCAAGTCCTTAAGCGGAACTTGTGAGAAAGCCGATGTATCTTCATGGTTTCATCTGGCGTCGTTTCTTTGGCCGCGGCTAAGTGACACTGGATTCTCGGACGGGCATTGTTGTTGAAGAGCAAGTGCTTATAATGAACTAGTCTGATTTGCGCCTATTCATGGATCGACAGGCGACTAAGGGTGTATCTGAAGATAATCTCCGTGGGATATCGCCATTGAGAACCATCGATCGGTCAACGACACCGTGGTTGGCTGCATACCATGTACGTCTGTAGATCACTACCTCGCCGTGCCTTACCATAACGGATCGGCCAGCTGTGCTGGAGCGTGTCTTGCCGGACAGGAACTCAATTAGAATGCGTCGGCTTTCCCATTGTCCTCTTGATGCAATGATGCCAGGCGCTCTGCTCTCTCAGACAAATCCTCGAAGTGAAAGGGATCAAAAAGCGCATCATGATCCCATGTGCCCTACGCTCTCAAACAAGAGCTTGTACTCTCATGCCCGTGGCGCAAGCCAGTGATAGAACACTGAAACATCAGGCATAATAATAGTCTGACGCCTCTTTTCCCTTTATCTTCGGGCAGTCGGCCTAACACAGCGATGCGCTAAATCCCCGCTCTGGCGTTTTCTACGCCTACCCTTCGCGAGATGCGAGCTTTGAGGACTGCTCTTCCGCTGCTTCTCCTCGCAAGTCATGCATATTGCCAGGCGACACATACTGTAGGTCTATTCCGTACTAAATTTACCAGAATCATTGACCGAATTCACCAGGTGGTGGTGGGCGTCAAAGGAAGTTTTTACGATCCACCGACGACGAACGCACTGGAGGGTGACATTATAACTTTTGTTTTCGGTGGAGTGTACGTGTCAAACTTCGACTATAGCTATCTTATGACTGAGCCTGTCACACTCCTAGTATTCACGGGGTCACCCAGTCGTCATTTGAGCAGCCATGCTCCCCGCTTCCAGGCGGTTTCAGCAGCAGACTTCTCGGGCTGAACGGGAGCAGTACTATATCACCGCCGACATGGAGCCTTGTAGTTTCAAACGCCTCACAACGTACGAGAAAGATTTCATGTACATGGTTTCGCTGACTCAATGTTTTATCAGCGATCTGGTTTTTCTGTGAATCAACGAGGCCAGAATCCCATTGCAATGCAGGGATGGTTGGGTGAGGCAATTCCTGCTCTCTGGTCTACTATATCCTTGTGCTGACCCCTTTAAGCACTATAAATGTTCTTCCAGATATGTTCAACCAATTTCAATCATCCGCGAAAGTTGTAACTGGGACTCCTACGGTGAGTAGTTTCGCACGTTGCGTAATACCGGCGTTTAATCAGTTTTGCAGCCTACACCTTTGGTAGCATTGACTGGTATCGGCGCGTTTGCTACAGCGAATCCGACGACATTCTCATTGCAATCGTCCTCTGCTTCCGGCTCATCAGATCCGGGTCAAACGCAGAGCATTATCTTGCCATCCGCATCAGCCGAAACCTCCAATAAGAAAAGTGTTCCTATTGGTGCAGTGGTTGGAGGCGTAGTGGGTGGTGTCGCTGTCGTAGTCATTGCTGGCTTTCTGTTCCTTCAGCATCGCCAAAGAAGCAGAAGGACGATTGAAGAAGAACATCAGTATATCACGGAGAAGGATCGTCAATCTCTGCCCTTCCGTCGCCCTAAGCAACGCGTCATGGATTCTGATATGTCGGATTCTGGATCGAGTAGAGGCGATGTGGGGCAGCATCGGCCAGGAAGTCTAAGTGGGACATCGTCGGATTTAAGTACCACTAGGTTGACAAGACAGAACTCCAGTATGAACACCCATCCGAACATCCACAACAGAAATATCAGCTATGGAAGCGACCAGGATTACATTGCACAGACCCGACATACCAACTTGCAATGTGGATTAAGCCCAGTTACAATCTCAGATGTGTTTAACCTATCGCCATCTCCTCACCCTTTTGCACAGATACCATATACCCAGCAGGAGGCACCACCACCGGAATTGTCTAGCCGTCACGGTCCCACGGCAAATGTTCACAAGATTGCGAAAGAAGTCGCTGCGCTTCTTGGACCGGGAAGCGTAGCTCCTCCTCCAGGGCTTCACCCTCATCCACTTTCGGGATCCAGCATTGCTCACTCCCAAGGGCGTTCAACTCGCCAGCTTCCTGATCCGACACGGTATCTGCGACCAGCGACTGTCGTAGAAGAACCCGAATCACCTGGCTTGCCACGGTATGAACGATAGTGTCACTCATTTATTTACCCTTTCTTTCTTTAATTACCATTTTCTTTGCCAAAAATTGTCACGTCATTCATCCCATTCATGCATTATTTACCTCGCCTTGATGGAGTGATTCCATATTTAACTATTCGTTGATGCGTTATATTTTATTATCGGACTATGGTGGATGGTGGTGGATGTGCAACTCAATACATCGATTGGGTATATTCTCAAACTCGTATCATCACACAAACTTAATGCGATATACATCACTAAAAACCCAAAAGGTGTGCAACTATCAAAGACAAGGATTGCAAAATCGAAATGAAATGTTCACCCCATTGCCCAACCAAACAAACCAATAGATACGGCTGCCAGTGCAGTCAGCCTCAGGGCGTATAAACACGGAGGGCGTTTATTTGCCAAAACGCATTTTGGAAAGAGGTTGGATTTGCGTCGACGTCTTAGAAGGCGGGAATCAGCGAGGAGTTGAATAAGGATAGGCACGCTCATGCTTACAGTCATTGCATGTGCTGGCACCACCGCACAAGAATGGGGTACCAGCCCAGTCTCCCTACAATATTCAATTAGAACATCAATAACGGGGGAGGCAAAGGAGCGGGTCGAGTCAGACGTACACAAAATGTCAAATCGAAAATAATATTATGTGCATCAAAAAATTGAGGCCAATTGCATGTATCGGTCGGAAACAGAGCCTCGGGCTCTCCCCAACCGTCAGGGTTCACCGTTGCTGCACCGGACGCAACTTCCGCAGGTACACTGGGGTCGTTGCGTGGCCAGAAATAGACAGCGGCTCCTGCTGCGTCGGTGCGTTTCAAGGCAAACCAGCCTCCTCCAACGCTATTTAGTGCGCTGCCGAAGGAGTTTGGTTTTGCAAAGTTGGTAGTACAACCTTGCATTATTCCGGCAAAGGCATCACAGTCCAATGAACCTGGAGACCTGAGGGACGAAGGTAAGAAACTACGTGGTTGTACGTTCAGCGCTATTCCTACCCCGTCATTAACCTTGTCGCTGGCATGGTACACCCTGCGGATGTGTGCAGTGCCGCGAGGTTCTGCGTTTGCAAATTTACACCCTAGTACGGAATCAAATTGGTCGTAAGTGTGCATAGCGGGAAAGTGAAAAGAGATCTATATTAACTTCGACTATATCAATCTCTCCTCCTGCTGGCCAAGCGCCCATATTGGTTGTCATAGTCCAGAAAGCCGGCCAAGTCGCACAACCCTCAGGCATATGCTGGACGTCGAGAACTATCACAGCGTCCGTATACGAGTTCAGGCTCGTGATCCGTACAGAATTACGTCCGCGCGGCGTAGATGCATCTAGGACCGTTGTATCATCCGCTCGCATGAAGAACGTACTTCCATCCACTTGTAGTCTTGTGTAAGCCGAATATGGTTAATTGGAGGGAAGATAGAGAATCACATACCATATGATAAGCCTTCAGCTATAGCAGTCTGCTGATCTACATAGTTTACGCGTCCATGCGATGGATCGTCGAAGGTCTCCCACCGAAAACCTGAGAAGAATCCATCCCCTATGAAAGTATCTCTCAGATTGAACTGCGCTAGCACGGATGGTGCCAGGAACAGAAGCAGAGTAATCAAGCCCCGAGAATGGGTGAACATTATAGTAGTAAACGCGGAGGATTGACTGTATGTTTACTTGGAGTCACTTGGGCACAGAGGTTTCTCTCCTCTGCTCGCCGGACCAGATTTATGAGGCCACCTCGACGAGCTCCGAAGAACCATGCCGAAAGTGAAAGACAGAGGCATCAAATATCGACAGGGACAAGATGGCCGACAGCCTATAGAGTTGGCAAAGCGAGAGCAGATGCAATTTACGAACATGGTCTAGACAGGGGCACACGAGAGAGCTTGTAGACATGGTAATCATGAAAGAACCTCCATGGGAGAAGAACAAGGTACAAAGTCGTCAGCTATGATGCGCGGATCAACAAAGCTCTCGTAAATCTTTGATGGACCTGTGTTATGAAGCGTCGGAAGAACATGATGTTTTTCTGATACCGTTGGCTCTCTGGAGGAGAGTCCATACGCGGTAAACCGACAATCAATCTTTTGGAATGGTATTAGTAATCGGCGATCCTCAGCCTCAGAAATCTGGCTGGCTACACTTTTTAGGCGGAGTATGAACTTAAAGTTAGCTGCTTGTTTGGGTAACTTGTAATGGTTGTGGACGCTGTTATCCAATCCTGGCCGTTAGGTGCAAGCTCAATACATAATTAGGCATAAGGGATCGCAATCCGTATATTGTAAATTATATGCAAAATGTATTCTATTTACAGCTCTTAACAAAATTAAGCAAGTTTGGTGGAATACGACCTGAAAGTATAAAAATGTCTATGATTAGAAAGGGAAGAATTTATAACAGACTATTCCTAGAACGAAAGAAATCTACACTCCAATAATCTATGAAACAAGGTGTAACAAGGCACAGTTAGACTTAAATGCTGTTCGACCTGTACTCGAGTTCAAGGCGTGTATACTCGGACAGCGTTCACTTCCCAATAAGCATCCTTAAACTTGTCAGGATTATTGTTGACGTCTGGGAGAAGCGGATTAGTATATGTGAAGTATATGCCAGCAGACACTCACAATCTGGGCACTGAGCACCACCACCACACGAAAAATCACTGCCAGCCCAGTCTCCCTACAAAAAATAAAATTCTCTTCAGATCGATTGCACAAGGAAGAAAGAAACTACATACACAAAACGTCAAATCAAAAACAATATTATGTGCATCAAAATGCTGCTGCCAATTACACGTATCCGTAGGGAACAGCGCCTCAGGCTCTCCCCAACTATCACCCGGGTTCACCGACTTTGCACCACTCTTAATTTCATTTGGCACCTTTGGGTCGTTGCGCGGCCAGAACCATACCGCGGCCCCGTCTTTGTTTGTACGCTTGAGGACGAACCACCCACCCTTGACGCTATTTAGAGCGCTCCCATAGGAATTGGGCTTGGAGAAGGTGTTACCGCAGCCTTGGTTACTTCCTTGGGTTACGTCGCAGTTTAGGTTTGCTGGCTTCCTAAGAGTTTTGTGAAGTTCACGCGTCTGAGTGCTGTCAATGTAAAACGCCGTGCGTGTACTTACCCTGTTTGTTTCCTGTTTCCTGGCATCGTACACCCTGGGCCCGTGTGTAAGGTTGCCAAGTTCTGTGTACCTGTATTTACACCCTAACGCGAAATAGAATTAATTAGAGAACGTTCAATGAAGCAATAAGAGTCGATGTATCTACCTCGAGGATATCTATTTCCCCTCCGTAAGGCCACTTGCCTGCAGTGACCGTCCAAAATGCAGGCCAAGTCGCACACCCCTCCGGCATATGTGCGACATCAAGCACGATCACAGAATCCGTGTACGTGTTTTGGCTCGTAATTCTAATAGAATCACGTCCGCGCGGTGTGGATGCTGTAAGCTTCGTCGTAGAGTCCGCGCGCATCACGAACGTATTTCCATTCACTAATAACGTTAAGTATAAAAGAACCTGTGTGGGAAAGGAGAATTGATATGTCGCCTACCATATGACAAGTTCTTAGACTTAGCAGTCTGCTGGTCCACATAATTCACACGTCCATGTGTCGGGTCATCCATAGTCTCCCACTTGAAACCTGAAAAGAATTCATTCCCTACGAAGTTATCTTTCAGATTGAACTGTGCCAGCACAGAGGGCAAAAGAATCGGCAAGAGAACTAGGAAACCACGAGGAGAAGAACCGAACATAACTATCGGAATGTCAATGCACAAGCTGTTGTCTTGGTAAAGGTTCCGCTACTCTGCTTCAGAAGGCCAGCCTTAAGATACCTCAGCATTGAAACCCAGAGAAACTTGTTGAGAGCAAAGGGCCAGGACATCGCATGCTGACAAGCTGCAGGAAGGATAATAATTGAAGAATTGGCAATACGAGAGCAAGTGCAATATGTGAATATGTCTTGAGCAGCAGCAATCGAAGAGCTCGGGAGCATAATTGTCTTGAGGGGCCCTAAGAGAAGAACTAGGAACAGGAACAAAAACATCAAATGAGATACGTGAGATCTGAAGAAAAATATTAAAAAGTAGCTCTTTGCAAAAGCGTAGTGTTCCGAGAACACCCAAGCCATCATAGCTCACTTAGACACTATGCTTGACGTCAATGTGTAAGTCCGAGAGCCGCAGGAGAAATCGATCTAAATCTGGCTCAGTTTCAGTACGCAACAGGCCAATGTTCGAACTTCCTCTCCCACGAGTAATGTCTTGTGGAAGCACAAATACATTACCCTTTTTCTTGCACATGGAATGAATGCAGGGCGCTCGAGGATTACTGGTCCTCACACTTGCATCTACTTGCCTCACACGCAAGGCAATCTCGGACACTACGGCGTCTCGACCCGGCGGGCTCGGATGCGCTTCGATACCGTTCTGTCTAATGTTAGCACTTTGCACTATAAAACGCCACTAGTGCTAAGTATGTCTAGACACGCGGAGCCGTAGCGGAGGAGCAGCAGGAGACTGCAAGGGACATGCAAACACGTGCAAAACCTTACTTTTAACCCACCGACTCGTTTATAAGCAAAACTGGGAGCAAACAAGTGTGACCGTAGACAAAAAATACAGCCGATTTGTTCTGTTTCAACAAATACAATTAGTCGTGAGATAGTTCGTGAATGAAAAACAACGAGAGTGGGGAACAGGAACGGGAGTCTGAATACATAGTATCGGAAGAAGTGAACTCAAACAATTCCTTTTACTCGTCTTCGAACCCGTTTTCAAACAAATAATTTGCTGCCATCTCCTCATTCTTATCGCATGCGAAATAGGCTTCCACCACTTGTTGTCGTGGGAATCCGAGCGCCTCGAGCTGAACGGAACATGTGAATTCCTTAGTTTTGCTACGATAAACAGAAAAAAAATACTCACTCTCTCAATAGCGGCACGTTCCTCTGGTGTTACCTGCAAGACAGTTGCGCCAGGTGGAATGCCACCTTCACCACCTTCACCTTCCTCGAGTCCACCCTCACCACCTATAGCACCAAGCAGCTGAAGCAGTGCTTCGGGGTTTTGCTCAAGGTATTGAGCGAGATTCGGGTTGGATTGTGCAATCTGTTGAATCATAGGTTGAAGTAGCGCGGGGTTCTGCATTACAGTATTGCGGAATTGCCCAAGTTGTGCGTCGCCACCACCGAGACTCTCAATCCCCGCTCCAGTTGCGCCTAAGCCAGCTGCACCACCTGGGAGGCCACCACCGTGGTGTTGCTGTTGTTGCTGGGCGAGCTGCGAACGACTTTAAAGCAGGTTCAAAAAGAAATTGATTTTACTTACCTGAAACAGGTTTTGAGGTGCGGTAGGTTGAGGTGCGGGAGCAGCTGCAGGTTGAGCTGGCGCTGCTGCCGGTACTGGTGCCGGGGCCGCAGTCTGTTGGGGCGCTGGAGCCGGATTAGTCGCGGGTGCACCGGGTGCAGCGGGACCAGCGGGACCAGCGGACGACTCCGCATCGAGGTGTGCGGGTATGCCCTTTAAGTATACATTCGTGAGCAAATTAACGAAGCCAGTACACAACTTCGTCATACTCACATTCATAAGATACTCAACGGCACGATCTGGATTGTTAAAGCTTGCCTTCATAGCTCTCATTACCTGCGCCCGCTCAAACCCCATCTCAATCATGTTTTGTATTGATGCTTGAAGGGCATCGCCGCTCAAGAATGAAGTAGTGTCGCCGAAGGCGCGTTCCTGGGGAGTGGCAGCCGCGGGAGATGCAGTAGCTGGTGCCGATGTCGACGATGCAGCAGACGTCGAAGTAGCAGCGACGGGAGCGGCAGGAGCAGGTGCTGGTGCAGTCGCAGGTGTGGCCTCGGGTGCCTTTGCTGCAACGGGAGCTGGAGCGGCGGCAGGTGCCGGAGCGGCTTTGGGCTAAACATAGGGCTATTCAGCAAGGGCTGACCAAGTTCTAGACGCGATTCGCACCTTTGAGACCATCAATACAATGAAATCGGTTTGCTTAATGTTATAGGACTTGATCTGAGCGTCATCCTGGAGTATCTTGCCTATGTATGCGTTAGATGGGGTAATGAATACACAAAAAGAGCGTATACCTGAGTAGATCAGTTTCTGCAGCTCTACTGGGTGCTGGAACTGTCCGGCAATTTTCTGTTTGAGTGAGGCGACTGTATCTTCCTCCTCGACGTCGGAGATCTACGCACGGAACTAGAATGAGATTGCCGACCTTTGATCGAGCACATGGTGAATACTGACCTTGAAGACCTTTCCTTGTAAGTTTTTTATCGTGAGCTCCATGAGTGCTCTGTGTGGCAAAGGAAATGGTGGTAGGAGAGAGAGAAGAACTTTGGGCTTAGGTGAGTGAAGTGGATCGTGGACGAGACTGACGCGTTGCCCGTGGCGCTTGTGCGAATCGCCTTCTATATCCGGCGTTCGGCCTCCACTTCCACTCATGACATTGACAGTGACACGCCGACGCGGTAACTCTAGCGCATGCCTAATTGCCTTCGTCTCTACTGAGCTCTAACTTCAGACTATAGTCCAACATGCAAGAGGAACCTGGAGACGACTACATACGGCGCATAGCGGGGTATATCAGAGAGAATGAAGTCAGACTCGCTCATGCAGGCCTTGGTCGGAGACGAAAGGCTCATAGCGTCCCCAATTATTCCATATTCAATCCTCTGGGATGGGTCGGCCTTGCAGACTCGAATGCTTCGCAGAGTCCAGTGGTCCTGTCCATGGACACCCACCATTTATTCTACCTGCTCATGCGCTTGGAAGCACTCGGCATCGATATTGGCACACTTGACGTCCAGCTCGACGACCTGTCGCGTCCCCTGAGCTATATTGACGTTGGCCTCGGCAAGGACAAGTCCGAAACTCTTTCCATCGCAGAGTCCTTCCGGTCATCCTTCTCTGCCGTCTCTAAGCTTTCTCTGGGCAGCGCCTGGTGGTCCAGGACGGAACCCCGTACAGTCGAGGACGAACTCAAGTATATTTATAGCTCCTTTACCAAGCTACCTGCTTTGTCCATAACTGCGCCAGGACCTAAGGTCGTTACCGAGCTTGCCCACGACCCTCCTCTTAACAATGCCATCCCGCTAGACTCCTTCAAGTTCCTTCTGAGTCTAGAATGTGTAGACGTCGATCCTCGTGCACTGCTTGGATGGGACAAGCTTGCAGAGTCACTCAGGAGTTTAACAATAAAGAGGAGTGGTCTTGACAACCCGGCTCACATATTCTTGGATGCCGTCGTGGACGATCAACTACGAAGAGAAGGAGACGCAACAAGGTCGAGAATACGGAAGTTGGGACATCGTGTATCACACCGTGGATTCCACAGCTCGAATTTACCGGAGACAGTCCAGGAGGAATCCGAAGATGATTTATCGGAGGAATCATCATCAGCACCCGTTCTGTCACGCTTGTCGCCACTCAAATGGGCGTTCTTGAAGCATCTCTCACTTGCGGACAATGCTCTGACCACTATACCCTCGTCCATGCTACCACCGTTGACATCCCTCACTCATCTCGACCTGTCCTCCAATCTCCTTGTCTCCATCCCTCAACTATCTCCGCTGTACAACCTAACATCTCTCAATCTCTCCGACAACATGATTGATTCCGTACTCGGCATCTACAAGAAACTAGGCCAAGTTCTCGTCCTTAACCTCGCACGTAACCGGCTCGACTCCTTATGCGGTCTCGAGCGTCTCATGGCGATAGAGCGTATCGACTTACGAAACAACGTTATCGACGAAAGCGCCGAAGTAGGGCGACTTGCCGTACTTCCGAACATCTCGGAGGTGTGGATCGAAGGCAATCCCTTCGTGGAGGCGGAAGAGAATTACCGAGTACGATGTTTCGATTATTTCTGGAAAGAGGGGAAGACGATCATGTTGGATGGTGCTTTACCCGGGTTTTACGAGCGAAGAAATCGTACGGCGCCTTTACCTGATGAAGTCTCCCCGCCCCGTGTACCTGTTGCGCCTTATTCGCCGCCTACTCTTCCTGTCGGATCGGCCGCCGCGAGTAAGCCGCGTGCAGATAGCCAAATGTTGTCTTCGGGTTCTTCGTCGAATGTACCTTCACCAAGCTTACAACCTCTGGTAGCGAAACCAAAGAAGAAACGCAATAAACGTATAGTAGCATTGGACGGCGGCGAAAGCGATTATCGAAGTAGTGAAGATGGTGGAAGGATAAGATCAGAACCCCAGCGGGACGCTCGTTCCAAATCGCCTCCCGAGACTCTCCCAACCGCTCAGGAAGGTTCACCACAATCAAAGGAAGAAGCACCTATTCGACGATCTCGTCACTCACGCTACCGGACCGAAGTAACCACCCCCATCTCTCCTTCCATTGACGCCTTTACCTCAACCTCCCCTCGCTCCGGTACAGCAGGCAGCCTAGGTCGCCGCACAAGCAGTACTCGACGGAACAGGCTCTCCGCATCCATGTACGAACCACCCAACGTCGAACCCAACGAAACCGACTCAACAGCGAAGCAAATGCGTGATGCTGAACAGTTCCGTGCAAAGATCGAGGCGCTACGCGCCGAGATGGGTGATAACTGGCTTCAAGTACTGAGTCAGACACAGCTCAGATCGGAACAATCTACGAAACGCTAGTCTAGTCTAGTCTAATTCTGTCTGGTTCCCTTTCTCTTCTCTTCAATATTAACATTGTGCACTTCCTGTTTGCCGTTTACTTGTTTATGCAGGCACGTTTGAAACGTCCTTTTATAATTTGTTTAGAATAGTTATGCATGTGTATGCTTTGTTATTATCATGGCTTTCTTCAGCTTTATATGCAATAATTCTTGCGTATCAAATTTTTTATTCCAGCTCATCGGATTTCATATACCTCCTATTTTTCACGATATGTATCATGATTCGGATGTCAATAGAACAATTTTAAGAGAGGGAAGGGAACCAATTAAAGCGTGCAGACTGTCCATCCAAGCTTGAGCATGATACACAAAACCCTCCATTAGTAACGAACGCATATATAACACAGGGTGCAAAGGCTGAAGAGCTAAAGCCAAGTAAGGAGAAAAAGAAATGGTAATGACATTGAACAAAATCGAAGAAAGACAAATCGAAAACTAGAGAGATGAAGAGTTCAAGATTGGGGGTAACCAGGTGACATTAGAGGTATGAGGTAGCCGTTTCTGCGGAAAGAGCTGGAATGCGAGAAGACGTGAATAGCAGAGATGGGCAGAGATGGGCATGATTCAGCAACACATGTACGGGCGTGAATGATTATGAGGGGAAGAAGAAGGGAGAAATCGGAATAGCCACGTATCGCACATATGCACATGACCAAAGGGAAACCGTGAGCTCAGTTTTGACAAGCAATTTTATGACCGAATTATGGCTGGCGTTGCTTCTTAACATTTTGTGATAGCCACTGGAGGCCCTCGAAAAGACCCTCGCCAGTCGTCGCGCAACTAATTGAGAACACATTTAACCCGTAGCCGAAAGCATATTCGGAACGGACACATACCTCGGGTGCACGTACCACGATCGGTCTCGCATGCGATGCAAACCGAGCTTCTCTGTTACTTCGGCGGGAGACATTGCTAGAGACGAACAAATGAGCTTCAACTGAGGCGAGTAAGATTGCAAGCAGAATAGAAGACATACCTCCTGGTAGATCTTGTTTATTCGCAAACACTAATAGTAGACAGTCCTTCATCTCCCTGTCGCTGAGGATACGGTGTAGCTCCTGCCTTGCTTCGTCAACCCTGTCCCTGTCCTGGCTATCAACGACGAAGACTAGTCCCTGAGTGCCCGTGTAGTAATGTCTCCACAATGGCCTAATCTTATCCTGACCACCGACATCCCATACATTGAACTTGACATTCTTATACGTTACAGTCTCGACGTTGAAGCCGACTGGTAGAAATAGAAGAAAGTTGTGAGCATCGCGATGAAAATAATTGCGAAGGTCGAGCCACATACCAGTTGGAATGGTCGTTACGGATTGGTTTAACTTCAGCTTGTATAAAATCGCTAAATGAGGCAAGGTTAGACGATGAGCATCTCCTGAGTCGTGGAAAACATACTAGTCTTTCCCGCGGCATCGAGCCCGAGCATCAACAATCTCATCTCCTTGTTGGAAAACAATTTGGCTACAAGCGTCACGTTAATTTCGCATAGACAAGGGTCAAATAAGCGCGATAGGGACGAACCAAGCGCCTTAGACAGGTTGGCACCCATGGTAAAGTCGAACGAATTGTTGAAACGAGCGGCAGGAGGTGGGATGCGCTGACTGGCAGGCTAATGCAAAGAGGAGAAGCTGGTTGTGGTTGGAAGTCGAGAAGGGCCTGGCGCGGAAAGAGGTGCGTGACACTGTCACACTCACAGAGTCATTGCCACGTGATGGATACAGTCGTGGCGTCCAAACCACACTCAAGTTGCGCTTGCGTTTCAACCGTGAGTACTTACTTCGGCTCTACCAGTCTTTCGTCTGCTACATACGAAATTAGGTCCTGTAGTTCTTGAGGAAGAGATGAACTTGACGCAATCTTGGCTTCCTTGATTTATTCAATTAAACGGGTGATGGTGACGACGTCTTCTTTGTTTATCTCAGTACCGTCATCATCTCGGAACTATATTTATGCAGACACAATGATATTTCCAAATAATTTATTTTCTCGCGAGCGCTGAAATAGCTGGTCCTGGTGCAGCTCTTTAACCGACATGATAGCAAATAATAGTGATCGTTACCCACACTATTTCGTGTTTCTTCTTTCACTCGTTTCACCAAATAAATCGCATTGGCTCTCCTTCTTCGAAGGCATATCGCAAAAAAAAAAAGAAATGATGCTCTAAAGCTATAGATGAAGACATGCATGTGGCTGAGTGGAGCATCGCGCCTCAGTTTTGAAATTGCATAGAGGGTAGTCTTCTAATCGAGCGCTCGCTTTGCTGGCATAAAGTGGAAGTGATTACGCCAGGAACGAGGCATACGATTTCGATGCTGGCTATCCATCGACATCGACCTAGAGTAATCGATACGGAGGAAGTTCGACTTTTGCAAGATATCTGGTTTGTAGTGAGTTTAACCGTCCGATTGATTTCCGCCATGGAGCACGTGCTATAATATTCCCTATACGGGTCAAGCGAGTCATGGCTTTGATTTACACTTCTTTCAATCATCTCCAACATCTGAGACCCCAGGACTCTGAAGTATCGAGTTTTGTCCTACACCTATTAAAAGCATACTAAAGTTTCGTTCCAATCTCGGGTGCTTGCCTTCTCGAAGCATCATTAAAAAGGCAGCTTCGTCTTCACCTGTGTTCGAATTGCAATACACTGTAAAAAGCGATGCCCGCGTCGATAGCATCTCTTCCTCCTCTTCCTGCAAGTGGAACATACATCCAGTCTATCCGGGAGTCCTGTCATGCTCTGAGAACAACATCGAATATAAAAGTGAGCTCGGTGAACAATCTCCGGGACATCAGCTTATATACGCTAGATCGAACGCGAATCGATCGAGAGACTTCTTTTATCAGCCTCATTTACGGACAGCTTCCACAGAGTATCAAAGTCTCATGGACTTGCGTTTCCGCTACAATTCCCCTCTGCGGTTTCGGAACTCAATCTTATCGCGATCCTTTCCTTGCTCAATTTTGCTTCTGGATATCGAGTACCCCTGCATGAGCAGACGGGACGCGGTGCATGGGACAACATTCGAGCACTCGTGCTTTCATTGTATATATCCGGCACGTCTGGTGCTGATACGGATTACTTGTCCGCAAAGGGTATGCAGGCTATCACCTCGCAGACTGTCGCCGAGCAAATGCGCGTGAGTATGCACGTTGAACGGCCTCATGAGAGTATTCCGGGAGTCACAATCGGAGAGCTCGGCGGACCAATGTATGAGCTTGTGAAACTAATTGCGCACACGCTCAACGAGACCGGGAATGTACTCGTGAAGGCGGGATATCCGGACCTTGGTACATTTGTCTTGGAAGCATTGAAGAACGGCGAAAAAGCTGCCAATGGCGGCCCTCTTGACGTCGAGGTTACCTTGGAGCAAATCGTAAAAGCAATACCTGCTTTCCAAGATATGGCGGTTGTGCATGGACAACGTAAGTATCACCCACAATTCGCCATTTTCGCACTATTTATCACTAGAATATAGCCATATATTGCTTCAAGAAAGCACTATTCCTCTTGGGCGCGATCGAACTTCGGTTCGGATCGTCAGATCCCCCATCAATCCCTATCCCTAGGACGTCATCCTTCCCTGTGTACACTGACAACGTCCTGCCATCAATGCTGGTTCACTTGGGAGTCTTAGATTTATCTGATGCTTCCGATTCCCTCTCGTCCGTATTTCCAGACCACTCGACCGACTTGCCAAAGCTATTGGCAAAGTCAGAACCTGAATCCGAAGTGGTAGCGAAGCTTCCTAAAGCTCCGCCCGTCGATGGACCTGCGCTCACTACAGAGCAGGCATACATTCTTCGAGCATCTGCAGTCGATGCATGTGAAGTGATTGCCGAAGTTGCTCATAGCTTTGATCCAGCTACGCTCGAGGCAAAGGGTCTTCCCGCGAGTACGCAAGAATGGATGGAGGAAATGACCTTGCAGGATATTGACTTCTGGCTATGGGCGGTGGCAAAGGACAGGCGAGACTATAGGCGCTTGGAAAGGTTCTCGTTGAGAAACACTGTCATGTTCTGAGCCATGAACATTGTTTGTATAAGGTTACAATTTGTAGTATTGTACAATGTACAGGTATTTTACTCTCTCTGAAAATCGGAGATCGACGCGTCACCGCACGTGAATTTCCTCATGCATGATTTGAGACTGTGCCTTGCGCGTCATACTCGTAGAGTCATAAGCACTCCTTAGCTCCTACCACCATCTCGTCTGCCGCATGGCCAAGTCGATGGCATCCTCGCCGTCGGGCGCATCAATAGATACCACCGAAGCACAAACACTTCCTACTCTGACAACTTTCCTGAGAGACGTGCCGCCGCAGCTTGTTGTGCTTCTTGCGGAACTTGGTCCACACATTGCAGCTATACGCAGGGTAGCAGAGGCGGCGAGCTGGAAATCTGAACATGCTGATAGTTGGATTCTTTTGGGTTTATGGTGGGCTGTGTGCCTACTATCGGAATTCACGTTAAGGTGAGCGGCTAGGTCTCTATGTGGTCGTGAAGACGGCTCCTGAACTCGTGCTCCAGATATTTTCTTATTATTGCTGTTGGCACGATATATGTCTATTTATCCTTACGACCCCCTACGAAATCACGACCACCTGTGACGGAACAAAATTTGCAAGCAACAGTGAGCTCTGTCCCTTTTCTTCACCTATTCATTTCACAAATACCTCGCAGGTCATCGATCTTTCCGTCATTGAAGCTTTGCTACCAACTCTACCTCGGCCGTATCCATTACAATTGAATGTCCTGGCACGGCTTGTCGCTCTTGCTTATCTTCCCTCTCTCGCTCTGACCTACTTTGTGCGGCTCAAATTTCTACTGGGAGTATTTGGAACCATTGTTTTCATTTGGAGGGCACACTGGGCAGCTCACGTCAGAGAAGCGGTCTGGCGTAGCGCTTGGTTCCGACGAGGTCTTGCTCGTGTATGGTCTTTATTATCAGGCCAGCCTTCTCAACCTGTCGTATTGTCGACGTCTTCCTTGTTACGGACTCTGGACACGTCGCATTCTGTGCGCTTTCTCATCACTGTCTACGAGAATCAACGCTGGTGGGTTGGTCTAGATTGGACAGCGGCCTTGCTGCCAAGTGAGCGCCCGCCATGGTGCTCTGCCTCTCTCGAGCCTATACAACCTCCGAGTGTGTTTGCTCTCCCGCCCCCTACATGCTCATTCGTGGGCGATGGCAAAGGGGGACTGGTCAAACGAACGGCAACATGGAATTGGGACGAAGGTGAATGGAAAGTCTCCGTAAAGAAGGACTTAGGCCTAAAAAGGGTGGAGAAAGAGCTTCCTGCACTGAAGGAGGACACGACGCAGCATGCGAATCGTGTTGGCAAGGCGAAACAGAAAATATATGAGACTGGTCAGAAGTTAAAAACTCATCGAGATAGCGATAGCAAAGATGTTGACGAAGTCGCAGAGGATGACACGGATCCCACCGAGGCTGAATCTACCTTACAGGAAGCCGACCCGGACGAACAAATAACGGATAATGACGGGTGGGTATACGGCGATAATAAATGGAAGGCCTTCAGTGGTAGCGGTGGTCTTGGAAAGGTACGCTTTTGTAGTCATGTTGATTCTGAGTTGTACTATGTCTCACCCTTTGTCTACAGTATACACGATTCAGGAAATGGACGAGAGTGGCACTGCTAACGGAAGTAGTCGAACCTGCTTCAGCAGTCGAGGCACACACGTTCGCAGCTGAACAGCAAGAAGCATACTCGACTGCTCTTAGAGAAAGACAAGCAAGCGTGAGCAGTAGGCGGTCATTAAGCGACAGTCGACGCTCAATTGACGAGCAGCGCGATGGGGAAGACGATCGAGATTCTAATGGACTGCGCCAGCGACTGAAAGCGGCGCTGCGAAAATCGTCGATGACCGTGTAATACTGGACCTTGTCACGTTCATTGTACTGCGTTTTTGTTGTAACTGCTTGGGTATTATCATTTTATAATGTGTATTTCATGTTTTGGGAAAGGTTTATTATGCGTTTCAAACTTAGCTGATCAAACAGACGTTGCAGACTAATACAGAAACCGATATTCACCGATCCATCGAAAGGATTGGTTTAACCCCATTACCCCCATTACCTTCAAAGGCAATTGAAGAGTTCTTCTGTCTGTATTAATTGTTTCTACAAAATGATTTTGAAGACACTGTGAGTTGCTATCTAAGAAGCACGTTCATAGTGCTTAGGTGCCCTCGGGATCGATGGGTTATTATCTGTGAGCATTTTTGGGAGATGCCCATGTTTCCCAGCACATGTTAAATACAATGCTATAACTTCAACTCAGTACATGTTCGAAATTCTCGAATTACACCATTTAAATTTATGGATTAACTTGGACGCGTGTCTATTTCTTGATTAGGCGTCGATCTCTTCCTACGTTCTACTTCTTTCTCTAGCTTCTTGAGTTGAGAATTTAGAATGTTGAGACAACGAGCGATCAAGCAATCTGGCTCGTTATATAGAGTACGTTGGTGTACTCCCGCGCGGTTGGCCAGTTTACGAAGCGTTGCAACAACGTCGGGCAGCGAGAATGGTGAGTACGAAAAGTGACATTGCTGTTTTTCAATGGTTTCCCATCCAGGCCCGTCATTCATGTATCCTGAGTCAATACGCTAAACATCGGACTTCAGATCAACGCCAACGCCTAACGACGGAACTGAAAAATGCAATGAAGGTGCCTATGTATTCTGATAAAATGCTTTTTATCACTAACACTTTTTAAATTCTTTTCCAGTCTAAAGATACTTTTGCTTCGACGGTCTTACGGGTAATTTGTCGTTTCTCCCTCAGGAAAAAACAAAGAGGTCTCTGACAAACATTGAAGTCCGTTTTGGCAGAAGTATACTCAGCAGATAAGAGTCCATCAGGACCTATCTCCAATTCACAAGTAACATCCATTGTGAGGAAAGCCATAGCTCGCCGAGTTAGTGACACACAACATTTTTCTACACTTCACTTGATCTCATGGAACTTTCTACAGGCTGATGCTGCAGGAAAATACGCCGTCGCCTCACGGCATGAACTTGTAGAATCTGAAATGCGCGAGGCCCGCTTCCTGGGAACACTCCTCCCTCCGTCCATGTCCGAAACCGAAACGGACGACCTATTACGCAAGATTGCCGAGGAGAAAAAGCTCTTAGATCCTGGAGTAGACTCAAAACGAGCAATGGGCATTCTACTTAAGACCTTCTATACACAAGTTGACAAGGCGCTTGTCGACGGTAAGGCAATCAAAGAACGTGCTCAGGCGTTACTTGAAAGTAGATAATAGTAGTGGTCTAGATGGCTTGAAATTTTATGGAAGATTCAATAGTAAGCAGTACTCTACAATACAAGCATAATTCCTCCAGTCCGGCGGTAGAACATTAAGCTCCGGTTTCAATGGGCTGAGGAGGTTGAGCCTCACTATTACCCGATCCTTCTTCAGTAGGCGCCCGTTCTGCTGTAGACGAAGTCCCTCCCGAAGAATTCTGAGCTCCTTCTGCTGCGGAGTTTTGTGCATTCTGGGTGGAAGAGGAAGGTGTAGGGAACGTAGAACTCGAACTACTTCTTGGTAACACGCTTCGACATCGAAGAAGATCCATTGCAATATGTGCAGTCGTCGTTTGAATGTTTTCTAGGATGCGTAAGCGCTCGTCTATCGCCTCCCGCGTCAGCTGGTCGAGCACCCGCAGCTGCTCCTCCGTCACTGTAAGAGGAAGCTCTTGAACACTCTGCCGCATGCCCAGTCCCGTAAAGCGTTCCAACCCAATGCGCGCTGCACGTCCGGCAACCCTCTCCGAGGACGACCTAAAGCGGGGTAGTGAAAATGACGAGATCTGCGGATCATAGAGCGGAATAAGAGTAGGGGCGGTTTGTGTTCTAGCGGAATTATTTGATCCTGGTGAAGTACTACTCGGAATTGAGGTCGCTGCTGGAATGCTGCTGCTCGGCGCACTTTCCGAGGCACTTCCGTTAGGCGCCTGAGTTCCCGACTGCGTAGGCATCCGATCGATTGGCGTTATCGAGCCCCGTCGGATAGGTGGACTGCTGCCTAGAGGGTTAAGACGCCGTAAAGCTGCTGCCGCTGCTGCTTCTCGTGCATTTGATTGAGGTGAAGCCGCCGGAGAAGTGCTCTGCGCCGTAGATGCACCGACGGAGCTTTCCTGACCTGCATTCGGAGCCAATTCTGCTCCGTTTTCTGGGTCAGGCCGAACCGTAATCGTCTGTGTAGATTCGGGCGGTTCGTTCCGCTGAACATTTGGTGCCTCATTATTGGCGTCACCCGGAACTTGAGGCCAAGGATGCCAAACACCATCGGGAGCAAAGAATCCGGCAAATCGCTCGCCCTGTGCAGCCAGAGGTCGAGGATAGGGAACTGCAGGCTGACCGAATACCGGTTGAAAGCCTTGCTGGACAGCTGCATAGCCGTTGGGTTGTTGGACTTGGCCTGCAGGTGGAATAGGCGGAAACTGTCCATGGGCAAAGGGTGGTAGCCCCGCACCACCCATAAGTCGACCAAGGATGCCTCCACGATTGGCTTGTTGATCCGGCTGCCATTGGAATGGCTGGCCAGGACCCATGGCATTAGGGGCTTGTGGGACTACTCCAGGCTGGACCCGAGGAGGGACAGGTTGTCCATTTGCTTGAGTCGGCTGGTTGGTTTCCAAGACGGATCTTCGGCTAAAGATTGGGCGTCAAGCACAAGTCAACATGGTCATGAATGATTTACGTATGAAATAGAAAGATGTGCATACCAGGTTGGGCAACTTTGTTGGCGTTCTAACCAAGAACGAAGACAGTAGAAGTGAAAAATGTGGCCGCATGGGAGCTTTTTGGGCGTAGTATTCGGACCGTCCTGCACACTTGGAGTTTGAGCCTGTTCCCCGGCAGCCTCTGGCTGCGGAGTTACTGTAGGATGAACCATCTCTTCGCGGCAGATAATACACGTTCTGTCGTTCATATTGCTTAGCTCTTCTTCCGTAGCATTCGGGTATCGTTCATCCATATTACGAGTTGCCGTGCGATACCGAATAAGATCCCGAAAGCGCATGATGAACGAACGTGCCGTAATGTAAACATCCCGGACAATGTTCAACGGAAGCCCATAGAAAGTGAGTACGATCATAAAAAATGCCATATATGTCACAAGCTTGAGGAAGTCTTGGGGAGGAGAGGGGGAAGTTGGGTCAGACTGCAGTTTGAAAGGATGCATTGCGAGATTTGTTGAACACACCAGTTGCAAGCTCGACATAGAAGACTAGCATGCTCTTATCTTCCCAAGGCGGTGCGTTTTCTCCGCCCCTCAAAGATGCACGTCTAAGATCAATTAGAGCAATAACATACTTCGCAACCGAGTTGCCTAAACCAGCGAGTAGAATTGCATACTATGAATTTGTAAACTGGTTAGATGCCACCTCCTCCTGTTTGTATAATTAACTCACTTCACTAGCAAATAATACTGTTCCTCCGACGCCATGCGTGAGCATGTTCTCAACTGTCAAAAGAAAAACTACTAGATCGGTTGCCCAAAGGAGACCGACGAGCGCATGAATGCGAATATGGAATAGTAGAGGCGGTCCGGGATAAGGTCTTTGGTCCATCTGGGCAATAGTGAGCGGAATTTCCTAAAGTTCGAGGGGTCAAGCGCCCAACTCACCCATTCTATCCGATCCGACAGGAGCCAATGGAAGCATTTTGTGAATAACAGAAGACCGAACATTAGAGCAAACGGAATGTCGAATTCGTCCCGGAATATGGTAAATGCTAGCAGTGATTCAGTTACAAAGAACCACATTCTGTCATACAGGCGCTAAAGGAAGACAAGTCAGCTCATAGATAGTTATATGTGAAGGAGAGATTAAGCGCACTTCAACCTCCATAGGTCTCAACGGTCCGAAGAATACTTGCTGAAGCAGACGCCCTGCCAGTAAAGCAAGAAGTAGACCGAAGTTGGCAATTACCTAGGTACATGTTAGAGAGTTCACCAACATATCCTTAATAAAATTAAATCCTTACGACGACAGTGCCATTGCTTTTAGAGAGATAAACTGCCACAGAATAGAAGTTGCTATGTCGCTTCAAAGCGTTCGCGACGACTGCCAAAACAGCTGCAATTGACAGAGCGGTATATAGGAGGACGCGGTGAGATGCAACTGAAGACGCGTAATGTTGCAGTTGGATGGGCATCTTCGCCACCCACGATGGAGGTCTGTATGACTGTCCAGTGTCCTAACCTAATGAATGTCCACGACACTGTGAAGCGGAATGACACGTCTTGCGCGAGCACGTGCCATGATCGACACTGATTCTCCTCCTTGCTTACACTGCTTTGTAATACATAATTTTTGCTGTGTAAATAGCTTTTGTTTAAAATAACTAACTACAGCTGTTCACAATCATTGTTTCTCGTCTATAGTCCCATCTGAGTCTGGTGGGCTGATAGGGTCATCAACTGTCTTCACTGGTCCCTTGAACCAATGTCGTGCAGATATCATCCAATGAAGTCCTGCGTAAATGAAGACGCCCATGATAATCACGACAGCATAATCTTTGTCGTGACGAGTATACAATAAAAGAAGGTTCAACAATGCATATTGTAAAAGACACGAACACTCACTCATGTCCTCCGCGTCCACAACTTGGGCAGGAGGGAAGAGAAGTAGGACTACTATAAAGGACACCCAAGCAACAGCAATGCAGCCGAGAGGTATTCCCCAGCGCCCGAGGCTAAAGGGGCCAGGCACTAACCTATTCCTGCCCGAGGTAATGCGTAGGAAAATTGGAGTCACATAAGACGTATACAAGCCAATAACGGCTGATCTAGAATCAAGTTCAGCGAGACTTGAAAGTCAGCGGATTTGCTTTGTCACATACCCAGCAAGGGACGTAAGTGCTGCCTCAGAGAAGCCTAGTAAGCCGCATACAGCAGCGACGCATACAACTAACCATACAGCCAGAACAGGTGTCTGGGTCCACTTATTAATTTGTCGCCAAAAGCGCGAACCAGGTAAAGCACCATCCCGGGCGAAAGCAAATACCACTCGGGAGGCGTCAACAGTCTGAGCCGCTCCTGTTACAAACTGCAGAAATCGCGAACAAAATCCGTGAGCATGCCAAGCGTGGGTCGTAGAGGGACTGATGCACTTGTACAACAATGATCAATGACCATACGACGAGCATGCCTTTCTTGCCCAGGACATCAAGAAAGAGCTGACCCATTGGAAGTGCCAAGTCGGTTTCAAGTAGTGCCGGTACAGATATAATTGTGAAAGACGCAGCGATAAGCGTGAGCCAACCAAGGGCAGCTGTGGCCCCGACACCGACGAGAATAGCAAACGGCGCAGCCTTCGCAGCGTCGGTAGTTTCTTCGCTAATGTGTGCAGCAGAGTCATCTGTGTGTTACCCGAGTAAGGTCAAGTACAGAATAAGAAAATAAGCGCGCACAGCCGGTAAGCGTCCACATCGGTGCGGTAAAGGCGAGCAGAAATGCCCAACCATCTATTGGCAGGTAAATATTGAGTTTTTGCAGCAGGACAGGTCACAGCAAACGAAGGCACTCACTATTAGGCCATCCAGTGTTATTCTCAAACATAGTAAATGCATCATGAGTGGATACCTTCTTGTCTCCAGAGCAGACGTAAAGTGCAATTATGGCACCGATGGTCGTACCAACTATCCTCGAGTTAATGGCGAGACGTAGTTTTATGTATGTTCGACGCACCATTCACAATGACGTAGAATAAATTCAGCCGGGCTAATATGCTGGTCGCGGCTGAGCATACAATCCCGTGGACGAAGAGGATTGCAAGAAGGATGCCATAGGTTGCACCATTCCCGAGGTTTACGGCACCGTCGGAGTTTACGGCAATAGCGGTAGTTATCATCTGCGCACTTCGATCACATCGTAAATCAGCTTCTCTTAATTGTCGAAGCTACGACAGAATAGGATGAGCCAAAATAATCTCACCATGTAAAGTCTATTGAACAAACAAGGGTTACTTGTCCCGTAACGTTCGCCCAGCCTGTAATCCAGCTAGCGAGTGCAGACCAGTTTGGTGATGCGAGCTTAGCTGAAAAGTAATATAAACCAGCACTCGTGCTACTTGAATTAATGAAAGTATAATGGGGATGGATTAACAGACTAAGACGCACGGCATCGAAGAAGCCAGCTCAGCCATGCATCTATTGCTTCGGGTAAGTGCTCTGAACCTGTATCGTGTCGAACAATTTAGTACACACGCTGCAATTGGCATGACAAAGAGGCTAGGAATGAGCCAGCCGAAGACCATGCCGACATGGCCACCTGAGACGAGTGGAAAGGACAGCGTTGAGGAGACAGACGCTATCACGCCCATTATTGAAAATGCGAATGCGATTGTCTCGACGAGCTACAATGCGAAGGCATGAATCAGCCAACCGAGTTAAGCATAGCAATAAGGATATTATCTGACAGAAAATTCGCGTTTGAATTCCGGCCTGTAGCCCAACTCTGCCAACAGCCTGTTATCTGTAGCGTGCAAGGCATCGAGAACGGCAATTCCTCCAGCTCGGTGGTCCACAGGCTTTGTAGTTACCCTGACGTCATCTTCTGTCTCCTTTGGCATTCTGACAGCACGCGATAAAGTTAATAGGCCGCTGCAAGGGCTTTGAGGGCTTTGTTTATGGCAGATAACAAGAAAGAACCTTGAGACTAGAGCGCTCTGAGGCCAAGCTCAACTTGAGTAGCTATAGAAGGTCGAGATTCCTCATAGTCAATCAAACTCCCACCGTCATACAATCCTGAACTCATTTTAGAAGTCGGCCTCACTGATAGGATGAGCTAATGTCCACAGAATTAGTGAGAACTTGTCGGCGCTCGGATAAGACCGCGGAAAAGATAAGGACGAGTACACATTGCCTCTCCACATTCTGAAGCCCGCGAAGCCCGTCGGTAGCAATATTATTACAAATGATTTCTTTCGGGGATTGTCTTTCGCGACGAATGAATGAAGCAGATTCTCTCCGATGGCTGAGGAAAACAACCCTAGACCAATGTCTGATTGCCTGATTCTTCACCACCCCGCAACGAGTAGAACGGTTTAAAAACTTGCCTTCGCCAAACATGTTAACTACTTTGGGGAAGCCCGACAAGTCTGTCGGAAATGTTAGTAAACTGTCTGGATTAACAAGTATCAGAAGCGACACGAATACATGTCATATGCTTGAAACTTGCAGTGTTTTTACAGTAATTCAGCCCATCGAGACGAAGGAAGCCTCAAACTTGCTCAAATGATGTGCTTACGTACAACTATATATTCTAAACATCACATGATCTTAGTAGAAATTTGTCCCACACGCCATTCCAGAGGCCCCGGGTATTTTTTGAGCAAGAAAAGGTGCGATAAGTCTCTCAGCTCAGGCATCACTTTTGCTCCTGCCGGCATCCGGAACGAGCAGACCACATAGCACAAGTCTTCCAGAATCCCGCATACCGTACCGTCTGAGCCTCTGAGGTGCACAAGGTTCTTAAGCGCTCGGACGCCTCCGTGGGCGCTTGTAGCTACATTAGCGCCGACCTAGCTATTCAGTTTCGAATCGCCGAAGATCGCCTTAAGGCCAGGAAAAAGAAATTGGGCTACCCTGGCAGCTTTGAATATCGGTTTGCGATTAGTGCAGCCAGGTGTTTGGACATTGGGCGCTCTAGTAAAGGGAGGTACGAGGTCCTTCTGTACATTCAAGCAATGGAAATGTCAATGAAGAACGGGCAAAGTCTTCAGGAGTGGGGCCTTCGTTGAGCCTGGCTTGTCGATTATATATTCGGCGCTTCGAAGTCACCTGCTGGCTTGCAGTATAAAAGGAGGCTGTGAACTACAGGTTCTTTAGTGCATTTTCTTCAAAGCCTCTCATGTCGCAACCAAAACTGCGCCGCAAGTCTAAAAACACTCTAGAAATCGAGAAACACTCTGAACAGCACCCAGTAGTTCGCCCTGCTTCTACAAGGCTCAATCTTCATCTCAGAGGCATAATTTTTGTGAAACTACTTGTCGGTTCTGTGCTTCTCGCTGCTTTTGCCAAAATATTTAACATCAAGCCAAGTAGTGTAGAGCTGTTCCCAAGTTCTTATGCACTCTGCTGTTCTGGTACTGGACGTATATACACTGTCGATGAAAACAATTCCAACGTGCAATGCATGGTAATCCATGACTCAAGGATTCTCTTGACCGGCTCACTTGGTAGGTATTTACCCTTTCTGCTGGACTTATACCTTATGTAATCGGTTCATCAGACGACGTGAACGGCATTTGGAACGCCAAGCAACACTCGAGCTCTACTGAAGGTTCCCAGAATGTCTTCAATACGCCTCTCAACATAAAGTTCCTTCCTCCTGAGGCCATTGTTGTTCCGGGCATGAGCGGTGAGCCCCCACCATTTTATTGACATCTGACCCTGGAGTGACGGAATAAAGATTCGCATGGACACATCCTCGAGTATGGTGCAAGTAGATTACTGTTGCTAGAGGGCTCCAAAGATAGTACAGGTGGGCATCTGCCGTGCGATTGAGTTTTTGTCTTGTCCCTCATGTTGTTATCGTCAGAGGTCGTTGGAAGAGTTAGGAACTACATACTCTCTCACACAGATATTCTAAACGATTCTTCAAGGTTTATTGAAGGCTGGGGCTGGGATCATACAGCATGGCCAATAGAAAAGTTTCCGTCCTATGTAAGTCTGCGCCATGGAGTTTCCGGACCATGAATTGAGAATTCTTTTAGGAAGAACTCGAGGCAGACTCAATTGTCCGAGGACGTCCGATCATCCTGCAGAGTAAAGACGGACACGCACAATGGATTTCTAAAGTTCTCCTGGAACAAATGCTTCCTTTGCCTTCGGGTATAGATGGCGGCATCATTGTGCAGGATAGGAAGGGCAACCCTACAGGTAGTGAACTTTCTGACGGTTTGTACGCCTGGTGCTGAATATGAGCAGGAGTTTTCTTGGATAAGGCGCAGGATCTGGTCAAGAAACCACCCTACACGGATGCGGACAGGATGTTACGTTTCAATCACACTGTCAAAGACGCCCTTTCCCGCGGACTTACATCTCTTCACGATGCTGGCTTTGACCCAGCGTCTCTGGATTTCTTCAAAAGGTAGGCGTATCCTCTATCGCAATGTGCAGCAATTGAATCTCGTATGAAGACTGGCGCGACTCGAAAAACTATCTGTTTGTCATTCCTACTAATCTAGCTCACGCATGTTGACTGAAGATTCGTTAGGTTAGGATTTATGGAATGTCCTACTTTGATGAGAACGCAAATTACTGGGGTGGCAAGGCAGAAAAGATTATTGACCAAAACAGACTAACCGCCCGAAGCGTGAAGATGTTTGCAGATGGTGGGATATGCACTGCCGACACGATTCAGCGGCGTTTTGACTGATCATTTTAATTTAACAGGTGCACTCCGGTCAGGAGGTGCAGCAGTGAGCAACATTTACGTAATCTTAGCTTGGGCTCTGACTGTCTAAATCCAACAGCTCTTCGATCCTTACACGGATAATCCGGATACTAGCGGTTTTATGCGCATTGACACTGATAAGCTGTACAAATTCATTCCGAAGTTCTTGGGGGATGGCTGGCAAGTGGTACGTCTGTTTTACTCATGCTGTTAAAGTGCATTGATTGAACTGAGATGACAGAACATTCATGCTATTGGTGATCGGGCCAACTCTATTGTCCTTGACGTCATCGAGTCTGCAATTAAGGAAATTGGCGAGAATTCTTTACGCCCTCGCATTGAGCACGCTCAGATTATCAGGCCCCAAGATGCTGCTCGGATTGCTAAATTAGGAGGTCAGCCGTAACTCCTGTAGATGCTATATTTTCGACTGAGGAGATCATTCCTACAGTTATTGCGAGTGTCCAACCCACTCACGCGTAGGTGACCCTTCCCCTTCCCCTCCATGTCAATATTTTGGGTATGACGTGCTTACCCTTGATGTTTATAAAGCGTAAGTGATATGTGGTACGCACATGAGCGTCTGGTACGTCCGACAGAAGTTGAAGTACTGCTTATCCTATATTGACTTCATTCTCGCCGCATGGAAGGGTTCTGAACGCGTTAAAAATCTCTATGCGTTCCGAACAATTATCGATGCCGGAGCACGTATCACATTGGGCTCAGACTTCCCGGTCGAAGACATGAATCCCCTCGCAGGCTTCCAAGCCGCTGTAACGAGATTATCACCTGACGGACATTCGCCTCATGGACCAGGTGGATGGTGCGTAGACCCGATAGATTAAATGTCGGAGATTAATTCTGCGCGTTCTATTTGACAGGTTCCCTGAGCAGTGCCTAACGCGGATCGAAGCGCTAAGAGGTTGGAATTTCCACCATGAGGCTACTTCATGTCATTAACCGGATGTTCTCAGGGTTTACAATTGATCCTGCATATGCATCATTTTCAGAGAAGGACCTCGGCTCTCTCGAACCAGGAAAGATAGCAGATTATGTTGTTCTTTCGCAGGACATCATGACCATCCCTGTCAGCAAGATACTTCTAACAAAAGTTCTCGCTACCGTGATCGACGGGAGGCCAGAGTACGGGTCAATATGATAGCTTTTGTTATACCTAGTTGTAATCTGCTGGATTTTGACCTGCTGCAGCTGGCCTATGTAGTTGGACGCACGCGCAGCTATCCTTCCCAGTGGATAGAGTCTAGACCTCCCGAAATCCGAGGAATAAATATACCTATTGTTCTACGAACTCACCAAAGAGAAAAAACATGCTTATACATCTACCTTGTCTTGTGTGTATGCGTCTCTTCCTTGCGGAATTTGTTATTATATATATGCAGGAACTCTGTGATTACTAGTAGACGGATTTAGACCAATTGATTCGATTTGAATCTTGAAGGCACGCTCACGTGATCTAACGCGTGCCACATATCGAGTCGCGCACTTCCGAACATTCAACACCGACCACGTCTATGCCTGCATTTCAAAGTCTCGTTCGGGCAGGACAGAAGCGCTCTAGCGATGCGAATACCTCAAGTTTAGTTAGTCGGAAACGACAGACTCTAGACATCGCAGTTAACGATGCGGATGGAACGACCATAGCAAATGACCCGACAAAAGTTGGCGAGCAGTACTGGATGGTACAATGGTAAGCCATGCATAGTTCAGTGTAAATGTAATGACTGTGGTGCATATAATCCATGCTTTAGGAGACTACCGCAATACAAGAAGCATAAGACCTGGGATGGCGATGGCGTACTCGTGCTGTTTGGCGGCAAGGGAGTGTTATACGGCATGGACGGCACAGTGTATGCTCTTCTCGTAAAATCATTTAATTCATATACTCAAGCTAGCTGAAGGATAGCGACGGGAAAACCAAATCCTGATGGAGCATGTATTGGGACGTTCCTTCAATTAGGTGGCAAAGAAATGGAGATCGATTGTGAATTACCAAAATTGGATTTCACGTCTGGCAAAGTCTTTGGGAAGGGAAGCTTCGGATCCTTCGCAGAGGAAATGGATACCAAGCCAAATCATGCAAGTGCTTTGAGCCTAAAGAAGAAATTCTCTATCCCTCTCAAGTCGATACCTGTGAAGCCCGCTCAACAACCACAAAGCTCAGACACATCCGACCCCCTTAGGACAAGAGGTATTGACCTTGAACCGGTATGCCTCCTCCAACGAAGAGAAAACGAACTACCTCCGAATCCCATACCAAATACATACTGGTCAGCGCATTGGTACGTTGCAACCACAGATACTGTATGCGATCGGAAATTCTTAGTCGAATTTTGTTCAGGCGCAGGCCACAGGGTAGAAAGCATAAAACGTGGGATGGAGATTCTTTTGTCGTCTGTTCGGGCAATAAGCTCACAATGGTTTCCGATGATGGCAAATTGTATGGACATTTATGCACTTTCGGTTCATACCTTTAATATCAGATACAGGATGGGTACAACAAAATGGAGAGGCGGTTCTCTGCAGGAAGGCTGCGTCCTTCAAATAGCCTCAAGGACGGTCGAGCTCGAGAGTCGGGTTGTAGCAGGTGCTGTACCGAGGATTACTGGGACCATGACATCGGAGCGCCCGTGTGACGAAGACAGTGGTGATCTGGAGACACCCTTGACTGATGATGCTTGTTCAGATGCTGGTGCATTCGAGATGAGGGTGTTATCATTTGCAGCAAAGGAGAATATTGATTGTCGAGGCACGACGGTCCAGTCAATCTCTTCTGAAGCAACACGCAAGAAGTTCGTCACACCGGTTAGCTTTTACGGCCAGGCTATATCAAAGTCAAAGCCTGCGACACCCTTGTACGTTTTCCCGGTTTCTTACACTTGGTAGCGACACTAATTATCGCTCGAGACACGACCCACTTGCTGAGGGTGCTGTGGTTATGAAGGAACCGACGAAGGAACACCAAAGGAAATTCAACTTAAAGTACGAATGCTTACGTTTTATAATAACACCAATCTAATTGGTAAACAGGGGACGCCCTGTGATTCCTGTCGTCGTAGATCCAATTTTGGCCAGACATTTGCGTCCTCATCAGAAAGAAGGTGAACACTGCCATAACTGCGGCTCCTATGCATGTCTGATTCTATGGGCTTGTAGGAGTCAAGTTCATGTATGAATGCGTTATGGGACTTCGTAAACACGAAGGTCAGGGATGTATTCTCGCGGACGAGATGTGGGTACAATGAATCGCATTACAGTATTGTGCTAAAATCCCAGTCGAGAAAAGGGGAATGGGCAAAACCTTGCAGACCATAACTTTGGTTTGGACTCTTCTCAGTGAGTCCTAGATGATGCATAGCTATATTTGTTCTCATTATACTGCAAAGAACAAAATTGTTATGCAGGAACTCCAGCCGTTGGGAAGGTCATGATAGTCTGTCCGGTTACGCTGATTGCGGTATGTCCTTTTCATTATTGAAATCATTCCGTCCTTGTTTACCAACCGTCGATACAGAATTGGAAGAAAGAATTTCACAAATGGCGCGTTCATTGTGATATGAAAAACATGAGCGAAGCTGACACAAATCTAGGCTCGGTAAAGATCGGCTCGGCATATTCACTGGTGATAAGAATAAGGAGGCAGTAAAACAGTTCATTAACTCGTAAGACCTCTGACCTTCCGACACGTTGTCATGGCTAATTTATTGCGTCTATTAGGAAGATACACCAAGTCTTAATCATTGGCTATGAAAAACTTCGCACAGTTATGTGCGTTTCGTTCTTGATTCACATTCGGCCATTTGATCACTAACAACCGCATTAAAGTTCCGAACTAGCTTACTGCTTGTAAGGTTTTTGCCTACATGAAGCTGAAGCCGGTACAAACCGATCAATTATTCCTGTCTCTAGGCCACCCATAGGCCTCATAATCTGCGATGAGGGTCATCGCCTGAAATCATCCAATAACAAGACCTCCACGATGTTCGAAGCTCTGTCAACACCGCGACGAATAATATTGTATGTTTTCCCTCTCACACCTGAACTTCATGTGCTGAATGAAGACCGGAAGGTCTGGTACTCCTATCCAAAATGGTAAGATTGAGTGCAGCTCACTAAATTACTGTTCTTTTTTACTATGGTCACTTTGCTTGACAGATCTCTCGGAGTTTCATGCTATGGCAGATTTCTGCAATCCTGGTCTCCTAGATGACTATTCAATCTTTCGAAAGGTCTTCGAAAACGCAATCTTGAAGAGCCGTACACCTGACTGCTCGGCGAAAGAGCGAGAAATTGGCGAAGGTCGACAAGCACAGGTTTGCGTCATATATGCTTCTCTGTATCTTACGCACTGCTTTGCTCAACGGGTTGCTAGCTTCAAACCGTCGCCCGTAGCTTTGTACTCCGCAGGGAAGCTAGTATTCTCACAAACTATCTACCTCCCAAGTGCAAGTATTATGCTTGCTTAACATCGTCAGCACGCCCACTTATCAGTCTTTGTTACGCAGATGAATATGTGGTTTTCGTCACCCCATCACCTCTCCAGAGGCAGATGTTCGTGAAGATACTACAACCAGACACTTTGGCTACTGTTCTTCATGGTTCCATGGCGCGTTCATTGGCCATGATCCAGTTACTCACAAAACTTAGTAATAGTCCAATATTACTGAAAGCCGCGTTAGAAAAACGAGAAGACAAGGCTGAATCGGACGCTCACGAGGCCTTCGATGAGGCTGTTAAACTTCTACCGGAATGTGCTAGAGCGCAGGACCCGGCTCTTAGCGGTAAGCCGTGTTTTCTCTAGATCTCCATTCGTCGTCCCCTAATGAGTCGCAGGGAAATTACAAGCTTTATCAAACCTTCTCGCATACCTACGCAAGGTATGGACGTGTGATTCTCGATTCATCACCCTCAAATATTGAGGTACTAAGCAGGAAACGGATGAAAAATGTATCCTGGTCTCCCATTATACCTCGACACTCGACGTCATCGAAGAGTTCTGCAAGGAGAAGAAATACACTTTCTTGCGGTTAGATGGGTAGGGACTTATCGTTACTCGCGCGGCTGTCAGTGGTTAACTTGACTATACAGACAAACGCCCGTAGCAAAGCGACAAGAATATGTCGATAGATTCAATAAAGCCCCACAATCAGGAGCATGTAAGCCTTCTGTGTATTTACTTCAACCAATTATTGCTACTGATAAATGTGTCAAGTTTTGTTCTTATTGAGTGCGAAGGCTGGTGGTGTAGGCTTAAACTTAATTGGGGCTTCTCGGCTTTGCTTGATCGATAGCGACTGGAACCCGAGGTTGGCAGTCTATTTCAGTTCATTCATTTGCACGACTGAATAAGTGATTTAGCCATGACTTGCAGTCAATGGCACGTATCCACAGGTATGTGCGATTAGTGGTTGCCATATACGAAGAATTAATCCACCCTCAACAGAGACGGCCAGAAGCGGCCAGTCTTTATATATCGTCTCTTGACGGCGGGCACCATTGATGGTTTGTGCCGTTAGTCATGAGAATTAGCATACCTCTCATATCACGAAGAAAAAATATACCAGCGTCAGATCACGAAGCTTGCATTGAGTGCCTGTAAGTTTAGCTCGGTTTCAGCTCGTGACAAATACTGACATTATTTGTGCTTAGCTTTGATGGGAAAAGTCTGTGACTACGTGTCTTACATTTACCGGCCACTGACATGATCACCAGGACGCCCCGGACAGCGGTAGCTCAAAATCCGATTCCTTCACGCAAAAAGAGGTGATTCCAACCCCATTTATGTGTATTATGGCTGAGCGACATCCGTTTCAAAGCTCCGGGATCTCTTCACTTTCTACCAACATACTAGCTGTCATACGCACGATCTCATCGGATGCCCCTGCACGCGCGGGCATGACGAAGAAAGATCGGACGATCCAATGCTTGATGATGCTTTTCCTGATCTGTGCTTCGAAGAAAGCGATAACGAAGAGCAGACGCGAGAAATTGGATTTTGTAAAGCTTCACTTATTCCTGAGGACTACGCAAAATTAGACAAAGCAGTGAGTTCAATCCTTTTTCAAAAAAAGCAGACTAGAAATACGGTTTCGTAGTTTTTAAAGAAGAAAAAGGCGGAGCTAGCCTCTCTCGGCGAATGGACGCACATCAATTGCCTTGATGCTCGTACGAAGCCAGCGATTATCGACAAAGCACTGCAGAGTATTTCTTCCGTACCGTCTGAACATAACGTTGCTCTTGACCGGGAAACCACGGCTCACATCCTACCTGAGGATATCCCAGGAGGGTCGATCTCCTTCCTATTTGAAAGAACGTCAGAGAAATCAGTCTGAAAGTTATTATTACTTTATACGCTTTAGATTACGCTTCAAGTCTCAGTTGTCAACATGCTTTCTAAATTCTACTGTATTGTCTTTTGCCCTGTTTTCCACACTGATGATGTAGAACAACAAATCGGGATCATTTATCGCTTATTCTGTCGCAGTTTCAACTAATTCATGTAACAATCAGTTTTAGTTCGTGTCAGTGCTTCAGTAGTAATGCTACTATTGAAAGAAAGAGGACTTGTTGATGGTCGAAAGTTACGAAATGATCCCCAGTTTTCCTATTCTGGAAACGGATCATACTGTACATATTTTTGTGCCTCCACATGCACTCTGTGCTTCAACCACGACTTAAGCCTACAGCTGCGTGACAATGGGCAAGAAGAACAAGGACGATACCCCGAACATAAACAGCGTACCAAATAGGGATATAATCCAACGACTTAACTTCCTTTACCAGGCGAGTTCTTACTTGAACGGATTGGGCGTCGTACGTACTCCAGCTGCACCCTCGGGAACTTCTACTCGTCCTGTGAAGGAAGATGTGACCTCGATAGAAGACCTTCCTTCTGAAGACCCAGAAAACGAAGGAGTTAAAGCCAACGAGGACATTGGAGAAAAGAGTCCGCAGGGTCGCGGCACGCGAAAGCCTTCAGGAAAACGGAAGGCAACAACTCACGACCTTGCACGGAGCTACGTGAAGTCCATGAAAATTATCGGACAGAAGACAAACGTGAAGATGTAAGCCAAACATAGCTAGTCTCTCTCCACGTAAACCTGAATCTAAAATATTACCCCTTCATTTAACTCTCGTATACTTTTAGGGATCCATCGGTCAAACGAACATTGTGCAAAGGCTGCAACACGCTTCTTATGCCTGGCGTGACTGCAAAGGTTCGAGTGAAACGTGGGTATCATGCATTTTGTATGATTACAGACTTGTTCATTCATTCTGACATGACTTTGTTTATGCGCTTGACTAGCTTTGCCATCTCATGGACATGCCGTTAATTACACGTGTATGCACTGCTCTTTCTCGCGCCGCATTCCAGCTCCTCCCATAACAGAGCAAACATCTCTGGCATCTTCTGCTCAAATAACTGATGAGCCTGCCACATCCACCCAATCCATGGACATTGATCCGGTGAATGCTTTGCTGGACAAAGTGAAAGAGAAGGCAACTTCGACGCCTGTGAAAGACGTAAAGCAGATGCAGAGAGGTCAGAAGCGGAAGAAAAGGCCTATTAAGCCTCGTCAAGTTCCATTCTTTGCAAGAGCGGAACATCTTATATTTGTCGGAAATGAGCGTGTACATCGAGACCTCGAGGGAAATGAGCCAAACTAGCTACCAAGAGATAAAGATAAAGGAACTCCGCATACACGCATTTGCGGTGTACATAGATGGTTCTGAAATCCGTCCAGAATCCGGATTAGACGGTCTCAAGTATTTCCTTCAGCACCTCTTTAACGGTTCTTCGTCCAAACTCCCATTCCTCCTCTCCGGGGTCTCCGACCGGATTAAATATCAAACTCGCGAGTATTTCATGCCGAGGTCCTTCTAGCACGCTTACACGGTGCTGCATCACTTTGACGAAAGCCTTTCTCACGTCTTCATCAGTCACATCGACGGAGGGGGACTCAGGACCCCTATCCTCCGGCGGAGCTCCGAACAGAGCACGCCACGCACGTAAAAGGTCCAAAGTTTCAGCCCGACATCGAGCGGTGACAAGCATTCCATCGAGGTGCGAGTGGTGTCGTACAGCGCTAAGGAGGTCGGAGAGGTACAACTCGGCCCTGCAGCCGATGATGGTGTGCGACGGCCCCGCCAGGGCACGGAGATCCGCGAGTTCCTGCAACGTGGGGGTCAGTTCCTGAAAAGTCGATGTTTTGATGAAATGAATCGTACCAGAGGAGAGAGGACTGCACTGAGCGAGGCTGTCTCGGCCTCAATCAGTGAAATTGGCGGCATACGATTATCCACAGTATTTTCAACGTGCGGATAAGCTTCGACGCTCAACGCGAATCTATCCAGCTGATCAAGCGTACAGCATTACTGCAACCCTCATCGGCATTAGCACATTGCACTCACGAGACTCTTGTGAATTGGAGGGCGGTCGTGGCCAGTACCCAATGGACATATGTACACAACAAAGAAATCGATAGGCAATGGCCATACGCCTTCAAACAGCAGGGATTTCTGGGTATTCTTTTGACCAGGGTGACCATGACCTATCGAGACTTGTCGGTCAGTCATGATAGTCCATAATGTTTTCTGAACTTCTTCTGAGGTGTATTCTAGTCCAGAAACTACGAAGACGCTGGGAAACAGATTTGTTCTGGGATCTTCCGTTGATTTGTCGTCGTGCCACAGCGGTGTTGGATCCGTGTGCGACCTCGATAAGGCATGGACGTGATGTTCGTGAAGTCGTATGCTCCGTATCGAAGAACTCACGCCGTACTCTGCGCCAAAAATTTCTAAGTCACCGAGTAAATCACCCGGACCCAGTTCAGTAGCAGTATTGTCAGCGAGAGATGAATTCGGGTATGAACTAGAACGACGGAAGGTGGAAACATGATTCCCGCCTGTGTTCAGTGTTTTCCGCGAGTTTGTTCGCGAGGAAGGTGGACCGTGGACGGGGTTCTCGAGAAAGAGAAGGCGAAGGAAATCGTCCGGGGAAAGCTTGTCGTTTCGTCTGAGTCGCAATTTGACGACCGAGAGACTGAACAACAAATGCAGGATCTATTTGGGGATTCTACTCAGCATTGGTGTTCAATACTGGGAAATTCACATGTAATTTATCCTTTAGCATGCAATGTGTGTCCAAGATGTAACTAAGGACAGCACTGAGACCGAATCCGGGTGCGTTTCTGACTTACGTTGACGGTTTGAGTGAGAACTTTGGCTTCTTCGGCGGTGCGAACGATGACGTGCTTCTGTCTGGCGACGAGAGCCAGTAACAAAGTTTGAAACAATGGTTCGTCGGCGACTAAAGTCGGATGGGCAGCATATGCTCTTGCGAGGACGGTATGATAATAGGACGCCATATTGGTGTTGTCGAAAGCCAAAAGAATGGTGAAAGATTGAGTCGATCAGCGAGTAATGTCCGCATTAGGCGCACCGCTACAACCGCCGATGGCCGACTGGCGACGATCGCGAGAAAGGTCGGTTTCGTCGCTCTGCGCGACAGTCAGCTTCTGCGGTGCGTTCCAATAGAATCCATTCAATATTATTTTTGAGCACGCGGCGCCGGGGACACGGTCAGAGACCAATAATAATGACAGGTCAAGCGTACGTACACATACACTGGCGACCTCGCAGACACCGAGTGGAAGAGTGCCCCTGGGACACTCTAGTGCACTCGGTGCGCACACGGCTGGTCCAGTTCTGCTTCGTCTTCGCCTTCGCCTTCGCCTTCGTGTGTGGATATGAATTGAAGCGCGTGTTTGTGATGATGCTGCTTGCTGCTTGAAGCAATTTGATCTCACCCTCACTCTGCAGTGGCTGCTGGCCGGCACATCGACTCTATTCTTACCGGCTTGGGATCTCTCCTAACACGACCTGGCTTGCTCGTGTTCACCCAGTGTCTCCCTTTTCTTTGCTCCTTCATGTCCATCTCCAATCGCGAGCGCTCACCCTTCCCGCTCTCATCTTGTTCATGGCCCAAGAAATAACATTCAACCTTACTATCGACGACTCCTCTCCCCAGATTGCTTACTCCCCTGCGACATTAATCGATACTTCCCCCAACCTCCAATCAAGCTGGAATCAATATTTCACTGGTGCTGGATTTAACACGTTTCCCGGAGAGGTCGGGCCACGCAATGAGAGCTTGCACGTCACGCAAAGAGACGGCGCGAATTTCTCTCTAGCTTTTACGGGTGAGTTTATTTCGCTTATCGAGTCGAGTCGAAATTTCCACGCCGTGTCTTCCGCGACTCCGAGAGCTCGTCGGGTGCATTTGTGCGCCCTGATCATGTGTATGCGCCATGAACAGCGTTCGGGCCAGGACTGGCAAATGCGGCGACGGAAGAGCCGAAGCTGATGGATCCTAGCACTGCATGATGCCACAATCGGCCAGATCATCACGATCGCGTTTCCGTCCAAATCCTGTCCACGGCGACACCAGCTCACCTCTCTGACATCTATTGCAGGAACGGCGATAGAGCTCTACGGCTTGGCCGTCCAATCTACATTCTCCATCCTTCTCGACAATGAAAGCACGTCGTCATCGTCATTTGCTGCCTCAGAGCCGTTCAATACCACTGCAGATCCGACGACGGCTCTTCTTGCTTCTTTCTCTGGACTGTCTCAGCAAGATCATATTATTTCTTTTACTGCGCACACCACAAACACGGCAAATGCCTCTAACACATCGGGTTTACTTATCTTCGATCGGGCCGTTGTCGCCGTGTCGACTGGCCTTACAGAGTAAGTATAGTCTCTATCATCACAGTTCCCGTTGCGTCCGGAGTTTGCATGTACTGATCTAGCTTGCACATACGTTCGTCCCTCAGCGCCGCGGTCACGACGACGGTGATCAGTGACACAGAGATGCAATTTACTGGCTCCTGGACTTTTGTAAATGACTCCACATTGATTCCCGAAGGAGACCACAGTTGTCATTTAACTCAAGCCGCTGGTGATCAAGCACAGTACTCATTCAAAGGTCTTTATCAGATTCTTCCAATCATCTCTCCTGCTGACAACCGTATCTCATCTTCCGCTTCCGTGTGCAGGTTCCTCAATTGAGCTAGCTGGCCTCACCAACGCATCGGCGGGTCTATTTAATATCAGCTTGACTTCCGATTCCGATTCTGTCACACTTCGACAGCAGCAACTATCCGGCATCTCGTCATTTCTTACGTATACGACACTCTTTTATGCTTCCGGCCTCGATCCGACAGCGACACACACGTTGACCATAAGAAATATTGAGAATAGAACTCTTGCAGTGGATAGCATGAACATCACTGTTGTAAGTGGTGGGCAGGCGTGAGTAATTCATTTATCTTGTAAAAATCTCACGTATCATATTTTGTATTGTGTCTTCCACTCCTTTTGGTATTTTCCCTGCCGCATTTTGCGCGAATTGCGGGGACTTCGTATCATTTTCAGTGGCCCTTGATTACGATTACTATATTTAGTAACCATTGACCGACATGAGCGTTTCGAGTTGCTTCTCTCAAACGCTTCGGCCCTTGGGCTGGGAAATTCTGAGAATATAAGGCGCCTCGGACGTCGGTTGGCACTTTGGGCCTCCTCTGTCTTCTGGATCGAAGTGCTATGCCCTTGTGCTTTGCCAGCGATCCCTCGCTTTACTTCACTTATTACGGGATCGTCAGAGTGTTTACCCTTCACCTACTCCCTTCTTGTCTTCTACTATCATCGAATGTTTACTTGATCTGACACATCTTCATGACTAGCAGTGCATCGTCGCCGTCTACCACAACTCAAGTCACTGCAGTTGCTGGCCTATCGCGAGGAGCAATCGCAGGCATCGCAGTTGCATCGTCGCTCGCTCTACTCTTTTTATTGGGAATTCTAGCGGTTGTAATATGCTACTGCAGACGGCGGCAAAGATGCGAACGCATCCGACAAATAGAATATGCAAGTGGTCTCAAACCTCAACCTCTTCACCAACGCGTGGGGTCAGGGGAAGTTGTACCCATTAGTCCCCGTTGGCCTACCAGACCTTCGAGTGCACCAGACAGTATACTGGTCGGAGATGGACATCCGATTATCGATTCAGACGTCTTGGATACTGTGCGCCTCGAAGAAGACATTGAAACCGATTCCGGTCTCGGACATATGCGAGAGAAGAGCAGGAGCATCAACAGCATACCCTCATTCGACAATATTCCGCGGGAACAAGTTCCACCTACCCGGAAGCCGGCAAGGCATCGTAGCTTTGCTTTGAGCCGATGGTCGGGATGGTTCACATCTTCTTCACGGAATAGTTCCTCCAGCTCTGGACGGAATGCATCTTCACCCCCTACCGTTCCGATTGTGTCTCCACGACCAGTGCGCGTGTATCCTCCACCCGAAGTTCTTGCTCGAGCACACGTCAGGGACAGTCAGAGCCGGCGTAGTAGCGTCATACGCGAGTCGGCCTTGTTGGATATTCCGCGGACTTCGCCATTCGAGGTAGATTTTGAAAAGCACGGTCAACTACGGCCTGCAGCATCATCGGATTTGGTGAGTCGATACTTGTCTTATCACGTAGAATTAAATGTATTGAAGCACATGTCGATTTTTTTTACAGCCTCGTTCCGTCAATTCCGGGTCTCTAGGAGCACAAGCCAGAGACATCCTGGTTTCGTTTTTAGACTTCGCTTCGTCGGGCGCTGCTTCGCTTAGAGAATCTACACGTTCACGCTCGCGCCGGCCATCCACCTCTAACAAATCGACTTCACACAGTGCTCAAGATGCACAGCCGCGTTCACCTCAAGACTCAAGTGGGCAAAGTCACACTACGTCTACTGGCATGTGGACGCTGTCGTTATCTGTCGAACCGCCGCGTCGGCCCGTCCGGGAGTCGCAAGAGCTCGTCCCAACCACTGCAGTTGACACTATTGCATCCGCTCGACATCCGTTCTCTATGGTTTCTGCTGATCTGCAGGTAGCCTCGCCGGATTCCCCGACAGATTCACTTCCGATGTCGGTCTCTGATATCAACTTCCGAAACGACGAGGACAGCGAGTCGCCTGTCGCCGAGAGAGGTACTCGGTTCCATCTACCCCGACATCCACCTCTACCTGGTACTCCCCATTCCTACGCTTTCACTCCCAGGTCCCGATCTCCCGAGTTCGTAAGAGCGAGCCACATGCGGCAGATGAGTGCGCCAAATTTGGGTTCAACAGAGCCGAGGCGACCATATGTCGCACAGACTTCCTTCGGGCGCCGTCTCGCACAAGTCCGCGCTCAAGCCATAGAATCCCAGGCCAGTCTTGGTCTTCCCACCCAATCGGACACTGCAACGCTTTCCGAACGACAACAACCTACCACTCAGACGCCGCAAAGCGGCAGTACCAGCCGTTTACGGAACTTACCTTTACCTTTCATTCATTTCGGTCGCAGCGCGAGCGGGTCTTCTTCTTGATGTATCTAAGCATCCCATTTTTTTCCCTCATAAATTTCTTTCCTCTCTTTTTTTATGTTCGCTTTCATTTTCTCTCTCTTTTCAATTCAATCCAATTCGGATCTTCTTCTCGTGCAAGGACGGAGAATCACTTTTTGGTCATTTCATTGTTACCACCTGTTGTAGTTGTATCCACATGGTTTATTTTGATTTGGTTTCTTTCTATTACCTCTTTCCTTGGCACATCTCAGTGTATTGAACCTCGCTTTGTAACTGCAATGATGTCTCTCCTTTATGTCGGTCTTTCTCGCATACAGTCCATGACATACTTATTAATCTAGTAGGTATATGGAGTTAATTTACCAGGGTATCCAACTACTCTAATAGGCTTTCACGCTGGTGGGGCAGTATCCCTCCGCAGTCCAAAGCTCACGAAGCGGCGCAGATCTGAAAATACCTCGCGCCGTTGTTCCGTGCCTCTTGAAGAAACGTCCGAACCTGTAGGCGGCCCGCTCAATGGAGGCGAAGCCAGGGAGCTCAGTATACCCTCCGCGGTGCTTGAACCACTACCTGATCCAGAAAGTAAAGAAGGGAGATTCACACGACTCCCCGGCGGGCTTGTCAGATTAGCGAGTGACTGCGCAGCTGGAGGGTCCATATCAAGTGAAGAAAGGAACGAGGAGCTCTCAAGTTCCGGCTTCGTGCTCGTGATAGTGACAAAGGAGTCAAGGAGATTATTTTGTGCGGCGCGCGGAGTTCCTTTGAGGTCAAGTACCTACAGATGAAAGTGAGAAATGAATAGAATCCTTGAGGTCTTTGTTATGTCCGGACCTTCTGAAAATTGGAAAATGATGCGTCACCGACGAGAAGAGTATAGTTTGTGATGAAACCTTCAGGTGGATCCTATGAGCGATGCGATGGACTTAGTGTGGAATCACAGACGCTGGCCGAGTGACGTACTTCTGGAGGGATGATGGCTTTCAATAAGGTCTCCAACCGCGTGGTGCTCTTTGAAACACTTCGGCCGAACCTAGAATTGCATCAGGTCAGCAAGGAGACTTGTAGTGGGCATTTCTGATCATCACATCGAAGTTGTAGATATCTCTCCAGGTAGCTTCAACAGGCATGTTCGGATCTCTTGCAAGTCTAGAAGGAGCTGACAATGGAGGTCAGTATCAGCTATCTTCACACTACGTTGTACTTCACCTGTTCAGCCCCAACATCCTTGAGTGGTCGGCTTTTTACAAGGGCATGGGTAAACCGCGCGAGGACTAGGCTACATGGAAGAATAGTATGGCATCAACATCATGTATGATTACCTCGTAGGAAGTCACGCTTACGCGGCCGCCTTGTCGTAAAAATTACGAAGGTATTTCTTTTGCTCGACCAGAGGATTGATGGCGCTAACAACCTGGTCGATGGATCTGACGAGGTCCCCCACATATTGTGATGGACCACTGACATTTGCAATAGACGTCCAGGCAGTTTTAGTCATGATCTCGAACGAGGGTTCAACGGCCGTCTCTAGCTCCCGCAACTGAACCAGGATAGCAGATGAGATAACACTATATTGCAATCATCAGTTTAGCGGCGAGTAGCAAGACGCGAATTTGTTATTTACCTAATGAAAAGATCTCTCTCTGACTGGAACGATACGTTCTCTTTCAATTCAACTGCAATTTTATCCTTGATTCGTTCTTCAAGCTTTTGCCGTGCTTATGAGGCTCAATCTTAGCTCAAGTAATGCAAGATGACGGACCTCTGATGCGGTAATTTGGCAATATTCTGCAGTATTAATCAGCAGGCATGCGGTTTTTAATTCGTGGATGTCATAACGAGTGTCCGAAGAACGTCGAGGTTGATATGCCGGCCTAAGAGTTTCATGCGGATCAGGTTTTATAGAACAGTGTAGCAAGAGCAATCTTCACGAACTTTTTCATACCTGCGAGAAGCACATCCTCTGATAGTCTAATCAGAGATTTGAGATAATAACAAAGGACGAGAACCCGAACCGGCAAAGATCCTCAGCCATTTCTTTTGCAAATTTGCGAGATCCAATAATGGCTTTCCCACGAAGAGCTTAGAGCATTGCTCAAGTATCTGACCATAGAAATAAAACAATTCGGTTGATGAAGGCAAAACGACGGCGGGAGACGCCGACTCCTCGTCGGTCGAACTTGGAACAGCCTCGAGCGATGCTCGTGATTTCTTGCCTCGGTGGGGAGCGAGCATATCAGAAAGTGCCCTACGAGAACTCTTGAAAACTATTTCCATAGATAGATTTTACACTTACCTATCCTGTGCATCGATGAATATGGACATATAAGGTTCGAACGCTGATGACAGAGAGTTGATCGGTCGTAAAGCAGCTGTCGTCGATAACTTGAGAACATCTTGAATCTGGACTCATAAGTCAGAAGGGATGGCAATATCAATTGGAGGTGACCTACGGGCGTTGCATACTTCTTGCTGACAAAGGCTTCAAAATCGAGTGCCTGTTGTAGTGACTGCATCAACATCGAAACTGTCAAGCCGTTGCCAGCTTTCTCGAGAAGCCGCGAAAGGTCTTCACTGTGTTAGTACCTTAGCTTCGAATCCCGTCGTAGAATAGTCTGATGGTTACCGAGTGAAGTCTATAAATTTGGCACACATGTGCTGTCCAACCTGCCACTCAGGTGGAAAGACCCGAGCACGTTCAGCGTCATGCGTTGCCAGTGTTCGTCTGAAGAAGGCAAATCGCCTCGTTAGATTATCAAGTTGACCCGCTTCGTCGGTCACGCGGAAAATGCGTCGATATTCTTTTAGCTCGATTGCACAATACCGTTCAACGAGATGAGCACGAAAATCGTCACCGATCACATCAACGACCAGGCACGCATTGGAGATTACGGAAGCTTTTATGGGGTTGGCCGGGTCCGGTAGGAAGCTACACAAGTCAGCACTTAAGCCAAGGGGGAAGCAGAAAGTTTGCATACAATGCATCGAAGTCGTGATCAAGCCTCGTGCGAAGTTCTCCCTGCAAGGTTTGTATCCGAGCCCATTGCAATGCAATCTGCGGTATCGAGAGGTAAGACTTGAACGGTGCGGAAAGCTCTTTAATGGCCTAGCATGGCTATTTCAGCCTCAGGCCAGACGGCGAAGGAGACCATAACTACGCACAGCTAATGTTTGTGAGGTTTCAACGTATTTTTTCTCCTTAATAAGCTCTTCTAGCTGACTCAACGCGTTTGCTGCACAATTATACCATGAGTATTGATAGGACGTCCAAAATACGAAAAGACATACCAAGCATCTGCAGCCTCTTTAACGTAGTCATGCTCATAGTGAGATTCTTCTTTGCAAGATCCAAAAGCTGGATATCCTTCGTTATGTTGCGTACAACCGCCTCCGACTCAGTGGCTTGTTCGCGGATGCGCGACATTTGACTCATAAGTTCCTTTTGATAAAGTTTGACATTAATGACTTTCAACCCATCGTATTCTACAGAGGTACATACGGAAATCATCTCTTGAATTAGTTGCATTTTTTGAGGGTCTTGATTCCTCTGCAATTCAGCATGAAGCGAGTCAATTTCAGCTTGAATAAGCTCGACATCCTGTGCCAGCCGAATCTGGACTGCTTCAAGTTGGGCCAATGATGCCTCTAAATAACTTATGAGTGACTTTCGTTATCACGGCGTTCCACAAAGCTAACCATCGGGGAAAAGTTCGTTCAACGACCTTACTGGGTTGAATTGAGATGATAACGTGTCAAGTGAATCAGAGTAAGGAGCGTTCTCGACATTCAGAATCCTTTCAATAGACAGAATAACTTCGTGTGGCAGGTCCATGTCGTCAGTATCATTCACCAGTCAGGTCGCGTTCATGCAGTGAACCTACTCTCGTTAATCGCGTCGCGTGCTTATTGATCACGTGATATTATAGACATTTGAAACAAACACAAACTCGCAAGCCTACCAATCAAATCTCAGATCAAACGAAACTTGAATTGCCCGACAATACCCGATGAAACTGGAATCATTAATAAACACACAATGACTCGCTGCTCTACAGCATCATCATTGCGTGCAGGTCTTGCCACTTTATCTTCTCATCTCCCATACATAAATAGCTCCGGTGAATTGTTTTGACAGAAAATGTCTCAAACAAGCCAGGAGATCATCATGAACAAACAACCAAGTGTCGAAAGAATTGAACTCGAACGAATTTCTTCGCATAAGCAACCAAGTACTGATCATGCTCACGTTGATATCAAAAACGCCGTGGAAGAGAACTTTGCAGGTCACATAGGACCATCTCAAGCTGATGCCGATGATCTGGAGCCGCCTGAACATGCTGTCGAGGATTCTACACCAACAAGACGATATCAAACCGTGTTACTCATTAGCGCGTTTCTCATGATTTTCCAGGTCATGGGCATTAACTCAATCTACGGTGTATTTCAGGTTAGTTGGTATTTAATGAAGAAGCAACTATAACTGCATGACCTACTTAATTTCTAGGAATTTTATACCTCACCAGAGACTAATATCGTAGACGCGCAAGGACAAGACGCGCTCGTGTCTCTGGTGGGTACGCTTGGGTACGGATTGACATGGGGAGGAGGGATTTTTGTCAATCCTCTAATTGTTAGAGTGAAGAATCTCAAGATTATCACTTTGACTGGAACGACCGTTATGTCCCTGGGATTGATCTTGGCCAGCTTTAGTACAAGGGTATATTTATCTGCGTCTCCATGTTCTGCCTTACTCATGACGAATTCTTAGCTCTGGCACCTATTCCTTACGCAGGCAATTATGTACGGTCTGGGAGCAACGTTTCTCTATTTCACTATTATGTCCCTTGCTCCGCAATTCTACGACAGAAACCGTGGTTTTGCAATGGGCTTCATTCTGTCAGGAATTGGAGTTGGTGGCCTGGTGCTTGCACCGACGATTCATGCGCTTATCCAGAGTGTCGGCATACGCTGGACATTGCGGATCCTTGGACTTTGGACATTCGTCATGATGGCCCCCGTGGCATGCGTCCCGCGCCATCCGCCTGGTTTTGAAGCAAGGCGGCGTGGTGGGCCAGGCGGCACGAGACTGAATGCTTCACTATTGAAGAGGGGGACGTTCGTTGCTCAGGTCTATAATACCAATGACTTACAGGCAATGGATCAAACTGATTTTATTTCCGCAATGTCAGTCTGTCGGATGTTTCCTACAGGCAGCAGGAAATATCGTCCCATTGTTTTATCTGACCACATTCTCCACCTCTGTGCTACAATACTCGGCATCAACAGGCTCGCTACTACTGGCATTGAATAATGCAGTCAATAGCGTGGCAAGAATTCTTATGGGCCTCCTTGCGGACCGCGTCGGTCGACAGAACACGCTTGTAATAAGCGTAAGTCAAATCTTTCGCCTCACAACATTATTCGCGATGAATATGTATTCATATTCTATGATAGGTACTCCTTTCTTCAATTTCAGTGCTTGCCTTGTGGTATAATGCCTCACAAGCGCGTTTCATTGCTTTCGTAGTCCTTTATGGCGTCCTCGCAGGTAAAGCTTAATCAAGTGAACAGACCTAAGACAACGTTGACCAAAATAAATCCGTAGGAGGATATAATGCTCTTCTTCCAACTACGATTTCAGAAGTGTACGGCATACAGAACTACAATGCTGTCAATGGGTCAATTTACTTCCTTCGTGGCCTTGGAGCAATTGTTGGTCCGCCGATCGCAGGTGCGATCCTCGGAAGCCATAGCCGTGGAACGGTTATCTCTTCAACTTCCGGAATTGGAAGCACTTCGCCTGCGTTAGCAGCCCTTGAAGAGAAATACAATGATCTTGTTATCTATACGGGCATGTTATTAGTTGGTGCAAGCTTCTGTGTTGCCTACGTGCGGTGGGGAGATGCAAAGGAGAAAGGAAAGTGGCAATGGAAGGCATAGAATAGATCTTGAAAGCGCATACACAATGTATTTGAAATATAAGGATGGATTATATTCGGGAAACAAGAATTATCGAGATTACTATCTGCCTGTCAGCTGTATTTCCAACCAGCGCAGGGGTGGATAGGTCACTGCAGCAAACACCGCAGCAAGCTTGGAGAATCACTATGGTTATGATAAATTCTTTGCATATGTGCATAAGTAACGTACCTCGAACCCTAGGTCCGCTCCAGCCGGTCCAATTTTGGCTGCAATAGGTCCTACATACCACTTTTCGGACATCTATCCAAGCATTAATTCTCAAGTAATGAGTGCTGTCGCATATATTGGCTCACCCCGACAATAGCTCCAAGCACACCACAACAACCTGCCATGACTCCAGCAACGCCTAACGGTAATCTTGTATTCATGCAATTTAGCTATACCATTGACGATAAGAAATTTTTACTTTCTTACTTGTTCCGGTCGTCGTACGCTTCCAAATCATATCCGCCCAATCTTCCCCCTTTCCTGCGGAAGATGAAGTGTTCTTCTGCCATGATCACAACAAAGAAGGCGATCCAATACGAAAGAATGGACAGGAAATTTGAGCTAGTGTTAGGAAGTTGAAGGAAGTGATTGCAATGAGACGCATAAGTTCTGAGTACCAACAAGGTCGGAATGAGCATGGGGTACAAACAGAATTTCAGCAAAGTGCTCTCGTCCTGCAACACTTGCAATAGTGTAAATCACAAAGGCGAGGAAAGTCCAGATGAAGCGAGGGACAAGCGCAAACGGACGACCAAGAGCTTGTGTGCAAAGCCCGATGGCGTAAGTGCCGGGGATATTGTTGGCTCTGTAAACGAGCAGAAGTGAGGGACGAGTGTGTTGGGCAAGCAGAAGGACAGCACGCCTACATTGCGGAAAGGGCAAGGAGTGTCAACAGAAATTTTCCGCCTCCCTTCCACGGGGAGAGTACTTGACTTAACAAGCCACCCGTTCCGCCATTCTCAAAGGCAGTAGAATACGCAGGGTCAGATATAGTCATCAAAACAGCTCCGAGGATTTCAACAAGGGTGGTTGGGATAAAGATACCAAAGAATGTTAGGACGAACACCTTGGTGCTCGAAATCGAGGCAGGAAGTTGACAATTAAAGTCTGCAGCAACTTGTGCCCACTTTGAAATCGTGCGGATTCAGCCAAAGAAATATCTTTCTTTGAGACGAGACCTACTTACACTGGATGAACCGTAAACAATACCACCAAAGCTCAGAATATCTGCAGCAAGTGACCTACCCTCATCCTCAGATGCTTTCTGCGAACTGACATCGAAACCAGCCTGAGCTCCAAGGCCCAGCAGCATGAGCATGATAACTGCTACGACTATCCATGCATACCGCTCGTAGAAATGTACAAGGTTGTATCCGACGAGGCACGGAATAAGACTGCCAACAGCAATAATGATAATAGCGACCGTAAGTGGGAGTGTACCAGGATTGATAGATGCGAGAGTTTGACCGCCCAGTATCAGGCACGTAGTTGCGAAGCCAAGTCTAGGTAGTTATTTTGTGTCCAACAAGGGTGGAAGAATTGATATTATAGACGAACATACTGTGTTAATCTGCAAAGTCAACACTTAGTTTAGCAACTGGAATAGATATCCGATACATACATATTAAGGATCGAATAGATTGTGCACCCGATGAGACTGGAGCTATATCTTGTAATGATCATTGTACGCATGCCTGTCTTCGGTCCGAGAGTGGCGACAAATGCACTCGCTGCTGCTCCCAGAGCCCCAAAACAGAGTATAGTAGCGACTGCATGTCTAACGGCTCCATGTCAGCTGTTCATAGATGTTCTATATTTCAAATGCTTACGGAAAAGTCAAGGTAAAGAGCCCTTGAGCAAGGGTGCCGACAGGAATTGCTGTCAAAGTCGTGTTAACTGACCTAAAAGAACTCAGTAAAATCATAGCATACACATACTAAAATAATGTTACAGTACATACCACCACATAAGGAGGCTTCGCACATCATTAGCCTCCAATTACCATTCGTGCGAATTGCTTAAGAAGAGACTCACTTGTTCCAAGTATTCTTCGGGTCTCGCTGGTCTTCCGGTACACGCTCGATACCTCTTGCTTCTACACCACTATCGAACAGCTTAGCGAACATCGGCCCCAAAGCACCATATTTTGACGCATAGAAGGTCTCCGGTGCGACCTCCTTATCACAGTCAACCTGCCGTTCAATGTCGACATCATATTTAATCTTGCTGTCGGTTTCGGGAGAACTGGTTGAGAATGCTTGAGAATCCGAAGAAGAGGCCATGGCGGTATTGAACTTAGAATCGTCCACCTGAGCCGGGTTAACCGCTGAAATTTGCTTTATCTATGTAGTTCTGTGCCTTTTGTCAAGAAGCCTTGCCTCGTGTGACATGGGTATTTTTAGGACGGAGTGGGAGAAAGTCCGGGCACAGACCTCATGGTCTGGATTGAACAATAATTATATAGGTCATAGTGCTCCGCGCGTAGCGTATACGCTTACGCGCATAAAATTTCCCACGTATACGCATACGCGCGTATAATTACGGGCGTAAACTGGGTCAGCAGGACCCATATACGATACGCTACTTCCGTATACAGCGTATACGGCGTATACGCTGTGCCAAATATAACAAGATACTTTACATTAAAATAGCTCATAAAAGTACACTATCATCTTTCAAAACAAATGCTTGATATTACTGAGCTAAGAAAATGTATTGTAGTGCTGTTTACACACAGAAATAAGACAGTTGAGTGTTGTGAGTTAATATCACGTGACAGCTCTAAACCTTCATGTGATGTACTGTAGTAACCATACTAACCATAGTACTCATACTAGTACTTTTTAAGTTAAACAAGGTTGTTATATAGTATTAAAATGATTTGGTATATAAATAAGTAAAGTAAATGAGGTTTAGAAACTCAAACTTAGTATTTAATTAGAGAATATGCTTAGTAATACCGTATACTCGTATACGGCGTATACGGAAATTTTTTACTTATGGTATACGCATACGCGCGTAAATATACGCCCGTATTTTCAGCTAAAATTTTCTCTTACGATACGGTGCGTAAGCGTATACGCTGCAGGCGTATCCGTAAATTACGCTACGGTGCGGAGCACTAATAGGTCAGTAACTACATAAAGTACTATCTGCCAGTCCACCGAATCTCAAGCCAACGCAATGGTACATAGGACACTGCAGCGAACGCCGCAGCAAGCTGAAAAGAGTGAAACATTAACGAATCGTTTTTCGCCGTGCACGACTAGCACGTCAGTACGCACCTCGAAACCGAGGTCACCTCCGAAAGGACCAAGTTTAGCCGCAATGGGTCCTATATACCAGACCTCTGCCATCTAGGGAATCGGCAGAACGCATAAGGAAGTTAAGAACACTATAAACGGATGAAGATATATAATAGTGTACGTACCCCAACTACAGCTCCAGCAACCCCACAGCAACCTGCTGTGATACCGGCGAGGCCAAGAGGAAGTCTTGCCAGAAGTTAAAAAGGCGATCCTGGTTGAATGCATTTGGTGCTCACCTTTTCCAGTCGTCATAAGAGTCAAGGTCGTACCCACCCAAGGGCCCGCCTTTCCTGCGAAAAATGAAATGTTCCTCTGCGACGATCACAATGAAGAATGCTGTCCAGTATGAGAGGATTGCGAGGAAGTTGGATCTGTCAAATTAAATCGCGAGACTGATAGTTAGTAATCAAGCTTCTTACAAAAGGCCAATGAGAATATGTACGTACAGGATTTCCGAGAAATGTTCGCGACCAGCAATGCCTGCAACGGTATAGATGACAAATGCAAGGAATGTCCAGAAGAAACGCGGGATGATCGCAAATGGTCGGCCTAGAGCTTGCATGGAGAGTCCAGCAGAATATGTATTCGGGATGTTATTTGCTCTGATATCACCCAACATCGTCAGATCTCGAGCGCATATAAGCACCAAACCGAGGACTTACATGACCGAAAGAGCCAAGATCGTCAATATGAATTTACCTCCTCCCTTCCAGGGAGAGAGGACTTGGCTTAATAGGCCTCCCGTCCCCCCATCCTCGAAGGCAGCAGGATACGCCGGGTCGGATATAGTCATCAGAGCGGCTCCGAGGATTTCAACAAAGGTAATCGGGATGAACAGGCCAAAGAAGGTAAGGACGAACACCTTCGTCCTCGAAATAGTCGCCGGGAGTCTGCAGTTATAGTCTGCGGCAACTGGTGCCCACTAGTTCGTGTGTAAGTATTAGTCTAAATTTAAAAAGACAGTGCAGCTGATTTGCTTACACCTGTAAATGATCCAAAGACGATCCCTCCGAAGCTTAAAATATCAGCAGCAAGGTCTTTCCCCTTATCTTCAGAAGCCTTCTGTGCGTTGATATCAAACCCGGCTTTCCCTCCCAAGCCATAGAGCATCAGCATGATAATTGTAATGACCATCCAAGCATAGCGTTCGTAAATGTGAACTAGTTCATACCCTACGAAACACGGAACAAGACTACACACAGCGACAATAATAATTCCGACGACAAGTGGGAGCGTTCCCGGATTGATCGATGCGAGAGTCTGGCCTCCTAGAATCACACATGTTGTCGAGAAACCGAGTCTGGCGAGATAAAGAAAGAGGCTCTGTCACGAGGGCAAAATTTAGTCGAATATGTCGACGTACTGCGTTAATCTAATAATGTAGATATTGATGAAACGGTAGATTGATAAGTAATCAAAAGTGTCACCTACATATTTAAAATCGAGTAGATGGTACAGCCGAGGTACCCGGAGCTATAACGTGTGATAATCATCGTGCGCAAACCTGTCTGCGGGCCAAGTGTGGATATGAACGCAGTCGCAACTGCTCCGAGAGCACCAAAGCAGAATATAGTTGCGATGGCATGTCTAGACCCTTGAAAGATTAGCATGCGCACTTGACTGTGCTTATCATGGAAACTCACGGTAAAGTTAGGGTAAAAGCATCTTGCGCTAATGTACCGACCGGGATAGTCGTTAATACGGTATTTACAGACCTGTACAGCTCATGTCAGTTCCTGAAGAAGACTGCGAGGAGACAAGTATGGGAGCTTACCACCACATAAGAAGACTTCACGAAGTCTGTCAGCTGTTTTTTACACATTCGATTACTCGATGCACTCACTTATTCCAGGTATTCTTCGGATCTCGCTTATCTTCCGGCACTCGCTCAACGCCCCTAGCCTCAACACCACTTGCGAACATCCTAGAGAGTATAGGACCTAGAGCTCCATACTTAGAGACATAGAATGTTTCCGGAGCTTCTTCCTTGACGCCAACAACATGATGATTGACAGTGCCGCCGTACTTCTCTTTATCATCATGATCTGGGGAAGATGTCGAGGCTGATTGGGAGGCCATGGCGGTACCGGGCAGAGGAGAGCCAGATGAAGATTATGTGCATCCATACTGGATTTGTAAGTTTTCGAAGCTGGCGCCGCATCACTCTCGGATGCGGATAACTGTGTGGTAATCTAATTATTTTTAGGCGAGGTTCTGATGAATCTAATCATCGGCTATGATACTTTGCCGTTTCAGCGCTGTAACACTGGCCTGGATGCTCAGCACCTGAAGTAATTTTTTACTTCCACGCCTGACGAGAGGTAAGAATAGGTATGCATATCCAGGGATTTCTAGTTTTCTTTAAGTTTGTTGTGTGACTGTGTTGGACGTTTATTCTGGGTACCATGGCTGTCCGGCTAGTTGATCCATCATTTTGTGCGAATAAATGGAATTTTGGAAAGGATCATCATGTAACCACGTAAAAGATAAGCAGTTTGGACAGATGCTTACCGCTGTCTCAACACCTAACAGCAGATATTGATGCTGGGAATGGATACGAGACGAGTGTGTAACAGAGTAGCCCAACGCCATTATTTGAAGTTAAGGCGCATTATGCAATTTTTTTTAATTGCACATCGTTCGCGAGACTTAGGTATTATGGCCCATGAATAGTACACTTTTTTCGACGCAGAGACGGTTCACATTGTAAAGCAAGGAGATTTCTTCTCTTGAGGGATGGCTCGGTCGATGCCATTCTCGGCGATCGACGCGGCCAATCAGTTTGAGCGTGTTCGTCCACTCGTCGTCCTCACCATCGTTCACTAATGTCTGCGTTGCGGGCCATTTCTCGCCCGGCACGCTCCTTACCTTCCTTCACGCGGCAGCGCCGCCTTGCATCGACGACGTCTGCTCATGACCCGCATCATCATGCCGAGGAGCATGACCCAAACGTGTATCAGAAAGAACGTACGTCTTGTCAGCTCGATAATCGTGGTATCAACGCGTAACGCTCATGCTACCTCTATTGGGGTTCGTTTACAATAGACTTCTTCACTCCTTTTTGGAGGAGAACAGCCCTAATTACACTGGGCTGCATTGCCTACGCGAAGTTTGCCCCGGAGGATTTCAAAGCCGGCAAGACGACAGCTGATGGCGAGTACGAGCCGCCTTGGTTAACACGTGTGCTTGCGCACTACGCACCATCTGTCAAAGAATGGGTGAAGACAAACGAGCGACATCTTGCGCAGACGGAAGAAAGGGCGCAGAATACACTTGTTGTGCAGAGTGCGAAATTACCTCCAAAGGCTACACGTCAAATTGCATTGTTAGTGATTTTCTTTCCGTGACTTTAAGTGCACTGTCTAAGTGAAAGGATGCTGATATCTTCTTTGTTTTCTTCTTCTTGGACAGACAATTTGAACAGGTGTCGCCACACCGCGTTCCGGTGGGTGGAATGCCGGACATGAGCGACTTGGTGATCAAACCATGAAGCATTTGCGTGTTTTAGAGCCAAATATAATTTCATGAACTGGAAATACATTCGAACATCTCGTCTGTCTTGTTCTTATCGTAGTTGCGGCAAGGCTGAATGGGGAAGCGACGACATCGGGAATGAAAGTACAATGAAAAAGAAACGAATGGTTTGTCCTTGAGGCGTGGTCCATCCGTGCTCGCGGGATGGACTGGGCAGCAAGGCACGATGTAAAATGCGCTAGAAGGCAGAATGATGATATGAATGGATTGCTCAATTTGCTGGTCTAGTGTCATCTTTGAGTGAATCAGTGATGCAATGGCAATGCTGCAGGCGTGAGAAGTTGTTACCATAAGGGCTATTGACGCGACATTAAGTTTGGGCAGGGCATCGCGCGGCCAGCCAACCGTGAAGCTGGGAGCGTGCGTTTACATCTCTGTTGCTCGTCGACGACAACCCACGCGACGTCTGTCGTTCTCCTCGCTTCTCGCCCCTCACCTCACTCGACGAGGCGCTTCGCTCCCCTCCCCCCTCCCATATGCCTCTCGTCCTCCTTCCACAATGACAAAACAATCAAGATGTTGGCCGACGCCCAACCTTTTCGTCTTTTTCCTCTTCTGCTTCTTTCTTCGCTCGCCGCTTCTCGTGTCAGCCGCGCTGCCCAAGGTCGACTTTGACCGCATGGGCCATGTCGGCATCGCTGGCTCGTTTGCTGGTCTAGATTTGTTTGGCAATCAATCCTCCCTCTCCTTTGACCCGACCACTTCCACCCTTTTATCAAGAGCCCAAGACGGCTCCCTTACTCGACTGGGCTCCACCGAGGCTGGCGGGAAGATAAATGCCGGGTGTGCCATCGGTGATACTCTATTTATTGCTGGCTCGTTTTCGTCCATCAATGGCACTTCTGCAAGTAACGTCGTATCCTATTCTCCGTCAAGTGGGACTTTCAGTGCGTTAGGCACTAATGGACCAAATGGCGAGGTCAAGGCTACGTTCTGCGACACCAAGAACAACAAGCTTTGGGTAGGCGGCTCGTTTTCATCACCAGGAAAAACAGTGGCGATATGGGATACGAGCTCAAACTCGTGGTCGCCGCCACCATTTGGTGGACTATCAGGCGCATCATCAGAAGTACTCTCAATAACGACCAACTCGTCCGCCAAAAGCTTGTTTTTCGCAGGCTCGTTCGTAACAACTTTCGGCAGCAACACCACCATCAATGGGACGAATAACCCGAACGTGCCCTTCTCAGCCGGCGCCACACCCTTCACTTCCTCCTTGGTGCCCATTCCCCTGGAAGGCACGGACATTACCGCGTCTCCTTCTACCTCAGATCCCGACTTTTCAGATATAAACAACATACTTTGTCCCTCAGGTGACGACGGCCCGGGTTCAACGTGGTTCGCAGCAGATGGATCTACTGCCGTTATTACCGTGCGTGTTTTCAAGGACCTCAATGCCAGAGGAATCCGTCTGGGCAATACATTCCTCTCCGATCATGGAACCACCGAGTTTAGGCAAGTGTTTCTCGAAAATTTTAGTTGATGGCATTGTCTCACCTTTTTCCTTGCAGCGTGACCTCCATTCCAGATAACACCCCTCAAACTCTCACATTTGTTGATCCATCTACCGGACTCAATCAGTCGTGCAGTGACTCGTGCCCACTCCAATCGAACTCTTCGAACTTATATCAGGACTTCCTTTTTGATGATGATGTGGAGTTGACCGGGTTCCAACTAAAGCTGACAGGGTTTTCCGGCAGCAGTGCGGGCCTGCATTTATTGCAGCTCCTGTCTTCCGGTGCATTCGCAAGCGCAGTTGCGTCTCGAAATAACGCGTCGTGTTTCGCACCAAATGCGTCGGCCGTTACCCTCATTGGAGAATGGACAGAGAAACAAGTTACAACCGATATAGCCGCCACTGTTCAGGATGTTCTCACCGCAACAGTTGACGTTGGTACTTCCTCTGAAGATGGCCCGAGCATTACCTGGATGCCTTACGTCTCTGCTTCGGGCAATTACGATGTCAACTTGCTTATTCCAGGTTGCGTCAACTTCCAGGATTGCGACTCTCGGACTAGCGTGAAAGTTACGTTTTTCCCGGGCGGAGGCCTTGATCCGGTTGTGACTGTTGTCTCGCAGCAAGTTAATGACGATTCCAGTGCGCCAATCTACAGTGGTCCGGTAACTCCGTCATCTCCGGATTTCGTTGCTACTGTCACGATGGCACTTGCAGATCAACCTGAGGGCTCTGGCGAAAACGGTCAATTTGAACTTGTCGCAGATAGGATCGAGTTGGTATTAACGTCCGTGTTGAATAATGGTAGTAGCAACGGTACGATTATCACGAACAACTCGACTACCACACGCCGAGGTTTTGGCTTTTTCGAGTGGTCTCTTGATGACACGACGGTTGTTAATGCGGCTAGCGCCTTATCAAACTCCTCGGAGACAAGCCTGGATAACGTCGGGTTCCAGCTTTTCAATGAAATCGGCAGTAGCTCCGTATCTTCAACACGCGACGTTATTGCAACCGTTGCGCATCATTCTTCGGGTGCAATTTTCCTTGGTGGAAATTTCTCAATCTCGAGCGGTTCCAACATAGTCGCGTTCAAGAGCGGGTCTCTTTCGACACTGTCTACTGGTGGCCTGAATGGACCTGTTACGTCAATGGTGTTGGACGGGGATACGTTATTCGTTGGAGGCGCCTTCACCGACACGAACTCATCAAGTACTGGCGGGAAAGCACGCGGCATTGTTTCCTATAATGTAAACCAGGACACTTGGTCACCTCTTCAAGCAGGTGTAGACGGTCAGGTTGCCAGTGTCAACTTTGCAAACAATCAGATCGAAGTCGCCGGAACCTTCACAAAAGTTCTCACAACCGCTGGTACCTCATCTGGGACAGAGGCTGGTGGATTCGCGGTATGGGACGTGAACAATAGCACTTGGGGAAATCCCGGTGGGTTCCTCATTGGGAGCATGACATTCGTTGGAAATGGTACGGACAACACGCAGATACTATCGGGTAACGTTAAATCTTCGCTCAAGTTTGGTGCCACTGGTTTCGTCATGCTCCAGAACGGGAAGAATAACGATGGTATACCAGCAGTTAGCACCCTTACAGTCCAGCTGGAGGACAACACCAATACTCCCAGTACACCGCAGAGGCGACGTCGCTCTCTGGGTCCCTCAAGTTGGCTTTCCACGCTTTATCCGTCTACTCTATTCAAGCGTCAGTCGACCACTGTCGCACCATTACCAGCAGATCCGGAAGCACCCGCCCCAGCTGTCTTAGCTGGCATTTTCTGGACGAATACCTCGGATTCAAGTGATAAAGTTATCCTTGGCGGTAACTTCTCGTTTTCATCAAATATCTCGACCGATTCGACCGGTGTTGCAATCTACGACCTGACGTCGGGCAGTATTGAGGCTCTCACGGGTAATCCTGTCAATGGGACTGTGCGCTCGCTATTTATCGCAAATGATCGTCTGTTCATTGGTGGAGAAATTACCATAAGCGGGAGCAATGGACTGGCAATCTATAACTTGGACACGCAAGCGCTGGATATGTCGGGACTGAACTCCTTGCAAGCAGCATCGGGTTCGACCGTCGTTGTACGATCGCTGACAGCATCGTCGGCGAAATCGAATACGGTGGTTGTTGCTGGCACTTTCTCTTCTGCGGGAGGTGTGAACTGTAATGGAATTTGCTTCCTGGACGTAAATACCAAACAGTGGTCAACACTTGGATCTGGTATTAACGGAGAAGTAGCAAGCGTAGCATACGGCGGCGTACGTTGAATTCACTCGTAAGCTTTGATGCATTCAACTAAATTATTTGATATTTATAGGATAACCAAGAGCTCCTTTTCGCCTCTGGATCCATTGCTCTTTCGGACGGTACCCCAGCAAATGTCGCCATGTTCGCGTTCGATAACTCGACATGGACTGCTGTCGGAAGTGGTAGCGATCTGCCTGGACCTGTTACTGCCGTCACCGTGGACGATGGGAATTCAAGTAGTATATTCGCGGCCGGAAAGTAAGCGCTGTCTTCGCATCTATCCAGCTTGCTTTACTGATTGAAATTATGCAGGTCATCAAGTGGATCTTCTCCTTTCTTGTCTTTCTGGAATGGCGCCAAGTGGACCACAATCGGTAAAGGTTTCTTGTAAAGTAGTGCCAGCGCTTCGAATCTGACAGCGCACCATAGATTCTGGATTTGAGTCGTCAACAAACATATCTCAATTGACCTTCGTTCCTCTGCAAGACGACCATTCATCAAACCCGATCATAGAACAAGATCGGATGCTGCTTGTGTCGGGTTCACTTGTTTCGTCTTCCTTTGGAAACGCATCGTCAGCGCTTTTCGATGGCCAGTCATTCATCCCGTATATCACTACTTCGACGTCCGATGGCACCGCAGGAACGATTTCCTCGTTATTCTCTTCCATCTCGAACTTCAGTTTCGGGACGCGACGTAAGTAATCTTCCTACCTGAGGAAAGCGTTGTTTACTAATGTGGAGTTACTTGCAGATTTCTTGGCTGTCGGAGTTGTCATCCTCATCTCGATCGCTATCGCTGCTGGTGTTGTCTTCCTGTTAGTCCTGCTCGGTATATTATGGACGCTGTTCGCAAGGCGCCATAACGAAAAGCTCGATTATGCGGCGTACGACGAGGACGATGAGTCGATGCACCAGCGTCCATCGTCATTACTTGAGCACATCAATGAGGCGACCCGAGGAACCATCATAGGTGCACCTGCAGGATTCGAAAATTCGCAGAAGCAAGAGGAAGAACATGCTGCCGCCCTGACGTCGGCCGATCCATTCGCCCAGGAGCATGACGGTGACAATTTCCAGCGAGCAGAGACGCCATCGGAGGTGATAGCAATTGGTACAGCAAATGAAGAGCAGGGACGGCCCGCTCATGCCCGATATTCATTCGATGGAGCGGGTGAGGGTGAGCTTGCGTTAGCTGAGGGTATGAGCCTCGAAATCCTGGACGATCGAGATCCAAAGTGTGTCGAACTTATTCGTATCTTTGTTTCCGATGATGTATTGACGTTTTCTTCGCAGTTGGTGGTATGCTCGCGACGCGAACTCTGGTCGAGAAGGAGTCGTACCCGCAGCATACATCATGTGATCGTCTATTTAAGCTTGTTACCCTTTTCTTTCTTTCTCCCAGGTTCTGTATTTGCTCTTGATGACCGTCACGCTTTGATCTACGACTACTGCTGCTGCTTGCTTTGCCTTGCCTGCTTGCTCTAATGTCCTTTGTCTTCCCTGTCTTCTATTTCGTCACTTATCGCAATTAATTCGGCCTTGCTGCTCAATTCATTATTCTTTCCGTTTCTACATACATTCTGCGCGGACTACCGTTTGATTCACTCCTTTGTCTCCCAGTTTTCACTCCGTTGGACTGTGCTTCGCTTTCCTTTGTCTTTTTTATCCTTTCTGGTTGTTTTTTTTTCAGTCGCACACCACACCAGCTATTCATCGAGAACAGATTTGCTCGTTTTTATTTCCGTGATTTCTACTCAGTGGGTTACATGCAGTCTTCTAATACAATACCCCCCGCGCGCGCAAGGCGAAAGATATGTTCTAAATTATTACATGCTCTTGCCGATGTATGGAGACAGAAATACTAACAGGATATGCAATTGGAGTTTGTTGACATAGAAATTCACTATTAAGTAAGGAGGTGGAGTGAGTCGAGGTACGTGCAAAAAGAGGTAGAGAATGAATAGTTACTTGTAACAAGGGATCGCGAAAATGCTTTTGGTTATTGTTGATGTATGCAATCTTCGTCTTGAACTGTTCCCTACGTCGTTGATCACGGAACTCGCGGACGTGTCGGCCCGCTTCCTTGGCTTCACCACGATTGCGCGCCTTGACGACGTCCGTCCCACTGCCGAATGCACCAAAGCCGCCTTTGCGTGGTACAAGTGCGGAATTCTTATCTGCGATGAGACGGCGGACGAGGGCGGCACCTGAATTGGGGTCTTCATCTTTACCGTTATGTGCGGTAAGGGATGTACGAGGGAAGGATTGTGCGTAGTAGCGACGCATGGAACGGTGCCCTATACGTGCACCTGACGGGAGGACTAGCTCGAAGTTGGAGTCGCCATAGGTTAGTTGTTCGCCTGGTAGTTCGTCGTCGTCTTCTTCGAAAGAGGATGAATCCTCGTCTTCAGTCGATGAAGGGACTGGAGATCCATCTTCGTCTACGACTTCATCTACTTCTGCATCGTCATCCTCCACATCTTCCCATTCTGCGTTCTCTTCCTTCTTTCTCGTCCTCTCCTCGTAATCTGGATAACTCGAAGAGAAATCATAGTAATCCGAATATTCCAACCTTTCCTTCACGGAGTCGTATGCGATCTTGCGATGACTCTTGTCGAGCATGTGTTTCCTCACCGCATCCAACGAGCGGAAATCTCGGCTCCGTGTATTGCAGTATATGCATACGTTACCTACAGCTATCTTCTCACCGAGATACGTTATGAGTCCCGGGAGATCTACAAGGTATTCGGCATCTGGTATGAAGAAGGAATGGGCGGTGGACATGTGTGTGAGGTTATCCTCCAGTGAAGGCGAGTGCAGTGGACAGAAGAGACAGTGTTGAGGGGAGAGACGCGAACGAGCCGCTGCGATTTTCTGGTCTATGGTTTGTGCGATTTCCTCTTCCGTGGCGTCAGCGGAAACTGTTAATATAGGCTTTGAGGGTCCTGCTGCGTTCGACTCCTTTTCGTCCGCGTTCGTGGAGGAGCCTTCGTCTGATCCTTCCTTAACGGCGGGCTTCGGAACGTCTTGGTCTCTTGAAGCAGCCTTCAACTCGTTTTCCCTGTGCTTCTTCGAATTGATGTGCGAGCGGTAGGCATTCTCAGTCGTATAGGTTTTGCTAGAAAATCAGCCAGTCAGCATTAAGCATAATTGCAATCAGAACCAGACCCACCTGCAAACTTCACACACAGATCCCTTGGAAGACGCCATAATAGCAGTCTCCTGCCGTCTATCAAGTACCTTCTGATTAAACACCGCAGCAGAGACAGGTGGAAGGTTTGCTACTCGTCGCTTCATGTTGTATCTATGGTGGTCCGACCGATAGTGAATTCCTGAAACCAGCATTAGTATCGCATTCGTGAGGACTGAGCATGCATAGAGACTGACTCTGATCTTCGGCTGAAGGAAATGCTATGGAACAGGATAGACATGTGAACATAATTTGCTCGTTAGCTTGTATCCCGCCGGAATACTGCGCGATTGCGGCCATATTTGCAGAAAGAATAGTTTGTGAGAGAAAGGGAAGGTTGAGGTGGACGTGAAGAATAATTTCAGTACTCGTCAGACATTGCTGTTCAGTAATATCAGTATGACAAATCCAAATTTGATTCCGCATCACGGGACTTTCAAAGCAATAGTATTGTCCGTTCGACAGATGATCCAACTCATGTTCCATCGCCATTACTCGTGCTTTGTATAATGTTTCCGAATTAACTGTTAGTCTCACTCGGTCCATAGAGGCTAGAGCAGCAGCCCTGTATCCTTGTCGAAGTGGAAAACAGAAACTTTTGCGAGGATGAAGGTATCTCGCATTCCCGCTGCAACTTCTCCCTGGACATTAACAATGCTAATACTCTACCATCAGATACAAGATGAGCTTGTTGAGGAATCAAACTAATACTTAATAGACAAATTGCTGGCAGCCCTCTGCCGAGTCAAGACAAAGGCTTTGTGTTCTGCTGCTTAGTAAATCATGTTACTCTTTCATTGGCAGTAGTCAATGTCTAGTCATCATCATGGCTTTTCATGGTACAAGAATAATGAATGTGGTCGTTGTAGGGTGCAATCTGCCACCACCACCATTTTCCATCAGCCAGTGCACTCTGCCTGAGGCTTGAACCAGAGTACCATGCCCCTCATTAGATATAATGCGCTACATCAACTTGCCTGGCGTAGTATCAGCCGTTTCCGTTTTCTGTGGGTCAGTCTTCTCACGCCGTACGATTCAATTCAAAGAAACGCCGGCTAAGAGTTCGAATATTTGTAGAGATTTCTTTGTCTGGAGGATGAGTTTCAGGTTACGTACTGCCTTGCATCTGCAGCTTGCTTTGTTTCCAACTTTTTATAAGGCACAGCTCAGCAGAGGAGAAGTGGAGCTATTAGCAAGCATTGCTGCAAATCTGCACCTACATGGAATACTCAGTGGACCTCGAATTAATATGTCATGTACTCCGCTATCTGGCCTTTGACCACTGGGATCGCTTTTGGCAATCCGGGGAACGCGAAGAATTTGACGCGACAATTTTCTATGCTCGTATTGTTACTCGGGCTTCGTTGTGAAGGACATCCAAGTCGATCCCAGGCATTAAATGATCTTGGCACCTTTCTTGGTAAGGGATTCCTGCAATGCGGTAAACCAGAAGATCTAGAGGAGGCGATTGACTTGCTCCGTGCGGCTTTGATACTTTGCCGGGTGCCCCAAAGGCCATCCTGCGCACTACCAATTTCTTCTCGACTTTACAGCGTCCCTTCAGGCTCGATTTGACCTATACAAACGGGCAGGGGATCTTGGAGAGATCATTAAGTTACTCCGCACTACCCTGGAACATTGTCCACAAGGTCATTCCCTTCGTCATACCGCGCTCAGCTACCTTGCAAGATCCCTGAGGATGCGATTTAATCAGTGCGGAGAGCCGGAGGATCTTAACAAAGCCATTGAGCTTCATAGTACTGCCTTGGAACTTTGCACAGAAGGCGATTCTCAGCGTTCTTTCGTTCTGTCTGACTTTGCAGTTACCTTGTGTACTCGATTCAATCAGGAAGGTCGTCCTGATGACTTCGACAAGGCCATTAAGTTTCACCGTGCTGCATTGGAACTCTGGCCTGCTGGGTGGCCTAATCGTTTCCTTGCACTCAATAACTTTACGAATTCCTTGTTGATGAGATTCAATCAATATGGACGATCTGATGACCTTGTTGAGGCTATAGAGTTTCACCGTGCTGCTTTGGAACTTTGCCGAGAAGGTCATCCCCACAGGTCTTTATGTCTGGGTAACTTGCATCTGCTGTATTCAACCGATTTTTGTGTTACGGACAACCGGAGGATCTCAATGAGGTTGTTGAGCGTCATCGTGATGCTGTGAAATTTCAGTCCAGATTGCATCCTAATTTCCTCTTAGAGCTTAACAACGTTGCAGGGTCCCTTCTTAATCGATTTAGATTCTACAGGGAGGAGAAGGACCTTGATGAAGCTGTTGAGCTTCTTAATACTGCGTGGGGACTTTGCTTAGAAGGTGATCCTGTTCGCTATGCGTTAGTATGGAAGCTTGCAATATCCCTGAAAAGCCGATTTGAACTTTGTGGACAGGCGGAGGATCTTGTCAAAGCTGTCAACCTGCACCGTGTTGCTTTGAATCTTTGTTCAGAAGAACATCCTGAACGCCCCAAAGTGCTGAATGACCTTGCGACATCGCTTGTAACTCGATATAAACAGTATGGACAAAGAGAGGATCTTGACGAAGCTGTCAAGCTTAACCGTGCAGCCTTAAACTTCTGTCCAGAAGGACATTCCTATTACTACTCGTCACTCTGCTCTCTCGCAGAGTCGCTTTATGCTGGGATCAGAAAACGTTGGCGTGCGGAAGATTTTGAAGAATGTATGCAATTACTGGAACCCGCTGCCACCCATTCATTCTCAGGATTGATGATGCGCCTCGCTACCGGCAGTCTATGGGCAGAGCTTGCACGAGAACATGATCACGATACGACGATGACAGCCTACAAGACAGCAATAGCGCTCCTGCAAAACGCTCTCATCATAAGTCCGACTCTTCATGCACAACATAACTTCCTTTCTGGAAACAATGCCTTTATAATGCTTGCGGTAGAAGCCGCCTCATATGCAATAGAGAAGAACAAGCTGGAGCTAGCCGTAGAGATTCTAGAACAAGGAAGGGGGTTACTCTGGTTTCAGATGCGTGGATTTAGGTCTCCTCTAGAGCAGCTCGCAGAAACAAACAAAGAGTTCTCCGACAGATTCAGAGATGTCAACCGTCGACTAGAGAATCTCGCGACGTCTTCTGCAACGTTGACGCCTGGTTTGAACGTGCAAGTACAGCAGCCATCGTTCGACGAGATGCTTAAGTCAAAGAGGCAACTCGCCAAAGAGCGGGACGAGATTATCAATGAAATTCGGCGACTTCCTGGATTTGAGAACTTTCTTGCAGCTACACCGTTCAAAGTACTGCGACGTGCCGCTTCAGAGGGTCCGGTCATCATGGTCAACCAATGTAGGTATCGACCGGATGCGCTCATGCGTTCCATTAGATGAACAGTTCTTCAACGATAGCCTTGAGACGTATTGCGAGCTCTTGTTAACAAGAGAGCAATTTACGGCCAGCTCGTCCGAATATGAGGTGAAGCTCGTCGAAGCGATGAAGATGTTATGGGATAGGGTTGTCTTTAAGGTCGTTAATAAACTTGAGGAGCTTGGTATTAATGAAGGATCACGCATCTGGTGGTGTACTACAACGGTGCTATCCGCGCTTCCCTTCCACGCGGCTGGCCCGTATCAAAATAAAGATGGCACTTCCAAGTATCTACTCGATAAATATATCTCGTCATATACTCCGACACTAGGAGCACTCATTAATGCACGGTCAAGTGGAAATGGAGGAGAACCAACAGTGCTCGTTGTCAGGGACGCCTCGCTCCCGTCAGCTAAAGGAGAAATTCGTAACATCAAGAATTGTGGAATATCCACCAAAACATTGAGTGTGAAGGCATCTCATGATGCAGTAATTAAAGCACTTAGGAAGATAACATGGGTTCACTTCGTTTGCCATGGAAGCGTGGACTCAAAGCCTCTAAACTCCTCATTCAAGGTGTCCGACCGCGGGCTGACGTTACTCGATATTATCCAAGGAAATATTCCGAATGCGGAGTTTGCGTTCCTTTCGGCTTGTCATACTGCTGAACAGCCTCCCAGTGTTACACAAGATGAAGTACTTCACTTAGCCGCAACGATGCAATTTTCTGGGTTTCGAAGCGTGATTGGCTCGATGTGGGAGCTACTTGATGTGGACGGACCTTTCTTTGCCAAGACCATTTATGAGTACATGTGGGATTGCGATGAGGGCGAGGTGAGGTATAAGCGGGCGGCTGCGGGACTTCGTCAAGCTGCTCTAGAGCTGAAAACGCGGCCTGGTATTGAAACGGAGAGATGGGTCAATTTGGTTCACATAGGCGCATAATTTGTTCATTCAGGTTTTTCTCGAGACGACAATAATCTGTCTCGTGCTAAATTCACTGAATTCGAGTGTATTTTTCAAGTCGTAGAGAACAAAACAGACATAAGTGAATCTACCCAATCAATACAAACCCGCCTTCTTCGCAGCAAGCTGCAGATGGGCAGAGTGTTCGTCGTACGGGAATTTGCTCGGCGGAATCTCGCGCCAGAGGTCGGGAGTTAGGAATGCATATGTCTTCGTAATCTGCGGCAAAAAAAGTCAGAAAGGAAATGAGGCATAATAAGACAAGGCAAAAGCTTACGGCTGCGAAAGTTGCTTTTAAGAAATTACCCATAGTCGCAGTTGAACCCTTCGACTGTGTGTAACAATCCTCAACACCAGCGAGCTGAAGAAGACGTTTCGAAGCAGGCGCAGCGACAATACCAGTTCCTCGTGGAGCGGGGATGAGACGACACATGACGCTTCCGACTTTACCGCTAACTTTGCTTGGCACCGTGTGCGGTTCACCAAGAGCAGCACCCCAGTACCCACGTCGGACAGGAATAACAGAAAGTTTTGCGAGGATGATGGCTCCACGAATAGCAGTTGCGACTTCTTTCGCGCATTTGACGCCAAGTCCGACGTGACCGTCGAAATCACCGATAGCGACGAATGCTTTGAAGCGGGTACGTTGACCGGCACGAGTTTGCTTTTGTACGGGCATGATCTTCATGACTTCGTCCTTGAGCTTGGGTAGGAAGAAGTCGACGATTTGGTATTCTTTGACGGGTAGCGAGAAGAGGTAGATCTCTTCCATTGACTTGATTTTACCGTCCTTGACGAGACGGCCGAGTTTGGTGACTGGCGCCCTTCAGATATGGGTGTTAGCATTGAGCGAAATATCCCTCCTATGCGCTAGTAAACGCACCATTCCTTCTCTTCATCCCTGCGACCACCTCGACGACCACCCCTACGACCTCGCCTGTCGCCACCACGCCCTCTTCCGAATCCGCCACGCCCGCGTCCAGAATCAGCCATCGTTTTAGTGTTTTCTGCAAATTTACGAGGTCAGATTGAGAACTGATAGCGAACACCATCCAGCAATTGTGACATCCATCCATCATGTCCAACGCATTTCCACAGCATAAGCGACTTCCAAGATAGATTCATGCAGCCGCACAATCGATCAAGACACTTACAGAGGTAGTGTAAACACGTCCACGTCGAGAAAGGGCTCCGAGATTGACTACACAGGCGTTGCTCTATCTCGAGTACTTTCTTGATCCCGACCTCCAATCCGGGCACGTGATTTACTTTCGATTCCCGTCCACGACATGATAATTTCAATTTTTATCAACTCTCAAGACATTCCTTCGTGAACGTAAATAAAATATCGTCACGAAGAGACAATTTGATTCTGAAAGAGACCTGACAAAATAGAAAGTATATACATATAATATTAGTATATTTAACTTCGTGGCTGAGCTACTCCGGAGTTTCTTTCAGCTGTCAGTGGGATCAACGTTTGCAGTTGTGTCGAGTGTTGTTTCTCAGCTAATCATTCACTCAGCCAGTTCTCCAGTCTGCCTAAGTAATATCGGGAGGACAAGCTGTCTTGTCAGGCACGACTCGCGCACGTGTGTTGATGAGACTTACGCTTAGTCAGCGCGGATAGTATCCGATGGCGCGGAGGTCAAGAGACTTCTTCGTCCTTGACTTCCACCACAGCGTTTGCCTTGCCCCAGCTCACTCATCCACTCGATTCATTCACCTCAGCCTGATACTAGCCCGTCACCAAGTTGGAAGGACACAATGTCGAATTTAATTTCGAATTATTCAAATCAACAACAATTTAGTATTAGCCCCGCGTAAGTCTTTCACAACTTTTTTGGCTTCAAGCGTTAGTCGTCGACTTCTGCGGTGCACTCTTCCGTCTTCTGAACGTGTTCTCACGATTTTCTTTATGCTTCTCTGTCAACAGCAACGGCCGTCAAACCGTTGGAGATGGGGCTTTCTCTGTTGACGCTGTGACTCCTGACGTTCTTGCCGTCTGCCAAGTACAGGGTTCCAACGACATATACTACTACAGGTATGTATCCTTGTCACCCGTACATTTCTTGCTCTGACCTCTCTTCGATAAGCACTACGTTCTCTGGCGGTAGCATGTGGCGTTTTTGACACCCCCAAAGAAAAAATCCCGCCAGATATCCCGTCAAGGGGTATCGTCGACGGTGGGTCGCTGGGCAGTGTGAGAGACTGGCCAGCGTCTCGTTCTTCTTCCCTTTCTTCCGATTCCGATATCAGCACATCACCAGCCTCGTCAGTCCACTCGTCAACCAAAGGAGGAAACGAAATATCTGCAAACATTATTTATCCGCTCACTCCGCCGCACTCGGACCCATATCTCAGTAAGAATGGTTACCGCGGTGGTGTTTCTGCGCCCACGCAAAGAACGGCAGCTGGGGATTATTCCAAGAAAAGTATTCCACACTCCGCGCCTCGTGACATTCCCATTTCCAAGCAAGGTCAAACGGGCATCTCCAACAATAAGGGGTATCATGGTTTCCCTGGTCAGCCCACCCCACCGCTTACGCCGGATGCTTCTCCTGGTTCTGGCCCAGTTCTGCCATTCAATGTACAGCCTGGTGCTGGAGATAACGCAGAGCACGATTTCCTCGTGCACTTGTTCCCCGGTTCGGCGCGAGTTGCGCTGAAACACGCAAAGAGTGTCCGTATTGCCTCGTCAGAGCTCGCTGTCGATGCACCGGGTTCTGGCACTGCATTTGCATTTGAGGGTATTGTTCTTGACGCCCCGGGACATCCGCGCACATTGTACATTGACGGTAAGGACGCGGAGAACGTCAAGCTAAGAGAGAGGTACGTCATTTGTTTAACAATCTGCTATGCAGAGGTTAAGCAAGGTTCACAGCATTGTTGCCCTTCTGGATCTTGCCGATGAGCATTTGGAATGTTCCGCCCTTGTTATCGCCCTAGAGCGTTCAAGTCCAGCCCTTGCAGGATTACTGCATTCGTTCCTGTATGTTGGCGCGACTGTTGTCACTCGTCCGCCGTACCCGGTTGACGATGCGTACGTTCTGGTTGGCATCGAAATTTAATTGTTAGCAGGAAATGTTTTCAAAAGAATTTGTTTCCTGATATTTTGACGAGTTTGACTGAATGATGGCCGACATATAATATTCGATAGTTTTTTTTTGTGTTTCATAGTATGCCCGGAATCGAAATTCTATGTTTTTCATTTCATCAGCTGTGCTTCTGAAAGTTCTTGAGACTTTCTTCTCGATCGTCAAACGCGACAATGTAAATCTACTATAAATGAAGCTATGCATCGCCACTATTTGGTTCAGCCTCCGAGCCAAAGGTCTACGTTGTCGTGATGGACGACATTCTGTAGTTTACGTTCATCTACACGTGGACTCCGGCTTCACTGTCGTAACTTTTATCGCTCTGCTTACTCCTGCACCCAAGCTCCAGAGATCCCTTTCTGTTTTGCTTGGTCTGAGTTGTCTCTTGACTACCGAGTCGCTGTCTCGTTGTCCAAATGTCGTTACTCGTGCCATTGTTTCGCTTCCTCTTAAAGCTTTGCGGGCCCTCGCAAGAAGAGCAGAAACCTCCACAGCAACAGCAGCAACAACATTATGAGCAGCCTGTTTCGTATCCTCCTCAGCACCAGCACCAGCACCAACATCAGTACGGGAAGCCTTACGTACGTCTTCCTCCCCTACTTCATTCCGTCCTCAAAAAATACTCACTCAAGTCTTATTTTTTTATAACAATATTGAATACCCTTCTTCTCCCCAAAATGAAACAAAAAACAAATGACGATAGCATCACAATGACTACCTCGCCCATGCCCAAGACCCGCACTACACCTCTCTCCGACAACAAGCAGCTGAGATAGACGAGCAGATGGACCAGCTATTCGACGCAAGTCGGGCTGCGTATAGTCGTGGTGATGGTGCAGAGGCGAAGGAGTTGTCGAATAGGGCGAAGGGGCTGAAGAGTGAGAAGGAGAGGTTGGATAGGGAGGCTGCTGAGTGGATATTTGAACGTGAGTTCTTACTAGTTTTTTTCAAGTTGTCTGGCCGTTTGCTTTTCTGTCATTCTTACTGATAAAAGCTGTATTGTAGAGAATAACAAAGGTAGGGAACCTGGAGAAGTCGACCTTCATGGTCTGCGAGCAGAAGAAGCTGTTGAGCGTACAGAAGAATTCATAATCGATTGTCGCAAGCAAGGATTGAGTGAATTGCGTCTTATAGTTGGTAAGTAATGGACATTGACTCCCTTTTATACTCTCTTATTCTTAATGAGGTTAAACGTTGCTACAGGAAAGGGCCTACACTCGCAAAACCATGAAGCTGTCTTAAAGCCTCGTATTGAAGAACTCATGAAGAAGTAAGCCTTTAGCCCTCACCTTCTACCTCTTTGAATAAGATGCGCAAAAGTTCCTGACACCTGCGTTTGTTTTGTTTATTGCAGACATAACATCGTCGCAGAGTTGGATCCGGAAAATTCTGGTGTGCTCCTTGTCCATCTTGATGGTGGTGAGAAGACTAGAGACCGGGGTATTGATCCGGAGGAGATTACTAGACGGCTGGGTGATGACGAGAAGAGTTGCATTATTATGTAGAATTCTACTGCAATGTCTGTATTAGTTCACGGATATGGGACTATAATAGAAAGGATGTTTATTATACGGATACAAAATTGTCTCAATACTTCTTGATCGTAATACATATTACACGACGTACCGCGTCTCAAGACTTCCTTCTGGCGCTCATGAAGCACCTGCTCAACCAACATCGTAAAGCTATTTTCCCGTCATGTCATGTTCTTCAAATAAGATCATCCAAGAACCCACAAAGATGCCAACGCTTTTCCTCGTCCAGCTCAACGAAACGCGTAGCAAATCCGTATCCATTCCCTAACACACTAGACCCAACACCGTACCAGATATTCCACCTCATGCCCGATGCCTCTCCTACAGACATAAAACAACGTTGTACGCCCCAATCATACCAATGTATTATTAAAGGAATACAGAAATTTATTCTAAAATATTTGTATTTTGTAGATTATGAATTCGTCAAACTCTACCACCCCGACTCCGCCGAATCGCGTCTCCGTGAACCAGATGCAGCCCGTCGACACGCCCATTTCAGCGCAATAACACGAGCATACTCACGTCTACAAAAACGCGCTGCAGGTGTGAGTGATGGTGACGGTGTTATGGATGCCGATGTCGCGGAAGGTGTTGCCAACCGATGGAGACGCGCGCCGAGTATGTATCCTCGTCGATACGAGGAACCGCGTTTCGTGGATGATAGATGGAAGGATCGGTTTATTTGGGGGATACTTGGGTTGGTACGTAATATCTCTATTAGACTTCTTTTGTGCTTCGGTTCTAATGATATTATGAAGTCCTTTGTCTCCGTAGCTGCACAAGTTATTGTTGTCCGAAGAAGACGTTTCCAAGAGCTGTCGGATCATATACACGCGAGCGAAGCAATGCCTATAACCTGGAATGTACCTCAAGGGACTAGTGATGAGGACATGCTTAGATTGAAACGTCCGAAGCAGTCGTAGATTGTCTAAATGTACAGTAGGTTCATGTCTGGATCATGCCCAAGACTAACGAAGAGACTCTAGCCTGCAATATTCTCTATTCACAATCAACGGATTGACGGCATCTCAAGAACAATGTGTTGACCATCACACGCATGTCCGATGTTCTTGCCTTAGAACCTTCCAAATGGCCTGCATTGGAATGGACTTCGAGTTGCTGCCGCAACTTCAGAGGACAGCAATTTAGGTGAAAACTAAAAGCACCCTGAAGGCGTGCTCGTCAGATTTGCTACATTCTTGAGAACCGACGTCGACACACCATATTTACCCCTCTCAATCCGAATGTTTGCATAGCAACTCGTTCAAATGTCTGGCCACAACACCAACTGCTTCGTCAACCATCTGTCTTTCTCCCAGAGGGACTCTTCGCAAGAAGCGTACGAATCTATCAGGATGCCATCTTCGAAGTGCTTCTTTAATTCGCTCTTTCGGCTTCTGATTCACAGAATGTGTCTCCGACAGCAAGAACGCCGAAACAGCTGCAAGTGTGATCGACGAAGGCCCTGAAGGTCGGTTCAACGTCGGCCAGGGTATATTCGAGAACGTTAGAGGCTCGGAGGAAGACGGAGAGGAGATGTCGGCCCAATTCTTCTCGTATATCGTCCAAGCGTTCAATATGATTTTATCATTCGCGACTTTATGGCGCCGTACTCGGTCTCGTTCGTCCTCTTCTTGGGCTAAACGCATCTCCTCTAACAGGCGCAACCTCTCAAGCTCCCGTTTGAGCATTAACTTCGCCTCGATGCGTCGCATTTCTTCCTGGATGAGTCTCGTCCGCTCTGCTTCTCGCACTGCAGCGATCCGTCGTGTCTCTTCCTGGATCAACCAAAGTCGTACTTGGAAGTCCATGTCGGACGTAAACCTGTTCCTTGCTTTCTGCCCTTCTACACCCGTTTGAACGCTAGTACCACCGCCGACTCCGTTCCGTGAAACTTTGGGTGGATATGGTAGGAAGAACGTTTCCGTGCGCATTTGCGGATACGCGGGTGTGTGCGATTGATTCTGTTTTTGGTCTGTTCGTGCACGTTTCGTGTGTTCATTACTGCTTGCGTAGGGTTTCCAGAATATCGGGTTTGGCATTTTTTAACGAGGGATGTTGTAGCTCGTAGAGCGGTGGAAGGGCGTTGGTGTTGGTGTTGCTGGTCGAGAGTTGTAACCTGCAGCCGCTATTGTATCAACAGATCCTGGATTTGTGGGGCGGGCTATGAATTTGTGGGATGCGCGTTTCGAGTTCGAAGAAGAGGTATAGTGGTAAAGAGCCAAAGAAGAGAACAGTCGGTCTGAACTGTAACAGTCGTTCACGGTTAGATCATTTGTCCGGCACGAAGCTCAAGTAAAAGAAATGTGTGTTCCTTCACTACACCGTGGCTACTCCAAGCTCGGGGAGTGCATTCAAAGCAAGGCAGTCAGTTGCCTCCGTAGTCGTAGTGAAGTAGAACGAGCAACGAAGAGTTGGAATGCGCTTCACGGAAGTACAAGCTCAAGGCAGGTAGGATGCCACAAGTGACAAAGCCCAAGTAGTAGTCGAAGAACCGTTTCGCCCGGAGTTCGGACCTTTACTTCATGGGGTACACACCGTCGTACACCATACGTAGGTACATAGTGTAACTCCCTAGATCTAGCCCGCCTCACGCAAGCCTCGATGCACACCTTCTTACCTTCGTCCGTACTTCTTCCATACAATTCTCGCCTATATGACGGAAGAATACGTACACGTTGACTTTAGCTCGGTATCTTTTGTATGGTTGATCATAAGAAGTTAGAACAGATTCGAGAAGAGGAACTTTGAGCTTTGCGATGGAACTGTAAGGTTGTCAGGTTGTCATCGTGTTTCCGAACTCTCAAACTATCTGAAATTAGAGTACGGCGTGCCACACATGAAGTTCGAGGACAGATCCAAGACGTGGTGTTGTAGATCCTCGGCTTGAACCTGAACCTGACCTGAACCTGACGTATACCGCGCACGACGATCCACGCTCGGTGATCACTCAGTCCTTCACACATAATGCACGTAACGTGCAATACAGATATGCAGACAATAAAATAAAATACGAGTGGTTGATAAGATTTTGCACTGTTATCACTACGTACAAAATCTTAAAAGGTAGTAAAAAGTAAATTCGGGAGTTGAGTTTATACCATGGAGGGGGACGTTATTAGCGTAGCGTTATTAGGTCATTTCTTTTTCCACTTCGTGTAACCAGAGAAAGCTGGGAGACCGTTTACTGTGCACCACCACGCAAGTTGAGAACTATTTTAAAAGGAGAAAAGTTAGAGATAGTGGCAAAAAAAAAACAAAAAAAAAACAGATTGTATGCGGATGAACTCACCCATATGAAGCGTTTTGCCCTCAGTGATACCATATTCACGAAGCGAGCTGTCGTTTTGCAGGGTCTTACCACCAAAGATCAAAGTCTGTTGGTTAACAGGGATACTATTCACCGGGAAAAATTGGGAGAATGTATCAGCAATGTGGCGACGATCGACAAGGAAAGAAAGGAAAAGAACCCAAAAGAAAAAGTTACCACAAACGTACCTCTCCTTCGCCTCCAGAGTCTCCTTGATCCTCTGCACTGTCAACTCGTCCTCGTTAGTGTACGGAACTTGTAAGTCGATAGTTCGTCCGGTGAGTGTCTTGACGAAAACGCGGAAGGTTTGTTGACCAGGGGCGGCTGGCACCGATGGAACCGGGGTAGCCGGGAGAGGAACAGCAGTGGGAGCTTGAGCCTCGGTAGGAGCAGGAGCGGCAGGAGCAACAGGAGCAACAGGAGCAACAGGAGCAACAGGAGCAACAGGAGCAACAGGAGCAACAGGAGCAACAGGAGCAACAGGAGCGGCAGGAGCAACAGGGGCAGCAGGAGCACCAGCAAAAGCAGCAGGATTTGTAGCAAGAGAAGGCTGAGTCTCAGCAGGAGCCGGGGCAATTGTAGGCTGGGCTTCAGCGGCCTGAGTCACATTCTGCTGCTCTGTAGGTGTGGGTGCAGGAGCAGCTGGAGCTTGGCCTTGGCCCTGTGCTTGGTTTTGAGTAACTTCATTGGTAGGCTGTTGGTTCTGCTGGTTTGACGCCGATTGGTCGGGCGTTTGTTGTTGGTTGGGAGTCGACATCGCTGTTCAAGGTACTGGGTACTAGGTGCTAGGTTCTAGGGATAGATGGAAGTTTTGTCCTTACCAGAGAGAGGAGCAGAAGTTACTAGGGAACGCATTGCTCTAACACAACAGGTCTTAAGTACCTATGGGTCACGGCAACGCATAGATGGAGATGTGGCGAAATCAGCTAGATTGCTCGTCCAAACCGGCAATACTACATCTACTTTGCTCGTGTTGAAGCACGAGGTAGCCAGTCCTATGAGATTACTAAGCTAGAGTTGCAAACAGGCGAGGGCTTCGTTGCCAGAGTGAGAAGAAGTCAGTCGGTAGTCTAAACGCCTCAATAGAATAGCGACTGAGGTGCGGTCCAGTCATCCGTAAATTGTAATCGAAAGAAGCTTCAGACAAATCACGCGTCTAGCACTGCCACATGTCCCCAGCAATAAGGGGCCAAGGGTCTACCTCGCGATCAAGAGAGGGCTGTAAAACGCGTGTATCATGGCTTTACGTACGCCGAGGGGGTAAACATCTTGAAGATGCGCAGCGTGAGTTTAGCGGCAACAGCAACTCTAGCATTGACCATACCCTCGTCTTCGCAGTTCGCAATAACCTGGAATTCGGTTTATAATGAGCAGCTCTGCTGAGAGCGATCTTGAGTAAGTCGACGCATGCATACATCAATCGGTCATTTGATTTGCTCATGTGGCGATCACTAGGGAAGCACTGCGTCACGTTACTTCATCCCGTTCCCCGTTAGCGGAACTAGTTTCTGACCCGATTTTACTGAGGTCAATAACGAAGCCGAGGAGGAACAAGAGTCGGTCCTCAAGTAACCATCGGAGTGAAGGGAAGAAGAAACGTGCTCATGATGGCGACACTGCAAGCCGTGTCCTGTCGATAGTGTTGGCAGAGGAGGAACGCGAAGTGCAAAGTTTGAGAGCGCAACTTGTTGTCATTGCCGAACAGCTCAAGGGGTCCATGCGAAATGCCGCAGACGCGGAGCAGAGGGCACAAACTGCGCAATCACGCGAGCGGGAAACTCGGGCGCGCCTTCTTCAAGTTGAGCACGCGAAGCACCAGGCCGACCTAGAAGTTACCAGACAAACGGAGGAGATGAAGAGGTATCGACTTCAAATCGATACTCTAGAGCGTCAAAAAATGCAGATGGAAGTCGATATGCGGGCAGTGGAGAAGGAGAGGGATGAGGCTGTGGACAGTGCGACGGACGCAAAAGACGCTCTACGACAGTACAAGCAGTTCATTCGAGACGCGCAGGCGCGGGATGAAGGACTGGAGACAGGTAGACGACTCGGGTTACGACGAGGCTACAACACTGGACGCGTGAATGGTTTTGAAGATGGCCTCCAGGAAGGATTTGATGAAGGGTATGAGTTGGGCCGACAAGAAGGGTTTCTGGCAGCGAAGAACGAGGTGCGACGGGTAGAGCGGGCGCGAACCCGGGATAACCTTGATTCATACGTAGTAGCGCACAAGCTTGCGCACCATGATGATGTTGAGGACGAAAGTGTAAGCAGATCTCGTTTCGTCTATACATAGCGGAGATAGAGATTGACAGGCCTAAGTTGAAACGCACTCGGACATGGGCTGAATCGTTGTCACGTCATGAGGACGACTTGGTTGCCGTGGAACCTAGTTCGTTGCATTCTTCGTCAACCGTCGGTGATTATGAGTGAAGGACAGCAAGTGTACATTAGTAGACTCCGTGTCGGCGTCGCCCGCATGTCTCGCGTTGAGCGCGGAATCGAGCGCTGTTGAACCAGTAATAGTAAAATTGTAGGATTGCAGTGTCTGACAGAACGTACGAATACAACGCACGCTGGGCGTCTACCATGAGCAGGTTTTAAGTTTCGAAGATGTCAAACGAGTGTTGGTGACATATTTGATGCTAAATGGAGGATGCCCGTGGTTGTTGTGGATAGATCTGTGTTTTACCCTTGCAGATAATAGTGAATTGTGATGCCGATCAATGGATCAACAAGACCAGCACAATAAAGGTCACTCCAACTTGCTTCCGCTCTCCCTCCATATCCTCTTCCTCATATCCCTCTCCTTCCCAACAATGGCCGACGTTCAACAGCCTCTGCCATCTCCAGGTGTCGGCTCACGGCGCAAAGGCCCTAAGAGTCATCCAAAGCTGCCTCTCTCTGTCTTCACCCCTCCAACTAGTGGTGCCTCTGATCGCTTTCCTTTGCCTCCGAGTCCAAGTGCCGTTCATCCTACGACAGTCACAGACTCACACGTCATCGATATTAATACGTGGAAATCAGAGTCAGAAGGCGTTTTTAGCAGCAAGGCTGACGGCATCGTCGTACCCACAAATAATATAGAGGCAATCAATGGGTACGTTTAATCCGATTCCGTACCTGTCTATTAAATTAACCTTAGACGTTACTCGAAAGGTTCTCAGATACTTCATCTATCCTGGCAGCTTCCATCCCATTGCCAGCAGAGACCGGTACAATAGAGAGCGTCCCAACATCCGCAGCCGCATCTTCCGTGCGCATACATTTTAGTGCAACACTAGACAAGAGCTCGCCAGCTCTCATAGAGACCATTGCTCACGCCCTCAAACAAGGCCGCATTGTCGACTTGCACTGTGATCTTGGGCAAACTGGCTCTGGTTGGGAGGTACTAGAGAACCTGATAGAGAAGACTATGGAAGCGCAAGAAGCGAGGAAAGGCAAGCTTGTACTCTGTAAGCGTGATCCTCTTGCCTCGCGTGTACAATTTGAACATTGATAAATAATTATCTTTCAACCAGCGAACATTCTTCCGCCTCCTCATTCTTTAGAACTCCCCATCGTCAAGCTGCTCACCCACCAAACATACATCGCCTACCAAAGCTACATCGCATCCATCTCCCTCAATTCGAATATCTTCCTCAAATTCCTCCCGCCGGCTTGGGGCGAGCCCACCCCTCAAGCCTCACTGAATGATCTCAGCAAGGAGGCGAAAGAATGGAAACGACGCGTAAAGATGTTCCGTACGTGCAATTGCGCCATCTAACACGACAACTCTCTGATTGCCCTGTTCTTCCATACAGTCGGACCAGCTGTAGAAGCTTTCGGTTTCCAACGCATCCTATTCGGCTCATCCCCGTCTCCAGCAGCAGCAAACTCTACATCAAACAACGTAGCCTACTGGTATGAAATTGCTCGCGAGTCGTTCGCCGAGCTCGGTGTCGAGCAGGAAGATATCGATGCTGTCTTTAGTGGGAACGCTAAGGCGGTGTACGGATCTTGACAGAAGAAGATAGGAAGAAGAGAGAATTTGGAAGCAAGCAGGGTTGATTTTGGAGACGTTGCATCAGTGATTGGGTGATTATATGTGTACGAGGTTGGTGATGACGATGATGGTGAGAAGAAGTGCAAGGGTTTGTTTGTTTTGTTTGAGTGCGTGTTGTAGTAATTAATTAAGAGATCTCGGTATCTCAAGGGTTCCGGTCTATATCTTTGATTAACTTTGTGAGAAGCGTTGTGTAAGGTAAGTAGATATGTATATGATAGGATGCGCTTTTTGATAAGTTGCATGATCTCTCGTGGTGTGGTAAGCGATTGTATGTCAAATGATGCGCGTAGGATGATAATATGCGTCAAAGGAGGTAGACGAAGGGATGAAGGCTCGTGCGATAACTTCCACGGATCTCGGCCTCACAGAAACGCGAACTCTCGAAGGGTTGAGACCTACCCGAGAACGAAGGTACAGGCATGCCGTTCTTCAATTGATGGAATTGATGCTCTCGCCATAGGCAAGGTTCCAGAGTTATATTTAGACTTGATTTAACTGGACTACCTTATATAGACAGAAGTGTAATATTCATTACTTTTCACGATGACATAAGATGCATATATCGGAATTCCCTTTTCACAATACCTCAATCTTGAACTGTTCTTCGACGATGTAGACTCTGTACGTCAGGTTGTACAAGATCTTTCCACCCTACCCTCGCAAAATGATTAGTATGGGTAAAAGCTACCCATCTGATATTCTCAAGGATATTTAGGCGAGTTTTGAGCCACTGTCGAGTGAGAGTGAGAGTACACCCTCCGCCATTCTAGAGTCAACTTCTGTTTCACTGCACAAATCTACGCATTCTAGGAGAGCTTTTGGTCTATGCTACACACTGAAAATTGCCAGCAGCTACCGCCTCATTGCTTAAACGCGCTAGCGACGCGAAGGAGGTAACTCTGGTACACCTGTTTCTGGAAACACAACTGCGGCCAATGAACTCCCGTCCCCTTTTACTGGGAACAAAAGGAACATCCGCTTGACTTGTTCTCCTGCTAGAGCTCCTTTACCGACGACGTACTATAAAATTGTGCCTCGAAAGTTCAGTTTGATTTGAGGAGGCAATGCAAGGAATTGTACTAACAACATTCTCGTTAAGAACCAGCCATGAGAGCACTCTAAACCGGTTAAAGTTCTCCTGTGAGGAAACCGAATGCTCGAATGGTATCATCTGGCATGTGATCGCATTATGTTGAGCCAGCCATCTCCGTTCCGTATTCAAAGGCCTTCTCCGCTCCGAAAGGAACTCGATTTCAAAGGAAGTCGGCCATAGGTGTCGCTGGCTAGTTCGATTTCATAAGTACACACGTCTGGACAAAAACTGCATCCTTCTACTTACATGTCTTGATCACTGGTCACTAGAACTTGCAATCCCACTCGGTTCGTCGATCGCGGTTGTTTCCATGCAATTGAGCCAAACCAAGATTGACCATTCCTTGGCCAGGGAGGCTGATCCTGCATTAAGTTGTGAGCGTCCAGCATAAACCGATCCAGCGTAAATTCATCCATGACGTTGTGTCGTTGTGTCTGAGTCCAAAGATACTGTGCTGAAGCTATTTATTAGCTGTTATTGCGCTAGGAGGATTGAGTAAGTCTGGGGAAGAATAAGTGGAGCTGACCGTGTATCCGGAACAGGAGAAACAGCTGGTCCAGCCTGCTGAAGTTGAAGATACGCCTGCGCTAATTCCTGGATGGATGAACAAAAATTTGGATTAGGTCGCTAAACGGCTCTGAAGGAGCTGGCTTATATACGCATGGTATTCTGCACATCAACCCCTTTGTGTAAAATAAAAAGAACAAAAAGAGAAAGGGAAACATGGCCAGTTGTCAGATCGGGCAGTTTGTGTATGCATATCTTTGCTCTGAAGTCTTTTACATACCTTCTTATTACCTTGTTGGTGACTGCTATCCATTGTCCACCCTTTCAAAGGTGGGGGGCACAAGGAGTGTCGCATCGAGTGCAGTACAGTAAAATGGAGATTCCGGGTTGTATTTTTGATCGAACTTTGCGTGAGATAATACAGAAGTAAGTGCACGTGCAATAAGATACACTTTGTTGGTGAGATGCCGGTAAGATGATAAGTGAAATACTTGTCAAAAAATGCGCATAGAATAACAATATTCCAAGAAAGATGATGGACGGGACGGATAGTTATGTGATAACCTCAACGAATTTTGAGCCTCAGTAACGCCGAGCCTCAGAATGTTGGTGGTCCTCCTGAGCCCGGAGGCGCGGACATACCACCCTGCTGCTGATGTTGTTGCTGCCGTTGCATAGCAGCCAGCGCCTGGGCAAGATTGGGGTGCATCCCACCCTGCATCCCTGCCATAAGATTCTGAATATTGCCTGGTTGTTGGCCCATCGCGGCGCCGCCCATCCAACCTCCCAGTAGATTTTGCATCATGTTCGGGTTTGCAAAATTTCCGCTGACTCCGCTAGCACCAACCCCAACTCCGGGCTGTTGCGGTTGCGGTTGTGGCTGCAGCTGCGGTTGCTGAACTACTTGAGGTGGGGGATGACCAGCTTGCGCTTGTTGATTCTGTGCGCGACGCATACGCCACTGGGTAATGAGCGCATTCCGCTGTTCTGGCGTTAAATTCTGTAACATCGCAAGCATTTGCTGATTCGGAGCTGGAGCTGGATTCGGATTCGGATGTACGCTGCCTCCTGACGGTGGCGCAGCGGTCGGGGGCCGCATTGCCGGAGTAGGTTGCGGATTCGGTCGAGGTAAGTCTGGCACACCCGTCTCCGGAAATGCCGCAGCGACCAGTGCATTTCCATCCCCGCCTGTTGGGAACAAGAGAAGCATTGGCTTAACAGATTCTCCCATTGGAACACGTCTACCAACAGCATACTAAAAAGACATAACGAGCGCAGACCCTTCAGTTCAACTTGTAAAGCAAAGCAAGAAATCGTACTAACAAGATTCCTTTCTTGAATAAGCGACGCAAAACCTCTAAAGCGATTACTGTTTTCTTGTGCGTCAGCCGAATGCGTTAGAGGTGTGACTTGGCATAAAATTGGATTATGTTGGGTCAGCCATAACTTCAGTATGTCCAAAGGAGCTCTCTGTTCTCTAAGCAGCTCAATCTCGAGGGAAGGAGGCCATAAGTGTCGTTGACTGTTTCAAGGTTTTAAGTACTCGTCCGACACAAAATTGCTTCCCCCTACTTACATGTTTTGTCTGCTAGGGCTAGCCATTCGAACCTGTATCTCTATACGATTCATCAATTGCGGGTGCATCCATGCAATCGTACCAAACCAAGCTCGGTCCTCATCTGGCCTTGGCGCTTGCTCTTGCGGTAAGTTGGAAGCCTGCTGAGTAGGTCGAATACTGATTTGGCGCTGCTGTTGATTCATAGACAATGCCGTCTGTCCCTGAATTCCCTCTTTTGCCTGCAGTTTATGCATTTGCGCTGCCACGCTCGGGGGCATTTGCGAAAGAATATTCTGGGGCGGTCGTATGTCTTGAGTAGGAGTAGTACCTGGTCTCGTTTGTTGTTGCTGTGGCTGTGGCTGTTGCTGCGCCTGTGGTGGCACTGTTTTCTGGATGTTCTGAGCGGGATTCGACTGGGTCGGCAGTGAAGGTATGTTACTCGAAGTGCCTGGAACAGTAGTTTGGTTTTGACTAGAAGATCCAGCAACGTTTTCCTGTGTACTCGCAGACCTTGATGCGCCCGCGGCAAGAGCGTTGTTCCTCACAGCTACCAAGACGTTCCTGAGCTTGAGGAATCGTGCGGTCTTCGCCTGTATCATTAGTTCCAAATTCATTGCATCCTGTTCAAGACCCTGTTGACGAAGTGAATCCTGGTGTTCCCTATCCTCCTTGAGTTGCTTCCCGAGCTCATTGAACGTATGGAATAACTGTTGTAGTTGCTCATGGTTGAGGTTAGGAAGCTGGGGCGGACCATTGTCCGGTTGCGTTGCGACGGGCGGCGCTGCAGTTTCAGTGGATTTTGGAGGTGGCGGAGCGTGAGGGACGGGTGTTGCTGGAGCTTTCTTTGGTGTAGATACGTCAGTAGGTTTCGCGACGGTTGTCTTGTCAGATTCTGCGGTTTCGTCCGCACGTTTAGCTAAATTATAAACAACGTAAGAAGACGAAAACTCTCAAGCAACAAATTACGCACCTATAATTGGAGCCCAGCTCGCTTGCGATGAGAGTAGCACCGCATGAGATTCACTGAGTATCGGGAACCAGGCCTTGTGTGGTTCCGGATTCACCTACAATTGAATGAGGAACAATACCTAGTGAAGCAATTAAGCTATTACCGATGCAAACAAGTCAGAAAATGTCTTATTGGGCTTCAGTAAGATCATGTTTAAGTTAATATTCCTCTGGAAGGCCTCAGTCATTTGAAACGCATACAAGAGATACGAAGGCATACCTTGCGAAGCTCGTCAGGTAACGCCTTCCAAGTAAGCGTGTCCAGACTGGATGTCTGATTCCAGCGTGGATACTGTGCATCATCGTGTGGACATGCGGACAAGTGAATTATGTGACACAATAGTCCCGTTTGACCATCGGGGGATGGCTTGTCTTGAGTACCTTCCTTCGATGTCCGGTGTGAGCTAGTAAAGAGGTCAAACATCTTGTACATCCAGTTAGCTTGATAGTTCATTAGATGAAAGATAGTTCAAAACATGCCTCCAGTGCCGCTGCATATCCTTCCAATGCGGCCATACCCGTTGTCCCTCTTGATCCTGTCCAACCTATCCCAAGTTTACTAAGTTCTCCCTTTATCTGTGAGGTAAATGCTGCTGGGTCCGTAAAGTAACGTTTGGCTAGAATTGGGGTCTCCATATGATCGGCAGGGCCATAAGTGATGATACAAATGTTATACTGAAGCCGACTCTGAGTCTAAGATATCGCGCTACAGACGGTGTGACTTACGAATTCAGGAGATCTGCCGCCCTCAAGCAGACGAGACAGTAGACATGAGACATAGCGATGAAAAACAGTTCCCCACTGGTAAGCTAAATCAACAGAAGAGTCCGTAATGATAGCGACGGCGACGTCACTCATTGTAGACGCTGTTGACATTATGGATGTGAACAAGGACGCTTGAAGCAATCCACTGGACACCGGAATACACACTGCAGTACGAGCACGTGCACATTACAGCACGGTCACGTACATAAGCACAAACAACACGCCTCTCAGATTTTTATTTTTCGAAGGATCGCCTGCGTTCATGACGTTCAGACGGAGTTGCATACAAGCGATTGGCCGGATAAGTGTTAGCCTAATCTACAGCCTCGACTGCTTTGACTTGATCTCACTCTTCAGCTTCTCAACCTCCTCCACTGACGGTAGTACGAAATCATACTTCCAAACCCAGACCCTCCCCGTACCTTTCTTCACTTCTTCCGGGTTAAAACCCATCTCCTCCCATTTCTTCGGATCTGTCTCCTCGACAACTCTTGTCACTAGAGATTTCTTCGTCGCAAAAACAGGATCTGTGCCGAGGAATGGTGAGAACGATGGGTACAAGGCGGTCGTCAAGCTGGATAAGCCAAGTTTAGTCTTCTTATACATGAGTAAATACGATGAAAATAGGACGTACTCGTCATATCCTGGGGCAGTAAGCGTGAAATGAATATGGGATGATCGGTGTGGATGCCGACCCAATGCTCGTAGAAAGTCACCGATCGGTCCGTCGTTCGGCTGATTTCTAGGTCAGTTCTATACTTTTCAATGAATGACCATTGCTCACGATGGGATAAGCCACAGGAAGGATGCCGCGATAATTAAAGTTCCCATTCGATTCGGCAATTATACGTGCGCGATCATTGATGTCTGGACGGCCAGGATACTGAACGTCATACAGCCCGTCTCCGTCCGCTTGCCACTACAGTACATAAATCATCAGGATTTTAGGACATAAGATACATCGAAAGCCTATGCACACCATCTCGGCTTTGACGCCTTGGATCTCCTCTCCTTTCGTATTCTTCACTGTTGCGCTAAAGTAGAGAAGCTCGCCCGCGGTACCCGGTATAGCAACAGATGAGCCGGAGGGAATTTCTGGGGCATCGGTCGTATAAAATGGCCCAGGCTCGCAGCCATCCGTACAACCCTTAAATCGACGAATTAGTGCTGTTGACCTCATTAACCTTAAGTAAGTTGCGACATGCCGAAGGCTTAGGATGATTAATTTCATCGATTAATTCACTAACACCCATGCAGTCGCTAAGCAGGACAAACTCGTTCTTGAATTCGGTACTCTCCTTCCCTGCGCGAGTCAGGTATTCAATTGCCTTGGTCCACTCTGCGTGTGTAGGCCGTGTTTCTCGGGCAAAGGCATGTATGTGGTTAATGAGCGAAGTAAACAGTTCGAGCGTGCGCTTGTCAGGACACAGGCTGGCGTGTAACCCATTGACATGGTCAGTGATGGTATAATCCGATCCTTCCTAGATGCATTTTTATTGTTCACAAATGTTAACAGAGATAACTTTAGACAAAGATCGCCGTACGCACTCGGAAATCCCTATCAAGTGGCAAATCCTTTGGCACTTCACTTTCGAGCTGAGCACGGATTGCCTTCCCGACGAAGAGCGGGTTCTTCATTTTATCAAGGGACGCCATTGTCGATTATCTGGGGAGCTATGCCAATGAGCAGAGGAGTAGTAGACTGTGAGAGACTCTAGATGTTGCTAGACTCTGGCTGCTTAAATATTTCTAGACAGGAGCTTGGAATCGATTCCGGTCAAGTGACTCCCGAGAGCGGGGACAGCAAGCATAGTCAGCAAGTATATGGACCGAAGGTTCCATCCGTCCACCGTGTGATATTGCTTCCTTATCATTGACCATGACATACACCTTAAGCTCAGGCGGGCAGAACTTTCACGCTGGGTCAATGGTACAAGCAAACGACGTTGAGAAAAATTGCCTTCTTTAAACATTGTCTTTGGATCTTGAGCGCTTCAATAATCTCGAGATGAGAGATGCGTGAGACAAAGGAAAGGGTCTTTCACAGCCACCCGGAACAATATTTTATCGCGCCTTTGATGACCTCGGCACCGAATGGCCAACCGTGGAATAGCCATTTGACAATCGCTTAGTGTCTTGCATATCTCTGTTTTCTCCATCGTCGAAATTTGCAATAACAGGGAACTGGATCCCATCAATAAGGTTTGCCCTTTCGGAGAGCTGTACACTCAGTATTCAATTAAGCAAGTCAGACCTCGGAAATGTCGGATGCAGTTAGGGCTCTTTTGAGAGTTGATAGTCTAAAAATTACATTTCTTGTTGATAATTCTATCGAGTGGTACGCATACACGCCACCATATTACCCATTTACCGCGATAATCATTAAGTATCCTTCGCATTCATTACCTATTAGGTTCACAAAGCTACCTCCAGGGTTCTCCTCAGAGTTATCTCAACACTTGACAAAGCATTCTCCTCCTGTCGACAAAGTAACAGGTGTTCCATTTGTTGACCTAGAAAACTATTGTTGTGGTATGGATATCTCTATCCGAGGGTGTTCTAATCGACCTTTCTTAAGGTCTCTTTCACAGGTGCACATGGATTCGCAGCTCTGATTGTAGGTGTTTTATGATCTCCTGAGGAACAAGACAACTTTGTACCCAATGCTAATTCATTATAAATATTATTAGGAAACTCAAGTCGAGGGTTCGGAACCGCATACAGTCCTCTTCGACACTGGCCCAGACTCCAAATCTCTCATCCGGAATATCGAGTCCATGAAAGTTCCTGTAAACCAAATCGAACGCATAATTCTCTCTCACTGGCACGGAGATCATAGTGGGGGTCTCCTCTCATTCTTGCGTTATCGCAACGAAAAGGCCAAAACTACCTCGAACACTATCCCGATCTCGGTAGATTTACATCCGGATAGACCAGTTGCACGAGGTATCGCTCCTCCACCTGGTGATAAAGTCGTTGGTAGACTACCGGAAGAACCAACTTTCGATGAAATTGACGCATTAGGAGCTGAGGTCGACTTGCATGCTGAGCCCCATGTGGTTGCGGGCAACACGCTATATGTGAGCGGAGAGATACCGCGCGTTACGGAATTTGAACAAGGTCTTATCGGTGGGATGCGATGGGTCCGGTCTGGGAGTGGTGAAGGAGCTTGGACTGAGGAGCCAGTAAATTTATTTAATCTTACGCAGGAAAATATTGACACAACTTACCTCTGGCGCCGCACGTAGCACATCATGGATGAACGATACGCAGCGATTGACGTCCTCGGAAAGGGCCTTGTCATTTTCAGCGCGTACGTTGCTCTTTACAAAAATAGCGGGTTAACGAAAGGGTCTGTATTGAGCCCCTCTTCACAGGTGCTCGCACGCGGGTATAGTAAACGTCGTTGCCGACGCCGTCAAGACATTCCGCAGGCCAATCCATATGGTACTCTAACCCCCTTCTCTTATTTCTCATATTATGCTTCACTTACCGTTATTATTATTTCATGTACAGATAATCGGCGGGCTACACCTCGGCGGTCCCGAACTCGCATCACGCATCCCGCCCACGGTGAACTTCCTCTCGCAACGTCTCCGCCCAGTACCCACCTATATCCTCCCTATGCATTGTTCCGGGTTCGCTGCAAAGATTGCCCTGGAAGCTGCATTCGGCGAAGGATGTGTGCCTGCTGGTGTGGGTATCAGCATATTTGTCAAAGGAGATGCTGAAATGGACCAGCGGCTGTTCCCTCCTGTTATCGTTTGAAAGAGGAGTTTAGGGCTGTGAACGCCTCAAAAATAGTAAAAAGAACAAAAATGTATATTACGGATTATGAGTGTACATTATTGCTACGGTATTTGCAGAATACAATATTTTATGTCAAAACATATGAGATGGCAAAAAAGACAAATTGCTAATATTTCAAAACATCGAGAAAGCAATGGATAACAGCAATGCGAAAGCAACAGAAATAAACACATATCTATTGCGTTCGGTAATAAGATTTTCGAGGAGCCATGGGATCTTCTACCTCTGTTTCATTTCTAGCAGCAAAAGTACTGGAGGTAGAGCCACGAGAAGTTGCAGCATCTCTAGGATTAGCCACCGGAGGCTCCTCTCTTTTGCGCTTATTAGTCCGAGAAGGGCAAGCGGCGGGTGTAGGCACGGGTGCGGGTGCAGGTGCAGGAATGGGTGCGTTGATAGGTATGGTTGCAGGCGCGTTAGACGCTGGAAGAAGTCGTTCCTCCGATAAAGCAGGCGAAGCAAGCTGGGTAGAAGTACTGGACGAGCGTGGCAGCATCGCGTATGAAGAGGCCGCATTAGCGAGATAATGAGTACAAGGTCCAATCTAATAGATGTACTAGCAGTTAAGGCCTGAGGTTTTTGTGAGTTTGGGGAGAGGAACTCACAGGTTCGACAATTATCCGGAGAAAGCAATTCCTAGGGACGTAGAGGTTCGCAGGGGCAAAGTTATCGACGTTTTCCGTCGAGATACGGAGGAAGTATTGTTTGAATCTACCTCGAAACGCACATACTTTCGCGGGTCCTTAGGATACAAATGAGCTCAAAATCAGTTCAGATTCTCAGACAAACGAAAACAATACTGCACATACCATCAATCCTTGAGGGTCCACTCTGCAAGGCATTGCATAAAGGGACCACGTCAAGCCAGAAACCGTCTCTTCCATCTGACCTTAGAGGCAATATCAGCTCGACGAAAGACGATTCCTCTTGTCCTAGCCTCTTGTCTTCAATCACCACAGAAACAGAACAGTTTTCAACAGGCGCAGAAGCAGTGCGCTCGTCCAAGAGGTCCAAAGACGTATAGCTTATTGTTTCTTGGCGCCTCAGTGTGTTCGTCGTTATTGTGGCTTGATTTCCAGAGGACATTTCCCCCATAAATTGTACAGCTTGCGAAAGGGGTTCCGGTAATGAGGCCAAAGATGAGCAAGCGTCCAGATACTCGGACGTACCAACCTGAGGTTGATCATAGTCACATATCGACATGCCAGTGTCGACGTCACCGGAGGAGGGTTCCCCGGTCAAACCAGTGCCGCCGCCCTCAGAAAGCTGGCAATCAGAAAGGTCATGAATAGTGCTTGCTGGAGTGGTTGCGCTTCTCGTGGACGCAGCATCTGTTTGATTATATTGCGCAGGCTGGGTCCGTTTCCCGCGTTCCTTGTATTCGAAATAAGGCAAAGGCGTGGTATGGGGAGAGATGGAATCCGTAATCGAGAATAACGGTTTTCCTGGGAGAGTAGAGAAAGCTCGCTCGGGTTCAGAACCAGGCGCAGACGAAGAGGGATACATCTCTACCCTGAAACTTCCTCGCTTCCTTTCGCTGTCCTTCTTTAACTTCCTTTTCTTCTGCTTGGGGACGTTAGCACGCTGCGACGAAGCAGCCTTCGAGTTGACAGCAAGATTGGTTTCCGATGTCTTTGCAGGAGACAGCAGTGCACTTGTCACCTCAATGGTTTGCGCAGATGTAGAAGACGGTACGTCGGTTGCTGACGGTTGTGGTCTTGAGGGCGGTGACGAGTTGACCATACTTTGGGAGGGTTGTAGGTCTTGGATCGACGTGGATTCTAATGCAGGTATGCCGTCTTCAATAGGTGCATGGTTAATCTCAGGTGGCACGCTTGAAGGGCTCCAGGGATCTGCATACGTCTGGCGTGCTCCCAACTCGGTTTCTTGTGCCACGGATGATCGTGCACTAGCTGCTGCTGCGTTTTTAAATGGACCTTCTTGTTCCGATCTCTGACCGTTTGGCCGAAACGGCGCGTCAGTGGAGGGCACAATTATCGATGAAGCGGTAAAACTTCGAGCAGATTCGGCCGAAGTGTCATCATGGTCTACAGTAGGAGCTTCTGCGGATACCGAAGGCGAATCGTTGTCATTTGCGGGGATATTACAGGTATTTCCCCTGAACACTTTTGAAGGCAATACCGACGCCGACGATGCAGTGCCAGACGGTGGTGCTACTGATTGTGTGCTGCTTGCGTTGCCTACATTGGACTGCTTTGACTGGAATAAAGAGAACGCTGAGGATCCTACAAACCCAAAGCCAGTCTGCCTTTCGGTCTGCCCCCACTGGAAGCCGGAAGCCGGCCGGATGAGAGACGAGCTTCGCGTGTTTAATTCTCCCAATGAGTTTTCCTCATCATCAGAGAAGTCCGCTATGGATCGTCTACGCAATGTTGTTGTACGCTATTACCACGGTCAACATAACGAAGGATTGTATATATCGATAGATACACACTTCAGACGTAGCGGAATCGATGCTGCTTGACCTCCTTTGAATAAGTTGAGTTAGGCTTTCCGTATATTGAGAATGATCTGGTACTCACGAGCCCGATTGTCGGCCTTCTCCAATGTGCCCTGCCCTTCCTCTCGGCGGAGCCCGAATAGGAGACTGGCCTGCCCTTGCACTAGGCAGCATATTTATTACTAGAAGGACGGACCCGCGTTGCTGCGTTTCGGTACAGACTGTTTCGATCGTCGACGGCAGGAATGCAGGATGAGTGCTCTGACAAGGGCTTTTACCTATTGATGAAGCAAGGCATTATGTAGGAAGGTACATATGTGGTCGCAGCCCAAGAAAGAAAGCCTTCATCAATGGCGCGTCTCGGTATTTGCCGACCATTGTCGGAAGGATACATGATAGCTGTGTGCCTCTTCCTCCATCTTCCAACGAGGAACAATGTTCATTAAAAGGTGACTCGTCTGTATTCCTAGACGTTTTGACTTCTGCCTTTCCGAGGAGTTTGTTCATGATTCGCCGACCAATTTCCTCTAACAATTCCGTCGATCCTCTTACCAAAACACGTACACAAGTGTCCACGCGTTTACATCACGTGCACCGTCTCTCGCCCAATTGGAACCAGCGTACCTCTCAACCAACTCCTGCTCATCGGAGCAGGACACGCATCCATGGCAGAGCTCTTTAATTAATTAAAAAATTCCCTGAATGGTGGACAGAGGCGCGGAGACGAGTTAAATATTCCATGCAATACATTGCAGTCTGGTACATGTTTTCTCCTTTGGCTTCTAAAAATTCACATTTTGACCAAGCCAGCAGTCGAAACGGATAGTCACAAAGGCTGGAGACAAATACCACAACAGTTCAACAGACATTTGAAGACTTTAATTCGCCTGGATAAGTCTCGGGGATACCACAGCCTGGCAACCGAACACTGGGAATGCTTCGAGCAGTCAGGGAGACGGGAGGAGCTCGATATGTCTATCACTCACGATCGTTCCGCTCTCGAACTCCGCCCTGAAGGGCATCCTGATCGCTCGGAATCTTTGTGTAACCTTACACTATCTCTTCATACGCGATATGAGCGATGGGCATACATAGAAGATTTAGAAGAGGCTATATTGTTGCACCGAGACGCTCTGGAGCTTCGCCCTGACGGCCATTCTAAGCGTTATGTCCCTCTCGGTAGCCTTGCAAATTCCCTACGTTGTCGATACCAGCAGAACGGAAAGGCGGAGGACCTTGAGGAGGCCATCGAATTACAACGAGCAGGCCTGGAAAGTCTTCCTGATGGACATCCGGATCGTTCCATTTCTCTTAGCAACCTCGGACTTTCCCCTACACAGTCGATACGAACAACACGGAAGGATAGAGGACCTTGAGGAGGCTATCGAACTGCATCGAGACTCACTGAAATTTCGCCCCGAAGGCCATCCTGATCGCGCTATTTCTCTCAGCAACCTTGCAACTTCCGTGCATATTCGATTCTCGCTGTACGGAAGGACTGAGGATTTTGAAGAAGCTATTAGATTGCACAGCGCCGCGCTAGAGCTCCGCCCTGATAGACATCCCGATCGTTCTATTTCCCTTGGCAACCTTGCAACTGCGTTGTGTAATCGATACGAGCAATGCGGGAGGACTGAAGATCTTGAGGAGGCCATTCGACTGAACCAAGCCGCCCTCGAGCTTCACCCGGGAAGCCATCCTCTCCGCGCAAAATCTCTCGGTAGTCTTTCGAGTTGCCTAAGTGCTCGATATAAACAGCATGGGAAGACCGAGGACCTCGAAAGGGCCATTGAGCTAGAACGTACTGCTCTAGAACTTCGCCCCGAAGGCCATCCTCTCCTTCCATCACACTTGGCAACCTCGCAAATTCTCTATGCTCCCGATATAGGCAGCACGGAAGACCTGAAGACCTTGAAGAGGCCATCAAGCTGGAGCAAGCTGCACTGGAGCTTCGCCCTGAAGGTCATCCAGATCGCTCCTTTTCTCTCAACAGCCTTGCGACTTTCCTGTTAACGCAGTACCGACAACATGGAGGGAGTGAGGGTCTTGGGGAGGCCATCAAGCTGCATCGATCTGCTCTGGAGCTTCGCCCGGAGAACCATCCTAGTCGTTCTATTTCTCTCGGCAACCTCGCTAATCCCCTGCACACTAGATACACAGTGCATGGCAGGACCGCGGATCTTGAGGAGGCCATCGAGTTGGGCCGATCTGCTCTGGTGCTTCGCCCCAAAGGCCACCCCCTCCGTTCTACCGCTCTTAGCAACCTTGCAAGTTCTCTGCGCACTCAATGGGAGGTGCGTGGAAGGACCGAAGATCTTGAGGAGGTCGTCGAGTTGGAACGAGCTTCTCTAGCGCTTCTTCAGGAAGGTCATCCTGATCGTTCTGTCACTCTCTGCAACCTCGCATTTTCCCTTCGCACCCAATTTGAGCAGAATGGAAGGATTGCATACCTCGAGGAAGCTATCAAGCTAGATCGGAAGGCTCTGGAACTTTGCTCCGAAGGCCACTATCAATCTAGGTAGCCTTGCAAACTCCCTGCGCGGTCGGTACGAACAGTACGGCAGGCCCGAGGATCTCGAAGAAGTTATCGAGTTGAACCGAGCATCTTTGGAGCTTCGCTCCGGCGGCCATCCCGATCATTCTGTCTCACTTTGCAACCTTGCAAGTTCCTTGTACACACGATACGAGCAGAATGGGAGGACTAAGGGCCTCGAGGAGGCTATCGAGTTGGACCGAACCGCTCTTGAGCTTCTCCCCCAAGGCCACCCTGATCGTTCTATTTCCCTCGGAAACCTTGCGAATTCCCTGCACTCTCGATACAAGCAGTATGGAATGGATGAGGACCTCGAAGAATCCATTGAATTGAATCGAGCTGCACTGGAACTTCGACCCGAAGGCCGCCCTAAACGTCCTTCCTCTCTCAGTAACCTCGCAAATGCCCTGTGCACCCGATATAAACAGCGTGGAAGGGCTGAGGACATTGAGGAGGCTATTGAGTTAGAACGCGCTGCTCTGGAACTACGACCCGAGGGTTATTCTCATCACTCAGCCTGTCTCGCCAACCTTGCAGGTTCACTGCACATACGATATCAACGTTATGGTAGGACGGCAGACATCGAGGAGGCACTCCAGTTGGGACGAGCTGCTCTAAAGCTTCGTCCTGAAGGTCATCCGAGTCGCTCCGTATCACTGTGTAACCTTGCAAACTCTTTATACGCGCAAATTAAACAACAATTACACGCAAACGAATTCGAAGAATGTATGCAATTGCTTGAGCTCGCTACTACTCATAAGTTCTCCAGATTAATGGAGCGCCTCATTGCCGCGCGAACATGGGTTCTACTTGCGCGATTGCACAATCACCCAACCAGCTCAGTAGCTTACAAAGAGATTATCTCGATACTTCAGCATGCTCTCACCATAAATCCGACTCTCCATGAGCAACATGACTTCCTTCTCAGGAGTGGCGATTACAGGATGCTCACCATGGACGAAGCTTCTCTCTCAGTAGAGAAAAACGAATTGAAAACAGCGATAGAGTTGCTTGAGCAAGGAAGAGGTTTACTCTGGTCGCAGTTGCGCGGCTTCAGGACTCCTTTGGATCAACTATCAGGTACGAACAAAGAGCTCGCCGATAGATTCAAGGACGCCAGTACTCGGCTGGAGAATCTGGCAACATCACATGAAGCGTTAATGTCTGGCTCGATCGTGAATCGGGGAAGATCCGTCGCAATAGATGGGCGGACCGAAGGGAAATCATTCGACCAGCTGCTGAAGTTAAAGAGGCAGCTTTCGAATGAGCAAGAGGTTATCATTCACGAGATTCGCCGAGTTGCAGGGTTTGAGAACTTCCTTAGAGCTACGCCATTCATGGCACTGCAGCGGGCAGCTTTGGAGGGTCCAGTCATTGTGGTCAATCACAGCACGTATTGATGTGATGCCCTCATCATTTACTCCAGTGATGACTTATCGATTGACTGTGTCCCGCTGGACGATGAGTTTTATGATGATAGTGTCAGGTTGTGTAACGAGCTCGTGGAAACACGCGAAAGGTTCCACGCTGACTCGCTGGAATATGACGAAAAACTGTGCGAAACAATGGCGATGCTATGGGACAGAGTCGTCTCCAAAGTTGTCATCCAACTGAAGGAGCGCAAGGTTGTCGAAGGAAGTCGCATCTGGTGGTGTCCGACTTTAACATTGTCTGTGCTTCCGTTCCACGCCGCCGGACCGTTTTTGGATGCAGATGGTAACACGAAACATTTATTGGATGATTATGTCTCTTCGTACACTCCGACGCTTGGAGCCCTCATCAATGCACGATTAGACGGCGCCGAGAAAGAACCGACAATACTTGTCATTGGTGACTTGACGGATGATTCCGGACTTGTTTCAGCTAAGCGAGAGATACACAACATCGGAAATAGTGGGATGAAGAACAAAAAGTTACTTATCACCAACGAGCAGAAAGTGTCCCCTGATAGAGTGATCCGAGCCCTTCAGAAAACGACATGGATCCATTTCGTTTGTCACGGACATTTGAGATCAAATCCTTTTAGTTCTTCTTTTGGTCTACCCGGTGGCAGGCTAACGTTACTCGATATTGTCCAACGTAGCCGGAATTCGCATTTCTTTCTGCTTGCCATACCGCAGAACAGCCTCACAATGGTGCGCACGACGAAGTGCTTCACCTTGCGGCGGCGATGCAATTTTCTGGTTTTCGAAGTGTAATTGGCACAATGTGGGCGTTGCTTGATGAGGATGGGCCCGCGTTTGCTAAGACTGTTTATGCGTACATAAACGACTGTGAGGAGGGTGAGGCAAAGTATAAGAGGGCAGCTGGAGGACTTCGTCAAGCGGCTTCGGAGCTGAAAGCGCGGAATGCCATCTCAACTGAACAATGGGTTAATTTCGTGCATATAGGTGCTTGAGTAATGACGCAGTAAGCTCCTCAATGTGTTGTACTACAGTCAAAAATGCCATAATGCAAAATGTGATAATGTATAAATGTAGCAATCTGTCGATCCCCTGGAATGACGCCGCATTTCCATCACGTGGCTCTCTCTCACCTGCATCTTTCTGCCACTAGGCCCACTACTCTGTCTTCACCTCGAGCCCTACGTACCATCTCTATTTTATAATTTATCTTAATCTATTTTTTATTACTATCTCCTTGTCTCTATCAAAATTATGCAACAAAATACACAGACTCCGCTGGACAGGCGACTCTCGCAACAAGCCACTCCCTCCTGTTAATTTGTACAATCACGATCATCATTTTTACCCTAGCAATACCGTTCCACAGCAGGTACGACCACCCTCGAGGATAATGTCAAAATCATACAGGTCATCCAAATAAAACCCGATGGATTCTCCGGTTCCGACTATCTCAGTTGGTACGTCTGCGTTGGACGCTCTACAAGACCTTGATCCCCACCCAAGTCCAAGGTCAAGCCCGCATTTCCCTACCTACGCAAGGCCTCGCCAGCAACACACTCTAAACTATTCGCGTCCACACCCACCAATACAAATTCACGGCGCCCAAGCCCAAGACAAAACTCAAACGCATGTACGGCAGCTCCTCTCCGTAGTCGACTTACTCGCACGACAAGAGCGCGAGGTGTAAGTGAACAGATTCGAGATCTAATACAGTGTGTGTGCGTGCGTTGAGGCGTGGACGGACACAGCAAGGACAACATCACCATGTTCGAGATGGGGTGGTGGTGGAGAGTTCAGGATTGGATGCGGATACGGAGGTGAGCGTTGTGGTCATCGCTGCGGACTGAGTGCTTGCTACAGGCAGCATGGTGCTCTTTTCTGCTAGACCTGCATGCGCATATGACTGCCTGGAGTCTGGTGCTACTTCATAACACACATCTGAGATTGTAGTCTCAGCAATAGACAATATTATATCACATTAGACACAACCTGCAGACCCCTTAGATGGTCGCGAGACGATAAATTCGACACTATGGATGAAGGATGATGTCGAACCTCTTCTACGCATCTTTGCCGGGTGCATCATTGGTGAGCTGGATCTTACATGTAAAGCTCCTATGTCTGAATTTGAAACGCAGAAACAATGGCATTTCACTAAGGCATCGTCCTAATGTCTGCGGCTGTCTTAAAGAGTATCAGTCTACGGAAGTTAATGTTCAAATCATCAGATCAAGCCGAACGAAGTGGTGTCAGAGTTGAGCTCAGGTAAGTATACTGATCATTCACGGCATTCCGCCATATTCATGAATGTGATCTTCCATAGGCTATCACACGTTCCATTGACACTGCTATACTCTTCCCTGACAAAGTTATTTCTATTGCTGTTCCGCCCTCAGGCAGTCGTCGTCGGCTCCTTCTAGTCCCCCTGCTTCGCGCATGCGGAACACAACGGAGTTCACGCGCGAAGGCCGAAGGTGCTTGAAATTCTTGATGACGACAAGCTCGATCGAGAGTGGGTCGTGCGAAACGTCCTCGATGGTATGGCCGCTGGATTCGGCTTGCAAGGTATTTAGAAATGTTCCCTCCACTATACTCACAATAATTCTGACGCCATTGATCGCTGTTTTTTTAAAAAGTTGTGCTGAATATCTAACTGGTGTTTGCGACGATAATCATTTGACTGGGTGTGCTTCATCTTCTGTTTGTTTTATTCTGTATGGGCATAACTGCTTCTCTATTGCATATGTCAAAGATGGGCTGCGAAGACGTTCGTTGCAGCTGCAGTCTCAACGTGAGTGAATAAGGGAGACCTAACGGGAGATGTCTTTCTGGCATATAGCATACTATAATAATACAATTGGATATACTTTCACTTGACAGTTTGCTTTCAGCTAGTGCAATGTTGGGTTCAACGACTCCAGCAAGCGGAGGATTATAAGCTTTTCCCTTGTCAGACGCGGGCTTTAAATTTCTGGTATCTCTCCTCGTCCGAATACTCTTGTGGTAAGCGTGTGTTATGGTATTTGAGCGGTCTCACAGCACGCTTTGAATTTTCTGCTATCTCGGCAGTTTAATACTTAACTCAGATAGGACACCTCACGGCCCAGCCTACATGGGAACGACTACAAAATCCGAATTAATATGATGTTATCAACGGTACCTGACATCTTGTTGGTCACCACATGTATGGAACAAAGTAGCCCCCGTTCTTGATTCTCTGCAGTGATCCGAATCGTCACCTCTAGATCGAAGCAACCACTCTATATACATGTTGATAGATGAAGGTGAAGACTCCATATATACATGATGATCAGTATCTCAATGCCCACTTGTTGTTTACCATCTAAGGGCGGCGAATCTAACACCGCCGCACATATGGATTCTTTGATATTAACAGTGCTCATAAATCAGACCCGGCCTGATTGTGAATGCCGACAAGCTCATATATGTGCAATTGGCTCATACTAATGGATCTTCTCTACGAAGACCCTTCTCAAATGGCCTCCATAGACATTAGTGAGGACGTGCTATTCTTTGTCCATTCGATAACAGCCTTCAAGGTAGTTACAGGTTAGCGGCTATACTTGCTATGTCTGCGTTCAGCTAATCTGATCAATATCTTTTATGGCTAGTCTCTTGTGCAACATTTCACTTGTATTTATACTTGTGAGTCGTGTCACCACTCTCTATAGCTTCGCCTGCCTTATGTCCATAGTCTTACATTTAGATGAAGAGGTCTGTTGTTTACATCACTTGACTATTCCATCTGACACAGTTGTGAATTAGGTTGAATATATATGGGTGTGTTGTTTAACCAGCATGTAATTGTTCTGGACTTGACTCTTTATAGACAAAGTGCTGGACAGCTGGGAAAGTCATGTATCTCCTTGTAAATTTTCCATATTCTGCAGCAACAAGAAGATGTCTTAAATGCTGGAACAGACAAGATATTTTGGATCTCTGTTTCTTATGTACGCTCAGAATCTGGAGATTACGTATTAACGATTTTGAGCATACTTTAGCTTAGCAGCATCAGGTACAACACTCATCGGATGGGATAGTGATCAGTCTATCACTACAATCTACTCTCAGGTAAATTGCTATATTACTGCTTGCTATTGAACTTATACTCTACCAGGATCAGTTTGTTTTTTTATACACTAAAAACCCTTGTGAGTAATGTCAGTGTTTGATCAGATTTGAATGGAAGTTAAAAAACAAATTCTAGATCTGTCTGGTCATTTATATACTGGATTGGGAACTACAATAATACTGCTGGCTGAAGGTGAGCACCTTATTTTTATTATTATAGTATATTTGAATGTGTAATTTCCCTCCAAGCCATTCTCATGATGCGTGTATATGCTTTGTTTGGATGTAAAAGGAGAATGCTGGTTGCATTCTTCTTATTAACATTACTCCTCTTTGGATTCAATATTCTCCAAATCAAATTCGATCTAGGTAAGAAGTTTTATCTATGTTATATATTATACACTAAGATACCTTCCACTGAATTTGCTACTAAAGCTCAGCAGGACAGAGCTCAGCCGTACGGGGAGAGTAGTGAGAATATTTTCGACTCTTTTCAATCTCATGCCACAGTGGCAGACTTTGGCATAGGCGTTGGGAGCCTATTTGAATATCGGATGTCTGGTATTGCATGGGCAGTAACTTCTTTCATCGAGCTGCTCCTATTTCTTCTAGTTATATGGAAAACTGTGCAGCTGAGGAAGTCAAAGCTCCCAACATGCATTTCAAGATGTGGTTCAACAAGGGAACGGGACATCATTATTGTAATGGCAAGAGATTCGACTATATACTTTGCTATGTACGTATTTCCATCTCTACTTTTTCTCGTATTCAATCTTAATTAGCCTTCATTAAGAATATTCTCTGTTTGTCTATTCGGCACCATTATAACATTTATCATTGAAAACACTCAGGTTACTGTGAGTTGGCACTGTGCTCTACATTACATGTACTAGTATGTTAACTTTTCTCCAGGAAGACAATTTATACATATTTTTCCTGTTCAATTTGAACGCATACCTAACAGTCGTGATAACGATCGTGACAATCCTCGCCCCAAAGATGTTCGTCAATCTTCGAGCAGAGTATTACGGTCCAGTCGGGATAATTGCAACGGAGCTTTCTTGGGATTGCCGGAGTGCTGCAATACATTCTAGTTGATAAACAGCCAACAATATTTTGAAGTGAATGACGCATTTGCATTTTCATGTACCTAACTACAAATCCATGGCTGCTCCCGATAGGGGATTGGTATTTGTGTTTGTGGATTTAAAATAAATAAAAATATAGAATGGAATTAATCAGTAGTACTTGTTTTCATTCTTAAGAAAAGCAATCATTTTACACCAGTGCTAGACCTAAGCGTGTCTGCCAGAATAAATTCAACATATAACTCGACCCTATCAACTAAACAATACTAATCAGGATAATCACACCTGGTACAGTGCCAATGTATTTGTGGACACAACAGGCAAGGGTGGATAACCACATAACCAATGTTACATGCCGGCTCACTTGCCATTCATTTGGTCAAATGAGTGTGTATTGTTCTAATGGTCTTGGGGGAAAATTCTGTGCTGTATGTAACTTAGGAGGTTACATGAATTACGGCCCTGGTATACATTCCTCTTCAAATCTTGCATTAAACTATACATTTGATAAACTGATCTTTAGTAGGACTGAGTTTGCTTGGCAGTAGCAAATTAACATTCTCACTCACGATCTCACTGCCAATCTTCTACCTCTGCCATAATAAGCATTCACGGATTTCCGTCACGTGGCTCGTCTCTCAACTGAATCTCTCTGCCACTACTCTCTGTTCACCTCGACCTCCATCTACACCTACGCTCCATTTCTATCTTATAATCTATCTTAATTTATTTCTATTATCCCCTCACGATCTCTCTCGAAATAATGCAGCAAGCGATACACAGACTCCGCTGGACGGGCGACTCTCGTAACAAGCCACTTCCTCTGGTCAACATGCACAGTTACGATCATCATCATTATCCTAGCACTACAACTTTACAGCATGTACGAACACCCTCAAGAATAATGTCCAAGTCAAACAGGTCACCTAAATCAGGCCCGATGGATTCTCCGATTCCGACTATCTCGGTCGATACGTCGGCGTTGGACTCTCCAGAAGAAGAGATGTATTATGCTAAGCAGCAGTTTCTCTCACCTGCGTCAGCGGTGTCTTCTGTGCCCAGTCGACGACATTCGTTCCTTCACCTTGATCCCCATCCAACCCCAAATACAAGCCCGCGTTCCCCCACCTATACGAGGCCTCGCCCGCAATACACTCTCAACTACTCGCACCTACACTCACAGGTCCAGGTTCGTGGAGCCCAAACCCAACCCCAAGCTCAGATTCGAGCACAGCAACTTCTCTCCGTAGCCGACTTCCTCGCGCAACAAGAGCGCGAAATGGCTGCCGAGGTCCAGCGTGTAAGTGCACAGATTCGAGATCTAAGACAGTGTGTACGTGCGTTGAGGCGTGGACGGACACAGCAAGGACAACATCAAGTTCGGGATGGGATGGTGGTGGAGAGTTCAGGTTCGGATGCGGATACGGAGGAGGTGTGCGTTGTGGTCATCACTGCGGTTTGAGTGTTGCAGGTGGCATGATGATGTTCTTTTGGCGTGTTGTCCTCGCAATACGTACGTATTAAACTATAACTACAATCTAAGATGTGCGTCATGAAGTACAGTAGCATCAAGTACGCTGTATACATACTCTTGTAGCATACCAAACACATTTCTATTTACTTATATTGGACCGTGCTGGATATGCACCGTCGCCGCACGACCCGCTGATCACGCGCCCAAAGCAAACCATTTAAATGCATGATCCATGATCACTCCATTAGGCTCTAGTACCACTTCAACTTCAACCTCGATCTCAAGCGCCATCGTTACTGCTCTACTGCACAATGAGTACCAGTACGTTCTCCTCTCCATCCTTCAAAGCCTCGCGATTTGACATGCGTGAACCGTACTCGTTTACCCGCGGATGGCATCGATAATTCAATGATCCAACTTCAACGAACAACGCAGCCGACGACAGCAAAGTAAACACCAGCACGGCTCCGCCTGCTCCACGTCCACATAGGAGACACTCCTCGTTTGACGAAGAGGCTGTTAAGAACCTTGAGAAGCAGCTTGCGAAGAGGCCTGAGAAGAGTGAGCTTGTTGAGAAGAATATCTTGAAAGGTATGTATTTGAGTTTTGAGTGTATGCATCGTTCGAGTCGTCCTTGTTCGTTTCATCCGTCCATATCGTTCTCCAAATGATCGAGGACGATATTCATGCCATCATCTGATTTATGGGTTTGATCTGTGACTAATGGTTTTTATGATAAATGATACAGATGACCGCGTCGCGCCTGCTCTACAGGCTGCTCGTGAACAGCTTGAGAAGTCTAAGCTTCAGGTTAATTAAGTCCTCCTATTACTATAACTATATGGGATTTCAGCTGACGAAGAGATTTTTCTTATAGGACAAACTGGGTCAGGCTCTGCAGCATAGGCCGAAGCCGGAAGAGTTGGTCAAGGAGGGTATCCTTCAACGTACGTTCCCTACTTCATTTATTTACGCTTCTGGTAAACTGACTGGCGTTCTTGCATTTTCATGATGATAGCCGACGAAGTCCCGACTTCTGCATAATCCCTGATTGAACGCAATCAAGCCTCCGATTGACAAGAGGAGACAGGACATTGTATTTGTATCAAGAATATCGAGAGCATGCGATCAAACCCCAATGCCCCCATGTACTTGTAAAATATTCTATTTTCCAATTTTTTTTTGTCATTCAGTCAGTGATATGTATTGTACGAATAAGCAAGAGATTGTTTGGTTTGTACTCACAATAGTAGGGATTAAAGTATAGCTTTTTGTGAGACGTCTCTCCTAATGCTGTCTCATCCTTTCGGCGAATAAATATAACTTCGTCGACTTGATGTTTAATCACGATCTCTCCCTCGGCGTACTCGTTCTCGCATTTGCATAGCGGCTCTTTTCGTACCCTCACCACCAGCCCAACCTCGTCTCGTAAGCCAGTTGACAAGTCTAGGTGTAAACGCAGCTGTCAAACCCACACGAACAGGTAATAACAGCGTCTTGTGGACAGTCCACGCGAGTACGATCATCGCATACAAGCTCTCCTTTCTTCCCAGCCCCAAACCCATCCCACTTCCATAAGGCGGGGCAGTCTCGTATTCCTGTCTACCGGGCTCAGGCGGGGTAGAGTGAATGAGGGATGAGATTTGAGATTTGACGGCATCTGTGACGCGAGCGACGTGTTCTGCGCCGATGAAGTTGATAGCTGCGAAGGAGACTCCGAAGTCGAGGGTTCCGATTATGATGTAGACGCCTAGGGCGTACCAGCCGTAGGTCTTGATTAGGTGTTTGAGGCGTTCGGAGAATGATTTCGCGTCTTTTCCTTCTGAAGCAGAAGCAGAACCAGGATTGGAAGGAGAAGAGGGAGAGGTAGGGGAGCGTGGAGGGGAGGGAGAGTTGGTGCGGAGAGGCGAACAGAAAGAGAACATGCGCCACGGGTAGTAGCGTTGTTGGATGGGGAGTGCGGAACGCTGAGCTATTGCGAGACGAGATGTGAGAGGGAGGAGGGGACGAGAGACGAGTGAGGCTCTTGGGATGAGTGTCCGTAGACCTGGTAGGAGCGGTATTCGTGGCATTGCGACGAGTGGAGGGGAGACGAGTGCACTGGCGGGTCTTGATGATAAAAAGTGCACTGAGTCTGAGTGTCTGTGCTCAGCCGTGTGTTTACGCCTGACGTCGGCTTCCGGGAATTGCGTGACGTGGATCACGTGCACATGGGAAACTGCATCTCGCTCTCTTCTCGATGCGGAATCGACGGGCGACAGCACAGTTACTACTTAGCTCTCTCTCTCCGCCGCTGCTTTCGGGCAGCCCTCTTTCTCTCTCTCCCACAAGCTTCCCAGCTAGCGATGCTACCCCTCACGCTCCTTCTCCTCTCTTCCTCCCTCTTCTCTTCTGCTGTCGGAGCAGAGGACTCGTTCGGCCAAGGATGCTCAGTGAATAACAATCGTCTCCAGGTCGGTACGTACCAGTTCGCAGGCGACTGCGACCCAGAGACTTTCTGCGCTCCCAACAGTACATGTGCATTCAAAGGCTGCAGGAGGGACGTCTTCCCCTTCGGTTACGCTCAAGGTGCAGACCTCCCACCACTCTGCGACCCGACCCAATTCTGTCCAGACGAAGGAGACGCATGTCAAGACTTACTCCCTGTCGACAGCCCTTGCCAACTCAATCGCGACGACGAATGTGTTGGGCCGGATAACTGGAGAGACCTTGCGGATGATAAGTTTGGTTTGAACGTTAATGGCTCGGTTTGCCTTAACTTCCAGTGTATGTGGGCGAATGTTACTGTGGGCTTGCCGTGTAAGGTTGAGAATACGGCGTATATTATTTATGGGGCGAATAACCAGGAATCGATTGATATTGTTTCGCGGTGCGTACAAAAGACGTGGATTCTTGTGTCTCAGGCTAATTTTGTGTGGATGGGATATAGGAGCAACTGTGCGAAGGACCTTTACTGCGACTCTCAGCAACTGGTTTGCATAGAAAAGAAGGCAGCAGGCGCAAGCTGTGACGCCGACAAAGAGTATGTCACTCTCCCTTCTTCCTCATTTTAATATCAAACACACCCTAACGAACGCGATTTGCATAGATGCCAATCCATGAATTGCCTCCCGAATCAAACATGCGGAGAAGAAATCGACGCTGCTGCGCACGTCGGAACGTGGGTATATATCGTCGTGGGGATCGGTATCTTCGGGGGTATGTTCGGCACTTTGATTGCCTTGTTCTTCTTGCATGGAAAACAACGTGATCGGGAACGAGAGAAGAGGCTTCAGTATTGGAGGGAACAGGTGATTCTTCCTTCATTCTTTTCATTCCTTCCGTCATCAAATTTGGTTTGTTGTGGATTTCTAACTGCTGCTGTTATTCGCTTCGCTTCTGTGTAGAATGCTTTCCGTCAAAACATCCTTCAAATGCGAGACACCGCGCGCGCTTCACTTCTTTCCCTACCCATGGGCGGTGGACTTAATACGAATGGTACAAACAGTAATCGGAGTACGCTGTATAGTCGAGACGGCGGGTTCGGACCAGATGATTCGAATTACCCAATCTTACCGCAACAAGGCGCGAAGGGAAGTGGGTTGAGGTATCAGCAATATGCTGCTGAGAGTTCTGAGGTGGATAGTTATGATGGAGGTTATATGCATGAGCCATCACAGCAAGAGGGGATGAGGTATCGGAGTGGGCAGGCGTTTTAGAAGTTATTTATAGTTGTGCGGTTGGAGACTTGGATGGACTATGACAGATGAACTCTCTCTCTCCGATCCTTCATTTTGAAATTTTTACTTTGCTTTCGGTTTTCTTTAGCATCTAGTACGACGATATCCTGACCATCTTTCACTTTCACTGTCGCTGTCTTGTCACATAGTAGAGCTCTAATCGCAGCGCCACTGTAAGATCAAAATTTAAATTACGGGATGAATTGAGTTACGGCTCTAAATAGTAAACTAAACCCTGGCGAGAAACTAAAAAGCTGACGTAATTGAGGAATGACGAAAGCACGCATGCTCCAACCCCGATACAGGTCTGGGCTCAGTCTTCGCTGTCCTCACGCTCCTCCTGCCTGGGCAATTTTAACTTTTATTTATTCCTTCGCTCTGACCTTCTCGTGCTCGTCTGCTTAAGGGCAACTACTGTCTAGCATTCTGCACGACGACGTACGCGGGATGTCGCTCCTAGTACCGTCGAGTTCAAGCACGATACACGAACCCTTACCGTCGCTGCCACCTTCTCCTACGGAAGAAGAAGATTTGGGTGGAGCGTCTTTATGGAGGGATGATGGAGAGGAGGAGGCACTCAGACATCATAGTGTGAAGGGCAAGGAACGGGCACGGGAGATATCACTTGACGAGAACGAAATGGATAGTTCGAGTACGAGTGAGGATACACTTGCCGTTGGTGTTGGTGGAGGTGGTGGGTACCCGCCGACGAAAGGGGAGGAAGAGGAGGCGAGGAGGGTTGAAGAGGTGCGTTTGCTTCCTCTCATACTTCACTTCAATTAGCGAGTTGCTAATTTGATGTATTGTTGAATTTGTGGGGTGTGGATGTGTGTGTTGTAGAACTTGAGACGACTGGAACACGCCGAACGTCAACGCCGAAAAGCAGCTCGGGAGAGTGCAGCCTTTGTTGCACCGAGTAGCGTCGTCAATGACGTTTCTCGACGTGCGAGCTCACTTTTATCCAACAAACTACGGAATACTAGTAGTTCTAGCCCGAACAAACTTAAAAGCAAGAGTAATAGTCTGGACAGTACAGGTTCGTCACGACGAACTGTAGTGCATGCGCAACTCGGGCAAAGTTCGGATGACGCGCTACCGTTGAGCGAGTTCAATGGTGGTGGTTCGAGTAATATGCTTGTGTCGCCTGCTACGTCGAAGCCGCCTTCACCGACTGGGCAGAATCATGGTACTAATAGTAAGGAGAACGGTGTGTTGGGTGTACCGACCATTGTGGAGAATCCATTCGAGCCTCCTGACTCTGCTACTCCGTTACGAGGATTTCCTCCAGACGACGAGGACGAAAGAGATGGAGATGGGATGGAGTCGAGCGCTGTGATGCGTCCTTCTTCACCACCACCTGCTTTTCCGCCTGGCTTAGATCCACCGGATAGTGCTTCACCGTTTAACGAACCGGGAGCGCGACCACCGGATCGACCGACGCTTCAAGCGACTTCATCATTCTCCTCTCATCCGAACTTACAATCATCGCAAATACACCATCCACTGGGTCCACCACCGCGACCTCTTGACTTACCTCCACCAAAGACACCACCTCCGCGAACGGATGTGGATGGTACGCCTGTGGTGACGGTGCCGCCGAAACGTCTTCCTGTGCCTGTGCCTTCGGCTACGCGTCGTGGGGATGTAAACAATAGAAATGGTCAGATGAGGGATCAGATGGGCTCGGAGCAGCTGGAAGAGCAAGAAGAACATCGGTGGTGGACGGATTGGTTGTGTGGGTGTCGAGAGGAGAAGGATAGGGATAATGTTCGTGATTTTCTTTCTCTTTTCGTTTCTTGGGTTTTAGATGGTTTGGTTTGCTCATTGATCTTATGTTTTGTTTTGATGTTCAGGCTGGTCGAACGAACCCGTTCGAATAAGACGAAATTATTATATTCGTTTCGTGTTCGCCTTGTAGCTTTCCGGACACTTCAGTGCTACTTACCCCTGTATGAACTCGAATTTGGACGTACTGCGACCGGCTCTACCTCCTATTCCTATTTCTATTTCCACGTCCAAGCTCCACCTGAAGTCTGACCCCGAGCCGTGTGTGTACGCAATACCTATTCCTATTTCTTCGGGGATTCGAAGCACGACTCCAACACCTCTATTCCCACTCCCATTCCCACTCCTCTCTGGTAGGCATTTACTCGCCGTGCTCCCCACCCAGTCTTCGCTCCCTCTTCGAACCACATATCACATTCATGTTCTGTTCTTTTTTTAACCTTTACCTTTACCCATTCGGACTTTGTGCCCAAGGACAATTATAGCTTTTTAGCTGAGCTACTAGTATCAATATCTTCCTTTATGATGAACTGTCTCTCTCTCTCTCTCTCATGCAATACATGTGAAAACGAACAGCAAACACCATCTGTGATCTTTCGTGTTTTTCATTCATTCATTTATGTTCTTTCTTAGTCAGTGTTGCCCCCCCCCCTGCTTTGTGACTTTTCAACAATTGAGTTTCGGGTTCTGGCTTCACCTTTTTTTTTTCTTTCTTTCTTTCTTCATTATATATTGTAGAAATACCCATCTGTCCCCTTATCATAATTTCTTTCTGTTGAACTTGGGGCACTGTCGTGTGTGTTAGTATTACGTTTGACAATTGACTAGAGTGTTTGTGAACGACTGTTTGCAACTTGTTTGTGGTGTGTTTTCGTGGATGAGGAAAATAATGTTAATGTTGTTAACGTCATTTTTATTAGTGGGTAAGTCAATACCAACAAGTAAATGATGCAAAAGCAGCTGGGTGAGTACCATTGTTATTTGTGATAGTAATGCTTATTATTTATTGTATCTACAGAGAAATCGGATTTAGGCTATTTCTATCTTGTTTTGATTTTGAATTCAAGTTGCTGATCTATGTTTTCTGGAATAGTGATAGTATTATGATTTCCGTGTTTTCAGGCCCCATTGGATTGTTGGACTGTTCTAACTGGAACGTATTGCAAAATTAATATGTTGTTAAGTTCGATGTGTTCCTGTGTGTAATATTAATGTGCGTTGTGCTGCTGCGCAGCAGCACCTTAAGGACTTCACGGCTCCCGTGGGCGTTCTCCACGCATACAATAACAGCTTTATTAATTTATATTAAGGCAACCTAAGAAGAAATCTTACTCCAGTCGAATCTCAGTCTCGCTTTTCTTTCAACTCACTCGAAACACAAGCTTGCGGAAGGCAGAGTATGCATAGGGGAGAAGGGGGACTGTCCATTCGAGGTCTCAGCAAATCCAGAGCAGTAGTAGCGAATATACCTGTACACAAACTCATAAACAAACCCAGATGCCATATGGTTTCGTCGCAGATCCACAAATGGATGGAAAGGGGGAGGGGGTTCAGTGTGGTAATGATGTTGTGGGTGAAAAGGATAGGAGGCAAGAAAGAATTAAAACAATGTCAACCAGCGTCACGAAAAACGATGATGACGAAATAAGAAAATGAAGGAAAATAAAGAAAAGTAAAGGGTGAAAAAAGCTTTATATCCAATAAAACGACGAAATAAAAAGAACGTAAACACAATTCCAACGACTTACACCCATTAAAATACTCTAAAAACCAAGCCCAAAAAGGCAAAGAGAGGACGAGCGGCCAAGAGGGAAAGGGGCCTAGGTAAGGGTCGCATAGCAGGGGAATGAAACAACACCGCAACGCAACACGACGGAACAAAAGGAAAGGAAGACGCTCATCTCATCTCTCATTTATAGCAACCAGTTGCCATAGCCATCAAAAAATGCAGTAAGTTAGTAAGTGAACCCGGTAAGCTAACGCCAACTGTCTCCCTATTCATTCCCATTCAGTATTCAGTTGTCAAGTTGTGCGCGGTTATATATGAGCGATGAGGTGGGAAGTGAAGAAAACGGAGGGAGGAATGATGAATGATGAGAAGAAAGATTCGCGAAGAAGAAAGGGATTGGAGAGGAAACCCGTTTGGTCCCGAATCGGATCAGCGTTATTTGGAATTATGCACCGCGTTGACTGGGAAATTGGGAATATGGGAAGAATAGAAGTCGTGGTTAGAGATTACGCCTCGTTACGATGGAAAAGGGAATTTAGACACGTACGCCATGCCACCATATCCCATAGCTTGGCCTGATTCAGCTAGTTTCCTCTGCCTAAATGCCTGTATTAAAGAAAAAGGTTCAAAAAATCATCAATATAAGAAAAAAAGACTATGCCAAGACAAATCAAAAAAGCGCACTTTTCGGTACTTCGTGCGTTCATAGGTTACCAACGCTACAACAATGAGCGCTATCACCGAGATACCAGCGAATACGCCCAGTCCGATGGGAAGGACAGATAATTTCTTTCCGGGAATCGCGAAAGGAGTCGCTGAGGCGCTGGCGGATTGAGAAGAGTTCTCAGCGGCAGCAGTTCCAGACTGTGTTGCCGAGTCAGCGGTCCCAGACGCTGCGCCTCCAACCGTCACGCTTGAACTTGTTGTCGCAACTGTAGTCGCTTGGTCTGCCGCAGAAGAGGTCGAAGACGCTGCTGAAGAGACTGCGACAGAGCTAGTCGACACATTGCCGATGGCGGAATCCGTACTCGAAGCTGCAGCAGTGCTCGAACTAGCGGCGTCAGTTGAGGCGGTGGTGCTGCCAGAGTTGTCTGCTGCCGAAGTAGCGGCTGCAGATGGAGACACACTGGATACAGGCTACATACATAGAATACAAGTGAATTTGTGAGATCTTGAGAACCTCCTGTTTGGAAAACAAATGGATGGAGCTTACATTCACCGATACGGGAGAATTGGCCGTTGCAGAAGACGTCGCTGCAGCATCGGTGGAACTTGATGATACAGAGGCTGTATCAGTGCTTGTCGATGACGCAGCAGTGTCTGTAGAGGTTGATGAGGAGCTAGAAGCGTCAGCTGTGCTAGACGTAGACGATGACGAAGAGCTGGATGCTGTGGTCGACGAGCCACTCGAGCTGCCAGACGAGCCGGAATTCGACGATGTGACCACACACTGCTTGACCTCAATCACCTGCGCTGAGCCGTCCGAACCAGTGGTCGGCGTCAGCGTGATCGTACACGTCTCAGTAACAACGCCATTCGGTCTGCAAGGGCACAAACAAATGAGGTCAGAATCTATCCACATCGACAAGATCCCTGTACGCTACGCACGTATTTTGCGTCGTCACCGTCTGCACCTTCTGCGATCCGTCTTGTCTCTCTACAAGATCCACCACATCACGCTCGGCAAAGCTCAACCCATGCGGCAGCGATTGCACTGGGACGGCGAGGAAGAAGGAGAAAAGGAGAAAGAGAGCAGGTTGCATTTACAACAGATAATTGCAAGGGTTGGGCGTTACGGCAGGGCTTGTTAAGAAAGGAAGGGCGCTGGAGACCTGCTCCTAGTGAGCACGTCTAGTTGGACTGTGCTCTGCGGTGGCTTTGGTATAAAAGAAAGAGGGAGAAGGAGCCACCTGGGCAAGTGGAAGACGAAATGGTGGGAGGACGCGAGAATCTGGCCCGTGACAACTGGCAATCGAGAGCAGACAGTCGAAGAGCAACTCTCGTCTCAAAACGGATGTGCGCAACCGTAGCGGCTCTGCTGTGGGAACCGCGCGGCGGCCGGCAACAATGAAATGATGGGCTCTGGCAACTCCTGCTATTCCGTAGCAACGCACGCTCGCAGTCACTCAGTATCAATTGCGACGTCCCCGTAATCATGAGAATTTGTATATCATCACCCATTCATTTCTCTCCTCGCCAGACGGCGTTTCTTCTGACATTTAACACGTCAAGAAACTGCAAACATAGCCAGGTAGTAGTAGTCTAGAATACAACAAGCCCCTTCAGCATATCATGCTCATTCAACAATGCTTGGGAGCTCGGCATCTTCTGCCAGCATGCTGCCGAGTGTGTGGCCCCAGGCGATCAAGCCACGCTGATTATAGCCTGTGCAACAGCTGATGCGCGAGCAAGACATATCTTGATGTTACTCTCTCCCGCTCTAAGCGCTGCCTACATCAATATCAAATTCCCCACGTCTATCCTTGAGGCACAGCTGTCCTATCTTTAATGAAAGGCAAACAGTCGAAGTCTCGAACCTGGGCGGGACGTCCTTACACCGATAATCCGGCAGGAACGTTCGCCTCATCGCATGCCATGTTCCACGGCCTTGTACGCCTTGCCGTCCCGAATCCTTCTCCTAATGCGGAACTGGTCGGTAGCGAAGCTGATCACCCGTGCCACCGAAGCGGTTCCCCACCTTTCAAACGTCACCGAAAGCAACACATTCACAGCGACTGCCGCTATCAAAATAGATCGTCCGGAAAACGGAATAACCATGAGCTCCAGAAGAACCAAAAGTGGCTGCGGAGGATAAAGAGTGAGCCAGACGTTGATCAACGCGATCACTGACATTGCCAGCATAAATAAGCCTACGTCACTCGTCGTCAGAAGCTGAAGTCAAGTCCGATTCTCTTAACTCACCATTCGTCCACATTGGTTTCCGATACGGCGGTCCAATGCTGAATACCGCTGCGACAAGTATGTACTGGAAACACGACACCAGGAACAGCACCGTATTCTCGTAATTTAGGGCCTGCAATTTGTCATGACCGGGAGTCGGCTGGCTCTTGACCGGCGGAGTATACCTGAGTTCCAGAAGACGTCAGTGGTGCAGTCTACACGAACTGTCATAATCGGGGCCCACCAGCTCTGCGATTTCACCCAGATAAAGGTCCAAATCTGAACTGCACTTGTAATAATAATCTGGCCAATTATACTAGTAAGGACCTTCTTTGATACGAGACTCGCAGTTGGCCGCTTCGGGTGAATCTGAGGGTACGGAAGTGTCCGGCCCACTTGAGAAAATTAAGCAAGTTTCAGAGATAAGACCGGTAGGAGATTCGGTGGACTTACTGGTCACGGCTATCGGGATAATGATAAACAAGTCTATGTAAAGGAACTTCGGAAGGGTTTGAAATGAGAGACTGCTCTGGCCCGAGACAATGTAATTGACAGGCCTCACCTGAAAGTCGCCGAGAGATGAAGCAAAGGAGTAAAGCAGAGTGATCGTCGTGAACTGAATAAGAGAATACAAGGCCCTAAATGACAACATTTTGCATTTCAATTAAACGTCAACCTGAACTCATGGCCAGCAAACTTACATGTACTTGAAGCAACTAAAGCTCGTTACCAGTGCAGCACGACCTTCCTTAATCACCTCGAGTACGCAGCTGATGTCTGGTGTTCGGCTTGTAAAGGGGGCAGCAACTGAAGCTTCGGCCTCGGAAAGGGACAATCCTACATCTGCTGCCTTCAAGGCGGCACAGTCGTTCGCCCCATCACCACACATAAGGACAGTATAACCAAGTCCATGAAGACGCTCCACAACTTCGTTCTTTTCGTCCGGAGACATTCTTGCAAATACTTGAGTCTTGACAAGCATCTAAGATAGCAAACGTTCATAAGAGATACTGCAAAGGAAGTTTCCACAACTCACTCGCTGCACAGTCTCCAGAGGAGCGTAATTTATCATCCAACGGAAGACATCGCCCGTGAGCGCAATAGTATAGTCGTGGAAAGATATCTCGTCGGCAGATTCCACTGTATGATGCGGAGGCGGATCCAAGGGCTTCAAGCTGTAGTCGCTTAAAGTCCACAGTGGATCATCCATACATGGCCATACGAGTTTCGCCAAAGGCGCTGACGGGTTTCCTTCCACAAAGACAGGGCTAAAGACATGCGCAGTTTGATTGATAAGCCCACATTCCCGGGCGACGCTCACAGCGGTCAACGGATTATCGCCTGTGATCATTCTGCAAGCCATATGCGCTGCCCGCAGTGCCTGTATTGCTGGAGTAGTTCCTGGCTTTATTTTATTTTCAAATATAACAAGACCAAGGAACCGAAGGCCCGACTCCGCCTGCTCCCGCTTGAGCCGCTGAGCTTTCAGCCAAGAGAGCCCTTCGATACTCTTTCCCGCCATGGCTATGACACGATACCCACGCTTTGTATAGTATGACAGTAGATCTTCGTAATCATTCGGGACTAGACATTTCGGTCAGACGTTGCCTATCAGAGGAACACGACCATACTTACAAGAATCCCTTTCGCAGATGTCATGCATGACCTCTGGCGCGCCCTTGACATAAATTTCCATGCTGGTACTCTTCAGTCTTTTGACCACGACGCTCATACGACGCAACGACGATACAAACTCGAAGGTGCGAATCACCCCGAGTTCGAGGAAGTGGGGGCGCTAAGAAAATTGATCAATTAATTGTCGGACTGAAGTTCAGAATATGTTAACCTTTGCGCCTCCTTTTAGGGCATCTTCGACTCGAAAGGCACCACTACCAGGAGGTCGAACAATGTTCTGAACTAGCGCCGCCGCAGATCTTGAACCACTTGCTTTGTCTTTGATGACGCCTGTACCTGCAACTTGACCCTCTTCTAGAGTCCATTGCGTAAAGTTGAACATCTTTACATCAAGCGGATCACCAATTGTTTCGCCGTCAACGACTTGAAGCATATGGCATGTCGTAAGAGCATGCAGGAATGAAGCTTTCCCCGCGCCAGCCTCGGAAGGTAAGTCATGTATATCCTCGATGAGTTCACCGAATTGATGAACGTTTCTTTCCATCGCTCGAACTCCCAATATGTCCAGGCCATCCTCGGTAAGTGTGCCTGTTTTATCGAAGCAACAGACATTGACCTTCCCGCTCACGTTAATTCGGTTTGGGGAAATGCAGAATATGCCAGACTTCCGTAGTCGGCTAAGAGCGAAGCTCGTACCAATGGAAAGGGTCGCGGGAAGTGCGGGTGGAACGACGACTGTGATTAGGTCTAGCGCTCGAACCAAGATCGTATGCCAGGGTATCTAAAGAAATGTCAGCCCTGTCCACTCTGTGGATTTGCTTGGCACTCACTCCAAGACGGACAAACTGTACAGCAGAGATTAGAAATCCAAAACCAGCGATACCAGCGAGTACACCAATAAATCGCATAGAATCTCTATAGAAAGCAAAGCCAAGAGGTTTCGGGAAAAGCATAGATCGAACTAAAGATCCTTTCGTTGTGGTGAAGCCTGACAGTGGACAGTGATGAGCCGCCAGAATGTCCAGAATTAAGTATACTTACCAGTACGGACGACAAGAGCTATGGGTGGTCCTCCAGTATTGCCGCTGGCTGTCATGGCACCCCTCAAACGGACGACACGAGTTCCGGCGTATAAGAAACTCTTAGTATTGTCAATAGTGGTATCAGAATTATCCTTCCACTTCGCCAGTTCGACGTCTTTAATTGGAGATTTGCTAACAGGAACGCTCTCCCCGGTCAACATACTTTCGTTGACGATCGCGTCTCCCGATAGAAGGAACATATCCGCAGGAAATATAGAAAGAGTGGGTTCCGTGAGTGAAACGACGTCTCCGGGGACAAGGTCAGTCGAGTCTCTTATCTGCCCTGCGTTAAGGTCAAAAGCGATATCGATAAGCATAATGAGCAACACAACTTACATCGCCCACTGCTGTAAACGTGAATGGGACATGAAAAGCGTGACATTTCCCTCATGCGTGTTAGAGTCTTCGAACAGAATAATCAATGCGAAGTGACAAGGATTCAAGCACAATACACGAACCCTTTTCGTGTCTATGAGTGTGCTTATGATACTTGAGAATGAGATAAGAGCGATGCAGAATGCGTAATAGTAATAGTCGTCCATTGACCACAAGATAATACTAGCAATTTGGAATACGTAAAACGGATGGATAATCTGCGAATGGTCGTCATTTACCAATTCACAGAGCAGCGACAGAAGGTATTTTACCTCTTCTATTAGTAGAGACGATGCAGATTTTTCCTCTATGTCAATCATATTAGGTCCGAAGAGCATTAGGCGTTGTTCGTGTTCAGAATCTTCGAGACCTTTTTGTACGGCTGGTATACCTGTCCAGGAAGGATCTCGCCAGTCACTGCGGTTACAGTAAGCGATCGATTGGCTCACGTCTTTGCATTGACTTACCTGACCGCGGAAAACAACCCTGTTCTAATATCAAGTGCAAACCTCAGATAACGATAGTCAACCACCTTCAAGGTCGACAGTACTTCAGGCTCCTTGCCATTGGAGTCTGTGGTGCTATCTAACCCCGTCTTTGTCGAAAACACCGTTGAAGGAGCAAAAGGATAATCCAAGGTCTTAACCGTAAATAGTGATATATCCCTGAAAGGCGTCTTGGAAAGAAAGATGAGATAGGACTTCCATGCGATAAAACTGATGAAGTACCTCTACGACAATGAACCCATTCTGACTGTCCTTAAATGCTCTTTCTCGCGCCACCCATCGAAGCCAAAATCGAGGGAACCAGTGTCCGAGAAGCCCGAGCAGGCCAAACGTAAGGATACAGCCGATCCTCCATACCCACTTTCGCCATAAAATCGTTTCATAACCGATGAACAGTACAGTTATATCTTCATCCTGCATAAAGATACGTTGCCGGCTCGGTGGACCGGGAGGTGGAGGTTCTGAAGGTTCAAACACGACGTCCATTTCTATCCTGGTATCGCCAAATATAGGATCGAGCGCCATGTTAGGCAGTGAGCCGGAGGGAGAGGGGGGTAAGGACCCGTAGTCAGCATCGCTGCCGTCCGCTAGGTCGGATTCGCCGCGCCCACGACCTAACAACTCGTCCTCGGATGACTCGTCTTCCTCTTCAGAGGTATAGCCCCAACGTTCTTCATCGTCGTCTGACGCGATAACACTCTCGGATACAATTGAAGATGGACGCGAACCACGACGCGGCTTTCGCGACCGACGGCTAGACACACCGGATCGCAAAGACAGTGAATGACGGCGGCTGGACGTCTCCTGGTCTTTCGGGGCATGTGATCTTCCTCTAAACATATGTGCTAGACTGTCCAGTACAGATGGACGTGCGACGTCTGGAGATGTAGAAGGCCGCCTCCGACGTCGTATTAATCCAACGTCCCCATCCTCCACGACCTCCTCATTTGACATTTCTCCGTCCATGGTAAGTTCACTATTCTGCGAGTCCCGCCGAGCGCCTAGTGCAGGTCTTTGAATATCTTCGCTTCTCCGTCTGTGCCTAGAATGTCCTCCATGGGAAGAGTGATCACTGCTCATGCGCCGCAAATGTTGAGCACGTTCGCGACTCATTTCACGATGGCTCATACGGCTGACACTGCTCGGTACTGCAGCGCTGCCAGGACCATCGAACACGGCTCCCGCATTGTCATTGCCGCTCGGCCCGTCGAGAGAGGAATGGGACTGGCCAACCTGGGAGTCACGACGATAACGTCGGATGCTCTGTGATTCAGAGATAGCATGTTGAATGTCAATTGCCGATGCGCCCTCCGTATAGTCGTAGTCTTCATTCATGTGCGGGCGAGGCGAGGCTGTGGCAGGAAGCAACTCGCGTAGCTCTACAGTCTCGGAATGACGAGACGAGTGGGCGGAAGCGAACCTTGCGTCTTCCATATTTAGACAGCATGCCGGTTGGCCACAAGTACACACGTTTGAGTACTTAGCAACCAATATTAATATTAATGGTATCATTAAACACTACTACCTACAAAGTACGGAACATGTGAAAAAAAAAATACACAACTATCCCAAGTACTTCCATATGAGATAAAAACAGAAGAATGTAAATACGGCTCCGCCAAAGAAAATGTACATATCCTGAGTACTGAAGAAAGTTAAGTCCAGGCACTCTTATCGAACGAGTTTCTACTTACCTTCGCCTCTCAATCCACCCAATGACATCCCTACTCAGTCCTAGGGTATTTGCAGCATCCAGCAGCCGTCGCTGTGTCCCCTTGAGCATATTGCGTTGATCCACCAGGTTGTCTAATACTTCCCGACCCTGTGCGATAAAGTCGTCCAATTGTGCATGTGCTGTCTGGGCGAATGAATGCTCGCGCAATGCGTATGCCTCGCGATCAAGGGTCGAGCCTGGCATGACGCTTCCATTCGGCGTTGCACTGCGGAACGGCGATTCGCCAACGAGTTCAGGAGGTGCGGTACTACGTGTAGGCCCGTTTGCAAATCGTTGCCGTGCAGAACCCGCAGTATTGGGTGTAGCACTCGCGAATAGTTCTGTTTTCTGCGCAGCATCTCGCTTAAAGTTGTATGTACTTGAGCCACATACTGAACCGGAAGCGAACTGCCGAGACGTACCTCCCTCTTTATGCTGTCAAATTGGCCCATTAGTTCGCTGTAGTCCGTTCTGAATTTCTGCAATCGCCTGTACACATGGCATCGTGAGTCGGATTATAGCAGGAGTAAACTGTCTAACATACATTTGGGCTTTCTCCTGTTTTGCCTTTAGCATTTCTCTTCGTGCCATGGAGTCATAGTCTTCGATAGTCCGATGTAACGCTGCGAGTGAAGCTGCAATCTGCCCTGGCGTAACGAATCCAAATGGCGACCGGCGAGAGACCAAAGCGACGTACTAATCAGCGACAGACGTATTTAATATGTATCCATACGAACCATGTAAAGATGCGCTATTATCCCCCGCCCGTAGTTTCTCAAGGTCCGCTTGAATAGACGATGTCTGGCGGACACCAAGTGTGTAGAGAGAATTCATTTCAGTTCACGTAGCAATACAGTCCACTACAAGCAAGCCTAGAAGAGTGCACGTATAGCAAAAGCGAGCCTGTTAGGAATTCACTACGACCAACGCTGGTACTGGCCGAGCTCTGTGAGCCAAGTAACGAAACGCGGTGACCTAATTCGACACGTCTCGATATTTCTAACTTTCTCACGTGCTTCAATAAATCGTTCCTTTTCCACCTTTTATTCTACAACAGGACAGATACACGTACAACTGCCATTCGGTAAATACTACGCCTGCGCTTCGAATATAAATAAGGGGGAACATATAAAAAGATGAAACATGGCATCAAAGAGTCATATTCGAGCAACGGAGTTCCGCTCACGACCCGGTTAAATAAACGAACAGCGTAGAATACTTGCAAGAAACAAGTATACAAATGTTCAAATGGAGAAATGATTTAAACAGACGAATCTTGTACAATTTCAAGAAGCTTAACAATGATGTATGGAGTTCGACAATCTTCCCCTGGAGGGAAGCTTCAGCAAGAAGCACGCTTCAATGGGGAGGAAAAACATACCTTGAGTAGGACGCCGCCTAACGACACGCCATGATCCTGTTTGTGCGGCTCATGTTCATGGGATCGAAGCGATACCCATGAGAAGCCCTTGCTCGGATATCATCGTATACTCCACCCGCCATATCGCCAGAACGCGCGAAATGGTGCCAGTAAAGGATTTCACCAGACCTTAGCCTCGGGATCTTCGGTAGAGATGCACGAGGCGACGCTTGTATCTGTTGGGCTACAGCTGCAAAGACCTCTTGTGAACGTGCGTCGGGATTGACGTCTGGCTCGCCAGCCACGTACAGGCGTTCCTCATAAGTAACCTCAGTTGAATGGAACACAAACCGGTGACCATTTGTGTTCCGTGGAGGTAACGGTTGGTGATAGTTTGAGTGCATCTGACCGAGCGAGTGCGAACCAGTAGGAGATAGGCCCATTCCGGGGGCACAGCGAGCACAAGGTGCGACAATCATATAGCCGATTGCTGTGCCACACCCATGACAACACAGTGTCTGAGAGAGGCATTCACATGTGCGTGTCTTTGGAGAATGCGGACTGGTCTGGTAAACAGAACAGTTCACAGGCATGGCGTCGCTGGAAAATAAATTGACATCCGGACGCAGTAGCAGGACACACTGTGGGCGAATTAAGTGTCAAATTCCTATAACCGAGGCAAGAATACTTTTATTTCTTTACCTTCATTCCACGGTTTGTGATGAATTTACCGCAGTGCTTGCAATTCAGCATCCAGACTTTATGTGCAACATCGTTGTTCGCAGGCGGTTGAACAAATGGGTGAGGGTTGACGCGATGCTGGGAATAGTGTAGTTGAGGTTGTTGTGCATATGGGTCCGGTGAGGAATACTGAATCATCCTTGAGTTTGCCTCTGTCGCAACAGTCGGAACAGGCGGAGGTAGCTCACGCCCGGGGAACATAGTAGAACGGCGATGAGGATCATAGTTAGAAGCAGAGTGTCCAACGGCCATGACGAGATCGAATTGTTAGCAAGCAAGTGCTTTGGTAGCTGGGGGGAATATCCGAAAAAGCAGAGATTAAATACGCCATGGTGGCTAGGCATTCTGAGCATTCTGCTCTGAAACTGAGTGAGAGTGCAAGTAAGTTTAGAAATTGTCGAATGACGCGCGCCGCATATTCAATGCTTCGTCGCACGTGACGCAGAAGCGTGAAATCTCCGACAGGCCCTCAGTTCCTCGGATGTCGGCTAGGACCATTCCCTGCCCCTTTCCTCATCGTCTGGTAGCCATGGCCAGTAATGTCGACGTCCTGACCAGGGCGCATACTGCACTCAAGGCCAAAGCGCGTGCAAAGAAGAATCAGATTGATTCCGTAGTCTTCGACGACGATGCTCGGGTGTCCGTTTTCTCTCCACTTTCCGGCCGTGGCGTGTACACTCATTTTGTGTCCCTGAAGGGAATTCTTGACTGGCTTTCACAAGAGGAAATTACAGAAGAAAGAGGCAGCGAAGAGCAAAGCTAAGGAGCGTGAGCGACAACAACGCCTTCAAGCAAGGAAGGAACAGCGTCAAGCCTTGAGAGAAAAGGCTCAAGAAAATGCACGACAAATAGAAAGTGCACTGAAACAAGGTATGAGGACTCAATGTCTCCGCTTATCATAGTCTGATTACTCTCTCGTTTTCTTGGTGCTAAACTCCGTGTACTGCATAGACGTTAATGAATCAAGTGATGAAGAAACTAATAAATTGCCACAATCCCGCAAGGGAAAAGGAAAAGCAACCCAGGAATTCGAAGACGAAGAGCAATTGGCGACTGTCACCATTGTAGAGGAATTTGATCCGGATACTTTGCGGCACATGTCTTCAACGGCTCAAAATAAACCAGGCTCATTGTCTTCAGCGTCCGAATCACGCGTAGATACCCGTATAGATTCGCAATCCAGGGTGCAAAATCCACACCACGAGGACACAGTCAGTCATCTGGAATCGAAGGACGGCCAAATGGCGAAGCCACCTCCTAAGAAAGCGAAAGTTCAACCAAAGAGAACTCCATACGAAACCAAAGCAGCGCGGAAGGCAGCTCGCGTGAAACAGCACTCCAGGAAGTTGGAGAAGGCGAATCTTGCCTCTAGGAACGCACGACGAAAGGAAGGTGGGAAAGGTGGGAAGGGAGGCCAGAGAAGCAAAAAATAGTTGCTAGATACTACATCTGATTTGCATGCAACTTATGTGTTGACCTTGTAACACAAATACCGCGCATATCCTGCTGTTTTGCATTTCAAAATCCATTGGACCTCTGTTGCTATATTGTGCATACTGTTCAAGCTTTGCTCGACGTGAAATTCTCAATCCATTAAACAAGACAATAGGCCCTAGAATGGATGGGGTTTTCCGTGGATCCATACCGCGGTAAGGAAACTCTCACGGTAACCGTACCGCGGTAAGGATTCCCACGGTTACCGTGGTTTACTGCGTGTCCACCGATGCTGAGGGAAAAAAAATACTCTAACCGAAGACACTCATTTGAACTCGTTACTTTGCTACATCTTACTCCAATACATACTCTAAGCCCAAAAAAAATGTCTCAAAGCTATTCTTCTCTATCTCCTACTAGTATCTATGCTCAGTTTCATTATAATTGTACCAGAGTTCCGGTTTCTACCCCTGGTGCTTCTTCTCCCACACCATCCATGCCATCAGCACATCAAGCCGAATTTCATAAACGTCCGGCAGAAGCACCAGCCCCAGCGGCTATTCTATTAGCTCCAAAAAGGAAGAGGAAGGCTGCCGGTTCAGTGTATGACATGACAGATGAGGAGGTTTGGGATATGAATGATGAGGAAATACTTGGTATGCTTTCTTCCTTTCTTCCTTTCTATCTTTTTTCTTGCTCTGTATTGTAGTTCTTTTATTAGTAATGCAGATTATATTATTCTAAATGTATATGTGTTAATATTGGTCAAATAATAATAACTTCTTGTATATTCAGCTCCCTGCCGTGTCAAATGGACTTCTCCAGCATATCAGCACTATGACATTTCTGTCAGACGTGTTGAGCATAATGGAATGAGGAAAATCTTCTTCATCTTCAATTGTATGCATGGCAGTCCAAACCACCAAGAAATCAAGCGTGCACGAATGGGTACAAAGAACGGCACATCGCTACTCCTTAATTCTGCTATTGCCTGCACTAATTCAAGAGGTCATACAACGAATGCTACCCAACCACCTATTATTTATTCTGAAGCTGCTCATCGTACTCTCATTGCTCTTCGCTGTGCAAAAAGCAACCGGCCCTTCAATTTTGTGAAGGATTGCTATTATGCACTTGAAGTTGCAATGCTCCGACCTGGTGTATCTCTACCGAGCCCTGACACTGTTTCAAGCGACATTAAAGCCATTTATACTGGCTTGTCAATTCAAGTAAGGAACTACTTCAAGGTAAGTACAAATATACTTTTTTCCTTCTACATCTAATTAAATACATTTAGAATCGTGCAAGAAATGTGCATCTTGCAATCGATGGTTGGACTGCACCAATGGGTGCTTCTTATCTTGGAGTTGTGGTTATCTGGTCTGATTCTGGGAAGGTGCATCGAGCAATCCTTGAATTTATTCAGTGAGTATTATTTGATCGAAAGGCAAGTGCAACAGCAAATGCCTGCCAAAGTCATTGCCTAGCTTTGGCATGCATTGTAGTTTGGCAGAGGCAATGATGATGGATGCGGTGCCATAGTATCAGCATTAGTATCCGCACGCGAAGAAACAGGAGCGTGATTGCTCTTCGAGCCAGCTGCTATAGTCATGTCGTTATTGCTGTCCTTGACTATCATCTCTCGGATTATCAAGGCAGTCTAAATAGCTCCGCACTGCAAGGTCCTAACGAATATTTCTTTTAGCCTGACTCAGGGCCATACAGGTCGATATCTGGCCCAGGAACTGATGCAGTGCCTTCAGCGATACGAACTTACTGAGCATGTATGTGTCATTCCCATGAACGTTCTGCACATTACTGATTACTATGTTATAGGTACACGTACTCTGTATGGACAATGCAGGTAACTGTAATACAACAGCGACTGAGCTAGAAAAGCTCGTACCAACGTTTCATGGTATGAAATCGCGTGTACGTTGTTTTGCTCACATTGTCAATCTTGTTGCGAAGGTAAGCATAGTGTTTTACAAGTTACGCTACGCTGTCTATTTACTACTTATGTCTAGGCAGTCCTTTCGTTGTTTTTCCGTCCAGCAAAGCCGCGTAAAGTTGTCAAGATTGGGGTCCATCAGCTCCATGGTGATCCTAATCCTTCTCCGGCTGAGGTTGTGATTGAACCTGGGGAGCAGCTCACACCTGAGGAAGAGGAGCTTGTTGCTTCTCTTGCTGAGGATGATGCTAGTACATATGATGATGGGCAATCAGTTCATGATACATATGTTACTACTTCTATTCGAAACAAAGCCATTGCTGACATGCAAGGAAGGGGTGTACAGGTTGAGCAGAATGAGTTGCGGAGTGCAGAAATGGTTTTATATAAGGTATTCATACTCTTTCTTTCAAATATATTATACTAAAATAATAATTAGATTGCTGGTCTTGCAAAACGGGTGAATGATTCACCACATTTGAAGGAATGGTTTGATAAGTTGGTTGATGCTGAAGTTAATAATCCCAACTCCAAAATTGATGGTAATAAGCGAATGCTGGATCGCCGAGTTGCTACTCGGTGGAATTCTGATTTTGCTTGTATTGAATCATACCTCCTCTTATACCCTGTTGTTGAACAGTTAATTGGTGTCCAGCATTTGAAACTTCAAAATTTCATTCTTAATTCTTCTCAACAAACTCTTGCACAAGATTTACTTCATGTTCTTTCAGTAAGTCCTTACAGTACTTATCTAACTCTTCTAACCTATTTCATATACAGATTCTTGAGGAACCTACTCGACTTTTTTCAAAAGCAGAGGTTCCTCTCATTTCTGATGTAATTCCTATGTTGCTTGACATTCGTCAGGCACTTGAATGTGCTAGTAAGGATGAGAATTTGCCTAACATTCTTCGTATTGCTGCTAGAGCTGGAATACTTGTTTGTGACAAGTACTTCACTCTCACTGGAGAGTGTGAAGTATATTTTATTGCTGTTGGTATGTTATTTACATTCTTAAAATTGTAACAGGATTCTAATAGTGTTTGTCATACAGTAATGTCGCCAGACAAGAAGTTGGAATGGTTTACCAAGAGGAACTTTCCTGAAACTGTGGTTCAAGAGATCCAGAGTCTTGTAATCCAACGCTGGGAGCAGTCCTACAAGCAATACAATCCAAATTGTACATCTTCATCTAGACAAACACGCCCTTTGCAGCCAGTAAGTACTTCATTTGTATTATATAATATATGTCTAATATATTTTTAGTCTCGTTCACGCTATCTCACTCAGTGTGATACTATTGATGAAGGTCCATGTGATGCAATACAAGCTTATTTGTCTGAACCTCGAGTCTCTACATCGACTATTCAGTCTTCAGGTGGAGTTATACAATACTGGTATTCTGTAGAGGCATATCGGCCTAGTGTAGCTCGGATGGGAATAGACTTTTGCTCTGCTCCTGGTAAGCTTTACTTTCTGTTATATTTTCCTTATATATTTAAGAGTCTTATCTATTTCTTTGTTATAGCTACCTCAGTTGATGCAGAAAGAGCATTCTCTGTTGGAAGGCGTCAACTTAATTTTATGCAACATTCCACTTCTTCAAACACTTTCAAAGCTAAAATGGCTGTTGGTTCTTGGGATGGAACTCCTTTATTTCCTACTATCGATCATGCAATTGAAATAATTAGACAAAAGATGTCTTAATCCACCATTCCTTACTTTTTTCACGCTGATTTGGAGGACTTTCATTGTAGAAATTTAAAATATATACCCTAATAATGTCTTTATTTATTACTAAATAAAACAATTATATTGTATATACTTATATTTAATGTGAAACAATAAGATTATCAACTGAGAATTAAGTAGAAAAAAGAATAGTTATATTCTACAGTGGTACTCGAAGATTGGCACGGTACGGTGGTTTACCGCGGTAACCGTGAGAAAATTTACCGCGGTAAGAAAAAACCACGGTATGGATCGCGGTACGCGCGGATGGTTACCATGCCAGGGCCTACAAGACAATCTTAAGTATATCACGTGACTTTAATTTCTGAACCGTCATGATGCCGCGTCTCCAACGACATGTAAACTGTCCTGAGCGTTTGAACTCTTACATCAGGCCCTCGTGTTTCAACTAGTCACTCAGCTATCTGTCTTGCGTCAGTTATATCGCTTCGCTTTACTTGGGCCCATACGAATCGAGGCACTATCAACGTTTAGAAGTACCGTGCTACTGTGTGTGTGGCTCAGTCCCGCTGAATAGTCACTAGCGGTAGAGCGCCTTAATAACTCGGAGCTTCGGTCTGTACTCTGTCCGCTCCGCCGACGAACATCGGAAGTGCAAGCCACACACTTACAGTGTTATCAAGGTTGGGCCTTGTGCAATGGCCTCAGAAGTGGCGAGTACCGTACAAACGGTGGGTACCAAGGACAGGGAAGACGAGGAATACATTCGACGCAATCGGCGGAAAGCATTGAAAGAACTCAATCTAGGAAATCATGGAGAAGGTAAGGCCAACAATACGTCCTGTGCATGTCCAGGAGTGTTTACTTCATCCCGATTTAATTTCTCACACCTGGGCCCATTGTAGTATCATCCAAGAACTTGGATTCATCGTTGAAGCGTCACACTGCACTCATCAAGCGGATGCGCCAATCAATAGGCACTGAAAATAATGAACAGATCATGAAAGATATCACGTCATTGTCACTAGAGAAGTACATTGATGAGCTAGCTAGCGCGGCGCATGAGGGTATTGCGCGCTGCAAGACTGAAAGGGATGTGTGGAGCGCCGTCGAGGTATTGAAACTTGTCGAATTGCACTTTCATCACTTTCTGATACTCAAGAATTGAAGATTATCTCTGCTCTCCACCGTCGTTTCCCAAAGGGTTTCACTCCTGCAATTAACGCGCTTCTCAGCACAGCTCTTCTTCCTCCTCAGCGCACAGTCGTATCGTCTATTGGAACGCAAAATCCTGCATCCACGCCTGCGGGTAATGTTGCAGGTACCGCGAGTAATGCAACAATCACACCAGAGCAAAAGGAGAAAGAAGATGCCGCTCGAGTGACCAGACAGAGACCTGTGTTGCGTGTATGCGCTGAACTGGCTCTGGTCGGAATCATTAGAGATGCACCCGGGAAGAGCGGAGGTGAATGGATGATGAAGACACTCAAGGATCTAGTGAGAATTTCTTACTATCAAATAACGTTGTAGAGGAACTGCTCACTTCTCCAAATCTGGATAGCTTTCCAATGATCCTACATTGTCTTCGTTGCCATTATTAACTACATTTCTAAAATCTTATGCGAGACCCTTTCTTGGAATCACCCCTTCAACAGGGTCAAAGGCACAGATTCCTGAAGGCACGACGACGGACCTTGTTGCTGCTGTCGCAAGGCAAAATGCGGATGGCTTTCCCCAACTAGGCACGGATGGCGAAGAAGACGAGTTGGTTGAGAAAGAAACAAGGGCACGTTTCAAGAGGATGTGTGAAGGTTACTTTGAAAGCGTTTCGAAAAAGCTTGTTATCGAGCATAAAGTATGTTCAACCTACCTTGTGATTCTAATTTTTTCGAATTTGGAATTCTTTATCTTTAGCGTTTGCAAGAGCAGGATCGCAAGAACCATGAAGCATATATCAGATCTGGAGAAATTTTCGAGGATCGTCAACAATCGTACGAGAAGATGACTAAGTCATACGAGAAACTACTCTCAAGCTGTCAAACGTACACAAGTCTCATAATTTCAATATTTTGCATACTCACAAGCCTTGCAGACTCTCTGAGCTTCTCAATCTTCCTATGCCAACTCTGCCAGCCGCAACACAAAAGAATGATACAATTATTGTCTCTGCAGCTGGCCAGCAAACAACGCAAGAAGAAATTTATGTGATTGGTGGGAAATGGGAAGATGAAGAAGAACGTCGATTTTACGAGGATATCCAGGACCTTCGTGACTTTGTGCCGAAGAGCGTGCTGGGGCTCGATGAGACAGATGGCCAGCAACCAGACGAGAAATCCGGACTAAACAAGACAAAGGACGAGGAATTAGAAAAGGAGAAGAAAAGGCAAGAGGAGAAGGAAGCCAGGGAGCTAGAAAAGGAGCTGAAGAGATTAGAACTCGGACATGAGGCAAAAGATGAGACCAGAAATGATAATGCACCTGACGAGGTTGAAATGGAGGACGACAGGTATGAGGTTTGTTACTTCTAGGAAGGGGTTCAGTCCTAAGAATCAATGGACAGTGCTGTTACTCCAGTTCCCTCACCACCAAAGTCGCCTTCACCGCCACAATCTCCATCACTCGCACCTCAAGGGCCTTCGCAACTGCTCACTGCACTATTGGCACGCCTTCCGGATTGCACTAACCGTACATTGATCGATTCTGCCGCGGTCGAATTCGCTTTTCTGAATTCGAAGGCGGCACGGAAGCGTCTTGTTAAGGTCTGAAGTTGTTCGACTTGACTGCATTTCTGCGTTGCTTATGGCACCTTATCCATATAGTTTATGACACAAGTCCCAAAGAACAGGACAGACTTGTTGCCTCATTACTCTAGACTAGTCGCAACTTTGCATAAGTACATGCCTGATGTCAGTGCAGACCTGATCGCATCTGTGAGTTGCTTAGATATTTTCCGTGGATCTATACTGATTTGATGATTAGTTGGAGGAAGAGTTTCGCTATCTCCAGCGGAAGAAAAATGTAGTGAAGGAATTCGCTGAGACTCGTCAGAAGGTCTGTGGATTTCATTATGTTTGGTCACGTTTACAAACTGAAACGTTGGAAGAACATCGCGTTCATCTCATGCTTAACGAAATTTGGAGTCGTTCCGACGCACGTTATACTGCATATATTTAAAGTCTGCCTGGATGATTTCTCTGGAGTAAATATCGATAATCTTGCGATGTTGCTTGAGGGTTGCGGTCGCTATCTTTTGCGAAGCGATGAAACAAAAGATCGATTCGTGACTATGGTGCGAAATTAGAACTTCAAGATAAAGCGTCTAATACTGATTGGTTTGTAGATCGAGCTTATGCGGCGAAAGCAGAGCATGCAGCACTTAGATCCAAGACAGACTCTGATGCTGGAAAACGCCTATTATCAGGTAAGATAACTTCGTTCTGAAGAAGTCTTGTCTAATTTTCGCAAAGTGTAACCCTCCAGAGCGAGCGCCTATCAAGGAGAAGGAACGTACACCCATGGAGCTGTTCATCAGACATCTTGTCTACGACGTCCTTACAAAGAAAACGATTGACAAGGTCCTGAAACTCATTCGCAAGCTCAATTGGGATGACGCTCAAGTGGTCCGTGCGCTGCACAATGCATTCACCAGACCATGGAAAATCAAATACAGTAACATCAGCTTGCTCGCCATGTTGGTTTATGACTTGCAGCGTTACCATCCTGAATTCTCCGTTGCCGTCGTCGATCAGGTCCTTGAAAACGTGAGGAGAGGAATGGAAACTAACGCTTACAGAGAGAATCAGCAACGGGTCGCCACGATTAAGTACCTTGGGGAGCTTTACACCTATCGTGTCATTTCTTCAAGTATTATTTTTGATACTCTCTGGAGTCTGGTGACTTTTGGGCATCGTAAGCTTTTCTGTGCTCTTTCATAGGTAGAGTCACCTAACGGATATTTCAGCCGAAGGACGTCCTTTACCCGGTCAAGCATGTCCTCTCGATATGCCGGACGATTTCTTCAGAATTAGACTCGTCTGCGTGCTGTTGGATACATGTGGCATGTGCTTTGACAAGGGATCTCAGAAGAAGAAATTAGATAATTTCATGATATTCTTCCAGGTATTCACAGCTGGCTTCGTTCAATACGGCAGAAATAACTCGTTTTTATTTAGTTGTATGTGTTTACGAAAGAGAACCTTCCCATGGAGGTCGAATTTATGTTGGAAGACACATTGGAGGTGTGCTATCCCGTTCTTACCTTTCCTTAGACTCACATGGTTTCAGGCATTGAGACCGAAAATGAATAAACTGAAGGACTTCGAGGAAGCGGCCCATGCTGTGGATGAACTCTTCACACAAATTCTTCACACTAACGGTGAGTATATTCGATTTAGCACTCGTCGATAACTTTGGTTGGGATTCTGAAATGTAAATTAGTTAATGATGCCGAGGGTGAGGACAGCGGAGAAGAAAGCGATGAGGACCGCGAAGGCGACGATCGAGTGGGTTCTGAGGAAGACGAAGATGACGACCAAACTGTGTCCGAGTCCATGGTGATTTTCTCACTCTCATAACTCAAATTTGTCGCTAGAACTGATATGAATGCGTGTTAGACCAATGAGCGACCTCCTTCTCCGGACACTTTAGTTCTCCTGAACGCACCGGAAAATCTGGGCCCTACAGATGAAGATGAAAATGAATTTGCGAAGGAACTTGCCAAGATGGTCACGGATTCGGCCGCAGAAGCGAGAAAGGTCGATAAGCGAACAGCCCAGGCGCTGTGGGACTCGGCAACGATGCCGTCAGGCTTTCGGAAAAAGAAATATGATAATAGTGATGAGGATGGAGACGTATCAGACGATGGTGAATCGGAGAACCAGGAGACCATGAAATTCGTTGTTCTTACGAAGAAGGGAAACAAGCAACAGGCATGAGATTATTTTCAACTCCCATTTTGATTAGACTGATTGATTTCATATTCAACTAGGCTAAGAAGATTGCGATTCCAGCTAATACCGCGTTAGCTGCGCAGACCCGAAATGCACAGCTACAGGACAAAGTCGAGCAACAGCACTTGAAGAAACTCGTTCTCGATTATGAACAGCGCGAGGAAGTGGAAGAATTCAAAGGCAGGTGTATTTTTATTATCAATCTTTCTTTTGCTCAATTTTCTCTGTCCAGCTCTTGAGTCCCGGACCCGAAACGGTGCAATCAAGATACGATACGTTGGATAACGCAGGACAATCGCGTCACTTACCCGCCGTTGTCAACATTTGTCTTGCCCACATGGCCAATATGACCCATCATTCGATGGCGTCTTGGCGCCGTCACTCTGTTGGCTGCTTTTCTGCTTGCAGCCATTGGGTCACCGCGTTCTAGGGCTCGGAAGCTACATGGATAGTCTACGTCCTCCTCACCTTTCCCTTTCGGCTTGCTCAGCTTCGATGTATCCGGCTCTCACGCATGGTACCTTAGCGCAGCGTCTTGCGTCGCTTGGACATTCAGTGCATCGAGACATGTTGTTGAACGACGTACGATTCTAAACAAGTATGTTGGTATGGACTAAATCAGTAGAAAAGAATATACAGCATTATTTGCGTGCATTGCTTCGTCAGACTTCACCGCTCGGGTTCAGCCGATGGCAAACCCAAATTTGATTCCGCATCACGGGACTTCCAACATTGTTGTCAGAAATGGCAAACGACGGCAATTGATCTATAACATGTTCATACTCGTTGCCTGTAAGTACTTCGTGTGATGCTTCCGAATTTACCGTTGGTCATATCTCAGTTCATTATGAGGCTACAGAGGGGACCCACGTCGGACTGGAGTAATCGAAAAGTTTGCGAGGGTGCAGGCACTTTGAATAGCCGCCACCACAACTTCCTCCCGAACGTTGGCAATGCTAGGTATACCAAAAACTTCGGATGATGGCCCAGCATGACCTACTAAGCGAGCTGTATGAAGAGACAAATCGGTGCCTAATAAACAACTTGCTTGCAGCCCTTTGTCAAAATATCCGGAGTCAAGACATAGGCTTTGTGTGCTGCTGCTTAGAAAACTGAGTTACACTTTCATTGCTTTCTTCATTGTGATCAATGTCTAACCACTGCCATAGCTTTTGCATAATAACATGTGGGGTGCACTATGGGGTTGCAAGCAACCACCACTACCGCAACTTCTTGCAATCAGCGGGGCACTCTGCCTGAGGCTTAAGCCAAGACACCTTGTCCTGCTTCAGATATAATGCGCTACATCGACTCGTCAGGCGTGGTGTCAGTCATTCACCGTTTCCTGCAGGTTAGTGTCCTCTCGTTGCACGCTTTAACACAAAGAGACGACGGCTAAGAGGATTTTCTAGATTTGCAGAGGATTCTTTAAGTATGTGAAGGAGGGGTTTCAGGATACGCGTCCCTTTCTTCCGAACTTGTTAAATGCACAGGTCAACCGAAGAGAATTGGAACTATTGACGAGCGTCACTGCAACCCGCACGTACACGGAATACTCCATAGACCTCGAATTGATTTGCCATGTTCTTCGTCGCCTGGCCTTTGAACAATGGGATCGCTTTTTGCATTCAGGGGAACGGAGAGAACTTGACGCGACAATTTTCCATGATCGTATTGTGCTCGGGCTTCGTAGTGAAGGACATCCAAGTCGATGCCGAACATTAAATGACCTTGGCTTCTTTCTTCGTACATGATTCCAGAAATGGAGGAAACTAGAAGATCTAGAGGAGGCAGTTGATTTGCACCGTACAGCTCTGAATCTTCGCTCAAAAGATCACCCTGATTGCTCGTTATCTCTGAATAATCTCGCATTTTCCCTTCAAACTCGATTTGAACGGCATGGACAGGTAAAGGACCTCGACGAGAACATTGAGCTTCTCCGTACCGACCTGGAACTCCACCCACAAGGCCATTCCCATCGTTATTCATCGCTCAATAATCTTGCAGTGTCTCTAAGAATTCGGTTTAGTCATCACGGACGGAGGAACGATCTTGATGAATCCATTGAGCTCCACCGCGCTGCCCTTGATCTTTGCACAAAAGGCTCTCCTGATCGTTTTTCACTGCTGGGAAACTTAGCGATTCCCTTGTTTTTTCGATTTGAACAGCATGGGCATCCTGATGACCTCGACAATGTCGTTGAGCTTCATCGTTCTGCCCTGGAACTCTGCTCAACTGGACAACCTGGCCGTTCCTTACCACTCAATAACCTTGCGAATGCCCTGTCTGTTCGATTCTCCCAACGCGGACAGCCTAATGATCTTGCCGAGGCTATTGAGTTTCATCGTGCTGCCTTGGAACTTCGCCCAGAGGGCCATCCGCGCCGTTCTTCATCGCTGAACAACCTCGCAACCGCCCTAATTACTCGATTTGAGTGCCATGGACACGCGGAGGATCTCGACGAGGCCATTAAGCTTCATCGTGCTGCCTTAAAACTTCTTCGTCCCAGTGGCCACCCTGATCGACACTCGGCACTGGTTAACCTTGCAAGATCCCTTGAAGCTCGATTTGGACTGCACAGGGAGATGGGGAACCTCGATGAGGCCGTGGAACTTCTCCGTGCTGCCTTGGAACTTCGCCGAGAAGATGATCCTAATCGCTCTACTCTGCTGAGCCGCCTTGCAGCTTGCCTTCGAACTCGATTTAAATATAGCAGGCGGATGGAGGATCTTGTCAAAGCCGTCGAGCTACACCGTGTCGCTTTGAAACTTTGCTCAGAGGGTCATCTTTATCGTTCTTCATTGCTGAATAGCCTTGCAAGTTCACTAAAAACTCAATATGAACAGTATGGGCGGATGGAAGACCTTGATGAATCTGTCGAGCTTCACCGTATCGCCTCGGAACTTTGCCCAGAAGGCAATCTCAATCATTCCTCATTGCTGATTAACTTTGCGAATTCCCTCCAAACTCAATTTATACTGCACGGACGGATGGAGGACCTTGAAAAGGCCATCAAACTTTACCGTGCTGACCTGGAATATGGCCGCAAAGGCCATCGTGAGTCTTTTTATTCGCTAAATAATCTTGCGACTTCCCTTCAAACTCGATTCAGACATCAGGGACGGACCGAGGATCTTGACGAGGCCATTGAACTTCATCGTGCTGCCGCCAAACTTCTGCCCAAGCATCATCCTGTGCGCTCGTCATCCATGGTAAACCTTGCAAATTGCCTGGTTACTCGGTCCAGACAGCATGGATCAGTGAGTGAATGACCATGACGAAGCCATCAAGCTGTGCCGCATGGCTCTGGATCTTTGCCCTAATGGCCATCCTTCCAGGTCCTCAGCCCTTAATAACCTTGCAGCTTCCCTGTTAGCTCGATCGGGGAGATGTGGCTGGAACGAGGATATAGACGATGTTATTGAGCTTCTTCATACTGCCGTGGAAGCTGACCCGGCACACCATCCTGATCGTTCCTTGACCCTGAATAACCTCGCAACCGCCCTTCGAACTCGATGTGATCTGCACGGACAAGCGGAGGACGTCGAGAATGCTGTCAAGCTTCACCATGCCGCACTGCAACTCTGCCCCAAAGGCCACCATGATCGCTCTTTACTACTGAACAATCTCGCAACTTCCCTTGAAGATCGATTTAACCTGAACGGACGGATGGAAGACATATGCCAGGCTACTGAGCTCCTCTATACTGCCTTGGAACTTCGCCCAGAAGGTCATTCCGATCGCTCCTCGACCCCTTTTAACCTCGCAAATTGTCTCTATGTTCGGTTCCGAAAATGCAGGTGTGCAGCAGATTTCCAAGAATGTATCCGGCTACTGGAGCTTGCTACTACCCATTCATTCTCGGGATTACGGATTCGTCTACTCGCTGGCCGTCTGTGGACAGAACTTGCACGAAGGCATGATCATAAATCCACTATCACAGCTTACAGTACAGCAACGACGCTCCTGCAAAACGCCCTTACAGTAAGTCCGACTCTCCACACACAGCACGAAACCCTTGCTGGAAACAGTGACTTCGCATCGCTTGCATTAGAGGCGGCTTCATATGCAGTAGAGAAAAACGAATTTACGCTTGCCATATGCGATAGAGATACTGGAGCAAGGAAGGGGATTACTTTGGTCACAGATGCGCGGCTTAAGGTCTCCTCTAGACCAGCTTGCGGGAATAAATAAAGAGCTCTCTGACAGATTTAGGGACGTGGGCCAACGACTAGAGAATCTCGCAACGTCATCCACAACGTTATCGTCCGGTTTGACCGAGGTCGATAATGAATTACTTTTGCCGAACATTCAAATACGGCAGCAGTCGTTCGATGAGATGCTGCTGTTGAAAAGGCAGCTCGCCAAGGAGCAGGGGGAGATTATCAACGAGATACGGCGACTCCCCGGGTTTGAGAACTTTCTCGCGGCTACACCTTTCAATGTATTGCAACGTGCGGCTTCAGAGGGTCCGGTAATCGTAGTAAACCAGTGTAGGTACCGATCCGATGCGCTAATTGTCCTTCCCCGAGCGGATCTCCCTATTGTCGGTGTTCCGTTAGATAAACACTTCTACATCGATGGTGTCAAGATGTATTGTGAGCTCTTGAAAACACGACAGCAATTCACGGCCAGCTCGTCCGAATATGAGGTGAAGCTCGTCGAAGCGATGAAGATGTTATGGGACAGGGTTGTCTTTAAGGTCGTCAATAAACTTGAGGAGCTTGGGATTAACGAAGGATCACGCATCTGGTGGTGTCTTACAGATGTACTATCTGCGCTTCCCTTCCACGCGGCAGGTCCATTTGAGGATAAAGATGGCACTTCCAAGTATCTACTCGACAAGTACATCTCGTCATATACTCCAACACTGGGAGCACTCATCAATGCACGATCAAGTGGAAACGGAGGAGAGCCAAAGGTGCTGATTATCGGGGATACCTCACTCCCGTCGGCTAAAGGAGAAATTCGCAGAATTAGGAATTGTGGTATATCCACCAAAGTACTGCGTGCGAAGGCATCTCGTGATGTGATAATTGAAGCACTTCGGAAGACCACATGGGTGCACTTTGTTTGCCATGGAAGCTTGGATTCAAAGCCTCTCAACTCTTCATTCAAGGTGTCCGACCGTGGGCTGACGTTACTCGATATTGTTCAAGGAAATATTTCGAATGCGGAGTTTGCATTCCTTTCGGCCTGCCATACTGCCGAACAGCCTCCTGGTGGTACGCAGGATGAAGTTCTTCACTTGGCCGCAGCAATGCAATTTTCTGGCTTCCGGAGTGTGATTGGTTTGATGTGGGAGCTACTTGATGCTGACGGACCTTTCTTTGCCAACGCTATTTATGAATACATGTGGGACTGCGATGAGGGCGAGGTGAGGTATAATCGGGCGGCTGCGGGACTTCGTCAAGCGGCAGTTGACTTGAAAGCACGAGGTGGCGTTCAGACTGAGAGATGGGTCAACCTGGTTCATATTGCTGTTTGATTGGTTAGAAACATTTTGTAATGTATTATACTTGTTTTTGTATGAGGAAACGGCCTTGGTCAATTTAAACCTATCAACGGCTTAACCTGTGATTTACCCAAGCGTCAGTGATCGATGTCAGGCCGATTGAGTAAGTGCAGGCTTGGCAGACGGACGGCACATTATCTCGGACCTTACAGCACAGCAATCAACGTACCCGCGGCAAAGCTTTCGTATCGTCAAGCGTTGTCGGCGCCATCTAGTATTCCTCACGGCTCGAAACGGCAATTATCACTATCCAACTCTCGCTAAAAGCACAGAATTCAAGAGCATTATTCCTTTCGTAAGGGAAACAGTTATAGGCAAAACTATACACGTTCTAATCATTACAAACCCTCTTTTTTTGCGAATGAACAGACTATTCATCATACTCAGCGGGACCTCGGTGACAGAGATCCGGTGTGACCCACAGTAAGGAATGGATTTTCGTAGTCTGCGGCAAATACAGTAAGTCAGATTGGACATGCGCTATCATAAGACAAGACCTACGGCTGCGAAGGTCGATGTCAAGTTACCCATGGTCGAAATTGTACCATTTGTCTGTATATAAGAATCCCGGGCATCAGCAAGCTGAAAAAGACGCTTCGAAGTAAGCGCAGCGACGACACCCGTTCTTCGCAGAACGGGAATGAGACAATACATGACGCTTCCAACTTTACCGCTTACATCGCTCAGCACTGTATGCAGTTCACAAGGGGTAATTCCACAGCACGCATACCGCCAGGGATAAACAAGGATTTTGCAGCAATGACGGCACCCAGAGTAGCTACTACCAGCGGGAACCAGACATCGGCAATCATAATCATGCCAAGGGATTCAAACGGTAGCTCTGACATCGCTGAGGTAGCAAGCTGAAGTCAAGAAGCAACTTGCAGACAACATTGTGGCATATGTTGAGGATCAAATCAAGGCGTGGACACTGGAGCTTTCAAATTTATTGCCTTTTGATTCTGAGTGACAACGCGCGTCAGTCACGTCATGCTGTCACTCTTCTCCTCTGAGACTAGAGTCGCGCCAGGACCATGATACCGCATTAATACTTACTTCACGACACTCCTGAGCCATGTGCAAGAGCATGCCTTCATGATAACTATTCAAGCTCAGCGACGGATTGAATCGCGTTAAGCCTTTCTGCGCGACGGTCATTTTGGCATGGACAATTCCGACGACTACTTCAATGACTCGTTCGACCTCGACGACAATGACTTGGCTGTATTGGATGCAGAAGAAGCGAAATACACACAAAGCGCGACTCAAAAATCCTTAAATACTGCTGAGAGTATTCCTCCTCGAAAACGGCAGAAGATATCGCATCCCCAAGTCGCCGAAGATATCTTAGATGTCTTCCTGCAAGCAGATGGAACATATGGCGTTGTTGGCGTTACGAGACGTGAGGAAGAGGGGGACATATCCATCCCGCGGAATTTGATTGTTACTGAATCACAAGATAATGGTCAGAATTCTGTTAAATTTTAAAGTAAAATGCTAATTACTCTGTGTGGTTCGGACAGTTCGCCCAACCAATACCAATAGCTTACCGAATGTGTCTCGTCCTCAAAGCCTCTCACGGAATACTTCTGTTCGTGGCGCTAATGCACGAACATTATCAACGTTGTTGGGCCGGACCACAGCTGGGAATGGACCATGTACCCGCACTAGACCGACAGCTGGGAATACACACATGCCCTTGAGGGCATCCCAGGTACCAGCCGGAAAATTTGCAGAGAAACAAAATAGAGTACCTCAATATCAACAGGAGAAGGAGGCGGAAGACTTGAAGGCGACTGTAGAAAAGGTGTGTCGCATGCGACGAGGAACTCTCTTCCGTCTTTCTGACGATAGTGCAGCTCAGGCTTGAGAATGAAAGGGCGAAGAAGGCTTTACAAGACGCGGAACTTTCTCGATTTGCTCGTGAAGGTGAAGTAACTATTTTGCGTAAGAAAATCGAAAAAGTGACACCAAGAATACCTCTTACGAAAATGCAAATATGCTGAACAATAGTTTTAGGCTGCACAACAGCATGCTGAGGACCTTGCAAAGATCAAAGAAACGAAGGATGCTGCAAGCCTAGAGCAAGTGCGGATCCAAAAGGAGATGAAGGAACAGATAGAACGACTTAGGACTGAATATATTTTTAAGGTATGCTAAGAAATGGCTTGCCGAAAATCTTGTGTTAATCATCCGGTTTAGCAACATGAAGTTGAGTCTTCGACACGCAAGCCAGGCTGGTCCGCAAGGTCAAAGAGAACGGCATTGGGATCTCAGATGTCTCCTGTTCCTGTTCCGCGTGCTATGCAAGACTGGACTTCGTCAGCCGCTATGGGAATGGGTAGGAGCAATCTTTTCCTACATACCCCGTCTCGAAGAGGTGCAACTGGCTCGGAAAAGCAGAATCTGAATCTTCTTAAGGCAGGAGCGACATCGCGGACAGCAAATATCGATCTGAAGTTCCCTGGTTTTGAGAATTCGTTTTTGCCATCGTCGCCGACTCGTTCCCCGTCCCGGACGCGCCAGTCTTCTGTTGTACCGAAGCGTGATACATCCGTCATGCGCACCCCACGGAAAGAGGGCAAAGAGAAAGACAAAAAGAGAAATGGCTTGATCTCACCTGTGAAACCTCCAGCGTTGACGGTACGCTCGGCAAGTGAGCAAGCATTCGATGGACTTCCAATAGACGATACAATACAGGATTTCGATGGAGACGTGGCGATGAGTAATTCCAGTCCTTCAAGACGATCCAAGCCGCCGCTGAGAATGGGAAGTAGTCCCAATCTCGGACGAAGTGAGCTGGACTCCGTTGCGGATTTAGACTTCTCCGACGACATCGATCGGGAAGCTTCCCCGGAAGAAAGCATTTTCATTGGTATCGACTGGAGTGAAGAGGTTAGTCCGCCTGTACACCCTATGCTTTCCTGCTAATCATGTTTTCCAGTTACATTACATGCTGTTTTCGCATGTCTCCAAGGCGTCGAAGACACTCACCTTTCAGTACCTTCTATCTGCAGATAGTTTGAACGAGAGCTACCAGCAAGCATGCTCAGAAATACTCGAAGCACTCGGATCGAAGTACAAGTTCAGTACGCTGCATGGACTAATGGTCGCTGTGGCCAAGCAGTTGATTTTGATGGCCAACAATTTATGGGAGCATAATCATGTGAGTTATTACGCCCCCTGCACGATTTCCTTACTGACGTGTCGTAGTTTGGGCATTTGCGTGCACTTTTAGAGTTGCTTAGTTCAACTATGTCGTATATTCCATCATTCACGAGTGCTGTTTTGCAAGCTGGTATGGAAAACCCGTCGGAAGACAACATGCATGCACTTCTTCGAGTATTCAGTGATATAGCCCTCAACAGTTTAGAAAGTAATAGCTTAGAGGACCACAACTACCAGCATTATCTACCACTCCTTCTGTCGTCACTGGATCTCATCAAGACGATTACCTGGACAGTTTCTGGAGAACTTTGCTCTAGGTAAGTTCTTTTGGAAGCCTATATACAAAGTTAGTTGTTACGACTAACTAAAACGCTTACAGCCTGGCACCATTGCTACAAACAGATCGCGCCTTGTTGACTTTGCTCGACAATAAGCAGCCAAGCTCTGTGGTATCTAATACGATCAGCACACTAGTCCTGCTTGCAAGCCGTACGTCTTTCAAATTAGCTCTGATGGTGAATAATGCCAACACTATTTTTTGTTTAAGATCGACCCGTGTCTCAGTCTATGCTCTCCATACCGAGCGAGGAGAGTCGCAAGCGGTTGTCCAAGAACACCACGTTAGATGTATTTCAAATACCTATAATTGAACGTCTATCTGCGTTTCTCGTAGACCATGGTCCACTCACCGATCCAGTACGTCTTGACATTGAAAAGTATCATATCCGTCGTGTTCTGAATCGTAATGAAATAGAACCTTGGCGAAGACTTGTCTTCAATTTTGAACTTCTTCGCGCTCCTGGCGGTCACAAACATGGAAGGGAGGACAGTTTTACTGAATTCAGGCGCACTAATCCCATGTTTGATCCACTACCTGACGCACTTGACTACTATGATTTGGGAGGACGACGCACAAGTTATGCAGTCTGTTAATTACGCCAAAGGGTAAGTTGCCTTTCCGTATGAGAGGAAATTAAATTATTTAAGACATGCAACACAGGGCTGTACAAAACATGAAACAAGCACTTCACCTTTTACACCGCCTCGTTATTCCTGGCGCAAGCTCTGAAGATCAATGTGCTCCAGATTTCGACTTCCGGCAAAAGCTATATTACGTTCCACACCCGATGTTTAATGGTCTGCCGCACATGTTCGTCGTGACGATAGGCCGTCTAAGCTATGCAGATCCACCCGACTGGTTGAACGCGGACCTTCAAACTGAAATTGAGAAACTGACAGGTTAGCTTAACCGCTTTTTTTCAGCTCTGGGCGGATCGTGTTGATATTTTCTTTGTAGAGCCTGCCAGAGATCTTATGGAATTGATCATAGAAGGACCCGAAAGTGACAGTGTCTGGGTAGCATATCAAGATGCCGAAGACGAAAGCGTCACGGAAAACGATGATGAAGCCGAGGCTCAGTTACTCGAAGCAATTGATCAAGAGTCTCAGGAGATGTAACTATGTATACAGGTCGATCTTTTTCTCTTCATTTCCGATATCTATCTCTTCGCAGCATCGCAATATTGTATCTGTAGACTCACTCACAGCTTCGCTACAAAACAACCACCATACGCAATAACTTCACAGTAATTCTCTTCCCCAGCTACTCATCACCTTCTTGACATATTAGCATATGCTCACACTTTTCAAAAACGCACGCACTTGTTTACAAGTTTTCCTTAGCCACTGAGCCTTTCGGGTGTCTACCTTACCTGGAATTGTAGATCTATCTCGTAGCCGCTTGGCAGCAAGTACGCAGGACTCGTGTCTGAAACGGTGGCTAAGTCGACGATGTATAAGTCCCTGCATGACAAATGAGCAGTGAAGTCAGAGTAGCAATGCAGATTGACTACCTCAGGAGGCAGGGGTGATCCAGGTTTATGAACAGTTTTGCGATCAGTTTTATTTGAGGGAAGTTTCCAGTTCGGAATTGCCATTGTCGAGAGATTCCCGTACGAATTCAGCCAAAATTGCCAAAGACATTCCTCCCAATCCTCTTCGCGAGAAGGTGCAGTAAAGAACCTCTCGCTGCACCAGATTGGGTGCGACTTCTCCAGCAATACAGGCGAAAGGGGGCTAAAAGGGTTGCTTGCATCCGGCTTGACTTTTGAAGATGAAAGAATAAGGGGCGGTTCCGACTGAGACATGTTCCACGAGACGATCTGCTTGGACAACCTTTCAGAGAATTTGTCTGGGACAGTCGATACGGTAGAAGCAGGAAACAGCAGTACAAAGCGTGTTCTAGCAAATAACCTAGCCAGATTGAGGTATGAATTAGCAGTCCGAGTTTCATTATGACTTCTGTGAATCAGGTGGAAGTCTGCTTTGCTTTTGAGAACCGGACTTTCTTCGATTTCCTTGGCTAATTTCTGAGTTTGACGAGAAGCATTACTTGCAACGACAACGACAGATAAAGGACCTTGGCGCAACGACGATTCAGCAGAGTTTCCCAAGTGAACAGTATTGTATCCTTACCGTCCCAATTTAGTGACCAAGTTTCCAATCGTCTGATGTCTTCCGCCTCTATCCAGATACACGCAGTTATGGCCGAATCATGGGACAAAGAGTGGGCGCCAGAGATGAACGGGGAAAACGAAGTGGAACGAGGCTCTGCCTGCAAAAGTCTTGCCATCCGATACGAAAAGGAGAAATCATTTATGGGTGAAATTGACCTAGTTTCTCGATACGGTGCCTGGGCACGAAGGAAGTCTAGTAGTATACTAAGGAGACACAAAGTAAAGAAGATTGCCGCGAGTGAGCAGTATGCGAGACAAAGCCAATAGGAAAGTGAGAATGATTTTGGCGTAGTCGGCTTTTCCGGGTTGTACAGAGGCAGTTCCGGTGACCTCGGACTTGAAGGAGGGCTGCGCCGAATAACTGCGGATTTGAGTTTGTCGTGCTGAGGCAGTTCATCAGAATCTGCTTTGGACAATGCACGAAGGCGGCGTTGAGAGCTGGAGCTAGACACACTCAGATGGGTCGACGCAGAAGTGCTAAGAAGGATGGGGGAATTTTTGATTGCTGAATTCGAGGGTCTGCTCTCCATGTCGCGAGTGGCAGAGTTCAAAAAGTGCTTTGAGTCAACAGTGAAACATAACAATTACAACAACAATAAACAAGCACACACACTGCCACGCGAGGATGATCGGCGCATCCGCCCTTATTGTTCCCTACGCCTTCCATCTCTAGTAGTCTTACTTCATTCCTTATTGTTGTGGGCGGGTGCATTTAAGCAGCCCTCGTTCCAGAATGTAGTCTATATCTTTCTTTGCCAACATCCATCATGATCTACCTAGTTCTTCTAATCTGCCTACTCCCCGTGTTAGGCTGGGGTGTCTTCAAACTATACATCGAGCCTCTCTCGTCACCGCTGGGAAATCTCCCTGGTCCAGACAGCGGATGGGGTCTTTATCTCGGTGGACACCTCAGGCAAGTCTTGAAGTAAGTTCAACTTTCATGACTTCTAGCCGGTTCTATCAGTTTACTAAGATATGAAATAGTGCCAGTATGTCCAAAGCGACGCATGAAGACTATGTCAACAAGTACGGACGGAATATCAGGATCAAGGGCCTCGGACGCGTACGTCTTTGTTCAGTTCTAACATATTTTGCCTCATATTAATGTCTATCTCAGTTCGAGGACCGTCTTCTCACAACGGACCCGGTTGCGCTGGGCTACGTCTTAAACCATCCGAAACTATACGAAAAGCCCTGGCAATCGAGACGAGTAATATCACGACTCATTGGCGAAGGTATTTATCAACTTGATTGTTGTGCAAAAAAGCTGGGACTAAATAATCGACAAGGAATGCTTGCCGCCGAAGGCCCAGAACACAAACGCATGCGAGGTGTCGGCAACCCTGCTTTCTCCGTGCAGAATATGCGCGCGTTCGTTCCCATCACGTTCAAAAAGGCGTTTGAACTAAGGGACAAGTGGAACTCCATGATTGACCAATCCAACTCCAAATCGACGGAGGAGAAAGAGGGAATGTCCAATGAATCGAAACAATTAGAAGCGAAGCTTGACGTGTGCCACTGGATCAGTCGTGCAACTTTCGATGTCATTGGTCTGGCCGGTGAGTTGTCTGAGAATGCACATATTTTTGCATGAAAGCTGACTAGACGAAAAGGATTTGACTACAGTTTCTCTGCGATCCAACATGAAACAAATGAGCTATTCATGGCCTACAAAGATATGTTCGAGATTGCCGTTTCCCGTGGCGAAACCCTTTTGGATATTGCAATCGTCTATTTCCCCTGGCTTGAGGAATATTTCGTGCGCATTTCTGTTACCCGTATCAATCCGAATACTAATATATTTTTATAGCCGAATGAAAAGACTCGTACGGACCAGCGCTCGCAAGAGATTATCAACCGAGTCGGTACACAAATCATAAAGGAAAAGACGAGACGAGTTGTCGAAGGCGAGGCGAACGGCTCGGAATATAAAGGGATCGACTTCCTCACTCTTCTTAGTAAGTATCAAACATGAGTCTTGAAATCTATTAACTAATCGCATCTGCAGTTAAATCCAACCTCGCGAAGAACACTCCAGAACACATGCGCATATCCGACGAAGAACTCCTTGCCAATGTCAACACGTTCTTCTTCGCCGGTTCAGACACAACCTCGCTCGCGCTCACCTGGATATTATACCACCTCGCCGCCCATCCGAAGATTCAAGACCGACTTCGAGCCGAGCTTCGCGCTTTCACGGAGGCTGGTCATGACATTCCGTCTGATCCCGAAAGTCCTGACTGGCAAAATCTCTGGAGTGGTCTTGACGAATTGCCGTTCCTCAACAACGTTATCCGGGAGACACTCCGCCTAATTCCACCCGTACATAGCTCCATACGCGTCGCTGTGGAGGATGGTGTGATCCCTACCGTGGACGCTATCAAGATGCGAGACGGGAGTGTACAATATGGGATAAATATCCAGGAGGGCCAGTTTATACATGTTCCTATTGAGAGCATGAATGTCGATAAAGGTGTTTGGGGCGAGGATTCTTGGTCATTCAAGTAAGTCTAATTACCCTCTTCTATCCTTTTGTTGTGAAGTCGTTGTTGACATGCATAAATTGTTAGCCCGGACAGGTGGGATGACTTACCTGATGCTGTACTGGACCAACCTGGGTTGTACAACCACACGTTGTCTTTCTCTTCTGGACCTAGAGTATGTGCTATTTCAAATCTGAGGAGCCGTTTTGGAGCTAACGCCTATTCTTATTAGGCATGCATCGGGATGAAATTCTCCGTCATCGAAATGAAGAGCTTCCTTCACGTCCTCTTAACAAACTTCGCCTTTGACCGAGATGAAGGCGAGCGTATCTTCGCTGCCAACGTGTAAGTGCCTATGTTTTCTCAATCTAACATATTTAATAATAATCGTACTCTAGTGTTTTGACCCGACCATACGTGGCCGGGAAGTTCATAGAAGGCAGCCAATGCCCACTTTACGTTTCTCGCATTTAAGCATTAATGAAGAACCATCATGACTCTCAACAATGATATTTATTATACATATATATTTCCTACATACCACTCCACATTCATGTATGACATCGCATCACAATACAGCATTTATTATACCTCATTTTATATATCTGCTCGTGCCGGCTCTCCAGCCCAAGCCCGTCTGATAACTTCCCTAATCGCATCTCTGTCGATCGGTCTCGGATTCCAATACTTGTTCTTGAAAGCAAGATCCGCCGCTTTGTCAATACCATCTTCCGGCATCCCAACCTCTTTCAAGCCTCTCTTCACTTTCAACTTCGTCAACAACACGTTCAGACCCTCAACGGGATCTTCATTGTCAAGCGCACGAGCGAGTTTCTTCATAGCCTCCGGAGCGCTTGGGGCATTATACGCTAATGCGTGGGGTAAGACAATCGTATGCGTGTCAGCGTGAGGGAGGTTGAACGTCCCTCCGAGGACGTGGCAGAGTTTATGATGCACGCTCATGTTCGTTGAGCCAAGGCAAGCTGAGCATAACCATGCGCCGTAGAGCGCGTCACTGCGAGCTTCTGTGTCTTCCTTGTTTTCCATTATGATAGGAAGGGAACGCGCGAGGGCTCGGACTGCCTCTTCGGCCATGAGTTCGATCACTGGGTTTGCGTTTTGTGCATAGAGCGCTTCCACGGCGTGTGCAATAGCATTGATGCCGCTCGTTGCGCTGAGGCCTTGGGGTAATGTGAGGGTGAAGTCGACGTCGTATATCACAACTTCTGGGAGAACTTTTGGTGTGCTTTGCGTTGTTTTGACGCCATTCTCAGTTTGTCCGATGATTGGCGTCATTTCGGAACCGGCGTAGGTCGTTGGGATGACGATTTGAGGCATGTCTGTTCGTAACGCGATAGCCTATATGCGTTGACAAAAATTCAAATTATTGATCGAGGTATTTTGAAAATGGAGTATTTTTAATGCAAACTTTTCCGAGGCCAATAGTCGACCCTCCACCGATTGCAATAGTTCCGTCTACTTTACGCTCGTTGACGATTGCAAGTGCTTTCTCCGTAACTTCAACAGGTGTATGCATCGTCGCATTATTGAACTGCCCAGCACAGTCGACCCCAGCAGACTTGAGAATTGATTCGACCAAATCCGCTTGACTTGTTTGTTCCGGTGTGCTAAGGACGAGAGGCTTCTTGAGACCGAGTCGTTTGACCTCGTCAGGAAGCTGCTTAATTGTACCGGAACCGAAGACAACTCGAGCAGGGTTAGCTGAATAGATAAATGGTCTCATTTGGGTGTGTTTGAGTGTGTTACTTGAGTGTGTCGATGATGGGAGAATGCAAGTTCACAGAGCATGGTCACGGCTCCTGTCCTTTCTTTGTAAACTGAGTGAAATGGATGATAATCGTTTTGCCCCCGCTTGCTCAGACGCTCGTGAATATTGATTCCCTGTTTATGATGTCAGGTTCCCACAGCCTTTTACAGGCAGCTTCCGTGATCGACGATCGTTCTGCCGGATTCGGCGTATCTGATCTGGGGAAATCAAGTGTTTGACGCCGAATTTCTGCAGATCACCGCCCTCGACGTGTCTCTCTGCTACTATCATCTCCTCGTCTTCTGGCTAAAACTCCCTTAGACAACTAGCTGATCTACTAGACAAAAATGCGTGCTTTTGTCATCAATGCATACGCTCATCCGTCTCAGATTCATCTCTCCTCCGATGCGCCGGAGCCTCGGCCTACAGGGAATGAAGTTATCGTAGAAGTCTATAGTGCCGGCCTTAACTTCTTCGATGTACGTTACCGGCGTCATACACACTAAACTCTAGCGCTCATTCCTCTTAGATTCTACAAGCTCAAGGGTATACCCTTACCCGCCATTTCCAAAGATTTACCTTTGATTAATCAAGAAATATCTCTTTCTTTCTATTCAAGAAAATATCAAAATCAACCCCCCTTCCCCTTCGTCTTAGGCAGCGAGTTTGCGGGGAAAATAGCATCCGACTTCCCAATTCCCAAAGGATGCCCCTTCAAGCCGGGAGACAGAGTGTTCGGCGTCGCCCAGGGCGCATATGCTGATCGTGTTGCTGCGGACTGGCAGCATCTGGTTCCCTTACCAAAGGCTATGACGTACGATCAAGGCGCTGGCTTGCACATCACTTGGCCAACAAGTTACGAAGCTCTCGTTGGTAGAGCTGAGCTCAAACCAGGTATGCTGTCGCTTTAGATACGTGATTTGTCTCGCTCGTCGTTTTGGCTAATTATTATGTCATGATATCATTTAGGTGAATGGGTGCTTGTGACGGCTGCAGCCGGTGGAGTCGGGCTTGCAGCGGTACAGTTAGCAAAAGGTAATCGTTTATCTTGACGTTTCTATCTTAGCTGAACATAGGTCTCACATTTCCTTTTTGCTCTTCGCTCGAAGCACTCGGCGCGAATGTTATAGCCGCCGTAGGTTCTCCCGCGAAGATGGATGTATGCAAGAAATACGGAGGCGCGGACTTCGCTGTCGACTATACTTCTCCGAACTGGCAGAAAGAAGTGATGTCGATCACGAAAGGAAAGGGCGTGGACGTTATTTATGATCCTGTGGGACGAATCAGAGGTGCGTTCGTAGCCTCCAGATATTCGATCATCCATCGTGGCTGGCCAACTAACTGAACTACTTGATGCGGATGTCCAGATTGCCTCAAATGTATCGCATGGAAGGGAAGAGCTATCGTAGTGGGCTTCGCCGGTGGACAGATCGAGAAGGTTAGTAACATCTCTTCCCGTTATTATCATTATTATAGTGGGATGGCTGATTACTCGATATGTAGCTTCCCATGAATCTAGTCCTACTTAAAAACATAGCCGTCACAGGCATCCACTGGGGCGCATACTCAAGTACGTCTCATCTTATCTCAACCCATCTCTTCCTACCTCCATCCCTTACTAACATCTTCGCTTCGCTTTTATATAAGAATTCGAACCAGCACGCGTACCCGTCGTATGGAGGGAACTCATCTCGTACGCCAGTCTCTCCCTATTCCAACAAATGCTCTTCGTCTTTCTAATAAAATTTTCTTTTCCCTTCTCCCTTCTCGGAACCCCCTCCCCCTCCTCTCTCTCATGAACACACCTCTTTTTGGTGGGAAAATCAGTCTATTCGAATCAGGCCGCGTAAAACCCGTCGTCTACTCCGAGATCTACGACCTAACGAACCTCGCAGCGGGGCTCCGAGCCATCGAGGAACGCAAGACGTGGGGGAAGGCTATCGTCCGTGTTAGGGAGGACGACGGTAGCGTCGCTCGTGCTTGTGCCAAACTATGAACAATATGGGCAACATATACCTGGTTGGATGGTTGTATGTGTAGTTGTTACCTGTAAAAGCCCTCCTTGGCAGTGACGTTCTCGCGTTGTATATGCTGTATACGTTGTGCTGTATGTAGTATGTCTTGATTTCTACTTATCCTTCGTTTCCTTTTTTTTTGGTGGTAGGGTGTATATAATGGAGAACAGAGTTATTCAAGGGGTTTTACGTTCCCTACCGTGTCGACCTTTACGCTTACATTTCCTCGAGTATCTCTCGGGTCTACAGTCTGTATTCACACAAACGTCACTCTGACGAACTCCACATGCATGCAATGGTATATACTATGAAACAAGATATCAAAAATTAAACAGAGAAAGTCCGTGGAAGGAGGTATGAACGGAGGTGTTGTCTGTTGTTGTACTCTATGCTAACTGCTATGTCGATGACGGTGGATGGAGGTATGGCTGATTAAGCATGGTATGCGTCGTTGAAGATCGCAAGAGCGTCAAGAGAAAAGAAAAGTAAGATGGGAGTAGTCCAAGAATATCGAAAGCGAGTTGAGATGAGATATACAGCATTGCAAGGGAAGGGATATCGTCATGGCCAGGACATTTCATTTTGGTGCGGAGAACGTCGAAAGACGGTGTGAAGACATTGCATCCTCGTTCTGGTGCATAGCCTCCGCATACCTACACGAAAATAGATATCAGAACTAGCTCAAAAAATAATTATAGGTTGTTAATATTACTCACAGAAGTTTATATCGGACGAGCTCGTTCTCCATCTCTTCGCTTCTTATTCTCATCATCACAAGTTCCTTCTATAACGAGACAGTCAGCGTACACTGCAAAGCTCGCTGAATTTTCTCGAATGCTTACCACCAGGTCACAATGCTCCGTATTGAGCTGTGCCAACGACGTTTCCAGCGTCTTCCTATGAAAGAATAAGAAAACCGTTCCGTAAACTGAACAGACAACCTTACACTTGCGCTGTGAGCTGTCTATTCGCATTTCTAATGGTATCCATCTCGATCATATGCGCCTCACGCGTACGAACGGTCTCATCATATTCATGAGCATACGCATCAAGCATGAACGGCGTAATTTTCAGTTGCAACGCATCCATGACAAACTTGTCCACAAGATAACTTGATGAACCACCGTCGTTCAAGCTGCTGGTGGTTGAAGTGTCAGCGCCACCGGATGAAGGTGCGTTTGCATTCTAAAAAAATCTCTATTAGCAAACAGAATATATTGGTGAAAATGCAAAAAGGGTCACTGACCACGTAAAATTCAAACAGGCGATTCTTTAAGAATGTTAGAATTTCATCGAATTTCAGCTTTAATAGGGCCTCCTCGCTCTTCTGTAGAAGGACGACGCTGAATCCAAACACGGCTTCGATCCCAGAAGCAAGAATGTTGTCATATATTCGAAAGACAATCTCCAGAGGGAAACTACTTCGAGTATCAGCAGATGAAAAGTAATTCTGTGGGGATACCATCTTACCGATAACTGAAGAGTGTCAAGAACCACTGGGAGCAGTACATGCTCGATTTGATCCCTTGTCGTAGAAAATGTACATGCAAAACGGGGAGTAGCTCCTCCACAAGGCGGTCAAACTGAACTGGTGAGTAACAGTGTTGAACGGACTTAAACTACAGACGCTTACTTGGTACATCCGTAATTGAAGGCCAGGCATTTCGGGCAGGAAGTGGCTTCGTAGGCCGTATGAGTGCATCAGTCGGACAAGTAAACAAAACGCTTCTTCGTCCGGCATCTAAGTCCAGTGATCAGCCTACTATTGCTCACATTTGGGAGAATATTTCATCACTCACATTGAGTAACAAGATAGCAACAACGAAAGGTAGTCCTTGACAGTACCCTACTTCTGGGTCATACAGAGAGTACGCTTTCAACACATTGAACAGGTTCTCTTGTCCGATACCATGTCCATCAGTAAAGTAGTCATGATGAGGGAACGTCCTACGCTATTGTGAGCTAGCGAACATAATTAGTCATTGTGTAAGCTAACCTTCCTAGATCCCGTAGGATGGCCTTCTCATGGGGACTGGTCTCCTTGAGGAGCCGAAGGTAGGTCGCCTCAAGCTCTGCATCCTTGGATGCCGACCTAACTGAACGTTAATATGCATTTTACGTTCGAAGAAGACAAGAACTGACATGAGCTGCCAAACCATCCCTCGGAGTGATTTCGGAACACCTTGTTCGATTGCCTTCGCAAGCTTCTCCGGGTGATCCGTAGCGAACTGCCGATAGTCTGTGCCAATGAGACGGATACAACGAGAAGATATTTTATGTGCTTACCTGCTATGACATTACCCCAGAAATCTGACAAAATAAATCTTAATAATCTGTAATACGGTCTAAAAATATACTCCAGAACCCGCACCCCAATCAATGTCATCGTCGGCTTCGTCCTCCTCGCAGGTGGTTTGGTGCCCATTTTGCAGCTTGTTGAACTCCTCTTGTAGACGCTGTTGACCATCCGAACTGTCTCGATGATTTGCTTTGTCCTGCGACTTCTGAAAATCGAGCCGCTGCAACAGAAACGGTAAATTGCCCACGGAACCTCGTAAAGCACTACCAGCAGCATAGCTAGAGGCAGATTTCTTGTGTCGTGAGATCTTTGAACCTGTGGCCTTGGACCCTGGTCTGCCAAGCGAAATCGTGCTCCGACGATCTAACATGACGGAAGCTAGTGACCCACGCGACTCATGGGTTCCGTTAAGCGTGGAAGCTCCGCTGAGCGGGATATTAGAGAATCGCTCGTCGTCCACGTCGACGTCAATGCCAGAGTCCACAACAGACTCGCGTTTGTCGTCATCTCCCTCCTTTGTTGTAGGAGACAATAGCTCGTCCAGGGAGACGGTGGGACCAGAGGGAGCGTCTGTGGACATGTCGAGGTCGACTACACCAGAGGTGGACTCAGAGCGCTTCCGAGTTGGTGAGAACATTGTGGAGAGAGAGAGCCTTTGGCATCAGAGGCAAGTGCAATGTCTGTAAGACTGCGCGGTGGAAACTCTATACGGCAGAGAGCAAAGTGCGGAAATATGAGCCAGTGCTAGACCACGACTGCCAAATGAATCCTCGCGCCGTCGTCGCGTCGCGTATGTAATCATATTGCGTCACGTTATCCGCAACTCGTCAATTGCTCACTTCCTTGTCACCTTGTGTTCAGCAACTGGCTTACACTCAAAACATCATTCAAAAATGGCACTCCCAGAACCTACAGTGCGTATTAGAGAGAACAAGAAAGATAGGGTCAATTTCGTACTCGAAAACGTCGATCTTTCGTGCGTAACATTCGTACTGTGGCTTGCCTTCCATTGTAGCTTATGTCCTCTAAACTAGATTTGCCAATTCTATACGACGTGTTATGATGGCCGATGTACCCACTCTTGGTGTGTGCTAAGCGTACTTGCTGTATTCTCTGATCCTGACTACTGCAGCCATCGACATTGTTGAGCTCGAGATGAACACATCTGTCTTACCCGACGAATTCATCGCCCATCGACTCGGAATGGTACCATTAATCAGTACGAACTGCGAAGAAGCAATACGCTACAACAGAGTAAGTTTTGCACGCTGCCTTTCATTCTCCAATCTGTAAGCTAATTGTTTTTAGGATTGTACATGCGAGGTCCACTGCGACTTTTGTACAGTATCGCTAATGCTGGACGTGACATGCGGAGAGGATGGAAACCTCGATGTCACGAGTAATCACTTGGATGTCATTCCAGTCAATTATACTTTGCTCAACGATGGAGAGGGCGGAGAGGAAATCAATAAACGACCAGAGAAATTTGGTTGCCCTGTCGGACAAGGTTCGTATCACAGAGACCCAAGGCTACTTCTGCTCCGTTATTTGACGCGCCTAGCTAACTCGGTGATCTTGGAACAGGTGAACCAGGCGTGCATCCAGTATTAATATGTAAAATGCGACCAGGACAACAAATCAAAGCTAGGTGTATTGCGAAAAAGGTTTGTGCTCTTGTCATGTGAGGATTCAGTTATTTAACCTTCATGCTCTGCAGGGAATTGCGAAGGAACACGCCAAATGGTCACCCTGTTCAGCAGTTGCGTTTGAGTATGATCCATACAACAAGTTACGACATACCTCGTACTGGTTTGAAGAGGACGAGAAGGCCGAATGGCCTTTGAGCGAGAATGCCAGAGAGGAGGAACCTCCACGAGAAGACGAGTCGTTTGACTATAATGCAAAACCGGAAAAGTTTTACTTTGATGTTGAGACTGTCGGTAGTTTGACACCGCAGGAAGTTGTCTTAAGAGTAAGTCCAGATTATTTAAGGGCATACGTGGATAATAAAATTAACGGCTTCATAGGGCATTACTGAGCTACAACAGAAACTAGCCCATCTCATCATTGCTATCAAGTCAACCGACGGCCGAGGACTGGATGGCGGAGGATTACCACAAGTGAACGGGCACGATCCATCGGCTGGTGGTGGATGGAATATGGCTCTAGCAAATGCTCGTGCGGAGGGTGCAGCTGCGGGCGCTAACGGTAATACTGGCTGGGGAGGATCGAGTCCAAGAAATGGTGCGCCGTCGTGGTCAGGAGCGGGCGGAGGTTCGGGAGGTTGGGGCGGCGCTTCTCCTGCTGGAGGCGGGTGGGGAAGTGGGACAGGCGGCGGGTCGAACCAAGGCTGGGGAGGTGCTTCACCCGCCTGGGGAGCGAGTCCAAATCGTACTGCCAATGGGTGGAATGTATGATATACTTTGTGTTCCTCTTCCTGATTTTATTACAGTTCTGCTTTTTGTGTAATATATCACCTCTTCTCCAACCTTCACTGTGCATTGATTTCGGAAAGATTGAATTGAATTATAAATTCAGTTGATGACGAGTGCACGCGTCGATCATTCAAAAATATCCTGCAACGAATGACCTCACGCGATGCGGAGTGTGCTCAGTAACTACTCTGCCAGCTTTTCTATGTTCTATGCTTTTCTCCGTCGGCCCTCTTCGGGGCGCAGTCGGCGTACCCTTTCGTCATGCATGCCCCGTATTTAGTCCATCTTGTCACCGTCTTGCTCGCAGTCAAAATATTTCTCGACCTTGGATACGACCGGCTACTAATGTACGACATACTGCTTCAAAGGCGAACCCAAGCCCCTTTCAACGGCGTCCTCGTTCAGAGCTCTTACTTTACTCTGGAACGCTCTTGGCTGTAGGAGGAGGATTTTATGTTGCGTATAAGACTAATGAGTCGTTCCGGCATTCGTGTTTGGCGGCCGTTCGATGTTCGCGAGTTGCCCGTACGTTCTGTCGTGCATGCTGGTGTATTGTGATTCGTAACTGACGAATTGCACAGGTGCAGTTGTTCTAGGTATACAATAGCTCAAGTTATAGTGTCTTGTGGTCGAGCAACTGATTATTCTCGCTCGTGTAGGGGCAATTGACTACAAATGGACGTTCGCGAAGTCGTACGAGGATGACCAAGCGAAGTTGCAGGCGTACTCGGACTGTCATACTCGAAGTGCAATTCGTGTTCTAGGAGCACTTCTTGCGAACGGTGGTAAGTACTATTATATGTCATCCCTCCACATGTCTTATTAGCACCTTGCACAGGGATATTTATCAAGCTCGGGCAACACATGTCATCTCTGTAAGCCACCTTTCCCGCTTTCCCTCCTAGAATAAGTCACAAATCCCATAACTTCTTTCCCTTCTAGAGTGATGCTTCCGAGAGAGTGGACGAGTACCATGCGACCTCTACAAGACAGGTGCTATCCAACGCCATACGAAGATCTCCAAGACCTCTTCCTCGCAGACTTAGGTTCTCCTATAGAAGAGCTCTTCGATGAATTCAATCCAACACCACTCGGCGTAGCGAGTCTTGCTCAAGTGCACGTTGCGAGAGATAGACAGTCCGGACGACGGGTTGCGATCAAGGTGCAGCACCCGCACCTGATTGAATTCTGTGATGTAGATATGAAGACTGTGGAAGTGTCGCTTCGTATGTCTTTCATTCATTATATCTCGTGTCTCGTTTCTTTTCGTCAGGTTCTCTCAGGTGACATGGTCTCATCCGGTTCATTTCAGGCTGGATAAAGCGCTGGTTCCCGGAGTTCGAATTCACCTGGCTCGGCGAAGAGATGCGCGAAAACTTACCAAAAGAAATGGACTTCGTGAACGAAGCTGCAAATGCAAGACGAGCTGAACGGGATTTCGAAGGCGTTCGCACGTCATTATACATTCCTCAAGTCTTGTCTGCGACGAAGCGTGTACTTGTCATGGAGTTTATAGACGGTGGTCGGGTTGATGACCTGGAATACCTGGCAGAACACAACATTGACAGGAACTCGGTAGCGCTTGAGGTGCAGCGAATATTCTGCCGGATGGTTCATCTGAATGGCTGGTTCCACGCTGTATGTAGTTATCTTCATCTGATTGTGACGTTCGCCGACGCTGACTTACTGTGTCTCAGGACCCACATCTGGGTAATTTGCTCGTCCGACCAGCGCCAAAAATATCAAAATCTCCATATAATTTCGAAGTCGTTCTTCTCGACCATGGCCTCTACTTCGACATCGACCGCGCTCTTCGAATAAATTACAGTAAATTTTGGTTGTCTCTTATTGCATCATCTTCACCGCAAACGAGTGCCGAGCGGAGAAAGTATGCTATGCTTGTTGGTAACATCGGAGAAGACTTGGTAAGCATGATCGTTGACCATGCACTCGTTAAGTCATTCTGAGTGACTACCTTGCCACATTAGTATCCTGTGTTTGAGACCGCTATTACAGGTATGTAAAATCTGCGTTTCATAAAATAATTCCAGAAATAATTGGTTTGCTAGGTCGTGCCGGTCTCGGAGGATCATGGGACTCCGAAGAATATGCTCCAGGAAAGAAACGACCTTCCAGCATGGTCGACCTGATGCCCCAGTCCGAAGAAGAGATGGAAGCGATACGGAATGCTGTCATTATGAAAGAAGGGCTCCTTATCTCTGTCTTTGATCTTCTTCGTCGTATGCCTCGACGTCTGTTGATGTTGCTGAAGTTGAATGACTTGGTTAGGTGCGTTTTGTGTGGTTATACTTGGAGAAAGATGAGGTTGATGTCCGTATAGAAGTTTAGACCGATCGCTGGCGACGACCCATTCGAGTGTAGGGATTTTGTTTCTTCTGATGCATCGTACATACTTTCTAGCTTCTAACAATGTCTGCATATAGATACGTATTTTCTTGATCACCGCGCAATTCTGTAACCTCGCCGTCTACGAAGACTGTAAACGAACACTATACGACTCAATAAGAGTTAGAGGGTCATTATCATGGAGCATGGTGGGGACGTATTTCGGTCAATGGTGGTACGTTTCCATCATTCTTTAACTTCCTCTAAAAAAATCACACTTTAATTAATTCATGATATTCTCATTCGTTTTAGGTATTATCAAAAACAAAAACAAAGCCTCCGCCTGGTAGAACTCGCCCTTGATACAGAAGCATGGGTGAAGAAAACGAAGGCATGGATACGTGGACTATGTCGAAAGGGTTTCCGTGGTGCTCATTTAGCAGCTGCGGGGTTGAATGTAGTATAGCATAGAATTATCGATAATTAATGACTTAGAGATTAATTTTCCTCTCGTCAGTCTGATGTTACGATAGCTGAAAAGATCTGAGATGACTCCAGGAATCAGACTTGCTTTGAGTTGCAAGTCTGGGCCATCGTGATGGAAACTCATAAAAACCCGTCATTTCACTCGTCCGCAGCTCTCATCCTTGAATCTTTACTTGGTTCACTTCACTCTTACTCTGAAATAATCTTCCTGTATAAACATATCGCCTTCAAAGGTTATGTTTTATGTTTACAAACACTTACATTACAACGACCGCCGCGGCTGTGTTTGCTATCCTGCTTTTACAAACTCGTTCTCGACCCTTGGATGCATTATTTCCAAATGATACACTAATCTTTGCTCTGTTCCTTGTTTACACCTCCTTTCATTGTGTCAGGCAGTGTTTTGACGTGAAGTTAAAGTCATGGCTTTCTTCTCTCTCAAAGGCTTTGTATCACTTCACGTTATAAAACTATGCAGGGCTCCTTTGAAAGAGGAGTAAAGAAAAGAAATCTATCTTGTCAAAATCGTGTTTCTTTGTTCAGAGAGACGAAACGTGCTTCTGTTAGTTGACCTACACAAATACTTCGGGTCAGCAAGCATGAATCTCGTAGGCTATATAATCTGGAAAATATTGGTCGAGTCACTCATACACAGATACTGCCGCGCCCCCTCCCCAATCACACTGTCGTCTCAAGGACAACAAGCAAAGGGGGACCTTACACGTCTACTTCTACTCCTTCCGTTGTCACTACTTTCTGTTAGAACCAGTGCAACCAACGGTTATATCGCTTTCCGCAATGCTCAATCTCCTATGGGCAGAGTACTGTTTCGGAAATTTGCTGTCCAACAGACAGGCAATGGGTCCAAATAGTTCTAGAGGCCGGCAAGAGTGGTGAGTTCCGTTAATGTTGCAGTAGCCATATAAATGGTGAATTGGGCAGCAAAAGCCTGTAAATTGACCATAGTTAGAGAAAGTAGTACATGGCAGGAATAATCGACATGCTGATGGATGCAACTTGGAGGTATGTATGGCAAAAGTGCCTAAACCAGTGCATCCAATCTGCATGGAGATATTTCCCTCTGTACATTGTGTTTCAAAGGAAGCACCTCTCTAGACGTTAAGATGGGCTCCATAGTTGTATGGCTTGAAATTGATAACCCAGCACAGTCAGGTCCCAGATTGTAGCCTGGAGGTCTGTGCAAGTAGATTCAGCAGCAAAGCGAAAGACACTTGTGCATATCCTAAACGATTGGAATTTGATTTTAAACTGCTGGTGTTCTGTCCCAAATCGAATGATGCCTTTCATGGACCACCATGCCAGGAATATTAATGGTCTATGTCATATTCCACGATTGAGTTTGGTCGTATCTGTTCCAGAGCAACTCAGACACAATTACCCGCTTCAGTCTTGGGGGATAGCATTACATCCTGGTTTTGACACGGATGCCTCTAGTGTACTGGGGAAACGTTGTAGAGAATTGCTCCCTACGAGACTTTTCTACATGCACTTGAAGAGTCTGCATTAAGGAGACTAATCGATGGTGCGTTTCCCATTCAAGTGCAAGATATAAAAACGGCCTAAAGAGTCATCGTCATGGGTATTGGAATGACTTTTTTACTGCCTGAATACCGATAAATATTAGAATACATTATTATGTACAACACCTCCGTTTTGCAAAACTCACAGTTGAACCACGGTCCACGGCGCGCGAGTGGAAGAAGACGAAAATGATTAAACGATGAAGTTTCCGTGGTGCTTACCCAGAAATCGCATGATCGAATGTATCGTATAGGTATAAAATCTTCTAGACTACTTAGACATCAACACGTCTTCGTCCGTTTGAACTCGCAGTAGCTGAAGCGATTCGGGTCTTTTCGAGAGTTGTATCACGATTGCCAAAACGGGCCACTGAACTTTTCTGTTTGGTCGATGATCGACGAGACCGTACCTTGCATGAGCCTTTACGATGAAAACTCATAAAGCCCTGCTCACACGTCTCACTCTCCTCTATCATCTCTCAATCACCGTTCTGTTATTCATCTGCTCTCGACTACCATCATTCGACTCGTCCGCGTCACTTGTTCTTGAACCTAACTGGTTCACATCTTTCCTGCGCTGGGACGTCTTCCACTATGCACACATTGCGCGGAATGGATATATGTACGAATACGAATTCGCATTCTTTCCTGGGGTCCCATTTATTTTATGCTTTCTCGAAAAGCTTTTGGGACTTGCAAAGATTCCCATGGCATATAGACTAGGAGGGGCTTTACTTGGCGGAGCACTCGTGTCGACCGGGACAGCCGTGTTTGCGGTCCATACCCTTTATGACCTCACGATGCATCATTTTCAGAGTCCGCACATAGCGTTGCTGGTATCTCTTCTTTCACTCCTTTCATCGAGTCCGGCGACCCTTCGATATGCGAGTTATGCAGAGCCTTTCTTTACCTTCCTTTCATACAAAGGTGCGAATGAATCCCGCCGGATCGCCAATGAAGTCAAGCTAACTGATCAAAGGAATGTATTATTGTTCAAAGGGACAATTTAGCCTTGCGTCACTCTCCTTTATGCTCGCAGGTTTCTTTAGATCGAACGGGACGATTCTCGTAGGCTATATCGTCTGGGGTGTATTAATTGAGCCCATCCTCCACAGCTCTACTCTACGTCGTGATACCTTCTCGGGGACGACTGGCTATAGGATCTTGCGGTGTTTAGTTCTTTCTATACCGCCTTTAGTTCCTTTCCTCTGGCATCAGTATAACGGTTATACCTTATTCTGTAATGTGCCGTCTGGCGAACGACGACCATGGTGCACCAAAAAACTCCCACTGATTTATTCGTTCGTACAATCCGAGTATTGGAATGTTGGATTCTTGCGTTATTGGTCGCTTCAACAGGCGCCGAATATTTTGCTTGCAATGCCTGTACTTGCTTTACTGTTCTATGGATCCGTTTCATACATCCGAGCTGCACTTTTGCCAAGAATTTGTAACTTCGTGGAATGTTTTCGCCGATCGCCAACGTCCTTGCGCTCTGGACCGATCCATGACAAGGCGTCGGAACAAATCGCCTGTCAACGTGAACGAGATCCATTCCTCGGATTGTCCCTTGCACCTCATGCAATTCACGCTCTGTTCCTCAGCATCGTTCTCCTCACCGCGGCCCATACGCAGATCGCACTTCGCCTTGCTAGTGCTCTGCCTTTCACGTATTGGACAGCTGCGCGCCTGTTCCTTTGTAAGACGAGCGTTGGTTCTTCGTCACAACAGGGGATCGACGACCATGTCGCTAGTTGGAAACCGTACCGGGTCGCTCGTTGGTGGGTCTGTTGGAGCATGGTTATGGGGGCAGTTTCGTTGGTGACATGGGGCGTCTTTCTTCCCCCTGCATGACTCTCCGGTTGTAGTTCGCCTTCGTCTATCTTTGGGGAGATGTGAAGCTGGTGTCGGGAGGCGGTACACAGAACGTCAGCATGCCGAAATTTCAGCTGTACGATGAACAATGTAATTTATTTGTTAAAGGATATATGAATTATTATTATTATCATTGAGTTAAGGAATCCCAGATTTTTCTTGCTGCATTAAGCATGCCATTATTCCATTCTGATTCTGCTTTATCCAGTGTTTTCGACGTTGAAGTCAATATGAATGGGACTCCCGTATCCCCACCTTTGTTGACTTCTGGGACGAGCGGCAGTTCCCCGAGAACTGGTACATTGAGCTCAGCCGCTGCACGGCGGAATGAGTCGGTGCTTCCGAAGAGATGATGAGGAGTGTCGCATGAAGGACATAGAAAGTACGAAGTATTCAGGACTAGGCCCGATATCTAGCGAAAAAGAGTTACTATTCACGCATCCGTGGCTGAAGCCAAATCCAGAAGTTCTCGCTTACTGGTATGGATACTTTTCGGAACATTGCGATACCCTTCCGAACGTCGGACAGAGAGACATCTTGCGGAGTGGAGACAATGAGAGCGCCTGCAGACGAGTCAGCTTTAAGATAGACATCCGTGCTAGAACTTTTGCAAACCGTCTACGTTGACGAGCTGGCCAACGGTTAACGGGACGTCACCCGTACCGGGCGGCATATCGACTACCAATGCGTCCAGTCCTGGGCCAGCATGGTCGCCTTTTCCTGCACCACCGCGCCAGTCGACATCAAAGAGCAGTTGCTGAATCGCTTTTTGTACCATGAGTCCTCGCCAAACAACAGGTGTATCATCCCGAGTCGGTAGAGACGTGTCCGACGCCTTGGTCTTTGGAACTAGAAATCCCATGGACATGCATGGGATACCATGGTTCTTGAGTGGGATGAGTGCACCGGCTAAGTAGAGCTGAGTTGAGTGACGGAAGACAGGCCAAAACGCACTCGCACTTACATGAAGTTAGTTCTGGCTCATCACAGTCATCTAGGCCCATGAGTTTCGGCGTCGACGGTCCAAATAGATCCAAGTCCAGTAGGCCTACTCGAAGTCGACGGCCAATTTTCTCGCCTTGCAGAGCCAAAGCCATAGCAAGGTTGACTACGTACCAAATTCGCTAAGTCCGAACGGAAGATAAGACCGTCAAAACACACCTGCAATAGTGCTCTTTCCAACACCACCTTTCCCACTAGCTACGACGATTGTTTTCCCCACATTCGGTATACTTCGTTTAGGTGGTAATCCACGTCGAGGTAAAGTAGGAGCTGCACCGGTACGAGGGAGGCCCTTTCTTTCATACCATCAGTTGACGCAAACAAACAGTTGCTTCAGGTGCCTACTAAAGGGTTCTCATGACGAGAAAAGCAGCTTTGATGCAGAAATCGCCTTGAATATGTACATGCTAAGGAAACTGGGCGATTCTTTGCTACTATCAGCATGAGCCGTCTTGAGACTTGAGTACAGGGCAGAGGACCAAACTTGAGCGGTTGTTGAATTGTTCTGTCCCAAAGATCGACGATCAAAGTTTATGACCTCATTCGTTCCCACGAAGCGTTATGCCTTCCACACTAATTCAGACCAGATTTTGCAAATAATAATAGCATTGACTCAATTCATCCAGTACCAAATCCCCAAAAGAGAGAGACATGTAAGAGCATTATTTTCTACTACTATTGAGCCCATTCTGATTCGTGGACCTGATCGGTGACATTATACGTATCATCAAGACGCAGGGCTACAATGCAGCAGTTGAGCCGGAAGTTAATACTCAGATGAATAATGAACTTACACAGGGGAGATAGATGTCGCTGCACCAGGGAGTGTAGACAATGTTGGGAATGCTGACGTAGCGCACTGTTTAGGAAGAAAGTTGTTTAGTACCTACTTTCTAATGGACCTCAACTGAGTACATACCGCCTGCTCAACGTCCTCGTTCGTCAAGCTAGGAGGGAAGACAGCGGCGCCAGTGAATGGTGGAGGAACTGGGATGACGTCAGAGCAGTCAACCAGCTTCGAAGTGTCCTGGCCGAGAGTAGCGAGCTTCGCCATCGCGGACCTGAACTCCGTTTGCATCTTAGCCTGGTTGTCTAAGAGCATTGTTATGTCATGTGCATACCGAGAATTAAGAGTTAAATCTATACTCACTGACAAAGGACTGCCAGATGCATGCTGTTCGTGAGTCACGGGCAAGGTCGTGGTCAGATTGCAAGCGAATCTCTCCTCCTATGGGTGATTGGACTTCGCCTTGGTTACCACCCGTGCCGGGGAAGAGAGTCCCGCGTAATTGAACCTCAACAAAGACCTGAGTATCAAAGGTAGATGGGGTCGAATCGAATGGCGAGCCCGGTATCGATTCGTCAACGTGGTCGGCTGCAGCGACCGAGTGGGAAGCAAGAAGGGCAACGACCTCTTCCGGGCTGAAACCTGCGTCGCCAAAGCGCGCGAGGATGCTGGTGATAGTGTCTTGTAAAAGGCATTAGCAATCGAGGCCCAAATGATTGGTCTAAGCGCCGGGCTCACCAAAAGGTTCTGGGACAAGAAGGTCCGGAGAGGGTGCTACAGCTGGGGGGCGTCCGAACAAGAACTCCAGGCGTGGTGCACCAGGGCAGTTACTGAGGCCAACGGCTCCAGCGAACTGGATGAAATCACCAGCAGTCATATTGTGCTTTGCAATGAATGGTTGCTGCGCTTCAATAATCTCATCGACACCATTGTTTGCATGGAATGCCGTTTCGGTATCGGCGAACGTAATAATCGAACCGTCCGCTCCTCCACCACTGTTAGACCCGGGATGGCTCAGTCAAGCGAGAAATCGTGAATATGTCAATGTACGTACCCAAAGCTACCTGACGCGGTCATCTTCGGAGAAAATCCAATAGCATCATGGAATGTGAGACGCAAAGATTCGTGGACCTATTAGTAGCAATCACAATCTGTTATTCTGAGAAAGGAGGTGCGAGCATACCTCCTCTCCACATTCGCCGCCGTCGAATAGGCTCTGCTGAATGTCGTCGCGAACAGCAAAGAGTGAACAGCAGGCAGCATCCGAGGCTACATTGCCATCAGGACAGGTTACACGTTTCGTCAGAGCGGCTAGACAACAGCATGAGCAATGGCAGACGGAGTAAAAGAAAAGCTGCGTTCACCATTAGCTGACTGCAGTGCAGCAATGGTCGTGATAGCTGACAAGAGGTAGCTGAAGGCCATTTCGAATTGTAAGACGAGTGCGCCTGGTCTCTTCAGTCCCAGTTGGTAGCTCTTTATATACCTTTTGCAACCCTTGCATTCTTATCGAACGTTTGTGAAGTCGGTGTTGACAGAGTGGTCTCATCGAACCATAGAATCAAACAATTAGAGACTGCAAATCAACTGCCAGTTTACAACGCCGGCCTCGAGTTCGGAGCCTTGGCAGAAACAATGTGCTTCTGAACTTCTCATGCCAAGATGCATCACAAGTTTTTATGCCCACTCACATAATTCCGGAGCCAGGGCGGTTGTATGCCACTGTTGTCGGGAGCGCAATCTGTGAGAAACTATCGACCAGGGGAGCTTCAGTCGTGGCCTGGACGTTGTGCAGTATGACTTTTGGGGCTTGGCTATGGGACCGAAGAATCCAGATGCAGATGGCACCGGAAGAACTGTGAGAACTTGATACGCTACCGCAAGATGCAAGCATGAAGAAAGGGAACCTCGTATATGACCGTTTCAGGATCAATCCGTGTTTCATGCTTCCATGCATATGGTTTGGATCAAGGCACTGCGAACAACAGCTAATAGTACGCTAGCGTCACTGCAGCGTTCCTTGGACGATGCAACATGGGTTTGGGTCTCAAATTATGCAGACCGAGTTCAAGGTCAAGGATTTACGTTGCCAGACCTAAACCAATTTTGGATGATGGACTTTCTATTTCAGGCCATTCAAACGCTTAAGAAACGCGTCAATCTATCTTCTTTTCACTTCCATATCAGCCGCGTGAGTATGCAAACCTCTCACAGATGCTCTGTTTAGATAAATCACCCTTGTTCTAAGTTGACCTGACTTACATGAACAGATGTGGTCTGGAATGACCGACCTCATGTCGAGTTCTACTAGACTTCGCCTTCCACTACCCACGCATTGATACTCTCTCACTCCAATTTTATGGCATCGGGATTTTTGGACAAGAGGATCACTTCAACACTGTCGAGTCCGGGATAGTTCTCATCCCGAATTCAAGGAACGTCCATGGACGCGGATTTCGCCAAGCCGACCGCACTAGGCGGACCGTCTAGACATAGCACCGCGTTCCTCCTACCTCAGATATACCTATTGGGTCGAAGTTCTCGTTCGCACATAGCGAATACGGCTCTCTCGATAGGCCACTTTTCATCACTGTTCGCGTACCTTTGTGTTACGAGTAGCTCATCCTTCCTGATGGAGTTGCTTTTGTATAGGAGGGCAGGGGCAGACGCCCTGACGCTCAAACTCGATGCACGGCATTGGGGCGTATTCGTAATGGCCGAGGGTGGCCTCTTGTTTTCAATTGAAGAAAAATCACACATTGTATGTTTGTGTGAGAACGAATGTGTGCAAAAAGTCTGACATTGTTCACTTGCCTGAAATCTTGCGCTCATTGATATTTACAGGTTTCCTGAAACCGGCAAAGTGCGTGGAGAGAAAAACAAGAGCAAAACCCTTACCTGTCGTATTCAACTTGAACGTGCGACCCACTTGGCTCATTTGTGGTTGCCCATACCGAAGGCTCAAGCTATCCTTTCGACGCTGTATCATTGTTAAGCAAGTACCAGTCCAGCAAGTAACATCACCAGCAAAATCTGACTCAAACGACGCAATTAATCCATACCACCAATTTCACCATTCCCGACGTTCACGCATCATCGTCTTCCTCAACGTCTCCGAACTCGAACATCCCTAGCCGGTCTTTCTTTGCTCCCGCAACGGCATCATGCAGTCTCTTCAGAACTGACGGATACGCCGGAAGGTATTTACACCCCTTCCGGTCAACCGAAGCAAGGCCTTCACGTACGAGGTCAGCATTTATGCAGGCAGTCGAATCGTTCGCCGCGTTCGGATCGCTCGGGTCGATAAGACGAAGGTGTAAGAGGGTACCTTCTCTGAAGTCAACGTTTGCTATTAACTTGCGACCCTCGCATAAACTTCGGAAACGGTCCACTGCTTCTTGATAGTACTCGCTATTTGGGTCTACAAGTTTTACGAAGCTATATTAAGAGGAAAAAATTCAAGTAAGAGTGATACTCAGAGCTTCCATCGAGGGGAACGAACCTAAGACGAGCATCTTGCGCTTGACCGGGCAACGAGCGGAATTTTGGATCTAACGGACGGACATCCTTGAACGGCACATTGCTTTGGTTCCCGTAATCAATAAATGTCACTTCTGCCTCTTTCTTCACCGGCGATGACCGTCTGACTTTTGCACGATACCATGATCCGTCAGAGAATTTTGCCGAGACGAGGTCACCGCCTTTTGGAATGAAGTTGGCGGGACCTTGTGCAGCTCGATGATGTAACGAGAAATCCTGCATGAGTTTCTCTAGTGCCGCAATACCTAGAGGACCTCGTCAGTATTGACGGAGTGAGCTTGACGAGATGAAAGCGCACCTTCTGTATTGAGGACTTGTATTGAGAACGTTAATCCGTTATTCGTGCGAACGTCACTAATAATGATGTCCAGATATTCCGTCTTCAGAGCTTGCACATATTCGGATTTGCTTGCCTCCTCCTGAGCAGCAGCCTCGGCATCTGCATCGTAATCTTTCCACAGCTACAGAGATCACGTCAGCAACTATGCTAAAATCAGCCATGGTCAATACATACACCACTTTTATTTTGTTTGGCTTCCTCCTAAAATGACAATCTATCAAACGAAACCAAGATTAACGAGATAATAGCATACCTCTGCATCGTAGAGTTGCTTAGCCCAAGGCAAGGTATCGGCAGAGAAACCATGGACACTCGCTAAGCCTTCGCGAATCAGGGTAATTGCAGCGTTTTCAGTCTTGTTGAGATACAGCGCGCCGATGAATCCTCCACTTTTATCGACTGTATCAATCTCAATCTCAACATCGCGCTGCATGTATCGACGTGTTGCGAACTCAGCAGCCTCTGCTCCGAACGGCTCGCCCTTCTCGTTAGCGTTGCGTGCCGTTCGCGGTGCACGTATTCCTAATGAAAAGTACATGCAAAGATAAAGTTCTTCGAAGATTAAATCAGCGTCAATTCACTTACCGCCAAGAACGAGAGTAATAGACTGATTGTCTTTCGGAAGTAATATTCTATAGCCGGGTCAGACATAAACGAACGGGGCTTATTTCAATTATAACCCACTTGAAACGCGATCCGGATGCAACGTAGTCCACAACAGCTGGCATGCGTCCTAAGCGTTTGTAGCCCGAAAGGTGAGAATTTGCTCGAACAGACGACTAAGATTTTAGTTTAATACCAAATCTAATTAACAACAGAAGAGAAGGACGGACCTCGGATACATTCATGGGCGCTTTAGGCGGAGCCTGCTCCTTCCCAGAGTGCAGCCCTCGTCCCTCCTCGGCGGCACTAAGCATGTTAAGCTCGTAAAAATCAAAGCAGAAAAGGCAAGAGAATGCGGCGCACGCTTGTTCCGCAGCCATGAGCTTGTCGTAATCGGAAGATCGGTCCTCATCATCACGTCTATGACGTACTGCAGTCGCAAGACCCTTTTCAATAAGCTGCTCGGCGACGTTCCTTCAGGAGACGTTTATTATGAAGGTTGCATCATATGGGAAGACTGATTAAACATACGCCTGAGTTCCACCATACCGAATCGTTACGCATTCTCGTTCTTCAAATTCACCCTCTTTCGGCCTAATAAAATCGATGTGTACTTTGACAGTTTTGCCGATGAGTTTTTTACGCAAGAACTATAGAATAACATTCACATTAACCTCATGTTGGAGACGATGTGTTGTATACTCACTTCTCGAGCTTCCGCCGCATAGAAAGCCTGCTTCGGATCAGTGGCCCTGCAAAAGGTAAGATACTCAGTCTCGATTCTTATTAGCCGATGGTTTCAACCGAGCTTACTTTGGCGCACGTGTGGAACTGAGCTGTAATCTGCGCTCCTTTCCACCCTCCTTTGGTACAACCGATACCTGGTCACCACTCCATACGCGCACTACAAGTGCATCGAAATCGCGAACAGAACTGCTCGTGCTTGCTGCACCATTTATACGTGCGCCAGCGCCGGATGCAACAGGAGTAGACGCATATAGACATGAACGCTTCTCCTTCGCCGACCTTTCGGCTGCTCGGAGTCGTTCCATGCCACCACCCGCGGCGAGCATCCCTGCGTGCCAGTCTACGACTCGTGCAAGGCCGTTGGCGACAAGATGTTCAGCAACATTTCCAGCAGGATGAAGGACTGTGGGTGGAAGACAAGTGTGTCAGCACGTGGGTAAGATAATGCTCAAGTGAATGATAGTCAACGGACCGTTCCCGATGAATATGCTAGCAGATGGAGGCGGGGTACCATTAGCAGTAGATTGGAATGGTGTTGCAGTTGGGGCGGGCAGGGATAGCAATTGTACGCGAACGGGTCTTTGCAATAATCGTGATTCGGTAAAGAACCTCGCCTGCGATATATCAAAGTTTTAAATTCCCGTCACGCTAAAGATTCGAAAAATCCATACCTCGTCGCCCCACTGCTCGGACGCTTCGCCTTGCTTACCAGAGACCCGCGGACAGCGTACTCCAGCAAGCGCGACATTCACAAATTGATGGTCGCCATCAGGCATCAATAACCGTAAGCGCACTGTGGATCCATCCCGGACCGACTCAACGATTGCTGGAATCCACAAAATTAAATTATCCAGCCTTTGCGCGGGTTTTTGCTAAAACATACCGTCTATTGATTTCCCTTTCCACTCCTGTAGGAATGCCTGAGAATCCTGCGGCATATTATAATGCACTTCTCTCGTCTACTTTGACATTTTCCGGTCACGTGATCCATACTTTAACTTAACAAATGAATTTCGATTGTACGCACCTTCGGTCCTTGTGGATTCCAAATCCCACGCCCGCCAGCCCGAGCATCTTCCTCGAAGGCTTTCCTTTTGTCGTCTTCCTCTGTCGGCTCGCGTTTGCTCTCCTTCGTCTTCGCCCAACCAGACTTGAGCAATTCTGTAGCGATATCTATAGGAGCTCCGGGCGCCTGGCCATTTTGGGGCGCAGGTGGAGCGAGCGTGGCATTCCCAAGGTCACGCGGAATGTCGTCTGTGCCAGGTGGAAGCGAGTGTATTGATGTGAAGGAGACTTCCTTGCCGACGCATAGCGAGCGAAGGAATTCACGCGACTCGAAAGCCCACGGCTATTGCACACAACGAAATATGGCATAAATGCGTGTGATTATAGGTTCGTTATTCATAGATGTATGCATTTATAGCGAGGCATGACAGAGAATCCGCAGCAAGAGAGGGGGGAGATTGGTTAAAGCAGTGGCAGACAAGCAGAGCACAAGTGCATTAGCACGTACCTCGTCCTCACGAGACTGAGTCCCGAGACGCGGGGCAGTGATATCGGCGAGATGCAATATGCTGCATGAGTCAGCATAAGAATAAAACAGCCATTGGTTTACATGCATACAGTATTCAAGAAACAATAAATAATACGTACCGTTCCTTAGGTGGTTGACCTTGTGGGCCGGGGCGTCCACGTAGAACAAGAGAATCGCCAGAAATGACGGCTGAGATGAAAATATTCATATCCAGGAAATGAGAAGAGATCAAAATGATAGCCAAATTATTCGTTGGGCATGGTACAGAAATTGAAGGACATACACTTGACGATCTAAATGCAACGTGTCCATAAGCCTATCTTTCTCTCAGTTCATAGCAATCATCCTTACAGCTTTCATAGACATTTTGGATCGATTTCTTGGGCAATTCTTAGGTGCGCAGCAAGTAGTAGTAGGGGGTGGAGTTATTTGAAGAGGTTTTGGTGTCTGAGAGAATTTTGTGAATTTGAGCTCGTGTGCGCTGCTGGCTTGTGACGATCCTTGATCGCGTCTCGGCCATGTGACTGTGCGAACAGAATGTCGTACGCGTTGCAGAGCTGAGAGTCAAGATTCAGATAAGTTCTGTGTCCACAACAGTGCGTAAAAGATGCCGCTCTATAAATTATATTGCATCGCAGCACATTACCCAGAATACGTGAGTTTACTGTCACTTTTATCAAGTCCGATGCTCATGTGTTTTATCTTTACAATAAAACGGAATATCCTGCCTCCTACGCAAACGCCTCTTCGAATCGAATCTCCTGTTGAACAAATGAACGTTGCGTCTCTGATCCATCGAACATTTGATAGAAACATATAAAAGACTTGGTAATGTCAAGTGCGAAGATGTTGCTGGACAATGGGAGTGTCGTACGGGAGATTCGGTATATTGGTCTGCGGACTCTTCCTCAGCGAATGAAGCGGCATAAACAGCATCATGAATTTGGCGAGTGCGTAATAATACTTTTCTTTTTCCTTGCTTGTTCCATACATGTCTTTTTCCTCATTTCCTTTCAAGCGAGTTGTGCCGTCTCCATTTCGCATTTTACTTTCACCACCTTTCTATCTTCCCATACGACCTAATTGAAGTGTAACTGATACGAAATGCCAACATTCTAGTTACTGGTCAATGCACTTCGACGCCCCACCCTCCCTCGTCTCACAACTCAACAAGTACATGCAAACAGACCACCGCGTTGTTCGCTGGACAACGCTCAAACTCGGCGAACGCCTCACAGACGTAGCCTCAATTCGACAAAACACCATTACTGACGTTGACCTTGAACCTAAGGACAGTAATAACCCATTTGTTAATGGCAGTAACATGGGTTTACCAGGGGGTGATGAGTTGTTGGCTGCAGTGGGATCTGATGCGAAGGTCGCGAGCCTGGGAAGGAATGATATGGTCGCGTCGTTGGGTACTGGGATGTATGGTCGTCAGCGACTTTGAAGTGGAAGGAAGCAAACGTGTTTGTAGGATGACGCTTTCATGAATTCTCCGATGAAATTTGGCTGGTTTGTCCGCTTCTGCCTCGTCATTTATTTACGACTCATGATTCAACCAGTCATAGACATCTATACTGCATTGTGCTCTTGGACAAACTTTACTACATCATCCAAGTCTTTTATACATCTAATACCATTACTTTCATGTATCTCAATGCTTTCTGTCTGATGTTCAGAGCCGGAAGATCTACATAACAGAAGCGCGTGAAGCCCAGCTCGACTCGCACCATGATAGTCACTGTATAAAAAAAGGATCAGAAATTCCAAATGAGAAACGGGGAATCGAGCACGTACCATTCCAGCTCGTCTCCAATGTGTACAGTCTCTTCTGGCTTAACTTCAGCATCCGAGCATGCGGTGATGAAAATTTCCTTGTGTGGTTTCTCGACGCCCATATCGTCGCTCGTGCATATGGGATCAAATAGCGAGAGTGCTCCGAGATCATCCAGTGCCCTCACTTCATTTGATAATTATTCAGTAATGAAACATGTGGAGGAGGTTGCCACGTACAGATACGTGAATCGGCATTAGTGACGAGCCCAGTAGACACGCCCATCGCGTGAAGTGCTTTCACTGAGTCCCATTATCATGAACACAGAACAAACTCGTATGATATCAGAGCAGGTGGAACTAACAAGTTGGGATGGTATCTTCATATAACGCATAGCCTTCGCGTGAGCTGAAGCGATGTAGAAGCTGATGGACAACGGTTGGCATATGTTCCTTCACGTCTTTAGATCAGGAAGTGGCAGAATAAAGCCCAGACCCAATGACAGATGCGGAGAAAGAACCATCATAGAGACGTCAGAGAGAGAAAAGTCGCCAGTTAGCCGTTCAACTGTCCAAAATAGATTTGCACCGTGATGTAAGATAGCGTACCTGCTTCACGGGCACCAGCACCTAGAGCAGTCTGCTCAATAACATCTGCCCACCACGATTCAGGGCCTTCCGAGTAAGCAGGGCGAGAGGCTTGTAAATTTTTGAGCGCTGTCGTGTGGACGTGAACGCATGGTTTTATTAGCGATAACTCCAACGAAACGAAAAATCAGAACGAAAAGGCAGGGAAGAGGAGCACGTCTCTTATTGAGAAAGGATGAGCTGTGAAAGGGAAAAGAAGATGTGACAATGAGAGAGAAAGAAAAGCTCGAAGGAAGGGACGCCACAGAGACATGATTTTCGATAGATTAGCCAGCATATGGAAGCGATCAGAGGTGTGGAACAAAAAGACGTGCAATCTGTATCCCACCCAAATTCACGATGGAACGTTCGAGATTCGGCACAAACGTAGGAGACAAATGGCCTCATTCGATTCTGATGTGCTGCCATTACAACTCGATAACGTACACGGTACTCGGATGGCAGTTTATCGAGGATTCAGACATAGAGTAAGGACTAACCAATCCTGAACGAGCTCCTGACCGCGTCGGGAGAGAGTTGGCCGAAGAATGGAGCGAATACCTCTGCATATTGGACCTGAAACGGTTTCCGTGGACGCACAATAGTGTAGAGCGCATCGAAGGTAGCGAATCGTATCATGGTGTTGCGCTACAGACTTCAGTCTCTCGTATGACGCGCTTAAAGCAGTGAAGCAACTCAATTGGAATCTCGGCCTGTTCCGTGCCAGTGACTTCTTTGCTACTAAATTTGGCTTAGCTCAGTCCCTTCCTGAGAAGGCCGCGCTTCGGTACTTTGTTTTCGATTAGGACAACGCTGTTAAGAAGTACGGCGTGCACTTCGCAGAAGACATATGCCTCAAGGCGCTGGACTCGAGCTTGTCTGGAGAAAAACCTTGCGTCTGACTCTTCGCGGCAGAAACTGGAGAACCATGGTGCTTTGCACGCGAAAGCAGAATACGGAGTTCTTGATTGATTGCTCTGCCGTCCGAGATGCGACGGAGAAGAGGACAAGGCATGCGACACTGTAGAATGAGGATTAACGCCTTACTTGTTTGACAGACGGATTGGCAATTAGTGCGGATGTTGAGCTGACGGGGCGCTCGGCATCTGGACAGCCGGAGACGAACGCGGTCATCATCCTGCCTCCAATTGCCCTGCTGCCCTGTCCTACCTGGGATATTTTTGTGTTATACGAGACGCGCATGTGCGTGCTCTCGTCTTCGATAAATGCCCTGTTCATCGTCTCCGCTGCTCTCCGCCGATCTCCTGCTCGTGCTCCCTGCCTTCGACTTCGCTCGCTCTTTTTTGCCTTCTGCTTTCTCTCATGCGATCACTCTCCACACTTCCTCTTGCATAAGGGCACGGTTGCTATCTGATATCTTGGGGCGCACAGCAGTCGAGCTGCCACCGTTCGTGCTTGTGTTTGACAGCCACCACTCCTTGTCTGTCTTCTGGCAAATCCGCCCTCGGCACCCTGGACGCATCTGGAGTCACAGCTGACCCGGTGATTGCCACCACGCTGTCGAACAAGCGGTAAGCTATCTACGCTCCTTTTCGTCGGTTTTGGGCCGTGATCGCCGTCTGTTCTGTGTGACGCCACCCTGTTCTGCCTTGACGCGCCAGCTCGTCGCCTGCCTCCACACACCGGTTTATTAAGAGCAGTCTTCTCCCCAACTCGCCCTGCATCCCTTCCTTATCTTCCCGCTACCACTGTATCAGCGGTGGTTTCGCGTCTTGTTCCGTCTGTCTTGCCACTCACGACTCTCTTGAGCTCTTGGCTCTTGTTCAATCTTGAACGTCTGCGCAATTGAGACTCGGGGCCTGGATTGGTAGATATGGTCCCCGCGCGCTCCGTCGTTCCTTTCCCAGTAAGTACGAAGCGTAACTTCTCACGTTTTGCGCATTGCAACAGCATTTTACGGTGATCAATTACTCAACCGTATGAGCAGTCTTCACCTTCAAGGACCATGCATACGTCGCCACCTGCATCGGGCCAGTGGTGAGCATTCTTCCTACTGTACATATACTCGGCTGTATACGTGCGCTTTCTTATGCTCCCTTAAATTTGTTTCCGTCTATTTTAGGGATCATCCAACAAACCAGGTCGAATTTACTTGTACGTCTTACAGTAATATGCACGTATCTAATGTCGGTTGACCATCTCTCCTGTAGATCCATTCAATTCACCTACGCCAACTCAATCATCACCTTCTTCCAAACAAAAGGCACAGCAGGAGCAGACTCCCGAGAGACCATCGCAGCCGCATACTCCGCTTACCCCTCCGCTTACTCCCGCATCGTCTACTTCTCTCCCCGGCCTTGGAGTGGACAACATCGTCATGGATGAGACTTCCAGCGCATTCACTACCCCAGCGAGAGGTCCAGCAGCACCTCCGCCTACACCCTCATCTACTGGCCTTTTCGATAACTCGCTCTCTACGTCTACGTCTCATATGGGTCCTCACTCTCCCGTCGCTGTCGGTCCTAACACTGGTACGAGTGCTGGGCTGGGAAGCGGATGGCCCGCACCATCCTCACCGCGGCGTAGTCGTCCAATTCCACACCGTCTTGAGGTCGGCACCAATGGAAGTGTTGGTGGACCTTTGGGAGCGGTAGGCTCGCCATGCAGTGAAAGAAGCGACAATGCCGTTAGTTTCGGTGAATCGATCCTTGTTGCAGATCGTGATATCATGAATGGGAACTCTGGAGATTCCAACGCGGGTGCGAACTCTGAAGGCGAAAGATTCTTACTTGTGTGTTTCTTCAATTCGACTCATTCTTTAGTTTCTCTAAGAAGGAAGATAATAACCTATAAACGTTTCTTGATAAATATAGATCGGGAACGTCCCAAAGGACGTCACTCAGCAACAGCTTAAAGATGCTTTTCATGTGAGGAGCATATATCCTACTCGAATACGAAAAGAACTGGATGAACTTACAGCACCACTCTCCTTTATTTGCAGTCATGTGGAGATGTGAAAGGGTTTAGTCTGCGGTTCTTGGCGACAGATGGTGTTGTCATTCTCGCCTTCTACGACTGTAGACATACCATATATGCGGAGCGTCAGATTAACTCGTCGGGACAGACATACTTTGGTGGATGCGGGCTTCGCACCAAAAAAATGGGAGCTGTCGCTTTGAAGCAGGTAGATTTCTAATCCGTATCTCTCCTTCCCACAATTATATCTTATCCTCTGATGCAGCTGATGCGTGACTCGGGATTCGTTGATGAGACCGAGGGCGAAGTGGTAGTTACTGTGGACGGAAACATGGATGCGAACTCGTTACAGTCAATCGTGGGCAGTTTTGGCGAACTGCGTGTATTTAGAAAGGCGAACATAACTAACGGTCAGGTAAGGATTTATGCATGTCGGACTCTTAGATTTTAGGATTTATCGTAACAATTTTTTTCCGCTTTGAAGGCGTACATAGCAGAATTCTTCGACTGCCGGAATGTGAAGAACGCGATGGATGCACTCAACGGGCGTAGTATTTTCGGGTTTCGACTTTGCCTGATCCCAAAGCATACAGCCACCACGGAACCGCCAAAACATGGTTCTTTCCAACAGAATATCGACAGCTCTAACCAGACCTTGCGAGCTGCATCTCAGCCAACTTCTCCGCTCTCGGCCAGTTCTTTCTCCCGCATGCAGGCAGACCCTTTCTCTTTCTCAACTCGCCATGAGCAAGTCGCGGATAAACCGGATAATGATGAAGTCGAAAATGACACTTCGAATTCAAGTCCTTTTCATGGGTCTCGAGCTCTTCCCCTTCCTGTTTCGCCATTTCACTCTCATTCCTCTGCTCTTCACGGAAGCAGTGCTCGACGCATTTCGACGGGCTCCGTCAGCGTAGGGTCTGGCGGAATGATACTACATCAGAGTACTAGCGAGCAAAACTTAAGAAGGCGTGCGGCGGCGAACAATGTTACATGCATGAATACTCAGGGCGGGTCGATCGGTGACCACATGAGAAGGACGAGCGATACGTTTTGCTTTGATGCTTTGAGACGCGCTGCGGATGACTTGTGCAGGCCTGTTGGACAAGATCATAAAGACATTGGCTCTTTACTTCGTCCAAGGACGCGCGCCATTAGCGAATCAAGCGCCTCTCCAAGGGTCGTCTCTCCGAGTGAAGGATTTTCCACCGCAGGTATGGATGTCGGCGTGCCTGACCACTCCACATATGGACATTCTTCAGCATCTGAGCACAGCTCAGGAAACGGAGCACATGACTACTACCGCAACGATCACGACAATGATGCTGAACGTAGTGCGCATTCTAGGATGCCTACGGCAAGCGATTCGTCAGTCGGTGCGCCGCACACACCTTCACCAGGACCCGGAATGTACAACGTGAGTCCGTATTATGCCACATCGCCTTCGGTACTCGGTATGCCTGGGATGCTGTCTCCGGCGCATAACGGTATAGCCCAGTATTATCTTGGTTCACCATTAGCTGCACCAACGAGTCCTGCTGGCATGCGGTACGGCTACGCACCTCAGGCGCCCGTGTACAGCCCAGGAGGCCTCAGCGTACAGACATCCAGCTCTTCGTCCTCGTTACACTCCATCTCGAACTCTTCCCATTTATATTCACCGTCTCACGGACACTTGCCATCCTCTGCGCGTGGTGCTCTTGATGTGACGCGCGACCCTCCTGCAGAGCGTAACCAGGTAGATTTGGACCGTATCGCTGCTGGCCTTGATACGAGGACAACTGTGATGATTAAAAACATCCCGAACAAATTGTCGGACCGCGACTTGATAGAGTTCATTGGACGAGTATGTCCACGTAAAATTGACTTTTTGTATCTGAGGATGGATTTTCAAAATGGTAAGCCGAGCTCACATCGTCTTTCCGGTTAGCGAGGATATAAATTCTGAATACATATGCACCGCTTTTTTTAGGATGCAACGTTGGTTATGGTATGCGAGTTTCACATGTATTCTTCTGAGTCCCTCTCTGACTTGCCCCAGCGTTCGTAAACTTCATCCGTGTCGAGGATCTTTTACACTTTGCCCGTACCAAGCTCGGCGTCAAATGGTAATCTGCCTTGTTGACAATATTATCATTTAATTAATGTTTCTTGCCTTTACAGGAATATGTTCTCTTCTGAGAAGGTGCTCCAGATGAGCTACGCTAATTATCAGTCAGTGTTCTATTATGTGTATCTTTTGGAGGAATCTACTCATGCAGAGAAACAACCTACTTGTTTTATGCAGGGGGAAGGAAGCGCTTGTAGAGAAATTTAAAAACTCATGTGTGATGGATGAGCGCGAGTCCTGGAGGCCGAAAATTTTCTATAGTGCGGGACCACTCCAGGGAATGCCCGAACCTTTCCCGGCGCCAACACACTTTAGACGTAAGGAACGCTCTGCACAGAATCGTGGTGCGCTTTTCCTGCCTGGTGCACATAGTGCCGGAGCCGGGGACAGAGTAGAAAGAGGAACGGGCACGCTTAGTTCTCCGTTCCGCCGGCCAAATCAACACCCACAAAACCTGGCGAGGCATGATCGCTTTTAGATCACGACGTACTCAACTGCTTCTATGTTGCACGGACTTGCTCGACACGCCAAGGAGTGCATATGAACTCTGAATCGAATCTGTCTTACTAATTCCAGGCCCCTTCCCGGTTCTGTGCCCGAGTCATTCTACCTGTTTATTCTTTCATCTATCTGGCTCCTTTTCTGAGGTCGATAACTGCAAACAACAATCCCTCCTTAATGCGACTGCCATGAAACAGCATTTTTTGTTACCGACAGCTCATTAATCTACTGACTCTGGTTAATAGATTCCTCGATCAACTTCTCTGAAACATAAATTCATCGAGATCGTTAATGTGCTCCTCGTGCCTAGCAATTCGAACTCCATTCGCTGATAACGATGCTCCGCGCGGCTGCGATAATGTATAGCGAGACTGCTGTGTAGGAAAGCGACGGGTGTGGCCGTTGTAACACCGCCCGCGACAGTCAGCTTTATTGCGTTTTGCGCGAAGCGCTTGCCGCGTCCACCTGATGCGCCCCCTAATCGCACAACTGTCAGGCAACAAAATTCGGTCCCGCCTTTCTTACGCTGTTGTTTTATTCTCTTTTTTTCTTTCTCACTGTAACCACTATATTGTCACTCTTCGGCGGAAATTTCGCCCGTGCTCCTTTCCTTTGCGTTTCACTCTCGTTGTTTATCTAGTCGTTAAGGCTTGTTACCCGATGTGTTGTGTTCCGCGCAATACACCTTCTCCAATTTCTCCTTCAACTAATTTGTGGTTCTATTCATCATGTATAACTTGCTGCGGCCGCATGGACAAGTTACTCGTAGAGTGTCACTGCCTTTATATTCATGTCATTTACTTCTGTCTTCATTCGTTATAAGTGTTCCGCTTTGTGAATCTGTTCCTGACTTTGCTTCCGCTCGTTGAACGCTGTCTTACTCTTAGTTATTACCCCGCATCAATAGCTCCAGACATGTGCTCGATCCCGTTATCTTTCCATTATCATCGTCGTCGTCCAATTTTACTTCACTCTTTGCCTTTGAATGCTGACATATCTTCTGTACTCTGTTATCCCATGTACGTCCGACTTTATGCGCCTCGTGCCCACGCATGCATCTTCCTTTTATTAACTCCTAATTATCGAACGTCGTTCTGTTAAATCCGAAGTCATCTGATACCACTTCGTCTGAATAAATTGTACCTCGCCAGGCCACTTCCTCTCGGTTGATGTGGCGTCTCTACAATTGGCGTTCTTCAGACCATATCCCTCACCTATATGTGTAGTTTGTCCGGAAGAACAGTGTCTTAAACGTTAATCGGTATCCGTATCAATTATCCTTAAGTTTTTCCGATGCATGAAAATCCACGACTTGTCTGACAAGCTTTTTCATATTCTACATCCTCACATGTTCGTCTCTTCTGAACGTCGGAACGACGCGTATAGACGGCTTCTCCAACATCGGATAGCGAACGTCAGTATCGTCTCATCGTTAATCGCGAAAAGCCATTACCGTAACATCGATATTGATATTGGTATAGGGATGCCTTCTTGGGCCCTTCGTTTCTTCTGAACTTCGAATTCTCTTCGTCCTGCCCAAGCTTGAGCTTGGTGAAGGCGTTCCAATATCTCGAAGCCTCGAAGTCCTTTCAAGATTGATGCCTACCCCCCCTTTCGTTGGGTCTCTCAGAGAATGTGGCACACCGCTTATTTCCAACCTAAATTATCTTTTGTAGAATCTGCTGTTTACCGCGGTCTAGTCGGTTCTTCTCCGAGTTCGATGGTTCGATGTTCAACGTCTTACTTTGTGGATGTATACGACTACACGATCGCGCGGACAACGTACAAGTGTAATAGGGAAGGCGGTAGCAAAGTGTAATGAAGTGAAGTGAAGTGTTAGAGGTGCATGTGTAATTTGTGTGTATATGATATATCCATGTGGGACTGGTTGACAAGTGGTGGCTAGTGGCCGCACTAGAAACTGCTGTATCGCGTTGTTCAGCGTCTCTTCTGTAGATGATCCAACGTATGTAGTGTGAAATGGGACGTATCGTATGTATGTGCATGTGTGCATGCGTGGATGTAGTGGCCATCGTGTTGTCTTGGACCCGCTAGTCTGACTCTGAGGATGATCATGAGGGTTGGACAAATAGAACATATGTTTTCACGCCCACTAAAAAACAGGGTAGCGTTCTAAGTGATTTCAAGTTCTCACTCACGCGAAGGTTTGAATGATGTAACCAATGAGCATTCACGGGAGGAGTGACTCGCAGCGACGGAGGAAGAAGAAGATTTTAATATTGACGGATGATGCAGAGCATATGCGGAAAAAGATTGTGGGTTGCAATTGACCTCATAGATGGTAACGGAAGCGCGGATCCCCTGAGACGATCCCGTTAATGGGCGCGCTCACAGCCATGAATCATTGAATGAATGGCATATGAAGATGAGATGCATCTAAGATTGATTGATGTAAATCTACAGGCTCTTCGACTTCGCCGTACTGTCGGCGCCGCTCCGCGTCGCGTCGCGATGAAGTAATGCGCTCCCGGTAGGGAACGAGGATACATGGTATGATTGGTATGATGTATGTTCTTGTGTCGGGCGGGAAGCTGTGGGCGTTACGCTTCTTTGAAATGAATTGCAGGGAACTCGAAGTTTGCTTTTGGACGCGGGCTGTGAACATACCTTTTTTGTGAGGGATGATGATACATAGAGTGAATGTATTTTTGTTGAGTTTGATTACTGATTGTAGGATGGGTGTTTCCCAAAAGCACGGAAGCAGTTATTGATTATAGGGGGTGTATTTCCCAAAGCACGAAAGAGGCGCATGGTGAGCTTTTCATGCTCGGAGGAATCGGCTTAGAACAATGGAATTTTCTGTATCTTTTGTTCAACGCCAATAGCCGTGTGAGACATTGTGAGAAGCACGTCGAGTGACTCGGAAGGAGACTGCCCTTAAGAAGACCATTTTGCGTACGTACGAGCAACATGCGCTCGCGTCCGTTGCGATACGCTAAGGTAATAGAAGACTGAGTGATTCGGATAGCAGAAGCAGGCGAGAGAGCAAGAGACGTCAAGAACCTTGTGTTCGCGGGATAACCGATGACAATGAGAGGAAATAGCAGAAAGGGAAGCCGGGGAACGGTGTGCTCGGCTGCGGAATAGGGTTGGTCAGGGTGATGAACTGTCAAAGCAAAGTAAAGGATGAAGGGTGATTAGAGAGTATCCGGCGGAACAAGGACAGCTGCAGAGGCCGGATTTTGATTCAGCTGTAGAGCAGGGGCAATGGCAGGACTGGACAAGGAGCGATCTCTAGCCGTCATCTGATTGTGCAGACATTCAAGGGAGGTCGTCGTTCGCTGTCTGCCGCTGCCAGAGTGCCAGATTTCAAACAGGTGCCCGAACAAGGTGGGCACCCAAATGTGGAAACGAAACTCCGACTTAGAGACGCGTCTTGTGTGATTACCACCACGCGTCTCCTTTAATGAGCAATATGCACATATTCGACCTGCCAGACAGCCAGTCCATCGGAGCGCTCAAAAATGCGAATAGAACGCACCAGATGCGCCGTCAGTCGTTCATGTCTCGCGGAATGAAGCAAATAAAGGACAGATAAAGAAAATAGTCGAGGAACTCTATATGACCTCCTTCCGCCACCCGGAGATCCTCACACGTTGTATATATAATTGTTACTTGCAAGGACTTCGACGCCCTATTTCAGTCCGGTCCACCGCCTCCTTGGGCCCTCATCACTCTCCTTCCCTTTCTACTTCCAACTCCTCTTTCTCGTCAGTGCGTTCGCCATGTTCCGCACTCGCGATGCCTCCCTCTCCTCAGCGAATAGGCGCGCCCCGCCCCCGCCCCTCCCACTCGCGAAACAAGAGGCTATCCGCGCACCGCGTTTCTGGAATGCAGCAGTCAATGCCACTAAGGGCCTGTTCAATCAACCGTCCCGAACACCCCTAGATGATGATGATCTAGCAGCTCCTCCTTGGTATGCTAATGTTTTCAATTCTAATTAGCCTGCCGAACTCTGAACCAACTAATATTTTGGAAACGTGTAGTGTGCCACGCGTGGACGATAGGCGCAGACTTGTGCGCAAGTCCATCTCGACTCCGGCTCTTAAAGCGAGTGCGAGCACGGGCAATTTGCGACGCGACATGAACGAACACTTCTCCCCTCCACTGCCTCCGCTCTTTACCAACCGCTCCGAAGAGCACAGTCCGCGTAAGCCGAAGTTCAAGGCAGCTGTGATGCAGTCCACAGTCCGCCGTCCTGTCATATCGTCCCCGTCGCTTCCTCAGCCACTCGACAGCATTGCTCTATCCAATCCTAAGCTCGCATATCCGCTATCCCCTACGCCGTCGCCTGTCGGATCGACATTTAGCTTGAATACTCCAGCGCCCCGATCGGCATCAAAACTGTACGCGTCGAGCTGACTTGCGTTTCGCGGCACATCATTTTTTTATTTATGGCTAATTCGGTATTTTCCGTATGTTCAGACCTATTCATGGCTCGCAATCTGACGACGTCGCCAGCGTCAACGCCGACGCCTTCAATGACTCACGGCCTGCTCGGAGGTACGGCGAACAGTACTTTTTGAAGTGCACGATTTATTGATGTTGTTTTTGCAACCAGGAGAACTAAAAGTGCACCAGGTTCTAAGCTTAACAAGCGTTCACTGTTCTCTCCAGCATTATCAGCGGCGCAGGGGTCTGAATCTCCGCTGACTGAACCTTCTTCCGAACCGTCTTCTCCCATAGTCATTGAGTGAGTATCATTTCTTATCTCTGTTCGTATCATTATCGGTATCCTGATTTTGTTGCGTGCTGTACAGCATCGCTTCCCCAAGCATTGCGTCGCCAGAGTCTGCTGGCTCTCCGCCTTCGCCACCTCTAGAGACACCCAGGATGATGTTGGGATTCTTCTCACAAGTGACAAGCTCGCCTGTTCAGATTACTTCTCCGCGTAGCTTTACATCTGTGAAGCGCAAACCGGTCCCGCGCTACTTATACACGGACCCACCCGAGCATGACGCCTCGACACCATACACTCCTGTCCTTACACCGAATCCAGGCTCTCCTCCAAGCACGAACGCCGCAACAGCGCTTCGCGCAGTTTCGGGCGTTCTCCACGCGCCACTTCTACCGTCTTCCGAGCTGATTCTCAAATCGTGCAACCCGTCCCGAAGCAACAACCGTGGGTTGAACCTCCTTCCGATCGGACATACGCGTCCGGATGGCTCGGTCCGTAGGCAACAACATAGGCGTAGTGTCAGTGAACATGGCCGTCGCCGTCTCCTCAGTCCGGATGTCAGTACCGGTCTTCCCAGCTCTTGGTTCACGACTAACGCCAATGGCTCCATGACACCCCACATCACGCCGGCGGAGGAACATGCTCCGTATTCTTTTGCCAATGACCTGTTGGTGTCTTTCTTGACATGTTACTTCCATACACTGACGTCAATATTTGCATTTTCAGACCTGCTGCACCGCACATCGCCTTGCAGTCTCCTCATCAGACCCCGGCTTATGTCGCGGAGGAGATTTCTGCTTTTTCCGACAACACGTCGGTTCGTTCGTCTATGTCCCGTCGCTCGTCCATGTCCCGTAGTGGCGCTCTATCTCCTTTGACAGACGAAGATATTGACGCGCTCCGGTGCTTCCTCCGCCGCCATGCCACGGGCCAACGAGAAAGGCAAAGACGCAAGTGCGGAAAATCGTCGGAAAAGCACTCACGGGACACTTCTGTCGCGTCTTGCTCATATGATATGCATACTCAGATTGTTGAGTCATACTGCACTGACGAAGACGAGTTTTTCTCCTTGGATGAGTCGGAGGACGACAACGATGCGGAGAGTCATGTCCCAATGTCAGCTTCAGAGACTTACTCGTTATCTAATTCTTCTATCGACGGACACCAAGAGTCGTCGCATGAATGTGAACATGGAGATGGCACAGGCTTTGGCGTTGGGACTCCTGTCAATCGTGATGAGTTTGAGACGCTAGACGAAGTCGTGAACCGCGGGACCTTTGGCTATTACGGCACACCTATTGTACGGATGCCGTGGTCCCATTGTGCGCAGCATGGGGTCCACGACAGTGTTTCCGGCGATAAGGAGTACGATGTCCGTCCGAGCTTCCCGACGGAGTGGAGGGAAGGAGGCATCTTCGGAGATATGCCTGACAATGTGAGGCCATCAAATAAAGAAGGAGAAGGGGCTGGAATTCAGGTAGAGGAGCTCCCTTGCGAGCTCAACAAGGGACAGACGGAAGTCAAGGTTGTCATTGGTCCTGCTCGATCTTCTTCTTTGTGCTGTAGTCCTTCGCCGGACAATGCCCGGTCCAGTGTTGTCGACAGCACGTCATGCGGTCGAATAAGCCGTCAACCTCTTATTCCGAGGACGCTGAATTCAGATTCAGAAACCGATCGCCCGATCTCGTCTGCAACATCGACGTCCTTGTCACCCTCGACGTCTACAGGGCGTTCGGCTTTCGCATCCGGGATTGGCCTTGCAATTATCCCTCATGAGCAATTCGCGTACTTCGACAGGTATGTGGAGTACGGATATGTTCCCGCGGGCTCTCCCTCTAACTGCGGAGCTGACGATAACCTGGGGGGATCTCCGACGACACTCGCATGTGCCTCGCCATCGACCAGAAGTCCGCGTCAATGCGATTCGGAGCATGACAGCCCTTTCGATAAACTACAAGCAAACCTTCACACGTTGTCAACCGCTCGAGGAGACAGGATTCCTCAAAACAACATGGATGTACAGTCACCGATTCTGAAGCCTGCACTACAGATCGATGCCAGCCGAGCGCACGCGGCTACAATAGTTCATCTGCCCTCACCGACAGACACTATTGAGACATATCCGCCCCAGACATATGCGGCTAAGGGTCTTTATCTGGACCAGAAGCTAGTTACACCGGATGCAAAGTTCACTGCCAGTGCGTCTGCAGACGAGGCTATTCCTGAGAACGTTAAATCGTTCATGAACCTCACGCCCAATGATTCCGCTCTGAGACGCCCACGCATAAAACTGCGGCAGCTCTTCTCGCGCGGTAACTTAAGAGCCGCGGCAAGGCGAAAGGTGTCTGCAGGATCGAAGGTGTGATCCCTTGTAACACGCCATTCTGGTTCCTTTACTGTGTTGTCAGTCCTTACTCATTTCTTCTGCCCTCTCTTGGTCTGGTCATCAGCGTCATTCCTTTCTTTTCTGGCATTGTTCCTTCGTTCTTCAGATTTTTTCTTCCTCACTTGCACTTGTCCCATGCATTTTCGATTCTATTCGTCTCCAATCAGCTGCATTATTAATACTTGTCCCATACATACACTCTCACTTGCATTCGACTCCACTCGCAACCCACATCTTGCTTTGCATTCCTATATCATACGCTCATTACACCACTTTCCCTTTTTTTTGGATGTTGGCCTTCCGTTTACTGTGCATACTCTACCTTATTGCATTTTCTTTTTCATCGCCTTTTGCTGCCTTTCGTTTGCAAATAATTAATTGCGCACTTCGCGACCGTACCCGCTTCCGCTTTGATTACTTAATAGCAGTAACATATAATCTCCCCCCCCTTCCTTTTATGACCTTTTCTTTTCTCGCTCTTGGTCACCTTCATTAGCAATTGTATTCTTTCCTTCATTTATCATTTCATCATTCGAAACTGTTGCATTTCTGTACTTGTCAATGTTACCATTACACAATCCATTTCATCGTCCAGACGCAAAGCGTGTCATCACCCTCTCTTTACTTTTTCGTAGCGTAACCTTTGTAATGTTAATTTGTAATACCTCCTTTGCGAAATACATACCGTTGATATTGTTGTAACCAACTTCAAAAGAAGTTCTTGAGACAATGAGTGTACCTCAAGTCGCACCCGAAAACAATAGAATCCAAAATAAAGTTTATATTTCACAACCTAGGAACGACCAACGTCACACAAAATAGCGAATTAAATTTGGGGAGAGAGCTAGAACGCGGCGTGAGTTAACGAAAGAAGGAAGAACAAGGGGAGGAACCACGCGGTTGGTGCAATGTCAAAAAGAGTAAGAGAATTTTTTAGCGCTTTGGGTATTATTATTAGTAGCGAGTAACTAGTAACTAGTTAGGTAGTAGCTAGTGTACTCTACACTCCTCGGCGGGGTTTCCAGGAACGGGTCTGTCTGGTCTAGATTTGTTGGTCGGTTGTTTGTTGGACGGGCGTGCGTGCATGTGTTTATGCTTGTGCTTAGTCGACGGGTCTAGAAAATTTAAGATTATGGTTTGTGTCGAATGGAAACAACGGAACGAGATCGAGAACGATAGGGCGGCGATAGCGATGGCAAGTACGATGGCAAGCATACGAAGAAAAAGAGAGAAAGGGAAAGGGTAATAGAGATCAGTACCTTGCGGGAAGGATAGTTAGGAATGGAGGGGGACGTACAGGCAGTCGGTTTTGCGCATGCCGTAGAGGGAGGTGTGGCTCGGGACTCCGTCGATGCGGTGTACGGCGTTTAGGTTCTTCCGGAGGGTGAGTTGGAAGAGGGAGAAGGAGCCTTGGCTAAATTAGGATATAAGATATATTGTTTGATATATATAATGAGTGTGCGAGAGTTAATTAATATTAATGTCTGAGCGATGAATAGCAGTGAATGGAATGAGAGCGAGCTTACCGAGAGATAATAGTCGAATACGCAAGGAAGAAGACCCAAATACGGTACCAGCGTTCACCGTACGCAGCAATCACTTGATCTTTATTGGATACCCAGTTCTTATACCAGCGGTAGATCGTCGCGGAGTAATGCACGCCGAGGACGTCGATGCACTTGACTTCGAAACCGGCTGCCTCGACTTGCTTGACAACCCAGCCGAGGGAGCACGAGGCGTCGGCACCTGGGAAGATATATTTGTTCATGAAGAGTCCCCAGATGAGGTCTTCGTATTGCCAGCATTGTCGGACTCCGGCGACTTGGAGGACGAAGGTACCTTGGTCGTCGAGCATTTCGTAGATTTGTTTGAGGAAGGTGCCGTAGCGCCGGATACCGACGTGCTAAAAACAAACATTAGATCTCTATTTTTATGTCACCTTTGTAAAGTAGATAAGTACTCACCTCAGCCATTTCGAGAGCAACGATCTTCGTAAAATGTTCGGGACCGGCCGGGATATCGCGGTAGTCGCAGCAGATGATACGAGCTTTGGAAGGGCTAATACCATTGTCCTTAATACGCTGAGTACCGAAAGCAGTCTGGTGCTTGCTAAGTGTTACACCAGTTGTATCACAACCAAAGTTCTTTGCAGCGAAAGTGACGAGGGTTCCCCAACCGCAACCAATGTCGAGAAGGCGGTCTTCCGGCTTGAGGTCGAGCTTGTTGCAGACGAGAGCGAGTTTGTTGTCCTGGAGTTCCTCAAGAGTTTCTTCCCGCGTTGGGTCCAAAATGACACCGGAGGTGTAAATCATCCTCGGACCAAGGAACCTAAGTCGGGCAATCAGTCGTCATATAATGATTATACTATCAAAGCTTCTAACCAGCTGTAAAAGTCATCACCGCCTACGTAACGCGTAGTAATGTAAACAAATTAGCCGAATTCAATGTAATTTAATTGAGGCTTTCCGAGAACTTACGATCGTAGTGGTCTCGAACTTGTTCTTCGTCCTGACTTTGCGTATGGAAGATGACATCCGGGACGAGTTTAGTAAAGACGTATTTGAAGAGGTCCGGAGTGAAGTTGAAGGATGCCCAGTCGTGACGCATTTCCATTATTTCTAAGACGTCGCCTAGAAGACAGACACGTCAGCAAAAATAAATGAAAAACGAAGCTGCAAAGAGAGAGAAATTACATAAAACAGACGTACCTTTGAAATCGAATTTGCCGTCAAAATAGGCATCGTGGAAGACCTGCATTGGGATTTTCTCCTTGCCGCCGTAGTACATTTTGAAGGAGAAGTCCTTGAAGTGGATATATTCCTCGACGTCTTTTCCTGGAAGTTGGGCCTTTTCATTTTTGCGTCGTCCATAGTTGCTCATGAGCGTCCAGTAGCCGACGACAATGGGAAGTGCAAAAAGGGCGACGAGGACCCAGTAAGTTGTCGCTCCGCCATATCTGACGAAGGGAATCCATTTCTTGAGGAAGTACGGTACACCGAGGACGAGTGCTGCGAGGTGTAAGTTGCTGAATTGGCCATTGCCCTCCGCAAGGCCGGCCAGCGGAGCGTTTTTGATTGCAGGACTATTTGTGACTTTTACGGACGACATGGTTGGTCGTAGCCGTTGCTGAGTGAAAATGAAGATGTGCTGTCGGGTCCAATTTTGTAGACCGTACGCGACGGCTCGCGACGCGCCCCAGAATTCGAAGTCCCTTTCTTTTCACGTGAGCGGTATTTGACACGTCTTTCTGACGCGGCGCTCCTCACTCGAAAAGAGAAGTTGCTACTACTGGCAGACGCTTAGGCAGCACTTGTCCCGATTTCAGCTCAACGGTCCGCAAGAAGTTGTTGCGGTTCTAGATATGGCCTCTCCTTACTCCTCTAATTCACGCTCACCTCCACCTCTGCAGCACCCAGTGCCAACCCATCCGGCTTTTATACCAGAACCACCGTCAACTCCAAATTCTCCTGGAGGCTACATGCGCTTCAGTGGTTCTCCGTCCAACCAGGCCGTGCCTCCAGCAAATTACTATGGACACGGCCAGCATGCCCAGCCTACTCGCCCGAATCAGCCACAACCTCATGGAACTGCATATGCGTCTTCTCAGTTCCAGGCTTACCCGCAAGGCCATGGTCCTCCTCCTCCCCCACACCAGCAGCCTTTACCACAGGGTATTGACTTCACCCAGTGGGGTGTCAACCCAGCGACAGCTCAACTCGGGATGCAGCTTGGCCAGAGTGCAGTAGCAGCTGGACAGGAGTACGTCCAGAAGAACGTTAGTTCATTAATTTTGATTATCTGCAACTGTACAACATATCTCATTGTATTCAATTTGGTAATTTTAAGTTTGGTTCACATATACCAGTGTCACTCCTGAAGCACCATTTCAACGTCTCAAATTCGTATGTCATACGTAAACTGCAGCTTGTCCTCTTTCCTTGGCGGCATAAACGATGGACGAGAGCGAATAGACCGACTGAGCAGGGACAGGCTCAATGGCTGCCGCCTAGAGATGACATTAATAGTCCAGACTTGTACATTCCTGGTTTGTATAGATTTTCTTACATGGCGGGTCTTCGTCTAACGACATGTTTTAGTAATGGCATTTGTGACATATATTCTTCTCGCTGCCCTATACTCCGGCATACAAGCTAAATTTCATCCCGAGATTCTTGGTCGGGTAGCAACGCGAGCGCTCGTTGTAGTACTTGTGGAGTTTGGCTTCATTAAGCTTGGATGCTACTTGCTGAATATCTCTGGTTCGAGCCAAGTAACGGACCTCTTTGCGTACAGTGGATACAAGTTTGTTGGGTAAGCTCTGTTGTTTCATGCGTTGTGATCATGACTTGACGAAGAACCCCTTCAACAGCGTGGTAACAACCGTTCTGTTCGCTTTCCCAAGCGCCAGCAAAACAGTATACTTAGCCGCATTCATCTATTCCTTCAGCGCGAACGGGTTCTTTTTGGTACGTCCTCTCTTAACAACCTTTTCCTAAACAAGTTCTCTTACTAACGTTCACTCGAATTCGTTCTGGTTCATAAAATAGCTTCGTGCACTAAAATACGTCGTCCTACCTGATCCGAGAGATACTTCGCAGCACGTTGGGACACTGTCACCTGGCCAGCGAAGCAGACGCATTTGGTTCTTATTTGCGATTGCATTATCACAGTTTTTGTATATGGGTATACTTGTGCGGATTTAGAGACCGCGTGCTGTTCGCACCGTAGACTTAATGATTTGACGTTACTTTGTTTGAAACTCTGATGCGTTTGGATTGATGATGCAAGAAAGAGAGAAAGCACATGGACATTGATGAAAGTAGGTTACACTTACAGTAGACAGGCAAGGGGTGGCTAGTTGATGCTAGATGATCAGATACATGTTGAATGTTTGGTATGGAGGCTTATGAGGGTGTCGATCGTGTCCACGCAAAAGAAGCCACATGTCCATCAATGAAAATAATATGCAGTAGACAAGCAAGGGGCGACATGGTTGATGTCAGATGATCAGACACATGTTAAATAGTTGGCAAGAACGCGTATATTTTTTCGATGAGGGTGTCGATAGTGTCCATGCGAAAGAAAGCACATGTTCATCAGGAAGTAGTGCACAACAAACAAGCAAGGGCGACTAGTTGATGCTGGATGATCAGTCATACATTGGATATCCGGCAAAAGTGCTTATAATCTTTCGACGAGGGTGTCGATCGTGTCCATGCAAAAGAAAGCACATGTTCATTGATGCAAGTGATACATTTTAGACAAGGGGCGACCAAGTTGACGCTGGATGATCAGATACGTTAAGTATCTGGATCTGGCAGAGCACTTATAATTTTTCAATGAGGGTGTCGATCGTGTTCATGTTAGCTTTGAGTTCCGACCACTATGAATAAGCAGAAAAACAAGTAGTAAGATACTGTACAAGAAGGTCCTTCAAACGTGCTAAATTCATACCTGTTCCTTCGTTAATGAGATGCCCTTCTTGCCGGGCTTGAGGTCGTCTTCGTCTCCGAAGAATTCCCGGATATCGATGTATGGAACGCCTTAGCAGCAAAATACAAGACAAATTGTTGTTGTGTATTGAGGATGATGGGAAATAACCACTCACCCTTGAAGCTACGAACAGTAGCTCGTCTTCTCTTCCCTAGGTCAATATATTTCTCTCCCTCTGAGTTCGTGAACACTATTGCATCAAGTTAATGATAGCTTAAATATAAGCATGGTTGAGCTGTATTACCATTCTACCAAGAAAGTCAGCCATATTGCCTTTAGTACGGACAGCTGAGATACTCACCTTGCCAAGGTCGCCCTTCTTGCCGCCGGAAGTGGTCGGAGACGATCCTTTTGTCGACTTTTTAGATTTTTCTACCTTCTTCTCCGTCTTTTTCTGCACAAGAAATTCTCTGTAAGCGTGTTCTCTAGCGCGTTCGACGCGTCTCAGTTCTTACCTCCGTTGACTTCTTAGCTTTCTTCGGCGGAGGTGCGGCTACCTCGCTCGCAGTGTCTTGAGCAGATGACTCGTCTTCCTCAGAGTTTACGCGCTTAGGCATGGTGAGTCAACTGCTCGATGATTAGATGGAAGTGAACGATTGAGTCAAGGGATGGTGCTGCGCGAGAGTGAATCAGTGATTGGGCTACATGACGCGCCTGTGGCAACTGAATAGCCGTGGGAAAGCCGGCTGCTAAATTCGCTAACTCTGACATGCAGGGTGACGAGGCCCTTCGCACAACGCCGCAGGTCTTCAAAACTCTTGCTCTGACTTGAGAGTCTCTCGCTCACCTGGACGTTGTTGCACGCTTAGCGCGTCGACGGCTGGGAAGATGAAGATCTCCCACAAGCCAAAGAAATTCCTAGCTCCAGTATGTATCTTGCTCTCTGTTGTGCTTTTCTTGCGTTACCGAAGTGCCCGTTCCCGTGCTGAGTGATCCTTGCCCGACAGCATCCACAAGTTGCTGCTCTTATAGCAGACATACTCGCCACTCCTACAAATGGTCTATCGGAATTGCTGGCGCCGATTGATGCCTGGAAATGGCCACGCTCCGACCTGAATGCATGGATTAAAGTCCTTAACAAATTTGACGCGGTTCTTGAAGATGTCATCCGTGAATACGATATTGACGGCTTACAAGTAAAACCGTTCACTCGGGAAACGAAGGAAATTATCTGCGAAGTCTTGAAGTTTGAACGGCTATTGCTCGAAAACTCTACGAATAGGAAGATGTTCAACTCCTATGATGTATGTTGTTGCTATATGCTCTTCTCTTTTCCGTCCGTATGCATATGACTTAACGAACTTGCTTATTGTAGCGTCTAAACAGTTTACTGTTTTCTTCAGACCTTGACGTTTTAGTTGCAACGCTCCTTCTCCTGCTACGCCCTTCGCAACAATACTCGTCCCAACCCGCGTTGTCACACTCCTTACATATCTCGACATCGCGTCTTGAGTCCCTCGCAAAAACCTCGCCAATGCTTCGGGAACATGCAATTGAGATGATTGATCTTGTTAGCACGAAGGGAGGGAAACGGTTACGAGACTTGCCGCAGGAGGCGAGTGAGGTGAACTTCACGTTCTACAGTAGGGATGCATCTTCATCAGAAAAGCCGAAGGAGAGTGAAGATAGCGGCATCTTTGAGTCATCAAGCCGACCCCAGCCAGCTGCGCAATCATCTGCGCCACACACTGTCCACCTGGGGCCTCTGGCTCAGTCCTCCAGGTCTGCTATAGAGATATTTGCAGATGCTGTCAAGTCACACCAAGTACCCGATAGCGAGAGGTACGAATTACTTTGTCGGGTACGATTTGCACAGGCCCTTGGGGCAGGCCGTGAAGAAATTAGGCAGAAGCTTGTGATTGCACGCCTATTGGCGATAGCAGTATATGCCCACACGCATTCTGAGACTCAAGCGCAGTCGTCGTTATTCTTGTATGATACTGACTTGGTAAACCGAATTGCCGAGCTACTTCAACAAGATCATGAAGTTCCCGTCATGGTGCAGATGGCTGCCTTGTCTGCACTTGATGCCCTTGCGAGGTATCGACAAAGGGTCTCTGAGGTATTGGGTGCTGTCAACGCGGGCGTGAACCATGGCATTTTGATGTCGCTGTTCCGTAAAACTGTGGCTGATATCTCAAACATTGAGTCTACGTTGCCAAACCTCTTCGTGGATGCACTAGTGTCTTTTATCACGTTCATTGCATCCCATGCTGGCGGAGGAAACCTAGTCGTTGGTGCTGGACTGGTACCTATCCTTATCCAGATAATCGGCATCACACACGAGCAACGGCTGCCGATTGTATCGAAGTCTATGCAGCTTGTTGACAACGTGCTATATGGTGTCATGAATGCTTTCACACTGTTCTGCAACAGTCGAGGTGTTGAGGTTCTGACTGAACGAATTAAAGTAAATATGTTTTAGGTTCTGCATGATTATACCTAACTTTGTTCCTCTTAGTACGAAGTTGATCTTGCTGTTGAGGCATACGGGTTCCATGAGTTTGCATACAGTGCGTCGACTCCTCACAGTAAGCTTACTTAGGTTCTCTTAATTAGCTTCGTGAGGCTCACGTCATCAAAGGCTTAGGCTTAATGCACACTACCAGAGCGGGTGTACTAAAGCACCTGCTGCGGTCGATCCATCGTATGATGCAAGCTTCGGGGACAACTGAAGGAATGCGAGGTCTGATCGACTCTTCGCTTCTCAAGTCTGTCCAGAATATTATTGAGTACCGAGGCGTATTTGGTCCTACCGTGTTACCGATCGGTATGCTTTGCTATGACTATGAATTAGTTGACTCTTTCTAACAGTATTTGTGCATAGCGATCAACGTTGTTGCAACCTTCGTTCATAATGAGCCGACGTCACTGACGGCAATTCAAGAAGCTAAACTGCCTGAGACGATTCTGAAGGCGTTCGAAGCTGGGATCGAACCATCCTTTGAGGTATGCAACTCAAAGCGTACTGTGTCCAAATTCGGTATTAATACTTTCGCATGATACCTAGGTTGTTCAATCCATTCCCAATGCCCTCGGTGCACTGTGCCTAAATCAAGCTGGGCAAGACCATCTTGCATTACATCCTTCCATCATTCCGGCGTTATTTTCGATATTCACGTCGGAAGCCCATCTCAAAGTTCTTCTTGAAAAGGAGAACGCTGTGTCCATCGGAAGTTCTATTGACGAGCTTGTTCGTCACCATCCATCATTAAGGCAAATCGTGTTCGATTCTTTAATCTCAACATTGAAGAAGATTGAAGTTATGGGCACGAATTATGTTCCACCTTGCGATATACAGCAATTTTACTCGCTAAGTCTCAGCACGGAACAGCTGCCTTCAGCGAGTGAAGATGTTGTCATGGAGGATGCTCAGGTTGTGCCTCCTCCTTCCGACGGGGCTGCATCAGCGGCACCAAATGAAAATGGGCCTGATCAAGGCGATGAATCTCAGACCAAGTCGCACGACAACGTTATCATCAACTATATTGATGTTATTGGAAGGGTATGGCTCTGTCCGTATTGAAATTAAAGGTGCTGTACTCACGACCATAAACTTCCAGTTTCTAGAAGGACTGTTCCAGCACCCATCGCACTGCAGGGACTTCATTCTAGCTACCGAAGGACTCGCTTGTATTGCTCGTTTGTTGGCTTTGCCTTGTTTGCCATATGACTACGCGAACGCGGTACATTCGGATTCTCTTGTCCAAGTTATTCGCACAATGGTGGAGGTCGCTCCAGCGGATACCCTCACGCACCTGGCGCAGCAGGTGAGCGAGTCGTTGAATGAGACTAAGGGCTTCTGGCAATCCACGAATGGAGAGTCGAAATTGTTGCCTTATGTTGAGATGGAAGGTACGTCAACTAAACAAACCTATAGAAAGTTATTTTTAACAAAATACAGATGAAGAAGAGTTCTCAAGGGCTAATGCCTTCTTCCACAAGTTGATCACTCTGCATGTCCGCATAACTCTGCTTTCGGATGTTTATTCAACGGCTGGGTATACACATGGTAGACACGCCGTCGGGCTACTGCAGAACACGACTGTAGATATCATTCCGGACTTGGGTGCACTTCATCGGTCTTGTATCTGGGAAAACATTGTCCTTAAGAATGGGTTAGCTGCTAAGGGCATTGCTTCGAGTATCACTCCGTCGTCGTCTACCGAAGATGCTGCGTCGACATCGCCTGCTGCTACCAGTACGACGCAACCTGATGGTCAACCACCTGCTGAATCGCCTTCAAAGGATGGCCAGAAGAAGACAGAGGGCCCTAAGGATCGGAACGCTGTGGCTTTGAAGCATATCGCGAGTCAGATTCCGAATGCCCTAGGACCGTTCTTCCAGGGTAAGATTGTTATGAAGACTACCATCCGTATGCACTTCTCTTATACCGCCTCCCTTTTAGCCGTGGCGAAGATGCTTCTGTATAATAGGCGTAATCCTGACGAAGCACAGAAGAAGCAGGCTGCTTCTATATCGGCGACATTGGCGGATGTCATGTACAAGCATTTGACCGAGGTTACGGACGGTGAGATTAGCTTTCCTTCTGTTGAGAAGATTCGTATTTATGTTTGGCTTATTCTGAAAGGCAACCCGACTTTCTTGTATGGGTACCATACAGTTATGATCGGCTTGATCACATTCCTCCTTTTCGATGGCAAGTGTTATTTGTGGCGGAAATGATACGGGCCATTAACATACTTTATTTCACAGAACGAGCCTCGCAGACGAACTACCATGCTGTGTTACTCCTTCAATTCCGAAAGGTCGGAGGTCTGGACGCTGTCTTGGATACATGCCGTCGCTATACATCTGCCATTTCTCGCATCTCCGAGATTAGAGCCGCAGACCGAAGTGAAAGTGATCAACAAGAGCTTGTGCACGTCTTTGGAGGGTTGAAGATGGCCCTTCATTTGCTCTACCTTATGATCTCGTTCAAACCTGCCATCGATCCCGGTCAAATTGCTCAATATATCTCAAAGGACAAGCCCGAGAACCACCCGGATTTCTACGAACCACATGACTTCCTTGTCAAAATGAGGTTGCAGATAGCACCATTGATCCGTGATATTTGGCAGTCGACATGGCTTGTTTCTGCACCTCCAGCTGTCAGCAAATATGTTATTCAGTGTGTTCAAGAAATAACTTCGGGAGAGAACGAAGTAGCAAGGCCAGATTTCGGTTCGGAAATTTTACCGAGTTCAGGCCAAGGTCTTCTCCGACCGTCTCAACCGCCAGATGAAGATCGTATTCGACAGTTGACGGACATGGGCTTCCCGAGAGCTGCGGCTGTTAGAGCACTGTCCAGGACAAATAACAACGTCAATTTCGCGACGGAGTATCTGTTGACTCATCCATTCGAGCCTGTTCCGGAGGAACCACCCGCTGCAGTGCCTCCTGCGGCTGAAACAACGGCGCAAGAGCCTGCGACGGACGAGGCCCCTGCGGATGTTGCTATGGAAACTGAACCAGTTCCTGAAGAACAGCCTGTGCAAGAGACTGCTATTGAAGAGGATTACGAGTCCCAAAAGACGGTCGAGGAGAGACGACAGGACTTGGATGAGATCAGGAAGTCCCTCATATCAGATATAGGTCCACAAGCGCTTAGACTTGCAGACGCTCATCCTTCGTTGATTTTCGACGTCAGACACGTTTTCATTGGGCCGAATGACAAGTACCAGCCAGAAGCTATCCGTTGTGTTGTACAAGACATCGAAAAGTTCTCCCCCGCTGCGTACGATGTGCAGGAGGAACCTCTTGCTGTTAGGTGCCGACTATTGGCTCTTATACTTGCCGATTCACCGAAAGCTGCACTCGAGATATCGGGTAAGGAGGAAAAGAACTTGATGGATATGCTTTACGCTCTGCTTCTATCGCAGCCTATTGCTCACGACAAGGATCAGGCATTGCCGAAGTGGCTACCCGCACTTCTCCTCGCGATGGAGTCGCTCTTGGTCACCGCGGAAGAGCCTCGAGCCGTTCCTATGGTTCTCGCTGATCAGCCAGTCGTTATTCCTCCTCTGGTTGTTGGTCCTCCTTACGTGGAGGCACGTTCCATGCTCTTTGAGTTGTGTATACGATTACTCCACATCCCGAGTCTTCCGCGAGATGAGCTACTCGCTACACTACGGATGCTCGTGCAGCTTACCCGAGATCGTAATATGGCTGACCAGTTTGTGCGTCGGAATGGGGTATCTTTACTCCTCCAGCGCTTGAAAGGACCTGCCGGCGATGCGTCAGTCGCAGGCTTCCAGTCCCACATTGCAATCATCTTGCGGCATCTCGTTGAAGATAGATTGGTGTTGGAGACGGTCATGAAACAGGAGATCAAACGCTGGTTGTCAACTTCGCGTTCCAAGACTGTTGAAGTTCTCACATATGTCCGCAATTCCACATCGATGGCGGCTCGCGATCCTCAAGTGTTCCTAGACATTACGAAAGAGCTATGCACTCTGGTACGGCCGGACGTCCCCAACCATCAGATTACGTTGAAGGCAAGTGTCGCTGAGGCCCCGCCTGACTCCGCTGCTACGGAGAAACCTCCGACGGAAGATTCTACTTCGATGCAGGTTGATAGTCCAAAGTCAAGCGCACCTCCGGTATCCTCTGAAGCATTGGAATCTGTCGTTCATTTCATGCTTGGCGAGCTGATGAGAGTAGGCAAGCTTGCTTCCGAAGGTATAGCAGCCGAAACTTCAAAGGATCGCGCATCTGTGACTTCACCAACCGCTGTCACTGCACAATCTACATCTTCCGAGGTGAAGGACACATCAACGTCTACGACCGAACAGACAGCGTCATCGTCACAGAAAACGGATGAAGCACAAAAGACACAGGACGCTCACTTCTATGCGTGTTTCTTGATGCAGAGCCTGTCTGAGCTTCTATTCTCGTACGAACAGTGCAAGTTCGCGTTCCTGACGTATCCGAAAAAGAAAAACCAAACTCCTGCGAAGGATGCGTTCTCGCGCTCGAAGTCGTCTGCGTTGAGTTTCCTCCTAACAGAACTGCTGTCGTTTGGTCCCTTCAATGTGGACCCGAAGTTTGATTCAAAGAAACGAGTAATCTTATGCAATTGGGCGATGTCCGTTATCGTAGCCCTGTGCGTTGACAGTTCTGCTTCTCATGAGACACAAGAGAATGCGCCAGACGTGACTTCGATTCGAAAACTTGTCTTGGAGTCTATAAGCAGATCTTTCAAGGATATCCTTGCAACTGAGCCTATGGACGTACGATATGGGCGAATCCTTGCGATGGCGGATCTTTGTCATAGACTTTTGTCGGTCCGGTTTGGCACGGGCTCAACAAGGTCGACGGAAGAAACTCCGATGCACTTGGCAAAGATTATGCTTGAGAAGAACTTTGTCTCTACGCTAACGACTGTCCTCGCAGAAGTCGACTTGAACTACCCGAATATGCGCAGTCTCGTGGCAGCTATTCTCCGGCCTCTCGAATACTTGTATGTATGTCAAAGTATACATAATTACACGTACTAACTTCATATTTTACAGAACGAAGGTGGCAATCAAGATGGGACGTTCGGACAAGAACAAAGAAGATTCTGACAAAAAGAGTCTGACCCAGAGTTCAGAGCCGTCGGATGACTCTGATGACTCTGGTGAAGACGACGACGACGTCATGGAGACAGAGGAAAGGGAGGAGACCCCTGATTTATATCGTAATTCTTCACTTGGAATGTAAGTTATCTTACTTCGCCATTCTTACGGTACAGCACTAATTGTTTATTTTTGCTAGGTATGCGGGAGTAAGCAAAGTGATATGTTATTTCTTCAATTGAGTTGACCTCATTTGTCCATCCAGGAAATGGAAGAACACTACGATGAGGGGGATGAGGACGAGATGGATGAGGATGAAGACGAGGAAGAGGATGATGTTGATGTTGACTATGATGAAGAGTCCGTCAGTGAGGATTCGTCTAATACAGAGCCTGAGGAAGGAGCAGAGGAGCATGCTATAATTGATGACTCCCCAGAGGGTTGGGTAGACATGGATGAGGAGATGGCAGAGGGCATGGATGATATGGATGAGGACGAAGACGAAGGTGATGAACTTGAGGAAGAAGAGGGTGCCGATGAGGAGATTATGTGGCAGGTAAGGACCTCTAGGCTATATTACTTTCACATTCCATTCAGCTTATTTGTTGAAAGCCTCCTGAAAACGCAATGGGCGATCCGGACAGTGGCTTAATGATCGAGGAAGCGGATGAAGACGACTTGGATGATGATGCGGGTATGGTTGATGGAGATGGTCAAGGCGGCGACGAGGACGACGAGGACGAAATGCTCTCCGCGACTGACGGGTAAGTGGAATAAGCATTATGATAAGTAAAATTTCTCAAGTGGTGCATTTACAGCCTGGTGGGCGAACTAGGAGAACTTGAACATACGGACGCGTTCGGCCAGTCAATAGATGATCCGTTAGGTCTAGGCCGTCCCACTATGCGAGTTGGCAGCCGTCTATTTTTTGGAGGGCCAGCCAGTGCCCAAGGGCGTGGTGAGTATATTCGTTCCATCGTTATCTGCATATAAGCATCTAACTGAATCTAGATCTAGACGCCGACGTACAAATCATCGGCCGGCCACGCTACACGGGAATTAGCGCTGAAGCAATGTCCCATCCTTTGCTAGTAGATTCCAGTAGTTCAGGCAACGTCGCGGGAGTACCAGCCCGGTCCGCGCAAAATAGACGAGCACGAGGTGGAGGTATTCTTCCGAGTAATCCCTACAGTGAGGTCATACAAACCATCGAAGAACTGGTCGGTGGCGGTGCGTTGCAGCTCGTGCAAGAACTGATGACCCGGAATGGCATCGGAGGTGCTCTTGGTGCCGATATTCGAGTTGAAGTGCCCCACGGAGCTGGCGGTCTTCTTGTCGACCGTACTCAGATGACCCGTCAAGGTGGCCGGACATCTATCTCAACGTCCGTCAGATTACGAGACCCTCGATCTGCTGACAGCCGCACAGACACTCCTGAATTTGGTCCGCTGCAGACCATCCAACGATGGTCGGAAGAGGCTAAGATAACACACGGAAAGCACCTACAAGAGCGAGTCCAGAGATTGTGCAACCATATCGTTCTTGCCTTACTACCTGACGCTCGTGAAGCGGCTAAGAAGGCAAAAGAGAAGGAAGAAAAAGAGAAGGCTGAGAGGGAGACAGCGGAAAAGGAAGCAGCAGAGAAAGCGGCGAAGGAGGCGGAAGAGAAAGCTGCAAAGGAGGCTGAAGAAAAAGCTGAGAAGGAGGCTGAAGAAAAGGCAGCAGCTGAAAAAGAGGCAGCGGAGAAGGCAGCGGCTGAACGTGAGGCTGCAGAGAGAGCGGCTGCATCATCTGATGTCGCATACGATGCCTTAACTTCTGAGGGTCGCACTGACGGTGAGCACCTCCCAGCAGATGAAGATACTGAAATGGTCGATGCCACAGCAGCTACCGAAAACGCCGCGCAAGAAGCCGAGGCTGTCGTCCAATCAGAACCTGAGGCGGGCCCTTCAGCAGCACCTGAGCGGGTGACCATTACAATCAATGGGAACGAGGTAGACATCACCGACACGGGCATCGATCCTACGTTTTTGGAAGCTCTTCCAGATGATATGCGGGAGGAAGTACTCAACCAGCATCTCCGAGAGCAACGACCCACTCAGGTCGCACCTCCAGTCGAGTCTCAAATCAGCGCGGACTTCCTTGACGCTTTGCCTCCAGAGATTCGTGCAGAAATATTACGTGAGGAGCGGCTAGAGAGGAGCAGGCGAGAACGCGAGCAGAATGGCGAAGAGCAGACTGCTGTTCCAGCGGGTGGTCCAACGGACATGGGCGCGGCCGACTTCATTGCAAGTCTTGATCCGCAACTGCGACAGGTTGTTCTCCTGGACTCAGACGACGGTATTTTACAGACGCTTCCGTCGCATATGGTCGCCGAAGCTGGCGTTTATCGTGAAACTGCGCATCTTCACCACCGTAACCCTCGACCAGCTGCTCCTGGTGATACTGCCACTTCTGTTACCCGCAAGGTCCCAACCCCACGTGATGCAATTCAACTGCTAGAACGACCAGGAATTGCAGCTCTGGTCAGACTTCTGTTCTTCCCTCAGTTATCCAAGAAGAGCACGCTCCACAAAGTTCTCCTTAATCTTTGTGAGAACTCCAAGTCTCGAACGGAGCTGTTCAACGTGCTTCTGAGTATCTTGCAAGATGGTACAGGTGATCTTGCCCTAGTCGACAAGAGCTTCTCCCAGTTAACCTTCCGTGGTGGGAAAGGTCCTGCTCATCCTACCTCGAAGAGTATAGGGAAACAAAAGGACCCGGGATTGTCTATCGCATCTCCTATCGTTCCCAGTGAAGTCCCTCCGGATCTCATCGCGCAACGCTGTCTAGATGCCCTCAATTACATCGTTGGCACCAACGAGCTTTCTTCTCTCTTTTTCCTGACAGAACACGAATTATCAGCAGGTTTGAAGAGAAGCATATCAAAGAAGGGTAAAGGGAAGGAAAAACAAGCAGCTCAATCACATTACCCTATCGTATTACTTTTAGGTCTCCTTGACCGCCAGACGCTGCTGAAGACGCCCAGCATAATGGATTCTGTTGCTGGACTGCTTGACTCGGTGACGCGCCCCCTGACGAGCTTGAAGGATGACCTAAAGAAGAAAGAGGACGCTGGAGAACGTCCATCCGCTCCTGCCGAATCAAGTGCACAGCAAGATACTTCCGGCACTGCACCTCCAACTACTGCAAATGAACCAAGTGGGTCAACTGGTAAGATTAATCCATTCGCACCTGCCTTTCCTGAGTTGAGTTTATCCTTCAGCAGAATCTTCGACTGCGCAACCGGCCGAAACTTCGGGAAATAAATCTTCATCCGTTGAGGCTGTGGAAGAAAAGATCCTTTTGGCTAACCCACCGCAGATCCCCCACCCTGCGCTCAGGTCTATCGTAAACATCCTTACAGTTGGAGAATGCTCCGGAAGGACGTTCCAACATACGTTAGCGCTCATTCAGCATCTTTCGTTCCTACCAGATGCTCGGGATATCATAGCCCAAGAATTGAGACTCAAAGCGAATGACTTTGGAGCCAATCTTTCGAAAGACTTGGATGAACTGATTACTGCATTGAGCAGCGGACAAACACAAGAAGACCTACCTCCGTCAATAGTTGCCAAATTCTCGCCAGCTTCCTCGGACCAGGCCAAATTCCTCCGTGTTCTGAAGACCATCGATTACATGTACTCGAAACCGGAGAACGCGTCGAGCCGCAATCCAGATCTATCTCAAGTTGACCGTATTCGTGAGATCTACGAGACGTTCCGATTCACTCTTCTTTGGGAGAAGCTTAGCGAGTGCTTGTCTGTCGTGGAGAGCAGGGACAATGTCGAGCATATTGCAACGATTCTATTGCCACTGATCGAGTCATTAATGGTCGTCTGCAAGCACGTAGGGGTGAAGAGTACGGTAGCACCAGCTGTTCCTGGTTCTCCGCGCTCGCCTTTGCCATCTGAGCAATCGGTTGATGACTTGTTTGTGTCATTCACTGACGATCATCGGAAGATTTTGAACATGATGGTACGAAATAACCCATCCCTCATGTCGGGCTCTTTCTCTCTACTTGTACAGAACCCTAGGGTTCTTGACTTCGACAACAAGCGGAATTACTTCAATCAGCAACTACACAAGCGTCCTTATCCTAGGGAGCATTACCCATCCCTCCAAGTCAACGTTCGTCGTTCGCGCGTCTTCGAGGACAGCTTCCATGCCTTCCAGCACAAGACTGGCGACCAGATTAAGTATGGCAAGCTCAGCGTACGATTCTATGCTGAGGAGGGTGTCGATGCAGGTGGTGTCACACGAGAATGGTTCCAAATTCTTGCTCGACAAATGTTCAACCCCAACTATGCTCTTTTCGAGCCGTGTGCGGCTGATAGACAAACGTATCAGCCGAACCGAGCCTCCGAGATCAACCCTGACCACTTGTCGTATTTCAAGTTCGTTGGCAGAGTTATTGGGAAAGCTATTTACGATGGTCGTCTCATGGATGCTCACTTCGCAAGGAGCCTGTATCGTATGCTCCTTGGTAAACGTGTCGACTACCGTGATGTGGAATGGGTTGACCCTGACTACTACAAGTCTCTCTGCTGGATTCTTGAGAACGATCCATCTATGCTGGACCTTAATTTCATTACTGAAGTCGACGAGGTTTGTATCTCTTTAACCCTTAGTTAGAATTCCGTGTATTGACGTCCGTTTTAGTTTGGCAGGCACGCTGTCATTCCGCTCAAGGAGAACGGCGCTTCAATTCCGGTGACCATGGAGAACAGGAAAGAATACGTGCAACTCGCTGCCCAATATCGACTACACTCGTCTATCGCGAAGCAGATTGAGAACTTACTTGCTGGCTTCTACGAAATTGTTCCGAAGGAGTTGATATCAATCGTATGTCTGGTCACATTATCATCTTGCGCATTGGTTACTAACGCGAGCATTTGTCTAGTTCAACGAGCAGGAAGTCGAGCTTCTCATTTCTGGAACGCCAGACATAGACGTTGATGAGTGGAGGGCAGCCACAGAGTACCATGGCTACTCCAGCTCTGATCCTGTCATCGTTTGGTGGTGGAGAGCACTGAAGTCGTTCAACCGGGACGAACGTGCCAAGGTGCTCAGCTTTGCGACTGGAACGACGCGTGTGCCCCTGGGAGGCTTCGGCGAATTGCAGGGTGTGCAAGGCGTACAACGCTTCTCCATTCACCGCGCATATGGGGAACCCGACCGTTTACCTCAAGCTCATACATGTACGTTTCTTAATCTGGTCCTCTAGCGTTATCCGTGTTATTAACTATAACCGTTTTTGTTTAGGCTTCAACCAAATTGACCTTCCTGAGTACTCGTCTTACGAAAGGCTACGACACCAGTTACTTCTAGCTATCAATGAAGGAGGAGAAGGTTTTGGTTTCGCTTAATTACTTAAATGCTTATGCATATGAAAGACGTTTCACGACGTTTTTAGTAATCATGGTAGTACCACTTGTTCATTGCATTGTATAGTATCATCTGCAATTTGTGTTGTCTTGTTCGTAGATATCAATGATTAAACTGTTCTTAGAGAAGTATATGAAGGCTACGCTGGGGACACAAGCATATGCAGAAGGGTGCGTTTAAACGGATTTAACTCAGCCGTCGTTTAACTTCGTGAATGAGATGAGCGACAATATTTCAATGTAATTGTTGTGGTCTCCGAGTCAGCCAAGTACAAACAATCAAGATAATTCAAACAAGGCACACTACCACGATGTGGATATCATTCATAGCACTGTAGTTACACCGAAAGGATACGTGACCCAAAATCCAATACAAGGTACCAAGAACTCGTGAAAAAGTCTACAAGACAAGGGTAATACAAAAGCAAAGCAAAGCAAGCAAGAAAAAGAATACAAACATAGTCCATGTGTACAAAAGAATGAATTGTATTTAATGAATGGCGTGTATAGGATATGGGTATGTCGAACCTACGAGTGTCTATCGAAAACGTGAAGAGAGCAGGAGGGTAAAGGAGTAGGATCTGCGGGTGGAGAGAATAATCATATACGATGCGGGCTCGTCACAACCCAACCGCGAAATCCAGGTATGGTCGAAGTTCCATAACGCCCGGTCGTACGTCAATCGACAAGAAAGGTACAATGTCTATATACAATATATTCTCTCTCTCTCTCTCTCTCTCTCTCTCTCTCTCTCTCTCGCAGATCACAATCACAAATCACAATCATAAATCACACAAGCTCAAGTCCACAAAAAAACACAAGCACAGCAACGAGTATAACCCATCCCCACTCCATGACCCTCGCACGCACGCTGCTATTGCTACTCATCGTCGAGGGGTTGGAGGATCCCCACATTTGGATGTTCCGGAAGTAGGTGTGTGTGTCGACGGGGGTGGCCCAGGAGGAGTCGTCTCCGCCGAAGAATGTCCTATTTGGATTTGGATATGTAAGTGGGATTGTTTGGATGAGAAGAGGGAGAGGGTAGGGATTTGGATTGGGTTGGATGTGTGTGGGAGGGAAGGGAGGGAGAGAGGTAATGAGCTGGCGTATAAATATTGTTACTTACGAGAAGAAGAAACCACCTGGGTTCACAGAGTTATCTTTGCGGAACTGTACGCCCTTTTGAGAGATGGCTAATATATCATTAAAGCTTGAGACAAAGGAAGAGAAACAGAGATATATCATTGTCAGATTAAGAGTGATCCGAATGCGGAAGAGATTGGATACTTACTATAATGCGACATATCCGTTCGAAACGCCTGGTGGGTCGTTCATCTGGACGAGGAGTGATACTCGAGACCATCTAACCAAAATATCGTATTAGTGTTGCTTTAAGGATTAGGCAAAGTACTAGTACGCACTGCCCAGCGGCAAAGCCAAACGCGCCTCTCTGGATGCTGACACCGAAATCATCGTTGCACTTGATGTCATCAGAGTCGCAGATACCATTCGTCTTGGGTATATAGGCGTAAACTATCGAATAATAAAACATCAGTATGCAACACGTCGAAATAAAATGACGTTAGGAACACGTACCTTCACCGGCACCATTCGCCCTCCACATTAGCCGTGAACTGAAGCAATCTGTACCATTAGGTTCCTTGCCTCCTTCACAACCATTGACACTCGGACCGCCTCTGATACCCGGTAACTTGCCACCTTTCACCCAGTCGAAACCCGAATCAAATGCGAGCTCGTAGGAAACGAGCATAGATTGGAAAGGTGTTGAGGAATTCCAGAGTGTAGAGAATTGCGCGCCGCCTGTTTTGTTGTTAAATGAGCCAGCTGGGTAGTCTACTCGCAGTACAGTGCCATTCGTGGAGTTGGAGTTAGGATTGGAGACTGGGACTTGGTTATTTGGAAAGGGGTCGTTGATGAATGCGAGGTCGCCTTCGCCGCTGCTTATGTGGCCTTTACTAAGAGACCAACCCGAGACGAGGAAATCACCTGCATTGCTAGGACTGAGAGTAGCTGAAGGGAAAGGTAGACTTGTAGAGGTGGAGAGAGAGAACTGAGCAGCGACGGAGGCGATTGGTGTCGTGCTCTGTGCGTAGACGTAGACGCGTGTGAAGGCTAGAGCGAGGGAAAGAGCGTGGAGGTACAGCGCGCTGCGCGCCCTCCTCGTCATAATGATTAGATATTGAAGTGAATAGCCAGCCGTGAGACCGGAAATTGTTCCTCCACTGATTGAATGAATCGGTAGAAAGAGGGAGAGTGAGGAGACTAGGATGGTCGAGAGGACATAGGACTGAGAGCCGTCGTTCTCGGCGCCGAGAAGAGTGGTGTCACTGGTGTGTGTCCTGAGTCCTCTCACTCGCTGTCAGTCCAGCTCACAACTGATCGTCGTGGCACACGCGCCCTAATAAGGCATGTTGATCGTGTCGATCACGGACTCAGAAAATATTCACTAGCTAGAGTCGAGTTAGTCATCGTGCTGCTCTCTCTCCTCTCGACGTCCATGGCTTTCTCGGGCGCACTCACTCTTACAGACCTAAACGACTTCATTACCCCATCTCAAGCGTGCATCAAACCAGTTCAACAATCGAATCCTCAGACTTCAAGGGACGAAGGTGCTGCTTCGGTGAATATATGCTTCCTCTTGTCTAGACTCTCGCAGTCGGCTAACAAAACGTACTCTTGTGACCTCGGATTAATAGACTCAGATTCGCATTGACTCTTCAGGCGCATATTATGAGGTGTCATCCACGGATGCTTCCGATTCCAAGACCTCTGCGCGCAAACTCGAGACCGCTCAGATAAGTCTCAATGACTGCTTAGCTTGCAGGTCAGTCCACTTTCGCACTTTTCATCAAAACCACGAGTTTGGTTCTAGTCTTAGTCGTTCCGTACTCATCGCACAAATTAACTCAACATCTCAATATGCAGTGGCTGTATAACGTCCGCAGAATCAGTGCTAATCACGATGCAGTCGCACGAGGAGGTCCTGAACGTCCTCGCGTCCAACCCTTCGCCAATTTGTGTGGATCACAAGACCCCCGTGCTTTCTATCTCTCCCCAATCGCTCGCGTCCCTCGCCGCCACCATCTCGTCTACCTCTACAAATACAGTCGCCCTCGCGCATGTCTTCCACCGGGTCGCGGCCTTCGCGCGGGAGCTTGGCTTCGAACACGTATACGATACCACCTTCGCACGGCATCTTGCGCTTCTCGAGCATGCACACGAGTTTCACGAGCGCAAGCACGGGACTACCAATGGGATAGACGGGGAAGATGCCGCAGGGAAACTACCCATGCTGGCGAGCGCGTGCCCCGGGTGGGTGTGCTATGCGGAAAAAACACACGCCGAAATGTTGCCGTTTATCAGTCGGACGAAAAGTCCGCAGCAGGTGATGGGCACCCTCGTCAAGAATTGGCTTAGTGAGAAGTGGGGCAAGAAGTGAGTGGTTTCTTCTCTATCCCTGCTTCCTGTTTCCGGACGTGCTCTCGTCATCCCGCACTCCCGATTGGTTGGGCGCCACCTCATCCCGTACCTCATCCCATCTATCCCCTACCCTCTTTTCTAACTCCACACTTCTCCATGTTCTTGTCCTGCACACTTCTCGTTCTCCTGTCGATCTCGTGCTGATCTTCGCTCCTACTCTTCTCCCTATCTTTATCCTATCTTCGTCCTATCCCTCTCTTCTCATTCTCCTTACCAAATAGGCCAAATCAGATCTATCACGTTACCGTCATGCCCTGCTACGACAAGAAGCTCGAAGCCTCGCGCCAGGACTTCTATAACGATTTATATTCGACGCGTGATGTTGACTGCGTGATCACGACGGGAGAACTCCAGCGAATGATGCGCGAACGCAATTGGGCTTGGGATTTATTGAAACCCGTGCCAGGCCCTTCTGAAACGGGAATTGAAGTTGAAACGTCTCTGCTATCTAAATCTAAAGCCGAAGAAGACGAAGAAGATACTATACCGATACCGAAACAAAAATCCGAGGGTCCTTCTTACTCATTAACGTTACCGTCCCTGCTTCTACATCCAGGCTCTAGCTCAGGTTCATATTTACACTCCTTACTCAGCACTATACAAGACACCGCACATCTCAGTGGTCAGGCGGAACCCAAGCTCACTATACGCCAAGTACGCGGAGCGGATTTCGAAGAATATCTGCTCCGCGCACCTGATACAGGCAAAATTGTATTCAAGGGTGCGAGGTGTTATGGATTCCGAAACTTGCAGAATGTCGTGCGCCGTGTGGGACGTGCGGCGGGTGTACAAGTTGGGAGAGGTGCGGCGGGGAGACTTGCCAACGTACGCGCGAAAACTCGGATAAAGCGACGAACAGCCAATAATTCCAACGGCGCAATCGAAGGAGATAATTTAGAGGAGGAAGAAGACCGTCCATACGACTACGTCGAAGTCATGGCATGTCCAGGAGGTTGCGTGAACGGCGGTGGTCAGCTCCCTCCCCTCCCAATCCCAAATTCCGAGACCGAAGGAGCAGCGAACGGCGGCGAGACAGAACGATGGGGTACACGAGCATGGACACGCCGCGTCGAAGAAGCATACTGGACAAACGACTTGCCTACTCCTCCTCCCTCTCCTCCACCGCTCAACAAAGTAGCCACTCTGCACGAACCAGAAAAGAAAACGCTCTCGACGCGCCTCGAAGCAACAGACGAACTCGCTCTCCGCGTCCTCTCCGACCTCTGTAACCCCTCCCAACCTTTAAAATTGACATCCTGGTCCCAAACGATGGACCCCACCGCCGAGTCCCTTCGCCGCACTTACTTCCGTACCTCCTACCACGCAGTCGTCAGTGAAGTCTCCGGGATCCAAGTCCAGTGGTAACAAACAAATAAACAAAAAAACCACCGAAAAAGACAATTGCCTTTCATTTTTCAGATAATATTGAAATTGCATTGGTTGGATATATTGTAACGTAACGACTATTACAAGTTATACAGACAAATATGGCGCACAATGTACTCACTACACACACGCATGCATACAATCAGACTTAAATCATAAATTATAGTCAAACACACTTACCTAGACTTCATTTCGGGATACTAACAACTGAAACAGCCTTTACGGAACTCTCGTAACTCAAGAAGATTAAACAACCACAGCAAAGTTATTCCAAGTTCATGTAATTAATTATTAGTCATTAATTATTACTATTCACTACCTTACACCCACAAGTCAATACAAAAAACAACACTTAATTAAATTATTAAAATAATAGAACTAAAACAGTTATAGTAGCAGTAGAGCTAACTAAAGCACTGAGATCGCAAACAGCAGCAGCAGGACTTAATCGAATCGGTCAAGATGGGCGATAGTAACAGTACGAGGAAAAGAGGTCGTGACAACACGCGCGAAACGGCGAGCAGGCAAAGGTGAGAGCACAAAAAACAATGGATGGATGGAAATATGTTATTCGATACAGTCGATCTGCAGGTATAGGTAGGTTGGGTCGTGCGTATTCAAGGAAAACGAGGAGCAGTCGTAGGTCAAAGAAGAGAAGGTTGAAAGGGAAGAAGAAGAAAATCAAGGGTAGATGATTGGATAATTGGCCGGCAAGGTCGAAATAGCAATGCGACGGCAAGAGTATACAAGAGTATGCAATGCTATGAAGATCGGTGGGTCGGATGCCGGAATGCATGGTAAATGAAATGATTCAAATGGAATGGAAGGTAGACGCAGTGTATGTGCGGCGCGCAAGACACGCACCGCAAGACACAAGCGTACGTAGGTAATCAAATATCAAAGGAGATTGGCCGAGTGAAACGGAAAAAGAAAAGTAAGCCATGATTGGATAGTAGTACAACATGAAATCAAAGAGGAAAGAAAAGAAAATATAAAAATACGGCGTGCATTACGTTAGGTTCGGGATATCGGAGCTCGGCAAAGGTTGCTTCCCGTTCGCTCGGCGATTACCTGTCTGTCGATCAGGAGGTGACAATGCGATGGAAACGGGAAGTCCGAGACTCAATCGAGAGAAAAGTGTGTGGAGCAAGAAGCGCGAAGCCTGGCGGAGCGGGAAGATGCGCATGCGGGGAAGGACGCTATTGCGGATACAATGCTGCATTGATTGGACTGGAGAGAAAAAATTGAAAAGTTGATGGGAGACAAGGAGAAAGCACGAGGATATCGGGAGGCACCGACGTCGAGTCGGCACGGGCGTATGTCGAAGACTGGTAGTACACATTAATATCGGCTTTGATTCGCAGGTTGCCTAGTTCAGATCCGTTCCATAAGCGGAGTGACGACCGAGGTGGGTTGTGGCTTATGTGGTCGCCAAGCACGTAGAATGACGCGACGATCAGTTACTCAGAGGTCGCAAAGGAGATGAGTTGACACAAAACGTGCCCCGCGTTCCGAATGCCGGATCCCGAGCCCTGAGCCCCGAGTGTTACGGAACTCGCATCGAATTCGAAATTCGGAAATTCGATAGATGACGAAAAGCAAAGTTGGAGCTGAGCGCGATAGGACGGGCGGGGCTTCGGGAATCCTGAGACACCGAAAGGGTGGGAGGACGCCTATTGGCGACGACCCTTGCTCTGGTACCAGTACGAGCAATGGTCGCAGTACTTGTCGCCGATGGTGAGCGTCACCCGTTCTTCGCGGTCAGGACCCATGAACTGCGAACAGTCAAGTCAGAATGTCGAAGGGACGAGCAGCGGAGAAATGAGGCTAACCTTCTCGCAGTAGCAGTCTGGGCATGGTCTGCGGTGCATAGCGCTATGAACGCAGCGTTTATTGCCACAGTCGATCTTGGAGACTTTGCGTGTCTGCAGACGGGGAGTTAGTGCATGGACGGGCGTTGAGACAAGGAGGAGAACGTACGATGACATAGTGCTGTGTTGCGCGCACGGACAGGATGACAGAGAATGAATAATGCAGATGAGTGGCAGGCTGGCGGGGAAGAGAGACAGAGACATACTCCGCATCCGAACTTTGTGCCTTCACTGTGGGGAAAGAGAGAACAGAGTATTAGCAGCGAGTTGTGGGTGCGCGTATATAGACAAGGATGGGGACTAGTACTGACGTGATGAGATTGCACATGGCGGGGTAGTGGATCGAGGGAGCTGAGTGTGGAGAAGAAAGCGGCTAAGAGCGAGGTAGTTGAGAAGAGAGAGCCGGAACGGTCGAGGGACTGGGAGATGAGGAATGAAGATTAAGGATGAGGGAGGCTTTATAGTAGAATGGGAATAAGACAAAGGTAGTAAGGGAAGGGAGAGAGGCAAGAGAAAGATGAGATGCGGCAGATGCGATGGCTCAGATCGCCTGCCCTTGCATTCAGACGCGTGCCGCCAATCGATTAACCCGCAGCGTTAGACACGTTACCTGCTGTGTGTCCCGTGCCCACTCCCATGTCTTCCTCATCCCCCACATCCCCCGTCTCACAAGCAGCTGCACCCACCACCCGCTCACGTACCCTCCTCTTTGTATCGTATCGTGACTCCACCGCCCGTTCTTCCCGCTCTCGAAGAAAGAACCCCTTCCTGCCCCAATCTGCTATCCCTTATACCGATTCAGACGGCAACGGCTTCCACGCAGACGATGAGCAATCACACCTCATCTCTCACTCAGACGACCCAACAGGTCACGTCGCACTCGACATAGACGTCCCCCCGAAATGGTCCGTCTTCTTTCATTTCCCACCTGTCACGCCTCATATTCTCGACGTTAACCTGACACTACCTGCCTCTTGTCCTTTCACTTTGCTCCCCGGCACGCAGGGTCGACATCTCCGACCAGGTTCATGACATCCTAGCCGCCACACAGCAAAAGAGTACGTGCTAACAACAACAAAAATGCATTTCTATATTTTTCCCGCAATTCCGCTCCGTCTTAATGCAAGATCCGGCCTCGCTAACACATTTCTCCTTTTCTTTGTTCCCGTCCGTTGATGATGACGCACGCCAATCCGTCGCCGCGTCTCTAGTCTCCATCCTCGAGCGCCTCCACGCTAAACATGTCCTTCCCGGATTTGCGGACCGGTCCGCTGAGGAGCGCGAGATTGAGGCAGTGACCACCGACATCACCAGAGTGCGTCAAACTACACTAACCCTGCCCAGTGCCCATGTGTTCTCGTTGACTCATTATTGTCTGTACTCCACCCCTTCTTCTTTCCTCCTTTCAGGACTTCCGTCGCTGCCAGTCCCTTGTCCAAAGCATCCCCGCGGCCACTGCATCTCAACAACGCCATGCCTTCCCACCCCGCTCTCAGGCGCAGTCCCGTCATGAGAAACTCGCAGCACAGAACGTGCAACGTGCCCTCGCTGCCAAGGTACAAGAATTGAGCGCTGCATTTCGCAAGAAACAGCGTGTTTACCTCGAAAGTATGCAATTTATTCTCGCTAATTTAATTTCTCGTGAATTTTTGGAATGTTGATTCTGATACACGTTGTTACAGCACTACAAGGCCATGCGATCAAGAATCAGGACCTGCTCGTCGCTTCGGGCGCCGTAACGCTCAAAGGTTCAGAGGGCATGTCTGATCTTGATGAAGACATGCGCGTCGCTGCACGAAACCAAACCTCTTCCTCACAACTGCAGCAGCAACAAATCGAAGCCGACGTAGATGTCGACCTCCAAGCCCGAGACCGCGAAATCACCGAAATTGCACGATCAATCAGCGCACTCGCCGAACTCTTCAAAGACCTATCCACACTCGTTATCGACCAAGGCACTCTCCTCGACTCAGTCGAGTACAACATCGAGCAAACGAGTGTGAACATGGCTGAAGCTGTTACGGAATTACGCGTCGCGGAGGGGTATCAGAAGAATACGGGGAGACGAAAGTGTATTTTCTTGTTATTGTTGATTATTTTTGGGCTTGTGCTAGTGTTGATATTTAAGCCGAGAAGACATGCTGCGTCTCCTCCCCCTCCTCCCTCTCCACCATCTACAGTGACTGCAGCACCGGCGGCAGCAGCAGGGAAAGAGGAAAGCACAATGGGAGGAGACCACCTTGGACTTCCACCTATACCAGTTGACGTCACCAACGTCAATCCAGAAGCGCTGGCCGCGAACTCGCAGAATCCGAGAATCCCGCGGAGACGCGTACGGAGAGGAAGCAGTTTAGATGATGATGATGATGATGACCGGAGTATCTATATTGGAGAGGACGACGCGAACGCGTATGGCTGGGACGTACGGATGCTTCTGCCCGTGCAGCGGAGACGAACTCAAACTCAGACGGGGCGGAATCGGAATCGGATACGACACATTGCATACGACGGTGGGTAATAGTTGGACCCATCATCGTCGTCATCAGCAGCAGTTCCGTCCGTTTCGTTTCGCTCCATTTCGATCGGTTTTGTGTTTACGTTTATCTCCGTGATACTATTTATTATGGTGTAGATTACTCCACTAATCCTATACAACATAATGCATACTCACTAAAGTGATTAAACTAACTAACTAACCGATTAGATCGTCCTCTACGAATCGATGAGAGTGTAAAGTGTAAAGAGTGCGAGACGAGGTAAGTACTCAAGTCACCACGGATGGTTTATTCACTTTACCGTGCATGACGGCATGCACCCATCACTCCGTTCACTTTCTCTACCTACAAATTCATCGGACGGGCCTTACATTGCGTCCGGGGGCAACTGAAGCTAAGCTTAGGTCTTAAGAATCCATTCCTTCTTACCTTTCAGCTTCTTACCCCTTCATCTGCATATGGCTTTCATCGTTCCTCTATATCTTTTTTACCCCTTCATACAAACTTGGCTTCTATTCCCTTATCCTTCTCCTTCGCCCCGTTTGAGAGGTTGAATCTCCGAGATCAATGATCTATTCGAATTCGCCGTCTCGTCATCACGCTGTCATCGATTGAGAATTTGAGATTCTTTGAGTGGGGTTCGCGGTGTAGTTTCCTTCCGCGTTCTGCGTTCTGCTGGACTTCTTGGGTTTGCTTCTGGTTCAGAAGTACAGACGAGTATGGTACTACGCAGTTAGTTGGACTCAATGTTATTGGCTTCTGCAAACTGTCATGAGTGGTATACTGGCATATGATAATCAGTACGAGATACGACGGAGTTACTTAGACTGATGCGGAACGAGGTACTAGCATATGAATTGTATATACCAGTCCCTTTTGTTATCTGATACAGTGGTAGTAAAGTACTACTAGTACTACGACCGAACTCGTCTCAAGAAAGACAAAGATAGAAGATACATAGACGAAGACAAAGACAAGGCTACAAACGTACAATAACAATACGAGGAACACTGTCAAATGTGCATTCATCCGCCCAAACACCTAAAAGCGTCCGAGGCTTTCTGCGGGCGGCGTCGGCGTTCTCAAACCAACTTCTACCTTCTACCACTACCACTAACAGATTAGGTCGTCCGGAAGCAAACCTGGTACCTCTGTACATACGTCATGGTACGCGTGTAGACGTGGAAGGCAAGAAAGGAAAGGAAGTTTAAGGAGGAGCTTGGTACGGCGATTCGCCCGTCGCTCCCTTGTACTCTCACACCTTCTGTTTTTCCTGTACAACTTCCTTTGCATGATGCTGCTGAGTGAGCTGGCTTGTAGGACGAGAGTTAAGGAACACCGAGTGCTTTGAATAGTGATGTGAGAAAGATCTGCAGGGCAAATCGTGCATGGGGATCGCGGATTTCTCCGTGCGATGCGTACGGGAATAGAATTGAATATCAATTCAAATTCTGAATTCACCATCGCTTGAACTCTTGCTGGCAGTACACTTGAAGCGATGTTCGTGCTAATACTGGAGGAAACGCATGTATCGTGTGAGTTAACTTTGGACGGAATTTTGTAATTCAACTTACATTCTTGGTAAATTCGAACCAACGATTATTCGTTGCATGTTGCCAGCGCTAGTACAGTACCAACGTTGGAACAGGAATCTGGCCACATCGTTTGTATTTCAGAAGTACCCCAGAACATTAATACCACCTCGTGCCAAGTCATGATGCGCTTGCATGCGTATACAGTAGCATTTATCGGTGATTGTGGCGGGTAGAAGGCAGTCCGTCCTTCATGGTATTGGTTCTTGGCAGTGAGACGTTCCCTCACAACGTGAAAGACTAGTATTCGGGAGAGGGCGAGTGCCGTTTGCGTCATGATATCGTACTGTTGCAAGGTCGAACTCAACTACGCGCCGAACATACCCGTATGTGGATGTGTCTGCGTGTCTGTGGCTGAATTGTACTTCTCAAGGCAAGAACCAATGCAGCGCCGCATCGTCTTCGAGCTTCGCAAATTCGTATTGATTCCTTTCCTTTCGAATTTGGAGCCCTTTGATCATGATTTAAGTGATAATCTCTTTCTTGATGAAGTTGATGAGATTCGTCTACGTCATTGGTCCGTCGTCTTGAGTTCCAAAAAAAAAAAGAAGGATGCGAGGATGTAATGAACAGTCAACTTTCTGGGAAGCGATGGTACGTGTCGATTTTAGTGCGTCCGCAACACTGGAAAATCCTCTTTTCATTTTCTCTGTTGTTCAGAGCCTCCGGTTACACTGGTTTAAATTGTTCCTGCAGATAACAGTTGAGTAAGCATCAATACCAGGGACTACCTCACCTTAAGGCTTGAGCATGTTTGTTCGGCTATCTCGGACACTGCATAATCCTTTCTTCCTCGAGAGGAACCTTGGCACCGTCGTCCCATTGAGCGTTTGTCCATCCACATGTTCTTCCTGCTCAGAAGTATCTCCTTCAATACCTTCTAACATGCTCGTCCAATGAGGTTCCGGGCACATGAACGACGGATTACGAACAGGGACGAGGAGAAAAAAATCCGGATCACACTCATTGGTCAATTACTCCAGGATAAAGGCGGATATGAACGGAGGAAGGCAGAAACGTGTAAATACCTAGGGGTAATTTGGGAGCACATATGCATGCCATGCTCCCTTCAAAGTGAGATGTTGTAGAGATGCTAGGTACTTACAAAAACATGCGTTCCGGAGAAAAAGCGCGGAACGGAACGACCCGAGAACATGCGATCGCACTTATCGAGATGAGAGATCATCAAATGCCACGCGTCGAAGCTCCGTGAAGCTCTCGGAATGACATAGAATGCTATACACCTGAAGACAAGCCTGAGTTCTTGAAGGAGTACGTCAATGTTCGGTTACAACAGAACCTTACGGAGCGTCTAAGTCCTTGAGGGAACGTCAGAAAGTATGAGACCACAGAACATTATCTAGATCAGAGAACACCAAAATGACATGCGTCAAAGCACTGTGCATCTGAAGGCAAGTCTGAGCTCCTGACGTGATACACCAATTTCGATAACGTTAGAATCTTACAGAGAGGCCTGGGTCCTTGAGGGCGTTCGAAAGGTTAGTACCGACATTTTACTGAGAACTTTGAGAGGAATCTTCAAAATTGCCATAGGTAGGCGACGATGTCTCTTGAATGGGTAACGTATCAGTAGACATATCAGCCCCAACAACGCACCACGCGTCAATCTTTCTTGCGAGAAAATGGGTTTCCCACCCAGGACGACCAAATGACATCAATACCAAGAATTAACTTCAGGGAGGAAGACCAGTGGTACTACTCGGACCGGAGTGGAACCTGTGAACCAATAAGATATCAGATAGATTCGGAACAGTTGCTTGAAAATATGGTCGGTCGAGCAAAAATAGTAAGTGGTGAGGAGCAAATCACTTTCAGATAGTGGAGCAACAAGTCTGACTGAAAAGAAAAGAAACCTTGGCGTTCCTTTCGTCTATGGCTTCAAGTCAAACATGTGATTCATGACAGGCACGTGACTGACGCGTCTGTCTTCACGCGTTTGATGGGATAGTCACAGATAGTCACGTAACAAGTCGTAACGGGCGTTACAGGCACAGAAAATTCAAAGGGTTGCAGGAGAATCTGATTGATTGTTGCATGGACCCTCATTTTAAAGAAAAGAATTATTACGCACGATGCGTTGAGCTGAGATTATACGGGTTGGTCGGTTGTAAATTGATGGTAGCTCTCACATATCGGCTTGGAATGTTGAGCCCTATGATGAGCTCGTTTCTTCGGCTCAGTAGCACAGGCAGACCGTGATGAACTGACAAACGGATATAGGTAACTATTCGACTGTCAATGAGTGGTGCTAGTGAAGTCAGGATGCGAGAAAATGGATAAACCTGTTGTTTTCATCCATCTGCCAAAACATGATATGTCTTCTTGAGCAACAGTTCCCAAGATGACAGCAATTGCAAACGTCCGGGTGAGAGGGCGCAGCAGTTTATGCGCCGCGCCGAGAATGAAATGAGTGGCTGTGCGTTGAAAATCATGATGGTGCTATCGGCATAGACCGAACTGCATTCACATCTCTGAAAACTAGATTTCTCTTCTGCCCCTCTCTTTCTCCTTCCCCCTTTTCTTGCCACTATGGCCTCCTCGGCCGCCAACAATCGCGGCTACCCGCACGATGGCTATTCGCCAGTATCACTTTCACATCCAAGCAGCAGTGAAGGTGTACACAGTGCACCATTGTCAGCGCAACCGTTTGGACGGACATCAGTCGACCACGGCGACAGCTCTCGAGGAGATTCCTTTTCTGTGCACTCTCGCGCACCCCTCGCATCTCGTGCAAACATGGAGCCTTTACCTACTATGCCAGGAATGCCTGTTCCGCACGACTATTCTCAAGCGACCGGTGCTACAAGGCCGCCGTTTTCCCCATCCACGACGGGCTTGACGCACCGCCCGAATAATTCAAGTATGGATTTCTTGTCTGGACTAAGGAAGGAAGCTGAAGGATTCGATTCGCGTAATGCAACGGAGGAGCACCTCCGTTTCGCCCAGGGTGATTTACCGGACAACAAAGTGAGTCGGGTCGTGTTGTCGAACCTGCGTACCCAAAGATAAACTCTGATCCTACGATCTCATAGTTTACTAGAATTTACAATTATCTCCTCAACGTTTCAATCGTAACGCGCTGGACGCTATTCATTATTCCGATCCTATCTCTCCTATGGATCCCCGGCATTGTCGGTCTCACTCGCTTTCCGGATGCGACGGTAACAGCGTTCCATTCTCGGAATCCAAGTGCACCTGGTCTTACTGATCGTCGTTGTAACAGATTTGGAACGTAAAGTTGGTCTTCTGGTCGATTTGGCTTTCGGTCGTCTGGGGAGGTGAGCGCATCCAGGTTGTATGCATATCTTGTGCTAAATATGTTACAAGGATGGTGGGCTTCTCTGGCCACTGCGTATGCAATTTACACTGGTTCTCAAAGTATTAGTGACTAATTAAACTGCTAGTCGTTTGCTCCCGCATGTCGCTCGGAATACGATTGGCCTAGTCGCCGTAGCTACGCGGAAGTATACCGATTGGGTTGGAGCTCTTACCAGGCAGGCACCGATCTTTCTACTTCTCCGGTGATAACTTATTTTCGCATGCTTTTGACCGGCTTGCAGATACGTGGCACTGTTTGGATGGACTCTAGCCGTGTGGATAACCTTCAATCCCATAATTGTGGGAAACCATGTCGGAAATGAGACAGAACAAGTCTCATTTATTGCGAATCTACTTTTCGCATTTTTTCTTTGCGCCAGTTTGCTCTTATTTGAAAAGTTATCAATCCAATGGATAGCCTCAAAGTTTCATGAAAGGTCGTATGCTGGTAAGTTTATCTGTTTGAGCCATAGATACTCTAGACATTATGTTGATTTGGCGAAATCATGTATAGAACGGATTACGGACCAAAAGCTAGCCGTAAAGATTCTTGTGACATTGTATCAGCATTCATCCGAGGTTCCTGGCCGGGCAGATACACTGAAAGACCGTGATGCTGCACAGAAGCCGCCGACGGCCGACCCGAGGAAGTTCTTCAAGTTGGCTCTGAAGGGAGTGCGATCCGCGGCGACTACGACGACAACTGCTCTGGGAAATGTTGCCTCTGAAATAGCGGGCAGGTACATTATTGAACGCACAGTGCCAAATACTTGCTGTACTAATTTTTTTCCCAGCTCGGTTTTACAGCCGAACTCTCCGCAGGCGATGGTACAGACGGCATTGAGATCTGCGAATAAAACGAGACTACTTGCACGTCGATTGTTCTATTCATTCCGACAGCCCGGTTCTGAATTTCTTGTTATAACCGACATTGCGCCGTTCTTCACTTCCTATGAGACAAGCCAGACCGCGTTTTCCCTGTTCGATAGGGATGGCAACGGAGACGCAACTCGGGAAGAAATTGAGATGGCTTGCCTGTACGTGTTTGCGTCTTATCCTTGGAGACGGCACCGACCTGATTTTCTGATGTGTAGTGATATTCACCGCGAACAATTGTCCATTGAGCATTCCATGCGCGACCTTGACTCAGCCGTCGGACGACTTGACAACATTTTCATGACGTTATACGTCTTCGCCGCTGCTCTAATAATCGGTGCGTTCTACATTCTACCTGATTAATACCAGCTTATCTGACTGAAGATTTTCTGCATAGTCGTCGTTCTGGACAGACAAGTTGTTTCGCTTTTGACCGGAGCAGGAGCATTTATTCTTGGCTTGAGCTGGTTGATCGGGAACTCGCTTCAAGAAGTCCTCTCCAGTATCATTTTCCTGTTTATCAAGCATCCATATGATGTTGGTGATCGTGTTGTGATCGCCAAAGATAAACCGGAGAGCTTCACGGTGAAAGAGATTAGACTGCTTAGCACGATCTTCTTGGATAGCAATAATTGCTTGGTCCAAGCACCGAATTCCGTCTTGACTACTCTCGTAAGCTTTTTTTACCAAAACGTAGTTATTAATGTCGATGACGGTGTGCTTTTGATTAGCTTATTCACAACATTAGAAGAAGCCCGCAGATGAGCGAGACTTTTGAGTTTGACGTTGGATACGACACTACGTTCGAACAGATTGAACAATTACGGGCAAAGATGTTTGCTTTCGTAAAGTCGGAGGCTCGCGATTTCTTGCCTAGCTTCGACGTTGTAGTCAAGGACTTCCCCGACCAAGCGAAGATGACCTTGAGTGCGGATATTAAGTACAAGTCGAATTGGCAACAGGGTGCAGTAAAAGGTGCTTATTCAGATGCCTTCCATGTAGTAATTTACACTGACGCTCTTGACTGCATTAGTTAAACGACGCAATAAATGGATGTGCGCTCTCAAAACGTCTCTGGCTGAATTGAAAATATTTGGTCCAGACGGCGATCCGAATAAAGAGGCGTCGCCCAAGCTGTACACGGAAGTCCCATGGTCTGAGGTTAAGAAGAGCGACGAAGAAGAGAAAAGGAAACGCGAATCTGCTAGCGGCAATCCAGTAAAATCGGAGTATGACCTTTCGGACAAGAATGCAGTAAATAGTGAGTCGGAGTTTTCATGACCCGAAAAGTTACTGATCATGTGTCGAAATTCTTCTAGTCAACGATGAGGATGTCTTCGGCGAGGCCGAACAGGTGTGTATAATGTGGTCCAATCACTGAAGGGCTAGCTAACGTAGTTTCCAGATGTACATGACGAATCCGAGGCGAGGGCTCACAGATAGCTCTTCGCAGAGCTCGTCTCGCGTAATGTCGAGAACCAGCTCGGCTGGACCACCACCAGGTCTAGGCCGTGGCGGAATTGGTCCACCCCCTCCCATGCCTTTACCCCGTCCTCCAGAAACGTACGAAATGACCTATGCGGGTGACCAGCATCGCGCACAGGGTGGTCCTCAAGTGTAATCTTAAGGCATGGTCTGCGCATCTATCTATCTATTACATACATAATCTCCACGGAGTTCGTGATATGGTTTATGGCATTTCATCTATCCATCTACATCTGCATCTTTTACAATTGCAATTTTTATACATCTTGTGTATTCAGCTGGCTGTACAAACAAAGCATCTACGGACTAGTAAGCAAATTGAAATAGATATGATTAGGGACTAGGGCTGGCCTAAATTTGCTATCGTGCAGGAAGACTAGAACAGTAAGGATGTTGCGTAGTTGAGGGAAGCTTAGGATGAGGGAAGTTGGCTCACTCAGCTTCTGGTCGAACTCTGACCTGATTTCTGAGATGGCCAATAGCGCTGGAAAGTAGCGTCTACTGAATTTCAATTTTTAGTGGTAGGACCGGAAAACTACAATGTTTTGCGTATTTTCTACTCTGATTTGGTATGGTACCTGCTGGGCTGCTTTCACGTTCACGTGAATTGAACAAATGGATCGTCACTTGCCATGACTCGGACTCTACACGGGCCGCCACTACTAACTGGACTCTGTGCCCCATCGGCATTAGCTTGCTTGCAGATTTAGCACACCAACTCTCATGCTCGAAATATCATCCGACGATAGCACACTCTGAATGCTTCGTGCTCTCCCTCGTACAGTCACCCTCCTCCGGCTTATGTCCACCTCTGCAACCGCATCTTCGTCTTCAGCAACCTCCGCACTCGCTCAGTTCACCTCATGTGAGCTCTCTGACGCGCTCATCAAGCTTGGTAGTCCGCATGGTGGACATATACCAGACCTCCGCCGTCAATCTGCGTGGAACGGCAGTGCAGATCAAAAGATTTGTGGACCGGCGTATACTGTGAGGATGGTCCGCACGAGCGAGGCGGACGCTCCGAAGCCTGCCCAACATTTCGTTGATACCGCAGAGAAAGGAGCTGTCATCGTCATCGAGGCACCCCCTTGTAAGTCTCATACACTTACAAACCTGTCCAACCAAATCTAACTGCTTCTCACGGTCTTCCTGTTTATATATGCATACATATATGTATTTGAAATGGATTATAATTTTCCTTCTTTCGTGGACTTGTTGGAATACGAAAAGTGACGAAGAACGCCGTCTGGGGAGGATTGATGACCGCTGGCGCCCAAACACGCGGAGCACTCGGCGTAGTCATCTCAGGGCGTTGTCGGTAAATACTGGAATCTATTCAACCTCTAGACTATCTCCAGCGCTAACCCCGCCGACTTTTTACAGTGACATAGCGGAACAGAACGCATTTCAATTTCCTGTATTCGCTCGTGGAACCTCAACTCTCGTGAGTTCTCGTCTTACTGTATTATTTTCTTCCAGTTCCTTTCGGTACATCGTAATTCGTAAGCCAACCTTACTTACTTAACTTCTCGTCGGATTAGGGTCAATCGCCTTTCACACGTCCTTCGGCCGTTCAAGTACCTCTGGTAATTGAAGCCGAGCCACAAGGCTGCGGATTCCCCGCAATCACCATTAATCCGGGTGACTTCATTCTAGCAGACGAAGACGGCGTAGTCTGCGTCCCGGCCGACTCGGTCCCCGTCGTCGTGCAAATTGCAGAGAAAGGTAGGGAGGCAGACGCGCGGTGTATGGAAGACATCAAAGCGGGTGTTGGTGTTCAAGTCAGTTTCAAGAAATACAGAGGGAAATAAATTTCTACACAATTCGAATTCAAGTTATGTTTTTACATGCATGTAGTTTTAAAATGTGTACTAGTGTTCTTTATCCTTCCACTTTGTCCATTCGGATTGCATTTTCAGGGATGAAGACAATATTCTTTGAGGTATATGAGAGGTATATGCGAAATTGGGTATGCGAATAAACGAAACGATCTAGTCCAGAAGTCGTAAACGAGTTGGGCATCGAGTTGTGTATATACGTCGTCAACGGGTCAATGCAACAAACAGTTTTAGGCGCGGTATAGGCGGCATGGTGGGTGAGCGTCTCGGCGTGCATTCAGTCTTGTGGAATTTTCCAAGCAAGACCCAGACGCTGTCGAGTCCAGAAGAACAGGACCTTCGCGAGAATGGCAGGATGCATAAGTTCGCTCGGGGCGCCAAGGAAATTGCATGCATGAAATAACACGCTGTTGATCTTCTCGTCCTATTCGGAGTGTAACCAACAATCAATACGGGTTGACCCCTTAAAATGGATCCGAGATACAGATTCAAATAAAACTCACGGTCAGAGAGAGTAACATCATGCTTGTTGACAGTTTGGCTGCTACGCACTCGTCGCTGAGTTTCTCACCCTTGACGGGTGTAGTGGTCGGGAAGAGATAGTCTAGATCGACAATAGATCCTGTTAGATTTGTGCCAATGCATGTTATTCAATATGAAACATACCTATAGGTTTTGTTCCCTCCCTGTATACATTCGACATAGTGCGTGAGTTCCACAATTCATGTAAGGAACACAAGACAATGTATTCTCACCATGCGATAGCAGTCTTCTGGGCTTGTTCCTTGAAGTATCGCGCGCCGAATCCAGCTGGGATCTTAGTTGAATTGATTACATCTCGCGACCGAAGAAGGCTATCCAGAGCAACCGCGCCCACGCATGCTTTAGAACACCCTTGTCTATTAAAAAATTATCAATTGAGAATGTATGAACGTATTGAAGAGGAGATAAAGCGCACCCGAACGTTGGATTAACCTGCATGACAGAGTCTCCGACAGCAACGAAGTTTGAAGGAACGTAAGCAGCTTTTTCATATCGAATCCACGATAATACCGCTGGTGGAGAGGGAGATTAGCCGCAGAAAGAGCTGGTGGGAAGATCACAAACGATATTTTGAAGTGACGAATTCTGCATGTTCTTTGAACTCCAGCAGCGCATCGATCAGAACTAACAGCCATTCAGGTAGCCTTTGGATAGGGTTAAAGTCCTCGAAGAAGTCTCTCAATTCATCCAATGTTGGAAGTGGCAGATCGCCCCACGTTCCGACCATGATTCTCACTAAAACAAAATTGGCATCAACTTGATTGAATGGAAGTTTGAAGGTCTTACTGCGGTGACCCTCGAGTCGATCCACGAAAACGCTCTTCCTGCCCTTTCCAAGAACAGGCGTAAAAGTGTACAGCCACTTGGCATTGTCATATCCACCCGGAATCGGAAGCTTCTTCCGTGCTTCGGGGGGTATGGGAAAGTAAAACGTTCGGGTCTGCTGGTTCGTGCAATACGAAATTCGTAGATCTGGATCGCTTAGAGCTAGACGGCCACCTTCGGTCTTGTCTGTTTCTGCACCGATACGCTTCAGCCACTTAAGACCCGCCTGAGTTGTCCCTGTGCAGTCTTATTCGATTGTTAGAATGTCAGTCAGAGCAGATGAACCAGACGGAGAATTCGAGAGCCGAAATGACTTACCAACGACAAGCGCTGCTGGTATAGTTTGTTCCGAATTATCGGGAAGGCGTACGGTAACGGAAGAAAGTGTGTTTGTGTCGCCCTGTACGGTATCCACGCTTTTTGCTGTCCCTACCATCCATCGGATACGTGGTGAGCACCTAACGACAAGTCGACGAAGCAACCGCTCGAAGGATTCACGGCTGAGGTAGAGATTTTGCAAGCAACTGCCATCAGCGCCTCTTGGTGGACGCATCAGTTTTGTGTCGAAAAGATGAGCACAATGGTCGGAGTTCCCAGTGCTAAGTTACAATAAGCACTCGTTAATCTTAACCAAAGCAATACCGAGGCGTACCGTCCATTCATCTTTCTGATTTCGTCATCTACTGAGGGATACAGCATCTTTAAGATAGCATAGATTATCGGTTGGAAGGCTAGATATGAAGTAGTGTTCAGTACATGATGCAGATATCACTCAGTAGTCGTACCATGAGTTGTGTTATACTGGAAGACGCGAGACCTTGGGTGTTGTTTATTACCCTTGATTGGCTCTCCTGTCGAATTGTACAATGGTGTACATCCTTCGAGAGTACCCAGCCAGGTTTCAGGATCCACGACGAGCACGTCTTCGAAATGGTCAGAAAGAACACGAGCAGACCACAATCCCGCGAAGCTAAATATAAGTCATTAACGGTGAGAAGAAACAGCAAGAACCTGCAGCATACCTCCCTCCACATACGACCGCGGTGCCCTTGATTCTCTTCTCATCGGGTCTGGGCCGGCCAAGATTAGGAAGGTCGTGCAGAATAGTAGTTCTTTTAGTAAGATATTGGCGAACAAGGTAGGCGGAACATCGCCAGAGGGTGACGATGGCGAAGATGTCCAAGATGAACAATACTCCGTGCTTGAGGAAAGACATTGGGAGAGGGATGAACGAGCGACAGAGTTTGAGTGCGATTTACATATGCTAGGACAGAATTACTCTGGTGCAAGCCTGCAAGGCCCAGGATATATGGACGAGCCTGATCTCGCATCTCCGATGTTCTTTGGAATTTCAAGCGTCGCGTAACTGAGCAGTTCTAGCGAGACAAAAAGAAGTGCCAATGCATGAACGTTCCCGGTTACTGGCGATTGTATGAGATCGTGAAGCTGATGCTGCCGTGACGCTTGGTTGCTCCGCGGGTTTCATCTTCCTCGGAGCACGTCGTGGAGTTCACTGGAAAGTATATCAAGCTCTATGTTTAGCTTCAGCAACTGTTTGGCATGGAAGCACCAACTGAGCTGGAAATAGAGTGAAGATTGACTCTAGTCGGACAGGAAAGAGCATTGCGAGCCTTTGGGCCATTTGTGGCATAAACAAGCACCCATGCTGGTATCGAAAGCCTGATAGAAATCTGCATGGCATGACATGATGCAGACCACCGACAAAGTAGGCACCGGAGGCAATTTGAAGATTCCCAGGGTCAGAGTAAGCTCTACAAATTACGTAAAGAGGCATTATATTTTCTTCGTAACAGGACGGCGAAAACTTGTATTCCACATTTTGGAAAAGCGGTCAACCGAACCAGGTCCGAAAAGCCCATACGTGTTGTCACCAGGAATCGGTGCGAAGCAAGATGTCCTTCACTGGTGAAAGCAGATCAAACACGTAATTGTAATATAAAACTTGAATGAATACAAAGTGTTAGTGAGTAACAGAAAGGGACATGCAATAGATCCGCCTTGGTGCTACAATACAACAATCATAAACAGGAGATCTTAGAAGCAAAGTATATTTAAATTAACGGAACCCTAATCAAATGGCGAGCACAAATTGTTGCGTTCATCATGGTGTGCCTTTACCTTTATCCGTGAATTTCCTCGCATTCCGCGCTTGAAGGACTGGTATGGTTGATACGGCGGCAGCCGACGCCTCCATAATTGCTCGCCTGCTTAGGCAAAAATCGATGTGCGCGTTGAGACCAGAGTTATCCGTCTCCAGCTCGCGTGAGCAGATCGGACACATCACTGCCTCATGTCTTTGACCTGGGCTTACAGTCGCAGGCGCATCACGACTTGAGGACGAGGGCTGAGCAGAAGCAGCTCGATTGGCGTCGGATGCATTCAGCCCCATCCCATGTGTTCTACTCTTTGAATTTTCTCTGTCTGGCAATGGCTGCTCGCTCTTACTCCGCTTCTGTTGAGGCGGCGGTGAATCAGGCCTACTCGGAGTGATCAGATGCGTGCTGCTCGGCTTCTTGGGTGACGGTTTCGTTTTTGGTTTGTCATTCCCTATCTTAACAACGCTTCCCGTAGCCCCAACTGGGCCCCTATATCGAAAAGATGGCATATGCTTACTGTCCTGCTCATCCTGCGCGGTAACTGGCAGTTCGGACTCCAATAGATGGTCATCTTCCTCTTCGAGTTCGTCTTCATCTTCGCCTGCTTCGCCGACAAGTTCTTCCTCCTCATTTTCTTCTTCATCCACAACAATGGGTTTGAAAATTGAGCCTTCCAGAAGTCTGTCAGTCGTACGATGTTTAGATGGGCTGTGCGAAGCCTCATTTGATATGTCCGTTTGTGGAGTTAACTTTCTCCTTTTTGACGGCGAACCTTCATCTCGCTCTGATCCAAAGTACTGATACGTGATAAATCCACCAACTTCACACATTCAGAAGGTGTTGTGACTTACTCGTTTTATCCCCTGATCTGTGGGGGCACGGAGGTCAATGAGATCGGTAACCCTCAAACCAAGGAGTCGAACTCGGAGCGGTAGGTATGGTTTTATTAGATCTTTCCCTATCTGAGGTATTGCAGGATAATCATAAGTTAAACTGCTCATTTTCTCAGTGGCACTCCGCATACGTTAAAAAGATCCTCTTTCTTTGAGATCCATCGCTCGAATGTTGCTCTACGAGTGTGAACTGAAGAGGAAACGAGATTGTCAGATACGACTATATGTATAAGTGAAATCGTTGTACCTCGAAACGTGTCAAGCTTGTACGTTAGAATGACGATCTTCCCAACCCAGCCCTCAGTCTCAAGGTCGCGTTCTAGAAGCGATGCTATATATTCCAGCTTTTGGAATATTGCCTCTTTCGTCTGTACTGCTCTGAATGTTCTGTAAAGAGGCAATTCAAGCTCCATTCTTCCTAGCGCTTAGAACCACCTATTGCCTTTCGCGTACCTTGAAACACCGACACTCTTGCGTTCTTCCCGCTGATACGGCTTTACCACGGTTGGCGCTAGCCCTAGATGAGTCTCAAAAAGAAAATCGACTGCGAACTTCCTAGGCATGAGCCATATGATTGCTCGAGCTGCTCGTATGTCCCCGCAGGTCTTCCAAGCAATTTATAAGGTTCAGCAAAGTAAGTTTTGTTCATCTGCCACACCTTAACACCGATTGCCTCCAATACTCTTTCGCCCACACGTCCTATTCCGGGAACCTTCCGAACAGGAAGATCTCGCATAAATTCCATGACTGCCTCACGCGTAAAGGGCATCTGAAATTGGCCGTTGGGTTTGTTCTAAAAATGCATAACGTGATCAGTATGTTCCCAGTAATAAAGTTAAGCTCGCAGTTATTACCCTGTCGGAACAGATCTTTGTGGAGCAGCTAACTCAGTGGAAGAAAAGTAAGGAACACAAAATTTCAAACCTTTGCTAGCATCTTCTTCAAATCAGAGAAGCTTGCAACAAGTATTCAGATATCTGACGAACCATATTCGGAGCGATGCCAGCACTCGCTGTCAAATTCGTTTCTTCACATATCTTAGAACGTAGCTCTTCAACGCATTCAGCCGCGGAAAGCTTATGGTCCTCCAGATGCTTCGTGATACTGTAAAGCACGGATGAGATCAAATAACGAAGACAGAATTAGGGTATATGCACTTTAGATAAGCCTCATCACATCCCGCGATGTACATATTAGGATCGTATCGTTTGCACACATCCATAACCTTCTCGGATACCACGGCGACACGCTTGTAATCCACAGGTACGAGTATTAGATCTGGGCATAGTCTCTTCGCAATGTACTCTAAGACGAGGAGATGTGAATGGGGCGTCTAACGCTTGGAACAAAGAGATGCTCACCGGGTTGACCTGCGCGTACTCCAAACTTTCGCGCATCGTAAGAACCTGTTGTAACAACACCTAGTCCAACCTATGTACGTGAACTGTGAATAGGGATGACCATGGGTGAAACGAAGAGGATGTACAACTGCGAAGGGTTTATCCTTAAGATCGGGATTATGCTGAAGCTCAACGTTGGCAAAGAATGCGTCCATGTCTACATGGACAATTGTCTGACTCAAATCTCTTCTTGATTCCTTTTCAGCGAACTGCCATATATTATTATGAGATGTCTAGCAGCATTATCCAAATTATGTGGCTGACCACTCGATCGACCTTCGCTTCTACTCGAGCTAAGAGGAGGATCAGCATCATACAGGAATGGTTTATATGCTGAATTGCTTACCTATGTCCGATTCTCTCAGAAGTTCATCGCGTCGTTCTAAAAGCTTGTTGATTCTCTCTGTCCAATCCGCATCCCGTCGTTTCTCGTTCTGTAAGGGTCACGACTAAGACAAAACCCGGGAGCGACCTCTTCCTGCACCCAATCTTACCTCATAGAACTTTGAGCCCTTTGAAGCTTCAGCAATGCGGCGGTTTATTTCAGCCTGGTCAATTCCATACCTGTCGTACATGTCAAAAGTCACGTTCAAAGGCTTGACATCAGTACCAGATTTAGACACACCCGACTTTGTGTGCAGAGGGGCCGGCAAGACGCCTGAGGAAGCTCGGGTCCTGCGATTGGCCTAGAGATTGTGCCTCCTCGTCATCGTCACTCATAGTGGTATTGCGCACTGGAGTTGCAGTTGTGGGTTTCGGCCTGTACTTATGCGACACTGCTGAACCTGAAGAGTCGCTGACGGTTTGACAGGTCACGTGAGTGTATTCAGGCACCTATTGTGTTTATTGGCACTGAAATAAATTAAAGGATCAGTTTTCTAGCCAGTCTTGTAATCATTTTTAATCGCATCAGACTCAGACCCCCATATAAAGCTCCATGTAGCATCATTAGAAGGTACGAAAGGGCGCTTCCTTCTCGTTACTGAGATGCTACAAAGTGCAGTCAGAGTGAGATGTTGATTTATAGAATCAAAATGAACTTACGCGACAGTTAGAACGAACGGAGCAAGAAATGAGCATTCCGAGGAGTTTAACACACAAGTACAACTGTGCAGGTGCTGCGTTGCCATTCTGTTGCTATGTGCAATCGTCCCCACTTGTGTTATACGGCAGCTCAAGCTCAAAGTCATCAATTGCCGTTCTTGCCGAGACTGAGGTAGGTAAATGAGCTACTGAGAATTAGGCTTCCAAAGGAACATTGATGCGGCGAAACGGTAAACTTGGAAGCAGCAGTAGGAATAACAGGAAGTCGCAGATGCAACAATTAAAGAACAGGAGGGGTATAATCCGACTTGCGCGTCATTGAAAGAGCGTATATCGAGAAGCAGTGCAAGGACGACTACTTCGCCTTACGGGTATTGAGGGAAGGACGCCAGAATTTGTGAGGCATATACATAGCCAAGTGGCAAGGGATGAAAACAAATAGCAGACCGCCGAGTGGACTACGAGAAACGAAGTGCGCTGTCGATAGACCAGAGACGCCTTCAGCGTTCACCACGATGTAAGTCGATTAATCCAGTAACGAGACGCAAAATGCCGATGATAGTCAAGTAACGTGGTAGCAATGAGAAACAGCGTCATGCTGCAGGTATGCAAAGAGCATGGTAAAGTCAGCAAGTGGAGAAAGCACATGCCGTGTCGCGTTAAAAGACGCCCACGCGTTTTAAAGTCCGACATAACGCGTACGATCTGCAAGATCACGTGCAAGCATGGACTACAAAGGGCTGCATTGGTACCCGCTGCTGTGTTCTTCGACAACCATGTCTTCGAGTTACATATGCCGAAAGTGCAAACAGCCAATTCAACTAGATGCATCGCTAGCCGACCTGACACCCTCTTCTTACGACCTTCTTGCATCCACTCTCGCCTCGCCGCCACGGTCACACTCGTCTGATACGGAGAAGATTGGGCAAGTACCATCTCCAGTTTCCGCCAAGAATGCGCGGAAGCGTGGTGTCAACATACAAACAGGACGTGTATCTCCGACTCCAATTGTTACTCCATCTAAAGTGCTGGGGAAGCAAGCACAGCGCTCTGTGGCTAGCGCACCCAATGAATCCTTCGTGTTTCTTCAGGATAGCGTTGTTCAAAAAATCCCTTCATCAGGCGTGGTACAACCGCATCCTGCGCATGTCTCAACAAGCCGATCAAGTAATTCTCGAACGCAAGGCCAACAATCCCCACCACAGCCTGTCTCACCGATCTCGAATAAACTAAGCTCTATAAACAAGCTCTTCTCATTATTATCCAGTCGAACTGACCTCGATCATCCGTTATGTACCGAATGTACAGACAGTCTCTTGAAGGCCCTGGGAGAACAACTGAAGGACACTATGCGGGAAAGGGACGGATATCTTGCGTTTGAGAAAGAGCTCAAGAAGGAGAAGCAAAGGGAGGAAGAGTCAGTTGAAGAGATCGAGAGGCGAATCGAGAGATTGAAGGAAGAAGAGCGATTGGCGATAGAAGATCTCCGTGAAGCTCAAGCTGAAAAAGAGCAGTTAGAAGAGGAGCTAAGAGCACTCGAGCTGGAAGAGAAGGATCTGGAAGAGGATGAAACAGAGTAAGTGGCAGGCGGAAAGCACCCTCTGTATCACTGACATTGTGGAAGGTTTTGGACTGCGCATAACACACATCTGCTCACTGCAGCGGAGCAGGCCTCGCAGCTCGCTTCTCTCCGTGCGGCATACGCGTATGATTCCATTGTCCTCGAGAAGTTAGAACGAACGAATGTGTATAACGACGCATTTTGCATCGGTCATGACGGTGTCTTTGGGACAATTAATGGCTTGCGGCTCGGCCGAGTGAGCGGTGTTCATGTACGTGCAAGATCGTGTCTAGCGGCTTTCCCCACCGTTAATTTATGTGATTTTAGGTGGAATGGGCGGAAATCAACGCGGCGTGGGGACAAGCACTCCTATTGTTGTTCACAATCGCCAGAAAGCTAGACTACACATTCGAAAGGTGTGGTAGGCGTGCCGTCGCAATCCCTTCAACTGACATAAACATTTGTTAGTTACCGTCTCGTCCCTACGGGTTCATTCTCTCGCATCGAAAAGACAAATGGAGACAAGTCTTCCTACGAACTATACGGATCGGGTGACCTTCATATAGGCCGGTTATTACACAATCGGCGGTTCGACTTTGCCATGGTCGCATTTCTAGACTGTCTACGGCAACTAATGGAGTACGTGAGATTTCAAGACCAATCTGTCGAATTTCCACACCAGTGAGTCAGCATTAGCTTCTGTGCGATCGGACGCTGACCGTTACTTGACCAACAGAGTGGTGAAGGATAAGATTGGTGACGTGTCCATCAAACTTCAGTTCGGCGTGGAAGAGGCTTGGACGCGTGCACTGAGGCACGTTCTGCTTGCCTTGAAGCTGCTTCTCAAATGGACTACCAGTGCTGCCGCCTGACATTACTAATTTATGCTTTGCACTTTTCTCACATCGCTGTAGCGGCCCGGGTATCCTCCGGCGCTTGTCCGCTCACTACATTCTCAAACCCATGTCCGACTGCATTTGTTAATTTTTTTTTCCTTTGATGCAATCTTTCCTAGCATGCTACGATTTTATTGTAGACATGTAATCTACTTCCCTGTGTAGTTCTTTGATTTCATTTCGTCATCGGAGCCTGTTTGATCATGTTTGATCTTATCGGAAGCGTCGGCGCGATTAGACGCGCCGATCACAGAGCACGCGAGACTTACGCATCCGCTGCCTAAGTTTCGGGCATAGGCTGACAAACTCTCTCTGGCTGGCTATATGACCTTCCAGCCCCCTCCACCCACGCCATATTGCGCAACAAACAACCCTCACAGCCATGGGCCTGCTCTCTTTGGGCACGCCACTCCCGTGGGATGAGGCAAAGAAATATGCAGAGCACGTCAGGTCTCACGGGATTGCGCAATTCCTCCACACCTGGCATAGGACCAAGGATAGACACGGCGATGAGCTACTCTGGGGGGATGAGGTGCAGTTGCAATCCTGATTCATGATTAAACTTAACTCAGACATGGTTGTAGGTTGAATACATGGTTGTGGCGTTCGACGAAGTGGAGAGGAATGCCAAGCTCTCGCTCCGCCAGTCTGAAATCCTGGCTAAGTTAGGCAGCATTTGTAATGACCTCTCGGACGAGGCAGGCGAAAAGTGGGTACTAACAGGGCCATTCGTCATACATATCACTTATTCCATTAAGAAAGGTTTACAATTCCGACGTTCCATCCTGAATATGGTCAGTATATGCTCGAGTCAACACCCGGATCTCCCTACACAGGATCCCTCACCGACCTTCTATCCGTTGAGAGTAACATGCGCTATCGGTAGTTATATTTTCTTGCGCTCACTTTCTCAATGCATTTCTCAATGACTGAGCCATGTTCTTGTTTTTGACTCTGCAGGAGAAGTCTCGCTAGAAAACATCTGAAAGAAAATGAGATACCGTTGTCATTCACTTCTTTTCCGCGTTTAGGGGCTCCAGGAGTTTTCACGGAACCATATTCTGATCCTTCAAATGCTGTGTCTAGTCACAGCTTATTTTTGCCTCAGGAAATATCAAACCCACATGCGCGTTTCCCGTCAGTTGTAACTTTATATGCGTCATTCATTAGTAGCTTACACCTTTCCCCTTCTAGCACCCTTACTGCAAACATCCGGTCTCGGCGAGGCTCTAAAGTAGCAATAAATTTACCCCTGTTCTTCGATGAGAAGACACCAAGGCCGTTCATAGACCCAACGATCCCTTGGGACCGTAATATTTATCCCGAGGATCCTGGTGAGTTTAAGTTGTAGAATTACCGAAGATTTTCGGCTTTCCGCTCATTGTTGCTTTCAGAGGCAAAGGACGGCGCGGCTCTCCGTGATCATATTTATATGGACGCTATGGGTTTTGGAATGGGTTGCTGCTGTCTACAATTGACATTCCAAGCATGCAACGTACCCGAAGCTCGAAGACTATATGATGCTTTCATCCCTCTTGGACCGATCATGGTAAGATGTTTACGACGCATTCATCAGACTCGCCTGAACAATTTATAGCTTGCGCTGACGGCAGCGAGCCCTTTATACCGCGGATATATTTCGGACGTAGATTGCAGGTGGAATGTTATCGCTGGAAGTGTGGATGATCGAACGGAAGAGGAACGCGGCTTGAAGGTAAGATTACTCATGCCGCCGTGGCTAGTGTTAAACTCAGCTGCTCCGTCTCACAGCCCCTCAAGAAAGACAGATATAGAATACCAAAATCACGATACGATAGCGTTGATCTCTACATCTCGGAAGATCCCCTCAACCGTCCTGCTTATAATGACAGTCCGGTGCCGTACGATACCTCTATATATGACCGATTACGAGACGCCGGTAAGCTTTATTTTTATCAGTAGTTCACCGGGCATGCGTTTATCGGTTGTAATTTACGAGGTCTTGACGATTTGCTTGCAAAACACATTGCACATCTCTTTATTCGCGACCCTTTGGTTATTTTTTCAGAATTAATTGACCAGGACGATACCACGAGTATGGACCACTTTGAGGTGTGTACATGCATGCGTTATTTTGTCATCTCGTGTATGTCTTACTGACATTCATGCACCTATTAAGAATATCCAATCAACCAATTGGCAGACAGTTCGTTTCAAGCCACCTCCCCCCAACTCACCTATCGGCTGGCGCGTAGAATTTCGAAGTATGGAAGTCCAATTAACAGACTTCGAAAATGCTGCGTTCGCTGTATTCATTGTACTGCTTTCTCGTGCTATCCTCAGTTTTGACTTGAACCTTTATACGCCTATATCTAAAGTTGACGAGAATATGCAGCTAGCGCAGAAACGCGATGCCGCTCGAAAGGAGAAATTTTATTTCAGGAGGAACGTGTTCTCGGCCCAGTCTCCTTCAGCGTCGTGCAGTTCAACTTCCCAGGATGAAAACGGCAATCCGAAACCCAAGGAGAAGAAGCTTGGGAATTGTTTTCCAATCCCTCCACGAGGGAACGATATCCCTGATGGTCCTGTTGAAGACGAATATGAGTTAATGACTTTAGAGGAAATAATGCTTGGAAAGGTAGGTTGTCCTACTAGCAGGAAGAAATAATACTCATCAATCGTTAGGGCGCTGAATACCCTGGCCTTTTGGGCCTCGTGCGGGCATACCTCGATACGCTCGATGTCGATAAGGAGACCGCTAAGAAGCTGAACAGCTACCTTGATCTGATCAAACGAAGATCCAACAGCTCACTGCAAACCACAGCAACTTGGCTGCGGAATTTCGTCCGGAACCATCCTGCTTACAAGGTCGACTCTGTCGTGAGCCAGGAAATCAACTACGATCTTCTCACTGCCGTTGACAAGATGTAAGTCCGATCTTATTACATCATCCTAGTTGTCGTATGAATACTAATGTACTAACCAGTGAGCGGGGCACACGGAGAGAACCATCCCTACTACCAGATGACTACTGTGGAGGTGTTGCTGACGAAGGTTGTTTATAAAATTTCATTTCTATTTCTAATACCTTACTCACCCCATCCGAAGGATATGTGTCTGGTGAAGGCGGCGCACTGTCTGTGAAAGAGCGCGACGTAAAATTTCCCTCATTGTTCAACAGGCTTTGGCTTTGCATTGTATCGTTCTTTAAGAGGATCATTTGGGTATAATTGGGTTCCGGGATAGGCACATAACCAAACTTTGTATATCGATAGGACCATTACGAAATAGAGTATGCAATATAGGATCGTACAAATGTGACTGAGGTTTTCTTGACGACTGTACATTGGAAGCCGGCTTGAGAGTTTTGATTTTGGAAGTTAGAACGTAATTACATAATCGTGCTTTCGGTTAGAACCGGCCAAAAGGACTTACGCGCTGGACACTCTGCTCAAGCTCACCATCCAGCAATGTCTGCGCTTCGCCTTGCTTCCTCTGTTGCGCGTAGAGCGCCTCGCGCAGCTCTAGCACTTCAACAGAGAGGATATGCTGAGGCTGCGGACAAGATCAAGCTTTCCCTTGTTCTACCTCACCAGGTTCGTTTAGCTTTGGTTGACAATGCGACTCCTACCGACTGACGGCTTGTACACCCAAGACTCTCTTTGCGTCGACGGATGTTGTTCAAGTAAACATTGCCGCAGCAACTGGTGACATGGGTATCCTCGCAAATCACGTCCCGTCAATCGAGCCTTTGCGTCCTGGTGTCGTAGAGGTCATCGAGTCTGGGAACAACAGCCAGAAGTGGTTCGGTGCGTTGTAATTTTTTTATCTACTTCTGTCAAACCCATGTCCATTCTGCATATTTAGTGAGCGGAGGCTTCGCAAACGTGCATCCTAATAACAAGCTTACTATCAACGCCGTAGAGGCAGCACCTCTGGAAGACTTCTCATCTGAGGTATTATTATTTCTGGCCTTGGTAATGTACCAGATTAACTTATTGATGTGAAATTAAGGCCATTCGTGCAAACCTTACAGAAGCACAGAGAATCGCTTCAGGTAACGGGTCAGAGGAGGATAAGGCGGAGGCTCAGGTGGAGATTAGCGTTTACGAATCGTTGCAGCACGCGCTGGCCAAATAATAGACTTCCTGTCACTAAAATTCGTCTAAATATATTTTTGGCGTAGAAAAGCCATCGACACTTTGTGGAATGTAGATGAATAGCTTCACGACTCGCACGAGAGTTGGTACACTTAGCAACGGGGACATACTTGATTCTTTTCAATATTATTACTGTATCTAGGTCATAGTATTTCTGTACCGCAGCTACGACCTGGTTCTAGACACTGACAGTAGACTTTCGTTGTGTTTTCATCAAGCCATGATTTCCAGACATGAGTCAGCATACTGAACGTCGGTAACAAAAATCTCGCGCGTCAACCGACATCGTACTTTATACTCGGAACTCTATGAGAATCCCGATGTGTTACGCGTTATCGGTACTGACTCTTCCCGCTTTTACTCAATCAAGACACCGTGAGGGCGACGAACGTCCCTTTGGCTGCTGAAAAGCTCTCGCGGTGAATGTTTCTCAAGTACTTAGACCAGCATGTCATCTCCAGAATCGGTTGTATCGCTTGCGCAACTTCCTATGTGCTGGGATGACCGGCGCCTGCTGGATCACGACCCGTTCAACTTTTTATTCCAATTACGTTGGGAGGGTTCCTTGCCCTTCGAGCCCCCTTTTCCTGCGATGGTGAAGGCTGCTATAACAACCCAAACAAAAGAATTTGTGCGTCGTTTTCATGTGCTATATCCTATGCCCTATCTGTTGAAGACGAATAGAGTAGAGCTTTTATTCGGTGGTGCCTTATTTCGTTCGCGCCACTTTTCGGTGAACCAACTGAGAATCTACCAGACATTCATCATTTCGTCAAGAACGCGAAGTACTGGGAATTATTCGTAGATGTGTTCTATGATCTATTCTCGGGTAGAGGCACAGGTCAAAAGGCCCTTACTCTCGTAAACAACGCAAGGAAAGAGCTTGGTTTCAAATACTTCTTTATCCCGCAACGCTCTAGTGTGAAGCCGAAGGACAGCATGCAATCGCCAAGTATCTTGCCGGACGTAACCGAAGCCTGTGCAGAAATCCCACCTGTGTCTGCTGGAGTGGACGCGAGATTCGCTTCCACTCACACAGCTCTGCAAGACAGGCTCCTCGAATATGCGGGTGAAATTGAAACTGCGTCAGAAACTTTCATGTCATTGCCAGCTGAAGGTGATGTCGCTATTAGCGAATATAGTCAGTACAAAAGGCGAACTTCTAGGAGGGTAGCGCCTCCGCAGAATCATCTTGCTGGCCTTGGTCGAAACGACAAGGCAGCCGCAGAGATCAAATCTCTTCGAGTGAAACAGAAGCGGGCGAGCAAGAAAGGATCAGTCAGTAAAAGAAAAGGTCGTCGACGTACTGAGATCCATGACGAAAAGGTGGTCAGACATGTCATAACCTCTGCATTGGGTTCCGAGAGCGATGCCAAGGTGACAATTTCACTTTTTCCCTCAGACCTAATTCTCATGTGTACGTCTTTGGTCCGAATATGTCAAGGATATTGAGTGCGACGCAGAACAGGTACGTCTTATCAGTTTTGCTGCTTTCCACTGATCCAAGGTCACACTAACTTGTTTGCACAGATCGTAATGCAGAACAAAAATGAGCCTTTCGAAGGTTCACACGTTAACCACAATATCGAGGAGCCTGGTGCGACTCGGTGCTCGACTGTTCATGCTGGAAAGGAACACGATCCCGACAGTATTTCAGCCTCTACCTTGCCTTTGGGAGCAATTTCAATGGAGAAAATGGATGAGTCACTATGGAGAGAGAGAAAATTGCAATCAACTATGGACTATGAAATGCTAAACTCTGCAGATGGCATAAGTCAACCGGATTCTAAGATAGCAGGCGATGGGGCACAAAAGAATCTGGTGTCTCAATTACTGCTGGAAAGCTCTTTCAATATCCCTGCTCTCATACCTACGCAAGCTCCATGCGGAGCAGTGCCGAGAGAAGTAGAGGATGCGATCGAAATCATTTCAGTTGGCAAAGGCATGGATGATCTACCAGCTTGTTCTTCACACTTGGTTTTCTGCCAAGATAACCAGGACGAGACTGGTCGCGAGCCTACTACGATGAACAAGAAGGTTGTACCACTCAGAGATGCTGAAGTACCTCTGTCAGTGCTTGAAAACTCTTCGGATAGCATGGGTTCTGGGCGCATTGAACATGACCGACATAGGAAGATGATGGAATCGTTCAGGTGCAATTTTTATTCCTTCATCTGCATGGGTGTCAGCCGGTTAATCAATTACAAAGCACAAGTCATTTGCAATTTAATTGCCCAAAGCCGCCTCTCCCAAAGGACAGACAGCCGCGAATATGGGCGGGGGTAAACTACGATCTTCTTGAGACCTCCATTCCGAGAGCTCATTGTACTCTTAGTCACGTCAAGCACTGTGTGAGACTACAGCATGGTTTCGTTCTTATCACGGCGGTGTATACTTCAACGACGGGAAGGCGTATGGCTATTTGTTAGGAGGGTATTCTGCCCAGTGGGTTTACTTTTACTTCAATTTTAGGCGCGACTCACAGTTTTACTCAAGTCGGGATGTATTTCACCACGATGGAAGGATAATTATTTCACACGGGTACCCCCCTCTATTCACTATTTCGTGCAACTAAGGTATTAAATGGCCTTTCTGCAGTGGTGGAAAGTCTTTGGATGGGTCTACAGGACAGCGTGACAAAGACCCGTCCGTTCGAGCCTTACTTTACAATCACAGGAGCGGGCATCCGCTCGTTTTAATTGCTGACGATAAGTATGTCCTGTTTCCCTTCGATCTAGGAGAGAAAATGTATGTCGTTCTCGGATTGTACTGGATTGTTGATGCTTGGGGTATGTTACGAATTTTGTGAAGCCTTGTATATCACTAATACTAGCATCAGCCGAAAAAGACGTATACGAGTCTGAAGGGAAGTTTGGTACTCGTATTAAATACAAATTCGCCTTCCAATACTGTGACGGTCAGGAATCGCCGTGGTGGCTCAACTCTGCTTCCGACGCATCGTTGAGGACAATTGGCACAACACGACCTCGGCCAGCTGAACAGGTGGACTCGCGACAAGCATCTGAACTGTGTGTAGTGGACAGCCCATTTCAGGAAGGCACACCTACCGCCCTACCTAACGATAGTGCCACGACATCCGTATTACCTATACTTGCTTCATTTATTCCCACAAACGTGAGTCAAGAGCAGTCACCATCTTGTCCACAATCTCAAGCGTCCTTCTCTTTGCAAGGGCATTTGTACCAAGTGCGGAAAGAGCAGTCCGTCGATATACAAGCAAGGGTGGATGTGCCTACATCCTGATTGTGAAGACTTTTTCCGAATAAACTCGGAAGAAATCTTCTCACTCGATTATTTCGAACAATTCCTCCAACTTCGACCGTGTCCTGATTTTGGTAAAATTGAGCTAAGTATCCCCTCTCCCCTTGTTGGCCCGGTCGATTCTGCGGACGAAATCTACTCGACAAGGGGGTTCTGGTGTCCCGAATGTGGACAGCTATGCCCTCGGCGAGTAAATTGCTCAGAATATTTCAAAACGAAGCTGACTGCTCTTGCAGGGAGAGATGGGAATGCTGGGAATGTTCGGCCTGTGAGGTATACTGTTTCATTGTATCGCTGGTCTCGTCTTAACAGGTTGTAGTTCGAATTACGCGGTCGTGGTGCCTTACCGATGAGAAGTTACACTGAATTCAAAAGTCAAGAGTCTAACCTAAAGGGCTATACTGTGCATAAAATATATCCTGGATCTGGTGAGATCATCTTCACCTTTATCCGCGAGATGTATTTAGGAGAACTCTAATTCTTAAATTTCGTCTAGAAATAAAGCTGTCTACTCGGAAATGGCGATGTCACAGAAACTCAGAAGTTGGACTCAATTACGTTTTCGAGCTCCCTTGTAATCGGTGAACAAGCTCCACTTGGATAATATTATAAAGATGAACTTATTCCATTCTAGTGGCCGGATCCACCTTGTCTCCGGAAATGCACGTGTCAACGACCGTGCAAACACGATATTTCGACAATATCAGCAAGACGCCGAAAGTAGATCTTTTCTGAGAAGGTATCCCTTGCGAAGTGTATGAAACATTTGTTAATCCTCCAAATACGAGTTCGCTGACCTATCACAGCACCATGGTACGGCTTAATGATATGAACAACGCGGGTCCACTTTGACATTATCGCAGCTCGGGGCCGCATGCTGACAAACTACTTTTCGCACAATGGTAGGTTATTCTAACATAGTCTACGACTTCTGGTCTGATTAGCCCTTTGGCTAGCTGGAGTGCCATACGAGGTGCGTTGGATACACCGGCATTATTATTAGGGTACGATAACTGATGCAAAATTCGCTGTAAGTACGCTGTTGTTACGAATATCACCGATACCTTCGACAAGGCTCCCCAGAGCGTCAACGACGCTCTTCAACTTATCAAGGATAGAACTTCTCCCGTGATAGCCAGTGAAGCCAACTTTAACGAGATTTTGACGGCAGCATACATGTCCGAGCAGAAGATGTCTGTGAGTGCTACTGCCCTTCTAATTGCTGGGCGCTGCAATTATCGTATACTTTCCTTCGTATAGTATCACACAGATGACGAGAGAGGCCTCGGTCCCGTAGTAGCATCCCTTTCCTTGGGGTCGATCGCCTACATGCATTTTCGATTGCGGAAGTCTAAAAATAGCCGTCCTGATATGCAACTAAGCCTGGTACTGAGACACGTGCGTGCAAATCCTCTGCCCATTGAAACTTCAAATGCTGAAGCGCTTACAGGGAGACGTGTTAATTATGGAAGGCGCAGAAATTCAAAAGGCCTATGAAGTGCGTCCTACGGTGATTCTTCCCGGCCTGGTTTGTTGATCACATTAATAGCATACCGTTGTTCCTATGAACTTCCGGATCGCAGCGACAGCACGATACATAGAGCAATATTCAAAATATCCAAGGCATCCTTACATAAATTCTAACTACTCTCTAGATATGTCGATTCAATCATAACTTCTTAGCCAATTTTTTTTCGCACCATAGCCCATTCTGATTGTCTCCCTCTCACCTCCTCAAAACAAATCTACTATTTCGGGACCGGTAACGGCCTCGCACGCGAAGGGGGCCGGGTCGGAGGCGCCTGTGGAGCGAGCATATTCTGCCTAGTCATTTCCATTTGATTTTGCTCCTGTTGTATAGTCTTCAGACCCGATGGCCGTTCGGGCTCAGTCAACTACTCACCATTTCCGCTCTCTGTTTGGCGAAGAACGCGAATAGATCTGCAATTTGCTGCTCTAACATTTGTCGCTCCCTCTGAAGACGACCGACTTCGCAAGTCATCATCATGACTTCTTTTCCTAGCTCTTTCTTAAATTCCTCGACATGCACTTATGAACGGCGTCAGCATCCTTACGATGAGTTTATTGTTCGAAAACATATACCTTGGACATTGATCGCGGTGGCTTCCTTCATGGCCTCTACGAAGCGTAGACGTTCGCCGCGAATGTCATTTGATAGCTCTGATTCAAGACTCGTTATATTAATAAGTGGTTATATTCTTGAACGAAAAGCTTACCTGAAGCTATTCCTCTTAACATTTGCTCTTGCTCCTGCCTCTGACGTTCAATCACACCGATGATGGTCTCCATATCTATGGAAGATGAGCTGCATACACCACGATCTGGAGTCAGTTCTGACGTACCAAACGTTTTGCTCTCCGTCTCTTTGTCTTTAGAAGCTTGTAATACTTCCGCGAGCATAGCGTGTAGGCCTGAATTCCTTTCTTCCGTGACTTTGACACTTGAAACAAGAGCGTCCAACTGCGAGCGGAGTCCAGCTGGTCCCGCTCCCTCACCTTCGCCTGGACCTACATCTTGTTGAGGTGAAATCTCTGCCAATAGTTTCTCAATGCCACATGCAACGGTTTGGATCTGAGTAGTCCCGTTGTTGACGAACGACTCGAGCCACTGGGAAACGGAGTGGTTCTGTAAGCCGTTGATAACATGCAGGAGACGGACTGGGCTTACCGTATTGAGTTCATGAAGGTATCGCACATTCTCGGCTTGCTGGTCAGAGCCGAGATTTCTGACGTCTTCTTGGCTTTTCAGAAGTGTTAGAATCTCCGACAACTAATGAAACGAAAATAGACGATCGTAAGTTGCATCAGCGAGTTCAAGGACGAGCGCATATACGATACCTTTGACTCGAAGTTTTCTTGGAGTGATGCAGGGTTTCCTCCAGGAGCAGCAGAGAGTTCTTGATTCTTGTCTTCCGTCTGTTCCTCTTTCTGTATAAAGTCTATCATCCGGCAATTAAATACAGTGAAGGACATAATACGCACATGTGTGCCTTCAACGACTTGGGTCGGACTCGTATTATGAAGTTCGCGGGTAGGTTCGTCTTTGGTGCTCGCTTGTGACGACTGCAGAGCTCGACACGCCTCTAAAAGCTCGTCGAGCTTTGCATTTACCTGTGAGACATCCGTGGGCTTTACCTCTTTTTGCAACTCGGCGAGCCTGTCCAAGATGACTGGCATGTTTTCTCTGAGATCATTTTGCACCTCGTCAACGGATCCGGCTATTTTGTCAAGCTTAGCGTCCTGTTCTACGTTAGCTTGTGTCTCCGTTGGAGGAGTGGACTCGCTACTTGGATTGCTGGTATCACCATTCTCAGAGAGTTGGCTGGCGATTAAATCGATCTTCTGGTGAAGCTCCAATAGATCAGCCCCGTTCGTATCAGCAGATTTCTCCATTTTTGCACACAAGTCTTCAAGGACACCACGCAGTTCCGTTCCAGGGTTCTGCTCTTCAATGACCGATCGTAAATCCTTGGACATGTCAAGTATATCTTGCTGAAGTGAAACTATTTGGTTACCAATACTGGACGTTTCGTTGCGCTGCTCCATTGCGTGATCTTGAATAAGGGAAAGCAACGGATGTACGTCCTTCGAGGTATGGTCTTCCTTGATTGGCTCTGGAATGGTCAAAATGCCAGACGCCGTTGGCGAGAACGGTGGCCTCACAGCGATAGGTAAAGCGGGTAGGGCTCGTTCAGTTCTGAATATCTTCGGGGGCTGAACGGCTGGTACGGGAAAGTTCATCTGTTTCGGAGCAACATTGAACTGGCAACTATAGTCGGCGTTTGCTGTTTGTGAAGGAAGCTGTTCCTCCAGTTTCTTGGAGAATTGAGTGATCTTGGTGCTATGACTGTCGGAGACCTGAGATTCTGGTGCATCAGGAACTGGAGAAAGTGCATGACCGGAGTAAGGCTTTTGCTGAGCGTAATAATCATAGATCGATTGTTCGTCTTCGAAATTTGAGGCCACAGTCACCTTAGAGGATGAAGCGACCATCTTCCGATATGCCGAGCGAGAAGGTGCTTTCCTTAAGGACTGCGGAGTGATAAGATAACTGGGTACCCGAGAAGGAGTATCGGAGTACCTGGATTCCACAGAGACGCGCCTGGAGAGCTGGGTAGGTGTACGCGAGATATTGACATTTGAATTATCGGCTGATAGTTTAGACAAACGATCTTGCACCAGAGATAGATTGCCCAAGTTCTGGATGGAGGGGCTGGAGAATTTTGAAGAAAACAACTCGGAGCGGCTTTTCTGTTGAGTAATTATGGTGGGGGACGTAGGTATCACCGCGGTTTCGATAGAAGTATCAATAGGTGGTGAATATCGATCAAGTAATTGTTGCCCCGAAGACCACTTTCTCACATACTCATCTTCCGACTCACTAGCCATGCTTGGAAATACCACGTTCTCAGCGTCTAAGTATTCTTGGGGCAACCGGACAGAAGAAAATGTTGCATCCAGTCGAGGAGGTGTTGGGGGATTGCTAGGCAACGTCTTTTGAAACAAAGTAGCGAAGTCCGGGACAGCCTCAGGTATTATCTGGCTCACAACCGGAGACCGTATTTCGTTTACTTTCTCTAAGGCGAGCAACGCATCCCAGATACTGCTAACCCATGTGCTCCTTTCTGTGACAGAGCTGGTAGCAAACTTCTCTGGTGGACCGCCAGGATATGTGAGCTCAAAGATATGCGCGTCTTGTCCCGTCAACGGTAACAGGCTCTTCTCCATCGGATCAACCTGGGACTGAGACACAGAGTGTACATCCGTAGATTTTCCGAGCATGATTGTACTTGAGGAAGGATTCCCATAAGCCGTAAGCCATTCCAAGAGGATGTGATCCGGCAATAGAGAAGCTTTACAATTCGTCCATACCGGCAGGGTAGATTCGCCGTTAAGTCGGGTTAGATACAGGACAGGGCCGGAACGCAAATGTGACTGAACAGAGTCTGCCGAAGAATTGTCTTGCTGGGATGGCATAGTAGCGACATTCACGGTAGCCGGAGGAGACAGAATCGCCGAATCGTATCGAGAACTCAAGAACGAGGAAGTGTCGTCTTTAGTCTTGCCCTTCTTTCCGAACAGAGACATAAGATTTCGGAAAGAGTCACGCAGCGGAGATCGGCTTTTACTCTTCATTGCAGAAAGCGGGCGGCCCTCAGGAGTGTTAGTTAGAGGAGGATCGAGATATGAGGTTGTAGCAGAGGACGTCCTTCCTGACATAGTCAACGGAGTTGGGGACATCGCCTCAAAACGATTGATCAAGTCCTTAGTGGATCGGTTACGCGATGGAGTTCTTGGGCTGCGAGCGTCTGTCTGAAAATACGAGTCGACGGCTGGGATTATTTCACTGGGTTCTGGTTCCGAGGGTCCAGTCGAGCCGACACGACTAAGGGGCATGCGTATCTTGTCTTGAGAAGCCACACGTACCATAACATCGTCTGCTGGTACAATAACAGATTTGCTTGATTTAGCACCACGTAGCAATGGATGGTCGATCGGAGTAGGTAGGATTGAAGCAGTGTTGGAGTTTGTGCTTTCCCTAGTCAGTGCTGGTTGTGAACCTACGGAAATACGTCTTGAAGAGTACGTTGACATTTCTACTGCTTGTTGTTTACTTCTTGAACTCGATATGTGTATGTAGGTATGGTTGGCACAATAGCAGGTCAAGGGAATCAGTCGCAGACTTACCAACGAAAATATGGAACACCAGCCTGGTTGAAGATCGTAGGTTCGGGAAAACAAGGATAAACACAGACTCGATAAGATAAACGTGGCCCAAATTTAGCCATGATGTAATTAGTGCATTTTCTGGACCTCTGAGTCTCCGCTTCGTGATTTAAACACCTACTAACATTTCATTGCCTTCCCAGCTCGCAATGCTCAGACGATTCACATCAGTAAGTCTATACGTGCAATAAAGATAGACTGCTAATTCATTTTATGTTACGTGTTTTCAAGGTGTCTGCCCAGTTACCAACGAAAGCCCAAGCGTATGTTTGATGGTCCGAGTCATAATTAGTATTGAATACGTCCAAAAACTCCATTTGCTCAGCATAGGTCGGGTCTCAAATGCACATTTGGCAAAGAGGACATTAAGTACTTCATCTTCTGAGAGCCTTCTGCAAATTGGAAGCAAGCATGTCACGAAAGGCCTCGGTCGCCTCACAGAGGCTATTATTACGAAGGGAGAAGGCTCTTATGTTACTTTGCACGATGGTAGAAAAATGCTTGATTTTACTTGCGGTATTGGTGTGACGAGCTTGGGTTGAGTTGTTTCTCTGTCACTGTCTGTTTAAACGATGCTGACGAGAACTTATGATGAAAGGTCATTGTCACCCGAAGATTAGCAAAGCTGCAGCGGAACAGTGTATGTCACTGACCCATGGTCAAGTACGTTTGTTGAATATACATAGAAATATCTTGTCATCACTGAACTCATCGACAAGGTCAGCATTGCCTATCATGCCCCTTACCTACAGCTCATTGAGAAGCTACTGCCCGTCATGCCCGATCCTTCGCTCGATTCCTTTTTCTTCTGGAACTCAGGTTCTGAGGCAGTTGAAGCCTCCGTCAAGATGGCGAGACAATTCACTGGAAGGCAAAACGTAATCGTAATGCAAGGTAAGAATCCAGCGAGGCGCGTGCGAAGTGAAAGCTCAGGTCGCGATCTTTTTACGTAGGTGGTTATCATGGTAGAACATTCGGCGCTATGGCATTAACGAAGAGTAAAACTATTTACTTCGACGGCTCAGAGCCTCTAATGGTAAGTTGTTGGCAGAAAGTCTACCATGAATTGCTGAGCGCTGCTTCACTTCTATTTTAAAGCCCGGTGCATTTACTATGCCTTTCCCCTACTGGCATCAATTTGGGGTTCCCGCATCCACTAGCGAGGAAGAGCTTGTTGGCCGTTGTCTATACCAGCTCGAACTACTCTTATCCCAGCAAACGGCACCGAGCCGAACGGCTGCGATTCTCCTTGAACCAGTACTTGGGGAAGGCGGATATGTTCCCGCACCTGCATCTTTTCTCAAAGGCCTGCGCGAAGTTGCCGATAAGCACGGTATCATGCTGATTCTCGACGAAGTGCAAAGCGGCTTTGGCAGAACTGGGAAGTATTTCGCAACCGAGTACAGCGGTGTGCGACCTGATATGTTGATTATCGCGAAGGTGACGAGACGCCGCAATATGAATGTACCTTGAGTTAATTGTCGCCGCAGGGTATTGCTAATGGTTTCCCACTGAGCGGAGTAGTCACTCGCAAAGAGCTCACCGACAAGCTGAAGCCAGGGTCTATGGTAATGTTTTCTGTTTATTTGTCGCGGATGCTTTGTCATAATGAAGTGCATATAGGGAGGAACATATGCTGGAAATGCGGTCGCATGTGCTGCGGGTGTTGCGTGTGCCGAGGTTATGAAAGAAGAAAGCGTGTTGGAGAATGCGCAGCAAAGGTAAGGTCTTACACGCTGAAGCCGAGAGGATCCCATAAAGACAAGATTCTTCTCAGATCGAAGGAACTCGTTTCCTCTCTGAACGAACTGCGGGCAAATTCTACGTTGGGGAAACACATACTGGATATACGTGGATTGGGCCTTATGATTGGCGTGGAATTCGCATCACCTTCCACGCTCCCAGGCGACATCGGATATCGCGCGGACACGCCGAAGGACATGGCAAGCCGTGTAGCAAAGAGATGCATCGAGAAGGGGATGTACATCCTGACGACATCGATATATCAGGTTGTTCGGTTCATTCCACCGCTGAATACATCTCAGCAGGATCTTGCGAAAGGATGCCAGATTTTCGCTGAGGCGGTTGAAGAGGTCGTGCGTGAAGGTTGATCCCAACGGAAATGCACTGAGAAAACAACCCAAACATTTAGAAGTTGAAACACTAGAAACTAAGAATGTAGCTCGGCATGTATGCAGAGATTGGAAATCTAAACATAACATTGGTTGGAGTGCTTGCGAAAGTTTAGAAGGAAGAGAAAGTGATTGATCTGAAGTCTTGTGCTTATGCGCCGTGACGTCGGGCCGTGGCAATAGTTCCCTGCCGTGCGTCTGCCGCTGGGCTTGTGTTACGAATTAGTGCACACTCAATTGCCTCCTTGCCCTGCGTCTCCTCTTCACCGCTCGTCACCGTCTCCCCCTCTTCCCCTCTCCAGGTCCAGTGGCTGCACGACAGTGGTAGGAGGTGCATCCTGTCAGCCTCTCGTCACGACGTCAGTCGGCTTGCATATCACCAGAGCGCCTGATCTGCGGCTGCCTGCACCTCATCTCTGCCGTAAACTGTATATCACGACGCGATGACGATGCTGCCCTCAGCGCTGCACCTCGTGCTCGCATTCGGATGGCTCGCGTTGCTGGGACGGGCATACATCCCAGCACTACCGGCGAACGATAGTGCGATCGTTCAAGCTGGAGTGAATGAAAGCGATACCTCTATGCTAAAGCTCCAATGGTTCGTCGTTATCTTCCGTACATTCAAATACACATATTGACGGCTTTATTCACTCAGGTTTCCGAATGCGTTAGTAGCCATACATTCTATGCACTCGGAACGTCCACCATACTGATGCAACTTTATAGATCCTTTTCACAGACCGTCTCGTACCAGCTCGTCGGGGCATCCAGCTCTGGTATTAACAAAGTCCGTCTATTTCGTGTGCATTGCTGCTGAGGCTTGATATTCATCGATACTTTGCTCATCACAGGGGGCTCTCGTCCACTTCTCTGAGCAGAATGACACAAATGAAACGAGTACGTATACATTATACTGTGTGAAATTTACCCTCTTAGTTCCTTAAATAATATATGCGTCCACAGCGACTACACCATGGATCGCCTTCGTTTCTTGTGATACGAACGGATCAACCTTCTCTCTAGACGATGATGTCTTTACTCTGGCTCGCGACCGAGGTGCTGTCGCTGCTGTACGGTTTATTAGTGATTGTAACAGTAAATCCGGAATGATTAACCTCTTTGATGCCCGCAGCTCCTGTATTCTGAATGGTCTGAGGCATGCATCATCAATCCCGAGTATGCGGACCCAGCAACGTTCGATCAGGTATTCGACATTTTCTCCACAAAGTCTCTGGTAACAGCTCGGTATGTCTCTGTCACCAACTGTGCTACGGTCGTTAAGGCTGACTAACGCCAATATTAAGTACGATTGAAAATGCTTTCACAAACGTTAATCAGACGCTCTTCGGACATTTCAACGCGACGACGTTAAACAATACTTTTAATAATGTTAGCCAAGGCATACAGACGGGACAAGTTTCACCTGGATATCTCATCGCGACTTTGACGGCAGCAAATGCGTCAATTCCTGAGAACGGAGATCAACCTGGCTCAAATCCCTCGTCTTCGGATGCTGGTAACAGTGGCGGCACAGATCTTGCAATGTAGGTTACTCGGTATCTAAATGCTATCTGATGGCTAATGCGACACCGAAAGGATTGTCCTATACGTGATCACCGGAGCGGTCTCAGTACTGTTCTGCATTGTTATCTTATCCGGAGTCAGTCCCTTTCAACTTCTATTTCCTGGTACCTACAATACTCATTAATCTCTCTAACTCAGGCCATTCGTGCTATAAGACATCCTGAACGTTATGGTCCAAGACCAGCGGATCCAACCATGGGCGGCGAGCAGGGTCAAGGACAAAGTCGTGCTCGAGGCCTTACTCGGGCAATACTCGACACATTCCCGGTGATCAAGTTCAGCCGCATGCCAAACACCCAGAGGACATTCGGGGAGCAAGATGCTGCGCAGAAGCCACCAGATCTGGAAACTGGTTCCGAGAGTTCGACAGCTTTGGAGATGGCTGAACTTCCGACTTCAAAAGATGCTCCTGATTCTAATTCTGACTCTGGGGGAACACCCCCGCGGAGAACTGTTGCGCCGATTGCTGTTTCCGACCTACCGAGGAATAATGCTGAAGCAGAAGGCACAAGTTCGCCTGGTGCAGGACCTTCGTCTCCTACTCCTGGCCGCCATTCTGCTACCCCAGATGGAAGCCAAACAACCTCTCCTACGAGGCGTTCGCCAACGACTTCTGGACCGAATGGAGATAACCCTGAAGTGATGCCGGAAGCCATCGGTCGAGACACGTGTCCTATTTGTATCATCGATTTCGAAGAGGGCGATGCTATACGCGTGTTACCTTGTGAGGGAAGACACGTGTTCCACCAGGCTTGTGTTGACCAATGGCTGCTTGAACTGTCAAGTAGCTGCCCGATTTGCCGTCAAGGTTCGTCATTCTTTCCTTTCTGTTCAATTTTCTTTCGTACAGAATCGTGAATTGACAATGATATTTGTTTAGACTTCCATGCCTTGGAAGAAATGATTGCCAGCGGTGACAGTACACGTGAGGGTCACGACGAAGCGCACGACCGACGGTCGCACATCGGATCTCGTTTCTCTCGATACCTTCGCTTTGCGCGTGGCAGGCGGGGTCGCCATAACCATCGACTATGGGGGAACCGAGATGACGTAGCGGATGACCCTACGGACCCACCGATGCCTCTCGTTCGCGACACAAGCTTGTAGTTTTATACACACCTCACTACATACACATATGAACATTCTTTATCCGACTTTACGATATTTAGTCCGTTCTGTCTTGACCTGTCCTCATAAACCCATTATTCCGTGCTTTATGCATACCCTACTCTCACACTTCCGGTTAGCCGTGGACCCCTATGCATACATTTCTTGACTGGTTTGATTTCAATCATAATTTGTAATTTGTACTGGTTGCTGTGATCAACAATAGCCTAGAATACTCTCTTCGCACGATAGGCGGGTTTGAACAATCACATAGACTAAGACTTTATGCCACTCGTATTACAATGATTAGGGATTTATTGAGTACTTGGTATTTACTACTAGTACATGCACATATGAGACTTCAAAACCGCTCTACAAGCACAGAATCCCTCCGAATCACTACTTGTTGCCACCCATGCCAAGTGTGTCCTTGGTTTTGTCCAAGAACGACTGCGACATGCCAGGGAAGAAGGTAATTTTAGTTTAACGCTTTCCCGAGGAGAAATATATCCAGAACTTACGTCGTTATTCTCGGAGCTGGTCGAGAACGTGTCGCTAACCTTCTGCGTCGTAGACTTCTCGCTCTGTAGGAAGAAGGAGTTAATACCAATTAACGACTCCTTATTAGTTTGTAAAGTACCGAAGGCTGCGCATGGGATGCGGCGTTGTCGGCATTGCCCTTGAACTTGTCGCCGAGATGCTCCGTAGTCGACTTCTCGGAATCAGGCTACAAATCGACAAAAGATTACCCCAGCGTAAACAACTTCCTGTGGCTAAGGAGACGAAGGCGTCGTACCTTTAGCTTAGCCTCAGCTTGGTCAGTGATTCCCCAGCGGTTGTTGTCCGACATGATGGTATTGATTCGGAAAATAAACGAGGATTGAGTTCAAGTGAAAGTTGTTGGCTTATAAGATGCGAGAGATGCTTTGGTGAAGGTTTCCAGACTCGCAAGGATGCCCTTATATACGCGTCAAATAATATTTTATCCTATGTCTTCGGTGACGCTATGGATGACGATGCGGCCTAGACGTGCGCCATGGCGCTGAAGATCAACGAAGCCCCCGAAGTAGAGCAATCCCACAAAGGCAGGTGGTGAGTCGAGGAACAACTTAGCCCCACGATGAGCGCGTCATAATCACCATACAAATAAGCCTCTGGAATAAGTCTAGACCGGAAATGTAGCAAGTTGACAAGGAAGACACAGCATCTAGGCAGTATGTCCCGAACCGCCGTAGGCTCGTGAGGAGCCAGAACTTCGATGCACGACAGGGGATGACGAAATTGTGGCCCGCAATCGAAAAGAATCACATGTATAGTTGACGCGTCCTGATGTGTATTGTTCGATCTCCGCTTGACTCATGAGACACTGACACGTCCTGAAGTACTCATAATTATTTCCCGACTTTGTTTACAGTCCAAGTTCACTGACTCCGTAAATCAATTTGTGGGACAAATTTGTCCTTTTTTAATTCCATCTTTGGACTATTGCATGGCATCGTCAGGATTTCCTTTCATAAACCGCTCAATGTTCAATCGGAGCTTAACCAAATATCAAACATGTGCACCTACCGTTTGGCATACTGACTTTCATGCTTGCTACCAAAGAGATCCATGGTTTAATGATAGTCATGTATCCCTGTTCTGATCCCTACTCGTACAAAATCTGAGGTACTACTATAAACGTGCTAATTCCCCTCCAGCTATACCTCCATGTCAGACGTGTCTTGATTGCTCACGGGAAAGCAGTCTTGTTCTGCGAGTCCCAAGTGGCAGGTTAATGAGCTGGCTTTTTTACATTGTGTTGACTCGTTTCATCACGATTCTATAATGTTGTGCATTTTAGGACCCAGAGCGCATATAGTAAAGACTGCGACTAGCCAACCTACCTGAGCTTTATCAGACTTGTCAGGGTCTAGTGCTCCTGTCTTGTTTGATGTTTTATCATAGGTTTCTTCGGTGGTAGTAGAGGCACTCTGCACAGTATGATTACATCAGTGGATGCAGCCTTTGTAGAATGCTCGTGAGCTTACCCCGGTTTCGGCAGCCACGTCTAGATCCTTGGGATTAGAAGACATTGTGAATGTTTAATGTAGTTGACAAGCGTAAGGTCTAGCCGTCGAGTTGTAATTCAGGTTCTAGGTTGGAATAAATTTATGGCTTTGGAGTCCCATTTTGTACTTTTTCAAGCAAAAGCGCCAGATGACATGCATTATGACGTATGAAATATGGACTTGCATATTGGGGGAATACACTATCTACTATTGCGTTGTAATACAATGGCTATGCTCTATAGACTCCACTATTCAGTAAGCCTAGAAGTATATGTGCATTACCAGGTGAAGGATAGCAGTATTGAGGACTTGATAACTTCTCTAGGATTCATTGACGCTCGAGTCAAGAACGCTGCAGCTCAAAAAGGCCATCAGTTGCTTGTTTCTGGCAAAAATTCGAAACAAAACGGAGTCAAATGGTAGATTTCCATATAGTTCTAGTGAGATGGGATAATACATTGCGAGATATGGTATTGTTATGCAGAGTAACGGTATTAAATGAATCAATCGTATGTGATAAGGGTATTGAACATATCTGTGAACTTTCCCGTAAGTTTGTCAGAGTCCATTTCTTCTGCACGCGTACGGACTTACATACGAAGCCTCATCACATGAGTGCAGCTGTCTCCTTGAAAAAGGCAGTCGCTGTAGTCCCAGAGGCCGCATTGGCTGAACGTGACATGGAGCTGCCCGAACTGATATCAGGCGAGGGGGAGCTACCTGGCCCATCCCAGGAACTAGAAGTGACAACAGAGGTCTCAGTCCCCGCGATTGTATCTGGAGGAATACGAGGGTTCTTTGACCTGCGTTTCTGGAATGCCACAGACACTCAGCTCGACTTCGGCCTAAAGGATGTAACGGACATACTGACCGCCGTAGGTATTTGTATGGGCTTTGACATAGTGTGCGCGTCGAAAGTACGACGTTTGAGCGTTGTCAGAATGATCGGAACTTGGCTTACATTGGTACTTTAATACACCCCCGGAGTGCCGTCCCGAGCGAGGTTGGGATGAGGTGACGCAAATGGCCCCGTCATCAGCAGTTGTGCCAGAATACAGTAGTAGCACCGAGAACAAGAAGGCGTTATCACCGTCGAGTGGTGTTCAGCTAATGCCAGTGGAGATTTGGGAGAGTTGACGTAATGGATGACTTTTGTCTTGAGAAAGTAATATTGAAAATGGATTATTGCGAAAATAGCCTTCCATGCAATATATCACCCTTCACATTTCTATGCGGAGTGATAAGGCTTGTAAGTTCTTATCGGAATCGCCAGTCATGACGTGTAGCTGAACAGCGCATGAGATAGATGTCAATCACGGACAAGTCTTGCTTCCTTCGAGGTCCAGGAGATAAAACGTACTGGAAGAGAGCCATGAAGGTAAGATTATATTCGTAATTACCGGTGCAGGCTGGACAGATAATCAATGTATTACGACAGGCACCCTACCTACTATGCTCGTCCAGCCCAGTGAACGTTCTGCTATATGAGTGCAGACATGTGATCGATACTTTTACAATGAAACACACGGCTCTCTTCACCAAGCATCTAAAGAAAACTATCAACGGCGAATACCACGGGCTGCAGGTTGCCCACGACCACGGCGTGCTGTAAAAGACAAAGGCGTCAGCATATTGTATCATGATAGAATGACGAAACTGACCATTTGCCCGCATGATGGTCGCACGACCACGAGCCGTACCGATACCCCTACCCCTCATTGCATTTGGTCCTACACGTTTGAACCTGGCAAATGTATGTACGTCAATAAAAGCTTAGCATTTGATCTTACTGGGAGGACTCACATCGGTGCGTTCTGAAGCATATCAGGCACGATGAAAAAGCGAACCATGCTTCCTCTAATGTAAACTTGGTCCAACTGCGAGACACGACCATCTCTCCCGGTCACGGTGATGTCTTTTAACGAGATATTGAGGGAGTCCTCGGCTGCGAGACGCGTGTCAGCACTTTTGTACAGAAGGTCAAGGGCGTACTTTTGAACATACCTTCAGCAAGTTTTCCCCTATACAGCTGCCCAGTCTTAAGCTCAACTGTTATTACATGCCCGAGGGACTCGTGAAGAAGTTTTACAGGTACACCTAGACTGCTGGACATTGTCGATTGAGAACTGGATTTAGAGTTGAGATTGAAGCAGAGCGCGCCTGGCGCACATGCAGCCTTGTGATGAGAAACTCCGCCGCTTACGTGATGTCTACCATATTCGTCCGATATGAATATCAAAGGCACAGACAGGGCTTCGCACTGCACTAAGTATAATTAGTTGGTTCTTTCGGATATGAAGGATTTATTTATCTACGACAAAAATGTAGTGGCATTTGTTGCGAAATTGAGTATCATTTACGAGGTGTAAATAAGCGAACCTGAGTTGAGAGCCTTTGAGTGACCAAAAATAGCAACGCTGTATTTGACGGGGTATCACTGAATTAACCACGAACTCCGGAGGAAAAGGAAGCATCAGCTGTACGTCCGTTCTATTGGTCTCCTTTCTTTTTTTCACCACCATCAACTTCCCCACTTCTTGTTACCTCTGAATCCGTGAAAGAGCACCTCCAAGTCAATTCTAACATGCCTCCTCGTAGAAAGCTACCAGCTAGAAGAGCGAGCTTGAGGGCTCAGAGGTATCCTCCGTCGCCGCCGGAGCCTGCTATTGAAACTATGGAGGTAGAAGGAAGTGGCGAAGGTACGATCTAATCTACCCTCGCTCTCAAACCCGTTAGGAGGCTCACATACTGTACAGACATGGATGTTTCAGATGAGGAAGTCCAACTTGACGGCGATGGTGCTTCGTCCGAGGCTGGCGGCGCGCCCGATGACGACGCAAGTGGTAGCGAAGGTGATCAGGAGGATGAGATTGACGTAGAAGATAACGACCAGGATGGATTAGGTGAGGACGACGACGAGGACCAAGAGGACGAAGTGGGTTCCTTGCTTATATCGAAGCTTCCTTTTGTGTTCTGACAACCTGAAAGCTTTCTTCGTCGCCGTCCCCAACGCCTCCACCAAAGCCGACGAAAGCAAAGTCCTCACCCGGCAAGCCACGTTTGAAAATCAAATTGAAATTCTCTGGCGTGGCGCCTTCAAATACTACACCGACACCGAGCGATGAGATGCCGTTGCGGCCTGGACGGAAAGGCCATCCCAAACGTAAATCCGTCTAGGCCTTACGCAGTTTTGTTACTTATGTTTTATATGCGCTTGGTAGATGTTGATGTCGAGTCCGAAGACGATGATGATAGTTCATCAGAGTCGCAATATACAGGACCCACCCGGTTGACTCAAAGACAAGCGGCGCTTGCTGGGATGGTGGAATCAGCAGAGCATATGGTACTGGGTATGTTACCGAAATTAAAATTCCCTAAACACTTTTATGCTTATATTCGGCTTCAGAGGAAACTGTCTCAAAGAAGAAAAAGCACCTCAACGAGACGGAACTTGCACTTAAGAGGGAAGAAACCGCAAGGAAGCGGAAGAATCTGTCGGCGAAGAAGCTTGAAGATGAAAAGGTATTTTGAGCCTCCAGTGATATAGAGTGCCCACGGCTTACCCTTTATTCTAGATAGAGACTATTAATCGACTGCTCAGAAAGCAAACTCGACCCAGGGGTAAACGAGGTGCTATCGCTGAAGCCGACGAAGAGGGTGAACAAGAAGAGGATGCATCAGTGTCTGCAACACCACCAATTGTACCAACGCTTTTCCGTTGGGTCTCGTCAACCAAACCGGATTCACCAGCGTTGTCCTTTTCCGTACCACCATCGCTCATGCCGGAATCGAGTTTGGCTCAAACCACACAAAGCACACAACCGACGAAACCACCTCAGCCTAAACCGACACCACTGTGCGATGTCAGGGGATGTAAGCTTCCTAGGAAGTACAAGCTAGTCAAGGACCCAAGTAAGGGCGGATGTGGGATGGAACATTTGAAAGCGCTCCAAGCCAAGCTCGTTGGAGCATCCTAGTTTATTCTTGCCTTGCATTTTCCACGTTCCGCATGTGTTTGCTTTTATCCTGTCTTGTTATGTTACTTTTTATTTGCATTGCGTTTATCAAACTCTGTCTACTCTACTGTCTACCGCTTATGGAAATGATACGTGTTGTAAATTAGCGTCGATCATTCGTGCACGTCTTGACAGACGTGTCGCGACACGGTCTACTTACTCATTCTGCACGAGTCTCTCTAAAATGTCGGGTACTGTGACGGCTTCCAGTCGCGACCCGTTCGAACTGACTAGACTAGCGGAAGAACTAGCTGCTCGTGAAGCAACCTCGCGTCCCGAGAGACTTTCGACATCGGTGGACCTCCCAGAATTGCTACCATTATCCCATGACAATGAAAACCTCACTGCACCAGACTTCAATGTCGAAGATTTCTTACTGTCGCGCTCAAATATGTCGCTGCCAGACCTTCGAGCTGAGCTGCGCGAATATTTGGCAAAGCTCAAGGAGGAACTTGTCAAACTCATCAATGATGATTATGAGGCTTTCATTAGTCTCAGCACGGATTTACAGGGAGAAGGTGATAGATTAGAACGGATAAAATGGCCTCTTGGTGATCTACATTCTCGGATTCAGGTGCGTTTATTGTCTTTTGGGTGCTTCAGGAAGCTGATAGTCGATAGGATTCGAGAAGTCAGTTACAAGGAGTGCAGGATAGCGTGCAAGCTAAACTTGACCGAAGAGCAACCTTGCGCGAAGAGAAGGTATGATTTGTCTATTCATTAGTGAACTCGTCTTACCCTTCTAACTCTGATCTGTAGGCAATGTTGCAGCTGCTGCTGAAAATATCAGACTCGATTACACGATTAGAATCATTACTCCTCATCTCGTCGCCGCAGGAAGGCAATCCACCAGGACAAAGTTCGTACCTGGAACGATGCTTGTCCGGGGATGACATTACCGACGACAAGTACGTGGCTGAGCTGTATTAATAATATTTTCTTACGGAGTCTGTCAAGGTCGACGAAAGGAAAACGTGCAAAGCATCTTCTCCGAATTGCGACTGAGTACAACCAGCTTCTCTATCACACGAATAAAGCGTCCAAAAAGAACTGCTCGTTCGTAGCGGAGAGTCAATGGGTTTGTGAGCTACGCATATTGCACATTATTCAATGTCACTGAAGCGCTCTGCAGAGGATAGAGCGGATAAAGTCAACCCTCTCCTCCGACCTAGAGCATCATTTTGCAATTACCTTGCTCTCATTGACTTCGAACGACAAAACTTCCGCAGTGGCGAAAGCTCGACAACCGGAGACGGAACATGCCAAACTCTTGTCGGACTTGGTTGATTGTCTTCGGGCATACGACATGCTCGGTCTCTGGCGAGACGCAGAAGATATCATACGACGCGAAGTTGTTCGAGGCTTCGTGAAGAAGGTATTTCATTATTATTATTATTTTGTTATGCTTTATATATAACTTGCTAATTCGTGTTATCATTTAGACTATATTTCCTGGTTGTCTATCGGGTCCTCTTTCTCCGGTGATGCCCCACACTCCTCTCGTGCAACAGCCACCTGGCGCCTCCTTGTTCTCTCGACCACCGCCTACGCCTTATACTCCTTACACTGCCTTACCATCGAAGCAGAATCCGTTCTTCGCGAACGTAACGGATTTAGACTCAAGCATATATCTGCTAGACGACAGTGACAGTCCCCTCGCAGGAGTTTATAATCAAGTCTTGCGTTTTATTGCCAGGGACATGAAACCCATTATGGAGGCTGCGGAACAGGTTGCGTCGAAGAGCCGTCAAAAGTCCTCCGTTTTGTCAGTAGACATAACGAACGCGGAAGGCTCGACGGAGTATGGCTTTGATATCTTGTCGAACGTAATCTGGGCTGAGGTCTCTCGAGCGATTATGGACGATTTGGGCTCGTCGGTATTTGCTGCGGGAAAGCCGGACGAATTCCGCAAGGTTAGCCGTATGCATTCGGTTGTATTTTCGGAGCTGATTGTTGGCATGCCTAGAACTACGAAACGACTCAGGCTTTCATTCGTTCCATCGAATATCTGGCGCCCTCCATACACTCAGTCAAAGCACTCAGAGTGCACCATAGCTTCGGGACTTTCGAGCGACGATGGCAGCTCCCCGTCTACTTCCAGTTACGTTGGAAGGATATTGTCAGCCGAGTTGAAGAAGCACTGGAGTCCAAATCGCTGTCACCAACCACCAGTAACACAAAGTCGGGTGGAGCTGAAACTGCGCTTGTACTCAGCCAATCAAGAGCCATCTTGAATGCGCTTTCTCAGTGTTGGAGTCCAGAGATCTATATGCTTGATCTTGCGCCGAGGTTCTGGAGACTCACACTGCAGGTACTCGATTTTTATTTTATATCATGTCTTCGATTCTGAACACCTGTATATAGCTGATAAAGAGATATCGTACTTGGATAGAGTCTAACCTGCCATCTCTAGAAAACTTGGACAAGATGAAATCACCCCTAACAGACAAGGTGTCATGGCCCCAAGTCTTCCGTGGAAAAATGACCAACTGACAAGTTTTCATAGGTTGCTAGCTCTGGGCTACCAGGTTCCCGCTCATCCACTCCTACTCTACCTCAAGACAATTCTTCTGTCGATCGCACAGCCGAGGACGACAAATGCTTGCTGCAATGTGCAGTACTACTTCGCGACTTGAAGGGAATGGAGCAGGTGGTTCAGCGACTTTGGCGAGAACAAACCAGCTCGATGCTCCCTCATAGCTCTATGGATACCAACGAAGAAGAGACTGGCGAGCCAGAAAGTAAATACCCTCTTGTTGAACATATTACTATATCGTTGACTAAATTTTTTCACTATCCTAGACGCATTGAAGTCCGCGCTATCATTTGTAACCGAAATAGTCCCATCGCTGTCATCTCAAGTGGAACTCATCCTCACCAATCGATGCTGCGATGCCTTGGCACCCGTCAAGTCTCTTCCAGGCCAATTTCGCGCAACTTCCCAGAAACATATGCCGACGAAGCCAAGCTCGTTCGTGCCATTGATCTTACGACCAGTCAAGTTATTCTTTGGGATAGACACAGGAGAGGGCCCTGCAAAGGCGTTACGAAACGATTTCTGTGCGCCGATAAGCACGAATGTTGTTGAGCCCGTTTCAAATAAGTACGTCGAGATCATGTCTCGATCGGATAGACCATTAATTTTAATTGGCTTAGGTATCTTCAACACCTATCCGCAATGCGCAAAACCGAGGAGTCGTTACGACGACTTCGGATGGGTAAAAGAACTGGATTCTCCTTGTTTGGTGGTGGCTCTAGTTCCACTACCGACGATGATGCACGAGACGAGGAGCGGGTTCGTGCACAGCTCATACTTGATGTCAAAGCATTTGCGAAAGACGCAGAAGCACTGGGTGTGAACCTTGATAATTGCTCGTCTTTCAGGGCTTTGGAGCGCTCCGTACATGCGAACGAGGGAGAACCAGAGGTTTCCTGATAGCCCAGATATTTACCCACAACAGTCTGTCAGTTAGATAGTTGTTTCATCAGTGAATGTAGATATGAATATTACGATTACATATAACTTGGTTAATGCATAAGAATTGTCTACATGATACCGATTGATACCGATAATTTAAATCCCAAAAGTCAGTGGATAAGTAGCAAAACATATGCAATATATATTACGCATGGTTTGAATTTGATGGATAACATGTTGCATGGTATACTCCGGTCCGGGACACGATAACTGAATTCTTTTGTGGGGGAGAGGATGGGTCGGATCGAACTGGCGTGCCAGGATGGACTGCTTTCCTACACGTCAAGCATTTCGACGAGGCCGCTGGCCATCCCTTTGAGCGTTCCTTGGTCAAGTCTTCGTATGTATCAAAGAAATCGGTATCGATGATTCGCTTGCTCATAGCCAGCAGATCGCCCTCTGAACGGTACGACTCGAGCATGCTTGTGATTATGTTTCGGAACTCTGCGTACTTCGCACCAGACTGGCTATGCGAGTGTGCTGTGGAGTCTACTAGTCTCTTGAAGAGCCGAGGGAACGAGACGGCTTTCGTAGAACTGACAGCTACGAGGCTGGTGAATGAATATTGCACGAGCCCACGGAGTGAGGATATTACTCGTTCTTCTGCGGGTGTACATGATGACACGCCGTCGCCATATGAGATGCTAGATGAAATTGCTTGCACGGCGTCGATTTGACTGCTGAGCAACTTGAACCACAGGTCCTCCAATGGGACGTCAGCTTCTGCTGTCTGTTCCGAGTGCTCTCGGCATATGTCGATACCCATCCGACACAAGGCTTCAAATTTAGCCAGCTGTTCTTCCAATTCTGGCGTTACGGTGGCAGAGCCCTCCTCACGGAGGAGTGCTTCGCCCAGGTCGGCTGTTTGGTTTCGACTGAACTCCTCAAGTCTGGACAATGACTCTACAGCGCTTTCCTCGTTGATTAGCCAGACAACTGCTTCATACATCCTTTCTTCCTCGCATATACGCACGATCTCATCGGTATCTAGTGAGTTCGTAGGCAGATATTCAAGGCCCACGATGACATTCGATGGTTCCAACTGGCAGAGGAGTCTCAGGTATAGCTTTTGGAGACTAGCACTGACCGACGTGGATGGACCATTCTCCCGTGTGAAACCAAGAGACTCGTCCCCATTCAGCGGCGGTCCCAAAAGACATCGTAGGTATGCGTATCGCTTGTGATCATCTGTAACTTGGAAATCGTCGATTACTTTGGAATGCATTCCGGGTGCATATTTGTCAATGAGTAGCGCCGTATGTGGGATGCTCATTTGAAGAAGCAAAGGGATCGAATACTGCAGGCTAGAGATAACATCTTCCGGAAGCTGATTTCTACCGGCGCGGAGTGCGTGCGACAACGTTTGTTCCACGTTTGGGAAGACTTCCTCGGATGACAGCTCCGGGTCATGGACATAGGTCCGCAGTAAGGCAGCCCATTGCCCTTCTTGCCGATACCACGTCCGTAGGATGCGAAAGAACCCAGCGTTTTCGAACAAGTGCAAGATTTTCTCGCTATCGTGAGGCGTGTATGCAGAGAGAAGAAACTCAGCAGCTAGCTGACGGTCTTCTCGAGTGCTCTGGTCCGCGTCGGAAGCCAGACCAATTAACAAGTTTTGCAATGCACTCGGGGCGATATGGATGAATTGTGGATATTTGGGTACGTTTCGCGCAACAAAGATATTGACAAACGTGACGTCGGCTGGAGAAAGGGATGGGCCAGATGTCACTACGATGTCAAGAAGAATCTTGATTATGATCTGTCTGCTCGTCCCATTTGTCTCATCATTGAGGTAACTTTGTTCGAAAGCGATATCCACTACGTGAAGAAATGCCTCCGCATCAAAGCGAAGGAGAAGCCGAGCATATGGATAGGTTGGTTCGATACCGCCTTCTTCGTCTGCTGTAAGTACTAGCTTGCCACCACCTCCAGCTGGCCACACGAATGATCGACCGTGGAATAAGAACGAGTAAACGTCGTTCTGTGCCTTCAATGCGTCCTCCGGAGATAATGGCGTCTCGCTTGGATACCTTAATCCTGATAGGATGTTCGATAGATAAGGATAAATTCTGTATGCGTTTAGCACGAGATTCTCCTCATTAATACCATCATAAGAGGCCGGGTGGTTGAAATCGGAAACTCCCAACATCCGGTCCCGCCTGGTTTGCTGCACCTTCCGGACCATACCAAGGAGCTCGACAATAGGAGTGATGTAATCCTGAAGTGCAGAGTTGTAGATATAAATGAGAGCATCATAAAGGTGGTATTTCTGGCACAGTGTAAGGACCTGATTGATGTCTAGACAATCGGGATCTATATGCCATATGAGCCGTTCTGCAGCCTCGTAGTCACCACATTCATCATGCATTGCCACAAGACGCTGGGTAATTCGGGGTGGAATGAAATGAATAGACCCATCGAGAATGAAAGGCTCGAGTTGGTGCAAATAGATCTGCGAGATACCCGAATCATCATAGTACTGGAAGAGGTCTTCGAACAGGAAGTCAAACTCGTCCAGTGCTATGCACGCTCGAGCACAGGTTGACACAAGGTCTTCAAATAATGAAGTTCGATCGACTCCTCGGTTGTCAGCGGTAACATGCGTTGAGTCCGTCAATCGATCCTCAGAGAACGCATAACGTGCGGACGCAACCATTAAATCGCTCATCTTCTCGCCGACCATGGCATGCATTGCATCGACGTCTTCGGGAAGTCCATTCTTATTACCCTTCGCCTGGCCAAGGTAATAATCCCTTGCTAAGTTTATGGCACTCAGGAAATCGCCTTCTTGCACATAGGCTAATATACGGTCCGCCCATGATAATAGTGTGCCAACCTTCACTTCTTTATACTCCTAATTTAAGAACTTGCGTTAGAAAATGAATGAATACTTCACGATTTTTACTGACAAGAAGGAATATTTTGCCCTTATAGACTCGCACGCTATGATGAATGTCCCGTACAGAATCCTGATAAGCCATGGCGCCATTTGCAGTATAACTTAGAGTTGGAGAAACCAGGTTCAAGGCTTCGTACGCGACATTCTCCACAACCTTGGACGCGCGAATATCGAATACCTCAAGGGTCGCATCCGTGAACAGGATGATTTGCTAAAGAAACCGTCATTAGCAACTGATAGAATCTGGACTTCCGAAGCCGCTTACATTCAGGTTCAACCATTGAATAGCAAGAATATCAGACCGAAGGTTTAAGAGGCCATGATCTTCAAAGTTGACTTTGCCCGTGTCAACTTTCTCGATTTTGCCTGTCTTTTCGTTTCGTACAGTCTGCAAGATACGGGATTCCGAAACCCGAAGTATGTACAACGTACTACCCCAAGAATACGCAAGCAAGGGTAATGATGCATTTTGTAGGGCGCTTTGTCTTTTATCCCGCTTCTTAGTTGCTTTTACCACATTCTCCGAAGTAGAAATGCTTGGGAACCATGCAAGGCAACCTCGCCACCTTGACCTTCCGTTATTCCCATCTTCGCCTTCTCGATGCCGTCGATGCCAAGTTTTCGGAGTTGGCTTCAAGCCCACAATTACGAGTTTGATGGGAGTCAACATTGCGACAAGTTGATACGAATCGGTAGGATGCTCAACCGTACCCAAAGGCAGTGGTCCCATAGATAAAATGGCATTTGCCTTACGATGGACTTGTTGAGCAAGTCGAGGGGTAGCCGAGCCATTTGGTGAAGGGATCGCTGATCCATTCTGGGGGTCTACACGTTTTATAGGCTGCTGAGAAGCAATAGGCTCCTCTTCAGGATATTTTCCTAATAGGCGTAGGCAATCGTTCGCGTCCATAAACAGAACCCTTCCTAGGCTGTGGTAGAATGACAGTCCCTGGTCATCTGCAGAGACAACCGCTGTATGCCGTCCAGATATGAAACCAAGCGAAACGATACGAGAACCAAGCAGATGGCCTTCCTGTCGACCGGACCGGACCGCAGCCAGTTTAGTCGGAACGACAGTTCGTGCAGCAACGAGTGGCTGCTTAATGTCGAAAAGCTGTATGTGGCCTTGACCATGTCCAACAGCCACGAAGGTATGGTCATGCGAAAGTGCCAATGCCGTGACAGGTCCATAGGATCTAGCTAACAAAATAAGTTAGAAGAGAGCTGAAAAGAATATAGGAGAAAAAGGCTTACCCGAGTTATCGTCACCGCATATACACTTCAGCTCTTGTTTAAAGTCAAACACAAACACACGTCCAGAATCCGTGCCAATGCAGATCAAGCCGTTTGCTGCTAATACTGTCGGCGAGCCTAAGACGGGAGAACCGAGGATAGCATTAGCCTTGTCTGGAGCCTTGTGATAGACATGTTCTCCAATAATGCGTAATGTTGTCCACTTGAAGGCCTCCTGCTCTTTCCCGACATCTGATACAGTGTCTGCTATTCGCAAGTTGGATGTTGATGAAGTTCGAGAAATGGATGAAAAATGTGAAGGAGATGGGCTTAAAAGATCTCGCCCAAGAATATTTGCAGTACCAAGACTGGATGAGGAGACAACACGCTGCCGTGGCGTGGCCGGTAGACTTGACCGGAGTCTTGAGATACTGGGATGAATGAAAGGGCGCGAATCGTTGATGAGAACGCTTGCATAAGGCAGACTCATCCTAATGGGTGGCAGACGAGATTGTTGGGAAGACGAGGCTGAAGCTGACCCTTCAGATGGTGATGTTTCTGTCTGACGGAGTTTGAGTGTGAGGAAAATGATGCATAGAATAATTACAACATGTGGACTTACGACGTAGACGTGTTCACCGGCCTCATGGGACTCGTCCGTCTGACGGATGGAAACTTGTGTATTTTCACCGCTATCAATTGCTCCATCTACACTGTCCAACTCATCGTCGTCCAATACATCCTTCAGTTGCTCCCGATATCCGCCTGAAGATACTTCGGCGTCCTTGCCAGTGTATAAGAATTCCTCCTCCTCTCCCTCGTCATCTTCACCTTGAGCCTCCTGGCTCCCAGCATCATATCTCCAGCTATTACTGTGGTCGGATCCGTCTTCGCTCAATATCTCATCCATGCGCGTGGAATAGTCACCCCGACCACTCCCGTCAGAACCGTCATCGTCAGAAGGAGAATCACGCGTCAGATTCCTAATTGTCGCGTAGTCATCGTCATCGGAATCTTCACTTTGCGTATGACCATTTGAGGAATTCGGAAAGGCGTGCGACGTTGTTGCGTGCGACGAGGACATTGCGCAGTAGACGGTTAGGTTGGTGGAATCCACATGCATGAGGTCTATAACCTTCAATATAAATGGATGCCACGTGATCAAAAAGTAAACGCGTCTCGCGTTCTCTTCGTCACCGTCAATCATCTATCGGGTAAACTTACTACACTGACGCCGTCCGTAGTGTAGTAAACAGTCTGCAAGCGTAGATTCTCGTATGGCTACCACTGCTCTTAGGATACCAGCTAGCCGTACAGGGACTCCGAACATACCATCTCCTCATCCCAAACCCACCGTCTCACTGGAAGAATGGGAAGCCAAGGCGCCTCTTTCGGATACCGAGCTCAGAAGTGTCACTGCTATACAGGATGCTCTCAGAGAGAAGGCTCTGCCTTTGAAGGTTGGATACTATCTTAAGAATAGTCCAAGTTATTGTGGAACTTAATATTCTGCAGGAGCCCGATACCGAAGAAATACTAACTCAAAGTTCGCCCGCGACCCCAAATTATCGAAGCGATATTGTGAACTCTGCTCAACGTTCAGGGACACCTAGGCCGGAAGCCAGATTACCTATCCGAGATACTCAGACCTTACGCCCCAATCGCCCTGTGCAAACTACTCAAGAGTTTTATGACTGGTTCTCTCTGATCGAACGCTCGGTCGCGCATGCCCAAGAAGCTCATTACAGAGACCACCTGTCGGCTGTGAAGAAGCATTTGGACACTTGTGAAGACTTGGCCGACAGTGTGGACTCAGTGCATCAAGATGTAGATCAAATGCTTGATGGTTGGCAGAGCGTTGAATCGGGAGGTAGGAGTCTGAAGGATGCATGTGAAGAACTTCTGGACGAACGCGTATGTTTCCTTCTGGTGACATGTCAATTATTCATGATAATCTTTGTCTGCTGTAGGACAGGTTGATCAAATTGACAGAAGATGTCGGGGCACGCTTAGAATATTTCCAAGAATTGGAACGTGCCACTCGGTTGCTCAATCATCCAGGAGAATCCCTTGTCCTCCAGTCCGACTTTTTGGAAATGGTCGAACGCGTCGACATCTGCATTGACTTTCTCCGTAACCACGTAAGTGAACAATCTTTATTATTGTGAAGCACACAACTCATTCTATTAATAGCGACACTATCGCGAAGCAGAGATCTATCTCCTTCGTTTCCACCAGTGCATGACACGGGCCATGACATTAATCAAGATGTATTTTGTTGGCTCACTGAAGGCTTTAACGTCCGATATCATGAAACGCCATTCATCCAACGAGATTTCCTCAACTGCGCAAATGCATCTCCTTTACACACGTTTTCAGTCGGTCGCTATGCAAGTGGCTCCGCTAATCGGCGAACTAGAGCGAAGAACGCGATCACATCCAGAAGACTTGTCTGCTCTTTTGGCAGAATGTCATTCAGCATACTTTTATGCACGCAAATCCCTTTTGTCTGGTAGATTAACAGAGGAGATCAAGGGCCTAGATCCAAGTAGATCTGACTTGGTTGAGCTGGTGAGTGTTCCCGTATTATTCCGAGTTGATTTGAACTCAGGTAGCAAAGACAAGAGCAGGCTGTACCTATCTCAAACAACTTTGTATAGACGAGTTCGCGCTGTATAAATGTTTCTTCAATTCAGGGAGGGACTTGCTCTAGTGAGACTTCATTCTTCGTTTTGAGCAGCACGAGTGGCTAATGCGATATCAGCACATATTTAGAGAGCCTGTGTGATTACTTATACGATGATCTCAGGCCGCGTATTCTTCACGAACCGCGACTTTCGATCTTATGTAGTGTGTGCAAAGTCTTGCAAGCACTGATGGTTCTAGACGTGCCAGAGGACGAAACATCTTCAGACGAAGAGGATGGCTATGGTCGACATACGGAATCGCAACAGGGAACTGAGCAAGGGCTTGGAAGGCTGCACATCAGCCAGATGCTTCGAAGCGTGTTGCAAGATGCTCAAACTCGTCTACTGTTCAAGGCTCAGACCGTTGTTCAAGCAGAGGTGCGATACTATGTTCCAAAGCCGGAGGAATTGGACTATCCGAAGAGACTACAAGGTATGTAGTCGTACGCTCAGACGCGTGGAAGTTTGCTAAATGCTACTGAATATTTTCAGAAGCGCTTCGGCGTCTGCGTACAACTCACAACAAGGAGCGAGAAACCACCAATCGATTTTCTGAAATGCATTCATTTGGAAATCGTGACACGTGGTATGCTGCCTTACAGACGACAGTTACGGTACTTGACCAGCTTCACGAGTTTGTGCAGGTACGTAGATGTGACTAAGTCAAACAGTGATTAAATGTAAACTCCGCATTTCTACCCAGCCTACAATCTTCGACGACATCGCGCAAGAGGCAATCGAGCTCTGTCGGATAAATCTCCTTACTGCAGCGAATATGATTGCCGCACGATCATCTCCACCCGAAGAACTTGACGCACAACTTTTCCTTATTCGACATTTACTTGTGCTGAAGGAAATGATCAGCGTGCTAGACCTTACTGATCGAGACGCAGATGGATCATTTGAGTTCCGGCATGTCGCAGGTACATGGCAACGTTCTTATATACTGTCCCCACTAGGTGCTGAAGTTCATTTATAGAAACATTAAGAGATATGCTACGAACTACAAGCTTCATTCCGTACGCTTTTGGAACATCGGCGATTAAGTCGCGAGACGATACTCCTACAACTGGAAGCAAAGTGCGTCATTCGAACATGTTTTATATATGTCCCTAATATATGCTACTATACAGGGCATCGACGGAGACCTCAAACGCGCGTGCGAAGTCATCATCCAGCTCTGCGCCCGAAGCGCCACGGAACCAATTCAAGATTTCATGCTTTCACTAGACGCATTTTCGGCGGCGGTGGCTGCATCGCCACCTACGAAGAACAACGCCACGCAAAATAACAAAACAGAAGACAAACGCGAGAAGGCTCTTGTCACGCGAAGTGCCGCAATTGACGTCGAAGCAACATTCCGTGCTTCACTTGAGAAGGAGGTTCCACAAATAGTTGAAAAACTCACGTTGTATCTCGCCGAAGGTGAAAAGGGTACGGATAATATTGGAAGTCCAGACGTGAGCAAAATTAAAAGCAGTCCACGAACTGCTGCTGGTACAGGCACAGTCTCTGTGCTACTCGCACATGTACAGGAACGCGTCGTCGATGCGTACATCGCATTCCGTCGAGCAGCTGAGATTTTGCCTGCTGAGGATAATGCTAATGCTGGGGACGATACTGCCGGTAGCGGGACGGAGAATCGAAATTTCGCAAGTCCCGAGGATATTCGGACGTTATTCAAAGCCTTGTGTTAAAATTTTTATGATCTTCCAATTCCAATTTTGTTTAATCTAATCGCCGCAGACGTCATCCGGCTTAGCAAAGCATCATGATGGATTGAGTCATTCAATGATTCATTCATTGCTGTACGTGTTGACATAGATAAGAAAGGACATGAATGGTACGACAAAAGTGTGATTTGAAGAAGTGAACAGCAACAAGACGCTATAATACAACTGAACAGCATAAATCTGAATTCAAGCTAGAAAGCGACCTCCCGATATTCCAAGCAGCGGCGGCGGCTGGTTGACAAGCCAAGTGATCTACACCCACTGGCCCTTGTCCCATGCAGGGTCCTGAAGGAATGCGCATAGGACTTTGCTACCAGTCTGCCCATCAATAGCGTAAGTTAGATTCAGACTCGAAGTAAAAGAACTGGTGACAGACCTGAAGCAGAGGGTGACCAGCAACGATGGTGAGGAAGCGCTCGAGCCCCTCGCGACGAGCCTCAATAACTTCGTCAGAGAACCGATTCGTGAAGACCTTGCCGGGAAGTGGAGGGATGTTAACACGCGTAGATTCGCGCTCGAGGATATCACGGAACGCCTCAAAGTCGCTATAGCGCCTCCGCACGACCGAGTGCCGCAACTTGAATGCCGGGATGTTCGTCTTTAATTAGTTATGGGCGCGTCAGATATACACAAACAAAATTAGAAGGTTAGAAGTAAGAGCGGACCTTGCATATTATTTCGTAGTCGGTGTACATCTTACGACCGAAGCCTACAGGGTTGATAAATGGGCTATGAGGGAAGTAGCAGGAGTGTCAAAGTGATGACACATACCATGTGTTTGGGGATTTGTCACCTCTATTTCGAGAAAGCTCTCCGGGACAGAGTACATCTCCTCGATCTATAAAGCATCACCGTTCGACTGATGAGCTGCAGGTCGGCGCGGGGGCGGCGTTGTGATGCTTACTGTCTGCTCGCGGAACCCGAGGTTGGTGCCATCAAGCGTAGTAGAGCCGCTAAGGCTGGCGCTACGCGCGAACGGAGAGACTGTGGACATTGTGTGTACGCGACTCTGTGGTGCTCAAGATGGGTAGTTCTACTACTGGACAGGAATAGAGAGTAGTAGGGGTAGGAGGACAAGAGGGGTACGGGACGATTGTGCCATTGGGAGTCACGTGCGGTACATTTCGTCTACAGGTATAGGCCAGGCCATTCATTCCAACCCGCCCTCGCTGTTCTCCCTCCCTCCCTCCCTCCCTATCCCTCATCTCGCGCCCCAGATGGCCCCGTCCTCGCCAAAGGAGAAGCGTCGCACAACCCGACGCTCAGCTCACTCTTCCTCAAAGTCCTCGGGCTCCGGCTCTTCCTCCCCCGATTCTGCCCCGCTGCCCCCTCCCCCTTCACTCTCAGAGGCTGTCCGTTCTGCCGCATCCTCTTCCTCGACCTCCGCAGCTCGCGCAAAGCGTGCCAAGGACGACGCAGATGACTTTCACGTCATCGCATCGACTTCTCATCGCAGAACCACCTCCATCGCGTCTACTACCAACGGTGCCCTCAGCGCGCCCGCACCCACTGCTTCCAAGCGAGCAAAGCGGAAGGGCAAGGAACCCGTAGCTCCTGTCGACGAACCAGCAGACGCAGCTCCACCAGACGCGATAGATGAAAAGCCCGTCGACAGTACAACGGACGGAGAGAAAGGCGATGAGGATGGAGGAATCACCCGTTGCGTCTGCGAAAGTCTGGGTTCGTGATGACTTGTCCAACTTACACGGGACGCTGACCCCCACTCCACTTTCTCTTCTTCACACATCCAGATGACGACGCGGATGCTCCAGATTTCATGATTCAATGCGATAAATGCCTGACATGGCAGCATGGCCCATGCATGGGCTTCTCCCAAGAGAGCGAAATTCCCGAGGGCGTTTATTATTGCGAGCAGTGTAAACCAGAGGATCATGTCGAGCTTCTCAGGTGTGTCCTCACTTGACTCCCTCCCTCCTTCCACCATCTAATATGCGCACAACCAGGAAACTAGCTAAAAGGCAACGACATAGCTCTGAGAAGTCGGCGCAGGTCTCGCAACGCTCTCGGACGTCTCGCTCGCACTCCCCGACACAATTCTTAAAACAAACAAAGCGCCGAAACACAATGAACAGTCGTGATGCCGCATACGAAGAAAGTATACAAGAAATTCTCGAACAAAGCGCGGCGGAAGCCGCGCCCCGTGCTGACACTCCAGCCAAAGATAGAGCCGAAAGCGTGGCGAAGACGGAGGAGGTCTACGAGGAGATAATTGAAATAGGACCGGGAGGGCGAAAGAAACGGAAAAGACTGGATGACGACATGTACGTATACGCCTCCTTTTAATTTCATCCGTGCGTGCGACACTCCTCTCACATTGCACCTTGCAGGATGCCAACTAAACGCAAGCGCTCTGCGTCTTTAATATCGGAGGATGTTGGATCTGCAATTACTGCACTCGACAAGGCAGACTCAGCCGCGCCGATCACCACTCCTCTTTTGCCACCACCTGCGCCTACTAAGTCACGTGCTAGACGAGGTGGCCGGAAAAACGCCGCTGCTCAGGAACCCTCTGTGAATGGCGAAGGCGAAGATGGTTTGTAGTCTATTCCAGTGTGAATCTACATGTGCTTACTAACTAATCGATTAGCGGGGACTTCCACAGCAAAGAAGCATCCCAATCAATATACATACCGTGGAAAAAATGCGAACGGCGTGTCTCGTCGTGCGCCGCAATCAGCAACAAGCCAAGGTCAACAGACTATAAGCACACATGAGCATGGAACTCGCAGAAATGCTAGTAATGCGGCCAACGGCGGGAGCGGCTCTGGTGGAAGTTCAAGAAACAACCACAACGCATATTACAATAATGTCCAATTGCCTATGTTCGCAAGCTGGGGTCTCCCAGATTACCTTGCCCACCTCCAGTCGATACTCCCTTCCGAGATTCCGCCAGCGTTACAGATTCGCGGTGCGACGAGCTTTCTTAAGGAAGAAACTAGCGAAACGACCACCAGTGGCACGGTGGAGAACGCCAATTCGCAATCAAACGCGCGTGGATCTATGGGACCGCCGCCTAATGAACCTACCGATTTGCAGGCTGCCCAGATGGCAAGCGCGTTGGCGAGTGCTACAGAATCTGTCACTGAGCGTGGCGTTAAAGTAAAATGGCCTGCAAAGCGGATGAGCGTTGCTGATATGAATAAGCGAGTGCGAGCTCTTGTGGAATGGGTGGGGCGCGAACAGGCACTTGCGCTTGATAGAGAACGGAGAAAAGCAGCACTTGATAATGCTTTACAAGTACATTTAGAGAAAGTTCGTTTGGACTCGACTATAACGACTACTGCTGAGGCGGCGGAAAGTGCAAAAGCAAACGGCGACGACGTCCCTGAGGAGCCATCCGCGATGTCTGTTGACGACACAGCGCCTACCACTAATGAGCCTGAGAGGGATAAAATTACTACAGCAGCACTACCACCACTAGAATCGGATCGCTTAGAAACGCCAAGACTATCATTCGCCGCATGTCTCAACTCCTCTTCCACGACACGTCCGTCGACGTCCAAAATGATGGAGGAGCTCATGGAAGAATTGATCAGTTTCCAGGAGCGATTTGGTCCGAGTGCAAAGGGCCAGGCAAGGGATCGACGTGTTGTTGCATTGGCATAGCATATATGCGTGTGCTTTGTCGTTTTACTTGTCCCCGCCACCCACATCACTAGTTTCAACGGAGTTTTGTATCCATTTTCCTTTATCATGGTTGCGCACATCCCCTTATCCCATTTCGTCCTCAGCTTCCAGTTTTCTGTCTCTTTCCATTGCTGTCCTATCAGGCTATTTTTTGTGCGTTTTCTCTACTATCGACCATGATGACTTTTTTATTTGTATGTGATGTACCCGAGGTTAATTGCAGAAGCAGACATTTTTCTCTAGTGATATCAAACGGAAAGTTTAAGTAAATACTATCCTTACTCAAAATGAAGTGAGAGAGTAAACAAGGTTATGTTTGATCTATGCTGGTAATACATCTATATCTACTCGTCGACATAAAAATATCCTAACACATTACATTAACATCTACTACAAAACTAACTAACCATATGACGTTCCACCCGACTCAGCCACACCCTCCACACGCCACACTTTAATCACACCTGCTCGGTCACCAGTTAATATCCCACCTCGGAACGGCGCGTCTAAGCAAGCAACTGCGCGTACACAGTCTTGGTGTGCGCGGAGGAGGTTTGATTGGTGGCTCATGATGAGTGAGGCGCGTTGACCGGCTCCTGCGTGAGGTGGACTGTTTGAGGAAGGGGTCTCGACGTATAGCGTGACGCCGTCTTTCGAAACGGAGCTAGTTATTAAAAGAAAATACGTTTGAGTCCATACCATTTATTTAGATAGAGGGAACGAAGAAATAAATTGAAACGAATGGATGATTAGAGACTTACGAGAAGCTCATCCGATCCTGATCTTCATCCCGTTCGCTCAACACAACAGACCGATCAAACCGTTCGAGATCGAGTAGTTTCACACTACAGTCCTCACTTCCAACTACAAGGAACCCAAGTTTCGAACCGCTCCGCCCCGTTCGCTCGACGTCCATCGATAAATCAACAAATGATCGAGTCGAGCCTGTGTATCCACCGAAATCTACGCCGGCAACCATGGATGTTACAGTTCGCGATGGTTCATTAGATACTTGGTTGGCTATTTGTTGGCCTGTAGTATCACCGAATGGCATAGCTGGTGAGGGTTCACCGTTCTGCCGAGCTCTGACAAGGGAGGCAATCGCTGCGGCTGGACTGGATTCCGCAATGACAGCTTCTACAGGTTTGGTGAGAGACGGCGCTAGTTCCGATGCGGCGTTTGCTGAAGATGCGTTGGCTGAGATGAACCACTCGACTAACACGGCCTTCTCGACGTCCCAGACTTCAATAAGGACTGTACCTGGCTGGTCTTGAAGCGCCTCTACACCGTCAAGTGCAACCATAATCCATCGTCCTCGACCTTTCGATGGATGAAGTACACATTGTCGTATTCGCACAGGTCTACCGTTCCCTATTGATGTACCGACGGACCACGTCCTTAGCAATAAACCAAACCGGAGATCCCACAATGAAAGCATCCCAGAAAGAGCAGCTGCCACTAGCCATGTGCGTTTTCTATCAAGACAGAAAGAGACGATAGGTCCGTGATGTCGAGGGTTCTCCATTGTTAATAATGTTCGCATTGTACTAAGGTCCATCAGTACGATGGAGGAGCGGTTCGTCGCGAAGATCAGGTTTGACAAGGAATCTACGAAATTTTGAGTAATTGCTTCATCGACGTAGGCATGCGAACCACTTACCGGAATTATAGTGCATCATGCACTGTATGTATTCACTTGGCCTCTCAACTCTGTACTCGCGAACTACTTGCAGCTTGGTATACTTCGGCATCGAGCTACCCTGATGAACATGAACACGAATGACGTGAAGACTTCCATCATCAGCCGCGCTTGCAAAAGCATGGTGGCCTTCCAGTATACAGACACATTTCACCCGTGCGTGATGTTGTCCATACGTATGCCTTGGTTTACTGGTGACGTTTCGTTCCAACCGAGCCGTATCCCAGACTTTGACAGTCTTATCGTCTGAGCACGAAACGAAGAAAAGATGGTCTGGTGATACTGCGATGCCGTTCACAGCATCACTGTGAGAATTAAGGTGGGCTATGAGTGTTGCTTCAACATTTCTTCTGTTGGAATCCCTTGCGGTGAAGCTTTGACGAGTAGTATTGCGCCTTCTTACTGGACCTTCATGGACGCGGGGACCAAAATCGACTTGTGCTTCCCTATTCATGTCACTGTAGACGTGTTCTAGGAACGTATTAACTGCTGTATCTTGACCATCTGCGCAAGACGTTCAGAACAATCAAACCGGTGAAGATAAAGTCCTTACCTTCTGAAATAAGTGGGACGGGACTTCGGGATCCGCGTGCCATGTTTCCGAACGATGTTGGAGAAGTAAGACCAGACTGGTCGCGCTCCACTTCCACCATTGTCCTACCCGGTGCTTCAAGAAGACCCATAGCGTTCGTTCGAACAGATCCGACGGCAGGTGCAGCCTTAACACCTTCCACAGAGCCAATACTAAACCGAGGTCTAATACTGACAGAGTTCGTAGTCGAGACTACAGATTCCGTCGGGCTACCCGGCCTCATAGGAACTGAAGGAGGAAGCTCTTGGACCGCTGATGGAAGCCGCAGTGGCATAGGCCGTTCCCGTCCTGCTGAGTTGAGTGATGTATTGGATCCATTGATCGTTGCCAGGCGGCGGCGAAGATCTTCGAAAGGAGCCCCTCCGCCGGCTGGATCATTGCTTGATACACGAGAAAGGCTGTACCTGTCGGAGACGGAGAAACGGTATGTCGCTTCACTCTGGGATACGCGAGAGCCTAGGAATACTGTCTGCGGTACGACCCCGAGCTTCTGCAATTCGACCGTTCCAGTGGTTTGAAGCGTTTCAGATTCAATTACAGTCCTCTGTCGAGATCGAAGGCTGTATTTGTTAAAAATGATTCATGAGTTGATGGCTTAATAGATTAAGGCGAGTATTTACCTATTGACTGCGTCGGCCGACTTCGCTATATAATCTCGAAGAGCCACAAGCTTGGCTTCTTCCAAAGCAGACATGCCGAGCTGCTCCAGTTTACCCAAGTGAATTTCATCCCTATAAACCGATTAATCTAACTAGCTTGGTAAGATAAATAAGAGTAACCCACTCTTCGGATTTGAGCGTTATCCGTATTGCACCTCGAGCGCTTTTCCTAGCCGCAGCAATAGCTGCTTCCTTTGGATTATCAAGTTTTGTCGACGACTTCCTAGGTGTCTTCCAGAATTGAGAATTCCCCATCTTCATCGCCCAATCTAATGCGAAGTCGTATATGTGCCTCGGGAGCTTTGTAAAGAGATGAGATGTTTGATAATATGAGGTTCAGTTTACTAAACGTACTGGAGACTTTAGAGCTTTCAGAATTGATTGCACATCCACAGTACGGATTTCAGACCGTAAGAAGTGCTTTAAGGAAGGATAGAGGATGCACCATACGTCCGTAGTTGGCAGTGCCTTGGCGGCGGATGCAATGAACAAAGATGCTCCTATGCTCATTTAATAAGTTCATCGTGTAATGTAAAGATGTTGCAACCCACCTTGTCGTATCCAGCTGTTCGGGTGATACATGAGTGGTAGCGTAGAGCTCATGAGTTCCCACAGACGCATTTTATGGAAGAGTCCAAGTTCACTCAGAGTTGTCAGCGTGGATAAGACTTTTGCAACGTTCGTCTCTTCTGCATCTGCAGCACTATCAGTGATTTCCTGTGCTCAAAGTTCATTTATTAGAAAGCAATACCTGAAAGTGCCTGCGTCATCAACGGAAAAATGTATTCCTCGAGATTACGACCGCCCAAGCACGCCGCGACATCAACGATACTGTCGAAGAACGCATATCTCAGTAGCCAGTCCCGGTCGTTGAGGTAGGTAATCATGTGGCTTAGGAGCACATCGTTTGTCTTTTGGCGTCCGAAAAAGATGCATAGTGGTGCTATATCTAAGAGTACGGACCGCTTGACCACATTGCTCTGGTCAACAAGCAGAAGGGACAACTGGTTCTCTATAAGATCCTGGAGTTCTTCCAATCGAGCATCGTAAGATATCTAAGGCCCAATAATTAACTACAGGACTCCAGAGAAAATCAGCAGAGACCTACCTCAAATTGCGACTCCCCAAAATGCTGGCCTCCTTCCGAACTCTTGAAATGTCCTTGGGCGCGCATTGTCTGCCCCATCTCGAGATACTTGACCGCCAGGCTGGTAAACGGGACTATTCCCTGGGCGGAGACACTCCTTACAGACAACTCTATATCGGTTGTCATGTAGCGCAGGTAGGGCAGGATATATTGAGGGAATATGTCGGCATTGAAAGGTGAAATGGCTTTAACAATTGCGAGCTAGAAATAAAACAATTAACACTTCGTAACACTGTTAACATTGGGTGACAGACAATCTGCAAAGACGTCCTTAGAGCTGCCATTCTAACTATAGGAGCCTCGTCATGGCCAAGGTCCACAACGTAAGGCAGAAGTCGATCCAGTTTTGCTTCATCCGTAAGGTAGGTCGAGATAACTAGGAGCATGTCTAGAGCCCGCAACTTTGAGCTAGGCAAGCGACAGTTTCGCAGATTTGCACAGATAAGAGATAAAATGATTAATGCTGGGCCATCTGGATAATATGTCAAATTAAATAACTGGAGCAAGACGCAAGTCTGATAAATTACCGTTGGTTGGAGAACTTGATATAGGTAGGGAGCGAGTATGCTGGTCCGACATGCAAGTCACGACAGGCAAGATGCTCTATATGCCACAAATTTCTTCAATAATCGCAATTAAGGATAAATTTTCAACATATTCAGCGTACCTGTATGGGCTTGAAAGAAGAGTATTGGACCGCATAATCAACCTTGACGGCGGTAGTTTGCATGTCATCACTCGGAGGGAAGCACGGCTCGACAACATCGAATTCTGCCCAAATTCGCATAATCCTTCGATCCGAGTCGTTCGGTAGAGGATTCAGCTCATCGCGTGATTCTTCCCCGATCGATGTTTTTTCATCAGACATGGTAGACAGGGTCGGCCGGGCCTGCAAACTCTGTCCCGGAGTCACGCCTCCGCCTGAGGTATTTGAAGTACAGAAAAAAGGAGTAGAAGCGGAAATATCATCGACTGTTGATATGAAGTCATGGATAACGGTGTAGAAGCACTCTGGGAATATGTTTCCGCGGGAAGTATGCAAAAGTGAATCAAATGTTGGTCGGATAGTAGGGTCGATTGCAACCATACGCTTGATGAGGTCCTGGCAAGGAAAGCGGGAGCGAAAATTAGCATAAGTACTTAGATATAATTTTACTTGAAAGACAAACCTTGATTGTATCCTCCTCAATTGGAGATAAATGCTGGTCAAAGTCAAAGTCACCTTGACGATATTTGAAGAGTTGGCTCAGGGTGAATAGAGGCGTCCCCTCGAGGAAAAGCTCTGCCAGAACACAGCCTGCACTAAACACATCCATGGATTCGGTCACCTTTCCCTCCTTCTTGCTACTCTCAACCCTAGTCGAAGTAGAGTCATCGATGGCTTGACTGCGTTTCAGGGCATCCGGCATTTTCTCGGTTGTGTAGAAACGCTCAGGGGCAATGTAGCAGTTCCGCCGGCCGGAAGTATCATAGAAGTAAGCGAAGTCAGAGGGATTATCGAGCGGCAGATATGTGGGTTTGAACGATGAGAAGTCGGTAATGTAAACCCAGTTCCAGGACGTGACAAGAATGTTCTCTGACTTCACATCTCCGTGTGAGACTTTCTTCTTGCGAGCGTCCCGCAGACCAGTCAGTATTTGAAAAGCGATCCACTTCTTTTCAATAGTTGTAAGAAATGGACGAGTACTTCAATAAATGCATGAGTACTCTCTCTTGCGGGGTAAATATACACGTACCTGATCCGATCGTACAAGTTACTCGCAACCCACTGACGGACGAGATATCCTGCCTTGTCCGATTCGGTGAAGATCTGATATGTATACACGTTCTGCACGTCCTGCAGCGCCTTCTTTTCCTCTTAATATAACATGAACATTACTGACTTGTAATGAAGGATGCATAACATACTTTTCAGACGGCGCATGTATTTCTCATCTAACTGATTGTTGTCGGGCTTGACATATATCTTTGCCACGAGGAAGCCATTTCTGTGGCGACAGCGTACGGTCTTCAGGAAACGCGAGGACCCTAAGCTACAAGCGCCAAAGCACATGTGAGTACTGGATATCTACTTGCAACCGACAACACCAAGATGTCCAACCTCTTGTCATATATAATATCTGGACCCAATTCCGAGACAAATGTGTCGAGTGCGCCTCCGGTTCTTGAAACTATCGCGCTTGACTGATTGTTTCCCATTTTCCATTGTACGAAGAGGAGCAAAGCACAGGTACTGGTGACGTCCAAGTTCCTCTGCGGTGCGCGGCTAGCCGTGGTTGGCGGTGTGCGATCCTGCCGTGTTCCTGAGGCACGTGACCTGTAGCACTTCATATTTTGAGCGTGAAACTGACCTGCCGGGTCGCTGGCCTTTTGCTACCGACGTCCATGATGGCCCACATTATTGGCAGCATACTGTGCTGCTGCTCAAGGAGAAGCTTGATTGATGAGGTATGTTGACTTATTTATTTGCCTGACCACATTGTACTCATGTAAGTTATCGTGTTATCTACAGGAACGGGGCGAGCACACAACTCTCTTACCATCGAACGAGGATGGCCCGTCGTAAGTTTGACCTTGTTCATTGAGCTAGTGGTTGATTTTTCGTGCCACGAAGAACATCGACCTATGATTCCACAACAATTGATCATCAAAAGGCGAAGGAACGACTGCACGTTATTGTGAAAGCTAAGGAAGGGTGTGTTACGACCTCTTTGATAGTTAACTGCTGCTCACGTTGGAATGGCTTTATAGCAAGATGGTTCGTGTCCTTGCTCGGGGTCCTTTCAATCTCCGCAACGATCCCGAGAACGGCCTTCCGAACGCCTCTTCCTCACGCTCATACCGAAGTCCCTCGACGAATGTCAGTCAAGCGAACACGAGTGGTCTCGACCCGTATGGCGGTGATAATGATAGCCGACAATCTTCATCAAAATATGTACCTTCTCCGTCCGTAAGCCGGTCTGAATCTGCCTCGTCCGTACAACAGGCGTCTATCTCGCGAGTCTCCACGGATGAGTTCTCGGAACAAAACTTAGAGCACAGGCTAAAAGTACAACTCGTTTCGACTGCGAAGGGTAATCAGCGCATATATAGTCGCAGAGGAAGGAGCAAAACGAAACACGGGCGGTTTGAAGATGACGCTGAGGGAGCAAGCAACATGCCGACCTTAGAGGGTATACAGAGTGTCGACAGTGGACGAGGGGACTTCTATACTTCAGAGCATCTATTGCACCCTAAATCAGACGAGGAGAATGCTGTCGCATCTGGGTCAAATAATGCGAAACGTCCACAGGTCGCGCCATTGTCGAACGAGGAGAATGCGGAGGTTGGTAACTTGCTCTCTACATACATGCCTTTGTTCACAAATATTGCTTGACCCACAGATTAAGGCAATTTCAAAACAACTATCGCCTTGGCTAAAGGACGAATTTGAGGATGTTGGCACGCTTACGCGAAGCTGGGGTGACTAGCATGTTGTTTGTGTTACTTCACGACTATCGCGGATGTTTATTCGTTTATTCATTATTTGGGATGCTCATATGCACTACACAAAGTACTCAAGAAAACCACTTGACATTCTTTACCGATACCTCCACTTCGCTCTTCCAGGATTACTTTATTCTACACGGACTTGCTACAACTCGCACTGTGATGAAAAATTGAAAATTGAATGGGTAAACCAAGCTCGCCAAGCCTCTATAATCACTGCAATATCACTTGAAATTTGTTCTAAGATGGCTGCCCGCGTAAATAGCGCTTGTAGGTGTCGTTTTCCGTCTCCTCTACGTAGGTATAACCAAGCTGTTCAAGAAACTCGTCGAACTCTTTGTTCTCGTCTGGAGGGACCTGGATTCCCGCCAATATTTTGCCAAGATCTTGACGTGGTAATTATTAAGCATCGCGAACTTATGGATTCTGAGAAATTGTCTACTCACCGGCTCCATGATTTCGATAATGGAACAACGAAATGTTCCAGCCAGAGTGTATACCGAGCAAGAATTTTCGCAAAGCACCAGGCTTCTCTGGGAATTCTGAGGTAATAGTGCGATAGGTGATCAAATTCAAAGAGTCTAGGCGAGCATGCAACTTACCGAATCTGAACACACGCTCGTTCGGAACTTGCTTCCGTCCGCCCACCAGATAACGCGCGTGTGATTTAGCAAGCTCGTCATTGCTTATATCGTAACCCTTCATCCCTTTAGCCTCAAGCTCTGCAAGAACATCGCTGATCTCTTTTTGTCGCGAGTTTGTGTCGAGGATGAAGGATAGGAATACATGCGCGAGGGCGGGAGAATCGTAACGATAGATAAACTCTGATACTGCTCGTGGATGAATCACGGAATGTAAGGCAACGAAGCTAGACGCATACATCACGGTTAGTCTCTGCTCAATGAAAGTCCGTCGGGAACCTCACCTGCCGGGTGTTTCGGGAATCTCGACGCTTAAAAGAGCTTCACGACCTTCTCCAAGTTCAGCACGTTCAGCAACAAAACGAAGACGTCCAAAGTTCATGTTCGCGCCTGTGATAACAGCTACAAACCTTTTCCCAGCACCAACCAGATTATTCTCTTGAATATATCGCTTAACGCCTGCTAACGAAAGTGCACCAGCCGGCTCTGTTATAGATCTAGTTTCTAATAAAGCACAGAAAGTCAGCACTCCAGTCCAGCCAAATGATATGTTACGAACCTTCAAAAACGTCCTTGATCGCAGCGCATAGTTCGTCATTGTCCACCAGTACGACACCATCTAATAATTTCTTGCATATACGGAATGGTTCCTCGCCAACTAGTCTAACAGCTGTACCGTCTGCGAATGGCCCTACCTCCTTAAGCTCCACCCTTTCGCCCTTCTTGAGACTCTGTGACATGGAATCTGAATCGAATGTCTCTACTCCGAGGACACGTGTATTTGGAGATCCTATCCTCTTAACATATTCACAAAGTCCGGATGCTAGTCCACCACCACCGACACTTGCGAAGATGCCATCCAATTTATCAGACTCCTTTAATTGTTTGAGAATCTCCATTCCAACCGTCCCTTGGCCTGCAATTACGAGCGGGTGATCGAATGGCGGTACAAAAGTCAATCCATATTGAGCTGCCAGTCTTACGCTTTCATGCTTGGCAGCGTCAAAATCTTCGCCATGTAGGACAACTTTAGCGCCATAGCGCAAAGCGTTGCGGACTTTGATGGCTGGCGTAGCTTTCGGCATTACAATCGTGCACGGGATTTTGAGGCGGCTGCCAGAAAGTGCAACTCCCTGAGCATGATTGCCTGTGATTTCACGTATCCGTTGATGCTATGAGTTCAGACTGAGGCAAGATATATTGTTACGCACAACTAACCAGCGCTGCACGTCACGACACCCTTCCATCGATCTTCCTGACTGAGATGAGCCATGAAGTTGTAGGCCCCTCTGATCTTGAAACTGAAGACCTCCTGGAGATCCTCCCTCTTCAACCATATTTCGTTTCCTAGTTTCGTGCTTAAATTCGATGCATAGACGAGGGGTGTCTCCTTGAGGATGTCATAAACTCGTGCAGTGAGGATCAATCGGAGATAATCTGGTGGTTGAGAAGGCTCTGCATTTTCTGAGGTGCGAGAGTCTTTTATAGGTTCCGGAGCATGGGAAGCATATTCAAGATTTGCTGTAGAGGCAGACATCGCAGTCACGGACAAGTGCTATATTTTTATTCTTTGAGCATCATAAATTTATGACTGGATTCGGCCTTTGCCGTCACCATCACAGCCACCAGCGATCACATCTATTTTCGTCTGTTGTCCAAAAGAAATTTGGGTTACACTACTTGTCTGCTTGACCATGAGATGCGTTGATGACGATGCTTAGGTTAAGAGCCTCGAATCGTACTCATCAAAGTGAATACACCATGACAAGCGACGAAGGTTTGATGACAGTAGTCCCACTTTATTGTTATTCTATTGTACTTTTTTCTGACGGATTCAGGGACATATTCTACAAACTGGATCGTGTAAATATCTTCTAACAATCTTCCTAGGAACCGTACTTGAAAATACCTCTCCCTGTAGGCTCATAGTTTAATGGAGTTTCGAGAACAATGAAGTTGTCAGAGCATGAGATCAACCACACCACTGCCTCGCGTTTTGGAACATTTGGAACCAAGGACCCATGCCATGCCAGGTCTTCTCCATTTCCTCCGGGTACCAACTGTTGCTCTGCAAAGCGGTGACTCTTTCCGGATGAGGCATCAAAGCCAATATCCTTCCATCAGCAGTCTGCACACCAGTGATGCCTCCCGGACTGCCGTTTGGATTCAGTGGATACACTTCTGTCGGTTCACCTTTCGAGTCGACGTATCTAAGGGCGACGAGTTGTTGCTCCTCGAGAATTGCCCTCTGTACATCGCTATCAAAAGCAACGCGTCCTTCGCCATGGGCTACGGCCACTGGAAGCTTCGAACCACCCATGTCGCGGAAGAACACAGAGGATTCCGTAACCTTGTTCTTAACTATCTCAACCATCGTCGTCCTTCCTTCAAAACGGCCGCTCTTATTTGGCTTGAATTTGGGCCATGATCCCGCACCAGGTATAATGTGCCGCAGATGGCTAAGGAACTGGCATCCATTACATACAGCCAGAGCGAAGACGTCCTCGCGTCGGAAGAATGTTTCAAATTCTCGCCTCGCTGTTTCATGCATGAGTATAGAGCTTGCCCAGCCGTTCCCTGCACCTAAGACGTCGCCATACGAGAAACCGCCACACGCGGCGATACCTCGGAAATCGAAAAGAGTGACAGACCCGCCGATGATGTCCGACATATGGACATCGACGGCAGTAAACCCTGCAGCAAAGAATGACCAAGCCATCTCAACATGTCCATTTACACCCTGCTCGCGCAGGATCGCGACCTTTGGCCGCTGCGTATACACCTGCGTTGGGATATAAGAGAAGGTTAATTCGTAGAAAAGTCCTGTATATCTGTCATCTGCGATGAGCCCAAATTCCTCTTGCGCTCCTGATGGCTCATCACGTAGACTTTGCATGCGGTATGACGTTTCCGCCCAAGCTCTCTGGAGTTCCACCCGTTGGGCAGAGAAGAAAGGTGAAGAGTTCTGTAGAATCGTGAACGTCTGATCCAAAGTATCTCTGACCGTCCCAATGGCATGGATTGCTCCGGCTGGAAGTCCTGCGCTTGTAAAGACCGACTGCAATTTGTCGACATCTGACCGACGAACTTGCATGACGGCTCCTAATTCTTCGTTGAATAGAGCTGCCAATGGCGCCTCACTGCCAGGTATTGCATCCAGGAAGATCTCGGCACCTACTCTACCAGCGAAGCACATTTCCGCCAAAGTTGTGAACAGGCCTCCGTCCGAGCGATCGTGGTAGGCCAGAACGGTTTCTGGGTGGCGACTTCGTACCATCTGACAACCCACCAGGAATGACTTCAATATGTTAGCATTATCGACGTCTGGAGCTTCAGATCCTATCTCTTTGAAGACCTGAGCCAGAGCAGATCCCCCAAGTCGCGTTCTACCAGCAGCCAGATCGAAGAAAAGCAATATAGTCTCCTCTCCAACGCCGTCCTTGAGCTGAGGTGTCCATGTCTTATTGGTTGCATCCACAGGAGCAAAAGCTGTAATATTAAGAGACAACGGGCTGCTGACTTCCATCTGCTCGTCTTTACCTCGCCATCTCATCGACATCGACATAGAGTCCTTCCCGACAGGTATGCCAATCCCGAGCGTGGGGCATAATTCCAAACCAATTGCCTGGACTGCTTCGTAAAGTCGAGAACCTTCACCAGATTTTGAAGCAGCACACATCCAGTTCGCGCTGAGCTTGACTTGCGAGAGATCTTTTACAGATGCTGCGGCAAGATTCATGAGGGCTTCTGCAACAGCGAGTCTAGCTGAAGCAGCTGCATTCAGAAGTGCCACGGGGGGTCGTTCTCCCAAAGCCATAGCTTCACCTGTTAACACGTCGAATCCATAGGTAGTCCGAGTTACTGCAACATCAGCTACAGGAACTTGCCAGGGCCCAACCATCTGATCGCGAGCAACAAGGCCCGTAATGCTTCGGTCTCCGATGGTAATTAGAAAAGACTTCGAGCCAACAGACGGAAGTCGGAGTACCCGCTCAACAGCAACAGCGAATCTCTCCTGGGCACTTTCGATGCCAGGGAGATATTTTTCTAAAGAACAATCGAAACGAACAGCAGTGGGAAGTTGTGAATTGTCGCTCCTGGACATCCGGGGTGGCTTCCCGAAGAGAGTCGACATCTTAAGACGAATCACGTCGCCTTGCAAGAGACGATCAGTGACTACCAGCTCTTGATCATCGGTCGCAGCACCAACGAAAGAAAATGGACATCTCTCTCGCGCACAAATTGCTTCGAACTGCTCGGTCTGCGTGGGTGAGATAGCTAATACATAGCGCTCTTGCGACTCGTTACACCATATCTCCATCGGTGACATGGATGAATCCGCAACAAGAACATCGCGTATCTCGAATGCCGCACCAAGATTTGAATCATGCACAAGTTCCGGAAGAGCATTCGAGAGTCCTCCCGCCCCAACGTCATGAACAGACTGAATTGGATTCTTGTCGCCCAGATCTACGCAAGCATCAATTACTTGTTGACATCGCCTCTGGATTTCCGCATTATCTCTCTGGACAGATGCAAAATCAAGGTCTGCAGAACTGGCACCGGAAGTCTGACTAGAAGCAGCTCCGCCGCCCAATCCGATGAGCATCCCCGGACCACCCAGTACTGCAATCTTCGCCCCAACGTCAATCTTTGCCTTCTTCACAAAATCTGGTCGCACACTTCCCAGCCCACCCGCAATCATAATTGGCTTATGAAAACCTCTGATTTCCTTCGTACCCGGTTCCGAAGACGAAGGCACGCTTTCCGAGAAGGTTCGGAAGTACCCCGCTAATGCCGGCCGACCAAATTCGTTGTTAAAAGCACTCGCGCCGAGTGGCGCCTCCAACATAATATCAAGAGGAGAAGCAATGTGAGATGGTCGGCCGAAGTCTGTCTCCCAAGGTTGCTCGTAACCTGGAATCAGCAAGTTAGATACAGCGAATCCGGCAAGTCCTGCCTTTGGTTTTGATCCTCGTCCCACTGCACCTTCGTCTCTAATCTCACCTCCAGAGCCCGTTGCGGCTCCCGGATAAGGCGAGACCGCTGTTGGGTGATTATGCGTTTCGACCTTGGCCAGGATATGCATAGGTTCCTCCACTACAGTGTACGTCCCACCATTCGCACTGAATCGGTTGCCAGTGAACCCTTGAAAGACAGCAGCATTATCTGAATAAGCAGAGATGGTATTCGCTCCACTAATTCTTTCCGTATAACGAATCATTTGAAAAAGTGACATGTCTTTGACACCTCCGTCAATAGTCCACGAAGCATTGAAAATTTTGTGTCGGCAATGTTCAGAGTTCACCTGCGCAAACATGAACAATTCCGCATCTGTAGGATTCCGATTCAAGGCGTTTTCTCCAGATACGTAAGCCTCGACCAAATATCGGATTTCGTCTGGAGCAAGAGCTAGCCCGAGCTCTCTGTTCGCAGCAGAGAGCGTCTCAAGAGCATGATCCGGATTACTTTGTAGGTCAATCGTGCGCAAAGGCTTGGGTGGTTGGTGCTGAAAGCATAACGACTCCGGAGGTAGAGTGAACTGAGCAACCTGTGTCATGCGATCGTGTATGAGGTGAGAGAAGGAACGAAGGTCGTCCTCCGTAATTGATACATCGTTCTTTGTCTCGATATAATAGACAATGCCTCGTTCAATTCGTTCAGTGTGCTCCCCTAGATTACATATGCGTGCGATATCGGTTGCCTTGCTTGACCACGGTGAGATAGATCCAGGACGAGGCAAAACATACACCAAATTTCTTGCAGACCGCGTAAAGGCATCGTGTGTAGCAGGGAACGAATAGTCATCTCCGTATTCTAAGAGATTATCCAGAACGCGACGCTGTACGGAGTCTCGCGTAACTAGCGTCTTCTCCGATTCCAGGGATGCACAGCTAACGAGATGGAAGTAGATGGCGTCGATTGTAAGAACGGAATCGCAGATTTTTTGGACAGCCGATAAGACCGCCTGTCGCTTGCTTGGCGTGAGCGCCGAACTTCCTGGCAATACGAGCATGTTTTCGCTGCTTTGACAATAGTCGTCAGAAGCTACAATCATTGCAAGCGAGTATACCAAACCTCCACCCTGCCCGTTCTGATCACGACGACGTCGCTATATGCGCAGCTTTTTGGATAGAACTTGTAAAACAGTATTTTCGGTCAGATAGGTCCAGAAAAATATCCACAGTGTTGAGACTACGGAAATAGTTTCTCACCAAATGTTTGAGAGAGTGACCTGCCTCAAGAGCAGTGGGCAATAGTAGGTTTCTATTCACTGATCACGCATCTGCGTCAATTAGAAAAACTGGCACAGCCACAGAGTTCAGTGACTGAACGTCAGAACGCGAAAGGTAAAGGACCAAAAAATGCTGTATTACTATTAGAGACACAATTGCACCGTAATTCGTACGGCTGAAAGGAGGGATAGCAGACGACAGTATGTACACAGAGCGGATAAGAAAACGTCCCAAACTAAGATAGTCTGAAAGGAAACTAGTAAACTAGCCATCAAAAGCCTTCAACGTCTACGTTCCACGTCCATCTGCCTTCTAGGAAGCCCTCAGCGGTGTCTTCTAACATGATTTCGTTACGCTTGTGCACATAAACCTATACATGCGTAATGTCAGGATAGGACTCGAATTCAAACAATGTGAACGCACCGTTTTATCCTGCATCTTCTGTCGCAGGGCAGGGATATTGTCGGCTTCAATCGGCGATTCCAAAAGTTCTGAGAGATCTTCGACGGCACGTTCGAGATCTCTACAAAGCGTAATGAGCGGCTGATGTGCGTCATACTTATTTAGCTCGTACCTCTGATTGTCTTCAAACAGCTCCTTCATATTGCCCTTGGCAAGGTAATATGCCATGGCATACGTCCACTTCAACGTCATTCGGCACTTAAACACCTCGTCAACAGCCTTCTTTGCAAACTGGACCTCAATCCAGGTAAGATTAGAAGTAATTTGCATCTCCTCCATCTTCTTTTCTGTCTTTGCGTACAAATCAACGGAGAGCTTGGCCGACTGCTCGTGATTCGCCCAGCGGTTGTAGTACTGTACAAGGCTAGTGAGGACAATTTTGCAGGGAATGACAAAAGTACGCACGTGAAGGTACCGCTCTAGAGATGCTCGGCTTCGTGCTTGTGCATCGCGAGCCTCAACACCAGACGATTCGTCGTACCGATTGCAATTGTACCATGATGTACCGTGTTCCGACCATGGGCCTGCGATAGAACTTCAACATACCGTCAAGTACACACGGCAATCTACTTACCCATGCAGACCCAGCAGAACTCATATTTGCATTTCTTGCACGTCATATGACTAGACGAAGCCTATCAGAGCAAAGCACAAAGATTAATCATGCATGAACACATACTTGCATCCTCCATTCTTTTCAATTGTGCTCTGGCACTTGCTACACTCCTTCGTGTTGCTTTTAATCCAGTTTGCAGTCTCGCTGTCGTCCTGACATTTCTTTAGCCAGAGTCTCGCAACAGGACAGATAACAGGCCTATGATCTGTGTCTATGGAGCAGCCAAAGCAGAATGTATGCTTATCAGACGCGCCACAGCGCACAGTCGGAACAATTGTAGTGAGAGCTGCCTTGGTGGCTGCTGCCGGGCAGAATACCGTGTAATTACAGCTCGGGTAGGGACAGAACTTGAGATTCTTGTTGCATCCGACATAGTGTCGCACGATCAATTCTTGATGGCGCTTGATAGTATCCTCATCACTAGCCAAGGTACTATAAATGAACGAATCCGGGGCAATCAAAGAACAGTCTGAAGCCATGCAGCGAACATTCATCTCGCCCTCTTCTCTAATCTTGCTCCGTAGGAAAGAACCCCAACAGTCATTGCAAAACTTGTGGCCACAAGAAAGACAGGACATTTCTGTTTGTTCATCGTCAAAGCAGATCTGGCAGACTGTTGGCTGCGGTTGAACTGGCGGTTCAGAAGCTGGTTTCGTTCGAGAAGCTGACTCAGCGGGAATACGTCGTGTGGTACGTTGCTTCGCCACAGAGGACGCAAACGACTTGGATCGTGAATTTGGTATTCGTCCTGAGGATGCTGCGGGAGGCGATGGCGGCGGAGCGACGGAAACACCCGCCTTTACGTTAATTTCCGACGGATCATCCATGTACTTCTCAATCAGGCGCTCCTTGTTCCACTCCATGTGTCGTAATAATAAGGAGGCAACGTCGCTCTTTGTAGAGTCATAGTAGCCAGATTAAACAGATATGATTAGTTTTGAGATGGGACGAAACTCACTGAGACACCGAAGATGCTGGTTATGTGGTCCACCTCTTTGCGGATAAGCGCTTCTACGGATTCCTGCGGCATCGTGTCGAATTCTACCTCACAGGCCTTGCGCTTGCCTTCCGATGTAATAGTGCCTTTATGCATCTCAATGTCCATCTCCTCCTCTGAGATTGCTGAGTCTGACCTTGTCAGCAGGTCGACAGAACAGTAGTCGGACAAGCACTCACCATCATCTTGGGTGTTCATGTCATCGTCGTCATCCATATCCATGCCATCGTAGTACTCGTTCTCGTCATCGGAGACGTCGTAGTCCGAGGACATGTCTATGATTAGCACAGTCACTAAGGGGAAGAAAGGGGAAGGTCGGGATAGTCGATGTTTGAGCTATGCGCGGGGCAGAGACTCAAGCGCGTGCCATATAAGTTGCAGAGGCCAGGCTTATAAATATGCGGGCCGTGGGATGTTGCAATTTGCCGCACTGTGCTGTGCTGTGCCTCCTGCAGTCCCCTAATCTGGAAGGCAGCAAAAAACTTGAATTGTATGCACGCGCTTGCTCGAGTCATTCGTACTCGGCCTATACTCTCATATCCTCGCATCCCACGTACTATCTACCATTGCAGACACAGCACGATGGCCTCAGAACAACCCAAGCTCCATCAAGACCCACTTACCGGAGAATGGGTCTCCAAGACGTGAGCCTCCATTTGTTCCATGCATAATACTTTGCAAAATTTCTGACTGTCCCATCGCGTGATCTATAGTGAACTGAAGCGCCGTGCAAACAAGGCTGCAAGGGCTGAGAAGGCCGCGGAAAACTCCCAAAAGGCATCCGCGAACGCGAAGCCCTCTGCTAAGCCGGATGTGGCGTCAGAGGAGGACCTCAGCCCTAACGTACGTTCGATGTGACTGCATTTTACATTATTTGCACTAATCCTCTCATAATCTATAGCAATACTTTGAGCTTCGTACTCGCCAGATTCTGAAGCTTCGCGAATCGCAGGACCCCAATCCTTACCCCCACAAGTTCCATGTCTCCATATCCTTGTCGGATTACATTGACAGGTATGGACCAGAGGGAAAGATCCCGGCAGGGCAGAGGCTGCAGGGTACGGTGGAATCTCTCGCAGGCAGAATCCACAATATTCGGGCTTCCGGCCAGAAGCTACGTTTCTACGACTTACACTCAGAAGGAAAGAAGGTCCAGATCATGGCCGCGGCTCAGTAAGTAAATACACTAAACTTTGAAGAAGTCTCCGCTTATGCACTTTGCCTGTAATTAGAGATGCTGAAGATACTGAAAAGTACCTTGAAATTCATGAGATATTTCGCCGTGGAGACATCGTTGGCGTTAAGGGTACTCCCTCCCGCACCAAGAAGGGTGAACTTTCCATTTCACCATCACAAATGACCCTCCTTGCCCCGAACCTCCACCAACTCCCTTCTGCACACTTTGGTTTGAAGGATCAAGAAACGCGCTACAGAAAGCGTTATCTAGATTTAATCCTCAATGACGAGACGCGCCGTATCTTCATCACCCGCAGTCGAGTCATTAATTATATCCGCAAGTTCCTAGATAATCTGGGCTTCTTGGAAGTCGAGACTCCCCTGACAAGTATGATTGCTGGAGGAGCGACTGCGAAGCCTTTCATCACCCATCATAACGACCTCAACCTTGATCTTTACCTCCGGATTGCTCCTGAATTATACCTGAAGGAACTCGTCGTCGGTGGTCTTGATCGCGTATACGAAATTGGACGAGTTTTCCGCAACGAAAGCATCGACCTCACTCACAACCCGGAGTTCACTATCTGCGAATTTTATATGGCGTATGCCGATATGTACGATGTCATGGATATCACCGAATCCATGGTCGAGGGTCTAGTCAAGTCATTAACCGGTGGCGGTACAAAATTGTCGTACAAGCCTGAGGGCAAGGAGGACAAGGCCTTTGAACTCGAGTTCAAGAAGCCTTGGAAGCGCTATGACATGATTGAAACATTAGAAGAGAAGCTTGGTGTCAAGTTCCCGCCAGGCGACCAGTTGCACACCGCAGAAGCAAACAAGTTCTTACAGGACCTGTGTCAGAAGGTATGTCCGGAAGCCTGCTTTACAGAAACTCCTAGCTAATTGGATGTGCAGCATAACGTCAATTGCCCTGAGCCAAAGACAAATCCTCGTCTACTTGACAAGGTATGATCACGTTCTAATTCTCACGTAGCATTCTGACCTTTCTGGCAGCTCGTCGGAGAGTTTGTCGAGCCACTCTGCATCAACCCATCATTCATAGGTACGTCCTTATATTTAGATTAATAGAACGTAGGAAACTCATCTAAGAAACTTTTAAATAGTTGGGCATCCTCAAGTCATGTCTCCACTGGCCAAGTGGCACCGTTCCCGACCAGGACTGTGCGAACGATTTGAAGGCTTTATGTGCGGAAAGGAGTTCTGCAACGCATACACAGAGTTGAATGATCCCTTCGAGCAGCGTGCTCGATTCGAGGAACAGGTCCGCAGTCATTAACGATTCGGGAAGACTGATTACTCACTCTGATTGCTTTTAGACACGGCAGAAGGAAGCCGGTGACGACGAGGCTCAGGGCATAGATGATGTATTTATTGACGCGCTTGAACATGGCCTTCCACCAACTGGAGGATGGGGTTTGGGAATCGATCGTCTCCTGATGTTCCTGACAAATTCAGCCAGTACGTTTAAAAATACTTGTTTGCGTGTGACGTGTAATAATGGGCATTTCCGCAGATATCAAGGAAGTGCTACTCTTCCCCGCCATGAAGCCAATCGAAAATGCACCTGGTACTTCGGCAGCCGTCGGACCGTCGGGTCAGTTATAGAAGTCGGATGTTAGACGCCATGACTTCATGGTAGGAGTTGTTCGATCATGTGGCTTAGAAGGAAATCTTCTTGCTCTGTTTGATTTATTTTATGCCTCATGTAGACTTGAGGGGAAAAATGAGAAATAGATTATCGTCTCATCTGAGCTGTGCAATGTGTTGAGACTAGCGATTGCCAATCTGCATATTGTTTTGAGTTCATCTCTCGGTAAAAGGTCATTCATCCGTCCCGTTTAGCATGTTGCTTGCTCGGAAGCCGTGGATTTTACGCAGGCCAGCGTGTCGTGATTTGAATCCGGGAGCGGAAAGCACGTACGTGCTATTCGGGGGTGCATTGAAAGTCCGCCCTGACGTAAGTAGTGTTATACCAACGTCTCACACACCGAGACCAGCGCCGTCCCAAATCCCTTGTGCACCGTCTACTACCCCTCTCTCCGCCTCGCCAGCTGGCTTGCTTCCGTCATTCTTTCCTTTCTCTTTTCTTAATCTCTGTTAGCGCCTCTGGCGTGTGCGCTGTCAGATGCTTTACCTAACGTCCGACAAGTTCCTAGTCTGTACGTGCATCTTTATTATTTCGTCTTTTCGTCTTGGCTGAAATCTTGCCAGTCGTGCCATTTGGGGTCATTGGGTAGGTATCAGTGCCTTCACGCGTTCTCCTCGCTCCTTTTATGTGGAGATATAAGTTGTGGAAGGGCACCGCGGTGTTTTGAAGGTCTTTTGCTAACGACCTGCACTTATCTAGCTTTTACCGTTACCTCTGGTATCTCATCCGTCTTTTTGCGTCATTCGTCTACCGCCCGGTACCTCTTCCGGAGAACCCTACGTATATCGCCTCTGAAGATGTCACAATTATTGTGCCAACGATTGATGCCGGCGAGGAGTTTAAAGAAGCTGCGCATTCATGGCTGGTAGGAAATCCAAAGGAGATTCTCATCATCACGGAGGAGAAAATGCGAGGACCACTCCAGGAATTGGCCGACTCTGTAGATCCTGAGCGCATACGTGTCCTGACCGTGCCATACGCCAACAAACGACTTCAGATGGCACATGGAATTAAAAATACCACGACGGACATCATTGTTTTTGCTGACGATGACGCCATCTGGCCCCCAATGCTCCTTCCATACGTGCTGGCCTGCTTTGAGGACCAGAAGGTAGGAGGCGTTGGGACGTCTCAGCGTGTCCAGGCCTGTGGTAAGACTATGACAGTGTGGGAAGTACTAGCTGCCTTCCGTCTTACTATCCGAAATATCGAAATATCGGCATCAACTCACATTGATGGCGGGGTATGCTGTCTATCGGGGCGAACAGCAGCTTACCGGACGATTATTCTCAAGGATCCGGAGTTCTTGCATGGTTTCACACACGACTTCTGGTTGGACAGATATCAGCTTAATTCCGGCGACGACAAGTTCCTCACGAGGTGGATGGTCAGCCATGGCTGGACGACATACATCCAATGCTGCAAGGAAGCTGAGATTCTCAGTACGATGAAGCCGAATTGGCGGTTCTTGAAACAGGTATTGCGATGGACAAGAAATACTTGGCGAAGTGATTTGCGGTCGCTATTCACGGAGAGATATATTTGGACGGCGCATCCCTATGTCGCTTACACTATGGTATTCCATTCCATATTTTCCCTCGATCTCGTACTGAACGTAAGCATCTCTAGGTCGACAAACTGTTCAACCCATTCACTCTGTTGGTTGGGCCTTGTCTTGTGGCAATTGTGGTCTATAAGAGTACAAAGCCAGTCGAAGACGGAGGGTACCATTTGCCCTGGTGGTAAGTGGGATTGAATAAATGTAGATGATTGCATGTGCTTACAAAAGCCTCTCAGGAATGTGATACTCTGTTATCTGGTTTGGCTGTCTGCGACGCGTACACTGAAGCTCATGCCACATCTGTGGAATCAGCCCAAGCATATTATCTACGTGCCTGCGTTTATTGCATTCGGATACTACTTTGCTGTCATGAAAATTTATGCTTTACTAACCTTACATGAGGTAAGTTGATTACACCTGTTGTTATGTCTCCCCCGCCACTGACAAGCGAATTTAGACCGGTTGGGGTACGCGTGCCGGTATTGGTGATCCCACAGCTGCTACTACGGCAGCGACGAATGCATCCGATGAGAAGTTGCGGGGCAACGGGCAACAACGATACGCTGATTCGAACCCATTCCAAGTTCCGCAGCCTGGCGTACGATATCCGCAATGATCATTCGCCATGTAGAGCGGCAGGAGATATTCGCGACACACACCTCTACCCGGTTTGGATACAATTAGATACCACGACATGACCATGCACGTCTTCGTTCAATCTGTCGACCGCCCTTATTTCCGGTCTCATCTCAACAATGTACACGTCGCCACATACACAAACACTCCTGATCTTAAATAGGCCGAACTAGGCAATTCGTAGCCGACGGATTCTTAGAAGGACGAACGCAAGCATCTCAGAAACTGCTATTTTTCGCTTTTGAATTATTGACTTTTCGGAACAATGCATTCGTGTTTACTTTATCTTCACTTTTTTTTAACCTTCTAGTCGTTCCTTTCGTGTGCTTTATTTGGACACTTTGGTTTTGTAGTTTAGAAATGTGCTCCTGCATGGTTCTTTGGTGCAATTGCGAGATGTCCTTACCGGGTTACCCTTCATAGGAATGGAAGCACGAAAGAGTCAACCAAATTTTGCGCGAGAAACGGCCAAATAACAAAATAACGAAGGTATACTAAAAGTTTCAAGTCAAGTAACTCGAATGACAAGGAACGTCATAAAGAACGCAGTAACGACAGCTATAACAGCCAAAAACACAAAACACGTCGTCCCACTACTCTTCGCAGAATGATCTCGCAATCGAACGCGTTCCTTCGACACCTCATCGTAATTCCTTTCAAGTTTCTCCTGAGTCTCCTTCACAACACCCTCATCACTCGCAAGTGCTTCGCCGAATTGTTCTGCATTTCGACGGAGTTGAGTAGCCATTTGAGCGAGTTGATTGGAGAGTTCTTCATGGAGTGCTGTTGAAGTTTGTAATGGACCACCTGTGATTGATCCGGCTGGACGGGAAGTTGAGTCTGTGGAAGTGGATGTTGAGGGGAGGGCGGGAGGGATTAGAGTTGTTGAAGGGTTGCTAAGCTTGTTTGGGAGCGTATCGGGGAGGAAGTCTTCGTCCTCGGTAGATATTTGGGGTTCCATTGATAATGTCGACGGGGGCACAGTGTCTTGGCCGTTCAATTCCGAGACGTCGACATGCATTAGCACTTCGTTTGCGGCCAATCGTAGCTTCTCGTCCTCCGCGGAATCGGCTTGTTGCGATAGAAGGGAAGGCCTGGGGAGGGTAGGAAGGATGGGGTTCGGTAGATGTGGTCGTGGTTTCAAGTCCTATTGATACTAGTTTAGAACGACCGCACAGCGAATATTGCAAGAATATGTTTCGGACCTCATTGATTTCAAGTAATTCCCGTTCTAGGCGATCGAGTAGCGACTTTGTTTCGTCGTAAAATTGTTGTCCTGATATACTGAACGCTATCTGTTTAGTTTATCTGCAGGACACGTCAGTTATACGTGGACCCACGACCTGCTATCACCAAGTCCAGTATCATAGTCTTCTGGCGTCACATTCTGGAGTACCCCTCGACAATGTCCGATTCCCTAGCAAACCACCATCAGCCAAGCACCGGTACCTAAGCGGCGTTAAAAAATAACGGACAGTGAGTATAGATTGAGCCTTTAGCCATTTAGTATTCCGCTCCTTAGACGAACACCTTGTCCAGTCCTCTTCATCGTAAGTCCGTTCGAGTAGTTTGAGCGTTTTCTGCAAGTTGATGACTTCGTGACGAATCTGATCTTTAGTTAAAACAGGCATTTCTAGTATTCAGGTCGATAGTCCGAGGATCGAGAGGGATGTGACGAAAGCATTGGATATTGGAGAACTTGAGAAGGCGGAATCGTGGAGTCCATGCGTGGTCAACGTGTCGCGAGCACGTGCACGCGATGCGCCTTTTGGTGCCTTCAACAAGCGTGCCGGTAGACGCTGATTTAGCATCCGACGATGGAGAACCCACATGCAGAGCGTCAAGCTGTTCTACTCGAAAGAATAGTAAAGAACTCGGTACGTGTTGATCACATTTTTCAATAATAGACGTCTCATGCAAGCAACTCCAGGAGAAATGCATCGAAGTCATTTCAGAACTCAACCACTGTTTAGAGGTCTGATTCTTTCTAATTTGCGACATAACGCATAGCGTATGTTGACATGCGCGGCACGTAGGAGATCAATCGTGCGAATAGAGACGTGCGAACTGCTGCTAGTCTTGTCACGAAGTACCGGAAGAACGTGCAGTACAACCTTGACGCCACTCGTATTCAACGCGAATCGTGAGGTTGGTGGCCTGGATCCATTGCTAATCCGTGCGTTGTCTACGTTTATTCCTAGCACCGGCACGTTAGTTCGCTGATATGCCTACCATATATCAGGTTTTGTTGCACATTCTCGTGTAGACCGTGTGATTGAACTTGTAAAGCATACAATCACTTGTATTTATAATACCGAGCAAACTTGTTCTATTGTACTGTAAACGCTGAAGCTACAGGTTTTAATGAACAGAATTAAACCGGTACCCTTATATTTTGTTCCTGATTGAAGCATGAAATTTGTATGTTGTCTGTATTTTCTGATAAGATAACATGTCTCGTGATCTGCCATTCAGCACCTGCGTGTGCGAGTGTCTCTCTAGTAGACTCTGTATCTACCATATCTATTCCCTCTCGCATAGTCGGTGTTGTCTGCACAACGCCATCATGCCTGGGGTGTGACGTAGAACAATCTACGTACTTACACTACTCAATTGTGGTAAATTCCAGTCAAGGACAGTCACGTCGAAATCGCATTTGCACTTCGCACCATGGCGAACAAGATGGAGAAGAGGCTCCTTTGGCATCCGCGGCAGGAGAATAGGTTCATTATTGGGGGTGGTTCACAGATTTCCCTGTTTGACTGGGCTCCCGATGTTACGGAGTTTAAGCTTGTTTCCACACAAGCAGACCTACAGCTAATGAAAGTGAGCACATATTTCCTAATGATACTTGCATTGTATCTAAGTCGCGTAGTGCTTTGCTTGGTCCCCTGATCCATCGATTGATGACCTCGTCGCTGTCGGCTCTGAAAATGGGAAAGTGGATTTATGGCGCCTGGAAGCCAACAGATACGCAAGGAATAATCTTGTGTCCAATGGTCCGGAGCTTTCAATTCGAAATTCAAGACGTGTTCTCGCACTCGCGTTCTCTTCGCACAAGCCGAATCTTCTGGCCGTTGGTTTAGACAAAGTCAAAGGAGATCCGAGCCTTGTGATACGTGACATCGCTGTTGCTGCTGCTATAGCTGGAAGATCATCAAATGCCCGATCTTCCAAGGCGGACCGATCCATCGTACAGCAGTATGCTCTCGCCGAAGCTGTATACTCAACGACTTTCCTGTCAGAGAACCCGAATCTACTCGTTGCTGGCATATCGAACCTTTGGCTCCGACTGTTTGACCTCCGCAACCCTACAGTGCATATTGGACAGGCACCAGCGGGGAGAGTTTATGGTATTATTCCCGATCCATTCGACAAGTATCGCGTGGCTTGCTTTGGTGAAGGGTCAGTCACAGTATGGGATACTAGAAGATTTATTTCTCCGCTTCTCAGTTTCACTCTCAAAGACGCTGCAGCCGACGGTGCACGGTATTCTTCTTCTGATTCGTTCGTAAATGCAGAATTCTCTCCAGTTCGTCGTGGATCCCTTGCAACGCTGACGCGTGATGCGAATCATGTACGTTTCTGGGACATTCAGAAAGCTCCCTCATCGGAGATGTCGAGAGAATCTGGAGATACCTACATGAGAGGCATTTCGAAGGACAGTGCGCGCTCAAGCAAGTTATCTCGTCTATCATGGGCAGCTCCCTCCACCATGTTACCATGGAATGCCCCATCCGATCAAGCCCACATACCCAGTAGTATCTCATCGTTTGCGAAGATTGACACTGATATTCTCTCAAATACTAGACACAGTACGTACTTCACTACGCGAATAAGTCATGGTTTTGACCGGCTACCTCGTTTTAGCTAAGGCATTTTCTCGACCTCTTGTGTCCTTTGCACTTGCGCCTAGCTTGTACGATCATCCCTTGACTTCAAATATAGTTGTCACCAGCAAGGAGGGAGACATAGAAATGTATGAGATGCATGACGTACCGAAGCAGACTATCTGGAGCTCCAGAGGCGACCTTGCTCTTGGTGCGGGCACAAGCTTCCGCATTTTCCCTGGGTGCCATGATGAGGAACCAGTTCCAGAACCTTGGGAACTCGAGAGACAAAACGATGAGTCGACAAAAACTACCACCAGTCGTTCCCAGTCACGCGCAGAAGACGTCGATAGGCTTACCATGAAGCAATCTAGAAGAGACAATGGTGGATCCGATATCAAAGGCTCTCCGGCCACCACAGCAAGAAGACTTGAAGGGCGTACATATAGTCCGGCGTCCGTTAAACGGTACCCGGTAGATCACTCCGTGAGTCGCCCGCCGGATTCGGACAATCGTAGCACAACTGCGAGAGCACCGTCTTCAGAACCAACGGCTCAGGGTGTCGACACGGCAAACCGTTTGTTACCGGGGAAGGCACAACGGTCCGACCAAGCCCAGTCCACATTGAAGGGACGACGGCGACTTCCTGACGGGGTTGCTCCTTCGGCGATCGAATCCGACATTTCTATGCTGATGCGTGCAAGAGTTCTCCAGGGCTACGGACTTTTCAACGTAAGCATTTCGGTGGTGGAAACAGTCTTCTGGTCACCAGGTTACTGATACCTCTTAGCCCCAGCACAACGCAAAATGCACAAGCAGTCAATTTGGAGCCGATTCCTCATTGTCGGAAGTTTGGGCCTGGTTAAATCGTATGCTCGCCTATATATGCATTTTATCATTCCGCTCATCGATGATTATGCCTAGACTCCAGAAATTTGCTGATGTCTGGCACGTCCAAGATACATGGTATTGACTTCTCGTTTCAGGGCATACTTGGAATCTGGGAAGGTCTAGAAGCGTCGGCATCGCCTGACGTCGTTAGCATTCTGGACGGACTGGATCTCGCTGGTCCATCCGAAGTACCTTCCCCCAACTTGCTGAGTATGAATCCACTCGTTGAGGCAAATATCCCTTTACGGTCTCGTATCTCCAGGCATAGCCAACGGATGGGCGACGGCTTCCATGGTAGTTACTCTGCGGCACTAAGCAAGCTGAACTCTCGTAGCAATTTGGACAGAACCATGTGGAAACCTACTGTCCACACAGACAAGAGTCAACAAAGGAGACTGTCGCTAGCTCTGTGTGACTGGAAGGTCGGAGAGGAGGAATTCTCGAGGTTCGGTCGCTGCTATTCAATCCGCGCACATGCTTAACACACTTTTCTTAGATGGGAAAGGGAAGGCAAACATTCACAAGCCGCCTGCTGGCTACTATTTACTAATCAAGGTGCAAGAGCTATTGAGCTTTTGATGAGGAGTAAAAGTTTGGATTTTAAACTTTCAAAGTTACTGAACTGCACTAAGAAACATATTTCTTCATAGACGAGTCGCATCAAATGCTCTCCGGAACCATCGCAACACTTCTCCAATCAGGGACTACGTCGAGGAACCATGATCTTCGAGGTCATTGTGAACGCTTGATAGTGAAGCTACAGGATCCACACCAGCGCATCATGCTTTCATACATTGTATTCAATGATTGGAATGACGTCTTAGAGGAGGAAGCATTACCACTTCGAGAGCGATTGGCCATAGCATTACGCTTCCTGGACGACAAGCAACTCACCTCTTATCTACGACGAATAGCAGATGATTGTCGATCTAAAGGCAGCATTGAAGGTCTCATTGTGACCGGATTGACGCCTCTCGGACTCGATGTACTGCAGAGTTATGTTGACTCAACTGGAGATGTGCAGACAGTCGCATTGCTGTCCAGCTATATCTGTCCAGGACGTTATAAAGACGTTCGTGCCGAGCGCTGGGTTGAAGCGTATCGTGATCTTCTCGACGGGTGGAAGCTGTTTCACCATCGGTGCCAATTCGACATCGATCGCGGCAAGATTCTTCAAGAGGGTATTTTGAACGGCGATTTCGAGCCGATGGAATGGGTCAAGAAGCAGTACCTTATACGGTGCAACTTCTGTAACAAAGTCGTGAACACGCAGCAACACCAGCGTCCTCAGGAGCCAATTGCCATGCAAAGGAGACGGGTGAGCAGCGATCATTTACTTCATCGATGAGCTTTTAAAGTTACACTCCTGCAGGCTGCGGCATGTCCTTGGTGTGGAAGAGCATTGCCAAGATGTGCTGTGTGCCTCATGAGCGTTTGCGTGATTCCTGACACCGGACTAGAAACTGATGCTCTTCATTCTTCCTTCCGAGGTAAGTCGAAACTCCGTGCTTCGTGTCATCACAATGCAAATTTGACGGTGGGAAAACCTCAATGAATAGATACTATCGATGATGCGTTTGTGTTTTGCCAGAAATGTCGACATGGAGGACATGCCTCACATATCATATTTTGGTTCTTTAAGGAAGATGGTACGAGGCGACATCGGACATGCCCGGTCGCAGATTGTGACTGTTATTGCGATGAGGACGAAGATTCTTAGCTTTGATATCGGTATAATTTTTGTGTGTGTATTACTGTCATTTGTTCACATTAGTTTGTAAATGCAATTGTAATCATGGCCCAAAAAGGCGAGGGATGCGAGAACTTTATCGAATTACCTGGAACGTACGTCACAGCCACAGCGAAGTTTTGAAAACGTGCAGTCCTACCCTTCACCCTCATCAGTTGCTCATCCCGCTTCACTCTGCCTCTCCTTCAAACACTCATCATCTTCATCGCCCGTACACTTGTCGACCCGCTAAACAGTAGTTATAATGTCCGTCGTTGGCTACGATTTTGGCTCCCTTGGAAGCAAGGTCAGTATATATGCACTGTCGATCAACACATACGCGTCTCTTTGTCCTGACTCGCTTTGTTTTCAAGATTGGTGTGGCGCGACGGAAAGGGATCGATATCATCACAAATGAAGTGTCGAACCGTTTAACACCGTAAGTTTCTTTCACTGAGATACCGCGTACAGCTGCTCAAGTGAGTGTTTATCAGGTCTCTTGTTTCTTTTGGTCCCAAACAGAGATGGCTCGGAGAACCCGCGAAGACCGCCGAAGTTTCTAACTACAAGAATACTGTTGGTAACTTGAGACGCCTGATCGGGCGCTCCGTGAACGATCCAGAGGTGCAGAATGTTGAATCAAAATTTGTAACTGCGAAGCTAGTTGATGCGCAGGGAACAGTTGGTGTGCAGGTACGTAGAAGGGTGTAGGCCATACGTGAGTTTTCATAGAAGCTGATGACTGTTTGTAGGTAAATTACCTAGGAGAGCAGCATGTCTTTTCTTCAATACAACTTGTCGCTATGTATTTAGGCAAGTTGCGGGACACGGCGGCAAGAGAATTGAATTCTGCTGTGTCAGACGTCGTAATATCCGTTCCTGGATGGTTCACCGAGGCGCAACGTCGCGCAACCATAGACGCAGCACAAGTTGCGGGTCTCAACGTCCTTCGCTTGATTAATGATACAACCGCCGCAGCATTCGAATATGGGATCAAGAAAACAGACCTACCCGAGGCCGATAACCCTCGTCATGTTGTCTTCGTTGACGTTGGCCATTCTGATTTGTCTGTTGCCGTTGTTGCCTTGTCGAAAGGTCAGCTCACAGTCAAGGCAACGGCTTACGACCGCAATCTTGGCGGACGTGATATCGATTATGCCCTCGTCCGCCATTTCGCCAAAGAATTCAAGGAAAAGTACAAGATCGACGTTCTCTCTAATCCCAAGGCGGTCTTCCGTCTTTCAGCAAGCTGTGAGAAGCTGAAGAAGATTCTCTCAGCCAACACCGAGGCACCTCTTAGTGTTGAGAATATCATGAACGACATTGATGCGTCATCTAAACTGACGCGTGATGCCTACGAGACCCTTGTCGCGGACGTTCTCGACAGGATAACTGCGCCTATCAAAGCAGCGCTTGCGGACTCGGGTCTCTCCGTTGACCAAATTGACGCAATTGAACTTGTTGGAGGTTCGTCACGTATTCCGGCTGTGCGACAACGCATTCAGTCTGTCTTCCCTGGAAAACAATTATCCACTACTCTCAACCAGGATGAAGCTATTGCTCGAGGTGCTACGTTTGCTTGTGCCTCGCTTTCGCCTGTCTTCCGTGTCAAGGAGTTTTCAATGGTGGATGTTAGCTCATATGCGATCAAGGTGCAATGGGAGCGTGTACCAGATGAAGAAGACAGCGAGCTTCTCGTTTTCCCCCGCGGAAACAGTATCCCTTCCACCAAGATTTTGACATTCTATCGCAAGGAGCCTTTCACCATAGAAGCCTCATATGCTGAGCCTGAGGCTCTGCCCGGAAACGTCAATCCTTGGATCTCACGACTTACCGTCAAGCAGGTGGCACCACCGGACGCAAAGGGCGACATTTCACCCATAAAAGTCAAAGTCAAGTTGAACCAACACGGGCTCGTCTCATTTGAGCAGGTCTACTATGAGGAGATCGAGGAAAGGGAGGAGAAGATGGATGTCGATGGTGCAGAGGCTCCTAAGAAGAAGAGGATTGTCCGCAAGAAGGACTTGGCATTCGTCGTTGGGACGTCTTCACTCGACGCTAGCACTATCAACTCGCTCAGGGAGCTGGAGAACCAGATGCACGCCTCTGACAAGTTCGTCGCAGACACATTGGTATGTACCTTTCATGCCTTTCCCCCAGATAAAATATTAAGTACTGGCCGCTTAGGATCGCAAAAACGCATTGGAGGAATACATCTACGATATGCGCAGCAAGCTTGAAGACCGTTACGCGGCTTACGCGCAACCTCAGGAGAAGGAGAGTCTTCTCACCCTTCTTTCAGAATCCGAAGATTGGCTGTACAGCGATGAGGGCGAGGATGCATCCAAGTCAGCATACGTTGAGCGTCTTGATGCTGCAAAGAAAATCGGGGATAAGATCACTGCTCGCTACCTCGAAACAGAAAACCGCGCAGCCGCGACTGCGCAATTGCGCGAGGCGCTGAATACTTACTACGCGCAGGCCACCTCGGAGGAAGAAAGGTTTGCACACATTGATCCGAGCGAAAAGCAGACTATTGTGGAAAAGGTGGCCACCATTCAGAAGTGGCTTGACGACCAACTGGCACGACAGGCAGAAAAGCCAAAGAATGCTGACCCAGTTGTGACCTGCGGTGATATTCTGAAGAAGAAGGACGAACTCATCTACTTTGCTTCGCCAATCCTCAACAAGCCAAAACCGAAACCCAAAGTCGAGTCTACTCCGGGCAGTGGTGCGCAGACGCCTAAGACGGACCCAAACGCAGGCGAGCAGAAAGACAAGAAGGAGGAAAAGGCGAACGATAAGGGACCGACTGAGATGGACGTCGACTAATTTCTGTATCATACGAGGATTATAATTCCGTGCAGATATAGAATATGGGCATGTTAGAACACTTCGACTGTAGATGTACTGTATGACGCGTTGCAGAAATTCCGTGTATTTTGCTTTCAAAAATTTCCAATTCTTAGTTAGTTGTTTCCATATTTGGATACCGCGTGACCAAAGCATTTTGAATGCGCGTGCGGATTTTGTGCTTCCCCTCAGTCCTGAACACCCATCATCTCTCTCGTCATTTTGTTTCTTTCGTCCTTGTCGGCAACCACAGTCTGTCTGGGCAAGCCATTTTGCGCACAAGCTTTCCGTCGTGCATGAGCACACAAGACACTTCAAAGTCTGCGCAGCACTTCTAACCCTTACGTTTATCGCGCAACCCACGACTTTTTTCTGACCAGATGTCTCAACCGTTCAATCCTGACACACCGACCGCTGCCAATGGACAAGCTTTCCCCCTTGCCCCTGGCCCATATTATCCCGCCATGTCCAGTTTTTCTGCGTTTCCGGGCTTGACCTCTCTTGTCCAGTCGCTTACCAGCGTGTCTGAGATGGCCCTTTCAACTCCAGCTCAGCCGTCACCTCCTCAACCACAGCAACCGCCATCGTCCGACAACTCAGATCTTGAAAAGCTAGAGCGGCTTAAAAGAGAGATTCTCGAGGGCCAGAACCCTGTATACAAAGCTGTTCCTCAACCCGACTTTCTTGAGAGTCTCTACCTAGGTCGCTCAGCAAAGCGTCAGAATTCTGTTCCTGCCCATCCTGAACAGATTGTTCCGAGTCAGTCAGAGACGAACACTGCTTTACCGTCAAATTTGGAACATACGAATGGTGCATCAACGGTGGCTGAAGTTAGTCCTTTGATACCCTCGAAAACATCTGAGGAAAAAGATCGCACAGACAAAGAGGTACGACATGCCGTTGACAACTGTTTCTCTTTCTCTTATTTGTACAAAGGTAGAGCTGATTTCTGTAATGTAACAGGTCGGATCTGAGGCTCCTACATCAACCCAAAGTGCACAGGCTATGAATGAGGGGAGTAACTCGGCAGTCGTTGAATTCATTAGTCCTGTGAAAAGGTCCCCTTCGACGCCTCAATTTGAACCGAAAGTTTCTAGCATTGATCATCATCCTTCCTTTTCTTTGGGAACGGTTTCTCAGGATACTTCAAAACCTCCGCTTGACGGATCTCTGGATTCCACAAAGCTCAAATCTGACATGGCCAGTCAGTTAGCTGTCTTGTCGACATCTGACAATGTCCCTGCCCGATCATCTGCTGAAAAGTCTCCAGTAACTTCTGTTCCACTCGGGAAAGCTGTTTTCACAAGCGATCCGCCTTATGATCCCAAGGAAAGCTTGCGGAACACGGAATTTAGTGCTTTTGCTGACTACAGGAATACGCATGCTCCAGGTCGTTATGACTCAAGTTCGTTTGCTTCGCCGAATGACACTTCTCCGGAGGGCACCCACTATGTGGGAAGACAGCGAAACTATGGCGCAGAATGGGATGATCGCTTTAATTATCGGTACGCTGACGGTTACTCCAGCAACTACGGTGCCAAGCAGTTCTCTGCGTCGGGTGTCGATTATGAGGGTGCACATTTCCAAGACATCAAGCGTCAGGACACCGGGCAATCCTACGATGACCGTACGGACGGCGACCTGCGACGTTTCGTACCCGGTTTCCCAGATCGGTCTGTTAGACCTGCTGAGAACTGTCCTCTAACAAGTGAACAAACTTCTGGTTTGATCAACAGCGTTGATGTCACAAAGGCAGCAAGCAGGGCGGCATTTGTACCTAACACGACAGCTGCGCCACTGAGCTCTCAATATGCTCCCGCTGAGGGGCAACTAACTCGAAACGCAAAGTCAAATACTTATGATCAATCGGCCCTCAAAGAATCCAGATTGGACATGGATGGCAGACTTCTCTCCTCAAACGATACTGGTCGCCAGTCATCTATGGACTACACATCTCATCAAGAAAATATTCAGGCTAGTGCTCTTGAAGGGCGTATCGGGGGACGTGCTCCTCCTCCGCTGGAAGATAGGATTGGTATCCGCATTCCCTTGGAAGAAAGGATCAGTTCACCGCCTGATGGTACGCCAGCGCAACCGGCTCCTATGAAGCAGGAAGGTACTGGGGATCGATCATCCTTGGAGAGGAGAATAGATTCAACTCGGTCTTTTTCTGATGTCCGCGGCTCAGCGGGACCTGAAGTCACTCGTCCGGCAGATACTAGGTCTATTCCTACCCCCTTATCGTTTGTTCGTCCTCGGGCTGGTGATGAAAAAGTTAAACCTTCACAAGCATCCTCGCCAGCTGGTACTCAGACTGTGCATCAACAGACCGGAACAGGCGTCATATATGAGCGTCCTGACGAGATTCTTCAACCCCGCTACTCTGCTCACGAGTCCGGGTTGCGTGCACCTTTGCAGGGAAGCCCTCAAGAGTCTCACAGTGCAGGCCGTTCATTCAAGGGAGAGCCTATGCTCAAGGAAAGACAAGTCGACAATTCCACAGACCCTAGGTTGGTTCCATCTGCTGCTTATCGTGTAGAGCGCGGAAGGAGCTTTACAGACGGAGACAGGCCGTCTGCTGATTCCGGGTTCTATGAGAGGACGAGCTTCCGGGAACGTGATCCTATTGCCCTTGAAGAACGCACTAGACCGGGCATTGAATCTCGCGAATGGAGAGAGAGGGCAGCATTTACTAAAGGCTATCCGCCACGTTCGGATTCGCAATCTGGGAGCACTCCGCGCGTCTGGGGTTCGAACGGGCGGGGCAACCGTCCATCCGACCCTTCGTCTGATGATAGAAGATACGGCGATCGAGAATATGATCGCCGTTCGGTCCCGCTTCCTCACTCTTGGGACAGGGAAGAGCCACCTCGCATACGCCCACCGGTGGAGGTGTATCCACCTCCTGGAGATCTCGATCATGAACGTTACGGGCCTCCAGAATTTCGAGAGGGATCGCGCATTCGGGGTCGGAGTCCGAGTCCCAATCCCTTAAGGCGCAGTACTTACAATGGCGCACCACAAGACTTCCGCCCTGTAAAACGTATTCGCGACGAGGCTTACTTTGATGATCGAGAACGGCGTTATGCGGATCGTCGAGGGTACCCACCGTCGCCTCCGCCTGCTACGGCGGGAGGATACTACGATTCGAGACCGCCGTATGTGCCACGAGACGTCCACGATGCATATAGTGACCGACCCCGTCCCTCTGATGTTGGATATTATGATCGTAGAGTCTCGGACATGGGCCCGCCACCCTCTCCCCCGTACACAGGCAGAGCTATTTACTCAAGGCCCGACCTGGACAGATTTAGCGTGCCTCCGAGAACAGCATAATCTACCTTTTTCATCTCAACTCTCAACATTTTTGACTTAATTTTCTGCGATATTATTGATTCTCCTGATTTATAATATCTTGTACTTACTTTATATCTACTTTACGAAGTCTCACCTTGGATGAGGCGCATAACGCCCATCTTGCCGTTGATTACTTACGTCTTATCTATGCCCTTCTCAATCCATGCTTTTTAAATCGGACTGGATATGACTCTCAGTCCAAGACAGCAAGTACAGCACATTAAATAAATCAGAGACATAGGGGGTAAAGGAGCGTATTTCACCTGTCTGATGGCAGGTAGTTAAATAAGAGAAGCCAACAAAATGAAAATAGACGATAAAAGGAACGTTCTTATCTTGGGTTTACTATTGACTACTTAAGCAAAAGCTTTCTCATCTACGGGGGCAACCTTCACATCTCCGTGATATTGCGGCGGCACATCTTCGACCTCAGCAAAAATGACCTCCATCTGATCCTCCTCGTCCCTACGTCTGAAGGAGCGAACACCAAGGACGCATAGGACATAGAACATCCTCAGGAGAGATCCAATACCGCACCCTGATAAGCCAAAAATAAGTGTCCTATAATTAGATGTGCCACAACAAAGCGCTTACCTATGACGAACGCAGTGATACGGCCTTCCCATGGGCCGAGGGTCATCAACGCTCTCTGGACACGACCAACAAACGAGTGTGGGCGGTGATGATGGAAATGGGGACGACGATGATGCGAGTAGGGGATGACGTGTGGCGCATCTTCAACAATAATGTGATTCTTCGCACCCTCGGAATTTACACGATAAGGCGCCGGGATGAACATCGCGTCTCCGGGCGCATGTTCTGGGCGATGCGGCATAGGGTGACCATGGGGGAAGTGCATATGGTGGTGCGGGACGATAGGCTCCAAGCCGACTTTCTCGCGAAGCCAGTTTGCGAGTTTGATGGCCTTCCTGCGGGCTCCTCCGCTGCAGCGATGCTTCCTCACGGGGCCTGAGGGCATTCCATCCTGTAATTGTACCCACTCCACCTTCTTTGTTTCTGGTTTAGGAACTGACTGGGCGGCTCCGGCAGCCGCCAAACCCCAACGCATATGCGCCACAGGTGCATCGTCGGCTGGAGGGGGCGCCGTGGCGTCCTGTGAAGAGACATTCGTGTTCTCTGGAGCGAGTACGTAGATACGGATAGGACCCGCAGAGACTTGAGCAGCTAGAGCGAGATTGAGTAATTTAATGATGGCATCAGACGACCAGCTAGCAAGTCAACTCACCTAAGCCCAGAGCTGCAGCGACGAGGGGCAGAAATGTTACTTTCATGGTGTTATGGACTTTAATGCAATCCTAATCACAGGCCTTGAACGGCGAGGATAATGTTGCACTGAGAGAGCACGATGATGGTGGTGTCAGTTTAAAGGAGTTTCTGGGCCTGCTGCGCTCCAAGAGTCCGCTCGCCGAGCGGCAGCCGTGTGACTTGTACTTTCCCTAGTTTGGTATCTGTGACTAAGCGAAAGCTTCTTACTGAATTAAATGCCGTGCTGCGACGAGCCAACAAGACAAGTACTGATTTGATCACGGCAGGGTGTTCGTCAAGCATGCCTTGTTCCGCGCTTTCTCATCGTCTGCGACCAAGGCGACCGGGCCATGAAGAGGTCTTCGCGATATCTTCTGCTCGCAACTATCTCTGTCTTCTTGTTTTACTGGTTCGTTCGAGATAAGAGCAATAATGCGCTAGACGACAGCCAAATCGACACACGACCGACTACTGTGCCGAAGACGCCCAAAATCACCATCATCGCAGTCTGGTCTATTTTAGGCCCAGATCCAAACTATCTTCCGTACTTTTTTCAGTCAGTCGAGGCAAACGACCAGGTCGATCTCTTGTTCGTGCAAGTAGATAAACATGACTTAGGATGTTCGTCATATTCAAGTGCTCCGAATGTCCAGGTACGTATGGATCTTCGGCTCTGGCACTCATCTTACTCACGCTCTGCTTCAGGAGCTGTGCCTGACTGAAGATCAGTGTGCGCTATCCGTTAGGGACCCAATCCTGTCTTTCTAACTTGTTTACGGACAGATTATCGATTCCATGTTGAATTTCTCTGTAAAAGGTGGAAATGCTCCGACGATGAGAGAAGGATATTCTTCGACACTATTAAAAGGAACGGACGAACAGATCATGTGAATCACGCGTTAACTTACTCGCCGCTATGCTCTGACAACAGGGATCCCTCAGAATAACTCCTTTTTTCGTATCTTAAGAGCTGGTGTTTTTGCGTCATTCATTGATCCGGCTACGACAATTTGGGTATGTTGAAATAATCCTTCTTGTTCCTGCTTTGCATTGGGCCAACTAGTTTGTTAGGGATGGTGCGACGTAGACGAGTTCTGGGGAAAGTAAGCCAATCCTTTTTGCCGTTTCGATGCTCCGAGGTTGATGCCATTCAACATCAGCTTTACGCGAACATTTCCTTGGGATATTGCCCATGACTTTGATGTTCTTGCTGCCTCTGTACAACCAGAGTTTGCCAATCACCGCATGCTGTATACAAGGTCTCTATGCTTTTAGCTCTCTTCCAGTTTTTGAATGCACTAACATGCTAACTGTTTAGGGGACACATGGCATTCATCCGCAATTCGCCCGAAGTTCTTGACAAATTACACTCATTTCCGAAGTTTTCTTCTCTTTCTGCGTACCTGTCTTTACCAGCAACACTGACAGACGCCGAGGAATCCGAACTCAGCCATTACATCTTCTCCGACGAGCCTTCATTCACATTCCTCGCGTTTGAAGGAATGCTGAACAGTTATGACACTGTTCTTCTATCTTCACGCGGCGTGTTTTACACATCTTTGCAGAAGAGAGACCTGCAAGATCCCAATCGGAGGGGACGAATCGCTGCTCTGGCTCGAACAACGGACAGGGCGATTATACGACCAACTTTCTCGCAGGAGGGTATTGAGGAGGAGGCGCACGTATACCATGACGGATGGAGCTTTCCAGGAGAGGTTTGGTTCGATAGGAAGCACGTCACATTCGTCGAAACGGGGTGGCTAGAACCCGGAAAACGGGAACAAAAGGCATATTTCATGCGTCGTGAGCCGTATGGGCCCATCACCCAAAGGTTGGAACCCCGGGATCGGTATCTAAGTCGAGATGGTGAACTTGTTGTGGATGAATGTCTGTATAAACATTGGCAAACTGAGAAGCATCATCGTGAGTCTTGCTGTTTCTTATTTATTTCTGGGGTCTTGATTACTTCTCGTCCCTCAAACAGCTTGGTTCCGGAGAATACCAAGCGCTCTGGGTCCTGCAGAGATTTTCGTAGAGCTCAAGAATGCACAGGCCGACATATGGAACGAAAACGGGGACATAATTTATTCTACGGGTCTCTGAGGGACTAATGTTACTTACGGATATAGACATGACCATCTAGCTAACTATTAATATGGGAAAGGACCATTTGACGATACAGTTGAACGAGTCTCGTGAGCCACTCCATCATTCGCTCTTGTGCGTCTGGGTGGATTACCCGCTATTCAAATTTACCCTTGCAATGCGGCTTTGGTATTTTATCCTGACATTTACGAACGAACATTCTGTGGATCGCAGAAAGGAACGACTTACTGTGAGTGTGCGCTAATTCTTGTCATGTGCAGCTTTGTCAGCAAGCACCTCGCAAATCTGAGACATACTCCTCGATGCTGTGCAGTCACCACAGTGTATGCATCGTCGGGACGGGAGAAGACCTGCTCGGTAAATGAGAAAGTTAGTGCATGCGTAGATGTCGTGTGTTTCTTTTACAAGAGGTCGCATGCCTCTTGATGATCCGACTCCGATGTGTTGGACAACGGATCCTGCATATGTGACGTAGCAATGTGTCATTATGACACAAAGTGGCCCAACGTGTGGTATACAAGGTGTCAACCGTGCGTTGCTTGTCTTCACTCTATAGGGCATTACCAGGCTCGCTTTATAACGCTGAAACTGACTAGATCTAAGACGAAGACAATCCCTGTATGGATCTTTGACCTCAGGACTGACATAATATCGAACGAAATCGTCAATATATGCTATTGATACTTGAAACAACACGAGTTTGTCGGCATCCGGTTCAGATGAGCTTGTTATTCAGTCTCTTGAAGTTACCTTCGGAATCGGGTCTGCTACTTAGCTCCTGGCCAAGTACATTTGTCATATCAGCATATACAACTTACGCTTTGACCGATTTCTACGCATCCGTCATCCCGCAAGAATTCCCAACAAAAAAATCTCTCAACGTGTTCAGAAAGCTAAACTTAATCAACTTGTTTGTCAGTCGACACTCACTCGGCGTCCCGTACGCGTCATTAGCTTCAGCATATTTTACGTCTAGCATATTATGCGAATTCGGTCAGTGCCGACGTACGCTTACTTTCACAAGTACCTTCAGGTTAGATGCGTTTCATGCAGTTTGATTGCGCCTTTGTTCCCACAGGCATCTTAGATCTCAAATAAGTTGAGACCGCTTACTTTATTTCTTTCCGTATTTCACGTTTTACATTTAATTTCGTGCTCCCCGTAAGGGATGAGGAATCTTTGTTTGAACGGGCGCTTAGACGGTCGTAGTTCCTGAATTTGTTCTCCTGCCCTAAAGATTGCATATAGTGCATATCGGGCATGTCCGGGAACAGTGAGCGTCTGGTATTGAAAGGGCGATAGAAAGGTGGCAACATATTACCAAACTGAAGGACGAAAATAAAGACATTGACAACTTTAATGCCCATTCATCTTCCTTCCCGTTAGTTTCAACCATCTGCATACACTCAGTGGAGGCCGGGGTCCCTAGCAAGGGAGAACATTCACCAGAATCGATACTCTATAGATTCCACTGTGCTTCGCATGAATAGTAGGAAGCCCAGCTGGGTGAGTCATCACTCGTATTCTTATGTATCAGGTACACAGAAGAACGGGAGCTGAACACAAACGCGGGGACACAGGGAAAACTGTACCGGTGCTTCCGTGCACTTATAGGTTTTAATTGGTCAAATCAGGATTACCTGTCTTCTGGTATTACATACTGCACGGATACACATTAAGAGCTTCGAAATATTCAGGATCCTCATTCACGAACCTTTGTCTTGAATAATAATATCACCAGCCAAAAGGACGCAGAATGACGGAAGCACGCTACACAGCTTCTGAGCCACTCAATCTTTCAGTCTTCACAAGTACAATCACATTCCATTTCGCTCGTTGGAAATTGGAATGCTGACGGGTATGTAGGAGATCACATCTAATAAGGTGAAGGAAAAAATTGTAGCTCCACTTTACCCACTACTACCTATAAATGCACAAGACGGCCGCTTCAAACCAAACCAAACCAATGGCACTAATCACTATCCATTCATCCAATTCAGTCAGACTGTTGCTCATCGCCGCGCTTCGAGATGTTGGATACTTAGAATCCGACTTCCGATTAGGTGTGCGGATAAGTAACCTGCAGGGAGGGACTAGTAGTACATGAAGCTTCGATACCCATTAATGCTACACAGAAGGGAAAGGAAGAAGAACGACATCCAAAGATACCTGAAGACCGACGGACATTAATGCTGTGCGAGATACATTAAACGTACCTTCACACGAGGAACGGGCGATTCGAAGCATACAGCAAAAGACACGCACTTTTCAGTTTATAAGTACTTCAAGTTGAAAGTGGAGAGTACCTTTCCCGTTTCTCGTTCCTATATCCTGGGGTGCACAGCAAACATGTGTTCATGATATAAAGCTGTGGAGTTGGTTTTCGTCCTTTCGCTGCGGAAACAATATACTTACTCGTATTGCCTAGACTTCTGGTATGGGTGGTATTACACTCCGCTGGCAGACTTCTGGTCGAGGAACTGAAAAAATAAGTGATCACAAGGACGGATACTTACAACGCGGTACTCGGGAGAGGCCTACCGCTCGGGAAGACAGGCTATACTATACATGAAATCTAGCACTGATCTTCCTATCTTCCTTGCTATCGCTGTTCTTCCGCCCCATTCGCAGCTTGCTTCCTATGCATTCTCTTCTGATACTGATACACAAAGCGGAACCTCGATACATGTGTAGTTTTGCTTGCAATCGGCTTTGTAGCATTCATAGAACAACTAGCAGGTGTTCAAATCGATTCAGTATGATTGAAATTGATATTAATGATGTATTACGGCAACAAAATTAAAATTCAAGCCTAAGTAATGAGTTCACGCGAAATAAACTTTGTACCCCACACTCACCATTCGTCTTCACTCGGGTATCAGGGACGCACCGACCGTTCTCGAAGCCAACTCGACGCGGAGTTCGATCGCCTTCAAGCAGTAACTTTGATCCCGTGTCCGTGCTAACATTCTCGCGTCTTCGTCCGCTTCGTCCCGATCCCGTTGAAATGAATTCTCGTCTCCGGAAGGAATGAAAATCGTAATAATCCTTGCTGAGAAATGCTTGTTCGATGCTGATTGCCAGAACCTAAGCGCATCGGAGTTCACAGGGTACTTGTTCACCTGTATTAGTGATCACGGTGATAAACGCACATACTCTCGCCAAGTAACCTCTACTAGTCAGCAGTGCTCAAGCTTTTTTAAATCTTACTTTGATCGATTATTATGCAGTATGTTTCGGGTTGGTCTACTTGAGCCTTGCGGAGGCCGCGCGTAGAGTTCCCAAAGAGGAAGCCAGCTAGACACTTTCGCCAAATGAGAACAGGACGCCACCGTATTCAGATGACCTGCTATTCGCGAGAATTAGCAGCATAAAGCGCAGCACATACCTGATTATTACATGTACGGTTATGTTCCAGATAGCACACTCCCATACCTTGCGCAGCTTTCCATAAATGCAAGTGTCCTGGGCATAATCACAGGTACCGGGAAATCAAGGATAAAAGGAAAGTTTAGCATCTGATAATTTGCACAGCCCGGTATTAGGAGGTTGTAGGAAAGGCGATGCAGCAGTCAGACGACCCGGCGGTACCAACGAACAGCGCAAAGCACGCAAGGAGCGAAGGACTATCCAGGACGCGGAGTGGTACATTCGAGAATTTCAACTGATAAGCTGGCGAGAGTGGACTGCAGCGGGAAGCCATGGGCGAGTGTATAGTTAAAGAAGTGGAGGCTAATGGCGTAAAAGCCGAGAATACATGGTTGCTCGGAAGGCATGTCAGCAGGCCAGAGACTGAACGCGTCGAAATAAAAGTGCGAATCGCACAGAAAGTGGAGCATACGAATAAGAACATTGAACATGTTCAGATTAAGAATTCAGGTCCTAATCCTGTCCCAATGCCACCACTCAGTAGTTTACGTGTGACTTCATGGTGAATTTCTGGACCGCAACTAGCAGAAATCGCTGTATGTGCGGGACAAACGGCGTGACATCATCGATGACGGAGAGGGACTCTTCCACCTCCTTGTCCGTCACGGGCTCAGTGTCCAGACTGAAACGCAACAAATCCGGAATATATTCTGCTCGTCGGTGATGTCAAACTGCTGCTTTTTCCGGCGAAGAAATCTCCAGTTACAAAGGCATCATGCTGGGGATACCGGCCGCGTGACCCCCACTGACCCGGACTAGCAAAATAGACACTTCCGTCAATATTGGCGTTACCAGGTCGTGAGATGACAGTGCGGAAATATATCTTCCGATTGCCAGGTCGTCACCGATGCCTCCGCAACTCAGCTGAGTCAAGTTGAGACACAAGGAGGCATTTTTGATTATGCGGAATTTGTGTCCCTCGGTCGAAGAAAATCATGACCCGGACACGAGATGTGCAAACAAAAATGCAAAATAGGGTCCAGACCCGCCCGTTGTTGCCCGATTGAGTGCACAATCATTGAATCAAGGTCCACATATAGACTCGTGGACAAATACACAGCTTGCGCAAACACAGAGACCGCAGTGCTTACGTACGCAGGCCTCGACCAACGGGGATGCTCTGGCCTATTATGGTCAAGCACCGCATTGCAATGTAGTCAGCGGTGGGAGAGCCGAATGGGGAAAAATAAAGCAGATTGTATAGACAAGTATACAAAGACGAGGTGGACAAAAGACAGCTGTACCGACGGCTCAGACAGAAAAGACAGGACGAGACAAGGCGGAGTGGAAGGAGTCTCGACCGCTTAGCGCTCGTTGTTGTGTTGTCCAGTTGTCACCGGGATCAGCGTTTGTTTGGTTTCGAGGACCCCCGGAACCTCCGTTTGCGTCACGCCCTGTTACGAACGGGACGTTTGTGGTGCGGATCCGGCTAGGTCCAAGCCAATCGGGAAGGGGTGCACTGTGCGGGGGAAGGGAAAACGGGGGTCTGCTTAGCTAATATATTGCAAAATTACTTATGCAGAGTCTCACCAGCGCCCTGTTGCATCTGCACACCCCCTCAAGCGCATACGACGTCTGCCTCCGCCTCCTAGGAAAAAACGAAAGGACGAGCGGCCTCGTCCGCTGGCCGCACACGCACACACCAACACCGACACCCGTTAGAGGAAGGAGAAGAAAGAGCCGAGAGCACGAGCCGGTCACGCCCCGTCAAGCAGCGTGTTGTACCCCAGATTCATATCGAAGCAGACACCTTGACTATAACGTACAGATCACACGAGTGAAGCCATGCCCTCTCGGTCCGACCTCTATGAACGCCAGCCAGACGCGTTCCCTCCGCACACCTCTATAGGTTCAACTTCACCTTCCTCCTCTTCTCCTTCATCTACTCCTTCCCTCCCCACTACTCCGAGTCGCTCATCACATACTCCCCTTCCCTCTCAATCTCGCATTACCCCGTCCTCAGTGGGGCTACTCACACCCTCATCCTCAAAGGCCTCTTTGTCACCTGCGCTTTCACGGTATAAAGATCAGTGCCAGCCGTCCTCGCCAACTTTCTCCCGGGACCACCATCTCAAGCCAAAGCGTCCGTCTATTCCAAGCCGTCGACTCTTCTTCCCTGTTCGTGCATCTCTTGAACTGTACACCCATCCTGCACGTTCCTCTGTAGGCCCCATGTCGGACCACTCGTCACGCCCAGGCTCGCCAGTGCCTCGCTCTCGTGCCATGTCACCTCAGCGCCCCGAACTCATTGCACGCCCATCCAGTCGCTGCGAGTCATTACTTCGGGATACGCTCCGCCGTGATGAGCACGAACGTTCGCTATCTTACCGGACTGCGTCGAGGAGCCCTAACAGATGGGCTGGAAGGAGATCGAGGCCACGGGGCAATTCTTTCCTTGAGGCGCTCAGACGGGATGACTCGCCAGACAGTGGGTGCGAATTTGAGGACAACGTCTTCATTCGCCCTAAGGCCGAGGGGGAGAATTCGAGTCGCTATAGCCGTGCGCAGGCAATGGCCATGCGAGGGCGTGGCGCTATAAGCGCAAGCTCTACGGAGGCAGGCTCCTTGCCTTACGGTTCACCGACTTCGCCGTCTCCCATGCCTCCATCCATGCCAAGAACGCACACCTCGCCAGCTGTCCCGCGTGCTAAGGGTCTTTCTTGTGACGATGAACGGCGAGGCGCTTTCACGCGAACGCCGTCAAGTCCGTACTCGGGGCGCCGATCATTGCCAAACACAGTAACCCAATCCCATGTGTCCAACGACTCGTCACCGAAGCAACATTATAACACACTCAGTCCTCATGAATCCGTGTTACGCGCAAAACTCAACTATGTTCTGCAGCAGGCTGGACCAGTTTCTGCTGACGAGTCTGCTGCACTATCTCAACGTACAGGACACCCGCGCCGAAATCACCAGCGCGCCTTTTCCCATGGCGTCACTGTTGTCACGTCCCCGAAACACATCCCTTCTTCAACTTCGCCCTCTCCACAGGTATGTAAATCTGTCTTCCTATTCTTGCGAAATTATTAATAGTAATTATTTGTCCAGTCGCTTGCGCCCAGTTCGTTATCGAATTCAGCAACAGATTTAGTCAGGGTAGAATGCACTCGGCCTCACAGACAAGATTCCCTTGCGGAGAGAGCCTCCCCGTCGTCCCCGTCTGAACCACTGACTCCACCGCCGACTCCACCATTTAATGCGCGCACAGCTGCCGAGGCATGCAAACGGATGAACGGTTATGTCTCCTTTGCCAACGTGGAGGGTCTGGGTGAGCCTCCAGGCCTAGACATCGACCAAGACAACAACGAAGATGGTCTGGGGACACTGAAGCGATGGCTGCGTTTGTTGCCTTTAGCTTTTGGGAACGGCGGTCAGGGTCCGCCAGAACGTGCAGCTGGACGCCTTTCCGTGAGCAGGCAACGTTCAAACTCGACCTCGTCCGGATGATTCGTTCCACTCGATGGTCACGCTTCGTTAGAGGCTGGTTGCTGAACGAGAAGGGTTATCCATTTCCTTTCTCGAATTGGCACCGTCAGACCCTCGAGGAATTATTCTGTTGGCTCGTGAAATTCCCGACATCAACTGTCGACACATTGTATCTATCCTGTCATGCGCTGGTCTGGCCGGTCACCGATTCGCATCTATCTTATTGTCACAACCGACACTGCAATGCTTATGTATTTTCGACATCCTGATGTACTCTTATTTGCGCTATCACCCATCGCATCTCGCCATCGCGTCTTGATCATCCCCTACAAATATCGATATCATCGCACGCATCTCTCATCGTCATCAGGTACTATACACTACGCTCGCTCGCCCGAGTATCGCATTTTTGAGCTGATTCGTCATGGCTCTTCTTGTACAAAAATCGCATCTGTTTGGGTAATCACACGAAGGCATGGGGTGTTTTAAAATTCGTGAGCGTCTTTCATCGGATTGGTGATAAGATCACCTGTCTGTTGTGATGCTGACGACCTTCCGGTGATGACGGACCCTGGTCGTTGTTGCAGCGTCTCGCTGTTGCTCGGCCGTGATCGGAGGTTTCAAGTCGCCTCGTTGGGAGTTTCGGCTGCCATTCCTGAGCGACGAGGTCCCGGTCAATTGAGACTGACAGAGTGCTTGCTTTCGGTTGTTTTTTTAATCCAATTTCAATCATTACAGCACGGCATCTTGAACGATATTGCCGTTGCTTGCTTTACCTGATATAATATTTTTATTATTTTGAGCATCCTGGTTTTTCGTTTAATTCTCGGCTTTCTTGGATTTACGACACTTGTTCGTATGCCGCTTTACGCCACATTCCTCTTGGTATAAGACGACGATGATTTTTCTTCCGAGATTAGAAATATAATGTTCCGCTCTTTTTCCTCGGTTATGTGACCTTTTTTCTCTCAAGGCTACCCGACATTGGGACTATGTAGTGATATATGATCGAAATGTATGGATGATCATGGACGAAATTAAATGCAGTACAAACGTTTTGGTATGAATGCCCAGTATTAACATCCACGTCGCTTTTTCGCCCACGGCGGTGCCAGCCGAGGAAATTGTCTAGTGAATTTCTCTCACATCTGTATATGCGTGAACTATGTGGGAGTATTTTTACAAGTGCATGAACTGTGCCTGTGGCCGTCAAACGAGGCTGAGAGCGCTTCCGTGTCCCATCCAATCCTGATTAGCGGGTCTCGCATAAGGTCCCATGCACAGATACCAGGATAGTTGTGCATACACGCGGCCGTGTACACCGCTGAAGACAAGCTGATAAAGAGAGCATGACTGAAAATTTCCGATTCTACGGTCCTCCACTTTCACGTTGTCACTACCAGCGGTGTCGATCTGATCTTTCTTTTCTGACTTCTACCAACCTCATCTTATCATCTTCACAAAATGGATATCTCGTGAGCTCTTTCATTTCGACACGCGTTGTGTTTGCTCGGAGATGCTAAAGATCGATCCAGCTCAATCCTGCAGGGAGGCTACCAACATCCATTGTCTCGTTCATGGCAGGGCAAGCGCCAGCTCACCAAGTCTATGTTAATGTACCCCATTTTTATCACTGATGACCCGGATGCAAGCGTGGAGATTAAGTCGCTGCCTGGTCAGCGTCGGTGGGGTGTCAACAAGCTTGAGGAATTCCTCGGTCCCTTGGTCAAAAAGGGTCTGAAGAGTGTCATTATTTTCGGTGTTCCCATAAATTGCGTCAAAGTGCGTACACTCGGCCGCAACATTCGAAGTGACATTTAGCTTAGATTTGCGCCTGCAGGATGAATTCGGCACACTGGCAGATGACCCACAGGGACCAGTCATCCTCGCAATTAAAAAACTGCGCACACTTTTCCCAGACTTGTACATCGCTGCAGATGTATGCCTGTGCGAGTACACGTCTCATGGGCACTGTGGACACTTACACCCGGACGGCACAATCAATACCGAGCCATCCGTTAAACGGATTGCCGAGGTTGCAGTGAACTACGCGAAGGCTGGTGCGCACTGCGTTGCACCGAGCGACATGATGGACGGGCGCGTAAAAGCCATTAAGCGCGGCTTGATTGATGCGGGGTTGGGCAACAAGTGTACGCTGATGAGTTATTCGGCAAAGTTTGCGAGTTCGCTGTACGGTCCTTTCAGGTAGGTGCTTTTCGTTGTCTTGTTCCGTTCTTGGAGTACGGGCGGATATTGATTCCGTGAAAAGGGATGCAGCAGGCAGTGCTCCGTCGTTTGGTAACCGCAAATGCTACCAACTCCCGCCAACTGCTAAGGGCCTCGCCAGACGCGCGATTGTACGTCTCTTCTCCTCTGTCAACGCATATGGACTCTTAATTGACCGACCTATAGAAACGTGACACTGAGGAAGGTGCTGATATCATCATGGTGAAACCCGCTCTGCCATACCTCGACATTATCGCAGACGCTGCAGAGCTTGCACCAGATCACCCTCTTGCATGTTACCAAGTGAGCGGTGAATTCGCTATGGTATGCGCTGGTGCAACAGCCGGAGTGTATGACCTTCAAACGATGGCATTTGAAAGTATCGAAAGTATGATTCGGGCTGGTATGTTCTACTTTATTCTGGGTTTTACGATAGAATACAGGAGCTGACTGATATCCAGGCGCGACACTGATCTTGACATACTTCACTCCTCAATTCTTGGATTGGCTTGAGGCGTGAAGTTTACGAGTCGAGACTCGAGTGTAATAAATAATTCTTGGTAATGCTAATCTTGATATATTGGGGTATTGTGTAGGTAGAGTAGAGTTATTTATTGTGATGTATCGTAATAGAAAACCAACACTTCTGTTTTCCGTATGAAACAGTTTCGATGACTTTGTCTTTTTTATGAAGTTCCGATGCGTTCAGCGGTGAAGGTCAATTTGAATTCTAAAGGTGATACCATCACGTGACCAGAACGCGGTTCGTTTTGCGACGCGCAGTCGACGCGAAGTTCAAACTCTGAACTGCATGCTTCTCTGCCTCTGATCTATAACGACCACGCAACTCACGAACTTACGATATCATGCAAAGAAAGCCCTCCCCGGGAATAGGCAGGGGTCCGAATCCTCCTGTCAACGTCCAAAATAATTCCACTTCGAACCGGGGACAGGCTGGATTCAGTTACGCACAGTCGAATGCCTCGAATACGACTCAAAACCAGATTACATTTGAGGATATTAATGATGCTATATCGTCCATTCAGCACCGCTTTTCTGCAAATGATGAGGTGCAACAACGTCCAAATTCATCGCTACCTGCACATCCACCCGCTCCTCCACTGTCGTTTCAGACTCAACCGCCGCGACCACCGTCTATATCATCTGAAACCCTCTCGGGAAATGAGCATGATGCCCAATACGCCATGGATTGCTCAGGGAACCCTATGGCTTACCCAGTGAAAGCTCGTTACGCAGGCCCACCTGTCCTTCCCGCTATAAATTCTGGAGAGGAACTGTCATGGGAAAGCGTGGAAGGATATACGCGGATAGATCCCTTCAAGGATAGCAGAGAATCGCTACCACTGAACAGTCAAGCAAACGCACAGCAAACGTTGCCTCCTGCGCCGCCTCGGTCCGTCCTTGCACCAGGGTCGCAAGTGCAAGGTTCTCAGTATGACGGGAGCTCCTATTCACGCCCCTCATCTGCCTATCCCGTGTCGCGTCCCGCATCTACGTTTTACCCTGCTTCACGTCCTACTTCGGTTGCTTACTCTACGTACAATCCTGTCCATACACAAGCCGCTATCGAACATGCTTCATCGTACGCAGCGAGCCAACCTCCTAGTTCACATGGTCACTACGATGCTGATCCAATGAACTCCGTTCACTATAATGCAGAAGGACAGCTTATGGTAGATCATTACGGTCATGACGTAGAGGCGTATGCTAGTGGGCTCGACTCGCATCCGCGAGGTCAAATTCGGTCTCGTTCAGTGACGCCTATGGGGAACGAGGAATACATGGCTGTGGACGACGAAGGCGATAGTATGGAGGACTACAGCGAAACTGAAGAAGACGATGACCCAGAAAAAGGTGGATATGACTATGGATACGAGACCGGACCTCGAGTGCAATTCTTGGATCCTAAAACAGGGCATGCATCTCAGGAGAAATCGCCTTTATCTGAGTACCTCAAGTCACCGCCTATGTCAACTCAACATTATGGACCTGCGCCTGTTGGGAGGGTTATACGGAGACTGTTCCAAAAGAAACGAGTGCAGCTGACGAACGGTAACCTCGTTATTGATTTGAATGTCCCAACCAAACTTGTCTTGCCATTAAGACGGGAGGAAGAGATGCTGAAAACTCGGTATACGGCTGTGACTTGTGATCCGGATGATTTCAAGAAAAGTAACTTCTTCCTGCGTCAAAACGAATATAACAGGAGGACAGAGCTCTTTATTGTTATTACAATGTACAATGTAAGTTCTTGCAGTGCCCAAGACTCTGAAGTATGGCAGGTAATACTGAATTCAGGAAGACGAGATTTTGTTCTGTCGTACATTACATGGCGTTATGCGAAATATCGGCCACCTTTGCACGCGTAAGAACTCGCAGACATGGGGTCAAGACGCATGGAAGAAGGTTGTGGTCTGCATCGTCGCGGACGGACGGAAGAAGATCCATCCTCGGGTCTTGGACTGTCTCGCCGCTTTGGGCGTCTATCAACACGGAGACTTCATGAAGAACATGGTCAACAACAGACCTGTTACAGCACATCTATTTGAGTATACGACGTCATTTGGTCTGGATGAGAACTTGCATTTTAGATATCCAGACAAGGGCATCGTTCCGACGCAGATTCTTTTCTGTCTGAAGGAGAAGAATCAGAAGAAGATAAATAGTCATCGGTGGTTCTTCAATGCTTTCGCTCCTTTGCTTAGGGTAAGATCTTTTAGAAATCATTGTATTGCTGCTCGAGCTAAATGTATCGCTTTTAGCCCAACGTTTGCGTTCTCATCGATGTTGGAACCCGACCTGGAAATAAGAGTCTGTACCATTTATGGAAGACATTTGACCTGAACTCGAATGTCGGTGGTGCGTGTGGTGAAATCGCAGCATATAAGGGAAAGCATTGGAGATCACTATTGAACCCCCTTGGTAAGTTTGTCCAGTCAACTTTGAGAAAACAAGTTTAGCTTACATTCTTCAACAAGTTGCCTCTCAAAATTTCGAGTACAAGATCTCGAATATCCTTGATAAGCCTACGGAATCGCTTTTCGGTTTCATCACCGTTTTGGTTCGTCTCGTCCTTCTTTCGCTTCTTGCGTTCAAGCTGACTCTTGACCATATAGCCTGGTGCCTTCTCGGCATACAGATACATAGCACTTCTTAACAACAAAGCAGGTGTTGGCCCGTTGGCATCCTATTTCAAAGGCGAAGTCTTGCATGGGAGGGAAACTGATATATTCACGTCGAATATGTGTAAGCACGATTACTATTCTGAGCTCAAAATACATTGCTTACCAGTTGCTTATTAGACCTTGCTGAAGATGTAAGTAAACATGGTGGGTGAAGGATCTCCCTCTGACCGCTGAGTACTTCGCAGCGTATTCTTTGCTTTGAGGTGGTTGCAAAGGAAAACTCCAACTGGTGACAAACTTTCTTTCACCGAGCTAATGAACTTCAGTAGTTAAATATTTTACAGGGTTCTGCGATTTGTCAAGTCTGCAATCGGCGAAACGGACGTTCCTGAAACGCTTCCTGAATTCATTGCACAGAGAAGACGGTGGTTGAACGGCTCGTTCTTCGCTTCGGCATACTCTATCGCACATGTCGCACAAATGCTACGTTCAGGTCACAGCACTAGCCGGAAGATATGGCTCATGATCGAAACTGTTTATAACATCATCAATATTATTTTTGCTTGGTTCTCTCTCGTGAGTAACAGAAGCAGAAATTTGTTCTTATGCTAAACTGGCTGCTTATAGGGCAATTATTATTTATTCTTTGTGAGCGACGAATTTTTGTGTATCCTCCCATCGTGCTGAGGTCGTCTGCAGAATATGGTAACTTCGTCTCTAGAGGATCCGGCATTTGGTCTTCACGGCATTTCGGTTTTCAACTCTATCATACAGGTTAGTATCGACCGGTTAGGTAAAAACTACTTACTAACGATGAATAGTACGGATACATTTCTCTTATAATAGGTTGTTTCCTGTTCTCTATGGGTAACAGACCGCGGGCGTAAGTTGCCTTTTGTTTTCAATGTTGCCTTGATTTTAATTCTGATTTCATCCGTAGATCTCCCTGGAAATACAAGCTCTCGTCAATATTCTTCGCAATCATTAACATCTACGCTATCGTCGCTGCTGGTCTTTGTGCAGCCCAAGCCGCAAAACAGGGTGGGGCTGTGTATTCTGCGATGTTGTTTAGTGTGATTATCACATATGGGGGTCAGTATATGAATTTCACCCTAAATTCCATTCATAAACTCAAAAGCTGACACGAATACTTGTAGCCTATGGCATCTCTAGCATTCTTGCGTTTGATCCCTGGCATATGATTACGAGTTTTGTGCCGTATGTGCTTATGGTTCCAACATTCGTCAACATTTTGAATATGTATGTATACGTTCATGTGTTTGTTTCGAAGACATGAGCTGACTGTCCGCTTTAGCTATGCGTTCTCAAATCTTGACGATGTAAGCGACCCATTTCAATTGTATTCCTCATTTCTAACACGACCTCTCTTTATTAGATCTCGTGGGGCACCAAGCAGGATAATCAAGTCGATACTGACCTTGGAGCAGTCGTTCAGAACAGCCAGTCCCAAGTTGATGTTGAAATTCTAACGGAACCTGCAGATGTGAACCAGATGTATGAAGAGACATTGCGAAACTTGCGTACTAGGAAGCCAGTGGAGAAGCCGAATAATGTTAATATAGAATCGGAACGTGAGCAACAGGCGAGGGATTATTATGCGAATGTCCGCACAAACGTACGTGTTTTTATTGATAAATGATGGATAGACTTAATTGATACTTTGATGAATACAGGTCTTACTAGTTTGGGTTCTTACCAACGTGAGCAAGCATACTTTACATTTCTGGTTTATAGCTGTACTAACCGCAGGCGTAGGGTATTCTTCTCCTGGCGATCTTGAGTGTCGGAAATCCGGCCGAGACGTTTAGCAGTGGAAATAATCCGACCAAGGTTTATATGACGTTCATCCTTGCTTTCGTAGGGATCACAAGCATCATAGTAAGAAAATATTCTCAGCTAACGACTTTGCTCTTACTGACTGTTCTCTAGCGCTTCGCTGGTTCAACTTTATACATGCTTGCATACCTTTTCACTGGATGATCGTGTATCCCTTATTTGTATTCAATGCTGGACTTGTAACCCAATGGACTTCGTATACTCGCATGTATCTAGAACACGGCAATCCCAATGCTTATCTATCATTAGAATTATGGCATTAACAATCACCATATTTCTTCCGATAACGGCAAGCAGTGGGCAGCTCAAGAGTACAGATAATCATAGAAAGACTGTTTAGGACCGTAGCTAGTCCTTCTCGCCATTCGATTTCTTCCATTCCGCAGCTTTCTTCTTGACGGTGGGCATGGCGAACGGGAATGAGATGGCGAAGATGAAGTGCGACTTATGCCTCGGCGGTCACGAAGTGGCGTCCGTTCCACCAAGGAAGACGAATATCTAACTGGTGGTTCTCTTGTTGTAGGGCTGAGATCGAGCGATTCGATGCTCTGTGTGAGATCATCGTTTACAATCGACTTGTCGTCATCAGCGTCTTCTGTTACTTCCTGCATAACCGATGGTTGGCGTATTCGTGCTGGACGGGGTGTATCATCCATCTCTCCCTCATCCTCAGTGTCCCTTTCGGAAACGGACGAAAGGCGCCTGTGGCGTACGTTACGTGTAGATATGTTAATATCTGTTTCGGAAATTGCGTCGGAAAGCAGCTCGTTATCTTCTACGGAGAGGATGTCGGATTCTGATAGGACACCGAGGGAGTAATCGGATTCGGTGGCGGGTGGTGTGTCGAGTGCGTTTCGGGCGGCGTAGTCTGGGCGGGTGACGTTTGGGCGGAGCAAGTAGGTGAGGCGCCTGCCGTCGATGTCTTTGCCTCGGTGTACATAAGCATATACCCAACCTTGTGATAAGAATGAAGGAAGATAATAGCGATACTTACTGAAGCTTACGACTTTGTGGTATCGAGCACAGCAGTGAACAATATACCTTGCGAAGGCATCTTGCTCGATACTCCACACGAGTTGGAGGGGTGTACGCGATAACTCGGTGACAGTTAGTGTGTTTCCGATGGGACGTCCGTGGATAAGTAGGATATCCTCCGTTTCGTCTGGAAGAACTATCGTTCCTCCGACGAGCCAATCTAGGATCTCCTTCTCGATCTCATGTACGAGTAATTGTGCTCTGGGACCATGTCCACGTAATGTACGGCGCATACCCTTCAAGCTCATCGAGTAGCGACCCATGTTTGCGGAAGCTGCGTCGAAGACTGGACGAGCAGCTGCAGGTGCAGAGATACTGCGAGGAAGATAGCTCGGGAGGGGCTCCGGCTACGTTTGTGTTTAGCTACGAAGCTTGAAGCAGGATGATTGACTTAGGCTAGCACTCACGAACGTCCTACGTGCTGAGGGCGGGTCAACCTGTGCATCCCAACTCGCAGCCTGCACCACATGCGGATTGTTGGCAAACCGAGCATTCTCCCTCCTCCGTACCCATCTCTTGCCCTCCTTATCTTCACGAGATCTCTTGTGTGAAGTTGATATTGGTTTGTCTCCTAATATATGCGATGTTGAGCTTTCTCGGAGGTGTGCGAAGCGGTCTGAGAGCTTGGCATTTCGAAGGATAGCTGGGAAGGACATTGGGACGGGGTTAATCGTGCTTTCTGTCTTCCCAGCCTCTCCGGTCACTTCACGTGTAGGATTGATGTGATTTTCTGTTGCCTCCATGATGAAGAAAGTGTAATGCGAGTTTGGGTGCAGAGTCAGAAGTGGTCGGGGAGAGATACAGGTTTCTGGCGGATAAGCGGAACCGGAGCAATGCAGTACAGTAACCGATACGAACTATAGTAGCAGGTAGTTCCCGCGCAAGATTCACCATGTATTCAAATTCTCAAAACAAAAATGCAGACGAATAATAATATTAAATAGTAAGAATGTATCACTGCTGCTCAATTTATTATCTTGTTCCTCCCATTGCTCTGCTATAACTTGCAAAATTTACACCTCGGCGCGTTACATATTTGACGCGCCGCCTTTTACCCCGCTGTGTTGCTGACCCTCCAGGATTGATGTTGCTCGTGTCAGGAACAGTGGATGAAGCATACGATCCGCCTTGCTCATCTTTTAATTGAGAGCGCTGTTCACTTCGCGTCGTGTTCCCGTTTGAGATAACCTGGGACGAGTCTGAACGCCTGTCTCCGTGAGCCTGAGATGCCGCTGCCAGTCCATCAGCAATTGCAGACTCCCCAGTAAATAGTAACCTTGGCTCTACTTCAACAGCGCGTTGCATTTCCTTCTCTTTGCTCCAGCTGGTATCCATCGATGATATAGGCGCATCCTGGTCTTCACCGTTTCCGCTTTGAACAGCCTGCGGCTGGAAAGCAGATGGCCTCCATGCCTCGTTATCATATGCGACTAGTGGATTTACAACCACACTAGGCAGGTTCACAGAATGAAGGACCGGAGATGAAGAACGTGGATGCTTGCCAAGGTCTACACTGGGCGACCCCTGAATACGAGACAGCTGGAAGGATTCTTGAGCGGTGCGTATCGTGTTATGTTCATCACTCGCATCAGGTTGGACGGCGTGGCGTTCCGACGGTTTCCCGCTGGACTCTCCATTTCTTTGCAGCTCCGTAGATGGATAACCGAAGTCGTTAGCTGGACCCAAGGGCTTGGTATCACTGGTGGAACTTCCAAACGCCAGAGCATGTGTTCGTGCGTCGCCTACACCCGAAGATGCTGATCTTTCTGGTTCTGCAGGATCTTGCGTTGCTGGGACAGATCCCTGCATCTCGTTAGACGACCTTGTATGTGATTGGATGGCTTGAGAATTGTCCTGAGTTACTGACGAAGGCTGCTCTCCGCTCTGCGGTTGACTACGGTCTTCTACGCGCGCCGGAGGAGGGGGTAGTTGAGGGATGGCGTTATCCGTTGTTCCCACAGGCATCGCGGCAGTTTGCTCGGGCATGCCAATAGCTTCCACATGTGATGGCTGCGTTTCGGGTTGAGTCCGTGACTCAGTCGTCCCGCTCTGCGGCTGAGACGAAGACATTCTTGGTCCCGTGTGTCTTTTATTACTTGATGACTGCAAACCCTTCGGAGGTTGGGTGAGCGGCTTTGAGCTAAAAGTCGACGTTCTGCTTGGTCGGTAGCGTTAATGGCTAAGTTGGTCGAGTTCTAAGGCGCACGGTATGAACTCGAAGGGTATAGCAAGTTTTTGTGAGGGATGGCTATCGTTACTCTGGGTTGGAGGTTGTGAGTGGATATTTATTTGCGGCTGCGGCTGCGATTGCGATTGCGACATGGACCGTGACTGTGAATTCTGGGCTTCTGACGTGTCAGAGTCTGGTACAAGAATTCTAGGAGCACCATCGAATTTCACCTGTGAAGGGAAGCTATTATTAGGCGGTAAATGAGAGGACTGCGGACCTTCTGGCTAGGACTGCGTTAGCTGTGAGGTTGTCTGCGGCAAAATTATACCACTGCGCTCCGTAGACCGCTTAGTCGAGATATGATATGAAAGACTGCGGTAGGAAGGCTAGATGGCAACTCGAAGGCTCCATTTCGCGATGGTACAGGTTGTGAAGGGGTGTGCAAATGCAACGATGAGGAGTTAGTTCCAAATGCTTGCTTGCATCGCTGCGCGGGCGTCGACTGCGCTTTCCTCGTCACTGCAGTCGCTGGGCCTTTACCTTCGTCACTGTCCCAACTTTCTTCATCGGTGCTTCGATCAATCACAACGCCCATTGTCTTCGGAGTCTTCCTCTGCTGCGTTCTCGTCACGTTCAGGGGGAGGTTGTTCGGACCTTGAGTGTCTCCGGCGTCGACTCTGCTGTCGCGCAGTAATGAAATCGGCAACTTCTTCATCTCGTTCGCTCTTTGGCTCCGGCCTCGCATCCTCGGAATCCTCCCACTAGGACGGTGTACTCTGACAGGGTCCCGACTTCTGACTATCACTAACGACTTCCTCATGTTCAGGGATTATTGCTTCGTTTGGTGCAGTAGTTTCGACTGAAGGGTACCGAATGAGCATTTAATATATATTCAATATCAGAGCATTTTTTAACGAATCAAAACACATACGCTTTGTGATCTTTTTTCCTCTCGAGTTAGACGCTTATCTGATGACTTCGCCGTCCTGCTGACGGTCGTTATCAGAGTCACTTTCAGACGTTTGCTTTTGATACGCCAAGATAGGCGGTTTACGTATCTCAACTTTGACCAAACTTGAATCCTGTACGATAGTAGAGTATAATTGATTATTCGCAGTTACATGAATTCAAGACTTACGGAGGATCTGGTCAAATTGCGCTTGCAACTCTTCGGAAATCGGTCGAGGATAGAATTAATGCGTTCAACCTCCTGTCGTTTCATAAGGTTACGTGAAATTTGCAAAACATCAATGAGAGTCAAGTTTGGATTACATAGAAATGGGCGAACCTTCCATTTCCGTAGATAAGCTTTGAATTTATCGGATGGTGTTTTGGACTACTCTTCTTTTTCGTGGGGCTGAGTTTGCAACAGTACTGGATTTTAGTACGGGAGTTTTCTTTGTCATGTTGTATTCTTCTCTTGGAGAGCAATTGTTTGTTGCTGTACCGCAGGGCTCGTTAGTGCATTTTATATTCATTCTCGCCTTAGGACATTTCTAAGTCACCCAATACTAATAGCATCTCGAGAAAACGATAAGCTCAAGGAATCGTTAGTTAATACCTGTGCAGTGTGCACAGAATAAAGGAATGCAACACACTTGTTATACGCTGTAATTGCAGCTGTAAACTTGACTGGTATCTCATATTGCTTGTCAGATATAAGGGCCCAAATGATGTCATTAGGTTGGTGATTTGGGGGATATGTGAGGAACTGCCAGATAGTTGCAGGTTAGAACAGTCCTGAATACGAATTGAAGGGAAAGCACGAAATGCGTCGCGGACGCGTCAGAGCCAGTTGCTCTGTCACCAGGATAAGACCATTGCTAAGACCAAAAATCAAAGAAATCATCCACGAACTTTTGTAATTTGGACCTTCCGTTTCATTCGTGTCGAGCGGCGAGTCATGTCTATTTGACCTGTGTCTCGGCGATCTGAAGCAAGTGTTTTGCGGTCCAGGAGCATGTGATGGATTCCGCCATCTTTTCACAATGCTTGTATAGGGTCTCTAATACAGTACCCAGTTTCTTATGTGTGCAGTTGAGTTCTACGCTTTGTCACGTTTGCCGTGCAGAATGTCCCATTCACATGTCATTGTCACTCAGGACCCCGTGCGACGCGCATGCAATTGATTCACCGGGATGCATGAGTCTGGGCTGGCACTCACGAACGTCCGACGCGCTGTGGGCGGGTCAATCTGCGCATCCCTACTCGCAGCTTGCACGACATGCGGGTTATTTGCAAACCGCGCGTTCTCCCTCCTCCGTACCCATCGTTTGCCCTCCTTATCTTCATGAGATCTCTTGTGAGAAGCAACGGTTGGTTTATCTCCTAATATATGCGATGTTGAGCTTTCTCGGAGGTGTGTGAGGCGGTCTGAGAGCTTGGGATTCCGGAGGATGGCTGGGAAGGACATCGGGACTGGGTTGATTGTACTTTCTGTCTTCTGAATCGCCTCGGTTGTTTCAGGTGTAGGATTATCATAAATACTGTTGGCTCCATGCTGAAAAAAGTGTAATGCGAAGTAAGGTGCAGAGTTAGAAGTGGTCAGGGAGAGATAAAGTAAGCGGAATCGGAGCAATGCAGTACAGTACCCGACACACACCGCAATGGCAAATGCTTCCCGCGCATATTTCACCATATAATTAATTTTCACAACACAACAAATACAGAAGGCAAGAACCAATGAAGTAGATAATTAGGTTATAAGATACAATTATTGTCAGTGCTCAATTATCACCCCTGTTCCTCCCGTTGCTCCGCTATTCTTCGCAAAATTTGAACCGCGTCAGCCCAAGTCAACCACCTTGGTCCTCCTGGTTCGTTGCGCGGCGTCAAATCAACTGTGAAACCCCCCAGGCGGGGTCTTTTATCCGACTTGGTTCCGGAGCCTCTAGGCTTGACATTGCTCGTGCTGGGAAGAGCGGACGAGACATGCGAACCGCCCCGTTCAGTTCGCGTCGTGTAACTGCTTGAGATAGTTTGTGACGAGTCCAAACGTCTGTCTCCGAGATCCTGAGATGCTGTTGTGAAGGTCTTTGCGGTTACGGACTCCCCAGTAGACGGTAAACTTGGCTCCGGCTCAACAGCGCGTTGCTTGCCTTTGGCTTTGCTTCTACTGGTATCCATCGATATTGCAGGCGCACCCTGGTCTTCGCCGTTTCTGCTCTGAACACTTGGATGCCTGTTTCTCACCGCTAAGTCAACTGTAAACCCACCAAGGCGCGATCTTTTATCCGGACGGGTTCCAGAGCCCCTAGGCTTGACGCTGCTCGTACTAGGAACAGCTGAGATATGTGACCCGTCTTGCTCATGCTTGGCTTTTGAGAGCTGTTCGGTTCGCGTTGCGTTTCCAGTTGAGATTGTCTGGGACGAGCCTAAACTTCTACTTTCGTGATTCTGGGGTCCTGCTGCTGAGGTGCCTGTAGCTACAGACGTTCCAGTCGACTGTAAAGTCGGCTCCGGCTCAACAGCACGTTGCTTGCCTTTCTCTTTGTTCCTATTGGTATCCACCGATGCCATAGGTGCATCCTGGTCTTCACCGTGTCTGCTCTGTACAACCAGACGTCTTTCTCTTTCGCGCTTTTGCTGGAAAGTGGGTGCCTTCCATGCCTCGCTATCATGCGAAACTGGTGGTTTTGCAACCTTTCTAGCAGCAGAATTGGCAGATGAAGATATGCGTGCTTTCTTCCGTCCATGGCTCGCTTCCCGTTCTTTCGTTGCAGAAGAAGAGAGGCTCGCAGAATGAAGGTCCGGAGATGAGGAACGTGGATGCTTGCCAAGATGAGCGCTAGGCGACCCTTGAATACGAGACAAACGGAAAGATTCTCGGGCAGTGCGCTTCGCGTTATGTTCGTTACTCGCATCAGGCTGAACGACGTCGCGTTCTGACGTTTGCCTGCTGGACTCTCCATTCTTCTGCGGCTCTGTAAATGGATCGTCGAGATCCTTATCTGTAGGCAAAAGCTTGGAATCATCGGTGGAACTTCCAAACACTAGAGCAAGGGTCCGTGCGTCGTCCGCATCCAAAGATGCTAGCGTTTCTGGTTCCGCAGGATCTTGTGTTACTGGGACGGATTCCTGGATCTCGTTAGACGACCTTGTATGTGATTGGATTGTTTGAGAATCGTCCTGAGTTACTGACGAAGGTTGTTCTCCGCTCTGCGGCTGAGGGATGGCGTTATCCGTTATCTCCACAGGCATCGCAGTGGCTTGCTTGGGCATACTGATAACTTCCTCATGTGATGGCTGCGTTTCGGACTGAGTCCGGGATTCTGTCGCCTCATTGTTCTGCGGCTGAGACGAAGTCATTCTTGAGGCCGTTTGACTTTTGTTATGAGACGTCAGTGTTCCCTTCGGAGGTTGGGTGAGCGAGCGGCTTTGAGCTAACAGTCGACGTTCTGCTTGATCGGTAGCGTTAATGGCTGAGCTGGTCGTATTCTCAGGAACACGATCTGAACTGGGGGCGTGTAGGTGTTGTGAGGGATGGCTATCATTGCTCTGGGGTAGAAATTGCGATCGAGTGTTTATTTGACGCTGTGATTGGGACTGCGACTGCGACTGTGAATTCTGAGCTCCTGACGTATCTGAGTCTGGTACAAGAATTCTGGGAGCACCCTCGGACTTCTCCTGTGAAGGGATACTTTTATCAGGCGGTAGATGAGAGGACTGCGGACCTTCAGGCTGGGACTGCGTTAATTGTGAAGTTGCCAGCGGCAGAATTATGCCACTGCGATCTGAAGGACGTTTAGACGAGGTATGATATGGAAAGGCTGCGATAGGAAGGCTGGATGGTAACTCGGAGGCTCCATTTTGAGACGGTTCGGGTTGTGAAGGAATGTGGGGACGTGAAGGTGAGGAGTCAGCAGTCCCAAAGGTCTGCTTGCGGCGCTGCGCAGGAGTCGGTCCCGGAAACCACTCTGCGGAGTTCTCCTCATCACTGCGGTCGCTGTGCTCTTCACCTTCGTCACTGTCCCTACTTTGTTCATCGGCACTCTCATCAATCACATCCTCCATATCTTCAGAATCTTCCTCTACTGAGGTTTCGTCACGTTCGGAGGGAGAATATTCAGACCCTGAATGCTCCCGACGTTGACTCTGCTGTCGCGCGGCGATGGAATCAGCGACTTCTTCACCTCGTTCGCCCTTCGGCTCCGGCCTCTCATCCTCGGAATCTTCCCACTCGGACGGTGTGCTCTGATGGGGTCCCGACTCCTGACTATCATTAACGACTTCCTCATGTTCAGAGATTTTTGCTTCGCATGGTGCAGTAGTTTCGGCTGAAGGGTACCGAATGAGCATTCAGTGTATATTCAACATCAGGCATTTTATAATAAGCACATACGCTTTGTGACCACTTCTCCTCTCGAGTCAGCCGCTTGTTCAATGACTGTGCCGTCCTGCTGACGGTCGCCATCACCATCGTAGGCATTTTCAGACGTTTGTTTTTCATACGCCAAGATAGGTGGTTCACGTTTCTCCCCACCGCGGATCTTTTGACCAAATCCTGGACAGATGTCATATAAATTTAATCACGCATAGAAGATGGGGTCATGAAGACGCATCAATCATAATAAAAACTCAAGACTTACGGAGAATCTGGTCAAATTGCGCTTGCAGTTCTTCGGAAATAGGTCGAGGAATGGAATTTATACGTTCTACCTCCTGTCATGTCGTAGAATCACAGAAATTTACAGAAGAACGTTAGTAGGATCATGTTTCGAGCACGTAGAAATGGGCGAACCTTCCACTTCCGTAGATAAGCTTTGAATTTATCAGATGGTGTTTTGGACTGCCCTTCTTTCCGTGGGGGTAAGTTTGCAACAGCACTGGATTTTAGTACGGTTGTTTCCTTCATTGGGACCGCGCTGTGCTCTTGAAGTGAGATATTCTGTTGCTGCACCGCCGGCTTCGTTGGTACATCTTGTGTTCGTTCTCGCTTTAGAACATTTCTGAGGCATTTATCAATTGAGGAGTCATGTAATAGTGTATCGAGACAACGACGAGCTTACCCTGCCCCGCCTCCTTGCCTAAGACCCGAAACCCATTCTTGTATATCTTCATGCGTCTCAATGTTTGCCGGGTTCCCAAAGATACCCTCATGGCCCGAGCCCAGAACACGCACTTCCCCGATCTCAAACGCAATGCACTCGTCCACAGTCATTCCCTTTCCGTTACCAATTGGTACGCGTGCGAAGAAGGCCTTGATATCGCCGACGACAGCAACAGCGTAGCGCTGCGTCGTCAACCGGCGTTCATCATCGGCTGCACCAAAAACGTCATTTATTCTATACGACAGTTAACCATGACCAGGGCCGGATTAGGACGGTAAAACAAGGAGTCGTTAGTATCTGTACACCGAATGAAGGAATGCAACGCACCTGTTATATGCAGTAACTGCAGCTGCTGTAAACTTGACTGGTATCTCATACTGCTTGTCAGAGATGAAAGCCCAAATGATGTCATTCGGTTGGTGATTGGGAGGAAACGTGAGGAACTAACAAACGCTGTAGATCAGTACAGTCCAGAAATACGCGTTACAAGAAGAACCGCGAAACGCGTCGCGGACGCGTCAGAGTCGGCTGCTCTGTCACCAGGATGCAACCATTGTTAAGGCCAAACCCGAAGGAATCATCCACGCACTTTTGTGATTTGAATCTTCCGTTTCTTCGTCTCCGGCGGCGCGTCGTGGATGTTTGCTCCGCGTGTCTCGGCGATCTGAAGCAAATGTTTCGCGATCCAGGGGCGTGCGATGGACTCCGCCATCTTTTCACAATGCTTGCATAAGGTCCCTAATACCCGGTTCCGTATGTGTTAATTGTGTCACTATGCGGCGCGCAGTTGAGTCTACGCTTCGTCACGGTCGCGCAGAACATCTTATTCACATGTCACTCAGGCCCGACGCGCGACGCGCATACAATTGGTTCACACGCTAAACCTGCAGCACAACAACTGTATTGACCATCGTTTGCATTGGCCTTATTGCTGCTAAACGACGACTGACCGCGTCTGCATCGAATAATAAGCAATAAAAAGCCGGAGCCGTCGGAGCTGGAAAGCGAGTCATGGCATTGAATTGGGAACAAACCTAAAAAGTACGCGATCACGGTCCTCGGTCATGTGACCATTGTTTGGAAGCCACGCTTAATACAGCAGTGCTAGGGACTGGTGCGGTAACACCAAACCGCGGTACCGCACCGCGGTACAGTATTCTCACGGTTACCACACCGCGGTAAAATGTTCTCACGGTAACCGCGGTTTTTGCAGTAGTAGAGTCGGTTAGCAGTAGTAGAAAAATACAGCCTACCCCAGTCATTCATTCCCATTAATTATTATAAAAAATACATCCCATATCAATAAATTTTTACTATGTCTCAAGATAACCCTCCCCTCTCTGCCTACACTCTTTTTAAACAACGGTACAACATGTCCAGAGTACCAGTTGGACATGCTTCTATATCTCCCACACTCCTTACTTCGCCTTCTAATGTAGATGCCACACTTTCATCAAACCTGGCAGAAGCTTCTCCAATACAATTATCAGCACCAAAGTCCCGGAAACGCACTATGGCTTCTGTGTATGATCAGACTGATTCTCAAGTGTGGCACTTAAGTGATGATGAAATACTCGGTGAGCTATTTAAATTTGTGTTTTGTGATTTTCACTCAGAAGGTTTTTATTTCTAGCTCCATGCTTAGAGAGGTGGAAATCCCCAGCATATAGTCACTATCAAATTACTTTGATGTGCTTTGAAGAGGGCAGTTTGAAGAAGCTTGCATTTGCTTTTACATGTCGGTATGGAGATCCTGAACACACTACGATTGTACGAGATCGAACAAGAACAAGAGATGGGACCACTCAGCTATTACATTCAGCTCAGAAGTGTGATATGCTGAGAGGTGTACAGATTGCTTCTGGCTCTTCCAAGAATTCCTTACCATATTCAAAGGCAGCACATAGAGCACTCATTGCTCTCCAGTGTGCAAAGTACAATAGGCCATTCAACTTTGTAAGAGATAAATTCTATGCTCTTAAGGTTGATATGCTGCGTCCAGGTATTGTACTGCCTTCTCCTGATACAGTGTCTGATGACATCAAGACTCTGTATCAAGGATTGTCAATCAATGTTCGGAATTACTTTAAAGTAAGTGCCTCTTTTTTCTCTTTTTTTCTTTTCTTTTCTTTCTTTTTGTTTCATTTAATTGATTTGGCTTGATTACAGACACATATTGGGAGTGTCCATTTGGCTATTGATGGATGGACTGCCCCAATTGGATCATCCTATCTTGGTGTTGTGATTATTTGGGTGCATGGTGGAGTTATTCACCGGGCAATCCTTGAATTCATTGAGTAAGTAAACTCAACTCTATTCCTTAAATACTCCACTATTCTTCTTTCTTCAACCCATCATTTTATTATTATTGTAATCCTGGCTATTCTCTCCATGCACAAGTCGCAACACATCTACCCAGGAGCTTCAATACCTAACGAATTTCTGCAAACAATGCCTTTCCCCAATATCAACACTCATACTACATTCGTTGGTGGTTCTCGGATTTCCGTTCCTCCTGTTCTAGGCACACTCATTGACGACGGATCGGACGCCAGCGCTCTTGAACTTGCCTCTGTACTTGGCTATGGTGGCTATGGCATAATCTATTGCACTTTCACTAAACGTCTCATTTGCGTGAAATTGTTCATGGACAATACCAGCACTGAAATGCACTTTCACGACATGGTCCATCCGGTTTACACGCAAAAGGATTGAAAGGAGAACGATTCAGAGACAAAGAAACATAGACGCACCATGGCCCCTCCTCTGCACCAAACCGAATTAGCTTGCGACGACATGGACGCTCATACGGAATCTCCTGTGTCCTCGTCATTTTCTGCTTTCTGTCTGGCGAGTCCAATTTAATCGCCGTCGTCTTCGGGGCGGATCGTTATACAATATCGAATAAAAGGTGGTAGGCGTGGATGAAGGAGAGGGAGGAGATAGGGTTCGTTGAAAGAGAGAAATATCGATGACACTGGTCCGGCCATTGCGTGTGCGAGCTTTCTGCCGTCCGTAGCTGAGCGATGCAAAGTTCGAGCCGTTCTCGGAGGGCGTTAAATCTACACTGCGACGCTGTGTAGTGGCCCATATTGTATCAGGCGTGTTTTAGACGATGAGATCGCACTCTGGGTTTCAAGGTCTTGGGCTGGATTTGTTTGCACGTTCTTCACTTGCCATTTACCCTTTTATTCCTCTCCCTTTCATTTTGTGCTGTTGAATTCAGTCTGAATACATGGATTATAGGTTGACAGAGCGGCATAACGGTTCCTACTTGGCAGAGCAACTGGCCAACTGTGTGAAACGATACAATTTGCAAGAAAAGGTACATTCTACACAAAACATTTGTAAAAGTACTAATCATCATCTAGATACATGTACTTACTATGGACAATGCTGGCAACTGTGATACAACAGCTACAGAGTTGGTTAAACACATACCTGTGTTTCGTGGTACAAAATCGCAGGGTCATTGTTTTGCACATGTTCTCAACTTAATTGCAAAGGTAAGACGTTACGCTACGCTGTCTATTTACTGCTTACTACGTCTCATTCTACACAGGCTGTCTTAACCCTCTTCTTCCGGCCAGTGAAACGGAGGAAAGCTATCAAGATCGGTTCAGGGACTCAGCGACGAGCTGGACAAGCTCATTCTGAAGTAGTGGTCAACACTGGCAACGAATTATCACCAGAAGATGCAGAACTATTCGAGACACTTTGTGAGGAAAATGAGCAAGGTTTGGATGAGGGTCAACAAATCCATGACATGCACATTGCTGTCACTGTACGTAACCAAGCAATCGAGGAGATGAGAAGTAAGGGAGTCATTCTACAGGATGGTGAACTCCAGGAGGCAGAAATGGTCTTGTATAAGGTGGGTTAATTACTATTATTGTAATGCTTGACTTATACTCACTGTATTTTGCTGGACTATCATTGTTCTTGTTGCCTTTACTGGTGATTTTTTCTTGTAGGTTGCAGGTCTTGCTAAACGAGTGAATGACAATGCCTTTCTGAAAGCTCGATTCGAATCTCTTGTTGAAGCAGCAGTAAAGGATCAAGATTCACCAATTACTGGTGACAAACGTGTCTTAGCTCGTAGGGTTGCAACTCGGTGGAACTCAGACCTTGCATGCTTGGACTCTTACTTTCTGTTATATCCGATTGTTCAGCAGCTGACTGGAATCAGAGAGTATAAGCTTCAGAGCTTCATACTCAGTGATACACAGTTAGCTCTTGCAAGAGAGCTCAGAGAGGTACTTTCAGTAAGTCATTTATTACGATTTGTATGAATGCCTTCTTATAGATTTCCAGATTATTGAGGAACCTACTTGTCTGTTTTCACAAGCAAAGGTTCCTCTTGTTGCAGAGGTCCTTCCAATGCTTCTGGTTGTTCAACGAGCACTTAGGCAAGCAAGTGAGGATCAGTCTCAACCACATGTTTTCTGGATTGCAGCACATGCTGGGAGTATTGTATGTCAAAAGTACTATGCTCTCAGTGATGAAAGTGAGGTGTATTACATGGCTATAGGTAAGTCTTAGCTTGGATATGTAATTTTAATGTATTTACTCTTTTCATGTTAGTTATGTCTCCTGACAAGAAGATGTCTTGGTTTCTTAAAGAGAATTTCACACTTCAAGAAGTTACTGAGATCCAGAAACTTGTGGTATCACACTGGGAAGAGTCTTATAAAAAGTACCAGCGTTCACTTGCTCAGTCAGTTGCATTACAAAATGCTCACTCAAAGGTATTTTTTCAAACATTTTCCAACACTTATTCTAATGTTTTCTTTTTAGAATCGATCTCGCTATATTGTTCAGGCAGAGGAGTCTTCATCTAATATGGAACCAATAGACAGTATTAGCTTTTATCTTGCTGAGCCGCTTGTTCCATCAGCAAGTATTCAAGCAAATGGTGGACTTATTCAATATTGGTATGCTCAAAAACAATCAAGACCCAGTCTTGCTCAGATGGGTCTTGACTTTTGTTCTGCTCCAGGTATGCTCTTATAATTATATGAATATAATTTACTAATATTCTTATCTAGCTACTTCTGTTGATGCAGAACGAGCTTTTTCACATGGTCGTCATCAAGTTAATTTTACACAGCATAATATGTCTTCTAATACCTTTGTAGCCCAAATGGCTGTTGGATCATGGGACAATACCCCCCTTTTCCCAGATCTCACTAATGCTTTTAATATTATTGAAGCCAAAATTTCACGGCTCAATACTTCTTAAGTACATTTTCGACTAATTTAACTCTATACCCCTTATTTATTTGTTTTTTCTGTACATTCTTACCTTGTGATACCATGTAATGTGTCTAATTAATAGTATATACTTGATTTCTTGTAAAAATGTGTGATATTAAGTAGTTATTGTATTTTTTCGTGAGATGTACTTTTTTACGATGGTTTGCTGCGGTAACTGCGGTTACCGCAGTTACCGTGGGAAAATTTACCGCGGTTTGACTGAACCGCGGTTGTTAGTGCGGTTTACCGCGGCGGTTACCACGCCAGTCCCTATACAGCAGTCTCCCTTTCAACCTCCACACAGTGTCCACTCTTTGCCTTTCTCAATAATGTCCACCGCTATTCACTCTCCTTGTCATTCACCCACCTCGAGTCAAGATTTCCTCAGCTTTCACTCCTGCCTCACAGACATGCGCGATTCATCATTTCCTTCGCCCCTGTCGCCCTGCCATCGACCATCAGCGACACCACCACGAAATCAGCCACTCTTGCTGTCGCCTTCGCCTCTACGACGCCGAGTAGACAATGAATTCGACTTTGACTCCGCCATGCAGCTTGATTTTGATGACTTTTCTGCTGCGACGGGTGTCAGCACCCCTTTCCGTCGCAAATCAAGGTTCACATCGTCGCCTCGTCGACCACATTTAAGGAGTGAGGATAAATTACCGCCTTTCTTCAGGCCACCGGATTCTCATGTCGAAGACGATGAGGAGGGTTCGTTTCTAAGGTCGAATGCTGGGCACACTTCGCTGCCCTTGCGCACACCTCAACGACTGCCGCTTGAGTCGATCCCAGTTCCAAACTCCGTATCAAGTCCCAACTTTTCGCATGCTCCGAAGCGAAAGGTGAGTGATCATGGATGCATGGCTATTTTCTCCTTTATGACCTTTATTTCCAGATACATCGTCTAGCTTCTTCACCGGATGCAAAGCGAGGGCTTACTCCTTTGCATATTCATCACGCGTCTGATCATGGCGAGTTGAAGCGATTCGCCACACTTGCTCCTCTTCCTGCGCCTCGCTTTCTTCACGAACGTGGCTCAGAAGGCAACAACATGGGTCAGCAGGTTAATACCCTTAGGGAGATGCGACTTTCCGACAAAACTGCGGATGTTGACTCCGACTCTGGGTCGGAGGAGGAATTTTCTGTTCTGAAGGTTCGCCGTACGACTAACAGATCAGTGCGACCATCAACCGGCGATGGAAAGGCTACCGTAGTATCTAGGTCGCCGGGTGGCCATAAGCATAAGAGGCCAACGAGATCAAGGCCGGTGTCCATGGAACTCTCGAACTTCACTGGTCCGACACAGTCGCCAAAGCCGAAGGGTAGGATGGCTCACAAGCGAAATGGATCAAACACGTCCGTGAGTGAGTCGGGTTCACCAAGTAAAGCAGTAAAGCAGCTGCAAACTAGGCCACAAGCCGACAGACGGTTGGCAAGCTCGGCTACACTCTTCTTCGGTCCGGCAATTGTGAACCCGAACGAGAAACCAGCTGGACAAGCCCGGATGGAGCAACACATACCACCTTCAACACCTGTGAAAACGGATGACGACTCATTCAACAGCACTTCGCCTGATTCATCATTTACGAGCGCTTTCCCTAAACCAGCGGACACATCTATACAGTTCTCCTTTTCCCTGACCTCTGATGCCCCTTCTCCCCGAAGCCGGATTCCAACTAAATTTAAGAAACCTCGTGATTCCGGCGTTGCCCTAAGTGATGATGAAACAGAAGACGTACTTAGGCCCGTACTGGAGCAACCTAAACTTACGAGGCCTGATTCTCTCCTCCGTCTGCACGCGCGAGCTTCAACGTTCCCGCAACCGTCGGTGAATATCACGACGTCCTCGGAAACAACATTAGTTGACGATAGTCTCATCACCCCTTCGCACGAAAGAAGTCGAGAATCGAGCAGAGCAGAGACTTCGCTTGATGTCTCTTTGGTGGATGATTTCATAGTGAAGACGCTTGAGGCGGGGACTAAGGATGGGGCAGCAGAAAAACGACCGCCAGGCACCCCGCAGAAGAGAATGAAGACAACGTTTCTGGGCATTCCGACACAGCGGCCTTGGGCAAGTGCGGCGGTGAACAAGATGGACCGTACGCCTCTTTTCGGCGAAAGGCTGCCCGGTCCAAACTTTGGAACAGCCTTGGATAGTGGCGGGAGTGCAGGAGATCTCTCAATCCCAAAGAATAGGCCGAGAAAGAGCTGTCCAGGTGATTTGAGATTTCCGAGTGACCATGAAACTTCTGTCAGTGGTTCGACACGTTTGAGCAGTAACGGTTCAACTGCGAGTGACACTGAAACGAGTCCAACGGATGCACGCCTTATCAATCCAAGGAACAGGACATATGGCGATGTCGGAATGGGAAGGCCTAGTGCAAGATTAAACGCTTCCCAATTTCTTCTAAGGCGTTCGTCAAGTGGTGCCTTTTCAACAGCAAGTGATGGAAGTGATGGAACCGGAGTCGGTACCCCTACCAAAGGCGCTGCAAGTAAGAAAGATAATGGTATGTGTATAAAATTCTAGATGCCTAGTAATTTGTCGTTGAAGACACCTTCCCCTTACAGAGCTCCGAGTTCCGATGCTTCCGTTAAGACAGCTCTGTACGCCGTCTAACAGGTCACTTCACTTGACACTGCCTTCGGCTAAAGCGTCCCCTGCACTTCGTGACACATCTCAGGCTCGACATTCTATTCGCAGCCAGTTCTCGTTGTTCGGCAAGCGCACGAAAGAGAACAGAAGACCAGAATCAATGCACATTGTTGGCTCATGTTCTGAAATCTCGGAGAAAAGACCTTCCAATAGTTCTGCTACTCCTCTTCCTGTGAAAGCTAAACTGCGTGGACATCATGGTGACACACGTGGGAGCCACCTAGCCCACTTACCCTCTTTTCAATCTCGAGAGGCGCTTGGGCGGTTCGAACGCGAGTTTGTGGAGGTGGATAAGATTGGTTCAGGAGAATTTGGCAGTGCGATCAAGGTTCGCTACAAACACGACAGCCAGGGAGATCGTGTCTATGCAGTCAAGAAGTCAAAACGATATGAAGGGAATCGTCATCGGTAAGCAGAACTTCTCATGAACTCCCTCCCTTCGCCACCGATCTGGACTCGTCCGTCGGTATTTCCACGCACCGGACGCATGCTTGAGAGCTTCGCTCACCTGGCATCCTACTTTGAATTGTATTGGTTGATCGTCGTTTTACTAACCTGTCTTGTACTTCCCCACAGTTCACGACTGAGGGAGGAGGTCCAGGTCCTTCAATACCTGTCTGCATGTGCCGGGCCTGAATTCCATCCTAATGTACTCGGCTACGTCGACAGTTGGGAGCAGGACGATCAGCTGTATATCTTGACTGAACTATGCGATTTCGGCAATTTCGCACACTTCCTTAATGAATATGGACACCACTTTGCAAGACTGGAGGAGGCAAGAGTTTGGAAGATTTTTGCTGAAATCAGTTCTGTAAGTCAGTTCTGTTGTAAACTCTTCATACTAGCTAGATTTCCGCTCTGCTTCCGTACTTGCTTCTTCACACGTTTTCTTCGGACGGAGGCTTTTCTTCTTTTACTCAAGGCCGAGAAGGCTGAGCCTTTGTCTTCGCAATGCTAATATTTCCTTATTCAGGGATTACGGTTTATGCATCAGGCCAACGTGGTGCATTTCGACTTGAAACCTGCGAATGTCTTCATCACGGCAGCGGGGCGCTTCAAAATTGGCGACTTTGGAATGGCATCCTTGTGGCCCCGGCCGCCTTCCGATGGTGGATCAGTCCCGGAAGGCGGCGATGTAGGCCGTAATATCGGTTTCGAGCGTGAAGGTGACAAAATGTACCTCGCTGCGGAAGTGTTACAAGGAAGATATGGCAAGGAAACCGATATATTCAGGTGTGGACTTCTTTCCGTTTGAATAAATTTAGAATATGAACTGAACATCGGATGTTGTCGTTTTCGTAATAGCTTTGGAATGATGATGTTGGAAACAGCCACTAATATTTGCGTGCCAACACAGTGCGTATCTTGATTCGTCCCGCCTTCTTCTCATTCCCTTGTTATGGCATCCAGTCCGTTGGCACCCTGTATGAGGTGCTTCTCATACTCAGGACAGATCGGCTTTAGTCTTCTCAACTTCTTAATTGCATCCGACTGACCATATTGATGTTTACCTAGGGGTGATTCTTGGCACCGACTACGCGAACAAGATTTCAGTCAGGTTGAAGGTTTCACTGAGTGCAGTGATGCTCTGCAGTTCCTAATTTCTAGCATGATGAGCAAAGATCCGTCAGCACGACCTTCTGCGAACGATATCTATGCACATCCCGTCGTCTTCCGGGCGCGTGCGCGGATGGAGGCATTACACGACGACTTGCGAGAGCAGGGTGAATCACGACCAGAAATTTTGTTCAGAGCCTCTCCTCTCGCGAGTGTGGATGATTCATTTTTACCCGATATCCTCGGTGAAGACGTTGTAGATGCGATGGAAGTCGACTGCAACGCTTAGCTCGAGTGTTCGGCGATCGTCGCCGCTCCGCATTGGGTTTCTCTTTCTCTTTCTTGTTTCTCTTTCACTCCCATCCCGTACATTGAACTGGAAACTCTGATTACCATTTGAAGAGTTTATAAATGACAATAACGTATATGCATTCAACTTCAAACATCCCGCACTTTCATGACGATATGTTTCTCTTTTTCCTTTCCAACCAACTCCCATCACGGACCATCTTTCGTGCACATAGCATACAATGATCATCGCCATTCCACGACTATACGCCCCTTGTTTTGCTTTGAGATTGTTTATCTTGTACTAGATCCCCTGCACGTTTGTCCCCCCCTCATCCCCATTTCCTTTTTTTTCTTCTTTTCTTGATGACCCACATATGCAACTACTCATGTTTTGACTTCTTGTTATGACCTTTTCCAGTATCATACATTATGCACTGTTCTTCCCTTTTTTTTCTTTTTGGCTTGATGCTGTGTCTTTCTTGTTCTAGTATTACATACATCCGTGTCGTATACCAAGTCTTTTGGATTGTCAATATACTAAGTATGTATAATCACGTACGTAGACATAGAAGCCTGTCACTTGTGTGTGTACCCTGTTTCTCTCAAACGCCATCTTGGCTCCGACGAGTTATGAGCGTGGTAAAAAGTAGGGAATACGATCATGGATCATATTATCATAGTATGGAGGTCAGTTTCCTGTGCGACGAGGTCATTGATCTGTGCTCGAGAGTCAAGACAGCGAGTAGCCTGTGCCTGATCCTTCTTCCATGCATGATGCAATGACATTCGCATTGGCAACGGGATGGGTGATGGGCGCTCAGGACAGGCCGGATCAAATGACTATCGTGGGCCCGGCATTTGTTCTGTGTTCGTTGAGCGCCCAAGAGAGAAGAGATACTTACAAGGCTTGAGAAAGTAGAAGTTGTATTCCCATGTATGAGTGCAGAATTGATCGTACGGGTGCAAAGATAATACCGTAAATACGTGCTTAGGGGGTGTTGTTGACGTGTTGTGCTCAACAACGTGTCAAGCGGGCGTCTAATAGTTCCGGCGGTAGCACATAAAGGTAAGTAGAAGTGTGCGTCAGGTATAAATAAAACAAAGGTATGGCATGGAAGACAGAAGTATATGAGCAGTTGATAATGATAATATGATAATATGATATCATGTGCGTGCGTTGTGTCAAAGGGACTTATCATGGCTGAGGATTAGACTCGGGACCCGGTGATTGCGAGTGCAATATGCGAGCGTGTTGCCGTGCTGGTGGCGTCCCCTGGCTGGTCATCCTTGCGGGGCTTTCTGTCATTTGTGTTAATTGAACGGGGTTATAGGGGATAGAGCAGAAGACTGTGGACACAAGAGACGTTTGTTTTATTTGTTTTATTTGATTTCGTCGTGTGTTCTTTCGTCATCGGCGTTATGAAGACAGAGTGTTAGTGTTATCATGATGCACCGGCGAATTTACGCTGTTGAGTGTCCGGACCAGGTAGCTTTGCAAAGCAGAGACTAGTCATGATGATGTTGGCAATAACACGCCTTTCTGTCATTCGACGTTGATTTAATGGACATAGAGAAGACTGTGGGCCAGGATCGTTTGTTTTATTTGTTTTATTTGATTTTGATTTCGTTTTATGCTCTTTCGTCATCGGCGTCGTGAAGACGAAGTGTAAGTGCTTTGCATCGGCGGGTTTATGGCGTTGAGTGCCCGGATGTATCTTTGCATAGCAAATATTAGTAGTAAGGACATTTAGTAAACGATACGTACGTATGAGTTGTTCGGCCTGCTTTGGCGATACTCGATTTTGATTAGCTCTTACCAGGTCGACTTCCCGTAACAACTGACGCTCCGTAGGCAGACACACACCTCGCTCTAGCAGCAATCGCATAATCGCTATGTTTCAAAACATTAATAAATATGGACTCCCCTGGATCCGTATCCGCTACAGACCGTCGCCAAAGGACTAAATTGTCAGTATCTTGACAAGCTACATTGTCGTGATGAGTTCGCCGTGTCGTAGGTTTGTTCCTTATTCTGCAAGACAAACGCTCGTCGCCGCCGCCGATGGTAGAAGCGTGCAAGCGATACGCGCTCCGTCATTGTGCGCCATATTCTCGTCTACCATTCGAAATCGGTCGCTAGCCATCTGATTGGTAGTTCAGTAGGCTTCTCCATTCTTTACTCTCTCTGTTTCGTCGTTGATCCCCTATTGAATCCCGATCCCCGATTTTGCGTAGTCGCCGTGCACAGGGTCGGGTGCTCAAACAGGGGAGAGAAACAGAATCAGCGATTCCTTCGGAGGACAAACCTGCAATATAAACAAATATACTTAATCTTGTCGCTTTGTACGTACCTATGTACGTCACGGCACAGTAAACGCGATCTGTACGGCACTCCGCCGATACTGTTGAATGGCACATAGACATTGTTTAATTTGAATTTGGTTCCGTTCCGTAAATCGTTAAATCGGGGGGACAAAGCAAAGCTCCGGAGGTTTACCACACGAACTAAGGCTAGGAGATAGCAAGAGACGCTGGATCGTTGAGGTAGGCCGAGGATCGAGCGGAGCGGAACAATCATCGTGATGGTGAAGAACCAACCAACCGAATTAAAATCGTCTTTGTTTACTTGAACCCATTTGCGCTATACCACAAGGGACTAGCTAAGTATGTGAGCTGTGGTGGTGGTGGGTCGCCCCTGGTGTATGTGCGTAATCATGTGTGGTGGTTCCTTGTTGACGTCGGCAAACGCAGCGATCGGGATTAGTGATGCTTAGCGTTGTGTGATTGCCAGAAGGGATTTTTGATGTTTTCTGCTGTACGATCCGGGGATCAGACCAAATCTAGAGGAACAAGCCTGGACGTCAAAACACGCGACTTTCAGACAGTTGGACGTGGAAAAGCCGGACAGTTCCTGTCTTGCCTCCCTTCCTATCGCTGTTGTACAATGATTAGACGGATGTTGGCGGTGGTGGTTAATCGCCTCAGCTAAATCTGTTTCGTTATTCGGGTGTCAACGTGATAGAGTTTCACCGAGTGTTGGTAGTGGACAAAGTATCTATATAGCGCGCTGTTGTCGCCGCTCTGGAAGCAGATGGGAGAGAGATACTGGTGGTAGATAGGCACAGATAGAGCAGGCGCAATGGTGCGTTGAATCGTTGATGAACTGCATGAGCGTTTGAGAATGAACATCCGAATCGGATTCGGAATCGTTTTCAAGGTGTGAATACACAAATGAACGAACTGCACCCGTGTCGACTAGAGCTCGAAGAGTTCTAGCGTTGTAAGTCTTCTCGCCGATGGCTGGACCACCATCACGGAAGCATTGTACGAGGAAGAAAAAAAGATGGGGAAAACATGGTCGAACATGGAGCCTGAATGCGCGTTCGGCATCTGGGCAGTGAGTGCCACAACTCCCCACGAACACATGTACATCATGGAAATATTCCTAGGAAGAGAAAAACACAGTAAAAGGCGATCATAGACGGATGCATTAATTTGAAATGCCATCTGTGCATTCCGATAGGTCTAGAGGTGAGGCTTGCCGTAACTCCTCACCAGAAATAGTGAAATTCACTACACCACCACCACACGGAGCAGCATCGTGTAGATAGCAGCAAAAAAAAGTGCCACATGATGATAAACGACTCTCGTAAGTGCATACAACGAGGCCTGAGTGTACGCATGAGTATCAAGCATCCGGACCGCCAGACACCATTTGGCATTTACTCTGCATGAGTTTGCTGTCATTCCTTACTTTTTAAGCGCCAATCTACACACCCTGCCATTCAAGCTATTCAAATGTTTAAATAAAATAAATTAGTATTTAATATTGGGACGAATGGAACAGGGTAGAAGTGCGGGAAGCAAAGCCAAGCCTGTCCCAGCAAATACATGCGTTTATTCATACATTTGGAAATTTGAAATGTGCGGTTGACGAGATGATGAGATCTGGGCACGGATTTTAGTCTGGATCTTATAAATTATTTATTATATGTATTGGCAAGGGTAGAAAGACAGATAATAATACGTACACGCTGTACGTACGCCTGACGTCCAAAACGACGTCAAGCCGTTAACGTCGGGCGAAATCTTCAATACTCTCCAATCAAGTGAGCTTACCCTACTTCCCCTGGAGATAACCGTAGCTGCTGTAACTACGTCACTCACTATCTTGTCGCGGGTACGTTAACGCCTGTGCGCTTGTGGCCCGTGCGGGTGTCGTTGCAAAACGTCTTAGTCCAATCCCAGCGTACTGTACACATTCTTAATATTTTTAACTTACAGTAAGTCGTTCCGTCTCTCCGTCTCTGTCTAACCTCTCCGTCCGGGCGATATTGCATCCAGGCGAGCAAGGCATCGAATCGGGCGGGCGCAATAATCTAGGAATATAATTATAAAAGGCAAGGTACATCCGTCATTCACGCAACTCAAAATCCTGGATGGGGGAACATTGAATAGTCCTTTTCGGGAGTTGCCCTTCACCTGTATTACTGTATAGGTTTACGAGGGGGCGGTCACAGACTCACAGAATCCCGCCTCCGCCTCAAGATTAGAACAAGCGCTCCCGTCAATCAAAATATCTTTATAAGTTGAGGATGAACAGATAATTGAATCCATCCAACCCCATAGAGTTGCAGATAGAGTTGTGTTGTTGTCAAAGCGAGCAACAGGTACGACTACTGAAGATCCTCTCGATAAATTGCGGATTGAGCGGTAGCTTTTGAAGTATTGTTATCAGATTGAGAGAAAGAAATGCAATCAAAGTTATTCAGAATTCAGAATCCAGTTCAGCCGGCAGGAATACCAAGCAGCCACACAGCAACTAAGCAAAAGACTTTTTTAACATAATCCATCCCAGTAAAGCACTGTAAAGAATACCTGTTTCAGGTAAGCCAGGGTCGTCAAGGTCGAGAAAGCTGAGAAAAACCAACTCGTTTCAAGAAAACAGAGTTTTCGACTGCGTCAGGACTCAGTTCGTTCACTCGTGATTTCGAGTTTCGTGTTTCACCGAGTGCCTTCTTCCTCTGCTCTGGGACTTCTATGGTCTCGAGACATCTATTCATCCTATACAATTCATTCATTTCTTGGGATAAAGGAGAGGGAGATCTGTGTTAGTGAAAGATGGTGGCGGAGAGACGGAGACGAGTAGGATCGTTGGAGTTGGATAGGCTCTAGCATTCAAGCGTTAGGGTTTACTTCCCGCTCATCCTCCCTATACAAATAACTTACTTACGATGTTGATATTAAATTAAATTAAATTCATACTATGTAGGCTATACCAGATTCTATCTTTATGAACTCGAATAGAGTGTGTTCAGCAAATGAAAGAAGGGAAAGAGATTAATATTAAGAGTATAATTTCAAATAGGTTGAAAGGTAAGATGAGCGTATGCGGTCTGGATCTCGCGCATACAATTAGGTTGGGGATATAGGAATGTAGAAATGAGCTAAAACTGATGCGGAACGAAGGAAGGGAAGTGGAGTGGAGATAGGTGATCAAAATGGTCATGCATATGGGTATTCACCATCAAGGGATCAAGGAATTTTGGATGGCTGGCCGAGGGAGCGGATGGGAAGGAAGGGAAGCTTGTTCTGCGGGAGCGAGTCGTGAGGGCATTCGTGGGTGCATTCCACGAAGACTAGGATTGGGTGAGATGGGAATCATAGGATAGGATGACCCAAAGAGAGAGGGATGGGTGGGTAAATCAATGGCACATCGAGATAATCGAATCGACATCGTTAATAGGGGGCTTCTCTGGTTGGCTGGCTAGCTAGCTGGTTGGTTGGGAGGATGGTGATGCGGGATGTGCTCATTCACAACCAACACCGTAGCAGCAGCTATAGCAGCAACACTAGTGACTAGTTACAGCACCCAAAACTGCGGTGGAGTTTGTTTGGCGTTCTGGGTTGGGATGCGTTTGGGTTAGTATACACACAGAGGACAGAGAGATCAGTTAGTTTTGAATTTGATTTGATGATGTGCGGGATGTTCTCATGTGTCCTCTGGGTCGATCAGATCCCAAGAGATTGAAAGGAGATATTTAGTTTAGATCTGACTAGTCGATTCAAGATTCAGGATGAGGAGAGAGGAGAGAACCCGGTCGCTAAGTGTAGGCGTAGGTGTACAGAGCTGTACTTCCCCGCCGCTCGCTACCCTCGAAGATGGCACCGGTTTCCTGGGTGGGTTTTGTCGGTTTGGATTTTTGTTTCTTTCCTGACGAGGCATTTGTTCGCCGTGCCATCATCGTTCATATCACGCACCGCTGGTCAGGTAAATAATAAGCATTATATTGTAAGGGGGACATGCGTGTTCAGTTCAGTTAAATTCAGTTCAGTTCAATTCCAGGTTCATGCAGATTGGATTTGCCGTCTGACGCTCGTTCCATTCTTTCATTCATTCATTGCGAGGGCGAGGAGGAAAAAAAGAAAATTGCCTCCGGGATTGGGTTGCTCAGGGGCTAAACGAATTGGGATGGACAAGACCCGTTTGACTTTTGATGTGGTGTTGCGATCCCGACATCGGGGGCTGCCAAAGGGCACCTGATTGTGGCCGACGCGCTGGCAACCTGGGTATGAAGAGGGGGAAGGATGGAGGGATACAAAGGGGGATTGCACAAGGACGAGTGAGTGCGGAAGCGGTATAGTGTAAGGAGGTGGCGGGGTAAAGGTTGAGGAAAGGTGTTGTTGTGCAATGATCGGACGGTTTGCAGGCCGGGTTCCATTCTCGGCGAGGATTTCTCTTTCGTTGGATTAGACATAACCATGAAATATCACTGTTATTACACTACTGTGAGTACGTGAGAAGAAGAGAATAAGGATATATTTGTCTCTGCGTGTCCGGCGATGGGAGCCTTGCGGGGAAGATTGCTGTCAGAAAATCGCGCTCTGAATTGGTAGTGATGCACGCCGCAAAGCAAAGATTGCATGGCGAGTTTATCAGGCAGCAAAAAACATAGCGGAGATAGCAAAGTAAAGGGCAAAGAAAGAGGACAAATTTGCGGCGGCGGCTCCGGAGAATGCGCGAGCAGGAGCAGGTGGGTGCGAAGATGCAAATTCGATCAGGAGAGTTGATGTGTGTGGACGAGGCTGTGTGGCGAGAAGGGATGGTGGACTGGCGAGGCGAGGCGATACACGTCCGTCTGGCGAAGGGGACGAGGGATCAGCGCGACCATCGCCATCGGGGTGCCTGCGCGACAAACAGAGAACAGTGTAGATACGCGTCGGGACTCGAGGGGATTGGTCGGCAACTGGCTCAAGGAAAAAAGAAAAAGAAATCGAGGAAAGGAAAAGAAAGATGCTGTAAGGAGATTGAGCCGAACCGGGCAGGCAACTGGTCCTCGAAGCGGTAACGCTGCCGGCTTCTTGTGTTCCATCGCATCCTCCCTCTCTCCCAGCCCATATACATCCAAGCCATCCCGCTCTCTACCCCTTCTCTCCTTTCATCCACCATCCCCTCCGCTTTTCGTCTCTCCGTCCCTCCCACTGCCCCTTGCTGTATCCATCTACCCACTCTGCTTCCGCTGCATTCTCAAGTCCAACTCTCTTCTCCTCGTCCGCCATGGACAACTACTCTCACCATAGCCCGCACAACCTAGCCCCGCGCTACTCTCAGCTCCCGCATAGCCAACAGCAACAGCAGCAGCACCCGCTCAGCCAACACCAGCCAGCGGGACCAACGGCGGGCGGGTTTTACCCCGTGCAGCGCCCTTCTATCGACGTTGATGCTCTCGCCGCAGGCGTTCAACGCTACCTCCCTGGCCGTCCGCAAACGGGTTACAACAACTCGTATATCGCCCTTCCGCCCGGTGTGGACCCGGCAACCGTCGATTTCCGTACGTTCTACCCGTACAATCCGTCCGAGGTCAAGCACCGCAAGCGAACGACGCGTCCCCAGCTCAAGGTGCTCGAGGACACGTTCAAACGCGAGACGAAGCCAAATGCCGCGCTCAGGAAGCAGCTGGCTGCTCAGCTGGAGATGACCCCGCGTGGTGTCCAGGTGCGATTCGTTTTTTTACGCGTCAATACACTTGTTGCTTCCTCTCCGTCCTTCCTCTCTTCGCCACCCAACACACAGCTGCCGGAGAGAAGCTCGGCCCCCTCTATCCCCTTGCAACACGCTCTCCTTCCAAGCCCCACCTCATCCTGTTTCCCCCTCGATTCCACGTCTTTTCCCGAACTTCTTCGCCCCTCTTCTCCCTCGTGTCGATATGCTCACATTTTTTATTTTCTTCCCTGTCTAGGTCTGGTTCCAGAACAGGTATCTATTTTGTCTGCATGATGTCGCGTGGTCTGCCTCGCGTGTTTGTTGCTGGCTGTCCGATTGCCTCAATCAGCGGCCCAACTCACCGCGAGTCCGCCCTTCCCGCTCCTCGTGTCTCTCAATCCAGCTTGCATCAGTATACTGACTTGCTCTTTCTTTTTCCCTGCCCCTCATCCCCCCTTCCCTTCCTCATTTTTTTACAGGCGCGCTAAGGAAAAGACTTTAGCAAAGAAGGCAGCATCATCGTCTGCCAATAATGGCAGAGACAGAAAGTCAATCAGTCTGGGTGCCCAGAACGGAGATGCCATAGACGACGCTGACGGCGATGTTGATTGTGACGATGGTGATACCGCCGCAGAAGATGACAACCCCAACAGCGAACAGGTCGCACAACCTGCCAAACAGACTCCAGGCACCGAAATCGCCCTGGATGAACGCAAACGCTCTCACTCGTCCTCCAACTCACCCGAGAGCACCTCTCCAGAGCTTACCCCACCCAACGCCCATGCTGATATTGCACCGCATGTGAATGTGAGCCCTGATGATGACAGCGCTGCCAGACAGCCTGAAGTGAAGCAGAACATGGAAATGCCCATGTCTGGCTTCCCTCCATCCTCATGGCAGGGACCGCCGCGATCGATGAGCCGCACGCCAACGTTGGGCATGGGGCTGGAGCAGGGAGCCGAGTTCACAGGCGAAGCAGGATTTGGTGGTAATGGTTTACAAGCGATACCCATGCAGGATCACTACACGCGACGCCCATCGCTTCCGACGCACCTTGGCATCGGCCCTTCACGTGTACGAGCAGGCTACCTCGCCAGTCCACGGGCTTCGGCCTTGTCTTTGGGAGGTGGGGTCAACGCTGCTCGAATGGTGGGCTACGATCCGAACGCACGCAGGATGAGCCTCGACCGCCTTGCGAGCCACCCCTACGCACATGTCGCAGCTCAGGCGAACTCTCTTGTGTACGGCCCCGGCGCGACACGTTTCCGACCTTCCTTGCCTGCTACAACGCATAGCACCCCGACCCTTACTCCACAGGCTCGGACGGCTGATCTCCCGCCCGTTGATCAACAACCGAGTGTCGATAGTAACCAGAATAGCAATGGCGATGGAGATGCGGCCAGTGGGATACCCGAACTATCACTGCCGCCGCACTTGCAGCACTCAACTCCCGTTACGGACATGCGACCGGAACTCATGCACCGCCAATCATTACCTGCACACCTTGCCACACCCCAGCAATTACCAGCATCCACTGGCTTTGCAAGCCAGCCTCAGTCGGCGAGTGCTATGTCCATGCGTTTCCCCCGCCAGGGACATGTCTATACGCTCTCAGCGCGCAATTATCAGCCACCCATTCCCGGCCCTCTTCCGAATCCCGACTTCTCGTTTGGTTCCGTTGGCAATGGCGAGTGTGAAGGCGCACAGACAGAGGGTTCTGGTACTCCAGACCAGCAGCTGCAGTCATCGCTTAACAACTTCCAGTTCCCGGAAATGGAGAAGGATGACAATGGTGCTGCGGGTGGCAGTAACAGCTTAGATATGGAAATGGATGGCGAATCCCGTCCAACCTTACCGCCTGGAGGATTAGGAGGCCGACCACCTGTATTCTATCGCGACTCTCAGGGCCTTCATGGTGCTGCAAACCCATACACGCCTCGCTTCGGGTCAATTGCTAGTACAGCGAGCATTGCAGACTCGGAGTCAAGCGTAACGAGTGGCGCCTGCTTCAGTAGCGAGGCTGGCAGTGGGTTCGACGTCCAGGTCAACTCGGCTGGTCACTCGTCCATAGGATATAACGATACGCGGAGAGGCTCATGGTTTGTGATCTGATGTTTCTTCACTTTGGGTCCCTTTCTAACATTCGCTGTTCTTTTTTATAGTACTGGGTCTATGATGGACATGTTCTCTAATCTCGACGTCCACAATAGCTCCCAGTCCTCGCTGCCAAACTCCCACCACGATGCCCAGAAAAAGGACCAGCACTCATCGCATGTGCCAATCAGCAGGAGCAGCGAGTTGGCGCTTGCTCTCATGCCGGTGAGCTGGCGATTTCCCTTGTAATTTGATTTGTTTTTGGGTAACTGACTTCGTATTGCATAGGATGATGACAAGACGTCATCCATGTATGGTGGCGACAATGGCAGTAACGTCAACGTAAACATGAATGACGCATCGGATGTAGGGGTGTACAACCGGGCGAGTATGAGCTCATCCGACCTTTCGCACGGACATAGCGGACATTTGCGTAGGCATCCACTTGCAGCGTTGCCTCGATCTGCTGGGTCATCGCGCTCGTCACTCGGCTTCCGCTCCCGGCCATTGCGGCTTGAAACAGACAAGATTGACTTCATGCATAATTTTGATGCAGTGTCTGAAACGGGACATTATTCACCCGTGTCGCACCCAAGTCCTGCGCCCTTCGAATTCCCGCTGAGTGAACAATCGGGTGGCAGCAGTACTGCTCATGGAAGTGACAGTCATAATGATAGCAGAATGGATCACGATGGCGGGATGGTGAGCCATGTACAGCACCATCAATACGGTGTCGACGAATCCCGACATGCTTCTCAACAGCATCATTCTGGGATGTACGCACCGCCGCATTCAGCCCCGTACTCATTACATGGCCATTCCCAAGAAAACGTAGCGCCCTATGGGTACTACAATTGACCAACCTCTGTCTTTTCCCCGCATATTGGCTGATGCTTGCGTCACAATCTAACTCTCCTACCCTACCTTTACCTTCTTCCCTGGTTGCAAGGCTTCCGTTCTTGTAACCAACGGCCCTTCCCTATTTCCCCACCTTCCGCCTGTCTCCTACGCTACAACCAACCTTCGTCATCTTGCCCTCACGACTGCAATTCCGAGATTTTGGTCCCATCCGGGTGATTCCCAATTCAAAAATTAATTTTTATTACTATTCGCGCCGATGCCTTTATATGTACTTTATATTTTCCTCTTGCGCGCTCAATATCTTGGCTGTCCTATTTCGTCTTATCTATTTGCTTTTCGTTCTGATACTCTCTTTTTTTCCCTTATTCTGACATCACTTACTCGCCCGCTCGCTCACTTCTTCCTTTGTTAACTAACGCCTACGTCTGCTTTCTGTTATTCGTTTCCCAGACGTTGTGTTCACTCTCACTTTTGTTACACGGACACTTTGGCACGAATTTGCTTTGTTCAGTTGGATCTCTAACGCCTGCTCACTCGTTTGGCTTTCCCCAAATCACAATCCATAACCACAATAACGACGCTCCTTTTCTTTCTTTCTTATGTTTCTCATCTCGTCATACGTCATACCACTTTGTCTCTCTGTGTGTTTGTTCGTCTGTCCGTCTACTCCCACTGGTATTCTACCCCACGCATTTTTTCTTGCATAGTGAATGTAATTACCCACTTTTTTTCTTCACCCTCCCCGTTGTTCTATCTATCTATCTCCCCATCCAACGCAACGCAACGCAATCCTTACCCTTGTTTTTTTCGTCGTCCCTCCTTATGAATCGCCCACCACCGCCCGTTCAGTCGCGATCCTACCTGTACTCTACTGCAGGACCGTCTCGACTGTCTGAGATTCTGGTGGTGCGAACATATATCAATTGGCTGGTTGACCTAGTGTTATTTTGTTTGATGTCTGCTGTACTTTGTTCTGTCTCCGTCTCCTTGTCTCCTTGTCTCCTTGTCTCTTAGTGTTTTAGTTTTCTATTTCTGTTTTGTTTTTCTCTCCCTACTTGCTGCAGCTAGCTTGTCATTACAATAGAACGCAAATAATTAATTCAGGTCTTCATTATTTCCTTCTGGGTAATTAATTACAAGATTGTGTGTGGTTTTGGGGTACGAGAGATTAGTTAGTGTTAGGCAAAGAAAAGAGAAGGTTTCTATATGTAATTGCTTAATACCCTAATACCCCACAAAACCCGAAAACTGAAAACTGAAAAATGTGCATATACGGAGTATACTACTAAAATAGATAAATATGATATTTCTACGTTACTTTAAAGCTTCGTTGTCTGCGTAGTAGAATTAATCACGAGCGGTGGGTTCGCAGGAGGCGGAGAATGATTATAATACGTCGTAGTAGTAGTCGTTCCCCAAGTCGCACCGTTGCGTTCAGTGATGAGTGCGTGTACTTGCATGCGCAGACCATGGACGATTGCGCGTAAAGCTCCGACTTCTTCGTTCATCCGGAGGTTCTCGGTGGTGAGTGCGACGTCTGTGCGGCGCGCGAGGGCGTCGAGGGAGGAGGAGACGGAGGCGATGCTGGTTCGGAGGGAGAGGAGGGCGTTTTCAAGGGTTGTGTTGAGGTTGATGGGGGCTACGCGTGTAGCTCCTCCTGCTGTATTTGCGTTTGAGGAGGGTTGGGAGGGGGTGATGCTGCCGGAGAGGTCCGGGAAGCGGATGGGAGGAGGCGGGAAGGGTGGTGATGGTTGGAGACGGCTGGAGAAAGGGAAGAGATGCCGAGTGAGAGGGTCGACTTGCATTATTGGTGGAGGCGGAGGTGGTGGTATTACGGCATGTGCGTTATTATTGTTATTACTGTTCGAGTTTGAATTCGAAACATCTTGCGAGGGACTGATAGTTGAAGAAGGGAAGTAGGACGCGAGGAATGCGGGGTCGGAGAATGAAGGTCCTGGACTGGTATTGGAGCTGATCGAGTCGACTTCGCTTGGTGGTGAAGCTGGTGAGGACTCTGGCGAAAAGTTGACGATTGGTGAGAGTGGATTCGGAGAGCGCCATCTATGCGCTTGCTGTAGCTGCTGTTGCTGTGGATCTGAATGATTCCCGTGATTCGAACGACTCGAAGAAGATGACGGGTCCGTAACTTCGCTTGCTTGTGCTCGAGGGCTGTCTCCAGGCTGCCACCACGGGCCCAACGCTCTCCGCGCAATGGCAAGCTCCCGGCGAAGCACGTGAATACTCGTCTCTGCATTGTTCAAATTTTGCCTCAACACTGTATTCTCGTCTCGTAGTGCCGATAGCAACGTGTCATTGACAGCGAAGAACCCTTTTATTGCTTCATATGAACAACTCTGGAGGTGCTCCGGTAGACACCTGCGCCTGCCGTTCCAAGGGCATCCGTGCGCCGAGTGCATACAGGCAACCAGAACCTCTGGGCAGGTGGCGGTATGCTTTATTAATCCGCCGCGTTTGAGTTTTTCAGAACACGCCACACATTGTGTCTCCTGTTCCACACATTTGTCGTTATGCGCCTTAACACCAAAGGAGAAAAAAAATTAGAAAAAATCAGAATGGATGTATGGAAGGTGAGAGAGGACGCGCGTAGCACGAAAGAAAGACCAAGAGAGGGATAGTGTGGGTAGAACGTAGACGTACCTCAAGTTCGGAAGCCGTAACGGATGTGCCACAGGCGATACAGTTCACTAGCCGATGTACGCAGTCGTGCGTGTGTTTCCCGAGGTCCCTTCGGAGAACGGTTTGCTCGCAACCGTCTTCTGAACACGGGACCTGTACGAATTGGCATGCGTCCCTGAGATGAGAGTCGAGAAGCTGTCGTTGGCAGGTCATTCGGCATCCTGACGATCTAAGCGGGCATTCGACGATAAGCTCGTCAACCATCTAAGCAGTGGCAGAACGTAATAAGCAATCATCTCAAAAGTTTCACGGTGCTAGCGCGTCGGCCCGAACTAACGTTTCTCAGCAACAAATTTTCCGGCTTAAGATCATCCAACGTAAGAGGTGAACGATCCACAGGGCAGCACGGTTGTTGTTCCAACGAGCGTTCGATGCACCTCCTACAGAAGGTATGCGAGCATGTTGTCGTTACGACAGGGTTCAGGAATGGACAACTTCGCGCATTTTTACGAAATTATAGAAGAAATTAAAACATAATTGAGCATTACAGCTTTCCGCCACGAACGTGCAGGGGCAAACTTACTGGCAGACGCAGCAGATCTACAAAGTACTGTCAGATGTGTAGTGAAGGTGAAACGGCTGAGAACTCACTAGGTTAGAGTTGACCTCGTCGACGTAGGTGTAGGAGATCATGGCTGTTGAAGAGAGACAGAGACGGGCGCGGGTAGTGCCCATGGACATACGGAACGGAACGCACGCACTCTCCTCGGCACTCGGGTCGGGAGGAACGCCGCATTTGCAGATCGGCGCATGCGTTTGTGGGTCCCAATAATTACTAGATTTGCTATTAAATAAAAATTATGCTGCTCACTGAGTCACACCCCCCGACTTTCCGACTTTGTTTCCCCTGGTCGTTGAAATGTTTACAATTTACTTTCGAGAACCAAAAGTTAAGACGATTCGAATCGCTTTGCTTGTACCACTCTAATACATATGTACAATGATTATCACAAAATATCTATCTGTATTCTTAAGACTTGTGAAAGCAAGCAAAACAGCAGTGCTGTGTTGTCTAGTCTTGCTCAATCATGTCTTTTCTATCACGATTGGAAGATAATCAGTAGAGAACTCCAGCTTCTGGAGTCTCTATTGCCTTCTGACATTGACTGTCAAATTCTCTCCTTGCTATTTTACAGTAAAGGTACCTGTTCTCGTCCACAGCTGAAAGGCAATCACCGTGATATCTAACGTGCTACAGCTGATGCCCGGAGAACTTCGCGTCTTCCAGATTTTGTCACTCGCTAGTACGAGGGTATTACCTCAATGTACAATTGAGAAGGAGCAATTGGCTGTTTCAAACCAAGAACCTCTTCAATCTGTTTTAATTGAATCTAGTATACCCGGTCAGTGGCAGAGACCACACTTGCTGCGGATTGCACAAGTGCACTGAATCGATACAAGGACTTTGTCATGATCCTTACAGAACGGCCTATACACTTGCTAATTCCGAAATTTATCCAGCAGCTTGCTTCTGGACAATAGAGTGAATGACATATGGAGTCTCCCAATTACAAGACAGTACCTTGGCCTCTGTCCTGACTAAACGTCAAGGTCCTCCTTCCTACCAAGCAGATGATCGGACCATACGACAGAAGGTTCGTACTAAGAGCACGGCATTTGCCATGTCAAAGGTTGTGTATGAGGTTAAGGAGAGATTTAGAAGACAGGGAGGCATAACCCGGAGTTGATGTTTCACTCAGATTGTCCGCTGTTCATCCTGCCTGGAAAGCTCCGATAAAAACCATATATATTTTCCTTCCTTTCCCGGGACAAGCCCAGTTACTCGTTCGATCATTGTTTGTGTCCACAGTTCCCAGTAGCCAAACATTGATCATAATACAGTCACCCCATCAACTAGGTGAGTTCTTTGTCATGAAGACACGACTCTTGCAGCAGAAACTATGTTGATAGATAAGATCAACACTTGAAAATCAGAAACACGAAGGGCGTAATGCAAGAGTTAATTACCACGACTATTCAAGCGCCTATATGCACAAGATTAACCCATCGTTCGACTGAAATCCCATTCCGCGCTTTCAACTCCAAGGCCGCTTTACGAAGGCCCCCAGCCGCTCTCTTATACTTCGCCTCTCCTTCCTCACAGTTGTTCATGTACTCATAAACTGTCTTAGCAAACGCCGGCCCGTCGTCGTCGAGTAACTCCCACATTGAACCAATCACGCTTCGAAATCCCGAAAATTGCATGGCCGCTGCAAGGTGAAGAACCTCGTCGTGCGCACCGTCGTGGGGTTGTTCGGCGGTATGGCAGGCAGAAAGAAATGCAAACTCCGCATTGGGAATATTGGCTTGGATAATATCGAGTAACGTTAACCCGTGGTCCGATAGATTGAATGAAGAATTGAAAGGCTTCGAGTCTAAATGTCCATGGCAGACAAAATGGATCCATGTCGCTTCCCGGAGAGCTTTGATCACCGTACGACGGGGCGGGCTATACTTTTTGACTAGTAGTTTGGTGATTAACCCACAATTGCGGATGTTGGAAATCTCCTGCTTAGCTGAATGAAGTGAGGTATCTCCAATGACAAGCACGGTTGGTTCGTCTTCCCTACCGTCTGACCGCGCATTAATGAGAGCTCCGAGGGTCGGAGTATACGACGAGACATATTCGTCTAAGAAGTATCTCGTCGTCAGATATGTATCCTCGAACGGTCCTGCGGCGTGGAAAGGGAGCACGGATAATATCGATGTCGGGCACCACCAAATACGACTACCTTCGTAAATCCCGTGCTCTTTAAGTTTGACGTCGACTTTGGAGACGACTCTGACCCATAGCATCTTCATAGCTTCGCGTAGCTTCTTGTCATATTCCGGCGAATCAGCACCGCGTCGTCGGCGCGTTACCAGGAGCTCGTTACACAATTTAATGCTATCCTGATAAAACTCTTCGTCTAAAGGGACACATTCTACCGGTGAGGCATCGTCGGAGAGAACAATGAGGGCATCAGAGCGATGCCGACAATGGTTAACAATAATGACTGGCCCGTCAGAAGCCGCCTGCTGTAGTACATTGAACGGCGTGGCTTCAAGGAAACGTTCAAACCCCGGAACTTGTCGAATCTCGTTAATAACGTCCTCCTGCTTGGTGGAGAGTAGCTGCTTTAATCTCAACAGCTCATCTAGTGATTTCCGTTCTGTTTGCATATCCGATGCTGGTGCACCACCTTTATTCATGGCGGAACCAGACACTATTGCCTCGTGTGATGCCACGAGATTCTCCAGTCGAAGACTGATATCTCTGAATCTGCTGGTGAGCTCTTCATTTGTATCCGCGAGCTGATCCAGAGGGGTCCTGAGGCCACGCAACTGTGACCACAGCAAGCCCCTTCCTTGCTCGAGTATCTCTATAGCTTCTTCCAACTTATTTTTCTCTATTGCGTAAGACGCTGCCTCCAGCGTGAGCATTTTGTAATCACTGCGTCTGAGGAGGAAGTCATATTGTCCATGAAGAGTTGGGCTTATGGTGAGAGCACGCTGAAGTAGCGACAACGTCATCTTGTAAGCTGCGAAGGTGGTGTCGTGCTCGTGCTCTCGTGCAAGTTCTGCCCATCTATGCGCAGCAGGTAGGCGTTCCAATAAACCCGAGAATCTATGCGTGGCAGCGAGCTCCAATAACTGCATACATTCTTCAAACTCATCCATGCGCCATTGCTGCTCGAGTCTAACATATAAGGAATTTGCGAGATTCTTCAACGATAATGAACGAAGAGGATGACCTTCTGGTCGAAGCATCAGTGCAACTCGGTTGAACTTGATTGCAATTTCAAGCATGTCAGTTCCCCCAAATCGAGAGGATCGTGTGACGAGGGAATCTGCGAGGTTGTTCAGAGACATGGAGCATAGAGGGTGGCCCACAGGGCGAAGCTCCAGCGCAGCTTGGTGCAGCTTAATTGAATTGTCAATGTCCTCAGCCTTTCCATACTGAACAAATCGAGCGCGCAGGTTAGCTGCGAGGTTGCTCAGAGACATAGAACGAAGGGGATGACCTCCTGGGCGAAGCTCCAAGGCGGCTTGGTGCAATTCAATGGCTTCGTCAAGGTCCTCGGCATTTCCGTTCTGATCGAACCGATCAATAAGGGAGTTCGCAAGATTGTTCAGAGACATGGAACGATCAGGATGACCTTGTGGCCGAAGCTCTAGAGCAGCTCGGTGCATATTGATGGCCTCCTCAAGGTCTCCAGCCTGTCCCTGTCGCTCGAATCGGGCGTGCAATGAATTCGCAAGGTTATTAAGAGACATGGCGCGATCGGTGTGGCCCTCGGGACGAAGCCTCAAAGCGGCTCTGTACAACTCGATGGCTTCGTCATGGTCTTCAGCCTTTCCGTACTGCTCGAATTGCATTTGCAGTGAATAAGCCATGTTGCTCAGGGATGTAGAGCGATCATGATGACCTTCGGGGAAAAGCTGCAGGGCAGCCCGGTCCAACTTGATTGCTTCCTCAAGCTTCTCAGCCCCTCCGTACTGCTTGAATTGTGTGCGGAGGCAATCTGCAAGGTTGCTCAGAGACATAGCGCGATCAGGATGACCATCGGGGCGAAGCACTAGGGCGGCTCGATGCAACTCAATTGCCTGCTCAATGTCCTCGCGCATTCCATTCTGTTCGAACCGAGTATGCAAGGAATTTGCAAGGTTATTAATATATAGAGAACGACTGGAATCGCCCTCAGGACGCAGCTCCAAGGCGGTTCTTTGTAGCTCGACTGCCTTGTCGAGATCCTCCGTCCTTCCGTGCTGCTGAAAGCGAGTATGTAGAGAATCTGCAAGGTTACTTAGAGATGCGGAACGATCAGGATGGCCCTTTGGGCGTAAAGCCAAGGCGGCTCGATGCAACGTGATGGCTTCCTCGAGGTTCTCGGGTGTTCCAAGGTACTGGAATCGGGCGTGTAGAGAAAGTGCGAGGCTGTTCAGAGACGAAGAACGACCAGGATGGTCCTTGGAGCGAAGTTCCAGGCTAGCTCGATACAACTCGATTGCGCTGTCAAGATCCTCGATCTGTCCACGCTTCTCAAATCGAGTATGCAAAGAGTTTGCAAGGTTGCTTTGAATGGAAGGACGAAGAGGATGGCCCTCCGTGCATAGCGCCAGAGCAGCTCTATACAACTTGATGGCCTCCTCAAGTTCCTCTACATTTCCACAGCGTTCGAATCGTGTGCTCAGTGAATTCGCAAGGTTATTTAGAGACATAGAGCGATCAGGATGACCTTCCGGACGAAGCTCCAATGCAGTCGGTGCAACTTGATGGCTTCCCTCAGGTCCTCGGTTTGTCTGCGCTGGTTAAACCGAGTATGCAGGGAGCATGCGAGGGTGTTCAGGGACATAGAACGAAGAGGATGGCCTTCAGGGCGAAGCTCCAAGGCGGCTAGTAGCAGCTCTATTGCCTTGTCAAGGTCTGCAGTCCTCCTATGATGCTCGAATATGCTGTTCAGGAAACTTGCGTGGTTACTCAGGCACGTGGAACGATCAGGGTGACCTTCTGGATAAAGGTCCAGGGCAGCTTGGTTCAACTCGATGGCCTTGTCGAGATCCTCAGATCTTCCACGCTGCTGGAATCGAGTGTGTAGAGAAAGTGCGAAGTTGGTCAGAGACATAGCACGATCAGGGTGGCCTTCGGGGTGGCATTCCAGAATGGCTCGTCGTAACTCGATGGCCTCGGTAAGTTCCTCAGGTCTTCCATTCTGCTGAAATCGAGTGCACAGAGAATGTGCGAGGTTGCTCAGAGACATAGCACGATCAGGGTGGCCTTCGGGGTGACATTCCACGATAGCTCGTCGTAATCCGGTTTCTTCCTCAAGATCTTCGGTCCTTCCGCTCTGCCCGAAACGAGTGGCAAGAGAAGTTGCGAGTTTGTCCAGATACGCAGCGCGTTCGGAATGACCTTCTGGAAGTAACTCCAGAGTTGCTCGGTGAAACTCGATGCCTTCGTCAAGGTCCTCGATCCTCTTATTTTGGTCAAATCGAAGATCCAAGGATGTTGCAAGAAGGTGCAAAGGCATAAGGCGAAGAGGATGGCCTTCGGGATGGAGATCCAGAGCGGTTCGACCCAGCTTGATGGCCTCTTCCAGATCTTCTATTTGCTCCCATCGAATGTATCGCATCTGGAGAGCTAATAAAAGGTAAAGCAACGGTCCAGGGCGATCGCGATGTCCTTCAAGGCGAATATCGAGGGCATTACGGCTATGCTTGATAGACATTTCAAGCTCTTCTCGCACTTTAGATTGTGTGAAGCGGTTCCAGTAGTCGATGGCGAGGTTATGATGTGTATGATAACTATCAAGGGGATCCTGAACCGCAGCATTGCTTGTTGCCATCTTTCGATATTCCCCAGTTCGCCTACGAAAATTTGGTCAAAACGTGATCCCATAGCAAAAAAACATCAATACGCCGAACAAAGATACATTACCTAGCAGTGTCAACTTGTCTTGACGCTTTCGTCCGGCGCAGAGCCAACAGTTTCTAGCCTCTAAGAAGCTTTGTGTAATTAGATGAACCACAATCGCCCCTCCTTGGACTGACAACTGTGTCTTGGATGGGAGGATGAGTGCCAGCTCGCGCAATGGATGCGACGCTGTGGTTAAGAGTCAAGGGTGAACGTTCGTCCCTGTACCTATCATCTTGGTGACACGGCGCCGACGTTGACAGTGGGCGTGGCATTCATCTTGACACTGAGGCAAAAATAGCTTTACGGACTTTCGCAAATCGCGATGAAATGTAATTCAGGTATAGCAGACACTGTAGCGTCATGTTGAGATATTCTAATATCCAATGGATGCGGTTGGGAAAGAACTTTGAATCGAATGACTCAATGAGTGTTCAGAAGACTTTGGTCATGTGATCAAGAAATGACACATTTACTCAGTGATCGGCACTGAAACCAAGTTCGCAACTCATCCTCGCAACTCCCTCCTTATTCCACGACGATACTTTCGCAGCAGAATGTCTGAGAAGAAAGGGGCATACGGAACAACAGCCGCAGACACGAACTTCCGACGAAAATGGGATAAAGAAGAATACGCCGAGAAGGCTCGACAGAAAGATGCAGACGAGAAAGAACGAATGCAGGAGAACGAGGAGCGTCTTAAGAAAGGTATGTATTGGCGTATTCGAACATCCAATACCTTAGGCTTAATTCTAATCGGACACCGTTTTCAGGCAAAAAGCCACGAAAAGGTCCAAAGGACGACGTGCCCAAACCAACTGAATTGATGAAACTCCGCGATTTCGACCTGGAGCTCGAGAAGAACCTCAACAAAACCGTCGTGGTAGCGAACCCCACGGGTCGTGGACCAGGCCAACCTGGATTTCATTGCGAGAAATGTAATCGGACGTATAAAGATACGACATCGTATCTGGATCATATCAATAGTAGAGCTCGTAAGCTTTCATTCCTTTTAATCTTCGAATTATTTATAATTTTGTCACTTATAATCTTTACCAACTTGAAATTGATTTGACTTTTAGATCTTCGAATGATCGGCCAGAAAACCCAAATCGAACGATCCACCGTCGAACAAGTCCGTGCACGAATAGCCTTCCTCCGCGAACAGAAACGCGAAGCCTCAAACGCAAAAACATTCGACTTCAACAGGAGATTAGCCGAAGTGAAGGAGAAAGCCGATGCAGAGCGGGAAGCGAAGAAAGCTGCAAAGAAAGCTGAGAAGGAGAAGGCTCGGATGGAGATCCTCAAGGATGTACAACAGGACGACGAAATGGCTCAGATGATGGGATTTGGCGGGTTCGGTTCCACCAAAAAATAAACACTTGTCGCGAGCTGGTGGGGTCTTCTTCAATTTTCATTTTAGCAGCACATAATTTATTCGAAAGCAATGTACGTATACAAAATGATGGACCTTAGTACTTCTCTTTTTTTGTCTACTCTAGATCATTGTATACTACACACTTTACGGCCACACTAAAGACAACATGAACTTCGTATCCGCAATCTCCTGCTCTTCTTCAATGAGTGACTTCTTTCCCGCACCCCTCGCCTTTACATCCCTCGGTACGCTGCGAACCAGCCTTTGAATATACTCTCCGTGTCCCTCTAGTGCGTCTAAGATATCCTTGCCAGTGTCATCCTGGAAGGTATAGAACACATCAACGTCGTCCGTTGCCTGCAGCCCGGCCTTCTTGCGCAACTTCTGTACGCGATTAACGAGTTCACGCGCCAACCACTCGCCCTGGAGTTCAGGATGTACCTTCACATCCAACAGCACAACCACATCATTATCCGAATTCGAACCATACGTCTCCTCTTGATCGTCCTCCTTCTCCACATAACGCTGGACAGTCAAGTCTCCCGCAACCAGCTCGATACCATCCACAGTCAGTTTTCCCGTTTCAGTGTACGTTTTGACTGCATCACTGGACACAGATGGAAGTGCGTTCTTCACGCGCGCGAGGTCCTTTCGCAGTTTCTTCCCCAACACAGCCCAATCTGCCACCGCGCGGAACTTGACTCCCGCCCGCGTCTCGTCAGAGGTGAACTCGATGTCCCGAACGTTCAGCTCTGACTCGATGTACCGTTGTAAAGGTTTCACATCTGCCAGGTATCGTTCGTCGGAGTGGAAGATGACGAGTTCTTTCAGAGGTGTCTGTTATGCATATATTTACATATTTTTGTTTCGTCAGTGATTGTTGGTCAAAATGGTCCGGTCGAAGTATGATGTGCACGTACCTTTAAGGAAAGCGTGTATCTATCACGAATGGCCCGTGTCAATTCAATGATTATCTGCATCCGCTTGACTTGACGCTCAATAGTTTCATCGAAGTACTCTTCCTTGACCTCAGGGAATGACAGGAAATGGATAGACCGCGTATCTTCTTTCGGCTCAGAAGGGATGAAGGGTCGAAGTGACTGATAGATGTTCTCAGTCAAGAACGGCGTGTAAGAAGACTAAAAATATATTAAACACAAATCAACGACCGCACATTTGAGCGTTAATAAGGTTACCACGTACCATCGTCCGACATAGTGTAAAAAGCGTCTCAAACAGCGTATTCAAAGCCGCAATCGTATCCTCCTGCCCATCCTCACCCTTTAACCTCCGTCTATTAAACCGGACATACCAATTCGTCAACTCATCAACCAAATCCAACAACCTCGGGACAATCGTATAAAGTCTATATGCCGCCATCTCCTGACGCACAAGTTTAATCAAAGACTGACACCGCGCGAGGATCCATCGGTCCATAACGTTCGCAGACACCGGCGCATGCGGATCATACTTGAATTCCAATCCACTTGTTTTCTTGTGTAGTGCGACCTGCCCGAGGAAGAATCGGAAGGCATTTAGCCAGGGAAGGAAAACACGCGAGATGACTTCGCGGACGCCTGCTTCGCGGAAGCGTAGGTTCTCCGCGCGGGTGACCGGAGAGTTTACGAGGTACATCCTAAAACCAGTTAAGTTTTCTTCTTAGAAAGGAGTATTGGATGGTCTTGGCGGGTTTTTGCACGCACCTCGTCGCGTCCGCACCATAACGATCAATGATATCCGTAGGGTCAGGATAGTTCTTCAAACTTTTGCTCATTTTTTTCCCGTCCCTAAACAAAATACACAAAAAAAATCAATTTCGTATTGATACGATTCCATTCATGTGGTGAAACCACACTAAGCAAAACGAAGCTACTCACTCGGCAAGGACAAGCCCGGTAGTGATCAAATTCTTCCATGGTGCTTGTCCGAAAAGTAGCGTTGAAAGCACGAGAAGCGTATAGAACCATCCACGTGTTTGGTCAATACCTTCACTGACAAAATCTGCAGGGAAGGTACGTTCAAACTTTTCCTTGTTTTCGAAGGGATAGTGCTGTTGAGCATAAGGCATGCTGAGGGTGGCATAAGACACGATGATGAGATTACGGACAACATAGATGGAAGTTTAGGCTTTTGTTACCTTCCAGACTCAAACCAGCAGTCGAAGACTTCTTCGACACGTTTGAGGTCTCCCTTGCCTTGCTTTGAGGGTATCGTAATATGGTCGATCTTGTCTCGGTGCAAATCTGTGATACCTGCTACACCAGACAGTTCCTCGAGTTGTGCAATCGAACCAACTGTGACGACCTGAACAATGTAATTGATGAAAAACATATACATGTCAGTTGCATCTTTAGACTTACTTCCTCGTAATCCTCCGAGACCCAAAGTGGAATTGGAGTACCCCAATAACGATTCCGGGATACGTTCCAGTCACGAGCGTTTGCAATCCAATTTCCGAAGCGCCCTTCACCGACATATGCTGGAACCCTGAACATATCTCCTTATTAGACTGGACGAAAGGAATAAAATCCTCTAGGATGTCACTGACCATCGAGTCTCTTTATTGTTTGCTACCAGCTGATCAACCGCGCCTTGAACGCGAACAAACCACACAGGAATAGCACGGTACAAAAGAGGAGTTTTCGATCTGTTTGCAAGAATTAGAAACACAATCTATTGTCTTGTGAACTTTAGCAGGCGACCTACCTCCAACAAAATGGATACGTATGCCTATGCGTAGTGTGTCCGAGCAGTCGACCCTTCGCTTTCAAGGCCTTGATGATCTCCTTATCCGCGTCCTTGACATATATGCCCTGGAAGTCAGATACTTCTTTCGTGAAGCGCCCAATATCATCTATAGGACAAGGCGGCATCTCATCAGGCTGCACAATACCATTTGCCATTGCAATACGGTGGTCATCATCACCGAACGCGGGTGCTTGGTGTACGATACCGGTACCGTCTTCTGCAGTGACGTATTCGTCGTTGAGCACTCTGAATGCCTTATCTTCATACTGTTTCACGCATTTAAGTAATTTAAAAAAGCGCAAAGACGTGTGAAATCGCACCTTGTCTGTGAAGTATTCAAACATAGGAACATATCTCCAATCCTTCATATCCGCTCCAACAAACTCGCCGACTTTCTTGAATTTCGCCTTCTTGGGGTCTTTATACAATGTCTTGAGAAGAGCCTCATGCAGGATAAAGTTCTGCTGGTGTGCCTCGTCAAATATCTTAACATACTTATACGCAGGGTGCACACAAAGCGCAAGGTTACTGGGTAACGTCCACGGCGTCGTCGTCCACGCCAAAAGGCTCGTCGTCGGGTCATCCACAAGCGGGAACGCAACCGTCACCGCCGGGTCCTGCACCTCTCTATAATCCTCCTGCGCCTCAAAATTACTCAACGGAGTCGTACACCCCGTCGAATACGGCATCACCCTCAACCCACGATACACCAAACCCTTATCATACAACTTCGCAAACGCCCACCAGATACTTTCCATATACGATGTATCTAGCGTTCTATAACCATGGTCAAAGTCAATCCATCGAGCCATGCGCTCGACGGTCTTTTGCCATTCGTTGGCGTAGCGGAGGACGATGGCTCGACATTCGGCGTTGTATGCTGGGATACCCATGGCAAGTACGTCTTCTTTCCCTCGGATACCGAGTTTCTTGTCGATCTCGTGCTCGACGGGTAGACCGTGCGTGTCCCATCCGAATCGGCGCTCAACGTAGAACCCGGATGCGGTTGCGTGTCGAGTTACGATGTCCTATAGTCGTCCAATTCGAAGAATCATAGAATCGTATTTCCGTTCGTTCCGCAAAGCGATTGTCCGTGCAGATCCAATAATCCAATAAATAAAAGAACCCATAACCCAACATCAGCATACACCCACCACTCACAACAATCAAGAAAAAGAAATTAACTCGCCTTGATAGTCCCAGCAAGCAAATGCCCATAATGCGGCAAACCCGTCGCAAACGGCGGTCCATCATAAAACGAATACGGCGGCCTCTGCTCACTCAACTTAAGCTGCGTCCGGAACGCATCGATCTCCCGCCAGAATGCTAGCACTTTCTCCTCTTCTTTGGGGAAATGGAAGTTCGCAGAAACTATTGGTTGCGGTGTGTCATGTAGTTCCGTCATTTAAGTTCAAACAGGTTTGTGTTGTCATGAGGTGCAGAGGTAATAGTAAACGTTAGATCACATCCGTGGCGAGAATAAAGAACGAAATAACTCACTGTCGTGAGGAGGAAACGACATCTTCCTTAATCAACAGAATAACCTGGCTTTCTATACCAAAAGCTTTTGAGGACAGCGATGGCGTGAATCTATGAATAAGAGGGGCCTAGTAGTAGACTCTTAAGTGCACTGAAGTTTTGACTCGACTTGACTTGCGAGGAAAGGTATTGAAATTCTCTTGATTGTAATCTCATTATGTAACACCTTCCCCTTACTGACGATATTGCAACTAGAACTACAGTAGAAAATGTCTTATTGCATCACATCATAATGCATAAATGGCATAATGCATAGACTTTTGGCCAGACCAAAAACTCAGGTTCTCAGCCAAAATGTATTGTCATAATGTATAAATTGTATAATGCATTGGGTTTAGCCCTCTCCCAACATTATGCAATAAGACATTTTCAACTGTACTTTCGAAATTACAGCGCTTTGCATTTGTAATGGCACTAGGCTACTTCCTAACAGTGTAACACCTTCCACTTGTTTTCAATACAATACAATTTTTCTGGACTCAATTCTCATCCAAATTTGCTGAAATCAATGCCTAAATTTATATTAGGATATATTGAATTCATTACATTTTTGAAAATAAAAAGATAACTGTCAAATTATAATTTAGAAAGTTCTGTTCAATGTGTTATGTAATCCAAGAAGTTCTATTCATTATAATTGTATTATAAAAGTTACTACAGTGACAGAGGTGTATTTATAATATGAATCTCAGGTTTTGTAGAGAAAAACTTCAGAATGCAATTTATACAAAGGTTGAAAGTCTTTCAATCACAAGAAATTTTGCGAAGTCCCACATGTCACATGATAAACTGTTTCAATCTCTCTCTCACATCACAAAAAGACCCACGACTTGGGCCGCGAGTATACAAGGCACGTGATGAAATATTTCGGCTGTTTGTTCATTGTGAGAATCTCAGTCCTGTCCAGTGTTATGCCACCCTGCAGAGCCTCTGGCACCAAGAGCACACAGAATGTTCTCGTGTCTCAGTTATCCATAGTCCTTGGAGGCGAGACATGCCTTTGCACCCCATCATCTTGGATCTGTACAACGCACAAAAACTAGTTGATCGATGAAAAAGTTGCTTGACCTCGAAAATGATGTTACGTCCTCATGCCAGGGAACATTCTGGATCGTTCAGCCATACGAAATCTCCCAAGGGATCGATCGATAAGTACTTGTGAGCGCTGAAAAGCAATACACATGCTTTGCTCCTCAGAATCTATCAAGGTGGCTCGTGCTTCTCGGGTACTATTTAATCCTCATAACCTGGGGATTACGGACAAGATACTGGCCTGCATCATTTCCCTCTTGTTCCAGTATCTCGTTACAAGGTATGATTCAAGACAAGTTCTCTTTCATTATAAATTGCAGTTGTCTATTCTAAAGGCGGACGGATTGCATGCCATGGCTGAACAAACTAACCGAGCGTAACTTTTTCCCTTCTGATTACAGATTGATATTAACAGCTATTGCATTCAGAATCTCAACGTCGCCATCCTCGGCATGGCCGTCCAAAAATCTCTGTCATGATGGACGTTCAGTGGTTGTTTATTATAGACAATGAAGAAGCACACCTCCATCAAGATAGCGAGTACGACTTGAATGGGGTAGGTTGCATCCCCTCCATGGTGTACTAATTCAGTACCTATGGTATCGATGAGTTTGGTTGCTAGCATGTCCCTCGCCTCCTGGAAGACATCGATGACTGCACCGTCGAGGGCGTCTCCGAAGCCGTTTCGCATAGCTTGGCGAAGGTTTCGCAGTGTCTCGTTTACGTTATTGATCGATTCCAGGAGTACCTGGATTCTGCCGGGGATGTCATAGTTTCCCTCGGACTCCAATGCAAGAGGCACAGCAACGAAGTCGTTACCTGTTATTTGAACTTCGAACAGACGGAGGGCATCGCCCTCCTCGGCGGGTGCATCCTGCGAACCGGCGTAAATATTGTGGACGGATATGGTGAATTCATCACGTACCCAGATATACCAATCGTGTTGGTCATTGTCATCAGGGAGGCCAACTGGCTCCATACGAGGTGCCGGAGGCACTGGAACGATATCAGCCTCAGGCTGGAAAAGAGGTGCCTCAAATTGATGAAAGAAGTCCATCCTGAACGGCAAGTTCTGGGGGAAATGCAAAGGAGCTAGGGCGGTGATGGTGGATGAGAGTGAAGAGCAAATGAACAATTAGACCCCACTTTATATGTGAATCACGGGAACAGCGCGGGTTCTTGGTGGCTTTGGAAGGATGGAGCCACGAAAGCAACACTAACATGACGCGTTCTGACGCATTGCTCGTTCGTGGCTACGATTCATAGCGGATCCCCTGACATTTCTTTTTTGGTGTATATTGGCATTGACTGGACGGCGAGTTCCACAGCTTTATATCTCCGTAACAGCCGAACGTGCATACAGCTATTGCAGAGGTGCCCGCGTACTCATAATTTCGGTAGTTTGTCTTTACGGCCTTTCCAGATTTATCTCCACGAAGCGACCTTTGAAGCTTCTCTGTTTTTGACGTTTCTAACCCTCATTGTTTAACGCTTGTGCAAAGCAGACCGTGGTTCACTTGTATATCATACAGTAGACGCATTCAATTCAAGGACTCGTTATAATCCGAGTTATATTGTGAGCTACTAAGGATGTGAAATTGAGCCTGAGTGTCACTAGAAGCTTGTTGAAAGGCAGAACCTTTGTTTTCCGCTTAACATGGCTCTTATTCTTACGCCAAATACACCAGCCACTCTCTACTCTGGGCTCCGGTTCCACTCATATTATATTCGTCTCGTACGCAATCTTGTCGGAAAGTCAGCCAATTTTGGCATTCATCTTCTCTTCTGCATGTGAACTTTGAACTAGTTAAGTTCACAACGTTTAGAAGCAACAGACTATAAACTGAAAGGCTCCCAGAACCGAAGCCTACCTGCTAGTATCGCATATTGATCCAGATCAACCAATGGTCCAATCCTAATGAGGCTTTGTGATGCGATACGATACATGCTACTTACTAAACGCATTTACAAATCCGACGGGCAGTATCGGAATACCATCCTATCAATGCATAATAGTCCTTGAACAGAGTCAATAAAAAATACTATCTATCCACTTCAGAGCAACTCAATAGCAATGACTGCAACTGTTCCTACTACTGCTCGTACAGTGGTTCTTCAGAACTACGTCTCAGAGCAGCATGGCCTGGACCTCCTTCTGGCACCTTTGCCGTCAAGGAGGTCCCCGTTCCTAACCCCATCCCAGAGGATTCTCTTCTCGCTCAAACAATCTATCTCTCTAATGAGTCGGGGCTCCGATCCTCTTGGTGAATATATTGCAGAGCCGTTGGGAACGTTGCCCTTCGATTTGCGAAGAAAGTCATAGCAGTTAAGCATGTCGTCGGAATTGCTGGCCCGACGAGAATGCAAGTGGCTGAAGAGTATCGGAGCGGATGACGCAGTTAATTACAAAAGCCTAACATTTGTTGAAGACCTAAAGAAAGCAACCCCCGACAAGGTTGACTTGTGAGTAACCTGAAGCTGAGCTGGGTCGATAGTAATAATGGGACACGCTACAGATTCTTTGATAACGTTGGCGGGTCGATTTTGGACGAGGTGATGATGCGTATGAATCCTCACGGTGCCATATCTATCGTGGAAGAATGGCTCGTACGTTCCTGTCCGCTCCTTCAAAAATGGCGACTGAATGCTCTTGTGAAGATATGAAAGACCTACAGGGACCAGTCTTCGTGCATAATTACGGGTAAATACTCGTCAACAGGTTGTTACTGGAGGGCTTCGCGCTCTTTGACTTCGTCAATCACATTGACAAGGCCGAAGAGGCGCTTAGTTAGCCTTAGTACTTCTGCGGCGGCCGCGAACAAGCTTGTAGTGAATAGTGCAGAAACTGTTGTTGACGTCCATGGAAAAGTCGAAGAGATACCGAGTATTTGGAACGGGTTGTTCACAGGCATGAACACTGGAAAGCTGGTTACGAAGCTGGCAGACTGAAGCTGAGTAGAGATACGAATAATGCAATACCTGGAAGGAATACTTACCGTCCATGACCACGGGAATTCGAAGATCGACAGACTCGAAAAAATACTTGTATTTGCGAGAAGATGTCTCTCAGTACATAGGCTCGTCCCCACTGTGACCAATACCTGTACAATATATGAAAAATGTGTGATGAGACAGACCTATTTGTGTATTCAACACTGAAAAACAGAGGTGTGGGATTGTTGCCTATATGCTCCCACAGTCACATGTCTTTCTGTGCACGATGCAGATGCGGAATTATATCCAAACATGGTCATTGGGCATACTACTACTAGTAGTGATCTTTACTTATGGCCTGTTACCACACTGTTCGACACGACAAAACGCAAATGTGCAATTCTCTGGCCTCGGGCCGATATCCGAGAAGTTCCTGCGCGACGCACGTGATGAGAGACGACTGTTTTTGTTCCTCCAAAACTGAGATTCTCATTTTCAATTGCTTTTTAAGTATGACACCGTCGCAGTCCTGCAATACCATCTCGATGCAGAGTTGCTGGCCAAAGAGCATACCGTATATCCTCATTTCTCGGTTAGCCATGGATTTTAAATAAAATTTTGGAGGCGAGTCATGCATTTGCACCCTATCGCATCAGATCTTTTCAACAGATACATGCAAGTCGATCGATGAAAGAGTTGCTCGAATCCGATTACGGGTGGAGTTACGTTCCTCATGTTCAGAAATTCCATGATTCGTTCTAATTAATCTCTACCGGATCAATGACTATTGGCGAATACTGAAAGACAATACACCTTTGAGCCTCAGAATCAATCAAGGTGGCTCATGCTACACGGGCACTATTTAATCCTCATGACCTTCAAGAGTATGGGTATGGTACTGGCTCTCATCACTCCCTCTCTTGCTTTCGCCAGGCGTTGCGTCTGTGCATGACATAAAATTAGGGTAAGTCTTGTTATACAACACAATTACACGTCCTAAAGGCGAGCAGTTGATTGTTATTAACAGAACAAGCCAACCCCAACAGCATTTTTCCCATATAACTACACGATGATGCTTCTAACTATCGCATTTAGGACTTGAACGTCGCCATCCTCGGCATGGCCGTCCAAAAATCTCTGTCATGATGGATGATTGGTAGGTATTTGTTATAGATAACAAAGAGGCATACCTCCATCAGAATGGCAAGCAGGACTTGATTGGAGTAGGTCGTGTCCCCTTCACGGTGAGCTAATGCTCTACTGACAGTATCGATTAGTTCGATTGCAAGCCTGTTTCTCATCTCCTGGCAGACGTCAATGGCTGCACTATCGAGGTCGTTTCTCAAGCCATTTCGCACATCTTGGCGAAGGTATTGTACTATCTCGGTTGCCGCCTTGACTGTGTCCAGGAGCTGCTGGATCATGAGGTTTTCATAGTGGTCCTCAGGCTCGGGGATCCGAGGTGGTGCGATGACGCCGTCATCTACTATTTGAGCATCACTCTCCAGGGCCATATCCTACGACTATAGTGTGAATGTTGTGGATGATTATGGTGGAATCCATCACGTACCCAGATGTACCAGTTGTGCCCCTCATCGTCTCTAGGGAGCTCAATCGGCCTCATCTGTGGGGCAGGAGGCACTGGTACGACGTCCTCTATGGGGAATTCAAACAAGGCCTCGAGTGGTTCGAAGTTCATTGGGTATGCAGAATACGTCTTGCGACAAACGCAAAGCGGATGGGGCAGGTGATGGTGGATGAGGATGAAGAGTGAATGGACAATTAGGTTCTACTTTATATGTGTGGATCACGGGTACGGTGCGGGTCCTTGGTGGCTTTGGAAGGATAGAGCCACGAAGGACAACACCAACATGACATGTCTTTACGCGTCGCCGACTCGTGACCGCGATTCATAGCGGGTCTCTCGGTGTTTCTGTTTTGTGTATTATCTGACATTCGCAACTGACTTTTGGCTTTTAATTGTCATTACTGCATGCGCTAGACGACACGCACCACTGCTTAAAATTACCTTTATGTTCGATACAAAACAGAGAACCTTTCGCTTTACATTGCAACTTTCCGTACTAAAGGCAAGTGAGTTGTATGGCATAGAGTTCCAATTCCGCTCGGTTCCCCCGTTACTTGGCCTGCAGCAATCGGCCGCGTCGTACAAGTTGGCGGCAACGAAGCGAACTGACAATATAAATAAGGTTGGAGATATTGTCCAGGTATTGCGATCTTACTGGGCAGATTATGCTGTTGTGAAGAAAAGACATGGTAAAACTGAGAAAGTAGGTTCTACAGTCCAAGCTAAGTACCAGAGTTTGTGAAGCTTATCCTTGATTCATAATATTAATCCTAGAGAAATACCCGGCATTCCCACCAGTGCAATATTTAGGCGGCGTTTGAGTATATCTGGTGCTACGGCATATTGGGCGTTGAAAGATATGTTGAAGCCTAAGGCGCCCCGTACGCTCGTCATAAGCGGAGCCGCAGGATCAGTATCATAATAAGGCAAAAGATTTTTTTGTTGACCATGTTACAGAGCTGTCGGGAACGTTGACCCTCAATTCGCAAAGAAAGGTTTGGGGGGTTAAACGTGTTGTTGGAATTGCTGGCACGGACGAGAAAATGCAAGTGGCTGAAGAGTATCGGGGCTGACGACGCAGTTAATTACAGGAGAGCCTGACGTTTTTCAAAGACCTGAAGAAAGCAACTCCCCCGACAAAGTTGACTTGTGAGTAACCCAAAACTAAATTGTGTTGGCACTAATAATGTGGCATTCCACAGATTCCTTGATAACGTTGGCGGATCCATCTTGGACGAGGTGATGATGCGTATGAATCCTTACAGAGCCATATGTATCGTCGGAATCCTGGCTCGTGAGTCCTCTCTAGCTGTGTTTTCAAATATGTTAATTGAATATCTCTGTAAAAGACATAAAAGACTCTGAGCAAGGCACGTGATGTATCCATTCGACTTTTTGTCTCTCAAAGACACAAACTGAGAATCTTCATTACCAATACCAATGCAAAGCACAGCACTTCTTAGGTAGTCCTCATGTATAATGCAAATTTCTTGTATATATGCAAGTAACAAGGGAAAATCCAAACACAGGAGCCCAGCTCCATTACCCATCACCAACAACGCAAGACATGTGTGAATGAATATACAGCAGAACAATCTCTATTAACGTATGCATTCGTGCATCTGTGCATCATCATTCATTATCCATCTATAGCTCAGCAGCTTCATCTTATTCAAAACTGGTGGGTGGCGTTCATGTATGCAACGTCGCCGGTACTGGAAACCTGAAACCTACCAAGCCTGCATGCATGCATGACGTGGCAGGACGCGGGGATCATTTTTACGGCAAAGTGGAATCGCTTCTCTTCGTTAACAGCCGTAATTGACAGGATGCTGCTCTGTTCAGGGATGATGTTATGGCACAAACGTAGCGAGGAAGGGTGGTAAGGTATGATGTGATTGGCGGACAACGAGGACGGTGGCAATTAATTGTAGGGTTGATATGTGAATGCGTGTGCAGCTGTGGGGGGGGGGGGTATCGGAAATACGGAGAGAGCATGTCAAAGATCCAAATGCATGAGGAAGCATGTCTGTACATTGACGATCGTGTCGAAAAGATATAAATCGGTGTCGTGTCGGTGTTCGATGTGCTTTGCACTATTGGTCGTAGATTGTGACGAAGAAAGAAGCGCAGAAGTCACTCGGAACTTAGAAGAAGATCCCCATGCTATCAACCGCCGTCGTCCAAAACCCTTTCCTCAATTACGGCAACATTTTCTCCACTCCGTCATCGTTCAGGATTAACACCAGGAATTAGATCGTGACTTTTAGAAGAGATGCAAGAGGTCCTATGACTCCAAAGTAGATGATGCCGACGATGAGTTTGATGATGCAGGCGAGGCACTATTCGCCTCGCGGTATGCCATCGCGCGTTCCACCCAGCCCCGCATGTCAACCTCTCGTGTTCGATCCTCGAGAAGAAAGGGGTGTTCCTATCGATAAAAGCATTTATATCACGGAAATAGAGATGGAATGGAAGCATTGATAAACTCACCAGCATCTCGGAATACGTAGCCCGTCCTGAAGGCTCTTTCACGAGACACCTTCGTACGAAGTCCTGAGCTTGATCCGAATACTCGTCGGATAATTCGGGAGGTGGTCCATGAACAATCGCTGTCAATTGAGCAAAGACATTCGAGTACGTTTCCGGTGGATACGGATATCGCCCCATCGAAATCTCAATGATAGATAGACCAAGTGACCATACGTCAGAAGACACGGTGTACGTCCCCAAGTTATTTTGGGATTCGCCCTTGATGCGCTCGGGAGCCATGTAAGATTGGCAGCCAATGTTTGTTTTTGCAAGGGACTTCTCAAGTTGCCCCGAGACACCGAAGTCGCAAAGTTTGATTTGGCCCTTCCTATTGACGAGGACATTCGTCGGCTTCACGTCACGATGGATAATCTGTAATTCGTCCTTAAGGAATTTGAGACCCCGAACCATTTTGTGCGTAATGCGTGCAAGGACGTCTTCTGGAACACCTGCCACTTGGAGGGTATCGAGCGAACCAGCGTCCATGTACTCCATGCAATAGTAAACACAGGATTCAATGAAGAAGGCACCGTAGAATTCCACAATCTCGTCCGAGATAGCGCGATGTAGAATATCTAGCTCCATTAGGATGGCATTCAGTTTTGCATCGTCCAATTCTAACCGTATTTCCTACAATAACGTTAGCACACTATCCTTGGTTATTGGCGCTCGACGCATCTGACTAACCTTCATAGCCATAAGAACGTTCGTCGGTTTGTGCAAGACCTTTTTCACGGTTCCATAATTTCCGTGACCTAATTCTTCTAGTAACTGCATTTGAGACATGTTGATTGCAAAAGATGAGCCATTTGAGAAGTCTACGCCCGCGGCATGCAGAACCGCCTTGCCGGTGAAATTAAGTGCACCGGAGGGATCACTATCAAGAGATACAATACAACATACACAGCATCAGTGATACCCTCAAATGCCTCAAAGGGATACATGACAAAGGAAGTAAAAACTCACACAATTTTATCGAAGTTAGAGAAGGGACTGCCAGAGCCAGCGGGAGGGCGTCGGACAGGCATCTCATCTCGCGCGGCAAGGGGAACACCTTGTCCGAGGCCTGCACCACTAGCACCGCCTCCTCCCTCGGGCCCGATAATATCCCGAATGTTGAAGTTTGGACGTGTGCGTCGTGCAGCGAGACCACTGCGGGCGGAAGGTGGCGAGCCTGGAGGTGGGGGCGAGGACTGGAAGTTGCGGAGGAGACCAGGGTGGGCGGCGGGTTGGTGGACTGCACCAGATGCATTTGCTGCGGACGATTGCTGGTTTGCGCGGTTGGCCATCTGCGGAGACGAGGGCGGAACGTGTTAGATGTGATGCGGGGGCACATGGCGAGCCGGAGGCCAAAAGGGCTCAGGTAAAGAAAAACACATACGGCGGCCATCTTTGCCTGAAGTGAGGGCGGAATGCGGGGTGCGGCTGGTCCACCACGTGCAAGGGAGCCGAGGGTGCTGCCACGAGAGGACTGGGGCTGGGGAGCGCCGTTCATGGTTGTCGCCGGGGTAGCGGTGTTGCTAGAGGAAGGAGGTGGGTCAGAGAGGGAGCGATGCGGTATGGTATTATCGGAGGAGTGGTCGTCCATGGATGATGGATGCGGGCGATATAGCCAAAAAGTGACGTTAGGCGAGCATACTTGGACCGTCACGTGCACAGGGCTAGCACAGGCGTACTGCCGCGTACAAAAAATTACTGGACAGCTTTACTTACATCCGAGGTTGTCCTATAGGCTGCGAAGGACAGAACAGAGAACAGATGCTTGCGAAGAGTGACTAGTAGTTCTTGTAATGGTCGACCTGCATCGTCATCTAGACCAGCTCAATCCTATATACGCCGGCGGAGCTGCCAGTACGTCCACTCACCTCATCAGCGATGACGACGACACTTTGCTCACTAACATCATCTGACCCCATCTTCCGTGTCTTCTTGCCAGTCCTCGCTGCTCTCATCCTCGCCCTCGCCCGCTTCGGCACCTCTCCCCGCAAATCACACCCAGCCATGACCCTTTCCGTCAGGTGGGGCCGTGAAAAGTGCGTTCCCTCTCTCAATCTTCCGTGCCGTGTAAAATTCACGCGTTCTTATCATCGTTCTCCTCTATGGCGTCAGGCTCCGTGTCCCCATCCCCGCTCCCGATACCAAACTCGGCACGCTCCGCGCCATCCTCGCCGAGCAGACAGGCCTCCCGCCAACATCATTCAAGCTCATCCATGCTGGCGCCATCATGAAAGACGACAACGCTCCGCTCTCCGCCTACGGCCTCCGCAGCGGAAGCAGGATCGCTCTTATCGACGGCGGCGCCAACGCACACACTCTCGTCCCTCCACCAGCTGAAGAACCCGCGGCACAGACGAAGCCGACGACCGAGGAAGGCACGATTGCCGTAATCCGCGACGAGCTCAAGCAAGTGCAAGATCGGATTGTACCCGCTCTAGACGCGTTCCTCACAGTCATTTCTCCTGCTCCACCTTCCGCCTCGGCTCCTTCTTCGGCACCCGAAGGCGGCGTTCCTTCATCCACGTCCACAGAGACTGCCGCTGCTCCTCAGCCAACCGTCCCCGCACCTCCTCCCTCTAGTTTCCTACCAGACGTCGAGGCTGAGCATCGACGACTCGGCGAAGAGCTCCTCCAATCTCTCCTGCGGCTCGACGTCCTCACTCTAGACGGCGCATGGTCCTCAGCACGTACAGAGCGTAAAACCGCAGTAAAGACCGTCCAAGCCTTGTTAGACCGTCTAGATGGCGGTTGGCGTGAACGAACAGAACGCCTCACCTCCACTCAGCAACAGCAAAAGGTCCAGTGATCCATTCGCTCGTTCGAATCTATTCTGGCTAGAACTTCGCGAGGTGTATTTATCTGGTTTGCATGCATGTCATTTATATCCCGGTAATTATAATTACTACATATAGAGTTTCTCTCTGTTTCTCTCCGGCGCCTACATCTCATCTAATACCACCACATGAACGGAATCTGAGCAATACCATATTACCAATGTACACGTTCATCTCGACAAGGGAAGTGCAGTAACATGAACGCTCCACCTATCGCCCGGATTCCGACGAGTTCGATGCCGTAGAATGTGAGTCTAGACCAGACGAAGAACCAAAGGCCAACCCGACAAAATTGCAAGGTTAGTAATTAGTTTTCTCATTAATTTGATTGTATCGAGGGAGAAGTACGACATACGCGTGGTTTCTCGTCTTGTGAAGATGCATACCCTATTGCCATGCTTGGCGTTGTGAAAGCACACCAGAGTCGTAATTTAATACTAGTATTAGTGTTGGTGTTGGTATTCCTGGATTGAATCCTTTCCAGGTTTTCGGTTTGCGGATTGTGTTGTTGTCCCGCGCGGTTTTCGCTGGGAACTTGTGGAGCTGAACTGCTGGCAACCTTCATATCATAATCCTTGACCTCAGAGGTCGGACGCGGAAGTGGGTCAACTTCTATGTCGGAATCGAAATCGTCTGAACTTGAACTTGACGCGTTCTCGTCGTCCATATCAATATCAATGGGTTCCTTTGTTAGAACGAGCACGCCTACGTTCGCCTCTTCGCGTGCACCGTTTTCCTCTGAGACGAACTTCGGTCAACTCAATTGTCTTCACATCGAAATACAAAATACGAAGTGATAAGGACGTAAAGTCGTAGACTCACCACAAAACGCTTCAAGCTGTGAACAAAGAACGTTATGTGTATCTTCTGGAGGCACTGCACTGAGAGCTTGTGCGAGCGTACGCGCAAAGATCGAACGAATAATCGCTTCGCCAGTACCTAACCATACAATAAAATAGAAGTTAGAAATTATGATTGCAATTAGTTACATAAAGAGCGGCTTTTGTTACTTTGATACATGACGAACCTGATACACTGCACGCTACACCAGTAGGTGCATTGGGAGGTGAATGAGCCCAGACACCAGCACCGAAGACTGCTGCCTCTTAATTCGGATGTATCTTCATATTGGGATTATTATTGAGGAAAGGCAATCGAGTTGGCTCACCTCTCCTATGCGCCCTGGATATTTGAGTAGCAAGCCACCACTACAAAGAAAAGCAATTAATCATGCAATCGTTTTCATTTTGACTCTTTAGAGGGAGGTGGAAGAGGTCATACCTTGAGACACCAGCAGCCATCCTACCACTCATATCGCAAGCAACTGCGCCGACGGTATCTTCTAGATGCGAGCTTTCCGCTTCGGAGGTCGTAGCAAACGTGAAGTTTCTAGAACGACACTCCGGTATATTCGGTCCTTGGACTGACGTTACGGAACTCTCAAATCGCGTTTTCCACTTCTCCCATTCTCTACGGGCTTGTTCTGAAATCAGTGAATTGGGATCAATGAGTTGCAGGCCTGAGGATTCGGCAAAGGCGTGAGCTCCTGGCCCGACAAGAGTTCTGGTATAGTTACTGTTAGCATGCGATCTTATATATCGAAACATTGGGAAGAAATGCATACAGAGGTAGAACACGTCCAAGAGGCTGTGGTTCCGTAGAATTCTGCATTATTGCTGAAGCAAGAGAAACGGGATTCTTGACGCCTGAGTTATTCCAAAGCAGGATTAATATCAAAAATCTATCATGTGAGTATTGAGAAGACGCTACCTTGAACAGCGCCAACACTCCCAAATTCATGCGTAGCACCGTTCATTATTGATGCATCGCACTCTACGTTTCCGTCGATAGTTAAGTAAGAACCGTAACCTGATCGAATCCGGAATACATGAGTCCTCGAGAGGGAAGGTATGAAACGCATGGAAGACGTACCGGCATTTAAACAAGCATCGTCTTCAAGGACGCATATAGCACGTTCAGCTGCACTTGTGCTCTCCCCTCTTTCATTCTTCAATATTTCTATAGCTGAGCTGCATGCCCTAGCTCACAGAGCATCTGGATAGGTTTAGGAAGTCCAATGAATGAAATTACTTACGAGCGTAACGCATACTTGACAGCCCTTTCTGAAGGCGTATCTGTACTATGGTAGCCTGCACCTCCGTGGACTGCAATGAGCCATGAACCATCGATATTATTTACTGCTGACATCGTCGAGAGGAAGCCGCGAAGGGATGATCTGCGTTTTTATTTCTTTCTGGAAAATCTGGATGCGTCGATCGCCACACGTGGTCTTCAATTTCACTGCACTTGCCACTTGTGCCATCGACTGACTGCGCAGGCCATTTCTCTCCGCTCTTCCAAAAAGCCTTCCCTTCAATCCTCAAGTGATGTTTACTCTGCACTCTCCTCTCTGACCTGTTCATACTTCCCCATGGATGTTGAAGGCGTACCAATCGAGGCTCCCTTCGCCGCCTCCTTCCCCCTTCCCTTCCGTGTTCTCGTCCTCGCCGGTACCGGAATACTATGCTGGGCAACAAACCTACACGGCCTACACATCCTTGGTATCGACGCGGCTGCGGCACTCGACATTCGACCTTTCGACGCGAATCCACACGCGCCACTGCGCCTTACGAGCTCGGGTCCACCTGATGTGCTTGCTCTGGCACGCGCAGTGTACCGTCTATGTATCGCGTACGCGTTTGTAGTCTTTACGGGATGGGCACTGTTTCGACTTGCGACACATGGCGACCTTGCTCTAGTGGATTTGTTTAAGTGGATGCCTGCTGTGACTATGTTGGTCGTGGTCATGCTGGCTGTCTCGCCCTTTGAGATTCTCGAGAAGCGAGTGCGCGATATGTTTCTTATGTATGAGCTATTCAATATTTGTTGAGCACCGTGTCGATACAAAGCTAACTAAATGTGACGGTTTTTTTGTGTAGTGCTGTCAAAAGATGCCTATTTAGTCCGTCAAGTGTCCCAGTGTATTTCTGCGACGTGGTCCTCGCGGATATTTTCACCTCTTTTGCAAAAGTCATCGGCGATGTCTGGTTATCATTCTGCATGTTCATGCCTGGTGGAAGCCTCCTCATATTCCCCGAACAATATGGCTGGACACGGTTAATGGTACCGTGTCTCCTAAGGTGAGTTGATTCAATTTATGTAAGGTATCAGCCAGCAGCTCCTACTAATGTCTACCTTTCTCTAGTGTTCCGTATGCTGTCCGGTTCCGACAGTGTATCATCGATTATATGCAACCAACGACAACGGATAAAAAGCAACTATACAACGCACTCAAGTATGCCAGTTCTTTCCCCGTCATTTTCTTATCAGCTGCACAAAGAGACATTGCATCGGATTTGGCAACCGAAGCTGAGATTGAAGAACATCCACTGTTTCGTTTATGGTATCTAAATTTCCGCCTCCTTATCCCTCGTTTCTTTGCGTTAACCAGACCTTGGTTGTTAGGCTACTTTCTGTCGTCGTGAACTCACTATACTCATTCTGGTGGGACGTGACGAACGACTGGGGACTTGAACTCTTGAAGACGGGACAAAACATCCCTCGAATACCACCTAAACCTCTACTCCTGCCTACTCTTCAAGCCCGCCGATCCTCTCTAGACAGCAACTCCCCAATAATACATGCTCGACATCCCTCCCTACCAAACGGGTCCACAAATACCTCTACGTCCTCTCCTTATACCCCTCAACCATCATATTCACGACGCCCACACTCATATCCCTGGGGCCTCCGCCCAACCCTCCTCTTCCCCCTCCCCGCATACCCACTCGCAGTCTTCGCGAACCTCGTCTTAAGACTCACCTGGTCGTTTAAGCTTTCTGCACATTTGCACGCGCAAGTGAGTGGGGCGTTGTTGTTTTTCTGGCTTGAGCTTGCGGAGTTGTTGAGGAGGTGGGTGTGGGTTTTCTTTCGTGTTGAGTGGGAGTTGGTGAAAAGGGAGTGGGAGTGGGAGAGGGAGAGGGGGGAGTATGTTCTGTTGCAAGACAGGAGGGAGGGGGAGGAGGGTGATGTGGAGTATAGTTTTAATGGTGATGACGGTGTTGGGGTGGGTTCTGGTATGGAGATGGGTGAAGTGGTGAATGGGAGGTATGATGATGCTCGAATAAATACGAAAATTGGGTCTCAGGATGCTCTACCTTGATCCTACCTCCTTGTTATATACCCTTATAGATATTCTAGATACACTACACTAGTTGTCTTTATTCTATACAATTTAAGTAAGTTAGTTGATATCTTCATGAACTACCGGTCTATGGTTGAAAGCTTGCGCGATGAGATTAAATTACCACCAGAATACAAAGGAAAAGGGGAATAGAGTGTTATCGAGAACCAACGAGTTTCTCCAAATCATAACCTCCCGCAACTTGGAACTCGTCCGTCCCACTCGCCATAAGCACTCCACCCTTCTTGACAAGTCGACCTTGTCGGCGTACAACTTCTTGCATACGAGCTTCTGCGGTCGTATCGTGTTCCAAGTTCCGATTATTCTTACGTCGTGTTCCTTGTTTGTCTTCGGAAGGAGCTTGAGATACTGATTTTGCTGTCTTGCGGACGAGATTATCTTTATCGTCCGCATTATTGATACTATACGATTGATTTCGTCTACGCGCTTTGGTTTTCGCCGACTTCCTTGTACTTGAGCTGTTCCTTCCTCCTTGCTTTTGTGTGATGTTTCCTGGGGCATCACGTAGAGCGAACGCCTTGGCAAGGTGTCCGAGGTGGAGATTACGAATGTGGAACATGTGTTTCTCGTCGGAAGGGTGTGTTGCGTAGGCTCGCATGTGTGATTGGAATGCTTTGCGTGCTAGGTCACCGTGCTGTCATGAAAAGAACCGACATAAAGAAGGGTATTAGTACATGAAGGAGGAAGCGTGAATCACTACTGTGACAGTCAAGGGCTAGGATTGTACTCACCTCCTTCCGCTTCAAAACCCATCGCTCAAACGCCAACTGCACCTGCGTCGCACGTTCCTCAAACTCCTCACCTTTCCCACCGAACCCACTCTTCAAAACACTCTCGACACTAGCAGAAACCAGAGTAGCCCCCTTCTTTTTCTCTCCGTCAGTTGTCTTGTGTGTGTCATGCATGCGCTCCTCGATCCAATGAACCCAACCTTGTTCACTTGGTAAGACGAAACTCCACGCCTCACCTCCTTTACCAACACGAGCTGTACGTCCAACACGATGCACGTACTCCGTTGCACCTCCTTCTGTGGGTAAGTCGTATTGTATGACTGCACGGACGAGAGGGAGGTCGAGGCCTCGCGAGGCGACGCTCGTGCATAATAATATTGAAGAACTCGATTGCACATCCTTAGAATCCTTTGACTGTGATTTTGTTTGAGGACTTGCGAAGCCCTTGAGAGATGCTTGTCGGGTTTGTAATGGAAGTGAACCGTGTAGACGGTAGATGGATGTTTGAGGGAGGAATGGTGAAGCCAATGCGATTCGTTCCTCTGCTCTCTTCCCCAGTTTATCCTCAGAGTCGTCTTGATCCTCGGCTTCTGAGTCCTCCGACTCATCCGCTTCTGTAGCGGTTCCATCGATAGATGATCCACCCAGAAGCTTCCAATGATAATCGACAGAGTCGGTACAGCTAAGAAAAACAATGATTTTTGTTCCACTTCGAGCATGTGATTGGGAGAGAAGAGTTCGTAGCAAAGCGACGAGAGCAACAAGGCGTAGCTTCAACGGAGCTACGACGTATTTCTGGAGAAGTTGCGAGGGTGGAGTGAACTTTTGACCATCCTTGTGTGCATCATTGCCCTGAGCATGACTGTCGGGATTTGCTGTCGAATCCAATGGTTCCTCGATTTCCATTGCTTTGACGATAATAGGCTTCACGAGTGCTGTTCCAGCGAGATGTTGTACGTTCTCTTTGATAGTAGCAGAACAGAGTATAGTTCGTCGTCGTCGTTTCCAATCCCATCCACCGGCTTCCATACTCTTCCCTTCCTCTACCGCTTGAATAGCTAACCTCCGCCGTCCCTCCAAAGCTTGTAAGATTCCTTTGATCGATTCCTCGAAACCAAGGTCCATAAGCCTGTCGGCTTCATCTAGTACGAGCCATCGGCATTTCCCTACGTTGAATGACGAAGTGTTTTGAAGATGATCTAAGAGGCGACCAGGTGTAGAGACCAATATCGGAAGACCTTTGCGCAAACGAGCTTTCTCATGCGTCCGGTTTTCTCCTCCGATGAGTAGACCAGAAACTAACCATCGTGTAAGTCGTGTTGAAGCAGTAGCATCGTCTACGTTTTCATCAGGAGGTCGTAAACGCAAGCTCAGCAGTTGCTCCAAGACGTCCGATATCTGCTTTGCGAGTTCACGGGTAGGTGCGATGATGATAGCGAGTGTCCCAATGGAGCGATCGATGTAAGAAAGGGAGCTCAAGGGGAGGAGGTCCTGGAGGATGGGGAGAAGGTATGAAAGAGTCTTTCCGGAACCCGTTTGACTTTGTATGAAGACGTCCCTCTCTGAAGTATCTTCGGACAATGAGGAAAGTAGTGGTGGGAGGGCTTCGCGCTGAATGGATGTCGGTGCTGATATGTTCATCTTTGACGCAAGGTGAGTGACTATTAAGGGATCCAGACCGAGTCCGGTGAAGGTGGACTTGTCCGTCAGAGGAGCATTACTGGGCTTGCTTATCTTGGAAGGTGATCGAGGTATGCTTTCAACATCAACCTTGGGGTTGAAGGTGAAGAGCGATGATATTATCTGAGGAGCACGACCAGTATTAGCTGATTTGGACTGACGGTCCGGTTCAGAATGACGGGATTCCTGATGTTGTGGAGGAACCTGGCGAGACCTCTTCGCTGGTCGTGGACTCTCGTCAAGCTCAACTGCATTCGGTTGAAGGTCGGTTTGATGAACCTTAGAAGTAGTCCCAGTAGTACTCTTGCGTTTCTGCACTCGCTTTGCTTTGACTCTGGAATTGAAGTTAGAAAACGCCTAAAGCATTGGAAGCGTCGACATACCTATCGGTCCATCTTCCGCCTTTGACATTGCTTCTCCGACGGATAGGCTCTTCGGGAGACTCTGCGATGTTCAGTATAATTCCGTCGTCCATGAAAAGTGTCCAAGAAGCAGGAACAGGACCATAATTTTTTGGCAGGAGTCTGATTCTGCAATCGGAACGGCGTTTGCCGCTATAAAGTGATCGACGGTATACACGGTCGGATGTCCCTTCAAGTTGACACGTCGCGTCTTCATCTCTCTTCCCTTCTTTCCTTTCATATATAACTACCCAGACTAGGCTACCCCGCAGAGAGCTAAGCATGTACGCAAAGCTCTTCCTCTCCTTCCTTGTCGTGTCTTTCGCGGCCATCTTTACTATCCAATCTGCTGAGGCCGCTAAGGGGCCTAAGATTACCCATAAGGTCTACTTCGACATCAAACATGGTGACGAAGACCTTGGACGAAGTCAGTGTCCTCATTAATAGCCAGTATAGATACGATTGCTGATATAAAATTGCACTCTTCAGTTACTATGGGTCTCTTCGGTGGAGTACGTTGACTTGTTCTTGCTGTTTCGCGTCGAGACTTATGGAAAATCCAGACTGTTCCCAAGACGGTGGAGAACTTCCGCGCTCTCACTACTGGTGTCAAGAAGGATGGATCGGCACTCCCTGAGGGAATGGGCTACAAGGGCTCCAAGTTCCACCGTGTCATTAAGGACTTTATGTACGCGTCCTTTGGGTTTGATATTTTCGCAAGTCCATACTGACGTTGTTTCAATAAAGGATCCAAGGTGGAGACTTTAGTGAGTAAATTCTGCTCGCTTGATGAAACTTTTTATTGATGCTTTGACAGCTAAGGGTGATGGTACCGGCGGAAAGGTAATTCGAAGAGTGTCCCTTTTCCGAAAATGAAAATCGTGAATAATATCTGCTTGTAGTCAATCTACGGCGACAGGTTTGCGGACGAGAACTTGTGAGTCTTGCAGCCGAGCCTGTTGCAGTATCGCGTTCTCATTAGCTGCGTAGCAAACTCAAGCACACTGCTCCTGGAATTCTTTCCATGGCAAACGCAGGCAGGGACACTAACGGTGCGTAAAGGTTTGATTACATCGACATAATACTGACCTATTATTCTCCAGGGTCGCAATTCGTATGTAAATAACTTATGCTCGAATTCTTATCTAACAAATATCTGATAGTTCATCACCACCGCCATAACGAGCTGGCTCGATGGACGTCACGTATGCAACTTTCTCTACTTGTGACAATTTAGTTTCTAAGACCGTGTCTCTAGGTCGTATTTGGCAAGGTTATCGACGGCATGGATGTCGTTCGCGCAATTGGTAAAGCACCTTTATGTTCACGATCATACAATATGCTAACATAATATAATTAACTATAGAAACCGTCAAGAAAGGCGCACAAGACCGTCCCGAAGTAGACGTCATCATCGTCGAATGCGGAGAGCTCGAAATCGAGCCTCAGGTGGATGAAGACGGGAACCAGGTGCCTCTTCGTGCCGAGCTCTGAGACTACATTAAGTAGCCTCAGTCCACTCGTCACCTTTGTATCTTCCAAAATGTGATTCGTGACCGACAAATATATTGTGGATTTTTTATTTTTAGGATGACGATGATGTAACTACAACAATGGGCGTGAAAGAAACGGAGGAGATGCTTGATGTTGCGACTACTATGCCGGCAGGTGAAGAAGCTACACCTGCTTCGACAACAACGACAGCTGTTACGGAAGAGGATGCGCTTGCGGAGGATGAGGAGGGTTATGCGTACCCCACGCTCTCGTCGCCTTTGCAGTATCTCTTCTTTGGCTTCATCGTCTTGGTCGTTCCGTTTGGCCTGTTTGTGTATTGCGGTGGTCCCCGATGGATGAAACGTGTCCTGAGCAGAGAATCGTCAAGGAGTGAATATCAGCAAGTCCGCAGCGAGGATCCGGAGAAATGAATCATTTAACATCTATCATACTATTATTCTCCTCAGGTCTTTCATTCACAGGTTTCAGCCCTTAACTTATGGAATCCTTTCCGATCATTACTTTAATACTTGTATACAAACGAACAAGTGAAAATCCAAACTAGCCCAATACAATCCTTACAGATAAACGGATCAAATAAAAATATTATCCATGTATGTCCATATGTCCATCACAGATCACAGCAAAATAGAACACAACGATAAGATGACAACAGCGAAATAAATAACCAGGGTATGTAGGTCCAAGGGTATGAATTTTCTTGTGGTAGTTGATGAGCTGACGGCTGGTGCTGCTTCGGGGCTGTAAAAGATAAATCAAAATCAATAAGTATGGAGTATGATTTACGGTGAGAGAAGAGTACGTACGGTAAACCGTTCAGGTCTGAGTAAGATGCACAGGTGGTATTGGGGCTTGTCTGTAAATTAAACCAGGAAGACAGATTAGTTACTAGATGTGGAGCAAGTGGTATGACAGAGCACGTACAAATGGATCAGTCGGACAGCAAACTGATTCTGGACCTAGGTCGGGAACGACTCCGAAGGCAGATATGTTGGAGGCACCCATCCAAGAGTCGCACGAGACGCTCTGGTAGCTGATATTCCAGACACCGAAATCCGTGTATCCTAAACGATGTATGAGAAAAAGAAAGGCAGGATAATTTTTATGATCGCCCACCATATAAACTTGCATTGCTTGGGAAGAAGTCGTCCGGTATACTCGTAGACGGCCAAGCCAAGTCAAAGTTTAGTTGATGACCAGCACTACATGTAAAGAACATAAGATCAGGTTTTTAACTATTTCCGAAATCATTACTAGCTAGAATGCGACTCACGGATTCGGCTTGCTATTAGTCGCAGTGCACCATTCAGACACGAACGGACACAAATCAGTAATCTTAACGACAACACTCTTCGTCACGTTCGGGAAGAACGGCGGGTCGGAAAGAAATGTATTAAGCAGAGTGAGATTAAAGCAGTGTCCACAACCCGGTCCGAATGCCTTGCTACTCCCGTATGCTAGTTGGCCGAGCGCGGCAGTTGGATAGTGCGTGCTAGCTGGTACGCAGCCGCAAGCTGTGATTGCATCAAGCGGGAGCCCGTAGTGGGTCATTGACGCGAAACCTGACGGCGGATATTCGATCCATTCCGAGTCTGCGAAGCAGAACGAGAGGAAAGACAGTAACGTGAAGGCAAGGAAAGTGACCATAGTAGACAATAAATCAGGGCATAAAAAGTCTAGACAGTGTATGAGGACATGTTGTAACGAGCAAAAAGCAGCACGTGAGTGTGAGTGCGCGCTGCTCTTCGGTGTGCACGATCTTCGCGTGTGGGAGAAAAGCAGGTCACGAGTCGTGATCGCTGTGCCGGACAACTCCCGTGCTGCCGACCGAGAGTTGTTTGGTCTTCCTGCTCAACGTCCTGAGTGATGAGCACGCTCTATCCTGCAGGCTTCGATCCAAAATCACTCAGCAAAAATGCGATAGTACTCAAAATTGCTAGACACTCCCGTTGTTCCGAGTGTGATTCTTGCCCTGGTCTGCATCCGCGCTCTGGTACTGTTCTTGTTCTCGACTCAGATGAGTCTAACTACGCCAACGAACATTCGCTCGTTGATCTCAACCAATATGGCTCTGACGACGAGGACAAGGACTCCCGTTACCTTAGCATATGTGCATGTGGCCATGATACCAAGAGCCACGGAGCGGACGAGCATCGGTTAGGCAAGTCTGAATATGCTCGTCGTGCCAGAGTCGCAATTCGGCTAGATGAACTATTATCGGTGCGTCCGTCCCAGCCCTGTGCTTATCTAGCGCCCGCACTTGAGCATTCACCTCCCCTCTTGTGCATTTCTTGGGTTCCATGGATAAATTAGGTGCGCGATTTCGGCGCTTATGTATTGTCTAGAAGCCCGCTTGCTTATATATTGCTATGCTCCATGATCTGTGACTTTAATCTCGAAAGGATGAGGGAAGACTTCTCGATTTCGACTACTCAAATGAGGACATCGACTCCTTACGCCAGCAGATGCAGCTTCCTGGACACGTGTCCAGCCCGTTGTCTGAGGGTTCACCAGGCAAGTCTCCTTTGTTCACCGATCACTAGGATGCAGAGTAGTCACCTCACTCCGTTTTATCCCTTCACGAATCTATCAGAAGCTCTAGCATCTCCATCGAAGCACCTCCTGTCTCCAGACTCTTCTTTGAGTGATGCGCCACCGCCGCCTCAGAAGCGCCGACGAACGTCGCACCAGACCGATTCGTCCTTAAGCGATCCAGACGACGACGAAGAGGAAGAAGACCGTCCTCTCGCCGCGCGAATACCACGGACGACTGGAGCCTCAAAGACGAACGGCAAGCGAGCTCCGCATCGGAGCGGAAAAACTGGCGGTAAAGGCACTGGGAAGAAGATATCACATACGTCCTTACCGTCTGAGCAGCCGCATTCAGCAGCTGAAGGCGCTAAGATGAATGGCCGAATGAATGGCGCTTTGTCCCATGAGACAAAGATCAAAGTCGAGGTTGATGACAAACAGTTGTCACGGCTGGCGACTGGCGTCACCGTAGACACGGGTACCACTGCACAAACACCTGTGGGTCCACTTTGTCATTTGCTTCTTTTTCTTTAGCCACCATCTGACATGAGTTATTATTCACAGAGTACATTACGACCAGAGAAGGCTGTATATGCGGAGATGCGGACTGGCGTCATTAAGGTCACCGCAGTCGAGAACGATAAGACGCCTCGGTCGCTAATCATTCTGACTGGATTGAAGACCCTCTTTCAAAAACAGCTACCCAAGATGCCAAGGGAGTATATCGCCCGATTAACGTTCGACACGAATTCGAAGGCGCTCGCAATTATCAAACACGGCTACAAGGTAGTAGGCGGTATTTGCTATCGACCGTTCCCGCAAAGAGGGTTCGCAGAAATTGTCTTCTTCGCCACAGCCTCCGTCGACCAAGTCAAGGTGTGTCTCTAGATTACAAATTTCCAACATGTGGCTGATACTTGTCCACGCGCCACGCAGGGCTACGGTGGCATGCTCATGAACCATTTCAAAATGCACATCCGGAAAACGTATCCAGATATGATGCATTTCCTTACATACGCAGACAACTACGCAGTGGGATACTTCCAAAAACAAGGTTTCTCAAAGCAAATTACTCTAGATCGTGCTGTATGGGCTGGCTATATCAAGGACTACGAGGGTGGAACGATCATGGAATGCCATATGCTACCTAAAGTCGACTACCTCAACACACAAGAACTCATTGCGCAGCAGCGTGAAGCAATCCTTACGAAGATCCGACAAATGAGCAAGAGTCACGTCGTTCATCCTGGGTTACCACAATTCCAAGAGGGGATGCCAGAAGGTATCACAGTCGACCCACAAGACGTCCCAGGTTTACGTTAGTACGCTTTCTTTCTCTTTCTCCTAGAATCCCGGTTGTTGACAGTAGACTAACTGAAAACTTGATTTGTTTTGGATTTTTGGTATAATAATTCAGGAGAGACAGGTTGGACACCAGACATGCAAGCCGAGATGTCCCAGCTGTATTACGCCAAAAGCCCGTTGTATTCGGCTATGAGTCGCATCCTCGTGGAACTCCAGAATCACTCCGCGTCGTGGGCGTTTCGCGAACCTGTCAACCCCGAGGCCGTACCAGATTACTATAGCGTCATCAAGAATCCCATGGGTACGTCTCCTCAAAGGCCTCCTCCCCCTGCCTTCCCCGATGGAAGAAAAATAACAGTAACTAACCTGATGACTCGTTTATATATTCAAAAAATACACAGATTTTAGTACTATGGAACATAAACTCGAACACAACCTATACCCAACTATGGATTCCTTCGTAGCAGACGCCATGCTCGTGTTCCGAAATTGCCGGACATATAACCAGGAAGGCTCGGTGTACTATAAGAACGCAATGAAACTCGAGAAGCTACTGAAAGAGCACGTCCAGAAGGTCGAAATCGAGTGACATGTGTGGTGATGTGTGTGGAGTATGGTTGATTCGGCCGGATTTATCGGATTGTTGACGTTCTTTCTCTTTCCTTCTCTTTTTTTCTCTTTACCCTGTTCTGTTCTTCGTCTTCTCCGAGGCCTCACTTTGTTTTTAGTACTTAATTTATCCTGCTTTGCGTTTCGACTATTCGACTCTTAGATAATATTAATATTTTAATATCGTGTACACATAGCCCTGTAAACTACGTTTATTCGATCTGCTATCTTTTTCTCTTAATCACATGTAAGGCAAGCCTTGCACGGATGATTCATAAAAATTTTATTCAACAATAACTTCATGGTACAGCACGACGAGTACAACGGATTGATCGGTACATACGGGAGAAGAAGATATGTACAAGAAATCAATGTGTCATTGGTGTACAACGTTTGAATTTGGTTGATTTGGATTTGGAACACGGGGATCACTTGCGCTGACCATCTATTTTAAAGAAAGTATATCAGATCAATGAGAAACGAAGAACAAAAAGAAAACATGGAATTTGAGTTCAACTCACAAGCCTTGGTCTCGTAGCCAGCTGATGGGTTTAAATTCGCGTTGGTAAAAAATCAGCATCAGCATATCGACATCAATCAGCCAAGAAATCTATTCAAAAAGAAACTCACCCTTTCCAATAATAATATCCGGCGGGTGCTGAGGCGCTCCACTGAAGTAGTTCTCCAAAATCTTGCGGACACCGTCCGCATAGCGCCGTTGCGCATCGAGAGTCGTACCAGAATAATGGGGCACCATGCCGTTACCCGCTCCGAGAGGGTTCTTCATCGTGCGCCATGGGTGGTCCTTCGGTGCTGGCTGTACGTTCCATACATCACCAGCGTATCCGTTTAGCTGACCGGATTTGACGGCCGCTGCAACAGCGTCCTTGTCGCAAATCGCTCCACGAGCAGTGTTGACGAGCCATGCACCCTTTTTGAAGTGCTTGAGCAGTTCCTCGTTCACTAGTCCGCGGGTGCCCTCGTGTAAGGGGCAATTGACGGTGATAACGTCGCACTGTTTGCGCAAGGATAATAATAATAATACATTAGGGTTTAGATTGAAATAAATAAATAGTAGAAAATTGAGTTTTGACGAACCTGCGAGACGAAGTCTTTCAAGTCTTCTACCCGACGGGCACCGACGGCCTTTGCAGCATCTGTGTAGATAGTTATAACGAATCAATACTTTACATATTGACGATTATGTACTGACCGTCTGGTAGCGGAGCATAGTCGTAGTATAGGAGTTCTTTCGTGTTGAAAGGAACGAGACGCTGAAGCACACGGTAACCGATACGTCCAGCTCCGATAGTGCCGACTACCTTCCCCTCGAGATCGAATGCGTTACGTGCGATCTGGGACACTTGCCAGTCTCCACGCTCAATCATCTGGAAGAAGATGACCATTTAGCTTTAAAAAAATAATAGCACCGAATGGCATATGCATACTTCATGAGCCGGTACAAAGTTCCGAACAAGTAAGAGGATCGACATGACGACATGTTCGGCGACTGAAACAACGTTCGACCCAGTGACTTCCAAGACCTCGACACCCTTTCCGACGGCGGTATTGAGGTCGATGTGGTCCGAACCGACTCCCGCTGTCACGCAGATTTTTAGGTTCTTCGCCTGTCCAAAGTGAATTCAGAACCATGATCGCGTGAATGCAAAGGGGGTACTTTCGCACCTTCTCCATAACCTCCCTCGTGAGATAACCAGGGTGGAAGGGTGTGGTAATGAGGACCTCGGCCTACATGGACACGGAACGACGTGGCTATTAATAACGCGGAGACAGAGGACAGGTGGGTACTGGGAATCTCTCGCACGACGTACATCAACAATATGCTTTTGGAAAGCACTGTTGGGGCCCTCTTTATCGCTCGTTACCTGGACAGATGCTCAGCCTTCGAGGACCGCCATAATAATGAAACAACTTACGATGTATTCATGCCCCAAGCTCTCCAACCACTCTTTGATGCCAAGCTAAGTGCATACAATTAGACTGATATTTGATCAAATAGAATGTTGTATGCTGCAGGGCGCGAACCTTGTTTTCAGTCGTGCCGAGGAGACGAGGCTCCTGACGAGCAGCTTCATGACCGTCGTAGAGTACAGCGAGAATCTAATGGACGACTTTATCAGTTGAAGCGCAGGAGTACTTTATAAGTGGAACTGACCTTCATGTTGGCAGGGGCAGATGAGTGGAAATGAGACCTTGAGATGGATGAGATGTGGGATCGGACAGGGGTCTTATATGCTCTAGCAATTGCCTTGGATAAACGAAATGCAGACATGGTTTGAGTGCGGGTGTTCCGGAGTGCCAAGGGTGTGTGATTAAAGGAACAGAAAGAGCAGCTGACTCGTTGCGACCGAGGCGGTTTGAACTACCTAGGACTTCTGACTTTCTCAAGACTTATAAAGGAACTATAGTAATACTCCCTCCCGGAAAATTATTTTCCAGTGTACGGCAGAGGCGGCAGAGGAACGTCGGAACAAAAGTAGACTGTACCATCACGTTGAACAAGCCATTTCCACTTATCCCGCTCAGCTCCGTGCAAGAACAGACGAATATCCAGTGAACCATGGGCCGTGGCATGGTTGCTAGTCTATTTGCTAGTCCTGGGCCGTATCTTTCCGCCTTAGGTGATCCAATATCCACATACCGCCCATTGTTCAGATGACGGCGGAGAATTCACTCACGGCAGTCAGCTGGACCTTCATGCATTATGGCGCTTCCGCTCGAGCTTAGATCGTGTGCGATTCCCTCTTCTGCACGTGCGCTTGGCCTAGACATTTAGACATGAATGACATATTTTGCAGCAACCTGCATGTTGCCAGAACTGAAGTATTCCACGGTTCGCGGGAGTGATTGGAGGCCAAGGACTTTGTGGATTAAACACGATGACTTCATTATTTCCGTTTGCTGATAGACGAATAAGGCTAAAGCACGTGCTTCAAGTGTAAGAAATTGCCTCTTCCGATCAGACCCGAATATTTTGGCTTTCTTTCTAACCAATCGCGGGTGAATGTCTTCAACGTTGTCCTTTCTCATACTCACCGAGTTTACTTTCTTCTGCTCCGACTCTTTCCCCAACCTGGTCGGATGATCGTTCTATTTTTGCTCAATCTGTCAGTTATCTCCCACACTCGCCAGTACTTTGCTTGTTCTGTGCGACCAACCTGACTCAGCTTGTCTATCGCATTTGTTGATCCTTGGAGACACTGCAATGCCACACGGAACAATTCGCATCATCGGAACCAATTATAATTGGCCAATAGGAATTACATGCACGCTCCGATACACTGGCAGGACATGAATAACAAGTTCTCGTAGCTATACTGTGGTCTTCGCTCCGCTTTATTCTCGGACTCGTATCTTCCAATAGGTAACAAATGAATCCCCTCATAGCCGGTGAAACCTGAACAAGACCTTTTGTTTCGTACAAAGTGTTTTTCAAGGTTCCAGTTTGTCAAGAAAGGTTGTTCTTATGCATTGCTGTGGTGGTTGCGAAAGAGCTATTCGAAGGAATCGATGGCAGTCGATGGCAAGGGATGTACAAGAACTCCAGTACCTTGTAAACAATTGTGCGTCCAATCGCTATCTATTTTTTCTGATTTTGTATCTGTCTTTCTACAAGACGTGTTGAGATGCCATAGAAACACTGAAACCCTCGTCAATGCTTCTTGTGAACTCTAGAAAGGTCTTTGCCGAACTCAGTGGAAAACGCTCCGGCAGATAACATCTAGGATTTGGGTTCTTTCAGTGACAACTAGCTGGTTCCACTTCTGAAACCTTCTGAAACATGCATTTCCTGCAGTTTTTTGACAGTGTAATCGCAAGACTGAACAACGACGCGTGCAATGCTGCATCCAGTGCCTTGTTCTGCATCCGGTCCTCGTGCACAGGATGCTTGTCAGAATGTTCTGTGTCCTACCATTTTGTTCCTTTGTGTTCGGAAGCAGGCGGAACTGGAGAGTTTCGTACTCATTGTAATGCCCGCCTGTTGTGTATGCGCAGACATTTAGCTGCTATTGTGGAGTCTTATACTTAAGGTGGGGATCGTGTCTGCTCTTCAAATTTGATGACTACTTGATGTGAACTAAATTAGTATCAACCCCGGTACGTGGAGAAATATGGTCTCATTAGAGATCATCTAGGATATAAACTAAGGTTTCTTTGTGCTTTCAAATGCTATTTTGACCTAGACGGATCTCAGAGTGGAGTCCAGGCTTGCGGACTTTGTTCCGAGGCACACCTTCCACACGACAGCTTGAGGATAAGTTGATGTTTCACTACCGAACAATTAAGCTGTCATATTGGCAGGTTATAGCATCTTCAGCCGGATAAACATGGGTTTCTCCCGTACCTTCCGAGTACCCGAACTGAGCGGCATCGGTCAAGCATTGCATTATCCGGCGTACGAGAACCGTCATGGTGTCTTCCGCTAATAGGCATACTTCGACCTGCATAGCAGTTTCAAAGCAGCATGGAGAAGTTTCTGATGGCTGGTCTTCCGCTTCCATGTCTGAGCGGTCTACCGTATGCTGCGGATTTATGCCCTGCTTCGCGAGTAGTACAAGAAGCCATACGAAGATGTGCAACGCTGTTCTGGATGGAGACCTGATGTAGTCCATATGACATCTCCTTCGTTTCTCCAACGAGTCCACCATACAATGGAAAAGAAACTGATGCAAGTTCTTTTATCCCTTGTCGCTAGACACCATTTCACTATCACTTTCTGAAAGAACTGATGATATGTTGGCAACTTCCAACGCCTAAATCTGAATTACGGAATGTAGACAAGTGGCCGTAGCGAGATCATCTGCAAGAAGAGAATGCAAGGTAACAGGTAGCCGACTCGGCGCCCTATCGCTTCCATTCAACTTCTGCATGACCAAACTGTGCCAAACGGTCCGGGCAGGCCCATCTAGACAAATGCTAATGCACAGTGCAAAGTCTTCGATCACCGCCTAGTCGACACCATTTTCAGCGCTCGAAGGGTAAGCTTCGTTGCTGTTGTTTCAGCTCAGTTGAGTGATCGAACCAAATGTTTAAAAACATTGTGTTTTGATTATTAATATATCTGTTTTTATTTGAATTTCGCTTCCACTTCAGACATATACTGATACGCGCATCTCAAGGAAGGTAGGGTAAAATACGCGGAATTTCCTATGTCCGATGTCTTCATGTTTCTGCGGGTGATCAACAAACTAAACATAGGTAATCTTTTTGATGGTGGTGGACGATCCGGCGGATCTCATTGATGTCTAACCGCATCACAGAGCGGAGCTCAAGTCAGACCGTCTGTTCCTTGGGCTCTCGGCGCGGAGGCGGGCTAACCGTCGCTAATGGTGGGCTCCGGCTCCTAGGCTACTCAAACGCAGCCAGATGAGCGGACGCACTTTGTTCAGGGTTTAATCATCTCAGGTTTGATCTTGCATCCCTGACTAAAGTGAGTTTGCCTCCGAAATTGTATGTCCTTGTATGTCACGAACCTTACTATGCGGTCCGGGAATGTGTTTCCATATAGAAAACCAACTCATTAATACCTGCACATGTTGATCGGCGGAGCGCGCAAGACAATCAGGTACCGCAGCCTTGCCTGCTCATTGTGCCTAACTGTCATAGTTTATGTTGAGTTGAGGATGCGTCTGCCAAGCACCTTCTCAACCATCATCGCGAATGCTGGCAGGCACCGTTCAGTATCTTATCCACTTGCGTATTAATCTAGGAAATAGCACCACGGAAACCCCGTTTATGCAGCCCCGCAATTCTACAGCCGGAAAACGGACAAATACATAAACAAACGGTAGTGACTTAGCCGTATTCTGGAGACTTTTAGGGTATTTCATCGCCTTTCTGGGGCCGTTAGTTGGAAGCTTCTCTCCTTCTTTTCGCTGCGCCCAATCCTCCCCGAAATCGACAGCGCAATTTAATAGGCGGCCGAGCGTTGTGAGACACCTCTGTGGCGGAAACATGTCAGGGTCTTGACTGCGACTTCTTTGCAATTTATCCTTGGCGCGCTGATCACGCATACCCTTATTCTTTTCCTTCTGTCCCGCTGTTAATCGCCGACACAACCGATTCTGAACTTTCAAATATGTGCATCCTTGTGGAACACGGAACGTGGACCGGTTGCTGGTGTGAGAGTCGGAACCCCGCCCTTTTGGCGTTTTCCGTCCGAGTGTCGGTCTTTGACTCGATTTTCCTCACGTTTTGTATTGCATTCCGAGTGACCTTTGCTTCTTCATGATCGAACAACAGTTCGAACCCCTCTTTCTGACATACGATATCTTACAACCGAAAGGTCCTTATTAACCAACGCATTATCGTTTTCAAATCGTTCGTAATTTTTATGTATTTGAAACCCTATGCTTTCTAATCGTTGTTCCTAGTATTCAAACGTTTTATTAGTATTTGAAAAGCAAGACCAGGAACAAGGAGTAACGGGACAAGTGTTCATAGCCTCGTGATCGCTATTGAGTGGACAAAAGTGAGTTAACCGCTCCCATCGGGCGTTCCTTTGTGAACCGCGAAGACTGACGTGGAAGATTGCTGCGTAAAGCGATATCCGACTCGGAAATCGCTCGAAGGTGGGGTCAAGTCATTCCTTTCATTGTGGACCTGGTCTGAGGATCCAAGTGAGCGGGCATTTACCATTTTGAGCGAGTGCTCTGTTTGTGGCTCCAAAGTAGCGGATGACTGTTTCGCATTTACGCCACATTGGGCAGAGTTGTCCTTGGAATCATAATATGTACTGCTGTTGTGATTTTGCAACGTAACGTGGATGTTAGCATCGCACAGTCTTCGCAATCTTCGTGCTGGTACTTTCGGGACGAATTCCCGTCGTGCGAATTCTCGGACTCGGGGCGACATTGTAGCTGAAGTGCTTCCAACCGCAGCAGTTCGTACAGTATGGATCCATGTGGAATAGAGAAAATGATGTCGAATTCTCCTGGTTCTGGTTCTGCTAGTTCTTCTGATTTCACGTTTCCGGCAAAAGCTCTCCTAAAAGTATTGTTTTTTCAATGAATGTACACCGATGCGTACTCACAGGCATACTGCGGAGAAGAAAGCATCGGAACGGTGCGATTAGCACGGTACCTCGGATATGAACAAGCACAAGTTATGAATCGCTGTAGACGTGTTTTCATATGAGTGCTGACTTAACTTTGTGACTTGAACACATGCATTTGAACTTCTATAGTATGTGAGCGATAGCACGCTCTACTGAAACATGATACCTACGCATTATAGCAGCCTTAAGTGCATAGGACCTGCGTCCGATACTTACATCGCCGGAGACCTATTACACTTGTGCCTGGAAACGGCGCGACCGAGATAGTAGTACAAGAGAGTGTGCTTAATTTGGGCGAAAACCAAATGGACATAGAGCTCTGTTCCGATGATCGTGTGTAGTTTCCCAAATTCTAGTCATCATTATAAAGGCTCTTACATTCGTGCGAGAACTGATCTGTTCATATACTCAAATTGCCGTTGCTTCGTGTCCTTTTACATTTATCAAATTACTTACATCGACGGGACCTTGAGATGACGGTATGATTACACATATCTAGTAGATGAATACAGCATACGAGTCTAAAAACTCCGAGATCGACATCCTCGACAACTCCATATATCTGGAATAGAGTGGCCCTGAATCCAATTCAACGTAAATAACGGAGTGCTTGGTTGGCTCCGTCTAACAGCAGAGCGTCAGCTGACGCAAGCCACCTGCAATTTCAGAAGCATAGTCCCTCGAAAAGTGCGATGCTACGGAGTCGGCATCTCCGGAACTCGGGATCGAAGCAAGAAAAGGATCTAGGTACTCCGTTGTCGCCGTTGCGAACATGGACAGAGGGTCTACTTGCGCTCCGAGCCGATAAGCTGACTTCGACGAACATATGACTTCCCCATAGTCGTCCTCCTCTTCTTCCATAGGAACTACACGACGCCGCTCGGCAGTAGGTCTTTGGTCATTGGTGTCATTTTCTTTGGCTTTGTTGCGATCGGCATCGTAAAGAATGCCTGCCGTAGTAAGGATAATCCTTGCGGCCTCCTTGCTTGAGTCGGCACAATGCAAAGGGTCCTCCGACGAGGCCGCAATATCTGCTGCAAGGCCAATTTGGTTATACAGTACTTCCCAGCGCGAGAACCAGCATCTTTCCCAGAGTCTAGGACAATGAGTTGAACTAGTCAAATCAAGCGAGGCAGATGAAGTCAAGCGTGTTTCAGAGCAGAGATTTCTGGGTTGCGACGGAGTAGTGGCTGTATCTTTCGGAGAACGAGGAGTCACAGGAGTCATGCTAACCAGAGTCGTGTCACTAGTATACGAAGTTGACAGTGTGTCCGCGAAGGAGTCACCTTCATCGAAGTCCTTCACAAAGCTGCTACTCAGTTGCATTGGCTCACACTTCCCAGCGCTGAAATTAGCACGATGGTTGACATCGTATATCCAGATCATTTTAGAAAGCGTCCAAAGTGGGAAGTCCGCGAACCAGGTGTCTACAGATATGAGAAATGGGTCACGAGCTGAAGATAGATCACCTAGACGTGGAAAAATAGCGGGATTGAGGGGAGCTGGACTTTGGGCTGTCGTTTCTTGCTCCTTTTTGCACGATAGATTTGATTTTCTATGCCATGGGCCGGCCGTGACATGAGGGGTCAGCGATTGGGAGGCATTTCCTGTCATGTCAACTATACCATCATAAACATCTTCCAGGGAAACACCCGACTGCCAGAGTGCATACTCGTAGTCGTCCCATTCGCATTTTCGCCTTCTCCAAAGCTCACGGCAATGATATAAAGCTGAATGAGAGTATCCTCGATGTGGGTAGTTATGCCGCGATAAGAGCAGTCTTTTCATAGGTCTTGCACCTGATAATGGAGAAGGATACTTTGGAGATGCAGGGTGAATGACACGTTGTTGATATCGCACGTCCTTTTCAAGGTTATGCAGAACGTTCGTATGAATAATTACAGCATCGCCTTCGCCGTCTTCGTCATCGCTCAGGGCGTCCGGATCGTCTAGTTCAGGTTGCGGTTGTTCTTTTGATTCGACGGCAACCTTACTCGTCCGAATAATTTTATTTAGTACTGGCCATCTGTCAGAAAAACGATTATGCTTGGCCGAGCGCCGCGTAAACGAAGCTTTCCGGTGACTCGTGGCAAGGCCACTTTCTTTGCTGGTAAGGGAATGCATAGTAATTTGTCTTGATTGAGGAACAGGAGAGCTGACGCTGTGCTGGGACGATTCCTTGTCTGTGGACGACTTCGACTGGTGCAGGCCATATGCTGGCATAGTGGAAGTAAAAGATAGAGGCGTTGTGGCCACGTTCAAAATTGCGATAAGCGAGAGGAATGGATCATTCCAGCCGTGCAAACAGACATTGTGGCTGGTAGCGGAAAATGCCGTGGGAATTCACGTGATGTCACAATAAGCAAACAAAGGTCAAATAACGCGTCCGGATTTGGAACCGCGTCACCTCTGTCTTCGACCACCATCATGTCTCCAACAAATAAGGACGATGCAGCACTCGGCCCCGCTCCAGTTACTCCAGGCGGTACATATAGCCTCGAGGTATATTCTTTCACTCATTCTTGGTGCTTTAGCAAACTGAGACTCTTGATATACCATCAACTAGACTATTTCTGTCGGATGCAAAGTATACATAAAAAGGAAAGACTCCGATGGGGAGATAGAAGAACGCCTTGCCGAGATTCTATCTATTCGTGACAAACCGACAAGCTCGTACACAAGGCGTGGAAGACCTGATGAATACGCCGATCAACCGGGCTCGCACATCGAATTCTTTGTGCATTGGGACCAATTCAATAAGCGCCTAGATGAATGGGTATCTGGAGCACGCGTTGTGCTTAGCAGAGACCTTGAATGGCCACGACCGAAAATCCCTGGTCCCAAGAAGTCTGCACCCCCCAATAAGGTTCCTTTAGGACAAACGCAGAAAAAGCGTACAAAGTCACAACAACCAGGATATGTTAATGATTCTGCTGCCCCCAGTCCGTCGCCCGCTGCGGGTCTATCCCCGTTACCATCCATCGGCTTGAAGCGGAAAACACCGCCCGACGAGGAAAGTGTTGCAGATGAGTTCCCTGAAGAGGACGAGAATGACCTTGACGCCGAAGGGGAAATGGATATTGACTCGATGGATCTGACAAATCCTCCCCCTATCAACCCACCGCAAGCTCCCATTAGCAAAGAGCAGGAGATTGAAAAATTGCGTACATCCGGTTCTATGACACAATCCATTTCGGAAGTCGCGCGGGTTAAGAATCTCAACCGACTGCAGCTAGGCAAATATGAAGTGGAGGCCTGGTACTTCAGCCCGTATCCACGAGACTATGCGCACCTTGATGTCCTTTATATATGCGAATTCTGCCTGTCGTACATGCCTTCACCGCTCATGCTAAAACGGCATCGAACTAGATGTACATTGCTTCATCCTCCCGGTAATGAAATCTATCGTGACGGAGAAATCTCCTTCTGGGAAATCGACGGCAGGAAGCAACTCACCTATTGTCGAAATCTGAGTTTATTGTCCAAATGTTTCCTTGACCAGTAAGCATGATGTTTATCTTTCTGAGCCTAATCCATTGACACGCCTTGCAGTAAAACCTTGTATTATGATGTGACCCCATTCCTGTATTATATCATGGTGGGTCTACTTCTATCCTCGACTGAAACGAGTTGTTCTTGATGCCAGGTCAATAGACGAAGAAGGATTCTAGCGGATGTCATATCATCGGTTATTTCTCCAAGGAAAAGGAATCAGCGGATAATTATAATGTTGCTTGCATTCTGACGCTGCCCCAGCACCAGCGGCATGGTTACGGCAAAGTGCTCATTGAGTTTTCGTACGAACTGAGCAAGAAAGAAGGCAAGACTGGCAGCCCGGAAAAGCCACTTAGCGATCTTGGTTTACTGAGCTATCGTGCATACTGGGCGGAAACGATCATTGAATATGTATTGAACGCGCAGGATGAAGTGAGCATTGACGATATCTCACAGCGCACAGCAATTATGGCTTCGGATGTTATGAACACGTGCGTTTTCCTCTAAAAATCCTCGTTTGCTTCGTTTCTTAGATTTGTTGCTGCAGATGTGTCACAATGCAACTCTTCAAGCATTACAAAGGGCAGCACGTGATAATCCTTACCGATTCTATCCTAGAGCAGTATAACAAGGCGAAAGCCAAACGTCGTCTCCGCATAAAACCCGAGAATTTACTCTGGAAGCCGCCGTCCTTCACGCGTGATCAGTTGCGATTTGGCTTCTAGACTGCATTTAGTGATGAAGCGAAGCGCAACCTGGTCGTATACATTCGTTGACAACGATAAGGCTAGTTTGCGCGAAGCTATGTAATATTATTTCATTTCGCAAGAAGGTTCAATATTTCTTATGTGTAGTCAGCTTTTAGACCTATTGGAATTGTACCTGTATTTTACACCTTTAATTGTAATTCTACTGTACAGCCATCAAATGCCGAGAATTCGCCTGCTATATGGCAGATGCTCAGAGTATGATGTCAAGACAAATTTTAATTGAATTGTACGAATCTTGAGTCCTTTTTTCGTCTGCTCAACTCCGATCATAATGCATCCATACCATCATCGTTGCGACCTGCCCCTCTTCGTAAATTCTCCATCGTGTTCGAAGGTGAATCAGCACCCTCAGGGCCAATGTCTCTATTCAGATCAGAAGAGTCCAAGACAGTAAATGGCTCCGAGTCCGCGGTCGAGCTCGCATCGCTGCTTGCACTTGGTGCAACATCGCATAGCGGCAACCGTTCGACATTCAGGGGCTGCACCCTCGGGCGGCGCTCGTGTGGAGGTGAAGCCTGTCGCGATGGCGTCGGAGAGGACAGGAGAGCGCCGGAGAGTTCGAGCTGACGCTCGTCTGACGGACTAAAAAAGCAGGCCTCTGCCTCCGGACCGTCACCTCCCTGCATCGCTTTCCCAAAATGCGTGTAGCGAGTCTGCGGGATCGGGATCGTAAGGCCCACATCAAAGCGTGATTTCAATCTGGATTTGGTCGGGCTGGTCCGTGCGGAAGATGGTGATGCCGCAGTAACGTCAACCTCCGGCGCGGAGGACACATTTCGTACGTCGCGTGCCGTTGCATCAGCAACATCTGCATCGTCCACGCGTACGGGTGGCGTTTCGACGTGGACCATCTCTGATTCAGACCCGTCACTGTCGGGGTAAGTAGCCGGTGCATGTTTTATGTCTGAAGTCGAGGCCCGAGTAGTCTCGACAACACCAAGAGTACGCGCGATGACGTATGCTCCTACATCCTGAGCAAATTCAATTTAAGGGGCGTTATTTACGATTGTCAACCTTTTTGAATTGCTGCATATTAGGGACAAGGCTCACCAGCATCGAGAGCATGGCGAAGGGTGTAATGACAAGAATGGCAACTAATTTGAACGTCGCGGCCGCACTAATGATCCAAGGGTGCTCATCCCAGTTCCAAAGGTACTCGACATAGAGATGCCAGAGCCATGCGGGAATTGCAAGGAGCAGGTACGCGCCGCCCACAACGGACCCGAAGAATCCAGCATCCTCATGATTTTGAGACGACGAAAATTCAACAGGATCAGACATGTGTTATTGTCAAGCAGACCACGAATTTCAGCACAGAGGTAGGAGAAGAGGGATATGATCCCTTGGTCCACCCGCGACGAGGCGACGAAACCGATTTACCGACGATGGTCGAGAGTCATATCTCTGACTGTCAGAAATGGCAGATGTCAGTCACGTGTTGCATTCTAAAGATATGCCTAATTAAGGGCGTCGATCACGTCGTTTGGTAATGACGATCCTTGGCCCATCAATGCTCTCTGTTGCCCCTAGGGCCTTACGCCAACGACAAAAAGAACGTCTGCAGCGCCGGTTGCGTATAAGGCCAACCTTCTGGAGCTGTCAGTGCGAATATTCGTTGACTGGCAGCCGTCAGGCTACCGCATGCTTAATATTCTAAAGCTTCTTGACTTTCTGGGATGCACATCTCGATCGGCGCTGCACTTATCTTCCTCCTCTGGTCTCTTTCTAACTTCCTGCGCAGCTCCGACTCCGAGGATCTATCTACCCGCTCCTTGTCTGGAATTTGTGCCAACTTTTTGGCGGCAGAGCGCAGACAAGGTGGCTTTCGGCTGTCGTTTCCCGTCATATCAATGCACCTCGAAGCCTTAGAAACGTAAGCAAATGAATGAAGGCGGCTCCGTACATCTTTGACTCCTGTGTCTTAACGAATAGCACGTTCTAAGAGGCCGCAATAGAATTGCAAAAAAATGCACCGCGTGCTTCCTGTCCTTCAAGTTCTACAAATCTTTTCTGTCGTTCTCTTCCAAGTCGCTCCGACGCCCGCCTAGGCCAATGATTCTCTGAGGCACCTCCATTTTTCCGAGGTGTCACTCCCTGTAACCTCTGAACCCTTGTCCAAATCCGAATCAGGTGTAAGAATCACCGCATAAGCGCGCTAGACGCTTGATCGCCATCCTGCCTTCCTAACACAATAACCAGAACCGTATTGCGTGCGTTACGGGTGCACTACGAGCGTTCGCCATCTCGATGGAACGAGGCCGGACGAATTGCCGACTTGGCGTCTTCATGTCATTCGATCATTGTGTCCGGAATGCAGAACACCCAGAGTCTTCTCGACAGGCGGTCATTTTTTGCCCGAAACGTTTCCGCTTTCTCTCATTTTATAATTTGCGAGGTCAGATGGATGGACTTCTCCCCTGTCTGGTGGCTGAGTTACACAGGTATTAGTGATCCGGAAGCATCTATTTTTACTACCTCAATACAAGGGCCGGTGTCCATAACTCGCCATTTACATCTCCTTATTCAATTAACACGGCACCACTCATCCACATGGGTCTTTTATTTAACATCCAGGGTCTATGCGGGTTGAACAGATGAGACGAGAACAGACAGATGGTCAGAGGACATCGTTTTTAGTACTACGTATCATGAACAGAGAATACAATCAGTACAGATTACAAACACGGGTGGAGTGGGTTATCCAGTGCAATGCGAAATAAATGAGCGGATGCGGAAAACAGGCTTGACGACAGCGCAGAGCGAGTTAGACATACGAGACGGAAAGAGAAAAAATATATAACCAAGGTGAGACCGACAAAAGTAATACTTATTAGAGCTCGAAATGGTAAGCAAGTCCGACGCAAGCGAAGGTCATAATGAGATAGGAGAGTCTATGGATACATAGTGTTAGACGGCAAAACAACACCGTCGGAGCGGACGAGAATAATTGGTCTCCGCTTCGTCGATTGACTTTCGGGTGGCAAGCATCCGATGACCTCAGTACACCGCACTTCGACGTACGGTGACGGATCTGGGCCAAAGAACACTGTTACCGGATCGGCTTTATTGAAGTTCTCCCCGTAGAGAGTCAACATCTTCGATGCATGCGGATTCGGCTTTGCCAAAGCCGCCCGCGATTGAGGGCAGGTAGACTTTGGAGCCTCCGCGGCGCGGTCGGGAGGCAAGTATTTCACAACACCCGGGAATGGCGTAACCGGCTTCGACGGAATCGGGTATGAACCAGTTACATTCGGTGTCTGCTGGTCAAAGAGAACCGGCGGAACATAGAAGTTGTACCGGATTTGGTCCGTACCGACGATTGTCCACACGCTTGTCTCGCCGATGTCGACAGACCACAGAGCGCCCGAAGAAGCCGTCTGCTCGCCGCCTGATCCATGGCGGCTGCTCGATGTTGAACCTGCTGAGTTCTGACGCCGACGGCCCTTTGCGGAGTGTGTTTTGGTGATTCCTCCACCTGTGCTCGACGTCGAACGCTTCCCGCGTTTGACACGTCCACCATCGTTGGAAGGAAATTCGTAAGACGTCGGAGACGCAGGAGCACTTGTGGTAGACGATGGACCGGCACCAGAAAAGTAGTCTGACGGAGGGGCACCCGAGCCCATAGATGCCGGAGTGCCAACGACTGGACTACTTGGTTGCACAGGCGAGTTCGAACCTCGGGAAGACGGTGCAGCAGGCGGTGTATTCCAAATGCGTCCCTCGACGGGGCGGTAAGTGTTTACCTTCTCGCCCATGCACGAGAGGAATGCGCCAGTGAGACCAGGAGTACCCGGTTCGGGAACACCCTTGTTTGCGTCATAAACTTCAAATGCGATTTTGTGCAATTGCGATACGGGGTCACCGCACACTTCACCTAGTGCGCAGTAGTGATCGGCTACACCCTTTGCACCCTCTGCAAGACCGCCGCCTACGACGGTAGTGCTGTGATCAACTTTTCGGATGATAAGAACTGGAGAAACAACGCCCGACGTAAGGCACTGCAGGACAACTGTCTGGTTGTAGAAGATGGGGATTTGCGAGCCGTTGTTCGTAAATGGAATTGCGTTCGGCGGAGGAGAGGGATAGTCGGCCTGAGGTGGCGGAGGAGGCGGTGCATCAATGCCTCCGGCGGGCTTGTTCACATCGACGATGTACATAACGAAAGGATCTACCACGGAGTCAGAATCACGAAGCGAATTTCGAAATACAAAATTAATGCAACTCACCCCAGCTAGCAGTACGCGCAATGAAAGACGGTGTGGCTGTCCGTGTCCTCTGGTCAACACCCATAAGCGATGCGCCGTCAGAACCCTTGAAAGATGCGCCCGAACCAGAAACGCAAAGATATTTTGTCGAAACTGTCTGCGACCGCAGTCGATGGAACAGAGAGATGGTGGAACCGTGATTGATACACACTAAGAAACAATTAAGCGATGAGCCATGGAAGCGAGGTGAACAATGGAAGGCACATACACTCGAGATTTTTCGCGCTTTGCCGCTTCTTACTAGGCTTGCTGATGACTTTAATGGGACGGGAAGGGAAAACACCGATGACACGCTCTGGCTCATCATCAGATGCAGGCGCCATGATCTTCACGAGCGCCTCCACCTTTTTCTTCTTTTCGTCAACGTCGGAGATATAGAGCTGTTTTCCAACACAGCGGCCGATGAAGGTGGTCCCAGCAGGCGGGTCGTTCACGTCGAATGCTTTGCCAGACGTCGAAGTCCACTCGACGCTGCCCTCCTGCGGCATCGGTTCGCCAGATATGGAGATGACGACGCGTGGCGGTGCCTGCTTCGGCTCCTCGCCGCGCCTTGTCGTTTCAGACCACCACGAGTTACCGATCATGATCGCCGTCGGGGGCGGACAGAGGAAACGCTTCTCTGTCCCATATGACTTCTGCGCGACGCGGGATGACATGACGATCACCGTACGTTCGCCAAAAGCAATTCGGTTTGGTGCGCGAGTGTATTGATCCAAATACGGCCTGTGCGCAGCAGCGAAGGACGAAGGCGCAAAGTCAGAAAGATCACAGTTAGCAACATGTACAAAAATAGAGAACAAAGGGATTATTCTGAAAGGGGTTGAATTCAGTGTGAGAAGACTTACCTGATGAACGATTGCAAGTCTGTAGCGGCACCCATGCCGATATGTGCCTGGAGCTTCATGCGAGAAAGCATTTCGTCCGCGCCAATAGTCTGGCCCGGTAACCGAAGCAAATCCGTCGAGGGCGCAATAGAGGGGAAAGGTCCCATATCGTCAAATCCCCCGACGCTGCCATGCGTTGCGTGCGGATTTACACCTCGCATCATGTCCAGAGAGGAGTGGTGATGCAGTTGTGATGCCCCCGAATGCCCTCCAGGAAAATGTGAAATCCGCTCCTGAAAGTGTGGTATCGAGGACGGAGACGAGAATCCGAGCCCCAGAGCACCATTCGAGCTAAAGTCATCAGGGAAGTCCGACTGGAAACTACCCGTGCTGACGTTGGACGCTCTTCTGTCGTTCATGAGTTCACTATAGCTCGGTTGGAATGCATCTTTGCCGATGCCGTTGCCAAGGTTAGGAAATCCCGGAGAGTTCTGGAGACCAACAACAGAATCGTTAGGTGTCAGCGGAGAAACTTTGCCGCTGGAGTAAGAAGACGGGAGGCCATTTACAAGGTCAAAGGAATTACGGCCATTCGGGGGGAAGGAAGACAGGGAGTCAGCGAAGGGAGAGGAAGCATGTGGGTATAGTGACTCTGATCCGAGGCCTGGGTATCCCTGACCGAGTGAGGAGGACGAGGACGCATTGGTTCTGTAGCGAGAGCCAAAGGCAGCACCACCATTTGAAGACGGGAAATACTCGTAGTTAGACTGCTCCGACGAAATGTCCATGCCGTCCTGCTGATCAAATGCGTGATTCGGACGAGGGCCGCCGGCAAGTGCGCGATCGAAGTCAGATGAAGGGGGGAAGGTGGAATGGTGCTGCTGTTGTTGCTGCGGGTTATGAGGGTTTGAAGGGTGAGCCGGAGAGGGGGAGTAGTCAAGGGTCATGCGCTTGTCGTTGCGGGGATTGAGGAGATCGGCGATGTCGAAGGGGGACGTCATGAAGGGAGCAGGGGAGCGGTGGTCCATTTGGCGGGGATCGTTGGGCGAGTGAGGGGGCAGCGCGCTCCAGATGGCGGCAGCGGTTTGGCTCATCAAGAGGCGGAGAATGGAGGAGGAAAGAGAGGAGGACTTCGCTGATTTATACGAGCGGCAAGAAGGCGGGTCGGTCTGCGTTCACCGTGATCGTGACTCAGTGTGACTGCGCGCGGGGAATTGTCACGCCGTTGTTAGGAGGAGGCGAGGCAGCAGGAGGCACTACTACTAGTAGTATTTCTATGCGCTACTATTCTTGTGCACACGAGCTCAAGCCGATGATCGCTGGACGAGGCGGTCGACGACTCTGTTATGGAGGAGAAACAGAGACGCAGAGGGAGACAGGACGGCGAAGGGCGAGATATTCTGCCATTGATTTATAGGTATAGGAAGGAGGGCGTACGGAAGTTCTAGTCAGCGATGCCGCGGACTCCGGCTGGACATGCGCATAGCTGATGGATATTGATTCGAGAAAGAGAGTCGGAGTCGGATTAGAGCAAGACCATGATTTCCTCTCTGGATCTGCTAATACTGCACACCACATCGCCTCCCATCGCCCATCCGGCTTCCTTCCCAGCCTATCGCTAACAGTACATTCGCCCCCCAACCGTCCCTCGTGGCTCACAACTGCTTCTGCCGTACTTGCTAAAAACATGCATCTCCGCCTCAAACTCTCCTCCCTACTTCTCCGACTTCTGCGCCCAAACGCGCGACACCAGCTGCCGGCACAGTCCGCTCCCTGGCCGAAGCAGACGCGATCCTCTCCCTCTTGGCAGCTCTGGCCTACGCTCCAGTCGACGCGACGATCGAGCAACCAGCCACACTTCTGTATGCACCAACAATTCGCAATTAGCAAATGGGCGGTCTCCTCGGCGATAGTCCGGGACAGCTCGCGTGTTTGCCTTACAATTTTGACTCTGCGATAGGGACAAGCGTCTCTGGCATTCTCGTCTGGCGCACCAGTCACCATCGCGCCATCCAGGGACAGAACGTGCTTACCAAGCGCATTTGACCGTCCCCAGAAGCGGGAAGAAACTCAAATGTCCACTGCACATCTTGTGCCTGGGCTCCCGCTTCTTTGCCCTCCAGAGCATATGGACCATCAATCCGGCCTCCACCGAGCCAGCCGGCTCGGTTCCAACTGTAGACCGTTCTGCAGACTCGGGCTCTGTAGCCCAGCCCACGCCACCACGTACCCCGACCCGTTCGCTGTTCCTTTCGCTTGGGTCTTTAATTATACGACGCATACACTGCCGCCTGTCCGCCCGTCGACAGCGCACAATGATGCGCATCCTTCGTGTCTATACGCGACATCATGCTGTTGATCCGCTTGCCATCGCTGCTCCTCGGCGACACACTTTCGTCTTGTATCACAATCGCAAGTCGATCAAACAATCGCAGTCTGCATCCGTCAAATCGTGAAGTGTACATGTCTTCCTAATCGAATGTTTCATTCACACCAAAACCTATTCTTTGTCTTCTTCGCTTATTGTTTCCTCGTGAGTGACATTACCAATTTTCTTAGTTTCCAGAATCCACCACTCCACATCCACAAATAGAAGCATGAGCCTTTTACCTCAATCTACCTTGGACGCAAGAACCATCTAAAGTCCGGTTCCTCGCGTGGTCAGCCTTATTCCGTGGTCGACCTATATACTTTCCAATTATACATACGGACTTGTGCCACATCTGCGACAGCGTCTAACGGATTTTTGTCGCGGGAGAAACAAGCTTAAATATGCCAGGCCCCACTGGAACCATGGGTATGAACTCGACAGGGTCCGTTATGGATACGACCAAAAACAAGCTCGCGAAATGATTTCGAATAGCCTAAATCAGCTGCACGGCGTCGATGACCATACGGTATACTGCGGAGCAAGCAGCCATGCACAGGCCGTGTCGGATCGCGAAACGGTAAGAGAAAGGTCCCGCTACCGGCGTGCGCCGTGCTCGGTGGTTCTTGAAGACCAATCTCCTACCGCAACGAAGACCACTCATTACAGACAGTTATGCCCAAATCGGCTACTTTTTCTCTGTCTCCCTCCCCGAAGCCCCCTCTCTAGCTTCGTGACTGCTAAAGGCGCCTACATTCTATCCAGTAGGATGAAAAAGAACCCGTCAGCTGCATGGTCCAAGCAAAGGATGGGAATGTGCATACATGGGGTGATTACTCTGCGCGATCGCGACACGGAGGATGATTCAGACCCTTCACCCCCGCATGCAACATACCCTCATTCGGATCGATTTATCGTTGTACATCGTGCATTCTTGGCCGTGGCCTTTCTGCAATGTACAGTGTAACTTCGAATTGCAAATTGCTCTGCAGATTTGTTGACGAAGGGATGCGTAGTCTAGTGGCAGATTCGACATTCTCTCATGCATCGCATGCAGTGCAAACTTTTACTCTTCGACCGCATGCTCGACCTGACTTGAATCTACAAGAAGAGATGCGTTGCCAATCTCTATCCAATCCCCTGCCTCTTCTATCATTCGCGACTTCTCCCGTTATACTCATGCAATCAGTCAATGAAATGCAAGCTCATCTTGCCGCTACGCACACCTCTCAAAGGCGATATCACAGCCGGAATGTATAGCTCCGCAGCCGCGGACCCGGTTACTCGGACGTATTCAGCATCCGCTATCCCGAACATGCGGCACCCACGGCGTCCATATTTTCCATTCTTTCGGACCATTCGCGTGAAAGAAACAAACAACAGAACGATCCCTATGGGTTTAGGAAGCTCGGGAAGGATATCGAAGGCCCTGTCAGCCACTGGTAGGGGGCCCGCAGGACTGGCTGGACGCAATAAAGCTCGTGATAGAGTCCGACTCTGTCTAAGTTAGGCAACATGTCTTCACGCAGACAGAAATTGGCTAGGGACGAGCAATGAGCGTCGTTCTTCTACTAGCAGTTCGGGATTGTTTCTCTTCCCATTGTGCTTCTCTCATTTACCCCTCGCCAAGCCCCGAATCTATTCTCCCACTATATATGCGTAGATTCGAACTCGAGCCCCCAAAAGCAAAAGTTAAAAAGACTCCGACATTCTAATACTGAATTGCATGACAGATTCTTCCTGTTCTTCTATCTTTTTTCACGTTGCCTCAAAGTAAATCAGCAGTATGAAGAGCTACCGAACCTGGACGGATGAACTCACGGCTGTTCTCACAGGAACTGCGCATGCACGAGGGTGCTGGACAAGTATGGACGTTGCAGACCTTGAAGTAGATTAAGATGTCCAGATATTTTAACAAGCGAGCATGCAACCAAATCTGGGATACCAAGATTTCCCGTATTAGCCGCTTGAAAGTGAGGTCCAGCTAATAATATGGCCTAAAGACAAAATACTATTAGACTAAAATATATTTGTTGGTAGGGTCTAGCGGATATGATATTACAATCTAAATATTGAATAATGAGGAGAACGACAATCGTATATTGGCGTGCACAAGCCAAAGCTTCCTATGGACCAAATTCCATTCCTCGCATTTCATTGCCGCCCGTGAAGAAGCCAATGGTGTTCGAAAACATTGCGGCTCTGTCCCGATTAAGGATAAGATACGTTAACATGGCGCTTCGGGAGCGGACAGGAGATTGCGGGAAATTTAATGGTAACTTCGAAGCGGCGCACGAGCACACGTATTATCGCGGCTCCTGATAGCTGTGCTAAGGCACTGGCGGCGTATTAAATTTGGTTTGGCTTTGGACGAATAGTGAATGTGTGCGTTTCGCATCGCTTGAGCTTGGGTATCAGCACTTCACGGATAGATTCCCGGCTAGACAATGGTCTTTACGAGAGGTAACGGCGTTCGGCATTTCGAGCGATACGAGCATGTCGGTCAACTCCCAGCGCTCATCGGCGGCGCATTTTGTTTTCCGAGACTGACCAAGGTATGATGTCCCAAATACTATGATCCACAAATAGTATACTGGAGGAAATAACCATGACGAGACTACAGTTCTAGGCGACTCGATGGACATACGCATCGGCGACTGGCATGCGACACGATCCGAACCATGCTTCAGCTGATACGCCCACTTGCGCGCGATTTGCTCCTACGCGTATTTGACGCCGGAGATGCTGACGCATAGCATTGTGCTGGGGCCATCATGAGCAGGGATCAAGTTGTATGCCGCATGTTGCGGATATATAAGGCGATTTGCTTATTTCGTCTTCGACCTTGGCCGCGCACACGCCTAGCCCCGTCAGAGTCCTTCGCGTAGCCCGCGCCCGACTTTGCTTCCGCCACACGTAAATTTTGCACCGCCCCGCTCCGTCAATCCCCTGTGGATCCAGGTGCGCGCCCAGAGATTCATAATCTATAATTAATCAGGCTAGATCCAGTTGGGCACCGCATTGTTGATGTAGAATACGAATTTGCTTCCTAATAGACGCACGGCGAGGCGGAGAGACTATTTGACAACATATCATACGCAGTATGCGATGCTTGACACACATGTTCACGTATGTGCGACGGGCATGACTTCCCGTCAGTAAAACAATCAGAGGAAACATTGAGACAAGCGGGAAGACTGACCTCCAAGTGAGAGCCGGACCAAGTTGGTGCTCGGTAATCTACTGAATAGTAAGAAGGAACAGACGGAGACCCGTGAGCGCTATTCACTATACTGCATGAACACGCCTCTGTTGCTTTCTGTGATTAAGCTTTGCAAAATGTGCGCTCAAGCTCTGTCAAGTACGTATCACTGCAACGTGCCGTCTCTCTTGTGCATCCTAGCGCCTTCAAGATAACGATTGGTCTTCATCCCCGCTACTCACGACAGAAGCAGCATTTAATGACGTGTGTACAACCGTCCAAACATAGCAACCGATGCGTGCCTCCAAAGAATTGGTTGCCACGCATCAAAATGTAAAAACGTAGATCCCTAACTTTTAAGTCAACTGGTCTCTAAAGGACCGAAACCTAGATTGGGACATTACGTCGAGCAGTCCGCCTTGCACATCAGCTGTTGGGTTGAACCTTTGACTTAAACACGATAAACCCGAGGCAAACGGACATAGAGCGCTCTTCTTAAGACTCTTTGGAGGGCACCTGAACGCACTTATAGCCAAAGGACGCTTTCGGCCTTACTTGCTGGGAGCCGAAATCCGCAGTGATTGATGACAGAGCTGTCTAATTTCGCAGCGGAAGATATTAATTTGAGAGCAAGACAAGGGCCGATTGAATTGTAACGAATCAGGCCTGACATGCAACCACATGCAATAATCAAGTATCAAAAGATATTGATGTCGCAGGCCTTCTCCAGTCTCTGCTTGACATCCGAGAAAGGTAGGATGATGATGAGTTCAAAAAGTCGACGGTGAAAAGCCCTTTGGAGGACAAAGACTGATTAGTCGATCGTCTTCCTTTGAAAGCAGCGTACAGTACCATGGAGTTCAGCAGATTTGGACGGAAGATGCGTGTGCAAGGCGGACCCATCATAATGCAGTCTAACAATATGCACAATTTAACAAATGTGCTCCACATTTCGGCGCAGCACCCTAGAAACTCAGGCACCCAGCAGTATTGGAGGTGTGAGAAGGAATACTGCACATCTTCATCTGCGCTCATCCAAATAGGTCCAATAACCAAAGAAAGTGGGAAAGAGGCTCAAGGATCTAAGTCATGGCAAGAAGTGTCGAACCTCGACATAACAGATCGGAATGAGAGAGCAGAACGACAAGAAGCCCACTTTAGCTAAAAGTATGCACGACAAGTTATTGGCGGCGAAGATACGAAACAGTGTATGCATGTGCTCCACGCTGTTCTTGAGAATCTACCGTAGCCGTTGTAGCAATAAGTCATACGTCGACGTCACATCATATCGCACATTTCTTGCCTATAACCCCGTCCATTCCTAAGTCATCTGGTTGGAGTGTCATTGGCTCTACAAGTCCGTCCGACCGTATGTGCACCCTATGAGATGCCTTTTGTAGAAACAATACACCCACTGTTATCGTTGATTGCAACACGAATAGTATGGTCCCCAACGAGACACGAATCAGCTTCGTGGCGCAATACTGAACGCACCAGCACGATTTGCTGACATACGCTCTTCCTACAACTATAGAGACGAAATCAATCGTGCAATTCATAGGCGATATGAACGTGAGCGCTCACCTACAGTACTGATCAGATCGGCAACGAGTCGAACGGAGAAGTCCAGAAGGTTCGAAGACTTGACTGCTTTCCCATGCATAAATAATCTGAATACAAGCTTTTGTTGATGCAATGGGATTGTAACTCTGAAGGCAGTTATCAACTAAACCTGATATAAGGTTAATTTATAGAATCATAATCAACGGGATGTCTGAACGTGCAAGACATAAGGCACACAATTGTCTCAACAAGCCATCCCAGATCACATCACAAAGCGCAGAGCGTCGAATGTTGGCTAGTTAATTCTCGGCTATCCGGCAACGCGTTGGTCCTATCACGCCCTAAAAGCATCGTTTGGAGGTTTGGTGTGCGGAGAACTTCCACAGCCGATAAGAGACTGATATGCAACGCGAGTCTGAGAAAACAACTGAGCCCATCGCCCAACCATGCGACCTTTGTTTCCTGCGAGTTGAGTTTCAAAGCGTAATGGCTGAAGATAACAACTGAATTCGTATCATGTCCTCAAGTTCAGTAGAAGGATCGTTCCACGCTAATCGCGTCAGTCGAAGTTACAGCGTGTATACGAGACCATGAAAGTATAGCCTCACATCCCTCGATAACGAAGTCTGTTTGTGGTTCTTTTCAGCCACGTGGGTCATACGCTACTGTACACCAATGGAGCGTTGGCAGGAGGAGCACCAGTACGTACACATCGATAACGGGGGCGAAGAGGCACCATATGGTCCTCGCGTTACCGTTACAATACGTAAACGCGCAAGCAGACGCATCAACGAATGATACGGGAATAGGTGTCCAGGACGAAGATAGCCTGCACCAGTTATCAAAAAGCCCGACAGGCGAGGAGATTCTATTAGCCCTCGACAGAGTCACAAATAAGTCAGTATGATAATCAGAGGGATACGATACGCGCCTCAAATATGTCAGATGAGAGTCGAAATTCCAACGGGTAAATTCAACTCTTCGGCTTCGGCAACAGCGGTGTTTAGTGTTGAAATTTTGGATTGCAAAATCAAGCAAGAGGAGGGCCAGTCAGAATAAACTCAATAACAGATGGCTTGGTTTCTGGCGCTTTTGGCGCCATCGTCTAGACCCACTATTTACCACAGCTTGCGAACGCTAATGTGATATACAGGAGAAGTAGTCACGATCACCTTCAGTTTTGCACTACGTTAGTACGTAGTTGCAGTAATAAAATTAAAATATGCAGCAACCCGTGATCTAAAAGGGCACGTGCAGACGTGGTCTTTCGGCAGAGATGAACAGCATGCACAAAGCATTCCATCTCGTCCTCCCAATCCACATCGATTTGTCGGTCATCTTGTTTTCGCGTCATAGAGTCTCTAGACAACAATTGTTTTAATCATCCGACGGACAGTGCGGTACATGGCTTCTACTCGACCTCGACCTCCACCACCGCCTTTGCGGCTATCCCAGCCACAAAGACCTAAATCAGCTCTCATAGACCACCAGCTCCTGTATGATCTGCCTTCGGCTTCTTCCCTACGTTCTCCATCTGCAAATTACGATCAGAATGGAGGAGAGCTCACTTCGAGTCCAGCCACCGCTTCGCGTCCTCCCAGCAGATTTAGCTTCCGTCCTGCGACCCAGGCTGGACGGGCACTGTCTCCTCCTTCCCGCTCACCCCATGGGCGCGCTTCCCCTTCACCCGGGAGAAGCATTGATGATGAGCTTGAAGTATTTGCACTGCAATGTCGTGCTTGGTATGTTACAAGTTTCGTCAGTACTTGCGCGGATGATCTCATTTTCGTCGCGTTTAAGGTATTATGACCAGGATGAGGATGCTGGCCGACGAATGACCCAGACTTTGGCGGGACTTCTTCCGTCCCTTCGAGCAAACTATGCTCGTATACAAGCTTACATTCGAGCTTCGTACCATACGTACCTGGCAGCCCGGCGGAAAGCGGAATTTCAAGCGCATTTGAGTTCAACTGTTAGCGGAGGCTCACTTGCGCCTCATTCTCGATCCCATCCTACTAGTTCTTCCGCTCGCCGCGAGAGGGCAGAGCGCTTTGAGCGCTTTGTAAAAACTTGGTGCAACGCCTCTATGCCAGGCACCCGCCCTTTCTTTGAAAGCTTATGGGCGTGTATGAGATTGCAGGTTGTACCCGAGAACCTCGGCGGAGCTGGTTCTAGACGCATTGAATGGGAGTTTGATGATGCTGTCTTCATGGAATCTGCGTATGTTGTAGTGCAGCTTCATATAAGCACATGGTTAGGAACTGACGTGATGTTCAATAAAGCGGCAAAGAATTTATGCAAGAAGCCATAGACGTATTGAAAGGTGTCAGTAGAGTACTGATTTCTGTGACAGAGCTTTACTGAGCCACATGCACGCAGGTTCTAGGATTCGAGGAGAAATATGCTTCCCGATCTCCTTCTCTTCGACTCTCAGACGACACGGTTTTGACACAACAGCATTCAAGGTCGCAGTCGGAGCCTTTAAGCGCTCAGCTTCTCGTACCGTCTATTTCCCAGAAACCGGGCAAACCCGCGCAGCTACCTCATTCAGGACGTTCTCGGGCCCCTTCTGATCCATTTCTTGATTCAAATACTACATCTTCGACATCTCCTCGAAGCGCAGGATCTTTCCTAGAAGGAAAGGGTGGTGCCGGGGACATGACATCTGGGGTACCGTCCCCGCCCACAAGCGCAGAAATTGATGCCCTCCTCTTACGGACTGCTGGCGGGGAACGTAGATATGCGCCGTCTCTGACGTCTGAGACCTTTGACGACCATGCTCAGCTAAGAACCTGGACCGTTCCAGACCTGTCCAATCCAGAGTTTATGTCCTTGTTGTCTTTCTTTCCGTCCTTCCTTACACGTCGCACCCTTCCACGCTTTCCTGTTGTAAGAGCGTCCAGCAGATGTGGACGTCGTGTCTTGGACCTTGAAGAAACTGGCGCAGATGTCTTAGACGAACAGGATGAAGTGCGGGTCGGGACAGGTGTTCTAAGAGTAGGCTCGCGAGAGAGAACAGGTTCGTGGCGCGGAAATTGGTGGGAACGTTTCAAGATGTGGTTACGGCGTCTGTTCCGGTAGCAGACGGACAGACATGTCTATCGTAAACTCATGGCGTAGCACCAGGATGCCTATTTGTTTCGATGTTCGTAAGGATGCTGGTTTGGCCTTTGCGGTAGATGGGGGATAAAGTGCAGTAGAACTGGCAAGATATTTTTCATCCGGCACCTATTGCGCTGCCGATTATTTTCACGCCACCTTCCCAAACTTCGTCTTGCCATTTTTACTGTTCTTGACATCCCACTCTAGAAGCTCCCTAGATCTTGTCTCGGCATTCGAAGAGCGTCGCCATGTCTGGGCCGATTACAAGCGGCGCTTGTGGTCATGCCGGTATGCTCCATAGTTCCTCTTCTCGCACCCACCGTCAGGCACGATATTCAGCAATTTGGACTAGTGATTTGTACACAATATATTGAATTTATATCCCCTTACTCTTGTTTCTGGCAGTGAACTCAGTCGTGTTAGCTGTGACTTATTACACTGGCTAGCTTCCTTTACACGCGTATGTGGAGCTTGTTCCAATATGTTGATTATGTCAATAGCGGAATCACGGTTGCCAAGAACACTTTTGCATAAGCGCAACCATGAATTATGGCCTCGGCCTGGCGAGCGCCTATACACATGCTACCGAGGCCTTCCTTCATTCATAGTTCCCTCCCGTGAGTAGTGCTCCTGGTTGTGTGGATCATCTGACGCCTGTGAATTGCGACCGACAGGTTCTTTTAGCCGATGAGCTGTAGGAGCCGGAAGTGCCTATTTCCCGGTTAACATGCGACGACGCAGTGATGTCTCAATCCAATGTTTGTACAACGTTATACTTCAACATTTTTTAAGGGAAGGGCCGTAATCTAACGGGTCAAGAAGATTGGCAAACTTCAGAAATTGTGCCTCTCGAACCCTTGGTAAGAAAAGCGTACAACACTCGCAGTACGATTCCATACCACACGCAAAAACCACTGGGTGGTTTATAACGCGATACCTAAGAACGCCAGGAAATTGGCGAAAAGTAAAAGGTCCTCCCAAAACTTGTTTCCCAGTGTGTATTCGAGTGCTAGAATGACGCTCTAGCCTTCAATAAAAGTGTGTAAAATCCCAGTCGAAGATAAGTTTGACAGCTGTTGAATTTCAAATGTTTTACCTTCAACGCGGTTGCTGAAGAGGAGCTCTTCTTCCGAATCCACATCCGAGGTGCTAGACCGACGATCATTGGGCCATGCCAAATGAAGAAGCAGAGTGGTCCACGTGTTTGACTCTGTTTGCCTTCCTAAGAACATTCCCTCCTTCGTGCTGAAGGTTTACATCTCGCAACTTATCCAACGGCAACGAACAGGCGTGACCACTGACATCTATTCTTGATCCAGGGAGCATAGGCGTGTGCCAGTTTCGCTGTCTAAGGTAAAACCCTCCCCGCCACTATTACATGAGCACTTACTTCTTCGGTGGATCCCTGCCTTGAGCGCGAAAATGGATCTCAGGGCGCGTATCGTGACAGAAGCCAGCGTCAAATCCACAAAATAACAAGCGTGGCATTCTTAATTGCAAGCTTTGACTCAACATACGCGACTACCTTGCTTTAAACCATTCTTGATACAATAGACTCTCTCACTTGACCTCTCCGAAGCGCTTGCACGATTTTTACAGCTTCTTATGGGCTTTTTAGACGACACTTCCTACAGCGAACGTCATAGGCCCGCGGACAAAAAATGATCACGAGGATTAATAAACAACCGCTGCATTGACCCACTTCTTTGGTAAATATGCCTTTCTTCTCTGGTCTCACCTGATCCTTCTCTAGCTGGCTTCCCTCTCCTATTGATGTTTTTAATAGACAGCAAAGCCGTGATCTGAAGTCGTGTCGGCTTGTCAGGGCCATGCTCAAAGAAACTCATTCGCTCTTCGCACCGCCAGGCACGTAGGACTTCGCCCGACACCTATATCTGATCCTGCTGTAGACTGCACCTGAGCTAATTGGACCATATTCGATCTATCGTTATTAAGGCCCGCTAGACAGGGTTTTACCTCTAAGTTCACCGAAGCCATCCCTGAGGCTTACGATCCCATAAAGTGCATTAGCAGGTCTTCGCTTGCGGTGGAAATATAGCAAATTATATTTCCAAGAGGTAACTGTCTTGTCAGAAAGTATGCTAATAAAGGACCAATATTAGAGTTGTATGGAGTGTGGACGAACTTACTTGGTGGCGACTCACGCGCTTCCAGGCTGCTTTTGCAAGCGTTTGCCTCTGGACATTAAGTCGCTGATGCCGAGGGACTTTTCACACCTAGCAATGCGGCTTTTGGTGCCTGGCCGAGCTTAAATCGTCTCATGACAATCTTTACCTGTTAGTGAGAATTAACGCCTTCTCTCCGAAAAGTTCTGGCCACCAATGCGGTGAAACTCGTATTTCCAAGGGTCCGACGTTCTGGAATTTACGGAATTGTATTGGTGAGATGATCTTTGCTATAGTTCTGATCTTCGTTTGGAGTCAGTTCAAGTGCCGTGCTAAATATTGCAGCGCAGTCGGCGTACCTTGCGATCGTATGCCCATATGGCCAGATCCCAGCTTGACTCTACATTGGATAGATAGAAGGAATCTGTTGAGGCTGTGTGTACGTCCGGCAGTCTCTCGCATCTTGGATCCGTCGAGAAGAGTACCGGTCAATGGGTCAACACGCCTGGCAGCTCGGCAGTACCGAATCGGAACAAAGTATTATTCTGGTACAAAACCGGTTATGGGAATCGCTCGCTTCCACGTCCATGGTGCAATGGTGGCACCTATCTGACGTGCTGCTGTTCCCTCACCTACGGATCTGCTATCAGAAATCACTTGTATGTGTGAGTAAATGCACTATCTTTATTCGAACTGATATTCAAGCGTCCCAAAATTGACTACACTTTTATTCTAGACACCTCGAAATAACATCGAATGGCTCCAAAGTAGCGTCAAGCCGTCTACCGACTACGTGCATAGTCCTTGGATTTACATTGATGCATCGGATTGAGGCACGATACTACCGAACGGTCTTCCGCATCGCCTCGTCTATTCCGTAGATAAATTCATGTCCATCGGCAGTGAGTAATTCTGTAACAAGCCGAAAGGCGAGTAATTTTGATTCGGATCTATACATTCAGGGGACAGAGGATAGTCCATTTGCTTCGAAATATGAACGATACACACTCTTCTTGCTGCGGTCTATGTTCTCGTCGCATGTTCTACTGGTCTAGCTCACTTTGAACTCCGTGGAGTTCGCCAGTGTTCTGATCATCGATTCCCATCACTTCTTTACAATCTTATTGTTGGGATCATGAAGTCCCTCGCAGACTTGACATCTCCGTTTATTAAATGTTCTGGTAATCCTAATGAATGCCTAAGGTTCTTGCCCTGGATCTTCATCGAACGCTCAAGTGTAGCAAATCTTCCGTCGGACTGCCACTAACACGTTCGACCTGAGCTGATGTCTATCACTGCTCTACCACACATCAGATAAAAATAATGGCTAGCCATCGCGGATGTACGAGCGATGAACCACTCTGTGGCTTTCCCACATGGTCTGGCGGGTATTTCCTAATTGCAACCTTGGAGGCTCAATTACACTTCGGATCTGCGACGATCTGCTCTAAATATTCCTTCTGACATCTGCACCCGAGCGGATTTTACGTTTGCTTCAATGCTCGCGTTGTGCTTATGCCGTTCAGTTATCCACACTTGCCACGGAACGGAGTAAGTCATCTAATTCCGCCGGTTCCTTATTATCTTTTGACGAAGGACGTGCTGATCAATCCTGAAAGCCATAGTCATCATTCTTGACAGTCAAGGAAATGGATGTTTTGAGGCTAGTAGCCCCCGCGGAATCGACAAATTTCGGGGATCTTGGTTACTCACTGTTCTCACGAACTTTACGAGTTGAACATTTAGGCGCTATGTCAGCCTTATCGGGTTATTACGAAGTTATTGTACGCACCTCTCCGGAACTCTGTAAACTATCGCGAGCGGTCAGTGTTAGCCGGCGTGGTCCACTGTGGTCCCAACAGAAGATACGAAAAGCAATTGATTAATAATGAACAACAGGTTCTTCTCATCTCATCATCATGAACTTCGCACAACGCCTTGACAATGTTATCAGGATGACTTCTTGTATCAAAGATCCATGTGCAAGGCAGGTCCGAACACTGCTTCTTCATGTTCTAGTGTTCACACTTGGCAACTCTTTGGCGATAGACTGGGTACTACTCAATTAATTCATTTTGTCTGTCTATGCTGGAAGATGCTGCAGGTTCCAGCTTGTGTGAAACCTGTTAAAGGAAGTCATACGCGAGTAAATTTCTCTGCGGGGGTAAGTCCGTAATCGTGTTGCATATCGTGTCCCTGCTTATGGAGACAAACTCAGAACATTCCCATGTACCGTCTGTCGCAATGATACAATGTATTGACGCATTTTCATACCTTGGCTTGTTATTCGCTGGAGATAACATAGGTCCATACAGTGCAATATGTTGTGGTGAAGTCTATGGGAAAACCAAGCAATTAATGTGACAAACCGTATACAATTGTTTGTAGCCCTGGGTAAAGGCCTAATATTCGAGCGAGCCCTATCAAACTATTCCACTCCTTTGAGAATTTCAAAACGATTCTACTAAGCATATATCTGTCAGGGATACATGTATGGATTAGTCAATGGACGCTCGGCTGAACAATATCGTACACCTTATAGGACGTTGTAGTTGAAGGTCGGAACAGTATGTCTGGCTTTTCAATAACCAGACATCATCGAAATGTCAATGAACTGCATGATTTCAGCCTCTTACGAGGGGTCCAGGCTTGCCGTTCATGACGAAGCATATAAAATACCGAGTTTTTGTAATCGAAATAGGGGATAGTGTTTTTGACTTTTCAATAACCAGACATTCGGTTGACCAACCTGTGGAACCTCTGCACACTAACACTCGGTGTAACCTAATCAGACAGATGACTCGAAATGCACATGTATTAAGAAATCACAGTAGATTCATCCAGACAAAACTGCTCTTTATATCTCAGCATACTCATTGCATCCCTCAGAAGAACTTTAACGGACGTTGTAGAGAGCTGAAAAGAAACAATCAAAAGTGGAAAAATGGACTCGGAGAGGGCTGTAGGCACTACTTGATTTGTATTGCATTCTTTAGTATAGTATACGTACATCGCAGATGTAGTTACAGGTATCAATGTGAGGTCCTAAGTTAGAACTTGCTGATAGTGTGGAGGTACAGAGAAACTGGTGTAGAGATGCAGGAGATGGTTTACACGAGGTGTTGTTAAACGTCCAAGCTATGTAGTAATGCACTGCAGCAGAAGTGAGTGAGTAGAGAAGTTGAAGAGCTTTGGATCGGTGCAGAGTGAAGGCGAGATGAGCTGAGTGTGGAGGTGTGGACTAATTTCTAAGATGCCACAATTTGAGATGTGTATAAACAAAGAGACGAGTGAGGGAGAAGTTGAAGTAGTTTGGATCGGTGTGAGTGAGAGATAGACCAGAGGCGAGATGATGAAAAGAAATGGGGCTGAGGTAGCGCTATAGTACAAACGAGACGGACGCTCAGCGCCGATTGAGATACCACAAATGAACAGAAGGACAGGAACCGGAAACAACGGAGGAAAGATTGAGGAATGTCCTAAAGGTATAAAAATGTAGCAGGGAAATTGACTCATTTATCTTGAGATCACAGAGTTAGAAGGGATGTAAGAACCAGGAGCGATAGACAAAGGATCGAGGAAAATAATTGTGCACAAGCAATCAATAGGGGATTTGGACAAGCACAAGTTAAATATGGACTGAGGCAAGGTGATAGAAAAGAATTTTGGGGGGGGGGGGGGTGGCGCTATAGTACAAACGACAAACGGGACACAGACGTACTGTGCAGATCGAGACACGAGGGAAAAGGAACAGAGTAACAGTTGAAAGACAAGAAGAGGAACGATAGACGAAAGATCGGGGAAATAATAATGTACAAGCAACCAGTAGGGAAAAAGTGAATCGTTAGTCTTGAGTGGTGGTCCCGGACCTTGGAGGCGTGAGTTTGGCAATTGTATGAATCTGTTCTCGTACTGCCTCCAACCTGGACGCAAGTCAGAGATAAGCAAGACGAGGATGGTACATGGGAGAGAGGTGCGTGCTTACTCGGTATTCCTTGTTTTCAGTCTAAGCAGAAATTCTTTAGAAAAGGCTCAAATACTGTGGTAAGGGACGCAAGAAGACGCGTACTCTGCATTCTCCTCCTGGAGCCTGGCAATCTGCGTGTCCTTGTAAGCCAAGTTTCTCTCCGCAGTATTCACCCTACGGCGCAGGCGCTCGGACTCGGCAAGTAGGTCGTGCACAGCGCTATACAAGGACGTCTGCTGCGCGGAGATTGTCGACATCGAGTTGAATATCGTGGTCGCAGCCGCGGAATGTGTGCCCGGTGAAGCTCTTGAGTTTCTGTTGCGCAGGTTCGATGCGACCGTTTGCATGTCCGCAGCCGACCTTTGAATCGTCGATGCAAGTTGTGAAGGGAAACTCTCTTCCCGACCTTGCTCCTGCTCTTGCATCTGCACGTCATCAGGTCCGTCATGTTCTTGCTGTCCATTGGGCTCGTTACTGGATGGACCAGGGATCGAGGCCTGTTTACGAACAGGGACCATTGACAAATGAAATAAGTAGCGACAAGATTTGAAAAATAAGTAGAAGCAGAGACAGACGAGACAGAAGGATAGACGGACATTCGTTTCCTCAGTCCTTGGTTCCACATTCGCCTCGTCATTTGTTGTAGCAGGAGCCTTTCCCTTGCCAGCTTGCAAGCCTGAACCGGAAGCGGAAGACTGGGCACGAGCTCTATCCATTGCACGTTGTGCGCCTTTCGTGAAGGACGTTGGAGATGGTGGAAGTTCGCCACTAAATACTCCTTGTGACGCTGTTGTGCCTTCACGTTCAGAAGTCTGTACGGGCGTTGGCAGAGTCACAGAAGATCTTGATCGGCGCGGAGGCGTGCTAGTTGTTCCTGGTCTAGGATTTCCTTCTTCTCCTTCCTTCTTGACGGAAAAACGCGTCCGTTTGGCATCTGGAGTGGTGTATTCATCGTCGGTCGTGCTTTCCTCGCGATTGAAGTTCCCGCGATCACCTTCATCTTTAGAAAGGTCCTCGACAGCGTCATCAATGGCAGCAAATCGACGTGCTTTTGCTTCAGGTGTCATATGTTCGGCGGCCGACATATGCGCGTGAGTACGTTTCACAGCAGAACCTGGTGGTGACAGAAGCGCGCCGATATTTATCGCGGTCCGAGAATTGTTCGGTGTCTGTGGAGGCGCAGGAGGCTGGGGAGGGTTGAGACCTGCGCCAATAAGGTCGTCTTCCCATTCTATATTCACAAATAAAGAGCCAAAAAGAGGCAAATAATTATAATAGGGGGTACACGGAGAAGTAATAGGAAGGTTATATTCGTCAGTGATTATAAGAAGAGTGAGACGAGGACAGCTGCGTACTCCAGAACCTGCAATTATCATCCGCGCAGCAATAGAATGGCCTGTATGAGATTGCGTAGTACGCACAGGAGCAAGCGGAACGTTAGGGTCCGTTATAAGATCACAACTAATTATGGTTTCATGACGAACCTATTTGGATTCTTATCTGTACGACTGACATTCCTTGCAGCAGGTTTATCGCATGCACAGATGGCTTTTCCGTCTCGAACACATCCGGCGGAGTGCACTGTTCGTCTGTTCGCCGTCTGAGTTGAGGAAATAGATGTCGTTGCAGCGGCCATCGAATAATAATCTAAAGGTAATTTATGTATTGCAAGACCTTCAACCCGACTGAGAAAAGAAATACGCCGAATAAACGACAACTAGAACTGGCAGCTCAACTGCCGTCGTCGATTGTGCCGTTCGCGGTGGATGCCTTCTCTGCAGCGCTGATGGCAGATAGCGTCCAAAGTGGGATCATGGAAAGCGCTTATCTGTACTGATATACTAGCGCTTATTTCTAAATAGTATTGTTTGCCTTGTATAGCCATGATCGAGACACAAACACGGTACTTTGAGGCTCTTGACGATGTTACGCCTGCTATGGTCGTGCAAGTAACCCGGCTTGTAGACTCATATATGCTTTGGGTCGGCCCGACAAATGGGAAAGCAGAGGAGGCAGAAAGTGCACCTCAAAATGGGTGTCTCTGCCGAGACTGGGCATGCGCCATGCCTCCTCTCTCTGTATGTCCTTCTCTCGGAGTCTGACTGCGCATTGAAACGATTGAAGCCCTCCTTTTTGTCCGAAAAAAGGACAATGCAACGCCAGCGGGGACGTCGTTGTTTCGCAATTCAACGTCTGATTTAGCGCTGGGTATGGCTCAGCGGCTTGGTCGGTATCTGTTCTTTCCGCTGCGGACATTGACGGATTGCTGATGACTTTGATTTTTTTGTGCTTCTTGTCTTCCATAATATGTTGTTTCATGCGGTGATGACAGCCCGAAGATTCAAAAAGCAAATATTCCTGTCCATCGACTTGCCACCTGGATTTCTCTCCATGGGGCATGGGCCGAAGCTCGCACTTGAAGCAGAAAGGAGTGTAGTTCAGACACTGAAGGAGCTTGAGCAGTGATACTAATAGACTATATGCGTGCGCATCGGTTATTATTCGAATGGCATGAACTTGAGGTGATTCGGTAAAAATAATATTATATGATCGATAAATGAAAATAAATTCGGATGGCGTTACGTGTGCCCTGTACCTCGAGTAACGCTCCCCATTGACGTGAGTACGCTCTGTCAGTCTGTCCCAACTTAGTCTCGCTCTGCTTTCGGCCTCTTTCATCCTCAACAACGTCGCCTCCTCGCCTAAGCCTTTGTCGACGATAATCCCAGCCGTGGGTCGTCGTGTTGTCTGCGGTCGACCAACAATAAACCTTGTCCATCGCCTGTCACTACTCTCGTGACCGACACTGCCTGGGAGCGTTGGGATTATGAGCGAAAACGAGCTGGCCTACATGAGAGGCAACGACGACTTTGACCTTCCTCGTTACGCCCAGGATTCATTCACAAGCTTTCACGATCCGCCCTTGTCGTCGTCCTCTGCCCAGGCTGCACACGCAGCCCAGCAGGCGGCGTACGCAGGTTCGCCGTACAGCGCTCCACCGCCGCCGCAGAGCGCCTCGTCTCGGCAGCCTCCCGTAATCAATACGCATCAGCCGCTTTCTGTGCAACACGACGCTCCAGCGTCAGCGCGAAATCCACGCATTCCGCATCTCTTCGACAACGATCCGCAGACAGGCAGCCAACAGTATCTCTCGACAGGTCAACCGAATTTGTCGCGCAGCGCGTCGCTCGGGAACACCATTGGCAGCTCAGCCACTGGTTTTGCGGCGCGTCGAAATCGTCCACACATGCAGAACGACCTTGAGAGTGCGTATATGGACGACGGTGTGCAGGGAAGTGCCATCGCTGGCGAGCGGCCGCCGCACCAGCAGCATCGTTCACTTGGCACATCGCAGCAGATCTCTCAGTCGTTTTATCCACCAAGTGTCGCATATTCGGCGACCCAACAGTCTCATTTGCCTACTCACTCCGCGCATTCGAGTGTCGGCAGTGTAAATGCAGGTGATGCATATCAGGACGGCCACTTTTCTGGCACGCCGACTCAAGCGCGGCGACAAACAGGTGGAGTTAAATTAGAGGATGTATCAGGCGATGTAAGGAGTACAAGGCGAGTACAGGGAGCCGGACAGGGTGGAACACCACTTTTAGATCCATATTCTCAGCTTCAACAACTCAGTTCGCAGAGTCCGGCGACAGCATACTCGCCAACATCAACTGCGTATCAATATTCGAGTCCAACGGAGATGCCTGCAGCCTCACCATATCAGCCACAACAGGCACCAACCAAAAGCAGCACTCAGCATCAACAGCCATCACCAATTGGTTCGCCATTTGCTGGCCAGCGGACTCTGCCAGCTCCTCCATCGCAGCTTTCTTCTCAGTACTCCCATTATCCCATGGATACGACATCGCCCGGTCCCTCGCACTCTTCACAAGGCACACATACGAGTCAGCCTCACCATTATTCTTCGCAAAGCACAATGCCACTTCGACAGAGTCTGTCAACACCAAATACGCCGCTGTCATATCAGCATGCCCAGCAGTTAGCACAGGCACAATACCACACTGCCGAACCTGACGACGCGATGGCGGTCGAAAATACGCAGAAACGCCACCGTGCCTCGGGTTTCCGAAGGGTACGCGACCAGCGAGACTTGAAGCCTTACGTAAATGCCCAGCCTGCTGGGCGAAGAGGGGACGCAAACGGACAGTTCTTGTCGGTACGTCATAATGGTTCTCCAGTGTTTTGATGGATATTGATTAATATTGTACACGCGCTGGTTGTTTAGCCTTTGAGACAACTTACCACGGACATCACGGACACGTATCATATTTGTAACCCTCAATTCCATTATGAATCTGCAAGCAACCCCCGGCGTGTCCTCACGAAGCCGAGCAAGCCGATGCACAATGACGGGTTCGACAATGAGGATTATGATTATATCCTCTATGTGAATGACTGGTTGGGCTCGGAGCAAAACAAGTACGCGTTATTTTAATATTTATCCATTTAAAAAAAAAGCATTCTAAATTGAGATTTAAAGCAGGTACCTTATCTTAGATGTCTTGGGTCAAGGCACGTTCGGGCAGGTAGTGAAATGCCAGAATATGAAGACCCATGAAATTGTGGCCGTGAAGGTTGTGAAAAATAAACCAGCATACTTCAATCAAAGTATGATGGAGGTGACAATACTAGAGCTGGTGCGTGCCGAGCCAGGAAAGTAAAACCTGAGGCTCACAAGTTACAATGTATAGCTCAACAATCAGTGCGATCCTACTGACGAGCACCATATCCTACGATTACGAGACTCGTTCATCCATAAGAATCACCTGTGTCTTGTTTTCGAACTCCTTTCCTCTAACCTTTACGAACTTATCAAACAAAATCAGTTCCAAGGTCTGAGCACTCAACTTGTGAAGGTTTTCACAGCCCAGCTCCTCGACGCACTGAGTGTACTGAAGGATGCTCGACTCATACATTGCGACTTGAAGCCCGAAAACATTTTGTTGAAATCGTAAGTTATCTTCAACGCATATACTCTTACAATTGAAAAGGTGACACTTGGAATCGCAGACTGCAGTCGCCTACTATTAAGGTTATTGACTTCGGTTCGGCTTGCCACGAACGGCAGACTGTGTACACGTACATCCAGTCTCGATTCTACCGCTCACCGGAAGTGTTGCTTGGAATCCCGTATAATACGGCAATTGACATGTGGTCCCTGGGGTGCATTGCTGTAGAGCTCTTCTTGGGGCTGCCGTTGTTCCCGGGAACTAGCGAATACAACCAGATCACCCGAATCGTGGAGATGCTTGGGTATGATTCTCTATTGAACTTCTGTTTCACTGCAGACTCTTATTTTTTCCTTAGTCTTCCGCCAACATATATGTTAGAAATCGGCAAACAATCAGGTCACTTTTTCGATTCGTATATCGATCATTACGGACAGAAGAAGTACCGTCTCAAGAGTATCGAGCAGTACTCGAGGGAGCGGAACACTCAGGAGCAGCCAGGCAAACAATATTTCAAAGCGACTACTCTTCCGGATATAATTAATGGCGCACCGATGCCGAACTTTAAGAGCTCATCGAAGTCCGGACATGAGGTCGAGAAAGGTTTATCAGTGCCTGTCATTCATACAAGAGTTCTTACTGATTCCGCATTGGTCTTCCAGAACTGATGAATCGTGCTGCGTTTATCGATTTCTGTCAGGGTTTGCTAAACTTGGATCCTATGCAACGATGGACTCCGCAACAGGCTCGGATGCATCCATTTATCACGGGTGAGAAGTACACTAGGCCCTTCGTAGTACGTCATCCCCGTTTGTCGCCATAACCAAAAGCATTTACCACTGCTTCTAGCCGCCGAGTCATCTGAATAGCGCAACGTCAGCTGCTGCGGCTTCAGCTTCTCAGTCGCCTTCGAATGCACAAGCAGATCCAAAGCGGCCATACGGCGGACTCGTCCCTCAGCAACCGAAGGGCCAGCGTGCGTATCAGGATGCGGCGGCATACAATCAACATCTTGCACAACATCAAGCATATACCGCGCAGCAGCAGGCGGCGAGTCAGGCAGCGTCGAATGTGTACCGCAATCCATACGTAAACCCGCAGCCTCAGCAACAGCCGGTCCAGGCATCGGCGCAATCACAACGACAGGAGGCGCAACATTACACTTCACCTGCTCAGCAGGTTCAGCATGGCGCCGTGGGACATCATCCTGCGAGTGAGTGTCTTCAACAAGTTAGTATTATCTTGGTGCTTACTACGAGACATCTTTCCACCTACAGACTTGAGCATTCCACCAAGTTCTCATCCTAACCCGCCGTCGAGTGCTTACTATCCAAATTCCCGGGCTCGTGCAAATACGATTAATAACATGGATGCTATTCCGCCTGCTCTCGCTCGACTGCAGCATATGAACCACGACGTTATTTCTGGTAGGAATGCACTCACACCAGTGCTTAATCGTGATGATGCGATGCGCGAATGGGAGAGACGCCAGGCCGGCAAAGCTGCAGCTACGCAACCATATCAGCCTTTGGAGTATTTACATCAGCAAGCAGAATTAGCCGCAGCGCAGGGATACGCTACTTGGAATCAACAGCGTTCTGGACATCGGTACCCTGCACAACCGTCATCGTTGTCGCAGTCCTATCAGTCAGCGAGTATTGTCGTAGATGATCCGTCAGACAGGAGAGAGGTTGTTATGTCAAACGTACGTGCCGCTGCGCGTGGTGATCAGCAGTCGCTTTACGGTTCGTCGAACCCTGCGAACTTGTCGAGTCCACCACAAGCATATTCTGGCAATTCTGCCCCTTCAAGTGCTCGGTATGCCAATTCATTTTCGGCCCAGCAGCAGCAGGCGCACCCACAACAGCAGCCATCAAATGCTCCTTTTGATGCTCTTGACCGGGGTCGTGCGGACATTGCGACGATGTACGTTCCAATGCAGCCTGACCAGTATCAAAGTGCATATGGACAGTCGAATCAAGCTTCACCTGAAAATCGGGGAGCGAACCAAACTGGCGGAGCTGGTGGACCACAATCATTTTACAATGCGGGTGTTGTTGCAGCTGGTGGTGCACAACGCAACCCATTCGTAGGGCAAGCACAAAACTCTCCACCGAGCGTCACTCAGCGAGATGCACAGCGTTCAGCGAACGGAATGGATATTTGGCCTCGGTGAAATCAGCTCGACGGAATTTCAAGTCTTTACCGGCTTCATCTCCCCCAGACCCCAATCATCATCGCGTGTGCTAATAAATCTGTTGATATTTCCCGTTTCTCTTTCTTGTTCCATCCCAACAATCCTGTTCGCAACAAGCATTCCCAGTTTACACAATTCGCCCGTGTTGTTGACCCGAAATTGAAATGCTATCGCATTTTCTCACTCGTACTGGCACTGCTACTTTGTGCGATGATGTCGACAGCATTGTTTCACTTTTCCACGTTCCATGGTTTCACGTTGTACATGATACCTTGCAATGCAATGCATGCTAGCTCGTAACTCCCTGCCTGTCTGTTGTATTCGACAGGAGTTATTCATGATGCGTGGGCAACTTATTCATGTGCTTATTCGAAATTTGTAACGGCTTCGTCGAGGGCCGTTGTTGATGTTCTCCTAAACTTTTTGGACTCCCATTGACTAGGTGATAACGAATTGTCAGTTCGGTAGATTCGCAAGGTTTATGTGGATACTCGTGGAAGGAACATGTCCACGTAACTATTTAACTAATGACATACACAGTAGCCTTGGTCAACTTGTGGAACAGGTTGGACGGCTTCCTCTCTTCGGGTGATATTTACGGAACATATCTGGATACTGGACAACTTTGCACACACTATCTCTCATCTTGGAGCAAGACAGTGATTTATGGCCATTGTGAACTGTGAGTGTACCAAAGCTAGTGGTGTTGATGAGAAGATCTAGGTGTCTTATATGATGAGCAAAGTAATCAAATCCGATCCCAGCCCACAATAACCTATGGATAACCGTTCTTGTAACATGCTCGCTGTGAACAGTTCCCAGCTGCAATAGGGCTGAGCAAGTGGCAATACTAACACCTCTTGGTTCATCTAGCAAAAATCAGTTAAAGACATGATGGCTACAGAGGGAAGGGTGGGTGTGTAATTGTCTTATGAAAATTCTAAAGGCTTTCAAAAGAAGGGCACCTTCCCTGCACCTGGATTTACAGAATACCTGGCTGCTTCACTGCTGTTCTAATTTCGACTCAACCAGGGTCCACACTCTTGTATTAAGTATTTCAGTGCACTGGAACAGAAAGGTCACGTGAGAACCAACCTTTTTCTGCAATACAAGAAAAGCAGAGCAAATAAGAAGCCACGATTATATAGTGCCTATTTCGTTTTCCGACTCTCGGATCCCATGTGCTTGCTTTGTCCGAGGTCCGCTGGAGTAGAGGTCGTAATGATTAGAGGACCATTGTCTATTGAACTATTTTGTTTGTTTTTTAAAACTCATCGAATAGCTGCAAAGAGATTGAAACCGTGTAGCAGTTATAACTTATCATCGTCTATATTGACTTTACTTTCCTGATTCCACCTCAAGAGTCAAAGGGAACAGCACTTCTACTACATTATCAATAGGTACCGATATTCAAAGACTATCACGTCATGTATCGAAATCCACTCCATTCATCTCCTTTATCTCTCTTCGCCGCTTCAACGCTGTCGTACCGACCATTCCGTATATCTCCGTGACCGTCTACAGCGTCCCCGATGACTTCATCGCGTTCTCCACGGTTACGATGTCCATTTTCTCTGCGCAATAAAACGTGGAGCGTTATCGAACTGACGAGACCAACTATAGTAGCGGCAACAGAAAAAGAGTTTCCGAGGATGTATCGAGGGGCGTCCTGCTCGCGGAACTACATGTTCTGCACTATTAACTCGATCGCAACAGTGCACGTGGAGGAGCACCGACCAAGTTGATGGAAATAACTCCCACTGAACTTGATCTTCAAATCGTGATTAGCCGAGAATGTCTGGTGCAAGTAGGCGAGAACATGTACATTGATACTATGATCGCAAGAGAAACACTACGCTTGTACGAGTTATGGATATTGTTTGATGACCACGCTCTAAATTTAGACAAGGTCAGCAAAAACCTGATTACTCAAGGTTCTGCAAAGTTTCTAACACTGTGTTCGCTGAACCAGATCAAGTCAACGATATGACATATATGTTTTGATAAGTATGCACTCACCAGTCGCAGGGTACACGGAACTGTTTCAAAATCGTTGTTAGTACTTGCAGTGCATAACAAACATGCATTGGATGCCCGCACAATGCAATCATGTATGTTGCAAAGTATGAGAGAGCCGCATTTCTAGAAAGCATCTGCATAAGACAACCCGTCAACGCTGTAAGTATCGCGTAAGAGTCAAGGCTCTGTATTATGAAGGCGGAGACTTTTTCCTACCAAAGACAAACAGCCCACTAGGCAAAACACGCATAAACAAATAACTCTCGACGAAGATTGAAGGATCTCACATAGAGACAGGGCCACGTATTCTAAACCGGTCGGCAGAGTAGTTAACGAGACACGAAACTGCAGCAGCTACAAGGTGTACAGGTACGGTGAGCAGATTTGCTTTGTTCGCCGTGAAGCCTTGAAGCAAACGTTAAAAAAAGCAAACATTCGTAATCATAGGTTCTCACCTAATTGCGAAATAATAGTCGGAAGGAAAAAAGATATTTTATAGTTCGCAGCAGTTGCACCTGCGATGGGAGAGCAAATCGACATTTGCCACACTTTGTCCAAAATCCTAAAAATCAGCGTACCGCAATTGATGAGCCCCCCAAGCCACGTCTTCCGATCTGTGAAAGCCCTCCGAACATCACGCCATCTCCGCTGTTCGGCGGAGACGGAGAATTGACCACCTGCTTGTAGACGGCGAACGATATAAACACGCTCCTGTTCGGAAAGGAAACGAGCAGTAGAGGGGTAGTCTTGGATGATAATGAACGACGCAATAGACGCCATGACGGTGATAAGGCCTTCTAGAATAAATATCCAAGACCTGTGTCGGACGATATAGACAGGTTCATGCTTGTAATGGTCGATCATCTTACCAAACGGGTTTCCCTGCGACACCATCCATATTTGAAATCGCCGCCTGAAATAGTTGAGTAAGAGACCATATTACTCCATAATATCGAACTTACAGCGAAAAAGCCGTTGAATGCACCAGCAAGGGAAGTCCCAGTGTAGAAAATCGCGAAACGAAGTCCGAATTCGTCGCGTCTATACCAGCTTCCAACAGCATTTACCACTATCAGTATCTAGTGACGATGGACCGTGTGATACCATACCAAGACATATAAAATGCAATACCAGGATAGAAACCAGCCTCGAAGATGCCGAGAAAGATTCGGTTTGCTGTAAGCGTGTCGAAAAGGTCAGACCAATTGTTAGGAGGTATCGGAGAAAATGAACCTAGCAAACCCCCGTAGTTATGAACGAGACCCTGCATTGTCTTCGAAACTTATTCAAGACGATGACCGGTGGCGGTTGGGCTGAAGCAAATTCACGGACCATGGTAATGCCCCATAGAAGCATTATTATCGGTAGCCAAATTGACGGTCTCGTGCGCTTAAGGCACATATTTGCGGGTACCTATGGGCATATGTCAGTACGATCTCCTCAGCTCGCGGCAAAACAAAGGAAGAGAAGTAGAGGCTCACCTCGCAGAGGACGTATGGCACATAGAATAGCGAAAGACAGATCAGATACTGAGCATCCGACAGATGCAGATCTGCTTCCAAATTGTATAGCTGCGGTTTGCCTTGTTGTTAAACCTAAGTTTCAATGATTAAGATGGCTATACGCACGCGTGCATTTCCGATATTCGACCTATCGAGAAAGCAGAGCATGTACAGAAAAGCAAGCCAAGGGATTATAGTGAGATCAATACGACGCAGGACTCGTTTCTCGTTGATTGTGTTGTTTGACTCCTCGGTGCCTAACCCTTCTAAACTTGCTTTCTCGACGGTGTCGGACAGCGGTTGCGATTTTCCGGATTCCATGTCGAAGCGTGGTTCCCCTGCATTGTAATTAAAGGTTTCTGGTTTCATGTTGGTTAGTTTCTCGTCTATCATCTTGGAGGTCGGAGTGATTCCTAACTCCGAGAGTAAGCTCGCTTTATAAGAGTGGCATTTACGTTCAATGAATGCGCCGTGCCGCGCGGACCTGAGTCCACAGTGCTGTTTATAGTCGAGATCATCGGGGCAAGTGTACTAGGCTTCGAAAAGTCCATGTTTGGACTGAACATGGTATATTTGAACGATAAAGGAGAGGTCATCGGATGGGCGTGGACCTCGCGGAAGTGCTCGAGAATCTTTTACAAGATTATTATACCACCAGTCCTTGAGATAAGCTGATTAAAATAGCGGATCAGCACGGAATATGTTTCGTCAAGTATTTATACGAGGAACCTCAGGCAGCTCATCTCTTAGACAGCATCTTCTATCAGAAATAAGTGGATGACTGCAATGCACAACTTGGTAGAGAGCTTAGGTACCCTGTCAGAAAAGAACAGCTTCGACAGAATGAGAAAGCGAAGGATACTTCCCAGCCTTCTGTAATGCAGAGAAGCAGTTCCCAAGTATAGTACCAGGGCATTTTCGAAGCAAGATAACCACTCACAGATTGTCAAGTAACGTGTGGAGAAGTCAGACCTGCAGATATATCACAACTTTTCCCACCTTCGTTAGTGTGATCTGACCGCATGACCGATCAGACAACGTTCAGCGAAGTAGACGGAAATAGAAACGGAAAAACAAGCTCATAAAGTACTTACTTCTACACGCCGACTTTCGGAAGCCCTGTGCTTGTTTGGTGCAAGACCTACCGAAAACAGAGGACCTAATGAACGGCTCTGCCTCCCTGATTCTATACACAATAGCGATGCATGAAGAGTATGGTGTTCAATGACGGCCTGTAGATCGGTCCACGTGCAGTCACGCGTTAGGTCGACCAGTCATATGAAAACTTAGAGCATATTGAGCGGCGGTTGTTCAGAGAAATGACAACGTAAGAGATGTGCTGTAATGTTGAGAAGATTCATTAGTGACATGACAATTCAGGAGAACGTTCGTAGCTTGAGTCGGGAAAGCATTTGCATCAGTAGCGCAGATGAATCGTTGTCGATCGTGGACAGTAAAGAACAACTGAGCAAACCGGCAGCTACTCCTGTTTCTTCAAGCTAATGCGCAAAGAATTTGTTCATCTCTGGTCACGTATGGATTGAGGATACGTTCAAGGTGCTTGGCTCATAACTTGGTTGCTATGACCAACAGCGGAGCTCCATGATCTGCAGCAGTAAAAGAATTGATATTTTTGGAATAGAGGCAAGCGAAATAGAAGGGTTGACGGTATGGACCAGATGCTGAACCACAAATTTGCAGAAACCAATTTGGCCTTGAGTATATTGTTTTGCACTCATTGGCTGGCTAGTTGTCGTCGATTAAAACAGCCGCACTGAGTAGCAAATGTTTCGTAAAGTATTCATCCGAGGAGTTGGAAGCAGCTCTTCTCTCAGGAGGCAACTTCTCACCGAGACAACGCAGGTGGCATTGTATATCAGAAGCAAGTGGCTGCTTGCGTACTACACCAAGGCGGAGAGCTTGGGCAGCATTGTCAGAAAGGAACGACTTCAATAGGACGGATAAGCAAAGAATGTTGCCCATAAATGTTCGGTTCATCCCAGAAGGTTCCAAGAAATAGTATTAGGACGTTCGAAGCAAGACGGCCACTTGCACTTGGTAACTGGTAGACAACGAAGGCCTGAGGAAGATCGCCCGATTTTGTGAAGTATCTACGATCACGTGATAGTCAGACGAGTCGGTTCGCGATTGACCATTGCAAATTAATATTATTTTAGCCTCAAACCCCCATAATATCACCATTGTGTTTTCAGCATGGCCAGTGTAGCAAACAAGCAGCAGCCTCTTTTCCTTAACCACAAATTTGCTCCCACTATGCAAGCTAGTGAAGTGACTGCCATCCCAAATCCATTACCAGACTACTGGTCTTAAGTGACCACAGAATCCACCTGTTTCCTGACATCCCTCAGAGGTTACCGGGCTCGTATACCACTCAGCAGGGCAGAAATTTCGCCAATTGAGAGGCTCTTTCGTCTAATCAGTTGTTCCTGACAGAGGCCTGAAGACTATGTATCAGTTCCAGAGAGTACACATCAATATGGTATGTCTTATGCAGTGAAATATTACACTTTTTTAACCAAGTTTGCAGCCGAAACAGAGAGATTCAGGAGTTGTAAAAAAGTGTTACTGATAATCAAGATATATTCAAAATTTTGGCTCGCCTTGCAGTATCTCTTTTTCTGCGATACGACCGATGGGGTCAGTTCGAAGATCTAGTAGAAGCCATTAAATTGGGCCGGTCCGACCTAGAGCTTTGCCCCGAAGGCCATTCTGATCGTTCTCTCTCTCTAAACAGTCTCGCAGATTCTCTGCTCACTCGCTATGAGCATCAAGGAAGGACAGAGGATCTTGAAGAGGCTATTGAGTTGCATCGAGCCGCTCTCGAGCTTCGCCCTAAAGGTCACCCCGATCGTTTCTTTTCTCTTAGCAACCTTGCAAGTTCCTTGAACACCCGATATGAGCAGTATGGAAAAGCTGAAGACCTTGAAGAGGTCATCAAGATTCAACGAGCAGGCATAGAACTTTTTCCGGAGGGCATCCTAATCGTCCTGTCTTTCTTAGCAACTTCGGAGTTACCCTGCACAGGCGATACAAACAACAGGGAAGGACAGAGGATCTTGAGGAGGCCATTGAGCTGAACCGAGCCTCCCTGGAGCTTTGCCCCGATGGTCATCCCTTTCGTTCTGTCTCTTACCGACCTTGCATTCTCTTTGTTCACTCGATATCAGCAGCATGGAAGACCAACGACCTTGAGGGAGCCATAGAGTTCTGCCAAGCCGCTCTCGAGCTTCGCCCCGAAGGCCATCGCGATCGTCCTATGTCCCTTAACAATCTTTCATCATCGCTTTTGCGCTCGATATGAAGAACGTGGTAGGACTGAGGATCTCGAGAAGGCCATTGAGTTGCTCCGAGTCGCTGTGCAACTTTTTCCTGGAGGTCATCCTTCCCGTTCTGTGGCTCTGAACAGCCTTGCGACTTCACTGCGCAGTCTATTCGAGCAGCTCGGAAGGCGTGGGGACCTTGAAGAGGCTATCGAGCTGAACAGAGCTACCCTGGATCTTCGTCCTGTAGGCCATCCCCTCCGTTCGTCATCACTGAGGAACCTTGCAATTTCCTTATATGCTACAGTCGAGCAGCAATAGCACGCGGAAGAGTTGCAAGAATGCCTGCAATTACTGGAACAGGTTGCCATGTATGAATACTCGGGATCATTGGACCGCCTGTCTTCTGCGCGCAGATGGGCAGAACTTGCACGAGTGCACGACCATGAGACCACCTTTGCAGCCTACAAAATGACGATATCGCTACTTCAACTTGCTCTCACCATAAGCCCGACTCTCGACGCACAACACGACTTCATTATTGGGATCGATGAAGACAGACTGTGTCCTACATCCGTGTTGTCCGCTCTTCCGTTCCATGCAGCAGGGCTAATTGAGAATGGAGATGGTACTACAAAGTACATATTAGACGATTATGTCTCATCGTATACGCCGACTCTCGGGACCCTCATTAATTCACGGTCCGGCAGCTGCGAAAACGATCCAACTGGGCTTGTGATCGGAGACACCTCACTTCGGTCAGCAAAGGAGATTTCCAATGTCCGAAATTCCGGCATGAGCACTAAACTACTCGTTGGCAAGGAGGCGTCTTGCGACAGAGTGATCACAGCCTCCAGGAAGCAAGAGGGGTCCATTTTGTTTGTCATGGGTCTTTAGATTCAAAGGTTTTTGGCTCATCCTTCCACCTATTCAATCGTCATCTGACAATGCTTGATATCATCCAAGCTAGTCTTCCAAATGCGGAGCTCGAATTTCTTTCTGCATGCCATACGGCTGAACAGCATCGCGAGGGTGCATATGACGAAGTCCTTTACCTCGCAGCGGCTGTGCAATTTTTTCTGGTTTTCGAAGTGTGATCGGTTCAATGTGGGAGTTTCTTGATACCGATGGACCTGCATTTGCGAAGATCATCTATGAGTACATAAACGATTGCGACGAGGGAGAAGCGAAGCATAAGAGGGCGGCTGGAGGCCTTCGGAAGGCGGCTTCAGAGCTGAAAGCACGAGACGGGATTCGGACTGAGCGATGGGTCGATCTTGTGCATATAGGTGCTTGAAGGAAGTTCTAATAAGTTATGGATTACGTACGTTTATTATTGTCATCTATTGCCAATAACGTATCTCGACGTCTTTAACACTCTTACACATGTATGAGTCCTCCGTTACCAAGCCCAGATAGCAATTTCTCACAGCAGGTCTCAGGTGCCAACCGAGTGCAGAAATCGAAGAGAGGTAAAAGTAATACGATGTGTTTCCACTTCCTTGGTAAAGAGGACCATAGTCTTGAATACATGATCTCGCACTATTCTAGGCCGAGAACAAACATGAATTGTAACGTCAGAAATCATTACAACGGACAACTTCGAAGATTCTCACCTGCAGAGAATGCTGGCTTCTAGTAAAGAAACTCTCAAACTAGATTACTACAAAGAACGATTGTCAATTAATTGTTCAACACTAACTCCTACAAACCACAAAAAAATACAGCCAGTTCACAGGACCTATTGTTACGGCTCGGTCCCGTACCGTATTATACGGATACGGCATTTTCGTATACGGTGCCGTACCGTATCCGTATAAAAAATTTGACTCAAAAATACGGCACGTATTTTACGGGCCGTAACCGTATATAGTCTGTATAATACGGACCGTATACGCCTGTATACGATATACGGCTACTAAATGAAAGAAACTCTTGCTCTAAACATAATACTGAAGCTCTAATAAGTAGTATTCAATGTTCAGACACTTATACTAGCATTTACTAATATATTCAGCACTATTATTGTAAAATATGTGCAATCTGATATATATTCCGATATATAGGTACATCACATGACTCGACTTTATGACAAATATCACAGACTAAATTACATAACAAAATGTTAATAAGTCAAATTTTATACATTTCATGTAGATTAAGGCATAATATAGGTAGAATTCAATATTTCTATACTAAAGAGGTAATATCACAATGATGTAGCCCCTTACATTTCATGCTACACCTTGGTAAATGTAGCAACTACGCCGTATCCGTATATGGCGTATACGTTCCGTATACGGCCGTACCGTATCCGTATAGGTTTTCGGGTGCACCGTATTATACGAGCCGTATCCGTATAAGGGTCGTATAATACGAGCCGTATCCGTATAAGGGTCGTATAATACGGCCCGTATCCGTATACGGTACGGTACCGAGCCCTACCTATTGTATAGCATACACACATTGCTGCAGTTACGAGTGTTAACATAAACCGGTTGCAAAGACCTTGAGAGAGCTGCCTATGAATGCAATATGCTATCGCAAAATTCTATCAGCTAATTCACAAGATATCCATATAGAACATGTAATGCCATTGTTGAAATACCATTGTGATTTCTACATGATGAAATCAGTAGTGTAACCCGTATTGTGATTCCGCAACATTGATCTTGTGCCCGAGAAGCTATTCTAACCTAACTCTCTACCCTCATGTTATTTCCGCGCGAGCCTCTTCCGGTCGACATGCAGGGTGTCCTCCATGTGGTTTAATTATAATTGATCGAAATGCTCTTCTACTTCCCAAGCTCCGCCCCAGTATTTAATTTGGCATCTAACACCGCCTTCTCCCTCGATACGACGTTGTAATCCCCGATAAGTCCTGCATAAAATCAAATCCTGCCTATATGCGCGGAAAATTATAGCATTAGTTGCGTTGAAGTCGACGAACAGTACGTACTCCCGAAGACGTATGACGGGGCAGAAGTCATTACTACCATCACCGACGTATATCACTCTGTCGTAGGTATCGTGCTCTTTCAAGAATGCATCTAATTCATCACCTACGTGGTGCATTTGTTGAGGTCAGCAAATATTCCTATACGTAAAGGAGTGGGTTATCCTAGTTAGTAGATAAACTACCTTTGCACATGTTAGGGCTGCATCCGATCTTGCAGTTGTGCTGAGGTCCAGACGGATCAACACGCCTACGAAGTTTGAGTAGACCGGTGGGCTCCCACTCAGCTGGATTCGTCACGACTTTGTCAAATAGACTGGTAATCCCTTTCTCCTGTCGTACATATAGTTTCAGAAATAATTATGCTTATACTTCCAATATGGTGCAGCGAGGGGTAGTGTACCTCAAGGATTGTGGAAATAAATACTGAGTTCGAATTCGAGAGGATGAAGAAGGTGGTGTCGAGATCGGAGCGGTTCTTTAATTTCTTAAGTGCTCTGACCATGGCAGGGTGCTATGTGAATGCATATTATGGTCCGGATCGCGTGAATTGAGAAAGGTGACGAACGAAAGGAATTATCTTTAAGGCGTTCTCAATATCCTCGCGACTCTTTCCTTCTGCATAGACTTCACATAATGATTGAGCTCTTCATGAGTAATTTGCCCGAGCATCAGCCTGCAGATCGACGTGTTACTAGGATAATTTTTCATACACGAGATCAGTCCATTGCACGGTCGATTTAAGATCTTTCATCTTTCTTCGCAGGTGAGGAGCTAGGACCTCGAAGATCCATCTATCCGTGTCTTGGTCTGCCAAAGACCTACAGCACATTAGACCGTGTATTCAAACGAATACAGCAACTAGATTCTCGTACCAGTCGAAGTCAAAGACGACGAGCTGTTTCTTGACTTTCTGAATCTGGGCCATTGACGTGGTTATATGCAGAAGACAAGAGAACTTCAAATAATAAAAATTGAAAAATGTGCGTACGGCAACTGCCGACATTTGAGGCGCGCCTGCTTGGGCGATCTGTCGACAGGGTCTAATGCCTACTACGACGACCTATTTGGTTCGCGCAAAGGCTGCCTACAAAAAGACTCCTGGTCTGCTTGAACTCACTCCGACACACCTCCAATGGACTGCATCTGGAAAGCAGGCGCCAGACCTTCGTATATCGAATGGAAAAGCAGCCTGTAATTCTCATCAATTTTATGTAGAAAGACGCGTCACACTGACCGCATCTCCCTTCAGCCCTCTTCTGCAGCAAGGAAGGTTCGGCACAAGTGAAGCTCAAGCTAGGATTAGTCGGTGACGATGCAGGACATACCTTCTTGTTCACGTCCTCGCAGGCGACTGCTGAGCGGGAGTCCTTCAAAAAGGAGCTCCAGACCATCATTTGGAACAATCGTGCTTCATCTGCCGCAACGCCCGCTGACTCAACAATATCTGGCTCTGTAACTCCGTTACAACAGGCCCTGCCAGGTCGAGTGGCTATGAGTACCGCTCCATCAGTTTCACGCGCGACTTCTGTTTCCAGTACAGGACGTGCCTCCTCGTCTGGCCCTGGTGGTCCTGCGGAAGACTTCCGATTACGAAAGAAAGTGCTCTTGAAGAACGCTGAACTTGCCTCTTTGCACCGCGAGCTTGTAATGTCCGGCCAAATTACGGAAACTGAGTTCTGGGAAGGTCGCGAAGTACATGCCTTCTTAAGTTAATGTTTAAGCACCCGTCTTATTCCATTTTTTGTAGCAACTTTTACTTGCAGAAGCCTCGCAGGAAACTCAGAAGAGAGGAAGACCGGGTCAGCTCGTCGACCCTCGCCCAGAGACTGTTGCCGGAGGGGATATCAAGATCGTCATCACGCCGCAGCTCGTCCACGATATCTTTGAAGAATATCCTGTCGTTGCCAAGGCTTATAACGAGACCGTTCCACGACAGGTAGTCAACTCGGATAAATTACTATTTTTCTGCTAACTTATGATTCACAGCTTTCTGAAGCCGAGTTTTGGAAGCGATATTTCCAATCAAAACTCTTCAATAGACACCGGGCGTCTATCCGTTCGTCTGCTGCTCAGCACGTCGTAAAGGATGACCCAATATTTGATAAATACGTTGAGGAAGAAGACGACGGTAGGGTACCCCCCTACACATCGTAAGCTATTCCTGGCATACTTACTATTGCTGAAAAAGGTTTGGAACCTCGCCGTCAACGTGACAATGATGTGGAGATGCTTGTCAACCTGCTTGCTACACAAGAAGATCACTCAGAGGTTAGTAGCCCTATGAGATAAGCACGATCTGATACTCATGATATGATCAGACAGGCAACCAAAAAGATACTACAATGCAAGCAGGAAAGACGCGGGCGGCTTTGCCTCTTATCCGAAAGTTCAATGAACATTCGGAGAGGCTCTTGAATGCTGCAGAGTAAGGTCTTTGATAGGTTGATCCTGATTCACTTGTTGACTTCCTAGCAGAGGCAGTCCGACGAAGAGACGAAGAATAGACGAAGCAAACGAGGTACAGATTCCTATTATGGCTCACTTTCTGCAATTTCTTGCTAATGGCTAACCTATCCTCCAGTCGTTATATGCACAAATAGACTTAGACGATTTACACGACTCGCAATCCGCCGATGGAATTATCCTGGAGATGAAAGATCGAGACCGGTACTTCGACGGTCGAGCAACAGGCAACTCAATGGATGTTGATGGTGAAGGCGTGAGTCTCTGCTTAAGCATTTTGCAATAGATTGACATATCATTGTTCGCAGCGACCACCCTACAAGGCAACGCTTTCGGAGACACGTAATCAGATGGATAATTGGAATGTCGGCCTGGCTAGTGTAAGACATTGATGACTGTTGAACCCTGACATCACTTATCTTACTGGGCTAATGACAGCTGAGGATTGACAAGAAGGCCGGGGATGCAGCACTGCAGACCATGACTCAGAATGTACTGGCACGGCTTGACGTTAAGATGCAGAAAAGTACGTTATTATTATACCGGTTTTGAAAAGGAAATCGTTGACTAATTACCAAACTGTCAAAGATGACATTCCGGAGGGACTTTTCTCACAGATGCGCACATGCCAAACGGCAGCAAACGAGTTCCTCCGTCAATTCTGGTCGGCCGCGTTTCCGTCTCCGGCAGATGGAAGCACGCTTGGAATGGCTTCGCCTGCTCAGAGAGCGGCAAAGTCCGCGAAGATGGCGGGATATCTCGCCAAGACTCCAGAGAAAATAGACGCAATCATCGCGACGGCACGTAACTCAGGTGTTGACGCAGCAAAGATCGAAGTGGCGATGAAACCCGTGTTGACTGCAGTTGAGAAAGCATTACAGTTCCATCAGACTCGCAAGACACCTCGTTAAAGACATTATTGGCATTATACATTTTCTTCCCTTCAGCAGTAAACAACTCTCCATCATCAATCCTCATCTCTCAGCAACGTATTATATAATAGTATATTGAAGACATAGTGCTTGTAATTTCTATGATTGCTTGAAATAATATTACTTTTAGCTTGCATCCAAAGTCATCATTGTAAACACGTGATTTTTATTACTTTCGAATCGAATTCTCGTATACATACATCGTTCCTAAGAACCGCGACATGCCGCATAAAAGAGCAAAGCGCTCAATACGAGAGCGAACAAAAACAGAGAGGTAAGCACAAGGTCTGATATCCTAATCGTTCCTTTCTCACGAAATCCATCGTATCATCAAAGAAAATTAGACCTTCCACCGTCAGAGTCTACCTTTGCGCAAAATGACATTCCAAAATCGATGGCCCGTGTTTTAAATGCAGAAATTGTCCAAAATGCATGGAGGGAGAAGAAGAGAGCTCTTGACTCAGAGACTGGTGGTGTAGAAAGTGGGTCTAAACGAAAGAAGAGGAAGACAGAGGGCGGAGGGACTGAAAAGGCGGAGATTAAGATTAAGCCGGGTGAATCCTTGAGGCATTTCAAGAGGTATGCTACAAACTAACTCTTATAATTTTGGTGATCTGGTATTTACGAAATGTCTCTTGAAACAGGCGTGTTGAGGACGATATGCGACCCCTTGTACGTTCGGCTATGAAGAATGCGACGTCTGTCTCGAAGCAGAAGAGCAAACAATCACAAAAGGATGTCGAGGCTATCACTAAGTCGTCGGCATCGAAATCTAAGCAAGGGAGGGCAGATGACAACGCGGATTCGGATTCAGAAGACACCTCGACCCACAGACGAAAAGGAAAGGGACGTCAAAATCGAAGTCCAAGCCCTGACTTTGCTCGCATCTCTTCCTCTATGCCGAAACGTCTGAACGACGTCGCACAAGCACCTCCTGAGTTGAAAGCTGCTCCGCGACTAAATCGGCTAGTTCGGAAGGCGCAGGCGGGGAAAAGCGGGGGTATGAACGGACGTGAAGATAACGTTGAAGACGACGGTATTATTACTCTACAGCAGAAGCGGATGATGGAATTGGAGAGGGAGAAGGCGATTAATCGATATAGGGCACTCAAAGAGGCAAAGCTAAAGGAGCGACACACAGATACAAAGGTACCGTCATGACATTCTTGTATGTACATGTTGCATAGAACATACATTTATCCTTCAAGTTCTTCAAAAGCCATCGCTGGCATGAATTGTTCATGTAGAGTTTATTCCGCACAATTGAAATGAATAAGTAAACTCGAAAACATGTAAACGCAAAATCAAAAGAATATGTATGCGATGAGTGATCAATAAGGATATTTATCTAATTATGTATGGGATTTGGCTGAGTCCGCACAGCAGAGTCCGATGATGTTATGCATTCGTACGTAGTGAACATAACGAGCACATGCAGCGCGAGAGCATAGAGAATAAAGAAATTGCGAGCTCTCCGATTCCCGAGAATAGCTCGTGTCAAAGTCAATACTGCCTTTTCTAAAGGATTTAGCGCTTGGAACGCCCGAGCAGCTTCCTACATGACCAGAGAATTTCTTCAGTCATTGAACCTTAGCCTATTTGATGCATGACTTACCCGTCCTCTGAATGCCTCGAACGGATTCATGGCCTCCTCATAACGAGCATGATACTTGCTCAAATCGTCTTGACGTGCAGCAGGCAGAGGGTTTAATTGGGCCTGCGCATCTTCCCGATAACTCTGCATGTATCGTACTTTCTCATATAATTTTAGGTTGTCCGTCTGGAGAGCCTTGACTTCCGAACGTAATTCCGATAATGTCTGGAATTGCTTGCGAAGTTCCTGTCATCAGGAAACAGTATCAATGAGCACTTTACTTAAAGGATGGAGGGAGGTAGTGGATATACGCACCTCTTCTAGTTCGGAATTTCGTTGACGGAAACGATCACGTTGACTCGTAACAATCGGTAAAATCGACGTATCGGCAGAAGATGCAAAGGGTATTGGGGTGGACCTCGCAGACGTATTCTACACGGTAGCAACGTTTAGGCGCATTAGGCTGTCAAATCAGCTGTCTACTCACCTGTGATGACTTTGTTCCTCCAAGATCTAGGTCAGCGATACCAAGGCTTTCCTTTGATTTTTCTGTCCCAGATGACGCTTGTATACCATTTACTGAAGGGTTGTGCGTCTCGAGTTGCAGAAGGTCCAGCTCGAGTTTCTCATTCAACGAACGCTTCTCCTCAAGTTCCGATTTAGTGATTTGTAACTCTTCTGCTAGTTCGGCCATTCGTGCCTCAAGATCGCTATGTGCAACCTAGAAACAAGTTAAAAGACGCGCATAGGATGTCTGCCTGGGAGACGTACTCTCAATTTGGTCAACTCCTCCGTGATTCGCTTATTCTTGGTCGCGAGGAGTGTCTCTAATGAGTTGCTTTGCTGTTGCTGAGCGGTCAGTTTCGCAGGATTAGGACTTGGAAGCGCAAGACCGAGTGAGTTGCCGTCAACGATATAGCCGTCCTCAGTGACATGCTCGTCTTCATCCATCCCACCAAACTCTACGAACTTCAAAAGAGTAAATTGATATTCATGAGCATGAGATTGGAATGGACTAGAGCATATGAACACACTTTCATGATATCCAATTCTCGCTTTATCTCGTCATAATCCGAGTAAAGATCGAGTTTTTGTTTAAGATTTGCCAATTCTGCATTCTGCATGAAGCAGGAATATTAGCACACATGTCAAGTGGAGCGTATAAAGGACTCACCCGAAGCGACAACTCCCTTTCCTTTTCGTCGATATTCTTGCGCAGATCGTTCTCGGTCTCAGCGTGAGTCGCTTTTTGCATGTCAAGAACACGCGACAAACGCTCAGATTCGGTCGTAAGGTCTGCTATTTGTTGTTCAAGAGGGGCAATCCTGGTAGACATTTATTAGTCCAAAGGCGGGTTCGTGTATAAATCACCTCACCTGCTGGCAGTGTCGCTGCCACTTCGCACGGATTCGATCTCTGCACGGAGAAGTTCCTAATAAGAAAACCATTATCGAAATTAGTATTTTTCATATTTCGTGAGCTGGTTGGAATACAAACATTTCTTCGCTCTGCAGATGCCACACGATTATTAGCGCGTTCAAGCTCCGCGACGATCATATCAAGCTCTGCAAGTTTAGCCACAGTCTCATGATCTGCAAATAGGTCAGACATTTTCCTAAAGTCGGATGCAATGGTGTAATCTACCTTGACGCTGCGTCTGATCGAGTAACTTGGCCTGATTCGACTCATTGGACATGCGAAGGTCACGCAACTGAGTTTGCGCTAAAGATAGCTGGCGAACAAGGTCTTTCTCTCTGTAAAATAGATATTACAGGTGAGTGCCATATGCCCGACGAGTAGTTGAATAGACTGTGCAGACCTATCTTCGTAGTTTCGTAACTTCTCATCATAAGTTGCATGCAACTCGTTCTCTTTTTGAGATACGCGTTCGGTAATCAGATCCTCCATGCGATCTTCTAGTTGCTGCGCTTTCGTTTCGGCCTTCTTCTTTGCCGCTTCAATACTGGACAGGTCATTGACTTTCCTATTGAGCGTCGCGTTCTCTTCTTTGAGCTTTGCTACTTCTGCCTCAAGTTGCGAGGCTTGTGATGCCTTAATTGTTTGTTCCTAAATAACAAACAATGTAAGATACTTGTTCATATAAGGGTCATAATAGAAGTGAACGCACAACCGCAGCGTCAAGAAGTGGAAATGGATCCGGTGCTTCAGCCAGTTTCTTGTACAAGCTGAGAAACGCATTCTCGGATACTTTCGAGCGTTTCGTAAGGTTGTCTATTTCAGTCTGATAAGCTTCAAAAAGGTCAGTGTCAAACTCAATGATGGAAATGAACCACAGCACATTTCAGCAGGCCTTTCCATGCGCCTAGCTTCTCCTCATCCGGAATCTTTTTGAACTCTGCAAGAAGTTAAGCCATCATGAGACCGACGTATAAAATGGTCTTGTTCACCTTTCGTACGTTCAGCAAGCGCCTTTCGTCCGACAACATTCTCCTTCTGGTTCTCGACAATCTCAATACCTTGAGCATCGAGTGTCTTCTGCAGCTCAGCAAGATTGATGTCTGACAGGCAGGTAAGTACCGGAATAAGTTCATCATTGTACAACACACCTTTCCATGTTGTGAGAGCAGCCGAAAAGTTGCTTTCTGAGGTCATGGTTCTGCGCTGCTAATGGCTGGATGTCTAGCACTCAGCAACGCGACCGGGACTCGCGCAGTGACAAGGGAGCACGTGACATGCAGAAGCTATTCTCATTTTATTCTGGTTTTCGTCGCTGCCGCCATCCAGCATGGCATTCGCCTGCCGTCGAGCGACATCATGTCTCAACCTTCGACCTACACTGTCTTACTCTCGTACATTTTCTAGCTCTTCACGTATCTGTGCGCGCGGAGGACCTCCGGAGTCACCAACATTTTACACTGGGCGCTCTGCTTTCTACGACTACGTTGCTGCTCTGGAACGCGCAATTACACATACTCGCTCGTCATTGAAAACACTTCAACTCGACCCTCTTCCTAAAATTGCTCAAAATTCCCTCCCGCCCCCTGTCTCTGCATGGAAAAGCAAAGACGAGCTCACGAACACGCTTACAGCGAAGCTATCTGCCTCACGACATCGTCGTCTCATCGAACTATTAAACCAGCTCAATGACTTCCGCCGGATCGCATCTACCGCTGGACACGATGATCTTGCACAAGGCCTTGATAGCGTACTCGAGATGTTTGAGCGACCAGACAAGGAACAGCATCTCCGACGCGGTCAACGGAAACCTGCAGTTGTCGATGAATTCGGTCGTGCCTATGCCTACGGTGCTCGTAAAACGAGCTCCGCACGCGTATGGGTAATTTCCTCGGAACACGCTACTGCTGCGAAGGCGTGGGATGGCAATCGAAGCCCTCCCACTACAGAGATCCTTGTCAACAACGTGCCGTTGAACGAGTACTTCAAAGTTCCAGTGGACAGAGAACGCATTCTTCGGCCGTTCAGGGTCGCAGGATTATTGGGAGCATACAATGCATTCGCTATCGTCCGTGGGGGAGGAATCAGTGGTCAGGCTGGAGCTGTTGCGCTCGGAATTGCAAAGGGATTAGCTGCCCATGTTCCTGATGTTGAACTCATTCTGAGACGAGGTGGATCCAACCAGCTTTATAGCTTACTTCATACACTCATTCTTTTTCCTTTCAGCCAAATTACTGCGGCGTGATCCGCGTATGGTGGAACGCAAGAAGACTGGCAGGGCGAAAGCCAGGAAGGGGGTGCGTTCTCTTACTTTCTCAATAATCCTTGAATTCAACCTCACAATTTTGTGCAGTACACCTGGGTCAAGCGTTGACACTTTGCCTCATTTATTCTACCTGGTCAAAAATTTGTTTAATCTGCTGTTATTACGCTCTAGACTATACACCAATTTAGCCCTTACAGCTAAAAAAAAAAAGATGCTATAAAGTTCGGGACCAAACAATCATAAAAATAATTCAGAGAAAAATGTACAGAAAAAAAAGCGAATGTACAAAAGGTCAATCGAGGGAAAGCCCATCATTGTAAGTACAAGGCCTGCACCTCCGACAATGCGAAGGCCAAATTGCATGCAGGACACTTGCGTTGTCGACTTGATATCCGAGCATCAACGCAAACTTTGCAGAAAGCTGATCAAACAATTCAGTCAGCATTTCCAGCTCATTTGTTCACATGTTGGCGAATTGTAGACGTACTGTGCATGCACTTCGTGATAACAGTATTACGCATATGATTCTGGCATAACGAACACTTCAAGAGTTTCTATAGTGTACCACGGTAAGTCAACGAGCACTGACGTAAACATAGGATCGTGAAATAACGTACCAAACACTTATCTACTTCTCTCTGCAAATCTGCCTCCCGTTCAGAAGCAGGTGCAAGCGGCTTATTTACGGACTTCGCCTTCTGAACTGCTCTCTCTGCTTCCTTGGTCGCCTTCAGAAGTTCATCCTTTAGCTTCACGGTCTGCATATTGAGTTCAGCAACCTCTTGCTCGCGTTTCAGCGATTGTTCTTGAAGCTGGGCAATAGGCATGAGCAGACGGTAATCAAGGCTGATTTGACCAAAAGAACCACCAACCTGTGAGACCCGCATCCCTTCCTCTTCCCAATAACCTTTGTAACTACTCAAGCTCCTTTCTGCAAGATCAACAGCATTTTGCAATGTCGAGATTAGTTGTTTTGCTTTCGCAAGCTCCGATGAAAGAGATTCCTATGAAGAAGAATGTTAACAATAAGCATATATGGCACAAAACAACAGGTCGGGAGGTTACATTTATGGCTAAGAGCTCCTTTTCGTTCCTCTCTAACGCTTCAATCTGCTTCGTTTGTCTTTCTACATTTCGAAGAGCTTGTTTGCGTTCGCCATCCTTTGCCTCAGACTCGTTCATCGCTTTGTAATACTTGTTGTCGGATTTTTGTTTCTAAAATACTATATTAATCGAAATGTCAGGGCGAAAAAGGAAGTATGCGCCGCACCGCTAGTAAGAGCTTCTCCTTCTCTTCTTCCCATTTCTCCAATGACATTGCCTGCGATTGAGCCATTTTGTCTGCATTTTCCCAGGCCTTGGATAACCGATCCATCTCTGAAAATAGCTCGTTCATTTCCTGGAAAACTATCAAGAGCCCGAATCCTAGTGCAAGATGCCGTACAAACGAACCTGAGTAGATTGTGTTTCCTTGAGCTTCATTAAGCGTAGCTCCTCTTCCTTTGCCTGAAGCTGCTCTACCAGACTGCTTTCGGCACGTGACTTATACGCCTCAAGCTGTTGTGTAACTGAGTTTAGCTTTCCTCGAAGAATCGCGATGTCGACTAGGTCCTTATTCTTGTAATTCAGAGTTGCTCGCAAACTTGCAAGCTCTTCTTCAGAGGCCCTACAATAACAGCTTATGAGATGCACAAGCAACTTATGGTGGAGTATGAACGTACGTTAAACGCTTCCTCAGGCTCTCGACATAGTCGGCGTTGATATTTGCATCATTTAGTAGGAAGTTTAGAAGATCTTCATTCCCTGATGAAGCAGCCAGACGAGCCTTCAATCTTTTGACTTCTGACAACAGAAGTTCGATGCGTTCCTTTAAAAGAATTAGTTATATAACACAAAGAGATGCAACGGAAATACGAACTGCTCGAGATTCAGCCAGCTCCTTGAATTTACTTAAGGATAAGCGTTTTGTATCTTGGGTTGCCTTCAACTCCTTGTACTGGGTCTCCAACTGGTCTCTATGCAGACGAATTCGATTCAAGTCATCGTCTCGCTTTTTCAGTATGATTTTCAGGTCCGAGGATCCATTAGCATCGTCGGACTATCAACATACGTTAGAATACGCCCAATCGAGAATCGACGCATTTACGTACCTGTATTTCTGACAACCAGCCTGTCTGAATCTGGCGTAGCTGGTTTGCTTCTTCCCTCGCCATCGCCAGTTGTTTAATCTGTTCCTTCGACTGGGAGTCTAGCTTTGACGCATACTCAAGAAGGACTCGGTATGTAGGCGTTTTAGTAATCGTGCTTTCACCAAGAAGATTGATCTAAGAGAAAGGTCAATTACCGAAAGCAAGAAAATGGTAATGTGAATACCTCCGAATCCGCCAAGACAAGCCTATCTCTAAGAGCAGCGTTTTCCCTTTCAAGATATGCTAACCTATCGTCTCTGAGCTTTAAGCGAGCTTCCCATTCCTCGTCAGGTCGGGATTCGCTTATAGAAATGACAGGTGGTAATGCCTATACGAAGCGGATGAGACAAGCAAGAAAGGATGGATAAGCAACTCATCGCACCAATGAACCGATTTAAACCACTCACAACTGACGGAGTGCCCTCCTTTACTCCAACGCTATCCCGCTCCTCTTCCGCCTTGACATCGCCGTTCACCTTTACTGGTACAGGGGATTCTGACTCGTGCTCCGGTTGTGGATTGACTATTCGGCTTTGTAAACGGTCGAGCTTAGCTTCAGTAGCGCGCAATTCCTCTAAGTAGTGATCACGCTCCCGTCGACTATCCTCTAACAAAGCATGCGTCTGCTCGGCCTCCGCTGTCAAGAACGAATTCTATAGTTAACTAAGTAAGTGGAAACACGCCTCAGATAACTGAATCACTCACGGATCGTTGGAGGCTGTGACACTCAGCCACTAACTCTTCTGCCTTCGGCCCGTCAACTTTTCCCGCAAAGTTAGCAATAACATCCACGGCCTGCTCCGCAGCCTTAAATCTCTCATCCCATGAGCGTTTAGACCTTTTGAAATCTTCCGGTGCGAATACACGCGATGGGAAGTTGGAAGAGAGGTTATCTAAAGGCATATGAGCAACGACAGGCTCATAACTTGCAAGAAGCACAAGTGATACTAACGTGCGGGGTTTTCCATGGCCATGTCTGCCTGTGTTAATGTTCGCAGTGCTGCCATCGTCTGTGGCGTGATATGGTGCTTGAATACAGCAAAATCTAAAGTAAAAATGATACGGGACGTACATTGGACCAACACGACTCAGCACTAATACGTTCCAAATTTGAAAGTCGTAACGACTCTTCCAAATGTTGTATGCGTTCAAAAGCTCGGATAGTCTCTCTTCGATAATGCCGCATTCTCCGAAAAATCGCTCCTTTTCGGAATCGCTAATGGAAGACAGCGCCATCCGACCATACACATTAAAAGGCAACATTAGAAATTATCATAAGCAAATCAAACGTACCTCAAGGTCGTCCTCTGTTTCTGGGTCATTCTCTCTGGAACCATTGTTTGTCGAAGGCTTCTGTTCGTCATCCAAAGGACCGTTTGCAACAATCGGCGAACCTGACGCTGAGCTTAAAGCTCGCTTCTTGTTTGCCGTCCACTCATCTGACGACGCTCGTCGCTTCCCTCTCAACTCTTCTTCGAAAGCAGAACTCCTGTTTTGCGTTTCCATATACCAGCATGCGACGGAAAACCAGCAGACGTGTGATGAAAGTGTGGAAGGTTACAAACTCTGCGGCTGAACGAGAATAGTCGATGTGACCGTATCCTTTGCTTAGTCATACATTTTATCCCCTTTCCAAATTTGGTAGCCATGCACAGCCATTCAGACTCCTATCCGATAATGAATCATATTGAACAATCTTGTTGCTAGGTGCTTATACTTACTCACACAATTCTACCATACACAGCAATTAAAATCCAGGACAGTGTGACTGCAGTAATAAGCTTACTGGGTAATTATCTAGAATGGCGGAATCTTGACTCTCGGATACCCTCCGGAGCCGTCAAGTTCAACAACCTCGCAATCCGCTGCCGACCCATCGCCTATCTGTGTTTCCACACAAGTGAAATCCACTGCCTGTAGGTTGACATAAAGACGATAAATGCATAAGCATCAGCCCCCAAAACAAATATCCACTAACCGTCTCAAGCGCAATCATAGGGTGGTCTAAATTATATGTGGTTCATTATGGAAATAAACTCATGAAAAGATTGTAGGGCTCACGCCAGATTCCAGTTGCATATACGACCGACTGTCCTGCGCCAGCAAGGAATGCCCTTAGTGTCATCAGATCTGGTTTGTCGTCCTCTCCATTACACGCGACAACCACTAGGTATGCACGGCCGTGATTCTGCAATGCATTTCCATCTTTCAGGGATTCACCGCTTCCTATACCCATAGGTATGAATGCTTGATTCGTATGGGGATGTCTTTCGAGCAACCGCACTTCCCATCCTGGGCCTTCCTCTGTGTGGTCCCGGCGGAAATCAAAGTCAAGGGGTGAGCAGCGGTAGACAGATAGACCGGCTGTTGCACTTGGCGAGCCTGGTAAGGCGGGAGGATATGAAGATACGATTGGCGCAAGTTTATGGAACTTTAATGCCGATCCCTGATTTGCTGAAGTAACCTTTGTGCCCTTTGGTGCCGCATCTGCGGACGAGAAAGCTTGTACAACATGACCGAAGGGTGCGAAGGCCTCTGCAGAAAGAGGAACCACATGCAAAACGCCTGTGTTGGGGATTTGGCCCTCTGATGGAAGCACCGTATGATCTGCATTCAACCAACTCAAAACACAGTAAAGGAACACAAAGCAGAATTTCACTCACGATCCTCGACAGCAGTTTTGTCTTCCACCACACGCATGCCAAAAATCCTTACACGCTTTATACCTCCATCAGGATATATCGTTACACGCACATGTGAGTAGATCTGATTCTGGACATTTTCGAGGTCGAAATAATGCTGGACATCGGCTTTAAGCTTGGTACGCTGCAGAATGCGAGTCCATGCAGACTCATCAACATTGGGAATAATCTGTCGGACAGTACATGAAAGCGATCAGACATCAATAACGTCCAGGTCCTGTTAATACCTACATCCTTAGAGTTCAGTGCGTGGAGCTCACAGCTCTCAGGAAAATTGCCCTTGAAATGGGCCGTATCGATCTCGGCCTTCTCGAGAATCCCTGGGGCGCCGCTAGTGAAAATGAAGTGAGACGAGTGTAAGACTACTTCGGACACACTTGCTTACAGTTGGATGATGACCCAATCTTTATGATCTTTTATCCTACTGCGTTTTGTCTCCCAGCCGTCTCCCATGTCTTTGCCTGTAAAGAGGTTAACGAAAGCATTATCCCTCATAAATTTATCTATACCTCTTCCCGGCAGTAAAAGGTTCGAACCAACGCCGAAATGCTGATCCGAAACGAAGACCGCTCGTCCACCAGAAAACACGTGTGCTAGGTCTATACTCTCGTCGAAGTCCTCAGTGAACACTGCCTGTATGATGCCGTAAACACGGAATCTGGCCTACAACTGAAGTTGTGGACGGTGCCAAATACATATTCTCTTCTACACGTACGATTCCGCCATCTGGATACATATTCAACTTAACATAGTTATACGCCTCTGAGGTCCTGTGAATCTTGAATAGATGCCGCAAATTGGGTCCAAGAGACACTTTCGGGAGAATCTCCGTCCACTTACCAGGAGAGAGTCAGCTAATATTGATGAAAGTGAGAAACGGGCTAACCCTTACCCTTGGATCATCAGCAGACGGCTCCGCATTACTGACATTCAATAGAGCCTGTACGGATGCCTCAGGTGCCTCGTTACCTGTGTTGTTTGTGGGATCAACGCGATGGATGCGAAAATGGAAAAGGAATTATCAGTACCATTGAAATGGGAAGTATCTATGTCAAACCCAGACACAAGACCGGCAGCGCCGAACTTAATAATGCACCTTAGAACAACTATTAGTTGAGAAAATTCCGGCGGGCCCCAGACTCCATTACGACTCACCAGTCAAAGGCCGGGTTATGACGTCTCGTCTCCCAGCCGCTGTACAAGGCTCCATTTGGGCCGAATTGGCCTTTCAGACTCGGTGCAGGCTACAACCAAAATCGTATCAAGGTATTTGCGAAAGTCAGGAGGAGGTTAATACTGTCACTAACCTCTACTTTCAGCAGGTTGGCTGCCTTTGCGAAGAATTCATCCGAGACAGCTATTATCTTTCCTCCAAGGGCAACACTAGAGATTTCTAGGGGAAGGATCAGGGATTCCGGTAAGTTGCTCCGCTCAGCGGAAATTGGAGATCCGAACAAACACTGACCAGTTTCCGTGCCAAACGCAGCTGCAAAGCCTTCTAAGGGTACACTTTCATAAGCCATCCTTCGACTTCCTTGGACAGTTGTCTGACGGGCGGAGGAGAAACTCAATAGTGTTGGTCAAAGATTCGACGGAGATATGAAGATAAGGTTCATGAGGAGCTAATCGACTTCGAGCATATGTGTCGGCCGTTGCTTTCCGTGATAACGGGTAGTGCGTGCCGGAAACCTACTGCCATCCTTCTACGTCTGCGATGTCTTGAGTCACCAGCACCAACGACCTTGCTTGATGCTGTTCTTGATTGCTGTACTTTCAAGTTGTCCAGACCAGAGTTTATGTTTTGACAGGTATGGAATAGATTACTAAGCAGCCCGACGAAGACGCGTGGCGCTCTTTTTCGATTTTCTTCGAGAAGGAATTCCTCACTTTACCTTCGTCTATCTCGACAGGAACAGCCTCAATCCATATAGCTTCATGTAGAACATGGTCAGCTCTACATCTGAATGGCCGAAATCCGGAATTTTGGCGGTTGCAAATTGTGATCATGACTAACGTGACATTGTCTGCTTGAGACTCGACGAGAATCACATGCCAAAGATCCGACTTATGGCATCCTGTGGCCATTCTGACTTGACCCATAAGCCCGACCCGTCCCCTCCTCTTTTGTCTTCTCTCTCTCCATGCTTTCACTTTGACCGCCATTTTAACGAGCATCCACCTTTTGCTTACGACTTGACGAGTACTCAAGTAGCTTATCTTACTTTGTCGTCTTCGAGCATATATACCTCGCACGGACTTATCCATAATGTTGGACAATTTCGTTGGTCGCCCGAGTCTGGCGTGGAGGCGCAAGGAGGTGAGCTGAATAGTTGTATATGCAGGCTTTCCTACTGCCTGCTGAAGCATTGCTCGCCACAACCTCTCATGCAACTACTCAAGACTACCATAATCCTCCTCTTTTCAATCTACGGCCTTCTCACGTCAAGCAAACGTGGTCCGCGGTTTTTTTGGATAAGGCCACTTAACAGAGCTCTCCGTAAGCAATTACATTTTACACACCCCTCGCGTTTACATAACTATCAACTATCGCCGTTCGCTTTGGCAATTCAGAACGTTACACCCCATGGCAAATAATTGCTGCAACTTTTTCTCTCCTGTACGCTATTCGGAACCTTGACAAACTGTTTGGGCTCGATGGTTGGTCGCATGGTCCTCCCTCCTTATTGCTTTAAGTATCTGACAAGCCCCACCTTTTCCCCACCAGTCGGCGGCTTCGCTACTGGCCAGCTTGTACGTGCGACGTTTTTCATATCAGTAAATTTCATGAACATCATTATACCAGTACGCACCTGAATTCAATCGCGCGGCGTGGATAAACACGGCTCTAGATGCTGGCTTCGCTTCCGCTTTATCCATACGTCCAAAGTGGCTTCGTGACATCTGTTCTATTGGTTTCTTTATGTACTACCTGTTTAACGGAGATGAGGCAGAGGGCAAGGTTGGTCGTATTGCACTAACCTAATATAACTCAGCGAACTGAGTTCTACCTGTTACACAGGTTCGCAGGTTACGCGAGCTGTCTACCCTCGAGTTTCTCCGCGGTACGTGGGATAAAACCAGCAATATCTATTTGCGAGCAATCACTATCCCCGTCCGACCGTCCGTCCACATTCGCCGTCAGATAATAATTCAGCGCCCGAAGTATTCGGAGCATTTGCGCCCAATAACAGCATGGCTCTTCTTTGATGGCACAGAAGCTGAGCTGAGTCAGACAACAGAACTAATCTTAGACTTCCCTGGGGGAGGGTTCGTGGCGATGAGTCCTACGCACCATGAAGAACGTTTAAGGGCATGGACGAAGAGAACTCAAAGGCCAGTATTGAGTGTCGACTATGGAAAGGCTCCAGAATGTAAGTTTGGCGTAGCTACCGTTGCCGATGGTGCCTCACATACGACGTTTGCCGATTGTATAGATCCGTATCCATTTGCGATTGAGGAGGGCTTTGATCTGTATTGCACCCTTTCAGAGTCCGGTGGACGTATTATTGGCATGTCCGGCGCCAAATTGGACGTCATCCTCTCTGGAGACTCTGCGTAAGTGGCCCGTTTAATCATGAATGCCTTTGGCTTCTTTTAACGTGTCAACCAGCGGTGGTAACATCGCAGTTAATGTTATGTTCAAGCTCATTGAGGCAACTTCATCCGATCCATCATTGTCAACATTGTCCTTCCCGAGACCAGTTGGCCTGGCACTCACTTACGCCGCGTTGAACTTCTCCTTTGGTTCTTGGGCATGGCCATCTCGGCCCACGCCAACACCATCGTCCGCTGCCCTCGATGAGCGTGCCGAAAAGCTGAAGCATATCAAGAGTTCCGGGGCTCTACTGTCGTCATCAACTATACTGCCGCCCACCGCTAAAGTTGTCATCGGTTCGTTGGAAGAAAGGAAACTGCGAAACGGAGCGGCAATACCAGCAGTCACGGCATCATCGCTACAAGACGATTGGAGTCCAAACAAGACTATTGTGCATCAGCAAGCGCATACAAGCCTTTTTGAGCAACGGCAAGCAGTGATCACAGCGCTTGGGCCAGAAACGTTCCAATCGCCCTTCGAAAGGGCAGAGATCTCACAGTTGGCGCGGACAAGATTGACGATGTCAAGCAAGGCTGGATACATGCATGATCCTATCATTACACCAAGCATGGTGAGTTACCTTGTTAACATCGTTTCTTGGCTGTTCTTTCCCTTTCCCCGTTCGCTGCTGCGCATTGGTACCGCAATGAAACGGCCGGTTGTTATATATGACGGTAGCCTTTTGGAAAAATCGTGCATTCTTTGTGTTCCGAGGTCACCGGCGAAGACATTGCTCCTAAGGCTGAGCATTCAGGGGAAGTGACTCTGGCTTCGTACTGCCGCTGATGACGGAATCAAATCAGATCATCAGTCGGAGACAAGCTTCCCCTTCTATCGCGAAGCGACGAGCGCTCCTGTCTCTGTGGTCACGGAGATGGGAGCTGCGCGGTAGCTCGTGTTGCTGGTCGACAGTAGTAGCCGATTTGTTACTCGTTTGCACTATCCCTCTCTCCCTCTCCTCCCATCCTTTTATTTAAAATTGAATGGGTTGTGTACTGACGATCACTCCGTTTTCGCTCTGGCCGCGATCCTTGACATTTCATTCCCCCCCCTCCCCGATCTGTCCGCCGTCCCATCTCATTTCACGCTCTCCCTTTTGATCCTCGCCCTCTGGTCACTCGTATCGATGGAACATCGCCGTTGCATCCACCCAGATGTGGGCCATGTGTCTTCTCTATCTCGGGAAACACCCTCCTCCGGGTGTTGAGCGTGACTACCATCTTTCCCCTCTTCTCGCGCCTTCGACACTGCTCGCCGAGCTTCCGCCTATCCTTCTTCAATGCGGAGCTCGTGACCCACTCATTGACGACACCGTACTCTTTGGGGGGCGCGTGCGAGCGGCAAAGCGCGAGTCCGCACGTATTCGGCGCTCAAGCAGCAAGACCGACCTCCCGACTCCTCCGCACGACGGAACGCTCCATGAGGAAATCCCCGAGGACGATGTGACCGTACAGATCTTCCCCGGGTGGAGTCACGGGTACTTGCAGATGAGCGCGCTCATGCCAAAAGCGAAACTTGCCATTGATGATATTGCAGTCTGGATGCACTCGACGTTTGAGCACTCACAAATAGGAGCCGAAGCTTGAATCTGAATTATCTTGAATCATGATTGTAATTTGGGATGAGGCGTATATTTAGGACTAGATTTGCGATGTGTATGACCGTTTATTGTACTGTATCAATGTAGTAGTAACACAGCAAATATATACCATATTATCGCGGTATTAATATTGTTTCCATGTCGTAGCCGTTGCAGAGCCTCGTCAGTGCATCTGCATCGCGATTGGCGGGATTAGGGGCTTGAGCGCCGCTGGCGGCGCTGACATTGACAGGAGTCGATCTGGACATACATTTTAGCTTGTGGCGTCAACTTTTATTATAAAAATTTAGTAGATAACGCATCTGTCCCACTTCCCTGCAGTAGATTCTTCTACATAAATTAAGGATGAAATCTTCAACTGCGCATGAATCCCATTCATTCTCACTCGAAAGCGTCAGTTCGACCATCCTCCGAATGTCGCTGGCCGCTTTCTTCGGCCTGCCGGAATGTAAAAGTCCGGTCGCCGAACCATATCTTAGTTTAGTTTAGTGTAGATACTTTACTATTTTACTACTCTAATTCGCTCCCCTGGAACTAAATCGAATCCTGTTCGCATCTCCGGTGGCTAGATGATCTTTGCCTTGATCATGATCTAACATACAAGAATTGCAGCAGAAAGGACAAGACGGTGGACAGATAATCATGATCACACTCAACCCGTACAAAGAAAAAGCACGATCTATGATTCTATCAACATCATTCTTCCCATGCATCGACCTGCCTCGCCTCGCCGCACGCCGTACAAGCAATGAGAAAGCCTAAGCCTCTGTGCCTATTGTGTTAGGTTAGGACACTGTTTTGCCATTTTGTCTCATCTTCTCGGGGACGCGGCATCATAAGTCCATCTGGAACCCTTAATTAACTTTAATCTACCGGGTTCCGTCCAAATCCGGTACGCTCGGCACAGCCATTCATCGTCTCTTATCCTTATTTAGCATTAGTAGCACTGTACGCGAAGTTTAGAGCCCAAAAGGCCATCACGGATACACCGCTCTTCCGCGTGGTCCCACGACGATCCGATCACCCGTTTCACACTTCTTTTCTCCTCCGTTCCTGATGCGAACTAATACAGGTTTGATCCACTGATGTAAAATGGCCTATGGTTAAGATGGAGCCGTCAACTTCTAAGTAAGTTCTCGCGCTCCAGAATCCCAGAATCCCAGATCCCCTCCCATCGGAACACAAATGTTGCCGCTTTCGGGTGGTTCGGAGCGTAGAGTTTTAGATGAGGCTGTGCAGGTGGATGATGATGACGATGATGAAGGAGTGTCACACTACCGCCATAGATGTAATTGGAACTGGAACAAAAGCACTGAACAACAGTGGATCAACGATTACAGATTACGCTGCCTTAGCTTCCCCTATGTCTGCCACATCTTCTAGAGGTTTATCCGTGATGCACGAGGTGTTTAGCTTTGAATCCTTACGTATATAAAATTATAGCTCTGGTCAGTGTCAGTGCTAGAGCTATGCACTTTATGATCGAGCGCAGGTTAATCAAAGACAGGGCCTGGAGATTAGAAAGATTGACTACATGGCCCCGTACCTTGGCATCCCGCAATTAAGATCCTTTCCATTTCTCGGATCAACCGCCTTGTCCAACATCGAACTTGCTGTAACAACGCGTGGGTCCCGAAAACTTTGGACAATCAATTTGGCCGAAACTATACACAATCTGTCATCAAGCACAAAGTAACACCTTTGGCCCTTCACATCCGACCCTGTCAAGTAGCATACACGTGTCGTGATGAAAACTCTTTAACAAGAACATGGACAACAATCGGGCCTGAAGTGCTTGTCTTTGGTATCAAGCATCAGGATTTCCATCTTCCCGGCTCTTGTAAACATCGCCGAATGGCCTACTCTCAAGCACCCTCGGAACACTAAGGTGTTGGCGTGCATAAGGGAACGTCAGGAAGGTCGCCAGGCTCCCGAATTTGGAGAAACCAATTTTGTTCAATCGAACAGGAATTACTGCAGTAGGACATCGGATCGAAGGGCATCTGGATCGAACATCGACACATCCCCATCTCCATCTGCCCATCCTTCTTTTCTTTCCAATCTCCGCCTCCATCTCCGCCATCTGGTAGCACCTACAAGAGATCCCATGACCGGTAAATCCCGCGAGAAACACTCAGCCAAAACGTGTGAGTACGACTGGTAGTGTGAAACATCAGTAAGGACAAGCGAGGATCAGACATTTTTGAGAGCATGTTTCTAGGGGCAAAGTCTTTGCCAGCCGCAAGAAGGGAAATGCCGGAGGGTCATCGAAGAGGATATGTTTTTGTAGGCGCCCAGATGCCATGACACCACGCCAGAGTGCGCTCATTAACTAAAAGGAGCCCATCTTGTATTTTCCCTTCTCATTGGGAAAAAATGGAGTGATGGCTGATCTGAAAGTGAAATCGTTGCGCTGGCCAATTGAATTTGATCGAACGCGAACTGTTTCCGAAGTTTCAGTGAGTGAGAATGACGAATGCCAGAGCTACAGGTGAGAGACCAAATGAGTGATGCGTCCATGCTTCGGCATATTTTCTTCTTCTCGGTGACGCTTGTGTTAACCGACAAGAATGGGAGAGTAGAACGGAATTAGAATAACGGCCCTTGAATGAGAGCGGAGCCCACGGGGAACGTTGATTGAGTCAACGGAGTGCATACAGAGACCCGTACAAGGAAACAGTGGGCGCCAGCATGATGGAGGAGACCAAGGTAACAGATATTGGCCAAGGCTGTCTTACCCCTGATATACAGTACCATGCAGATGAACAGATTGAGGATCCAAAGGTCCTCGCGCTTTGCTATCTTTGTCCTCGGACCCGGATATGCTAAAAAACAAATAATTTGTCCTCGCACAATGGGTAATCAATCCATAGAGCACCCTGGTGCACAGAATTACACGACGGAAGCGCTTCTTGGAGCGAGGAAAGCGAGTACCCGATTTAAGATACTTGGAGGATACGGTTCCGCGAACACTACTCGTAAATGAATTGATACGTATGTGCCTGCGCGTTTAGTGAGAGCATATACTTAACAGTCATGACTCGAGGTTGATATGACTTTGACTCGGTCCAAATTGAGGTGGGTGGTCCAAGAATGTGTACATGGGAGGAGCGCTTAATTGCAATATCACTGCATCAGGGACAAGAAGTATTTTTGACCATTGATGGGCATATACGAATTAGGCGAGACGGACAGATCAAGACGGGGCCCGGAAGCCGTGAGGAGCTTGTCTGCATTTGCACAGGTTCTGAGCGTCAAAATGGACTTGTTTGTGGGTGTAGCTTTAGTTAGTTGACTCTCCGCTGTTAGCTTCGGCACAGGATTAGGCGACTGCAGGTTTCGGAACCTGGCTGAGTGGGCGTTGCATGGGCCGTCCGATGGCGGGACTTGCAATCGGTAACCAGCTCTTTGTCTGACTTGGCGGCACCAGGCGGCGACGACAACGTTGTGTATGGAGGGCGGGGTCGGCCTGCCGACGACGGAGGAGGGGCGACGATCAACTTGGTCGCCGAGAGACGCGAGTGGCGATCGTCGACGGAACAGGTGGGAGGAACGTAAGTGGTGATGGGAAGTGATTTGTGATTGTATTTTCTGGCGTTGTGGCAGATCTGGAGCTGTGTCTGCAACGGGCTCGGAGCACGGGCGATAGGACGGGCGGGACGAAGAAGCAACGAATCCCGAGAACAGGCAGGTCTCCCATCAGCACAGCCTGGAGGATGTCGTCGCCGGGGAGGACAGCCACCGCACCGCTTCAATAGCCTCTCCAACTCGCTCGCGTGGCGGTCACCGCAATTTCCGCCAGCCGCTTGAGACGCCCGCCCCCGGCCAGGTCACCTTTGCTTGCACATATTCTGCAGCAGGACACGCAGAGATCCAACAATTACTACACGAATAACAAAGATGGACATGTGCAGACGCCAGGAGGATGAAACCGAGTCATTCGTTTGGTAAGCCGGTGTCGCAGACTTACGTTAATGGCGGGTATCACGGGTGATGTTGCTTATGTCATCTGTGATGAGATCTTGGGTTGTGCACCGCCCCCTTCCTTTCCTTTCCTTTACTCTACCTCCTGGGCCTTGCTCTCTCTCTGTCCCCGACTACAAATAACAGCCTCACTCTCAGCCCAAATGCGTTCTTCCCCCTCATCTGCAATGGATTCACATCAGCCGACCCAGCAGTGGCATCCGCACCACCACGCGCAGGCCCCTCCGTACAACCCCTACCACCAGAATATAAGCTACATTCAACGCCAGCAGCAGTCTTACACCGCCAACAGCACCCCCACTCCGCCGCAAAGTACCTCCAGTGCTACCTCGTCACCTGGCATGGCCTACACTGCTCTGCACCCACACCCCGCTGCTTACCCCCACTCGCTTCCGCCCGTGTCCGCGCATCGGCAGCAGATGCAGCAGCCGCTCCACCACCCGTACTCTCAGACAATGTCGGTCCATAGTCCGTATCCACCCCGCCACCAGCTACCGCAACACGATTCCCCGCAACAGCAGCAGCTTCAACTTCACCAACACCAACACCAGCAGCAGCAGCAGCAACAACAACAACAGCAAGCGCAAGCCCAGACTCCACCGCAACAATCTGCTTCCGCCTTACCTGCTCACGGTTCACCTGCGGCGACACTCTCTCATCCACAGCACGCCCACCCAGACGTGTACTTTGCCCCCAACGCCGCCATGCTGTACAACCATGCCAATGCTTTGGCAGCTGCCCAGGCTCAGGCGGTAAACGGTGGCTCAGATCCTAACGGTTACGCGAGTGGGGGATCGACACCTCCGCGCCTCCCTCCCATACTTCAAGTCGAGAAGCAGCAGGTCACCACAAGCGCGACTCAAGCTGCTAGTGCTAGTCGTCGGCGCAATGAAGCGCACTTCGTCTGCCCCGTCCCTGGATGTGGTAGCACCTTTACGCGTCGTTTCAACCTGAGAGGTATGCCTAGTTTCAATTGCACGCGCATTGGGCGCTGACCCGCTTGTTCCCCTAGGTCACCTGCGGTCACACACGGAAGAGCGCCCGTATGTCTGCGAATGGCCCGGCTGTAACAAGGGCTTCGCTCGTCAGCATGATTGCAAGTGAGTTTATCTCCTTTGACTCTACTCTGAGTTTGTATGGCTGACACATGCGTCAAGGCGACATCAAGCCCTCCACTCGTCACGGTCCACTTCAAACGTATGTCACGGGTGCGGAAAGACATTCAGTAGACTCGACGCTCTCAACGTACGTTGCTGTTCTTACGTCTATTGGGCCGAGGCCGAGCTGAATGTGAAAGTCAGTCTGACTCGCGTTCACTCGGCTCGGCACCCCAGCTCTCCGAAAGCATCGCTTGCTGACTCATTTCCTTTCTGCTTTATGTCTTTTTTCTACTATTCCGTGTTCGTGTCCAATTACACTAAAATCCCGAATCGCCCGCATCGCATCTACGCATCAAACACGTCGCTCGGAATTGCGCCGGTCGGTACCCTGAATTGACCGTTGCCGATTGTTCCGGACTTCTCGCCATTCGGTGCCTTTCCCTTCATGGTTCGCCCGTCCTCGGACATTCGGAATTTGGCCTCCAGCGACATCTCCGGTCAGAAGGAGGTGCAGAGTGCCGGAGAGACCACGAGCAGGCCCTTGCTGCTGCGAAGCAGAGTGCTCCTGCCAAGTCAAATCCACTCAACGCGTTTCGTGCGAGCAATGGTTCTGGATCAGCGGCAGTTGCCACTCAATACGCGAACGGTGTCAGCGCGCGGCATGACGGATCTGGGTCGAGCGCCTATGACTCAGACGGGACAGGTTCAGGCGGGTTGCGCAGCGTGCAGGTGACCCCAGCTCCAGCGCCTGCACCAAGCCTTGCTGCCCAGTAAGGGTTTGCCCCACGTCTTACCTTTTCTAGTCCGCAGTGCTTTTCCGCTTGGTCGTCTCGCCGACCGTGCAGTCCATGCATACTTTCGCATTTGTTGTCATCGCCACGCCTTCGCATGCATATCCATTCCGATATTTAAGAAGCCGCATCCGTTTACGTCTTGCTCCCGCATCGCATCGCACATTCATCGTTTCAAGCAAGAATTCACTCCATTTCGACGACTATATTTATGCCTCGACTAATGCGGTACGGTTCAGGAGGACTGCCGCCACTTTCCGATGCTCCGTCGTAATTCTTCGTCTTCTTTCCCCCAATTTTCACGCTTCCTTTTCTGTCCCATTACGATGTGATGACGATGTTTGATGATGAGTCTTTTGTCCTGCCACTTCCTTTCCGTTACCCCGTTAATCATGTATGTGCAATATGTGGCAAGTAACACAAACTGTATCGATTCGCTTTCTTCGCTTTCGCATCCCATATTGTTAACCTCGACGTTCATGAACGCTTTCGCGCGTGATCTAGTTTCCGTACCGTATATGCTTTTTCTTCCTACCCTACGTATTCAAAAGAAACGGACTGGAGTTTAGAGGATGGTTTATGTATATTTTATTGTTTCATTATTATTTTAACGTTCCGGGTATATTGTAAACTACTTGTTGGCACGGATCAGCCTTATTTCGTGGATTGGTTAGAACTTAGAAACGGACGTGAACGGAAGCGAGGAAGTCGGTGCGTGCACGTGGATATCCGCAGTCTTGCACGCGAACTCAATGAAAGATGAGCCGAATAAGAAATCAAATGGCTTGTGTGTACGGTCAAGAGAGAATTCCAACTCTGTGATGCTGCGCATTTGATGAGTATGAAGGGGCAAGGTTCGGCGGCGTTAGACTTGTCAATCCTGCTGATGCAGCCAACCGATTTACCATTTTAGTATTATTCATTCATTTTTGATTTGTGGCTCGAGAACGCGGAGAAGAGTGATTTGTGAGATCATGATGTACATCAGTTGATGTAGATAGAAGGTCTAGTACTACAGTATATTGTAGAAGCTTGAAGGAGAACACGAACTGTAGTGCACAGGTAAGCAATCAGAGATTGGTTGACTCTATGGATAATACACTGGTACAATACAGTTAACCTTGCTCCGGAATCCGGAATCCAAATGATGGCATGCATTCGTCATGATGACGAGTTCACTATAAGAAGTTCAACTTGGTTCCTTCCGGTTGGTAGTTCTTCTCTTCGCTACTTCTCTTCCCTCCCCCTGAAGCGGACCGGTTCGAATTTGGTATATATGTAAGTATGTGGAAACCAGCGTCTGTATGTATGAGTAAAGTTCGAGTGAACTATTTTAATATACTATTATATACACAGCTTACTCAGTACTACCCGACTCGGGGGCTGCGGATTTGAGAAGAGCTTGTTCTGCTTTCTTATAATCTTATAGAGACCTTTGAGATTTGCATTGTGGATGGGAGGAACTGAATATGCGCATATGTCCTTTGTTACTTTGTCTCTGCGCCTTTTTTTCCAATTTTTTCAACAAGATATATATTTTAATACTAGTCCGGCTGATGCTAAGAACTTCAAAGAAACTCAAAATCAAATCAATGACTAGTGTAGACGGTTTACTTAGTCCGGCGGGTGAACTAACTCTCTACGCTTCTATGCTTGAAAGTGGACAGCCTCTCAATCATTAATCCAGCAACACTTATGTGTACAGCCTCATTGTTCCCACTAGTAAACTGAATGAGCTTAAACTTAATCATTCCCGAGATGCGCAATACACGGGAAAACGTCGGACAATGTGCCGACGGCGTTCGTTCTGTCAAAATTAAAACAGGAATGTCATGCACTGGCATTTTTGTGTACTGCCGCACAGTTTGATGCGATGCGGAGAGGGCGGTGCTGATGTGATGCTCTTTTACAAAGGTGATTAGACAGACATATTAGAGAGATGACGAAGTTGAAGGTCACTTGGTGTATTTGTGGTTATTGATTGAATATCAATATATTTGTACCAGCGACGGTCCGCCTTCCGTCTATTACCGAAAGGCTATCTTGGCCACTATCAATATTGATTGCACTTAAGAAGCTAGGGTCACAAGATTCTCTCATGGAATGAATCGAGTGTAATCGGAAAAGAGAAACATACTTACAGATCTCGGAGTGAAGAAAGTTATAATTTAATTGAACTAGTATTGAAATTATCGGAATTGTATAGGAATCGTTGACGCATACATACGCTCGTTCGGCTTGTGAATACTGGTATTGTACTCTGACGATGGCAGGTAGTAACATACGTATAGTCGTACTACCAGACGAATACAAAATGCTGCTGTCAAATGCAAGTGATGGGGTTTCAAAAACAGTGCCAGGAAATATGCACTAAACCCGTGCGAGAAAAATCCGCAAGTCCGGACTCGCAAATATATTTTAATCAAAATAAGTGAGCGGGAGTGCTAGATTAAAAAGAAGATGGTACGGACAAGTCGGGTCATCAGTATATATGGACACAATCGTAATGATCATGCACAAAATGAAAGGTAGAAAATAAATATTTACACGGAGAAAACGTCCCAAGAAAATATGCAAAACGCCACCGCTTAGAACAACCATGCGATGAACGTCCTGTAGAACCAGTTGCCATCGGCGGCATTGCCCTTTGCAGCTTGTGCAGCGAGGAACGCCTCTTCTTCCCTGTCGATCTCGTCTTTGCCAGAAAAGAAGTCTGCCTCTTCTGGCCGAACACCCGAACCACGATGCGTGATCTTATATCCAAAGATGAGTATGATGTAGAGCGGGATGCCGATATAGCCCGTCACGAAGTTCTTCACGTCAAAGTTGCCGTACTTCGGGCTGTGCACAAATGCGTCGTAGTTCTTGAATATCGCAATGATGATACAGAACCCAAGCGCAATGTACGATCCCCATATGCCCAAGGGTGCGACGTATGGCAAGTCCTGATTGCGGAGTCCCTGTGCCTTACGTGCACGACAGAAGTAAATGTGCGTGACGAGAATTGATATCCAAGTGAGCAATCCAAAGATCGTAACCATGTTCGTGAAGTACGTAAATACTTCCTTCGAGTCGTCCGAGACGTTCATGAATGCAAGCATTGAAAATGCCGCTGACGTTCCAAGCGCATAGATTGGAACACCACGCTTGTCCGTACGTGCAAAGATACTCGGTGCCCTGCCTTCACTCGCGAGACCGAAGAGCGTGCGCGACGCGATGTACAAGTCCGAGTTACTCGCGGAGAATACGAAGAGAAGGATACACCCGTTGAGGATACCAGGGAGTGCCTTGATGCCCGAAAGTTGGATTGCGACAACGAAGGGTGATGCCGCTGCACTGTTCGACTTGGTGGTAGCGAAAGCGAGTTCCTTGGAATTGTATGGAACGAGCATGCCGAGCAAGAACACAGAGAGAACGTAGAAGAAAAGGATACGGTAGAACGTGAGACGGATCGCGCGAGGAATTGTGCGGCGCGGGTTCTGAGCCTCACCGACTGTGACTCCGACGAGCTCTGTGCCAAGAAATGCGAAAGTTGCAACGGTCAGAACGGACCAGAATGCAAGGAAGCGACCAGCAGAGCCATCTAAAATCAAAAGGCACGGAATAAGTATAATTGCTTCCCGCAGGAAGTGTATTTGTATTAGCTGACCTTCGATGTATGTATTGAATGCCCCCGGATCTTTCCAATACCTGAACCCTTTGCGATCGTGGTCGGGTCCACCACCGAGCGCAAGAATGAAACTAAGTAGAATGAGGCCGACGATAATCACGACCTTGATACTACTTAGCCAGAACTCGAACTCTCCAAAGAAGCTGATCCCGAAGTAATTGATGCATACGATCACCACAAGAAATACTGCGATGAATACACCCGGATTAACTTTTTCACGCGGAACCCAGTATTGGAGCACAAGGGCAGCAGCAGTTAGCTGATTCGGGCATACGATGATATACTTGAACCAATATGTGTAACCGAGAGCAAATCCGAGCGCCGGATCGCAGAACCGAGTTGCATAACCAGTGAAACCAGATGGGAGAGGGAGCCATGCGGCCATTTCACCAAGAGCGCACATGACAATATACACAAGGAGACCGATGAATGCATATGAACTACGGAAGTAGGTTAGATCAAAGCCAAGAGCAGCCACATGGATGCAACTCACATAAGCACTGGTGCAGGGCCAGCCTTTGCAAGAGCTGCTCCACTAAAGGAGAGGAAGAATAGGCGTCAGTCTGCACAGTTCACGTTCAGTGACCAGAAACTTGAGCACGTACGTTCCAATGATAAGACCAGTGCCGATAGCACCACCGATGGCAATCATGGTGATATGCCGTGACTTGAGACCGCGATGAAGATGACCTTCCGACGCCGGGGCATGGACCGGAGCATGGCCGCCCCTCTCGACGGCGCTGACTGTCATTGATGCGCCATACTCCTTGTTCTTGTCAAAGGAGCTCTGCGAGCTCGAGTCGCCGAAGACTCTCTCCTCTCTGTTCCAGACGGTCATGGCGCCGAGGTAGAGTGGTAGGAGTAGAGGAGAGAAAGACGAGGACCTTGAGCCTATGCATTGCGTTATTGCGAAGCGAGATGATATACTCCAGGGATGAGATAAGAAATTTTCGTGAATAGCATGACCCGTCCGCCGGTGCACCCCGCATCCGGCTTGGCAAGATATGGGACCTGATCCCGCTGCCGATCTTCTGTCGGTGCCTTTCCCGAATGTTCAAAAGTGGAGTTTGAGTGTTTTTTCTTCGCCTTTTTTGATCATCACTCGATTGCCATATACTCGTTCTCCTGCTTATCTTCACCGCTTTGTCACCATAATGGGGCAATTTGCAAACACCGTTATCCTGAACCACCAAGTCTACTGTGCATGCGAAAATGATGTCTTGAGCGATTCTTTCCCAAAGGCCCAGTGCCTGCTGACCCCTGGGCTGTTATTCTTCCGATGTCCGATGCCAGTTAGACTCGAGCTGGCTCAAGGGCGCTAAATAGATTGGAATAAGTAGACAGTGGCGTCCGCATCTTCTACGACGAGGTTGTCGGAGCGGGATGTAATCCACGATTAAAATGGTAGGTCCGTTATCGAAATTTTTAGCCAAGCCCATGCATGATAGGCATTTGTGCAATTTCTGTCTGTCACTCTGTCAGACCCGTATACCGCGCAGTTTCCCTGGATTCGTACCTCTTCCGAGCGCTTGCCATACCCGCGGCATTCCGATCTCTCCAGCCTCCATCATTTGCCGTCCACATGTCGAGCACCTTTTGCTAACAGGTGAAGCGATCCAGTCGTCTAGAGTCCGGAGCATTTTGGATTCTGATGTTTTGTGTTGATCCACATGCTCGTTGCCATGAGAATGAAACGGACCTTGCTGAGGTGGCCTACACTAGCTCAAAACGGTGTCACTCAGTCAGCAGCATGCGTCCAATACGCCGCTCGTAATCACGCGAACGAAGTAGAATAGCCCAAGAATTTTCGATGCTTGAAGTGAGCAAGTTTAGATTCGAATAACCCACGTTAATTCTGCATCGTCTTTCTGTATCGTCCTTGGAAGATATCGGCCGACAGACGCGACCTGAATAGCATGTTCATGATATCGGATACTTGGATTTCGGGGTGTAAGTGCAGAAGTATGTGCCACTCATTTCGCGACGATCGACGGAATAGGAAACCGGCATCTCTTCAAGACGCGGCTACCCTTGCAATGCTCACTTGAATACTGATTGTGCACAACAGCCAGTTTTACAAGTGCAAGTAAAGAGGATTTCCACAGGAATCAGATCTATTCTAGCTCAAGGTGAAATTTTCTCTGTGCTGTTTTGTAAAGCAGTTCCGGACTAAAGAACAGACCGGTTCACCAATCAACCGGACATTTTACAATTGGCGCAGAGCCGGCAGGATCGAATGCAAGAGTTGTGATCACACTCCTTCATCTATAGTGACAAGTGGTATCCACACTCTTCTGCTCTACACGAAGACGGCTATCGATGGCAATCTTAGAGTCACAATGTCTGGTATGATTTGATAATAGCATATGTTCTAGCACAGCTAATACCTTCTTACTAATTATATACGTCGAACGCTGATTCTGATACAAAACAATGGTCCGAGCACCTGTCCATGGTCAAGAACTAAAGACAAAACATTCGAAGACACTATCTGCAATCGATGCAGAGTTAATATTATAGCAAAGCTACCTATGCATGAAGACATACCTATCTCTTCGACGATAAGCACCTATTGACGCCCATCATCTGAGTATGCTGGCGGCGCTGATTGGTTATCACCGGTTCCATTTGAATGGATGCTTGGAGGATGCAAGTTCCGTCTCGCGTCCTGTTGTCGTTGGCGTTCCAGATGTGCTATTCGTGCGCGAAGGCTATCCATTTCCTGTACCATTGAAGACATAGGCTCGACTGTAGCCTTAGAACTTTCTGGCACAATTTTGGATACGAACGAGACAAGCTTTGTTCTGATACCTGTCGTTTCTGCTTGCCGCCGATTGTGCTTGCCTGTCCAACTACGTTGGCCGGATGCTTCGGTCAAGGACAGTGGCATTACTGTACGTTCATTCCGATGTGGAGCTGCATGTAGCTTTGACCTTGCGATAGCTCCTTTACGTATCATGCGGCGTCGTATACATAGCAATATCACAAGGCAAATGATGAGTGCACCTAAAACTCCAGAGATGATTCCAGCGAGTTTTGCTTTGGATCGAGAAGGACTGAGCGATTGACCTGAGACGCTGATGACTGTCGCCGCTGGTACACCTGCAGCACTTGTCCGAGTCGCCTTGATACTGGGAGTTACAACGACTGCATAATGTTGACAACAGACCTTTAGAGGCATTACAGGGAATGTACCAGGAAATAGGTTAAATACCTGTAGTCTGGACAGTACTACCATTGATATTCAGTTCAGTTACCAATACTGTTGCTGTCTGCTGCACAGTTTGGCTATCTTGTGTCTCAGCACCTGATTCATTCAGGATGGAAGTTTTCTCGTTTGGAGACGTACAGCGGCTGTATTGTCGAACCTTGCGTTGAATTCGTTGTGCCAACCTCAATAACTGTCTCGGTCAGCCTGAAGAACGGGAGTACGTCACGGTAAGTCCATGGCTTGAGCACTATGAAGGAGATACTCACACATCAGTAATTGTCTGTGCCTGTGCAAAGACAACAAACAGACAAATCTGAATGAGCAAGGCAGTATATTTCATCTTCTCTATTTTGACGGATTGTGGGACAACAGCAAGTCTAACAAGTGGTTTGTTGGAGAGTTGCAACGAGCAGACGCACATAAAAGTCAGGTCAAGGCTATGACAATTCACATGGATATTTCCATTGAGATCAGTGTAGTTATGTATCCCTTGACCGCAGTGTAATTTATCAATGATTTGATAGTTGACAAATATTATGTGTATGATTGGTCTATTTATATAGACATTCATGCGTCTGCTCAAACTAGCTTTCCTCTACACAAGTAACTGAGGGGAATACATCCAGTGTTCTAGCTCAGAGAAAGAGTCCCATTGCATATCGATGGCTAGTTTGTTGTAACCACAGTTGGTCTGCCAGTGTTGTAGAGATGAGATCAGTCTGTAATAACACAGGGCTGATACGTTGGATTATTGCCAATCAAAGATGCAAGAACTAATGATCCCTCCAGTGATTTATTTGTCTTTTCTTGTCGGATCCAAGTCCAACTATAGACTGGAGACATTACAAATGCTGGAACATTTGGGATGGGAGAGAAACTGAATTAATGCTATCAATGCCAACAGTAAGCTATGTTGCTCATTATTACTTATGAGGCAGACGAGACAAGACGTGCATGACTTGATGAAGGCACTTTCAGCTATTATAAATCCCGAGCTACCGGAACAGCACGTAAATCTGCATTCGTGCTTTGTGTGCAAACTACCTGAGTGCTGAACGCCCATAACAGCTAAAAGTCCTTGCAAGCATAAGTAAATATTTAATCCTCAAGTACATAGTCAGTGAGATTATGAAATAGTCTGTACAGGTGATCAAAATCATCTAATGTCTAATTATTCTATATGTGTCAAGAGCACTATCTATCAGTGCACCTTCAAATTCACAATACCATAGGCTGATTCTAATAACGAAATACATGCTGTAAAAATAGGGCCAACTGCAAATGGTGTGTGTCAAGCACTAGATTTTAGTGCATGAAATACAGAACTAACGGATCTGATGGCTTAAACACTTGTCAATAGTCAACTGCTGATGGGGAACCGTTCCATGTTCTATCCAAATCAACACAAAGTCAGTATTGTATCAATACATTTCTAAATGAACACGAACCTGTCTCTTAATGAGAACCCAGAAAAGCTTGATCGTGTACATATGCTGGCGGTGCTGATTGATTATCATTGTTACCATTTAAATTGACGCTTGGAGAATACGGGATCCACTCTGCCTCCTGCCGACGTCTTTGTTCTAATTCTGCCATTCGTGTGCGAAGGTCAACCATTTCCTGCATCATCGAAGTCATAGGCTCGACAACGGCCTGTGTGCTTTCAGGCCCAACATTAGATACAGCAACCGTGTGCTTTGTCTTGTTATCTGTATTCTCTGTGAGATCATAGTGAGATGCTGGTCGTGTTTGACACTTTTACATAAGATACCTGTGCAACTGCTTCGACTAGATAATAGGGGCCAGGACAGTGGTCGCGCAGTCGTTTCATCTCCAGGATGTGTACACAGGTCTGGTGCTTCAGCATTTTCTTTGCTGCTATACCTCTTCCTTGTCATGGACGACCGATGCAACGAACAGCGTTGCACACAAAGCAACATTACAAGACAAACGATAAATGCCCCTACAACTCCAGAGACGATTCCAGCGATTTTGGCTTTGGATAGGGGGGATGTTCCCGGTCGGTCAGAACTTCCCGACTCAGAAGTGTTTCCACTTGACACAGTTGGTACGCCTAGGTCATTTATCTGAGTCCAAATGGTGATGGAGATTAAATGGAACAACTCACTGGCTGTATGGACAGTACTACCAAAAGAGTCGGTGCTGAAGACAGTACTACCAAAAGAATTGATGCTGAGGACAGTACTACCAAAAGAGTCGATGCTGAGGACAGTACTACCAAAAGAGTTGATGCTGAAGCCAGTACTAGTAGTGGAGTCATGCAAAGAGCTGACAAATGAGGAGGGGGCAGTAGTAGGGGTTGAGATGGTCGTGATAGATGTTACAGTTGTGATGCCAGAATTATCAGAGATAATGAAGATAGTCACGATAGTGCTAGTGCTAGTAGTAGAAAGTGGAGCGACAGTGCTGGAAATTGAGGTAGAAGTGCTTGAGGTGGTAGAAACAGTAGAGGAAATAATGTTAGAAGCTAAAAAAGTCACAGGATTGCCAGCAGAGGTTGAGATATTACGTGCGAGAGAGTGAAAGGGAAGTAAAGAATGAGTTCCCCCTGTAGAATTACTAGTGATACTGGACATTTTGTTGAGAGTGTCGCTTTGGACTTCTATCTGTATTTATTATGAAGACGTGCACAGTATCAACAGTATTGTTGATATAATGATTGATTTCTGATTACTACTTGATTCTAGTGAGTTTGATAGATTAGGTCAGTTTCTTAAGGCTCAACCTGACCCTCAATGCTCTGATAGCTCAGGGCTAGAATTCCAATGCATATGGACAGTTAATTGAAAGTACACAGTTGGCAAAACTGTAAGTTTAAATGTGTGTACTTACGTGCCAATTTTGTAGGGCAAGAATAGTTGGTGATCATCCGGAGCCGAATACTATGTCGGTGCCATCAGATTATCATTGGTTGTCCTAAAGGCAGATTTGAACAATGCAAAGGTGTTCTCTCTACTGATTGTAACTTGTCTTGGCAAATCAAGCTTCTAAATGGGACGATTAGAACTGTTAGGATCTTCCGCAGTAGGAGAGGGATTGAAGATGAGACTGTCGATAGCAAGAGTCGACCATGAGGTAAGACCGACGAAGGTACACATCCTAACAGCAGTACATGTGATGAGCTGGAGCTTCGGTAGACATCTCGACGAGGCAAGCTCACGAAGAAATATTCGGCTATTACAAAGCCCGAGTTGCCGGAAACAGCACGCTAAATCCGCACCCGCGCTTTGTGTGCAAACTACCTCGGTATATTTCCTCGGTGCGGCGACCTCATTGTCTTCCTCCTTGCTACGGCGGTCCGAAGCCAGCCAGCCGAGCACAAAGAAAGGGTAGATATAAGGCGTATTTCCTTGATTTTCTAGTTTGGCAAGACGTATACGAGAATGGCTCTTCCAATGCTCGTTAATGGTGCGGATTGCGGGCCCGTCAATCCATTGCAGGGTCTCGCGAAGCGATTCGATCAGGACAGAGGAATTCAGCAGGTGCGTGGCGATTATTTATGTTCGGTATTCAGTTATGTGACGCCCATCATTCTAGGACCAATTCGTTGCGGGACGTGCTGGTCCGTCACGAGAGGTGAGTACATGAGCAGTTGCGTAACCCAGTCATACATGGAGCTTACAATGTCCTTTTACAGGTGTTCCGCACGGCTCAGCAAGCCAATCCTGTCCTTGAGCAAGAAACAGCTCGTTTCTTTTCGGGAGATGGTTTGAAAAATGGGATTACGTCTCCTGTCCCTGCACCGAATGCATTCGATGTTTCCCTGTTGCACAAGTCCCTACCTATCGTCCATACCCCACCTAGCCATACACCTTCGCCTCAAATACAAGCTCCAGATGCTTCTCACCAGGCCAAAGGAGCAACTTGGGCAGTGGACTTCCTGCAGCAGGCTCGGGCTAGGAGCACTGATGTCGTTGCAAGCGGGAAGGTTTCGCCTGTCTCACAAGTCGAAGTGGCGAATAGACCAGTGACAATGAGTCCCGGTCCTGCAGGTACGTATAATCTCACATCTTACTCATAGCTCATCGAAGCACTCTTTCCTGTATGATGGCTGATTGATTTTATTGCAGGTCTCGGAATGCAGTGGGCAGCCCCGATGCGCATGATGTCTGGACCTCAATTCATCCCCCAAAGCGTTAGCTCACCGTCTCAGCTTCAGTCAAACGTTTCAGCTGCTTCATGGGACAAGGAATTTCAGAGTCACCAAGCAGCATTGCTCTCGGATCTGACATTGCAACAACGCGAGCCACTTACGGGCGATCATCAAGATCCGGCTCAAATTCGCGGTGACGCGGATGATCTCGCTCGTACTGCTGCTTTGATTGTGGAAACAGTCCAAGGTGAACAGAACCCGAAGTTTAAGAACTCTGAGTTCATGCGCCTGATGCGTGGATTGAGGGATGGTGATATTGTGGTAAATGGAGATGACATGGTAGAGAAAGACGAGGTGAGAAGTGAGAACAATATCGATGTTAAGGGAAAGGGGAAGGAGAGGGCTATGGGTAAGCGCCTTTATGTTTGTGCTACCAAATTCGCGAGAGTAAATTCTTATTATGTTTCACAGCACACTCTGGCCCCGCCGTTGTTGATCCAAACACATCTTCCAACTACCTGCAACGCAACGCCGCTCATGTACATGGCCAGGCTTTATCTCAGAGACCCGAAGACCAAAAATCGGCAGGGCCTCGCAACGAAGATCCGAATGAAGCTTACTTCCGCCAGGAAAACGAGGACTACATCGATTATTGGAGCGGTATGGCATCTCGTGCCGCTCAACAGCGCGAAGCTGCCTCCCTTTCCGGCCAAGAAGCTGAATGGGGAGCATTGCAAGACAGCTGGGATTCATTCGAGGCAACAACGTGGGGCGTGAAACCAACCGTTCATTACCAGTTTCAGCCTCATAATCCCTATTTGAATGTGGAGGGCACTCAACAGACTATGCATCATGTTATGCACACGCAGCGTTCGATATATGAAGTTCGTCGCTCCCACCTCTAAATGCCAAGTCTTTTCTTATTGCTTATTGCGCATCGCTTTTTCTTTGAGCAGAGTGTTCTTGAGCTGGAAGCTCAGGTACAGCGAGATCCAACGAATGCTCGCGCATGGTACGATCTAGGTGTGAAGCAACAAGAGAACGAGCGTGAGCCAAAAGCAATCCTCGCTCTTAGTCGATCTCTCGAGCTCGATCCAACACATCTCCCCTCCTGGCTCGCATTAGCAATATCCTACACAAATGAAGGTGACCGAATAGCAGCGGACGATACAATATTGGAATGGGTCAGACGTAATCCACGTTATGAAGTTATCGTCAACGACTACTTCCAGCGTGTTGAGCGACTGAACGGCGGGACGCTTGATAGTTTGAATCAGATGCGGAAACATGATGAATTGATTCGATGTTTGATGGCTATGGCGAGGAGTGGGAATGAAATTGGGGATATTGACGCGGATGTGCAGATTGCGCTTGCGGTTTTGCTTAATACGAGCGAGGAGTACCTGAAAGCACAGGATTGCTTTAAGGCAGCGTTGGCTGTTCGACCTGATGTAAGTCCTTTCCTATGAGAGGCTTTACAATGTCTTGTTTTGCTAAATGGGTGTAATTTACGTAGGACTGGCAACTTTACAACCGAGTGGGCGCGACACTTGCGAATAGCGGATTATCCGAAGATGCGTTCCAATATTATTATCGCGCTCTTGAGTTGAATCCCGCATACATCCGAGCACGCTTCAACCTTGGTATCTCCTGTATGAACATGAGGGTTCGTATTCCTTCCACTCTTTTCTGTTTTTTTCCTAACAATTCTATTTGTTTTGTGACGCTTTTGTAGAGATACGAAGAAGCCGCGCAATTCATCCTCGACGCCCTAATCATGCAAGACAGCGATGGTTCAGTTCATGCAGGAGATGACAAACGAGGGATCACGTCGACTGCACTTTGGGATAGCCTAAGAACCTCGTGTATTCATCTACAACGTATGGACTTGGCAGACTTGTGTGAGCGGAAGGATCTCGATGGTATGTTTATTTGCTTCTATATTGTCCTCGAGTTGTTTGATGCTGAAGAAACATATTGTTTTTACAGGCTTTCGTCGTGAATTTCACATTTGAGTGTGGTCCGTGAGCATTATTAAGTAGGATATTGCAATTGTTGTTGTACATCGTATAACTTCATATTTGAACTGTATATAATTGCATGCATTACACATTTTGTACAGCGAAACGTGTGAAAAGAGAGCTCATACCAACAACCAAGGGTTCTGTCCATACTTCCACTTCCACTAGAGTAAACGTCACCGCAGACCCAACCGCTCCTCTTTACTCCTCGCACCAGCAGTCTCAGCGGCAGCAGTCGTCATCGAACCCGCCGCCGAGCTCGGACCCGGACCCAGACCCAAACCAGTTATAGTCGTGCTCGTAGAAGACGAAGCACCAGAAGAAGTAGAGTTCATTCCACTAACACCACTTGTCGACGGGGGAGGTGGCTGCGCACGACGTTGCTGTTCTTCCCTGGATGCGCGTATACGATCAAGGAAGTCGCGCACGTCCGAGACGTCGTTTTCGGTCAGGGCGATAAGCGTTGGTTGACGGCGGATCATTATTTCTCTGTCCGTCTTCCCTTTCTCTTTCCTCCTTTGTTTGTTTGTTAAGAGTCTAGACGTTAGACAGGAGAGACGGGTGAGCGCGAGATCGCAGTTAATGAATGAGACGCGTGCCTAGACTCGTAGCATAATAGAATTTCAGTTCAGGAAGTGTACGCGCGTCAGTCACAGTCACGCTCATAGCCCATCGCCGCAGGTCCGCAGTACAGTACAACGCAGCAGCACCGACACGTATCCTTATTATACCGCCTCATCTGCGCCAACTCCTTTTCTCTTCGGTATTTTACACTCAACATCATCTTCAGCCTTTCCTTCTTTCTACGGTAAACCTCTCGTAAACCAATACGCTATGGAACACCTCGTACGCGTTACGGATACTATCAAGGGCTTCCGGGTAAGTCCTGCATACTTTTTATTTTCTTATTATTAAGTAAAATTGGCTCAACGAATGTTCCTATGGATGCTTGTATTATGGACCTGATTCAATATAGGAAACACGCTTGAGCGCCCTTCGCCCTCCTACCGAGTTCTTCGACCATCATCGCTTGTCACGTCCACAGGACGGGAACCAGGCTATTTCTGTGCGTGGCGACACTTCTTCTCAAATTCCTTACATTTGCTAATTCCCTTTTATGTTATGTTATGTTGTGTTACTGTAGAGAATCTCTTATAACACTCGATACTTCTCTGGTGAGCCCACCCATTCAGCTCGCACACCTACGTTTCATTTCATTCTGAAAATGTGATTAATGAATTTAGGGAATTATGGAGTTATCGTCGCTATTTTGGCTGTATACGCTTTGTGCGCTCGTTTCTCTTCTCGTTTCGAGTTAGATGCTGAAAGTAGATGTGAAATAGGATAACGAACCCCCTTCTACTCATCTCCATCGGCTTCCTTGTCGGCGGTTTCGCAGCAATTAACAGATTCGGTACGTCCACACCTTTCTCTCCACCTTGCGTCTTCATTTCCTCGCCAACTCTAATTCATTCGCCCACCCGTAGCCCCCGAACCAATGCAAGTAGGCGACCAAGTCATCACCCAAAAGACACTCTACATCGCACTCTTCGTCATCGGTATCCCTCTCTTATGGTGGTCCTCCCCACTCGGAACCTTCTTCTGGCTTGTTGGCGCTTCGTCGTTCGTCATCCTCTTCCACGCGTGCTTCATGGAACCCGGTATCGAGAGCGAGTATTCTGCGGTTGAGGCTGGTACCGTGGGTGTTTAATTGTCTTAATTGTTTGCAAGGGAGAGATGGTAGGAGGGCGGAAGTGGCGGGTGTGCATTGTATTGTGGGCGAGAGAGGCGTTGTAGAGGGTTGGGATGTGTTTGTTGTTGGATACTTTTCTTCTTTTACCTTTTACTTTACTCGTCTTTTTTTCAGATTCGGACTAGATTAGACCTTTCGTCATTCGCTCGTGAATACTTGACATTATCGTCTAATCGTATATTTATTCCCTATTCTGTCATCCATACTTGAAGCGAGCAGAAGACAATTGGACATTCATGAGAACTGCAAGGCTGATCCTTCAAAATAAAATATTATGGTACTGTATACAAACAGTTTCTTGTTGAATTGTGGCTAGAACCCACGATTTATTCAAGTTCAGGAGAATATATTCAATACTAAAGTGGGAGGCCTTTCTCACGCATTTGAAACTGAAAACCTATGTTTTCGGAATCATGCCTTCCTTTTACTATTATGCCATATATCACTATGGTAAGTTATTGCTACAATATTCTCAGCATCAACAGCATCAAGTTTGACACAGACAAGTGAACCAGATGTACTAATAACATCAGTTCTTCCAGGTCATATGCAAGGGTTGCTGCCCTTGAGCCAGCTCGAGACTGACTGATACTGGGCCACCGGCCATTGGAAGCAGAATAACTCAGGGGTGTACAAGCCTGACCTTTGAAGAAGAATCGCTCAAGACGCACCCCCTGCATTTACAGTAACCTTCGGTGGTTCAAATTGACATTGTTTGCAAATGACCTTTCATGTCCCTGAAGCGGTGGGGGTATCTAACAGGAGGCAAGTACGGAAATCAAGAAAGGAGCAAAAAAAAAAGCAAAGAGATAAAACTCAAACTCTACTTTTGAGCATTCGAGAAAGGTGCTGACAGAAATATTGTTAGCAGGATCAGGTTCCATCCCTCGCCAATGGATGCGCGTTGCACTGGCGGACGGGTCATCGTCTTCATGAAATTTCTTATCACTTTTTTGGAGTACAGTTATCTTGCTTTGCCATAACGCGATGCATAGGCTCAAGGTCTTCGTCTCTCCTCCCTCTACTCCTATCACACTCTCTCGATGCCATGCCCACCTGGAAGAGAGAGAAGGTTAACAGAGACTCGAGCTCGCAGAGCTCCTTTGACAAGAACAAGGATTATGGCGCGTCAATGGCGGTCAGAGCTGTCGAGAGGGTCTGTCATATGCCAGGACATGCTCTGACGTCGGAAGGCCATCTTCATCGCGGCCTCAAGTCACGACATATCACTATGATTGCCATCGGTGGTGCTATCGGCAATGGTCTCATTATCGCAACGGCCGTGCTCAAATCTCTAGTTGCTCGACGTGAATTTTGCGGACCGGATTGACATCCATCCCTCTTAGTGGAGCAGCTCTCGCAAGAGCTGGCCCTGCACCAGTGCTTATGTGAGTTGCATACACGTGGGCGCTCATGGCTTCGGTCTAACTAGCTTTCATAGATCGTACGCGTTTATCGGTTTCCTCGTGTATATCGTCATGTGTGCACTCGGAGAAATGGCTGCATGGCTCCCTCTCCCATCTGGTTTCACCGGTTATGCAACTCGGTTCTGCGACCCGGCGCTCGGGTTTGCCCTCGGCTACATGTATTGGTTCAAGTATATCATGTATGCCCGAACTAATTAACTGCTGCAGCCCTCGTCCTTCAATACTGGGTTCCGCACGAAAGGGTCAACCCGGGTGTATTCATCGTAATATTCCTTGTGGTGATTGTATGCATCAATTATTTCGGGATCAGCTTCTTTGGAGAGTTCGAGTTCTGGCTGAGTAGTGTCAAGGTTGTGATTATCGTCGGCCTCGTTCTACTTAGTTTTATCCTTGCACTCGGTGGTGTTCCGGACCACGATCGCAAAGGGTTCAGGTCCTGGAAAAATCCAGGGGCATTCAATACATATATTGAAGGTCTGTCATTACAAGTAAACTTCCTGCAAGGTTGAATTATACTTACACTTCCCCTTCTGGCTTTAGATGGGGCGGCTGGTCGCTTCCTTGCATTCTGATCCGTTATGACTGTTACGACTCTCGCATTCCTTGGCACAAAGCTCGTCGGAGTCACTGTCGGTGAGGCTCAAAACCCATGTCGCACAATTCCTCATGCGATCCGTCTCACGTTCTACCGTATCCTTTTCTTCTACGTCCTCTCTGTATTCTTGCTCGGCATGCTCGTTCCATACAACTCCAAGGAACTCGCTTTCGCCACCACCAAGTCGAACAGTGCAGCGGCATCACCCTTCGTTGTGGCCATCCAAATTTCGGGCATCAAGATACTCCCCGGTATTCTCAATGGATGTATCCTCCTCTTCGTTTTTTCCGCCGCAAGTAACTCGGACCTGTATGTTGCATCACGAACACTCTTCGGTCTTGCGTGCGCAGGTAGCGCACCGAGTATCTTTGCACGCACGGACAAGCGTGGTGTTCCTATCTATGCGCTTGGGTTGTCAGCGGCCTTCGTTGCTTGCATTCATGGATGTTTCGGATGACTCTAAGCAAGTATTTTTGTACTTCACGAATGTGATTACGATTTTTGGGTTGCTCACTTGGATATCAATCCTCGTTACACATATTTACTTCTGCCGTGCACGTAAGGCTCAGGGACTCCGTGATCAGGATCTGCCATACGTCGCACCCTTCGGTGTATGGGGGGATCGTACATTGCGCTTGGGTTCTGTGTTATCATTTCGATATTCAAAAACTACGATGCATTTGTGCACAGTGCGAAGTACGGCAACTTTTTATGTGAAGAACTTCGTGACGGGTTATATCGGCATCCCGCTATACATCATCCTCATCTTTGGGTGTAAGATTACACATCGTGGCTTGAGAGTTCAACCAGAAGAGGCAGACCTTTTCTCTGGTAAGGACGAGATTGATAAGGAAGAAGAGGCGTTCCTCGCCGCACAAGCTGAGAAAGGCAGCACTGCCGATGGCAACTGGTTCTATAGGACGTTCATCTCATGGCTGTTCTAAGCGAGGACGTTTTTGCATATTTTATGTGCGATATTTTCTCGTTGTATATTTATTTATTTACTTTCATTTGTGCATAATCATTACGATTGCGATTTAGAAATATTTGCGAGTCTGGACTTGCAGATTTTGTATAGATTTGTAGACTACAGAAATGTTATAAAAAAAAGTGATGTGGAAGGTTGGTGGTGGCAGGTGTTTGTTGTTGGGGTTGGATACTTCTACGATACATTTCTTCCTCTTCTCTGACTTTTCTCTTGGATTCAGGCTAAATTAGATCTGTTCTTTATTTGCCTGCAGATACTTGACTTTGACATTGCCGTCTAATCATATTTATCCCATTGCTCCACTATTTGCATCCATCCTTGCATCATGCATCAGAAACTCACGTGAAAAAGGAGGAACTGCATGCTTTCCTGTTATGCAGGGAACAGTAGGGAAGGACACAAGCGGATAAACACAAAGGTGAAAGGGGGTGTCTGATAGAAAGTGTAAAAAACAATGTGAATTTCAAAAGAAAGCAGTACTCAGCCTGTATACTTGTGTAAGAGCAACATACAGTAAGTATATGAGTAAGTTAAGAAGCTCGTTCCAGGACCTGATAAAGGAACCATAAACGGAGTGAAGAGATAATAAAAGAAAAGAAAAGAATAATGTGGTGATATGGAAAGTAAAAATGTAAATAACGGAATTAAATTTCTTTTTTTCTTCTTGGTTCATGTCCGTCTGGCGGAAGTGACAATGTCAATCCTTCTTAAAGTTAAATTACATGAGAGGTAGCCATTGCCCTAATTCACATGCAAACCCCACAAAAGTCAAAGTCACATGGTAAGTGCTAATACGATAGGGCTTTGTCAAAACACATACCGATGACGAGACTCGGCAAATCAAATATATCTCTCCGTATCGAAAAGCAAAACGTGCACGGTATAGGCTCCCCGGACGGTTTCAGAAGCACACAATGACTAAATACGGACGTTGCTGTGTTCTCGAACGCATGCGAGGCGAACTTCTCCCAGTACTCGATGACGGATTGACTTTCGAAGAGCTAAACGGGAAAAAAAGAATAAGGTTAGGTAAGATTATGATTGGTATGAAGTTATTGAATGAATGAATGAAGAGGACGAACCTCGTAGATATATTTCCTTCCAGTAACGAGGTCCTCTTTCTTCCACTCCGTAAGGAGACAAAACTCAACACCAACGAGACATATCTCGCCTGTCCGGCGCCACACAACGGTCGGAGTACCACTAAACGAAATCAACTTCTCCAATTCCTATCAGACCGTGGAAAACAAAAAACTTCAGCGTAAACTCCGGAACCCTCAATCAATTAAAGAGCTAAATGGGATATACGCACCAAGAGCGAACGGCGAAGGCACTTCTCCATAAATATAAAGTCATCTGCAGACATGGGCGCTTGGAGGGCAATCATAGATGGGCGGTAGATGGCTAGAGCGCGTATGACGCGTAGGATATCATTTTTAGAGAATCTGCTTGGATACAGGTCAGATGAGTACGGCCCAGGCTGATGTATGTAGTACTGTGTCATACCTTTTATACAAGAAGCCCATCAGGAACTGGTAGCTCTGAATATAGCTATATGGCTTCGTAACAGTCGAGTACACATCGGACGGCGTTTCGCCACTCCCAATTGCAGGAGTAGTCTGCCCTTCAGTTAAGGAACCCGTTGACATTGGAGAGTCTGTATCGGGTGGAGAAACGGTTGACGTGCTCGTCTGTTGCGTCATTGAGCGCTGGGCAATCGGCGGCGCACTCGTGCTCGGACCTTGACTTGTGGGCAAGCGCTGCTGCTGTTGCTGCTGTAATGGGGCTACAACGGGAGGGGATGGCTGTATGTATGACTGCTGGCTTGCGAACGAGAGATCTGATTGCGGATAGGCGGTATCGGATGTTAGATTCTGGACTGGGAGTTGCTGTTGTTCGCGACCATTTTGTTGTATGCTGATATTTGATGCCCCAGCATTATCGAACATGCCCTGGTTAGCATATCGCCCATTTTGAATATACTGTCCGCCGTTCTGTTGTTGTTGTTGTTGTTGTTGTTGCTGCTGCTGTTGTTGTTGACTAGCATAGCTTGTATCGTATCCGACGGACCGTCCACCCATGAGAGCTTGTGGAGAGATGTTCGTCTGTTGGGGTGACGGCTCAGCCGGCCATGCAGCGTTTGCGAACTGCGATCCATACGCAACGGACGTCGATGGAGGGGTCTCCGAGGTGAGGAACGGCTGATCAGGGCTGAAGTTGTTCATCCCTAGGATAGCTGATAGACTCGAGTACTCGAGATTCGCAGCCTCGGAACCAAAGCTGTAATTCTGATCCATCGGGAGGTTGAAGTATAAATCATTGCTCGGAAACTGTTCCATCACTTTAGGAGTATTATGCTCAGCTACTTCTGTTCAATATACAAGGGAGATCGGAAAGATTCGGTACCTGGCGGAGCGGAGGGTGGAGGTTGGGAGCCTTCTGGAGTAGTTTGTGAGATCGGCTTGCCCTTCTTTAAAGCCTCTATAAGATGGCTCAGAATACGGGTAATCTAACAAGTTATTTTTAAGTACGAACCGAGTTCAGCATCATCCAGTAGGTATTTCGCTTTCTTACGATGCCCTTCAACGCATTTTTCGGCCATACCGCGCTTGACGCAGCGTTGGCACGGTCGAGCTGCATACGACACATACAATGTCAGCAAACAAGCATAAAGACATGAAATCGAAGAGATAATGAAGTAGTGATTAAATGTTACGCAGACAGAGTGCGGCCGTCCCAAGTAAAGGCCGCATCCAAGCTCTCCGCGAGCGAAATTTGAGTGGTACTGTTCAACCAAGGTAAATGCACGTACTATCATCACAAGTCAAATGTGCCTTTTGGCAATGTGCGCATGCGCGCTGTGCTTTCTTCTTTTTGGGGCCATCCCGTTGTTTGGTCGGCGGTCGGGACGGTGTGCCGTCTTCGTTCGCGGTGCCGTCATCGACACCTGCGTTAGTCGCGCGACGTTTCTTAGCATTCGCGACGCCGATGCGTCTCTTGCCCGCGTTGGGCCCCAGGGTGGAGGGGCCGGCTTCTGCGTTGGCGCTAGATCCAATAACGGGGATTGTGGGAAGGTGGCCCGCGGTAGAGGACGAAGGGAGACGGTAAGAGTCCGTAGAAGAGGATGTCTGAGCGGGGAGGATAGGCGGGCGGTGCTCTGCTGGACGAAGAGGCGGATAGCTCTGCATGGGCGGCGGGGGCGGCGGATGGAGTTGAGAAGGACGAGGGCGTCGGGGATGAAACTCGAGGGCAGTGGACAAACAGGCGCTGTGCGGTTGGAAGGAGAAGGATGAGGATGTGAGAGGCGTTACATAAACGGTGCCGTTTTTGAGTGTGCGATCAACCCGCAAGGTCCTCTAGGCTCTCCTGGCTCAGGCTTCCCCAAGAGATCTCCCTGCATTTCAATTATATCTTTCCCATTCATTCCCGCTATCTATCCGCCTTCCTTTTCTCTTCCTGTCCCACATTCGCAGTCCCAGACCGACCGACGCCATATTTATCCGTCAATACCCAACCCATCGTACCATATAAGGCAAATTTATTACCCACAAAGGTTATACTCCTCCGCTGCTCTAATCGCTAAAAAAACTTCATATCAGAATCCATTCGTTCATTCATTGAATCATCTCCCCCCAAACGTGTCGTGTCGCATGACTTTATGACTTCCCGGCATACTGTGTCCGGTCTCCTTGAGCAGCTGGCTCGGATCCTGGGCCGCAGTCAAGCACAACAGGAATCCAGATGGATGCGAGATCTGGCAAAAACGGAAGATAGACTCCAACTCATGCTCAAACGTAGAATAAGCGGAGAACCTGTACAGTACATACTAGGTACGTCGGCGGATGACCGCAATTCAGTCACATTCATTTTTTACAACAACTCTTTGTGATTTCTAACTTTGTACATATTTATTTTTGTTTTTTGATGTGCTTAGGAACGCAGCCTTTCGGTCCGTTAGAGCTACACGTACGTCCGCCGGTCCTCATCCCGCGTCCTGAAACGGAGGACTGGACACTCCGTCTCGCGCAGCGAGTCTCACCAACACGTCAGGCACCACTCAAGTTGCTGGATCTGTGTACAGGCACAGGCTGCATTCCATTACTTCTGTGTCACCTCTGGCCAGCTGGAAGCGTCCGTACTCTCGCTGTTGACGTTGCTTCTGAAGCTGTCGCCCTGGCGAAAGAGAATGCAGACCAAGTTGGGGTCCGTGTCTCGGAGAAAAAAGCAACCCGTTCAGAAGACAATACTATTTCATTCCTTCAAGCGGATATTCTACAAGACAATTTCCCGAAAATCTTGAAAGAACTTGGCTGGCGTTCATTCGACGTGTTAACTTCCAATCCACCATACATACCGCTGGACGAATACAAAGCACTGCCATCGTCTGTCAAGGACTACGAAGACCTACGTGCACTACTTGGTGATCCCAAGCTCGACGTGGCAAACGACGGACGAGGACTCACATTCTACAGAAAAATCGCAGAGCTCGTACGTCATCAACTCGTCAAGCCCGGTGGACTCATCGCTCTCGAAGTTGGTCACGATCAAAGCAACGAGGTGGAGCAAATCATGTTATCAGATGGGCGGGTGCAAAAGACACATGTCTGGAAAGATCCATGGGGCGTTCCGCGTACCGTCGTTTGCTTAAAATGACACAAACAAAAAAGACACAAAACAGAAAAGAAAGACGCAAGTGCACACGACCGAATTGACCGGGACTACCTAAAACAGTACAGCCACGACGGGACAATGACGACGGGAGAGCGACGGAACGATCTACACCACTGATCTTCTGCGGCGAACTTGATCAACGCGAATCTTTCTCTACCAGGGACTAGGATGCTATTCATTAGCTGTGCCCGGGGTAGGAAGTCAAACAACGAAACGCGACTGGCTCCCCGGTCTTCTCCTTCTTCCTTCTATCTCCTTCCCCGCATCCGTGCCACCTGCTCCGAAATCACCCGCTATCCAAGACGAAGATTCGACACCCACAAGTGTCCACATTCATCACTACGACAACAATGGTATCTCCTTTGCTTAATCTCCTTCCCGGCGGCACCTTTTATACCACCCACCACGCCATTCCGTAATGTTACCCTGGCCCTGACCCGCTCGAGTTAGGTGTAGCGTTCCCACTCGCCGTGCTAACAGAACCATTCGTTCGTATATTATCTGACGATCCTAGACTCATTGAGCCAACACCAAGCGTCAAGCTAGAGCTCAACGCACTGGGTGCAGTAGGGCGCGGAGTTCCAGTACCGCCACCTGCAGGCGTAACGGGCGTCCGCGCTCCAGAAGGTACTACAGAAGAAGCTCGCTGACCTGGAGGCGGCGTCGGACGAGAAGCGTTTAACCGTTGTAAACTCTTGATCGGGAATTTCGTCCTGAAGATTAAAGCATGTTAAGCCAATTTAGATTAGATTACGATCGTGCAAGGAAGAATGGAATTGTGGGGAAGATCGTTTCGAGGAGATGTGGAGATGTGTGAAGGAACGCGGGGTTCCGGAAAGTGGGTTGAGCGAATAGAATTGCTCGGGTGTTTACGGTGAAAAGAGAGTGAGCCCAGCAAAAAGGGACCACATCATATCGGGAGTATTCATGTAAAAATAAGAGATGTGAAGAAGTGATTAATACGTACCGGCATGTTGAACAGACAGGAACTGGCTGACAAAAGACTGCGAAGCAAAGGTGGAAATCAGTATTTATCTTTAGTTAAAATGCTCTCAACTTTGAAAGGCGTACTGGATAAGCAAACTGAGCAGACAAATCCAATGTCCACAATTGTTTTATGGCAAAAGCATGCAGCTCGGAAGTCTATTTTGTCTTGCGTAGGAACTGCGATAAGTTGTCGTATAGATGGCGTCGGTAGGAAGGTCATCTGAATGATAAAACAATCACAATGACGATGATTGTGTAAAATGAAAAACACCATTTGAGGCATACCAGAAGGTGTTGCAGTAGGGCATCCCGTCTTTCAAGATAAATGTATGATCCTCCGGTCAAATGCGCCGCTTGCTGTAGGAACACCGCATCGGGCCCATATATCTTGCAAACATCTATTGCAACTTTCTGCACGTCGAAGGCAAGTTGGGTCACTCGTGAAGTCCTTACACTATTAGTAAAAGCTATTAACTCACAAGTTTTTGAGCAGAAAATATACTGTTCATGAGAGGAATATAGGATGTCGATAGGTCTGGCGAGACTGAGAGAATGACAATTCGAGGTTCTGGTGGTACAACAGGCACGTCTGAGTCAATGCTGGTAGCAGTTGGATTCACGAGACGGTTGATATCTATCACAGCTCGTTCGTCAAGCAAATTAAGGTTTGAGAAAAGGGTGTCCCGTACGGCATAACGCCTTCGTTAATGCTCCGACAAGCTGACATGGTGCTTTCAACATTGATTAGCTAATTAAAATACGATAGATATCCCAAGTATTTAGCTTACCCTCTTCATCAAAATCTGACATCGCGTCTAGCTCTTCACTAATCCTCTTCGTTACAGCAGTGTCAACGACCTTGAACGGCAAGTATGTATTCGGATCCGCTATACTATCGTCTACGCCTTCAGGTTTGTGATCCATCGAAGAATATAGAAGAACACTGCATAAGCAGACACGAATACGCGAAACATAAACACTCAAGGTAATGGTGACTTGTTAGTAAGAAGCGCACCTCTTTCCAGGAAATGCACCATACACAGCGAGCGTGTTCTCATGCTTCAGTGCCAGATGGGAGTTTAGAAACGCGAGAGTTTGTGCGAGAAACGACTTGAATGAAAGAGGATATGCGTTCTTTGGAAGAGAGGACAGATGCCATTGGGTCGGGGACAGGTCAAGGATGATGGCCAGATGTGAAGGACGGTCCATGCCTATTGTGTTGTTCAGATGCTCGTATGTGTACCGACTGAGATTATTTGTCCGTTCACAGGAGTATTGCACATCAATTTTGAGGAGTGCGAAGGTGTTGACGAAATTGCAGCGCTGTAAGTGGTGGACGATATTATTATTATTAAGTATGTTACTGATTTTAGATGTCTCTGAGCACGTGATCTTTTCATCTACTCGGTGGCGATGCAACATGTGGATCTTCAATTCCTCTCTACGATCGGCTGTTTTCAGCGCCTGATAGCTGTGCTCAATTCTTGTTTTTGATGCTCTGTATTTTGTTCCCCGGCACGTCACCGGGAGTCGGAAGAGAGTAGGAACCGGTAAATACAGGGAGAGAAATACAGCTAAGAAATGAGCACCTTAAGTAGCGCAGATCCATCATTCCATCGGACAATCAAAAGTGTAAATAGAGTAAGCAGACCTAATATAGAGATTTTGAAGGAAAATGCACATTTCTACTCTATTTTCTTGTGTCTCACCGTCGACATGGAGCCTACAGACCAACATATGCATGAAATAGACAACAGAAATACTCTTTCTATTGGAGCTGAGCAATCCCAGCACCAATCTCCTACTCCTACACCTCCTACTATGGCTCCACAGCCATTCAATCCTAACTATATACACTCCGGATTTATGTATGGCCATGGGCAGCAAAGACTACAGACTCCAAATCAAGTTTTCCCTCACCAATCCCAGCCTACAACCCAGTTATTTTATCCAGGCCAATTCTACTCTCACAATACTCCAGTAATGCCAAACTATGCATCTACTCCAACAAACCAACCCTCGGTGAGAATGCAAGAAACTCCTACACAAAACTTTCTTGTAGACAGTCAGGGGCACCGAATCTCACCAAGAAGAGCTGGGGGACGAGTTTTGGATAAGATATTGGATGCAGAGTTGAGTAGTGATGAGCCAGAGGTTATTCCAGCACCAGGTACGTAAATTCATGATTATTTGTAATTTCTACACTACTTACATATCTTTTAAGACTTTAAAGGCAAAGGAAAGGCAAAGCAAGCAAAAAAGGACAAAGGAAGCAGGAAAGAGACAGGAAAGCAAAAGAAGAAGGGTCAAGGATCCAAGTCCGGTGTCAATGCTCGACAAGTAGGCAAATCTGACGATGAAATCGAAGATATGGATGAAAACCTCAAGACTGCTGCTGATATCAAGACGACTGCCGAAAGGGCTGTATGGACAGACGATGACAAGAAGAAGGTGGTATCATACTGTATAGACTCTACCCGGTGGCCAGATTTCAAGGTAAAACAAGGTCAATACTTTCAGCAGGTGCGTATCAATTAAACTACAAGATATGTACACTAAGGACCTTATCAATCGTCTTACTGTCCTGTAGATTTCCCAACGGATTCTTCCAAGCAAGTCTCCTGAACAAGTCAGGTCTTGCTGGAATCGTACTTTTGCCCTGTATGCTGCAGTTGTAGCTCGGCAGGAGCATACAGGAGGAGGCGATGGTGATGAATTTAAGCTGGACCAGTTAGACCTCTCTCAGGTCCAGATAGAAGACGAAGGAGAATCTAAAAGGAAGAAGAGAGGAAGGAGCAAGTCTGCTCCTCAATTTTCTGAGGCACAGTTAGATGCCTTTGAGCAATCTGAACTTTTTCAGATGCTTGACGAAGTGTAAGTCTCAATTTTACGTTTTTTATTCTATTTTTTACTAATTTATTTTTTACAGGGCTCGGGACCATCCTAACATCAGAAAGATGTTTGATGTCAGTTCTGAAAAGCCTGTGGAGACTGAAGATGAAGAGGAAGATACAAATATTAAGACCCGGAAGAAGAAGATCAAGATCGAGGACTCCTTGACCGGCATAGAAGAAATCCTCGGTGAGGCTGTACGAAATTTCGCTTCAACAAAGCAGGAGACGAGCCGGAGAGAGGAGGAACGAATGTTGATGGAGCGTGAACGTAATTTGAGAGAAGCAGCTGCATCCAAGCTTCAGCATGAAGAGCGGAAGCACCGGTTGTTGGCAGAAAAATGGCAGGCCTATCATGCAGCTTTGGAGCATCCAGACCCGTTCACCAGAAAGCGAGCAGAGAAGTTGAAGAAGGAAATTGCTGAACTTGAAGGATTTGAGCTGGAAGATGAATAGGAGCTTTCGAGGTTTTTTTTCCAGGAATTCCTTCACTGCTGAGCCCCATTCAATGGTGACAGCATCTTCATGTTCATCCTAGTGTGATTGACCCCGCTACCGATACTGTACTTGTATCCGTCTCATGTGAATATGCATCGAATAAAATTCTTTGAGTACCATTGTCTCACTTGCACAAACTATTCAAAATGACGTGCAGGTGAGACAGCCAGGACACTTTCCCTCGTTGATGTTCCACATAACGTGTCAGGATTCCAATAAGCTGCGACTCGATGAAATCGACAAAGACAAGATCAATAGGCGTATCGTCAGTGACGTTTGGTGAAACGGAGCCGATGAAGTCCGGAATGGAGAAGAAGGGAAGTGGCGTGTCTTGCACTTCGACATAATTTGCTGGACCCGGTATTAACACTGTTCTTTATACTCGAGGAGACAGGCTTACCAGGGAATAATCCGACGTTCCCGTGTGCATCACGACCCTGCGACCAATCTTCGCTTGCAGCTTCGATATCTGTGATGCGGTCACCTTCACAGAATGTCAATTCATTCTCCTCAGCGCGGTCATAGCTAGAGCAAGCTCAGGATGGCAATAATAATATTCAGCGATTAAGACATACTCATATAATGCAATTGCACAGACACCCTGGTCGTGTGACTGTAATCGCGCTCATTGTGATATAGAACAGAAGTATACATCATGCTCGTAGTATATTACACATGAAATTTAAAAAAAATCATGTAGTGAGCAATTCTACCAAACGCTTTCGACGATACATTCCAGCTACATACAAATCCCCCTCACCCATTCCATCAATATCAAAGTCACCACCATTGTTATCAATTCGTAGAACATTTTCAGCTTGTTCATTTTCGTTTGCTTCATCAATATCTTCTTCTCCATTGAATCCTTCAATAGTGGAAGGGTCATCACCTAGTTCCTCCAATATATTGTGAAGTATCATGCATGCTTCAATAGTTCTCCAGCAAACTTTCATAGTTTTCCCAGAAAGTCTTCGGAGGAGGGGGAAACGACCCTTAAGCCTCCCAAATGCATGTTCAATGCATACTCTGATACTGGAGAGCTTGAAATTCCAGTCTCGCCTCTGTCTTGCCTGAAGCCTATTACTGGAAATGTCGTACTCAGCAAAAGGCCGGATTGTGAACATTGTCAAAGGATATCCTAATTAAAAGTTAAATATTGTATTCTAAGAAATATATAAGAATTTTGTAACATACCTTTGTCTGCAAGAATATATTCATCATCTCTAAAGAACTTCCTTCTCTCTAGACAAAGAGGGGATTGCCTAAAGACCTTTGTATCCTGAACACTCCCTGGCCAACCTCCTTCATAATGTGTGAATATACCCCTATGGTCACAAACAGCCTGGACAACAAGCTGAAAGACAGTAATTAATGTATAAGAGAATTAATTAAAAGTAATAAACTTACTGCATAGAATTTTTTCCTACAATAATAATACCATCCATGCCTTTTAGGCTTGTCTGCTAAGGGGATTAGAGTAGCATCTATAACTCCTATGCATCCAGGAAAGCCAAATCGCTCAAATTCTTCTTTCAAAAAAGCACGTCTCTCTAAACCAGGCCATGCAAGATGATCCTTTCGAATCCTCCGGAGGGCATAACGAACCCTTTCAGAAAAGTTATGAGTACTCCCCTCAGAAATAGATGATTGCCCAGATGTATGGACAAAGGGCTGCCCTCCTACTCTTAGGAGAAAAGCTGCAAGCTGAACAGCTACAGGCTTTTGAGGCTTCCGGCCTGATGAGACAAAAATAGGATTATCTGCAATCAGGTCATGAACATGCCAAAAGCTAGCCCTTGACATTCTTTAAAATTAAAATTAAGAATTATAAAACATATCTACATATTTTATATGTTAACTACATACCTGAGATGAGACTTAAACCACCTAGTAGAATAATGGTGTAACAGTTTATACATGTAATCATCAGATTTGACAGCTGTATATGGGCCTCTTGGCCCACTTCGTGGTCGAAGTTGATATGCAATTAAAATGAAAATAAGGCCTTCCCAAGCCTCTTCATCAGTTTCAGCATCTAACAGGACAAGTAGACCAAATATTTTCAGAATATGCTGTAACTTGGCTAGATGGTGGTAGCGGGGCATGTTTTCGTGTGTGTCTCAATTATTCTAACAATTATCTATACCTACACTCATGTCTTAGATCTATGTAAGGCTGCCGGACCAGCCGTTCTCTTAGTTTCATTCTCCGACGTGCAAAATACACGAAATACACCTCCTCGAGGTGTGTCTGCTGTTTCTAAGGCACGCACGGAGATCCTACTCAAAATGGAAGTAGACCCTAGATCCACCCTCCCTAACATTCCTTCTGCCGAGGTAAATATTCGTCAGATACAAGAATTGAGCAGGGCTGATGCCTTGCGACGGCTTTGCACTTCATACTCTGCTGTCGGTATCTCTCCTAGGTAGGATTTGCTTGTTCTGCACTCTACGATAATACTGGAAGTAACTCTACAAGCATTAAAGAACGATTTCAAGCGCTGACAAGCTGTTTTCATCCTGTATAGATGTTGTCATGTTGAGGAATAGCTCCATCTCCGAATGCAGGATATTACTCAGAGGTTATCAGAATCAAACGATGAGACAACCGTGTTTAATTAACGAGTGCCATCACGATGGATACTGAATGACTATCTTGAGGGTCAATAAGTGCGGCAAAATCAGATGTTCGCCTTCCAAGTCGCTAGCACAACTTCACCTGTCCCTATTCTCACCGTTGACCGCACTATCTGTTGCCTTCGTCTCCGTCTCCTTCACCTTTACACCCACTCTCTCCTCCTACTTCTTTCTTTGCCTTGACCTTTGCCCCGATGTTCAGTTTACCTAACTCTGCTACCGACACCTTTGTAAACACCACAGGTCCTCGGACTACTAAAAGCTCTTGTAGCTTTCCCCCTCGATCTTTCTTACGTGGCAGTGCCTCACTTGTACTTGTTGTCCCCCTTGTCTCTGCTCTAACTGTCTCAACGCCGACGGGCCCAGTGTCGGGCGGACCGATAGAGGTTGTATGGACTGTTGCGCAAGGCGACCCAGCGACGTTCACCATTGACTTTTTTAACATTAATGTGCTCAGCTTAATCTACAAATATCCTAACGTCGATAGCAACCATGGACCCCTCCTTCTCACTTTGCCCAATGTGACCGTTGGGTGAGTTTAATTTTATGTCAGGTCATTTGGGTCTGACCCAACCTCGACCAATCCTATGGTCATTAATGTTGTTTCTATTATTGTCGTCGTTGACACATGGTATTTTGACAGTGATGGTTACAGGCTGCAGCTCGTGGATACTGAGTAAGTACTGTGTGGGTTCCGTTCATGACACTTTTTTTAATTTTTTAATTCTTTACTCTGTGTAGTAACGAAGCAGACGTTTTGGCCCAGAGTGAAGACTTCGCGATCGGCGCTGCGCAACCTACTACAACATCCTTATTATCCTCAGCAACGTTCTCGTTCTTAACAGCCACCTCCCTCCTTATCAATACTGTTAGTCCTAGCAATCTCATTTCTAGCAGTACTGCCCAGACTACAGGTATTTTTATTCATTTGTCTTTCGAGTATCATATTAACTCAAATAATCTAAGCATCGAGTTCGACTCAGGCGGACGGAACAGGTGCACCTGTACCAACCGACCGATCGACTGTTTCTTCTGTGTCCAAAGCAAAGGTAGCTGGAATCGTTGCTGGAGTTGTTGCATCGGCCATTATTTGCCTCGCAATATTGCTATATGTTCGACGTCGCACATTATACTGGCCATCCATTGTAAGGAGGAGATATAACAAAAAAGGGATCGCTGAAGTGCCAGAGTTACACGGAGTCGTAGAGAACGGAAATTCTGTGGTGCCACTGATTTTGCCCCGGGAATCCGGTCGACGCAGTTGGACAAGCGATAAGGGCGAGCACGGCCGCCAAGCACGGCCAGAGTCTCGCCGTCCCACCAATGAAGCGACAGATAATAGAACGAATCAGAAGCACGCAGCACCAGTCCCCAACATCACACCCGAGAATTTGCAGCCCATAGTCGAGCCTATGTCTTCAGTGATGCAGGAAGTGGATGGCCTTCATGTCAGAATAGCGGAATTGGAGCAACAACTGCAGGAAACAAGACAGAACTTGCGTCCACCAAGCATTGATTCGGGCGCGGCCAATGATAATCGATCAGCGCCGCCAGCGTATTCAGATGATGGTCGTTACTGAAATGTCTGGTTAGAGAGATAAGTACGTTTCCATATTCAGGTCGCATGAATGTTGTACATTAATTTCATGTGGGAAATGTGTTAGAATGAAGTTACAAAGCTGGACAAAGCACTGGACATAGATGACAATATGCACACAATACGATGTAGGATATTATTTATGACAACTTGGATCTAGGGTCTTTGCAAACACAGATTCTACATCTCGACGCATGTGGCTGTGGTCTTCGATAACCAGGACGAAGCCCAGCTAGGATTATTTATTTAAAACAATTGTGTACTCTGGTAATCAAAAGGCGGTCCTTCAACTGAGCCGCGAAACATATGACGATATGTAAAGCAGCGATAGATCGTACCGCTAGTATGTCATGATGCACAAAATACCCATGTATCGTGAACGTAAACAGGAAATGTAATGGTATAGTGAAAGCACATCATCTACGCTTGACGGGTTTCTTGCGCTTCTTAGGTGGTTTCTCCTCTTTACTTAGCTCTACTTGACCAGCCACAGAGGCTCCCAGTGCAGTCGCTAATTCTTTCCCTTTGTCTTGTCGTTCCTTTCGCTTCTCCTTTCGTTTCTTCTTCTCCTTTTCCCCTACGTTCTCGCTCTTCAAGCGTTCTTTCTCGGCGGCCGCTCTTTCGAGTGCTTCGTCTGCTGCCCGACCCAGGTGACCGAACAGATCTTCTTCGTCGCTATCATTAATAAGATCGTCAACTTGCTGGGGATTTTTCAACCCTTGCTCGTTCTCGGCTTGCTAGTCTTCGTCGTCACCTTCTACTTCTAGGTCAATATTTGTGAACGGGACTGCAGGTTGCGGGACATGATATGGAGAAAAGGGGTCCGGCTGAATTGATCCTTTCAGTGAGAGCATTTGATTCGCAACAGTAAAACTTAGGAGACAGCACAAATCAGCATAAAATAGCAAGTAGAACACGCTGAATCAGTACTCACGACAACTATAAATTCGAGCTGTCCGTCTCTGTCTTATGATCTATCAGCAGTAGTCATATATGCGCATACACATGCCGGTTCTTCCGTCTCTTGTCCACCCATCACCTCTCACCCACATCCAAGCCACCTGCTCCAGAATCGCCATCCGTTACTCAGGACCAAGGATTGACACCCACAAACGTCTACATTCATCACTACGACAATAATGGCATCTCTCTTGCTTAATCTCCTTCCCGGCGGTACCTTTCACCTTTCATATCACGCCGTTCCGTAATGTCACCCCAACCCTGAACCGGTCGAGTTCGGCGTAGCGTTCCCACTCGCCGTGACAACGGAGCCATTTGTTCGTATATTATCCGATGATCCTAGACTCATTGAGCCGACGTTAAGCGTCAAGCTAGAGCCTAACGCACTGGGTGCAGTGGGGCGCAGAGTTCCAGTTCCAGTTCCTGTACCTCCTGGTGTAGGTGTGACGGGCATCCGCGCTCCCGAAGGTGCTACAGAAGAAGCTCGTTGACCAGGCGGCGGAGTCGGACGAGAAACATTTAACCGTTGCAAGTTCTTTATCGGGAATTTCGTCCTGAAGATTAAAGCATGCCAAGCCATTTATTTATAAGATCATGGTCGAGGAAGGATGGGATTGCAAAATGGAAATGTGGGGATGATTGGTCGATGAAGATGTGGGGACGTGCGGAGGAACGCGGGTTTCTGGGAAAATGGGCTGAGCGAATAGAATCGCTCGGCTGTTTACAGTAAATAGAGTGAGCCCGAGAAAAAGGGACGGCATCATACCGGAAGTATTCAGGTAAAGGAGACGTGAGGATGTGATTGACACGTACCGGCATGTTGAACAGACAGGGACTAGCTGGCAAAGGACTGCGAAACGGAGTCGAAAATCAATATATATTCTCCATTGAATATTCTTTAATTTGGGATGACGTACTGGATAAGCGAACTGAACACACAAATCCGATGTCCACGATTGTTTTATGGAAAAAGCATGCAACTCGGAAGTCTATTTTATCTTGCGTAGGGACTGCGATAGGTTGCCGTATAGATGGCGTCGGAAGGAAGGTCATCTGAATAAAAAAAGTTCGCGTTGATAGGGTAAACTGTAAATACGGATTGAGACATACCAGAAGATGTTGCAATAGGGCATCTCGTCTTTCAAGGTAGATGTATGATCCTCCAGTCAAATGCGCAGCTTGTTGTAAAAATACTGCATCGGGTGCATATATCTTGCAAACATCTATTGCGACTTTCTGCACATTGATGAATAAAACCTGTCACTCGTGAAATCCTGAAACTGGTAACCACAAAAAGCATTAACGCACAGGTTTTGAGCAGAAAAGATACTGTTCATAAGAGGGATATAGGACGTTGACAAGTCCGGCGAGACAGAGAGAATGACAATTCGAGGTTCCGGCGATACTACCGGCACGTCTGAGTCAATGCTAGTAGCAGTTGGATTTACGAGCCAGTTGATATCTATCACAGCTCGTTCGTCAAGCAAATCGAGGTTTGAGCAAGGTTTGAGAAAAGAGAGTCCCGTACGGCATAACGCCTTCGTTAACGCTCCGACAAGCTGACGCAGTGCTTCCAACACTGATTAACTAATTGAAATATGATGAATATCCGAGCGAATGCTTACCCTCTTCGTCAAAATCTGACATCGCGTCTAGCTCTTCACTAATCCTCTTCGTTACAGCAGTGTCAACGACCTTGAACGGCAAGTACGTATTTGGGACCGCTATACTATCGTCGGCACCTTCGGCTTTGTGATCCGTCGAAGAGTATAATAGGACACTTCATAGAAAGGTGCACATACACGAAACATAAGCACACAAGACGACAGTAAATGTATTGGTAGGAAGCACACCTCTTTCCAGGAAATGCACCGTACACAACGAGCGCATTTTCATGCTTCAGGGTTAGATGAAAGTTCAGAAATGCGAGAGTTTGTGCGAGAAACGACTTGAATGAATGAGGATACGCGTTCTTTGGAAGAGAGGAGAGATGCCATTGAGTCGGGAACAGGTCGAGGATGATGGCCAGATGTGAAGGATTGTCTATGCTTGTTGTGTTGTTCAAATGCTCGTGAGTAAATCACTCATTTGTGCATAGTGAGGTCATTTCTTCGTTCATAGGAGTATCGCACTCAAATTTTGAGTGCAAAGGTGTTGACAAAATTGCAGGGCTTGCAGTGGACGATATTATTAGTATCTACTATCAAGTATGTTACTGATTTAGATGTCTCTGCGCACGTGATCTTGTCATTTACTCGGCGGCGATGCAACATGTGAATTTTCTACGATCGGCTATTTTCAGCGCCTGATGCCTTGCGACGGCTTTGCACTTCATGTTCTGCCGTCGGTATCACTCTCAGGGTTTGCCTGTTCTGGGTTCTACAATATCACTGGAAGGAACCCTACAATCATTAGAGAACAAGTTCAAGCACGGGCAAGCTGTTTTCATCCTGTATAGACTCTAGAGGTTAAGGTATAGCTCTGTCTCGGAGTGCAGGATATTACTCAGAGGTTATCTAAATCAAACGATCAGACAACCGTATTTAATTAACGAATTCCATCATGATGGATACTGAATGAATACCTCGAGGGTCGATAAGTGCGGCAAAATTGGATGCTCTCTTTCCAAGTCGCTAGCACTGCTTCATCTATCCCTATCCTCGACCTCGACATTGACTGCATCAACTGCTGCCCTCACCTCCATCCCCTTCACCTTCACCCTCATCCTCACCTTCTCCTCTAAATTTTCTGCCTTGACCTCTGCTTCCATGTTCAGCTTACCCGACTTTACTACCACCCACTTTGTCACCTCAGGTCCTCTGACTACTAAACGCTCCTTTAGCTTTGTTCCTCGATTTTTCTTACGTGGCAGTGCCTCGCTTGTACTTTTTGTTCCCCTTGTCTCTGCTTTATCTGTCTCAACGCCGGTGGGCCTAACCTCGGGCGGGCCAGCAGTGATTGCATGGAGTGTTGCACAAGGCGACCCACAGACATTCTCTATTGAGCTTATCAACGACGTGGTGGCCGCCAATCAATTTGCTCTTGCGAACAACGTCCCAAGTAGTGCTGGGTCCCTCAACCTCGTTTTGCCCAAAGTGCCCTTTGGGTGAGTTTTATTTTATGTCAGGCCGTTGTCTCCGATCCAGCTTCGACCAATCTGATCGTCAATGTTTCTATTATTCACGTTGCTGACGATGATATTTTGACAGCGGTAGTTACGTACTGCAATTAGTGAATAACAGGCAAGTACTGCGTCGGTCCTTTTCATAACGTAACAATTTTTGAATCCTTACTCTGCGTAGTAACATAACGGACGTTTTTGCTCAAAGTGGAGAATTCACGATCGGCCTTGCGCAATCTACTGCAACATCCTCAACAACCTCAGCAACCTCAGCAACATTCTCATTCTTAACAGCCAGCGGCTCTAGTACCAATACTCTCATTCCTAGCAATGCTACCCAGACTACAGGTATTTTTATTCGTCGGTCGTTCAAGCATCATATTAACACAAACAATCCAAGCACCGAGTTCGTTTCATTCGGCGGGAACGGTGGGAACAAGTGCATCTGTACCAACTGCACCAGGTATTGGTAACACCAATAACCAATCGACTGCTTCTGGATCCAGAGCAAAAGTTGCTGGAATTGTTGTCGGAGTTGTTGGAGCGATCATTATTTGTCTCGCGATATTGCCATGTATTCGACGCGGTAAAATCCCTTGGTCATCCATGATAAGGAGAGGACGTAGAAAAAAGAATGCCGAAGTACCAGGATTGCCTATAGTTCGAGAGGTCGAAAATAATGTGGTGCCACTGCATTGGCCTCTGGAATCTGGACGACGCAATTGGACAGACCATACAGGCGAGTCCGTTCACCAAGCAGGGCTAGTGTCCCATCAGCACCCTACAGAGACAGTAAATAACAGGACGAAGCACCCAGCACCCATATCGAACAACGTGTCTGAGAACTCACAGATCACAGTCGAACCTATTTCATCAGTGATGCAAGAAGTGGATAGCCTTCGTGCACGAATAGCGGAATTGGAACGACAACAGCAGGGATCAAGACAAAATTTACATCCACCAAGTGTCCATTCTGGGACCGACGATAATCGATCAGCGCCGCCAGCATATTCAGATGATGGTCGTTATTGAGATTTTCTCATTAAAGAGACGGGTCTCACGAATGTTGTACCAATAGCGAAGTTCCGGTTAAATAAAAGAGGTCCTTTGGCACCGAGTCGCAATACATATCACGAGATGCAAGGCAGTGATAGATCAATTTCCAGATTGTTACGATGAGCAGAAAACCGTATCTCCGAGAATATAAACAGGAAATGGGATAGTAAAGGTGGGAACTGTTCCTCTATGTCTCTTGTAACTTGTTCTAAATTCCTTTTTAGGCGGGTTTTCCTCTTTATTCGGCACTATTGGTCCAGCCATCGTCGCACCTCCTGCAACTATTAATTCCTTCCCTTTCTCTCGCCATTCCTTCTGCTCCTTCTTCATTGTTTTCTTCTCCCCTCTTCCCGTACCTTCTCGTCCTTCAGGCGCTCCTCTTGAGAGCTTCGTCTGCTGCCAGACCAAAGCGACCGAACGGTTCTTCTTCGTTGCTATCATTATCTGGATCGTCAACTTGCTGAATATTCTGCGACTTTGGCCGTTCTCGGCTCGCTGGTCGTCGAAATCACTTTTGACTTCGAGGTCTGTATTTGCAGGCATGTAGAACATGGTCCGGGGGAAAGGGTCCAGCTGAATTGAACATTTAGCGAGAGTATTTGATTCGCGACAGTCAAGCTTGGGAGACAGGATATGTCATTATGAAATAGGCGTTGGACACACTGAATCAAGGCACTTAGTCGATAACTGTAAATTCGAGTTGTCCGATTTTATATCCTAATCTATCGGCAGTGGTCTTATGTACCCATATTCCCCGTTGGCTCTTCCGTCTCTTGCCCCCCCCCCCCGTAGCTTCATCTACCACATCAGCAGTATGTGGGCCAGAATTGTAGTTGTTGTCTGTTGGGCCATATTCGAATACCCAGCTTTCGTTCGGTATGTGCTCTCAAGGCATAGAAATGCTGAAGGTCTGATGAACGAATAATGGTATATGAATCTGGGAAGCATGAATTTATTGTCCTGACTACAGCACACAACAAGTTGAAGAAGGAGCTTTTCCAGTGTAAGTACTGGAAAGAAATCCGACGTTCAAGCTTAATTAGTGCTACGCTAGTTCGCCGATTCCATACTGTTACATCGAAGCTCACAGTATGTACAGAGAAGGGGCAGTCGTTCTTTAATATATTTGATATAGCTATATCCGAGATGAGCTTCTCATTAAAATGGCAAAGCATAGCGCAATAGGCCTGCAAGACCGGAACGCACCTCCAATGTCCCTTGTCGGGATCTTGCATAGCCTTAATAAGGTATGTAATTGAACATTTGCTCTTCCTTCCTTCCTTTGTTCTCCTGTGAGAGAAAAAAGATCTTTGGATTAAAGATTTACTGGTATACTGTTGCTGGCCCTTTGCAAACATGACCCACAACCAGACACTTTGCTATTACTCCTCCAATTCTCACTCAACCTTCATGAAATTTTGTACATATGTAAATAGACATCTAAATGATATATATCTGAAATTTTGATACAAAAAAACAAGTAGAAAAAAGTTATTGAGTTTGCAATCTGAAGACTACAAAAAGTTGAAATTCTTGATACTCTAAATCCTTTCCCACACATTGTATACTTTATAATAATTTAAATAATGGATATTTAATACTGTAAGCCTGTATTAATGTGTATTGGTATGTGTAGTATCTACTGTTTTTTTTGGTAGAAAAATTAATAAGGTTTTGAGCAAATTATTATGAGTATTACTATTAGTCCTATTTTGTTACATTAAAGTATACTAATCTACTAATCTCTAACTTTATAATTTTTTATACAAAATTCTACTATTAAGAATTATAAAATAAGATCAATATTCATATTTAGATATATTAAAAAACATACAACTATCAAAAATCATAACTTAAAACTAATTACCTTAGTTTATATTAGTTTATTAGTTTAATAACTATAGAAATTATAGTTACAATAAGGATTAGTAGTAAAACTACTATTATTATTAAGAAAACATGTATCTATCTCTTATAATAGACAGTTTAAAGTATTAAAAAGTAGTATAGTTATAATAATAGAAGGAGAGGGAATGTGAGTTTAAAGTAAAGAAGGAAGAGCTTGATTAGTATTAGTGTAAAATAGTAGAATACTTATAAATATATAAAGTAAGATAGATTATCAGAAAAACTCTCTAACTTATGTCTCAGAATAAGAAAATAATATACTATATATAAGAATTAGTATATTAGAAACATAGAGATAGAGTAAGAGTGTGTGGTAGAGAAGAGAGTAAGAGGGAAATAGTAGAATATAAGTGAATAATTTTAAGTTATTATAATAAGCCTGTTCCTGTAAATAAAAATAAAAATATTATTAATAAATAAACTGTATATAGTTAATAAAGCAAAACTTCCTTTGTTTCCTGTCTAATTTAGTCTAAATAGAATTGAGGTTAAGTTTGTGTACTAAGAATATATACTCAGATATAGTAGGCAAATACCTTTCCTACAGAGTGTCTACTTGTAAGTTAGATATATTAAATGTATACTTATTAACTTGTCATTTTATAAAATCAATAAAATATTTATTTTTATTTATTTTACAAAAGTAAAACTAATATCTTATGATTATAATACTATAGTATGTAATTATATATATATATTGTATTATACAAGGATTGTAGTAAATAATAATAAATAAAATATCTTAAAAGTGACTGGTTAGGGCATCTTGACAGTATTATAATATTATGTAATAACAGTGTACACATGATCTCCATCTTTAGACAATGATTCAAATACAAACCTTGTTCACAGTATCTAGATACAACAGTCTTAATCTTTGTATTCTGTTGTTAGTACTCTTACAAGACTTACTTGTTTATAATTGTATTAAAACTAATTCTACAAGTATAAAGGAATAAGTTTGAGCATACTAACTGTTACAGTTCTCTACTCTTGTACCTTCAGTTCTAAGGGTTCTACACCCTTTTATACTAGAACTCAGGACTTCTGTCCCTCAGAGGCACTGTCTATAAACTATATGTGTACTAACTCTTACTATTACCCCTCCTTACTTTATCATTCTATTTCTTTGACCACCCTTTTATTCCTTGTTCATTCTATAGTCTCTTACCCTTTGTCTATCCCTTCATTCTTTGTACCTTTATCTTTGACCTTCCTTTCTTTTATCCTTTATAGCTTATCATTCTTAGTAGCTCATACTTTCTAAGTACTCTTGTGTAGTTTAGTATATATAAGTATACAAGATCAGACTAGTCCTGTAGTCTTAATCTTGTCTACTCTAGATAGTCCTGTACTCTTAGACTCACTCTATATACTCTACTCTTGCTTTACTCTCTCTCTCTGTCTGTTCTACAAGTTCTAACTATGTTCTAGTACTTACATTCTGTATTTCTGTTATATAGGATAGTTATAGTCTGAGTCCCCTTACTAAGCCTTCAGGTCCTCTCTACACTGTTACTAACATTAAATCAAGACTACTCATTACTATCCTACAACTCTCCTACATTTTAGGCATTAGTACTCACTATTGTGTCAATCTCTTTTCTTTGTCCTAACCCTTTTACATTTTTAAATTTTAAACTTTCTAAACCCTTTTAAACTTTTGCCACTCTTCTTCTATTCATTACCCCTTTTAGTTTAGTGTTGATTCCTTTATAGTGTAAACATAGACTCTTCTATACTAACTACTACCTCTACTGTCCTGCCAGATTAGTAGTTACAAGTAGACTTAGCTTAATATGTGTAAACCTCTATTTAAGAGGCCTTTACTAACTATACACTCTTAACCTCCTTAGAACCCATTCTAATTGTTCTAGAAGTTACAACCTGTTCTAGAAAGAAAGTGTATATAGTCTACCCTTCTAACTTTAATAGGTAGCACTTTAAGGACTTCTAGTACTAAGTTAAACTATATATAGCTACTACTTCAACTAATCTATTCTCAGATCTTGATCACATCCTATTTGTCCTCTCCTTTATGAAGGAAGGTAATACAGTCACTTAGACTCAGAACTGGATTAAAGGTTATCAGATCAGAAGTCTGATCTAACTTCAGAATAATGAGTTGTATTCAGAATTCATAAGGTAGCTCTGTACTTCCTTCATTAATCTGAATAAGAAGTACAATGTGTAGAACAAGCTTGTGTCTCTGTGACAGAGTAAATATTCTACTAATACCTTCTTCTAGAAGTTTAATATTCTAGCCTAGAAGGTAGGATTTATACTTGGGTTTAATAACATTCTTATTAGAATGTTTGAAAAAGCTCTCTACCTAGAACTAGTTAATAAGATTCTTAGAATAACACTAGAATTGATTACTGTTAACATGTATTACAATCAATGATACAATTATGGATGCTACAGTAATGATAAGATGATTAATACACATATAAACAGAACAGACACAGAACAATGAGACATGTATTGGATACACAATACAAGACATGTATCAGATACACAATAAGTATCAGATACGAGATAATGATACATTGGATGTCTAAGACATACAGACAAATGAATAACATAAAAGCAAGCAACTTAGTAACTAAATATATATCATTATCAGGGTCTACACCCTCATTACTTGTGTGATAACCTAAGAATACACATTCTAACAGGTTATGAGCCTTGTGCTCTCTGCTTAACACCTCACATTACTACTACAAGACTATGCTACACTACTTTACATTGATACTACAAATCTATGATGGACTCACCAAGTACCTGCAATCTCTATACACTAAACAAAACCGTACCAAACTCATCTACACCTTTGAATAACTTGTAAAGGACAAATACAAGTCATTGCAAACCTGCCAATGTACCTAAACACTTTGGACACAACATTGTGCAACTAAAAGACACATCCGGATTCAAGATATGGAAGTATTGGATTAACTCTGCTATTGCAGCAACAGGCTATATGCACTTGTTCACAAATGAACCAAAGCCTGAAGACATTAAGGTTGCACACACAATCTATACATTAATAATTGATAAAGTAGCAGATCATATAATGGCTAACTTTATACATACTGGAATGTCGATTAAAACTCTTATGAGCAGATTAGAAGAACGTTTCAACCCTCATACAGTTATGTGTAAAGCATACAATGAGTCTTTGTTATTTAAATACAATGACCATGTTAAAAACTTTGGACAAGTACTTGATAAACTAGAGCAGATATATGCACAGCTAGTAGCAGACAATTTAAAACCTACAGACACTATGTATCAAGCAGCTATCTATGCTGCAACCCCTCCTGAATATAGTAGTACTATTACAGCTATGGAACAAGCTCGAGACATGTTTTATGATGGAAAACCCAAATCTGAGTATCAACCTATCAAGCTGTAAAGACTTATTACAGTACTGTGCCAAGCATTTAATGATTTTCACATCAAAAACCCTACACAATACATAAACAACAAGCCTACAATATGTGGACAGGCAAATATGTTTTGTACAAAAGATAAAAAGTACAGAAAGAAGGGAAACAACAAAAATACAAGCAAACTGACCCCTGCATCAAAATGCTTCAATTGTAGCAAATCAGGGCACTTCTCCTGTGATTGCTGGAAGT